CCCCCCCCCCCCCCCTGTCACCCCGCATAGTAGGTAAGTTCCACCGCATACAGTTTCGAAAGTATTCCAACCATTCCCACAGAGTGACTTGCAGCGTGTGTGATGCGCAGTTGAACACACAGACGTGATCGCGATGAGGATGGAGCATTCAAGTGTAAATTGAGCCACGACAAATGTGATGAAGCAAAGTGATTGATGCAGATGCAGGTCGGGATCTCAGACGCTGGCCGCCCTCGCAGCCTTGACAAACGCCCTGATCTTGTCCGAATCCTTCCTGCCGTCGGTCTCGACACCTGAGCTGGTATCCACACCAAACGGCTGTGCGGTCCCAATCGCCTCGGCCACGTTCTGCGCCGTCAACCCACCAGCCAGCAACACAGGCATAGGCCTCATCTCCGACCCGCCCACTACACCCGGCAAGGGATCCGCCTCGCGCGCCTCCTTGGCAAAGCTCCAGTCAAACGTCTGACCGCTCCCACCATCGCCGCTCGCAGCAGCCGTGTCGAGCGCTGCAATGTGGTGATACCCGGGCCGGCTGATCTCTCGCAGCAACCCTGCGTTGAGCTTCGCATCCGGTCCCACAGAGAAGACGCGAATGACCAGTCGACCGGGGAGGAACTTGGCCCATTCGATACCCTCGCTGCGCCCGTGCAGCTGGACGACGTCGAGATCGAGTCGCTCCGCAGTGGCGGCGACCTCGGCAAGCGGTTGTTCGCGGAACACGCCCACCAGCAAAGGTCGACGTCCCGCTCGGGAGCGAAGCTTCTTGGCCGTCAGCGAGAACCAGTCCTCGGGTGTCACGCCTGCTTCGATCGACCCCGCGATGGCCAGCGGGTCGAGCGCAGTGGTGGTAGAGGTGGGGAGCGATCGGACGGCTTTGATGATCTCGCCCGCTTGATCGAGTGTGACGGTGCGCTTGGTACCAGGGGCGAGGATCATACCGAGCATGTCGGCGCCCGCTTCGGCAGCCGTGACTGCCGCTTCGACGGTGGACAGGCCGCAGATCTTGACCAGCGTACCGTGACCCACGACAGACCCGGGGACGGTCTCGGCGGCCGAGCTGCTCGACGGAAGACCGATCAAATCGTGAATGAAAGCACGCTTGTCCTTGGCACGCATCAGCGCTTCGCCGACCAACACGGCACCAACGCCCTCCTGGAGATACTTGGCCACGTCGCTGCGACCACTGATGCCGCTGAGCGCGCACAAGATGACACCGCCCTTGTTGGCCGCATCGGCTAGGCGTGACGTCGTCTCCATGTCCACATTAAAGTCATGCAGGTTGCGGTTGTTGACGCCGACCACCTTGGCACCGAGTCGGATGGCGCGCGTCATTTCCTCCGGGTTGTTGACCTCGACGAGCGGTTCCATGCCGAGACTGAGACTGTAGTCGTAGAGCTGCTTGAGGTGGTCGTCGGTGAGCATGGCGACGATGAGCAGAACCGTGTCGGCACCGGCGAGGCGCGCCTCGGCGATCTGATAGGTATCAACGATAAAGTCTTTCCTCAGGATGGCAGGGCGGTCGGGCATGTTGTCGACGGCTTTTCTGGCGAGGGACAGGTCGTGCAGGGTGCCCTTGAACCACTTGGGCTCGGTGAGCACGCTGATGACGCTAGCACCGCCTCGTGCATATGCGAGCGCTTGAGCGCCGGCATGGGCGGTAGGGTCAATGTCGCCCTTGCTAGGACTGGCACGCTTCATCTCGGCCATGACGCCGGGCAGACCGCGAGACGCGTGACGCTGCAGCCTCTCGGGGAAGTTGATGAGAGGAGGAGCGAGGTGGAGCGAGAGCGCAATATCGAGATCGCGCTGCGAGAAGCCGAGGATGGCCTTGGAGGCGGCGATGTCCTTGAGGCGCTGCACGTGGATCCTCTCGAGAATGGTCCCAACGCTGCCGGTGGCAGCAGCGGCAGGCGCGGCAGGCGTAGAGTGAGCGATGGCGGTTCCGTTGGGAGCGGCGTTTTCGGTACTGGGAGCAGCCATAGCGAGCACCGGCTCGGTGGTGCTTTCTGCGCGCTCGATGGCGGCGGCGTCGACCTTGGCCTGTGGGTTGGCATCCCAGGTGCCGCCGGTCCAGCTGAGGAAGTTGACCATCATCTCGCGGCCGCCCTTGCTGAGGATGCTTTCTGGGTGATACTGAACGGCTTCGATGGTGTAGCGAGTGTGACGGATGCCCATGACGACACCGCTGGCGGTCTTGGAGGTGACGACGAGTTCTTTGGGCAAGCTTGGCAGCTGAGCGGCAAGACTGTGATATCTTGTGCCTACGACACCGTGAGCGGGAAGGCCAGCGTAAAGGCCCTTGCCGTCGTGCGCAATCTCGGACGTCTTGCCGTGAACGATTTCGCCGGCGAACTCGACGATACCCGTGTAGGCCGAGTAGATCGACTGAAGACCCATGCAGACGCCGAGGATGGGGATCTTGCCGGCAAAGTGCTTGATGCAAGGGATCGAGATGCCCGAGTCGTGGAGGGGGTGACCGGGTCCGGGGCTAATGACGATGTTGGCGGGGTGGAGTGCTTCGATTTCCTCGATGGTGACCTTGTCGTTACGGTAGACGACGAGATCCGCACCGGCCTCGGCGAGGAACTGGACGACGTTGTAGGTGAAGCTGTCGTAGTTGTCGATCAACACGGTCTTGCCCTTGGCAGCGGTGGAGCCCGTGCCGATAGCCTGGTACTGCACATTGGAGGCGACAGAGACGAGGCCTTCGGTAGGGAGCGACATGACGAAGTGAGGCGGATTGCGTGTAGAAGGGAGGTATGAGTCGCTGTGAGACGAGCTTGCTTATATGCGACTCCGATGCGGCGGAACCAGCCGGATTGGCTGACGTGTTCAGTGACAGCTGGAAGTGGGTCAGAGTCGGGCCTGGCTAACCGTTGCAGTGTGGGTCTGGTGGGTCCAATGTGATTGATGGAGAGGGCCGAGAGGCGTAGGAGAAAGTCAATTGAAGGTTGCAAAGAAAGCATGAATCGGTGGTGGCTAGTTGGGTTCCAAAGGTCTGTGCTGCGCTGTGCTGTGCTGTGCTGTGCTTCTCAAAAATTACGCTTTTTGGAAGAAAAGGCTCCGATTGCCGACCGCCCAATTCTTCTTGTGACTCGGGTCGGCAGGTCCGCAAGTGGACAGCTTCCAGTCCCAACGCTTCTCACGCTCAGACTCAGTTGCAGTGATCCAGCAGAGCATGTCGGATCCACCGAGGCAATCACCATAAAACTCTTACAACGACGGTCAGCAATGAGAATGTGCTTGATTGTCGCCCACGCACACGCCTTGCCGGCACCGCCATTCACCCACGGCGTCCGTAATGGTTCAAGTTGGCGTGGTTGGAGGCGACCGACCAAGCAACGGCTCGACGTCGGTTCTACACAACAACCGCTGAAATCAGAGTGTAGCGTGTGAGCCAGCACAAGCGACCACCGTTATCTATTTGACCATGCAACGCCAAGCTGTGCGCTCTTGCTCGATCGATACGCAGAGTCTGAGTGCTGCTATCTCCGAACAGGTGATCAAGGCCAAGTTGAATGCAGATTATCGTGGAGAGCGTAGGGTACAAGGAAGCTTTATCGAAATGCAAGTGACTTCAACTACTCTACTGCTTGGCGTTCTCCTGCTCAGCAGAGGTGGCAAACTCGAACGGCCTGCCGCCGTCCAGCTTGGTCTCAAACTTCTTAAAGTTCTCGGCGGGAACACCGAGCTCGAGCAGCTTGGCGTAGGCACTTCGGAAGTCGTTGAAGAACTCGTCCTCGCTCTTGGCGTATCGCTGAACGTGCTTCTTGAACGAAGGGTCCTGTACCAAAGCCATGTCGGTCATGAGCATCATCAGCGCCTTGGTCGACTTGTCCTCAAACTGAGGAGGTCCGTTCCACTTGCGCAGGTTCCACTTCTCGTTCATCAACAGGTTGAAGTACTCGTTGGTGAACGAGGTGGGAGCGTGAGTCCAAGGGCCCTCAAATCCGGATCGGTCCGTGTGGCATCGGCCAAGAGCGTGAGCACCCGAAAGAGCGACAATCTCCTGGTCGTTGAAGCCCATCTTGTTGAAGATGTAACGCAGGTGGTCCTGGCCCTTGTCACCGTCGGGAAGTCGGCCATCGGGAGTGCACTTGTCGGCAGTGGCGTCCAGACGGCCAGGGCGCCAGGGGATCTTGGGACCGCCAAGCTCCTGAACGGCAGCGACACCACCGAGCGTCCAGAGATCCGAGTAGGTGATCCAAGGGAACTTCTTGTGGATCTTCTCCATAAAGTCACGGGCGGCGCCGAGACCAGCGTTAGCACCGTGCTCCGACTCGGGAGCGAATCGCATCGTGGCACCGTTGGAACCACCAGTGTTGCTGTGCTTGTCGTAGGTGCCTGAAGCGTGCCATGCGAGACGAACGAGGACAGGGCCGTACGAGCCATCGTCGTACTCGGGGTTCGACTCGAGCTGCTCGGCGATAGCGTTGTAGACCGCCTGGTAATCCTCCTTGGAGTGGGCGCTAGTGGTGGGGGGAACGGAGCCCTTGGAGCCCTGGAGCTTGTTGGCACCGTCGGCACCTACGCCGAGCGTCGACTTCTTGTCATCGCGACCGAGGGCGAGGAATGCACCACCGGCGGCAGCGGCGATGGCGACCGAGGTGAGAAGCACCTTGCTGGTGGACGAGCTCGACGAAGGCTGAGGAGGAGGGGGCGAGCCAGGAGCAGGGCTGCTGTAGTGGCGCACGCTGGATCGGATCGAGGGACGAGCAAAGTTGCGAGCCGATGCTCGCAAAGGCTGCGCGACACGAAGACCAGTGCGAAGAGAGGCCATCTTGAATCGAAGTATACGAATAGGGGTGGAGATGATGTGGTCGGGAAGGAAAGGAAAGGAGAGCGCAGCTACCGAACTGAGCATGAATCGTTTGGCGGGGAGCCCTGCTCTCCCATCTCTCTCTGGAAGAAATGCTGGCTCGCTTGGCCACCCAGGTGAGCAGCTGCTCGGTACCACTCTTGAGAATTGTTGATTTCCGCCCTTTCACCGTAGCCGGTCGGGGCTTTTTCTCATTTTCAGCAGCTGATTGATGATCGGCGTTCAGGGTCATCCATCTTGACGTCAATCGTGTGGCGCAGCTACTACGAGTTCCCGCATAGCCTCGTGCCATGAGCTTCACAAAAGGAAGATGAGCTTCCAAGAACGGAGTGTGCGAAGCAAAGATAGATTCAGCATGCGTCGTGAGGAGTCCCGATGTGGGCTTTCGACCATCGGACAAAGCCGCGTTCTCCTTATCTCGAGAGCCGGACTCGAGCCGCCTTCAACGCAGCCACGAGCCGGTGAAGTGGAATTTGTCAGCCAACTTGCATCATTTTTATTCGCGATTCGCGCTGTTGCTCGAACCACTTGGAAGAACGTTGTGCAGCTCCTCTGTGTGAAAAGCACTCAGTCCATGCATGCTCGGTCGCCGGACAGCTGCACGTCGTTCGCCGTCGAACCGCGCCACTGTCACCCTACCCAATCGCGTTAGCACACGTTTTGGCCTTCTCCAGCTCCCAAGCTTTAGCCACCTTCCCAGCCTAGCGGTCCTGGACAGATCTTGTCGATCCGAGAAAATTCTCCTGCCGATCTTTGACTATCGCTTTTCTTGAATATGTTACATCGGCTCAATCACAATCCGAGCCTCAGAAAGACACGACTCGCACGACTTTTGCATTTCGCGCTGAGCTGGAAGACTTGCCGAGCCAACCCACACAGCCAACCAGCCAGCCAAGCGCCTGACGACAAGCGCACGGGCGGAGGTGGGCGTGGTGTCTCAAGTGTTGCGTGTCACATTTCACTTGAGTCCTTTTGTTCTTCGCGACTCACCATCCTACGCTTCCCTCGCACAACCAAACGTTCGGTTCCCACATCCTTACAAGACTCACTGGAAAGCGCAAAGGATCGATCCATCTACGACACAGCCTCGCATTGGCTCGATCGCCGCTAGAAGTCAACCTCAAAAGTGCGACCGCATTGCACGCGACACGGCGTCAAGCACGTGTCGGACTCCCTGGCAGTCATCGCCGACCTTTGAGGGCGGTTCAGTCGTCTTCCTGCATCTCTAAAGATGAACCCGCAACAGCCATGTCAGGCGCCCGGTGGGGCTCCCTTCCAAGGCCAACCGGCTCCTCCGCGCCCAGGACCTCCTCTCGGCGCCCAGCAACCAGGACGCTTCCCACCACCACCACACCAGCAGGCACAGCCGCAGCAAGTACGACCACAGCAGCCATATCCGCAGCAGCAGCAGCAAGGTGGTGCTCGTCCACCACCCAATCCCGCCATGCAGCCTCGTCCTCAGCAGCCCGCCGGAATGCCTTTTGCTAGACCACCAGCGCCCTCTCCTTCCAACAGCATGGCCGGCGGCCCGGGATCGCTGCCCGCCCGTCCGTTTCCACAGCAAATGGGTCCACAGTCATCTGCAGACCCCGGTCGCGCTGCTCCACAACAGGCCCCGCAGCAGATGCAAGGCGGTCTCGCTCCTCGTCCACCCTCCCAGCCGGGCACCATGGCCGGCGTAGAGTCGCAAATGGCGGGTCTCAACATGCAAGCTCGTCAACCTAGTCCCGCCCCCGCCCTCGCACCGGATGCAGGTCCGGCCAAGACCAAACGCAGCGCACGCGCCTATCACACCGACGCGCAGGCTGCGTCGGCTCCAGGCTGGAACGACGCACCTAGCCAGCCAAATCCACCACCGGCGCCATGGCAGCAGGCGGCAGCTGCAAGGGTAGCTCAGCAGGGCCACCAGTTCAACCAGCCCGCGGACGACGATGCGGCGCTCGATCAGATGCCCGGGCAACGAAACATGATCTCGCCCGCCCAGGCTGCTCACAACCGCGCCATGATGAACCAGACCCAGGCAGCAGCGCGGCCCAACATGCCCAACAACCCACAGAGCAGCGTGCCAGGCATGCAGGCAGCGCTGGGAGGTGGCGCCGGCGCCGGCAACGTTGGTATCGCGCAACCGCCTCATCAAGCCGGACAGCGATTCGCAGGACCTCGCAGCAAGATCGACCCGGATCAGATCCCAAGCCCCGTCGAGATGCAGGATGCTGACCAGGAGTTCTTCGACAAGGAGTGGTTTGCTACCTGCGGACGCGGTGGCATGCCGCTGAGCACCACCAGCTTTGCCGCCGTCGACCAAGGCAACTGCTCTCCCAAGCATCTGCGACTCACCACCTACAGCATGCCAGCCACCGACGAACTCGCCACCACCTCGCAGCTCCCCCTCGCTGTGCTGTTGCAGCCCTTCGGACAGCTTCGTGCGGACGAGGCGCCTATCCCCGTCGCAACCTTCGGCGAGAGCGGTCCGCCACGCTGCAAGCGATGCCGAGCCTACATCAATGCATGGTGTGTCTTCGTCGAGGGCGGTCAAAAATGGACCTGCAACCTCTGCGGAACGGCCACCGAGGTGGCTGCCGACTACTTCTGCAACCTCGACATGAGTGGTCGACGAGTCGATTTTGATCAACGGCCTGAGCTCTCGCGCGGATCCATCGACTTTGCTGTGCCAAAAGAGTACTGGGCCGTGCAGTCGACACCGCCTGCCTCCGTGCTGCTCCCCGTGGCGCCGGCGAGCACTCGCACAGAGACCGCCAAGCTCGAACCAAAGGCAGACGCAAAGGACTACGAGGGCACCACGCTCGGTCTCTCCGGTCAGGGCGCGCAGGCCGCCAAAAGCGCCACGAAAGCCGCCAACGACGCGCTTAGTGGACTTCAGCTTGGCAAGGGCCGCACAACGGTGCGTGCACCTCGACCTCTCACCTACTTCTTTGCCATCGACGTGAGCTACAGTGCCGTCCGATCGGGCGCCTTGGCCAGCTCCGTGGCCGCCATCCGAGAGACGCTCTATGGTCCGAAAGAGAGCGCGGCAGAGCAAGGAACAAACGGCGCGCCAGACGCTGATGCCACTGCCGGCCCCGGTTTTGGTCTCGTAGAAGGCGCACGCGTCGCCATCCTCACCTTCGACCGTGCTCTTCACTTTTACAATCTGGCCCCAGAGCTGGACCAGGCGCAGATGCTCGTGGTCGGTGACATTGACGAGCCCTTCGTACCCATCAGCGATGGCTTGCTTGCCGATGTGTGGGAGTCTCGTCACCTGATCGAGGGTCTTCTCGACCAACTTCCAAGCATGTTCGCTGAGAACATGGTCGGTGATGCTGCTCTTGGCGCCGCGGTACGGGGAGCTCAGGCAGCGTTGTCCACCATTGGTGGTCAGGCCAACATCTTCTTGTCTACTATCCCTACCGTCGGACCGGGTGCGCTCAAGCACCGCGAGGACACCAAGCTGTACGGAACCGACAAGGAGAAGAACCTCTTCGTTCCTCAGGACGGCTTCTACCGCGGCGTGGCCGAGGAGTGCGTCGACGCAGGCATCGGTATCAACCTCTTCTTCTTCCCTTCGCAGTACATTGACGTGGCCACCATCGGCGTGCTGCCTGGCTTCACGGGTGGAGATGTCTTCTTCCACCCGCGCTTCGATCCTGTGCGAGACGGCATCCGACTGCAAAGCGAGGTTCGACGCACCGTGCTGCGCGAGACCGCCTACAATGTCACGATGCGCCTGCGTTGCTCCAACGGTCTCCGCGTCGCCGACCACTTTGGCAACTTCTTCCAGCGCAACTCGACCGATCTCGAACTCGGCACCATGGATGCGGACAAGTGTATCGCAGCGCTGGTCAAGCACGACGGCAAGCTCGACGAAAAGCACGAAGCCCACTTCCAGTGTGCTGTTCTCTACACTACAGCGCAGGGAGAACGACGTGTGCGATGTCACAACATTGCTGTGCCCGTCACATCGCTGCTGGGCAACGTCTTCCGCTACGCCGATATGGACAGCGCTGTGGCGTACTACAGCAAGGAGGTGGTGTCGTTGGCGCACGCCAAGCCGCTCAAAGAGGTCCGCCACTATCTCACGGACAAGTGCGTCAAGATCCTGCTGGCATACCGCCGGAACTGCGCCTCGTCCACCAGCCCAGGCCAGCTGATTCTGCCAGAGAGCTTCAAGCTGTTCCCGCTGTATGCTCTGGCGATCAACAAGACCAAGTGCATCAAGGGCGGCAACGTGACGTCGGATGTGCGCGCCTTCTACATGCGCTTCTTCCGCGCACAGGGTGTCTCGGCCATCATGTCGATGCTCTACCCACGCATGATCGCGCTGCATACGATGTCGGATGCCGACGGCTCGCCGATCCAGATTCAGCAGCCCGATGGGACCACGGTGGACGGCACGCGCATCAAGACACCTGCGCTGATGCGACCTTCGTACCTGCGCATGGAAGGTCACGGTGCTTACTTGCTCGAGAACGGCGAGATGTGCATCTTGTGGCTCGGCGCCAACGTCAACCCGCGTCTGCTGGAGGACCTGTACGGTGTCAACTCGTTGGAAGAGATCGACGCTCGCATGACTCGCTTGCCGAAACTGCCGACCAAGCTCTCCAAGCAGGTTCGCGCGATGATCCAGTCGTTTGCGGTGCAGAGGAATAAGCCCGAGTTGCCGGTGCTCATCGCTCGACAGAACCGCGATGGAACCGAGGTGGAACTTGCCAACAGCCTGGTGGAGGACCAGAACAACGACGCGATGAGCTACGTCGACTACCTTTGCCATGTCCACCGCATCATCAGCTCGGATATGACTTCGGGTAAGGAGGAGTCGTCTTCGTGGTTTTCCTCATAAAGATCGTAGCTGCTCCGCTTACAGCTCGCCATCGTCGCAGGAGGGTTACCCCATTGGAACTGTAGTCACCTTGACAGAGCACTTCGAATGCAATGCACATCTAGAAATCTCATGTGCTCCTCCGTGACCTGCTGTGAGTGCCTTACCCTCTGTGTGCTACTACCGTTCTTGCTCCGTGATCAATCGGATGGTCGATAGTGTGAGTTGAGCATCGTCTTGGGTCTTGTGAACGTGTTAACATTTGTAAATTTTGGCCCTGCGTGCTGGCTTGTGCTCGTGTTCTTTCTCCACCTCAGCACACAGCCGAGACACTCTCGAGCGTTGACCCCTCTCCGAAATACCGGCAAGCGCGTGCACAGATCCTGAGACTCCCTCAACGCGCCTGCTTAACATCGTACACTCACCTCACCTCGCCATCCGCATCCTCTTTGCACCTATCGAGTTGGACGAGCTGCCTCAGTCAAGGGCCAGCTTCGTCAATCAGCCTCGCCTTCTGCAGCGATGGACGACTCGGCCAAGGTCCTCTCCGAGGCCCTCAACGTGGTTAAGGTGCAGCTCGTGCAGATGAAGCGATGCCTCGATGCGGACCAAGTCATGGATGCGCTCAAGAGCGCTTCCACTATGCTCTCGGAGCTGAGGACGTCATCGCTATCCCCAAAGAACTACTACGAGCTGTGTAAGTAAGCCGCTGCGACATCAGCTGCCCCCTGCCTTGCATTCTAACATGCCACTGACATGCCTATATTGTGATACCTCGCTGCCAAACAGACATGGCCGTCTTCGATGCGCTACGACATCTCTCCATCTACCTCTACGATGCCCATTCGACCGGCAAACACCACCTCGCCGACCTATACGAGCTTGTACAGTACTGCGGCAACATCGTGCCCCGACTCTATCTCATGATCACCGTCGGAAGCGTCTACATGTCGATACCCGACGCTCCCATCAAGGAAATCATGAAGGACGTCATGGAGATGAGTCGAGGTGTTCAGCATCCGACCCGAGGTCTCTTCCTCCGTCACTATCTCAGCGGCGCCACTCGCGACTACCTCCCCGTCGGCCAAGACATGGGACCAGGCGGCAACCTCCAAGACAGCATCGGCTTCGTCCTCACCAATTTCATCGAGATGAACAAGCTCTGGGTCCGTCTGCAACACCAAGGCCACTCCAGAGACCGTGAGAAGCGCGAGATGGAACGCAAAGAGCTGCGCATCCTTGTTGGCACCAACCTCGTCCGACTCAGCCAGCTCGAAGGCGTCGACCTCGAAATGTACCAACGCACCATCTTGCCATCTATCCTCGAGCAAGTGGTCAACTGCAAGGACGTCATCGCACAAGAGTATCTCATGGAGGTCGTCATCCAAGTCTTTCCCGACGATTTCCACCTCCGCACCTTGGGTCCTTTCCTCTCGGCATGTGCGGCTCTGCATCCAAAAGTCAACATCAAGCAGATCGTCATTGCCCTCATTGACCGCCTCGCCGCCTATGCAGCACGCGAAGCAGAGAACGACAGCCCGGAAGAGATCAAGAGGCAAGAGGAGGAAGCGAGCCGCCGTCTGGCCGAAAAGACGCGACAGATGAGGATGACGGGACAGAGCGCTGGGCCTGGCTCCGTATGGGACGAAGTCACCGCCTCGGGGGATCCAAAAGCCAAGGCTGCCGACATCGCTGAACCCGCATCACCTACCGGCGCAGATCTTCGCTCGATGCCGCCACCACCAGTCGAAGCAAGCGGCTTCGGAATGTCGTCAGCGGACAGAGACTCGGCCGCTGCACCTAACGTGGCCACCCACAGCTCCGAAGAGCCCGTCTTCCGCAGCGTCCCAGAAGGTCTCGATGAGGACGCATGGGGCTCGACGGGCGGCAGCGGCACTGGCGCCGTATCTGCGTCTGCGTCCGCCACGTGGGCGTCGCAGACCGACGACGGAACAGACGCAAGTAGCGCGCAGCACACCGCAGAGACCCGAGCCACCTCGACAGCAGGAGGCGCCGCTAACGACGGGCACAACGCTCGCGCTCAAGAGTTCCCCTCCGCAGGCTTCAGCACGGGTGACAACGCCAACGGAGCGCCAGCCAACGGCGATGCTGAAAAGGCAGCGGCACCCGCACAATCGCAAGCACCTCGCCCACCAGCCGTATCAGAAAAGCCGGTGGGCAAATTCAGAGGCATCCCCGAGGATGTGCGTCTCTTCGAGGTCTTCTGGGAGCAGATCGTCCAGCTCATCCGTGCACGCCCGGACCTCATCATCCAAGACATCACGGCACTGCTCGTCTCGCTCGCCAACCTCTCGCTCAGCTGCTACCCCGACAAGCTCGAGTACGTCGACCAGGTGCTCGCCTTCGCACGCGAAAAGGTGGTCGAGTTCGAGCAGAGCCCCGACCTGCACAGCCCCGCGACCACCACCAACCTCAACTCGCTGCTCCTCTCGCCCATCAACTCGTACCTCACGGTCTTGACGCTGCTGGCGTTGCCATCGTACCTTTCGCTCCTCTCGGTGCAGCCATACACGACACGCAAATCGATCGCACAGGCCGTCGTCATGTCGGTCCTGCGCAACGAGACCGTCATGTCGACGCCCGAGGATGTCAGCGGCGTGCTCGACCTGTGTGCCCCCATCATTCGCGATCACAAAGACGCGATCATGGGCGGCATGCCTCACGGCGGCGTGCATATGGGCGCTGGAGGTTCCGGCAGTCAGGGTGGCTACGGCGGCGGCTATGGCCACTATGCTGGCGGCGACCCGAGGATGGCCCAAGGCATGTACGGTGCTGGATCCCGAGGCATGGGTCGCCACCACATGATGCAGTTCGACATGGAGGAGATGGCCGAGGAGCAAGGTTGGATCGCTCGCATGATCCATCTCTTCCGTGCCGACGAGCTCGAGACGCAATTCAGTTTGCTGCAGACCGCACGCAAGCACTTTGTCGACGGCGGCGAACGCATCAAATTTACACTGCCACCTCTCATCACCTCTGCCCTCAAGCTGGCACGCCGCTACAAGCTGCGCGAGAGGAAGGAGCCAAATTGGGAGACCAAGATGCTGACGCTGTACAAGTTCATCCACCAGGTCATCTCGATCCTGTACAACAAGGTCGAGTCGTCGGACATTTGCCTTCGGCTGTTCCTGCTCGCTGCGCAGTCGGCAGACGAGAGCGGCTTCGAAGAGCTCGCGTACGAGTTCTACGTGCAGTCGTTCACGATCTACGAGGAGTCCATCTCGGAGTCTCGCGCACAGCTCCACGCCATCGGGTTGATCATCAGCACCCTGCAAACGGCTCGCGTGTTCGGCACCGACAACTACGACACGCTCATCACCAAGGCGGCGCTGCATGGCGCCAAGCTGCTCAAGAAGCCGCACCAGGCTGCTGCGGTCATGATGGCCAGTCACCTGTGGTGGCAGACCGAGACGCCGGGACATCCGTCCGGTCCTGCTACTAGCTCTTCTTCCGCCACTGGCAACACGGCAGCGAACAACAGCGTTGCCGCTAGCACCACCACCACGCCGGGCAACGGAGGTAGCGCTGCCAAGGAGAGCAAGCCGATTCTGCTCAAAGATGGCAAACGCGTCCTCGAATGCCTCCAGAAATCGCTCCGCATCGCCAACAGCTGCATCGACGAGCGCAGCACCGTCGAGATCTTCTGCTCGGCGCTCGACCAGTATCTGTACTACTTTGAGCAGCAGGTGGAAGCGGTGGCGCCCAAGTACATCAATTCTTTGGTGGAGCTCATTTCGAACGGGCTGGATTCGCTCATGACCGCGGAAGCCGATGGTGCGCATGGCCCGGGTGGGACAGGGGGTGCGCCAGTGACTTCGCATCCCGCGATCGTGGGTGGTGGCTTCCTGGAATTGCCTACTACACCGGACAGCTGTTTGAGACACTTTAAGGCACAGTTGCAGTATATTAAGACCAGGAAGGAGGCCGCTGCGTTGTCGTTGGCTAATGCGAACCCGCAGACGAGTACGGATGGTGCAGCTGCCAAGTCGGCTGATTGGGGCGCGGTGCAGATCGGACCGAGTCTCACCAAGTTTGGCGTCAAGTAAGGTAGCAGTTGCGGGCGTTGACATAATCGCATTCATATGTTTGATCAGATTACAGTCTGCTTGTGTGAAACTCGTGAGAAGCTGTTGTCGTGGCACTCTTGTATGCGGTCGCATGCTGTCAAGCTCAGATCAACAAGCGGGGTCACACATACAGGCAAATGCCGCCAACTGAGACTGGATTTTTTGAGATGATTGGAGCCTGTCTCAGCCCAACTGCAGGAAGCGCCGACAGCTGCAAAACCAGTAGCTAGGGGACAATGTGCGCCGGCTTGTCAAATGATCTCGAGGTCTGAATCGTCCTCCTCGGCATGTGGCTGCGAACGGAGCTGCATGATCTTGTCCGTCAGTGACCCTGACGCCTCGGTCTCCTCGCTTGTCTTGGCAGATGGGACCTTGAGATCGCCAAGATCGTCCTCCCAATCATCATCCTCAAAATCGTCCAAATTGACCAGCTCGCCACTGAGCACCTTGAGCTTGGACACCCGCCCAACCTCGTCCGTTGGCAGACGCAGCTTGGGCCGATGCGACCTCTTGAGCTTTAAGCTAGGCTCTGAGCTGGACGCGCTCGAGGCTGAAGCGTTCTGTGCCAGAGAGAGGAGCTTGCTTCGCGAGTCGCTGCTGCTCTTGTTGGCCGTGTCCGCGTCCGCAGAGTGCCTGGTGAGACCAGCGATGGGCAGACCGGCGAGCAGGGTGTTGGCTCGTTTGGCAGAGGTGCTGGCGAGGTTCATGAACTTGAGCTTGGACGAGTCCGACTCGCTCGTTGCAGGTGAGGTATCGACAACACCTGTGTACTTGCGCTTTTTGGCGTTGATCGCTGCTGCTTTTTGCTGCGCTACCTGCTTCCGCTTGTCTATGGTCGAGTAGGCCGCGTTGATCATGTCGGCCGTACCGTTCGGTAGGACTGCCAATTCTTTCGGTTCGTGTGGCTTCTTCTTCTTTGATGGCCCGTCATGTTCGTTCCCGCTGTCTCCGTCAGCATCATCCCTCTGGCTTTTTGCCGGCCGAGCAGGTGGTGGAGCAAAGCGAGCCTCGATCTTTCGCATGAGCTGCTCCTCTTCGATCTGCTTCTTGAGTCTGCCTTGCTTCTCGGTATTACCTCGGCCGTATCGTCCACTGATGTCGTACTTCCAGCTGGACGGATCCGATGCACGCACCTCCTCGTCCGCATCCAACGCCGAAACGAGCGGCGACTGGGAGACATACACCTTGCCGCCGTTGTTGTCCATCCCATCGCCAACGTTGTCGAAGGACGAATTGAGCTTCTTCGCCAACGCAGCTCGCGAGAAGGGATTGCTGGCGTGCTTCTCGTCCTTGCTGGAGAGCTTGTTTATCGCTGAGTCGTGGTCTCCTGCGTGCCCGCCGCCTCTGCGGCCAGAGAAGGAGTTGGACGCAGCAGGCCCAACCCCGGACCCAGGCGCGCCATTCGCATTGCCAAACCTCGACGTCGAGTTGGCAGCAAACTCGGGCCTTCCTCTCGCGAGCGAATCCATATGGCGGCTGAGGTGGAAGTCGCACGTCGAGGTGCCCGTCTGCTTTCGCGCTTTGATGTCGACAAAGCTGCCACATCGCTCGCCGTTGGCCTTAGTCGCCGAGCAGCGACGGTAGTCCGCCGCTTGGCCGATGATCAAGCAGTCCTCGGCACATCTAGGCGTGATGCGGAACATCTTGCTCTCCGTATCGCGCCCCTTGCCGCGTGGAGCATAGGGACGCATCACCTTGGGATTCATGATGGCCACCAGCGTGCCCTCGGCCTGCTTGTATAGCAGCTCGAACGCGCCTTTCGAGCCGTTGATCCACTTCTTGGTTCCGGCGGCGGTGGCGCTGATGGCCGCCGTCACCTCGGACCGGATGTTGGTGTTGTGGTGCACGACGGAGGTGTCGATCGAGTCGGCTTCGTAGGCGACGAGGGAGAGATAGTTGTCTCCTCGTCCAGCAGCACCGGTGCCATCGCCCTGGGTGCTGTTTACGCCGAGATCGACGAGCTTGAGGACGACAAATTTGCGAGAGCGGTTGACGAGGTTGGCGTTCGCAACCCTGCTTTCGTACTCATCGTCGAGCTCTACGTCGCCGGCCTTGCGACGTTGCCAGGGCTTGGATTTCTTGGCAGAGGCGTCGGCGAAGGCGTCCGAGTTGCCCGGCTCAAGGTCCAGGCGAAGCTTGCCATTCGCATCCGAGCCAGCGTCTTTGAACAGCAGCGGGTCGTCGTCTGCAGCGGAAGAAGTCGGACCCTTCGATGAAGGGTCGTTTCCGTCACCTGCATTCATTGTGAAGCCTTTTGACACGAGGAGATCGCTCTTCTCCACAATCGTCGCAATGACGATCCAGTCGCCATCGATAGGCACTTCGTAGTCGCCATGGATGAACGTGTTGACAGCACGTCCATCCGCACGCATGGGCCAGGGACGTGCTACCGAGTAGAGCAGAGATGGTGGGATGTGGTAGCGATGGCGGAGGTGCTCTTTGAGCTGCGAGTGAGGGATCTGGCGGTGTCGCAGCCGGTGGCCAGAGTAAGGCTCCATGTGTTCCCATTTGGGATCGTCTGGGTTGGGAGGAAGCGGACGAGGTCCCCGCTTTAGCGTCTCGACCAGGGCCAGGTCTTCGTCTCTTTCCGGATCGCCCGCATAGTGTTCCTCTTCCTCGTCGTCTTCCGACTCGCTCTCGCTCTCAGCTGCTTGCTGCTTGGCTCGAGCGAAAGCTCCTTGAGATGCTGAGGCGTGGCCTCTCGCCGGCGACTGGCTCGCACCAACATTGTGCGAAGGCGCTCTGGGTTGGTCCGCGAAGCCCAAGCTCCTCGCGCTCTCTCTTTTCTCGGCCTCTCTTCTTCGCCTATCGCCCTCGGCCGCACGCTGCTGCTTCTCGAGCAAAGACTGCTGTACCTGTTTCGCCTTTTGCAGGAAGTTGCTCTGCGTCGGTGCTCGCTGTTCCATGCGATTCTTGATCTGTTCCAGCAAGCCTCGTGCGCTCGAGTCGCCAGAGTATCCGGGCGGATACTGAAAGCCAGCGCCGTCGTGATCAGGGGCGGAGTAGTTGGATGATGCTTTTGCACGCGCTTCTGCAAATGAAAGCAACGAGGCCTCTCGTCGTGCATCTTCATCCTTGTCTACAATTCTGCCCCGTTCGATGTACTGCCGCACGTGCGGCTTGGGCTTGGATGGCGAAGATGGCGCTACGACGTCCGCTTTGTGGCGTTTGTTGGGTGGGCCTCCGCTTCCTGGCCTACTGTGACCAGCATCGTCATGTGCCCGAGGCTGCTGCGGAGGGGCGCCTCGCGAGGTCGAAGCGGTCCTAGTCACTTCCATGGCGCCTATCGACTCGAATTCAGCCGCAAATCCCCGCGATCGCTGGAGGAGCCAATGAGCTCATTAAGCTGATGTCGTCGAGCTGGGGCCGTCTGTGTTGGAAGCCGGAGTGCGGATGCGATTGGGTGAGAGCGAGAGTGAGAGTGACAGAAGGACCCTGTTCGAGATTGCCTGAACGCGTGTCTTAGACGTGTTGGGTGTTGGTTTCGAACAAAGCGCGCTGCCACCGCGTAAAGTGGAGATTTTGGTGAGTCTGCCAAGTCGCCGATGCGGGTCCACCACAGCTTCCGACCCTCCCACCACAATCATCGGTGGTCGAAACGCATCATCAACATGGACACAGTACGCTCGTCCTCCGCTGTACAGGCTGTGCTGTCGACCTACCGCAAAGCTCCTGTTACGCTCTCCATCTTCGCATCCTACTTCATCTCGCGCATCGTCTCGGGTCTGTGGCTCGACTACCGACTCTTCGTCGCGCTACCCGGAGGACCGCTGCCGAAGAACATCCTCGGCTGGTCGATACACTACTTTGTGCTCTCGCCTCTATCACTGCACAGCAAATGGACGAGTAGCGGCCTGATACGGTCGTTCTTTCCCACAAGATCGAGTTCCGACGTAGGAAAGCTCACGACAAGCGTTGCTCTTCCACGAAGGCAAGGGCCACGGCCGCTCACAGCTGGAACGATTCCACATCGACAGCTGGACAGCTTCTCAAACAAGTCAGACAGCAGTTCTGCCCAAGAACCTGGGCCCGCAGAGACGAAGGGCGCATCAGCGTCAGCGTCAGAGTCAAGGGAAGCGATTCAGCATATCTTGTCAGCTCTGCAAAAGGAGGCAGATTCCGGACCTTCGCATCTCCGTCTCGGTCCATCTCAGATCGAATCACACTCCACGGCCCTTTTCGCCGTATCGCACACATTGGTCACCGGTAGCGAAAACGTCTCTCGATCGACCCGCTCAGCTCAGTTTCCCTCCAGCCTCTCTCGCCGCTTCTTGTCTTCGATCAAAGGCGAGTTCGTCCACATTCACTGTAACACTGCAACCAGATCGGTAGCTGCAACATCAACAAGCTCAGAAGATGGAAGCCTGCACATGACATTGCATCCTGATGATGCTGCGTTAGTAGTAGAGCAAGGCTGGGGAGAGCTGCATCCCCTCGCAGGCTTCCCTTCGTACTCAGGGTTCTGGATTGGATGGCCCGCGTGGCTGCTGCGACTACGATCTTCAGCGACACGTTCCGCTCGCTGGTGGACATCAAGCTCCATGCCCTCAGCACAGGGCGCCAGGGTGAACAAGGCTCTTGGTCTGCCACCAACTTATTGTCTGGTATACAGCCCGAGGAATATGGAAGATGCCAAGGTCGTGGAGGACATCATTGGAGCGGCGGCAGCTTTCGCGATCGGGTCTCGTCCAACGTCACGCTAACGGCGGCCAAGCATATGAATGTTGTCGATGAGTGACATTGCTTCATGCGGCTACTTTTTGCCGCCCTGCAAGTAGGCCATCATTGCAGCAACACCTTTGCTCACTTTCTCAACGTCCCTGAAAGTGAGACTGAGCCGGGTGTCTCGTGGTAGACTCGCTTCCTCGACCTTGCCGTTCTGCTGCGTCTCGGCAGCACCAGCATCCAACTTTGCCTTCGCCTTTCCCACCATGCTCCGCAGCTGTGAGTCGTCGAGCAGGTTCGCGTTTGCTACCTGGACCAGCTGTGCTGCATTGTCAACTTCACGCTCGGCGATCCCGTGCAGGTACGACTTGTAGACGCGCCCTGTTGTGATCAGCAAGGACCGTGGCTCTTGCAAGATGGAGAACACCGGGTTCGGCTCTCTCGCTCTGGCTCCACGCACAATCTTGACGTTGCCTTCGATCCTCTCCTTCGGCACGATCTTGGACGATGTCGAGTCCTGCGCCCCTTTCTCCTCTCCGCTTGACGCAACTCCGTCCTTTGCGGCCTTCTCGTCGTGCTCCTTCATCCGCTCTTCAAAGTCCTTCTGCAAATCCTCGTCCACGTATCTGTAAACGTCGAGGAGCGTGTGCGATCCCAAGCTGATGGTCGCGACAGCCGGGAAGTAGGCCGGCCCATCCTCATGCGGCATGATACCTTGACCGGCAAGATACTCGTTGACCAGGCAATGGTTCGGCTCGCCGTGTTTCGATGCGTCGAAAGCTCCCGTGCTGCGAAGGCGGCTGATGAGGTCCGGATAGCTCGTGAAAAAGTCCGGCATGGGTTGGGGCATCAGCGTGTTGTTCTTGGTGAGCATCTGACCGCCCCATTCTTGCAGCCTTCTGTTCTGGAGGAACTTCCACTTGGGCTTGGGCGCTGAGAGGATGGCTTCGGTGAGGAAACGCTCCTCGTCCTCGGTGATGAAGTTGGAAAGGTAGAAGAAGCCGCCTTCGTCGTCGATGGTGTCGGCTGGCTGCTGTTGGGTGGACGTGGAAGCGAACTGACTAGGCCCTGCATGAGCCGGGATGGCTATGCGATGTGCTTGGAGATCCCAGCTGCTCTGTGATGGCTCTTCCAGGATCGACATGGCTGAGTGTGTGGTGGGTGGAGAGGAAGAACCTGTACACAGAGAGAGGACCCTGAATCTTCTGAGGGGCGCCTGCTGCGCATTTCTGGACCCTAAGTGGAGGCGCAGACGTGTCAAAGCGCGGATCACGGACGAGACCCTTACCCGCATCAACCTCGTTGGTCCCTTTCATCGCTCTCTTCTCCTCTAACCACCATCGACCGAGGCACTCATCTGCAAACCATCAGACTTGATAGTCTCGGGGACCCCAGTTAGAAGATGTCCGACCGCGAGCCAGAACAGGCAGAGGCCTCCGGTTCGAGACCACGAACGCCCCCGCCATCCTCGCCAGTCCAAATCGACATCGCCAGACTCGAGAACGATCTAATACCATCTCCGCCCGCAAGTGCCACTCAAAGATTTGGCGGTACCTCAGCTCCTTCATCCAGCGTCAGCAATGTCGACGGATCAGCCCGCGTGTACCGCTTCCCGAATGACCTGCCGCCCCGCTTTGAAGGATCGCCGACGAACCCGGATCCCAACGAGCGCGTGGTCACAGTCCGTGACCTCCGAACAAAGTCTTGCTGGATCTGCTCCGAAGACGACGAGGACCCTCTCCCCTCTTCCTCACAGTCGTCATCATCCTCTGCCGCATCTTCAAGGCCAAAGCGATTCGTCCACCCGTGCAAGTGTACACTCGTAGCACACGAAAGCTGCCTCCTCCGCTGGATCGACCAGAGCAAACGCAATCATCCCCTTCAGGACCATGTCACGTGTCCGCAGTGCAAAGCCCCTTACATTCTCATCAACAACAAGACGCCTTTGCTCAAGGTCTTCGAGTTCTTCGACAAGATCGTCACGCGGGTCGAGCCGTACGGCGCCGTCGCTGTGGTGGGAGGATCGGTGCTGATCGCATGCACGACGTACGGATGCGTAGCGATCCGCATGTTCCTAGGCAAGGATGCTGCTAGCAGGGCATTGGCATCTCCCTGGCCGTGGCACTACTGGATCGACATCCCGCTCATTCCCTTCGCGTTGATCGCATCTCGGCTCAACGTCTTTGAAAGCGCAATGACGTGGGTACCGACACTGGTCGCCTTTCCGATCACCAGTATTCCCATGGTCACAGCGACTGCGGCGCACGGTCGGCTGTTCGAGCGCTACGTCGAGTCGAGCGCCTTCAATGCTCGTGCGTATCCGCCGGGCCCCGCGCTGACAGCGCTCCTCATCCCTTGGATCCGCGCGTTCTACCTTGCGCTCAAACGCAGAGTCTACCGCACGGTGCTCAAGCCCTTCTACTCGGGTCAACGGTCAGATGGCTCGACTCGAAGCACTGGCACTCGACGCAATAGACGCAGAGTCATTATTGTCGGCGATCCCGACAGCTACTTGGTCGACGGTGATGCACCTCTGGGCGCGCAGCCCATGCCGGACGGCATCGGTGGACCAGTGGCCCAGGTGCGGGATGACCGCGCAACGGACGACGACAGTCCAACTCAAACGGTCTACGTAACGCACCACTCATTCGCTCGTCTCTGCCTGGGCGCCCTCAGTCTGCCATTCGTGGCCAATCTCATGGGTCGCGTTCTAGCCCGTCTGGCACGCCTCTCGCCTCTCCTCGCCCGCTTCTTGGGCATGAGAAACGTCGTACCCGCCACATCCATCCTCTCGTCCTTCTACACGACCAAAGCCACGCCCACCTCTTCCGACGCAACGCCGTCTCCCATCGCATCGCTCTTCCGCGGCCAACTGCCGCTGTTCGACCGTCAACCTCCGAGCTACGAGGAGGACACCTTCGCCGACCGCCTCACACTGCTCGGCTCCTCGACGAGGTACGACGACCTCGACCCCGTGTGGTTCCGCAACGCCGTCGGCGCTGGACTGTATATTCTCGTCAAGGATGCGGGGAGTCTGCTCTATCGCTATTTGCGATTGAGTCAGCGGGATAGGACAACGATTAAGGATCTTCCGTTTCAGAGCGGACTCGTGTCAGGTCTCGATCTGCGCGATTGAATCGTACGTAGAGTCTGAATGCATCAAGACCACCTGTCATTGGCCATTCAAGGGAGTATACCACAGTCGTCCAGGTTGGTGTGAGGTGGATGTGTCTGAATGTGTGCTGCAAGGGCGTGATTGGTGTTGGATGCGAAGGGTTGTACAGTCTGCTGAGCCAGCAGAACATGTGCTGACCGGATCTGGGAACCGCCTGACTCTGGTTTGCTCGCTACTTCTTGCCCTTCTTCTTTTTCTTCTTCTTATCTGATGCGGCGGCAGGTGTTGCTGCTCCTACTGGTGCTGCGCCGTTCGCTGATGCTGCTGCTGCGCCTGTCGCCGCTTCCGTCTCCACCGCTGCCAATCCTGCTGCTGCTGATATCACTGCTGGGGTCGGTTCCGGATTCGCATCCAAGAGCGGCGTCTTCGAGCCCGCCATAGCATACGTCATGGCCTTGTTAAAGATCTCCAGCCTGCCCAAGATCGCCGACGACCGCGTGCGGTACTTGAGCGTCGTCGTGTCATCCGTCACCTTGAGCGTCAGGCTGTGCGTCGCTGCGTGCGACTTGATGAGATAGCGCGCACGGGAGGGGTTGGACTGAAAGAGCTTGATGCTGCGTTGCTGGAATTCCGGCCAGTCTTTGATGTATACCATGATGGGCGAGGGTGTGTGCCAGGGGAGAAGGGTGCGAGGTGCGAGTAGGTGACGCTGAGAAGTTGTGTCGCGTTAGAAAGTTTTTGAGCGGAGGCAGTCCGGTGCCAAGTGTCGCGCTGATAGATGGAGAGATGAGAAGTTGATGCTGTAGGATGGTGACGGTGATGCGAAGAATGATGTAAAGGTCAATGCGAAGGATGGACGTGGTCGTCTGAGAACAAGCGAAAGCTCTGCGCCGTCACGTGTGCCTGGCCTAGGCAAATATTGGCATTGTGCGAAGGTGCGCTTCCTAACAAAGTTGAAAAATTCGAGGCGAGTGAAGCCTGGTTGAAAGCTGCCAAAAAGCGGAGGAAGCAGTCGCTCTTCCAACGTCACTGCATCCTTGGCGAGTCAGCTTCATATCTTGATCCGATAGCGTCCGTACATCCATCTCTACCATCTCTTCTCCTTGGTTCCTTGCCTCGTGGACAACAACTCGAACGCACCTCCCTACCCAGCCGACTAGGTCGTAAACCGCCAAAGATGAGCACCACTTCCTCTTCGTCGTCCACCATCTCGGAAGCGGCCTCCAAAACCTACAGTGCGATCAAAGATGTTGCGCCTGGCCCGCGCAAGGCGGCATCCACACCGACGCAAACCGCGCAGCGCAAGGACAAGCCGCTCTACTCGCTCATAGCCGGTACCACCGCGGGTGCCGTTGAGGGCTTCACCACCTACCCGATCGAGTACACCAAGACCGTCTCCCAGTTTGCCGCGAAAGCCGGCGAGAAGGCTCCTGGGCCCATCACCATCGTCCGCAACACCATCGCCAAGGATGGCTTTATCGGTCTCTACAGCGGCTGCGGAGCGTTGGTGACGGGCAACGCAATCAAGGCTGGTGTACGTTTCCTAAGCTACGACCACTTTAAGAGCATGTTGAAGGACGAGAATGGCAAACTTTCGGGTCCACGATCGCTGCTGGCCGGATTGGGAGCGGGGATGATGGAGGCCATCTTTGCAGTGACCCCGTCGGAAACGATCAAGACCAAGCTCATCGATGATGGCAAGCGTGCCGTGCCCAAGTATCCACGTGGGTTGTTCCCGGGCACAGCGGCTATTGTAGCCGAAGAAGGGATCAGGGGCATCTACCGCGGTCTGTTCCCCGTCATGCTCCGTCAAGGCGCAAACTCCGCCGTGCGTTTCGGAACGTATTCGACACTCAAGAACTTTGTCTCTGGCAGCGCACGACCGGGACAGTCTCTTCCAGGTGGAATCACGTTCGGCATCGGCGCCGTGGCGGGGATTGTGACGGTGTACGCAACCATGCCGTTGGACGTCATCAAGACCCGCATGCAGACCCTCGAGGCTCGAACGAAGTACACAAACACGTTCAACTGCGCCGCGGTGACGCTGCGCGAAGAGGGCGTGCTGGCGTTCTGGCGCGGCGCCACACCGAGATTGGCGAGGTTGGTGCTGTCGGGTGGGATTGTCTTTACGGTGTACGAGGAGATTATGAGCGTGCTGGGCGCTAAGACGATGTAAAGGCGGAGAGCGAGCACGGGTGGCTCGAGGGTGGAGGGACGGTGGGCAGACATGCCCTGGACCGGGAGCGCAAGAGCGGATAACAAGGTGACCTCAAGCATCTGCATATCTGCAAGCAAGTGCGCAAGGAGAAGCTGACCGCTTCCGCACCCGCATCGCTCGAAGCATAAGCGGACGAGCACGCTCCCGCACCTACATCACATTCACACCATTCGGCAGCTCGTGGACCCGAAGCCCGCTCATACAGTCGGGCACGCACACTCAACAGCCACTCATCCACATACACACACGCACGCACGCAATCAACCACCATCGAATCGCAGTCAAAAAAGAGTCTCTGTTCAGACGAAACCGGCAGAGAGACACGGAGACAAGAAAGTATCATAGTACAGAAGTGTGGGGTTCGATGCGGGGCGACTAGAAAGGTAGTCACGACAAGGTTCATCCGACACGACGAATTTGAGAGAGGGCGGAGCGGGATACAGAAGAGCCAGGGGATATCGAACAAGGAGACGATGATGCGATCATCGACGCTTGTTGTAGGCGGCCTTCTCAGCCTCGGCACGGGCCTTGTCGCGGGTGGCCATGTCGTTGTAAGGCTTCTTCTCGGCCTCGGACATCTCCTTCCACTTGGCGCCGAGGAGACGGCCGACGTCACCGAAACCAGCCTCGGGGTTGGCCTGCTTGACGCGCTCGCGGTGGTCCTGGGAGAAGAACATGTAGGCCGAGAGAGGTCGCTTGGGGGCAGCGGGGTCCTTCTTGGACTTGGTGGCGCGCTTCTGCGTCGAGGTCGACGACTTGGTCTTGGTGTCTGCCTTGGCCATCTTGACTGTGGGGGGTGCGGATGGGTGCGGAGATGACGAGAGGAGGGTCGTATGAGAGTATGAGTCGTCGGTGAAGAAGCAGGTTGAGAGTGAATTTGCCGAGGCGAGCGAGATTGCGAGAGTGGTGGGTAGAGAAAGGTGTGAGGGTGAAGAAGATGTCAGCGTACGGTCTCTACGATTGTGCGGGACGGGCGACAGACGATAGCGGGGTCGGTGTTGATGTCAAGAAGAAATGGAATTTCCCGAGCTGCAGACACGAGACGCGTCAAGCGTGTAGTCGTGCCAGTGCAGCCACCGTCGATATCAACACCTTGCCATGATGGAGGTGTCATGCCTTCTCGACGCTGATGGTGACGAGCACAATAGCGTCGATGAACGACCAGCACATCGATCTGATGGTTTCGGCATGCTCTATCAGCCCGGACAGGCCATAGAGCCCGTTGACGCGCTTAGACTAGCACGAAGGGTCACTCGACACCGCCTAGCTGGATCGCGAGCAAGCGGATGGATGGCTGAATGTCACCATTGCAGGCGTGATCGCGACCAGATCGTGGCATACGATGGCGTTGGAAGAGATTGGCATTGTTGTGTCACCACCGACGAGGGCAATGAAGGGCATGATCACGTCTCGACGCGTCGTTCTGAGGGGGCTGCAGCGTGGGTAGGGCCCAGATTGAAATATGCTCACCTGTATGAGTGGATGTGTGTGTGTGGTGGGCGAGAGAGTTGGCGGAGAGACGATTTGGCGGGGGGTTTTGAGTGAGCCCAGCCAAACCCAGCCAAGCCCCTGCCAAATCGAGTTGAGCGACTCTCGCTGGAGCCAGCGAGTGTTTTTTTGCGGCAGCACACCAGTCAAATTTGGAAAGCTCGAAATAATTGCGTGCCAGGCGCGTGGTTTGACTGGTGAGCTGCCTGTGAGCTCGACTCACCGACGCTCTCGCGCCTTTGCCAGACCGACTCCAGACAGACGCTCAGCCAGCCCGCTTGGAAGCGCGCTTCCGTAGCCCGTCTCAACTCAGTCTCTCTGTTGCGCTTCTGCTCATGACGAACAAAGGCCAGAAGACGGTCTCTTCTAGCCTGGTCGGCTTCAGCTCTAGCGCTACCTGACGGTTCCTGCTGTGCGTGCGATTGGGAATCGTCTAAGAAGCTTGAGGAGGTCGACACAGGACAAGTGGTCCCGACAGAGCCTGGTGAGCAAAGCTTCCTACGGCCCCCCTGCCGACTACACATAAGCCTCTCCTAGATCCTGACAGCGCAGGTCACGATGCACGTTCGCGACCGTCGCGGTGCAGAGCTGCAGCTGCAAAGATGAATGCAAGAGGACCCTGAACGGTCGAGCCTCAAGCTTGGCTTACTCTTCATTGTTCTTGTACTCCTCTGCGCTTTTGCTTCACTCCCAGCATAATCAAACGCCTTGTCGAGAGACTTTGAGAGCTCTCAGACGTCACGAAGAGCTTCCGTGGTGAGGTTGGAAGGCTCACGTTCGAAGGAAGGGTGGCTGCTCATTGAATATGGCACTTGGTCCGTGCAACCCTACCTTTTGATCCGTTGCCGCTTGCGGTACGGGGTTTTGAGCGTGTGCCCGCCTTTTTCTGGCGGCACGAATCTCGCATTTCGATAACAGTCTCGGTCTAACATTTCGAGGCATCGACGCTGCAAGGCCTGTGCGAGGACCCCTAAGTGACGCCGGCGGTTCGGTGTCATAGCGCATCATTCAGGCGATGCGGCTGACCATGCAGGCGAGGCGCTGCAGAAGATTAAGCTTGGCAGATCGCAATCTGATCTGTACGCTACCACCATCTCGATCTGCCGACAAGTACATCAAGCAACGATCATGTCGTCAGCTCAATCGGAAGACCAAGCCCAGGATCACGAGGCGATGGCCTCGGCGCTCGAACACCTCGTATCCTCGGGTCCACTGCACGAGACGGACGAGCAGCTTCAGTCGGGCACTTCAGAGCATACGGCCGTGACGCCAGGTCCGATATCCGTGCAAAAGCATTCAAAGTGGTGGGGTCGTTTCTTCCCCGACCGCTTCGAGTCGACGATGGACAAGCTGTTCGCCAGCCACCACATGGGCAACTATGTGGCCATCCGGGGTCAGCCAGAAAAGAAGATCTTCGAGAGCATGCCCATTTACGTTCGCGTCGGCATGCATCTACTCTTCTTCAAGAGCAAGGAGCAGTCCTTCTTACGATACAAGTCAGTCGAAGACCTGCTCAAGACCGTGTCCATCCGTCAGGGCAAGGTGTACGACGATGAATCGAATCCGCAGGCCGTGCTAGAGCACATTCAGAGCTTTATCAGGACCTATTCGATCAACTTGGACGAGCTGCAGCAACCCGACCCTTCTCAGTACCCAAACTTCAACTCGTTCTTCTTCCGCAAGCTCAAGCCGGGTGCGAGACCCATCGCCGAGCCAGAGAATGCGTCGGTCGTGTCTTCGTGCGCCGACTGCCGATTGACCGTGTTCAGCGATGTAGCCGAGGCGACCAAGTTCTGGATCAAGGGCGAGGGCTTCACGCTGGACAGGCTCATTGGCGACACCAACCTCGCCGACCGTTGCTTTCCCCCCGGCAGCTCGATCGCCATTTTCCGCCTGGCTCCGGCTGATTACCATCGCTTCCACCACTCTGTCGGACCGGCAGTGTGCGGGCCGACAAGACACATTCCGGGCGAATACTTTACGGTGAATGTGAGTGTTGGCAGCGTACAAGACAGGTGACGAGGAACCGTCCTACTGACATGCCACCCGATCTCAAATTTTGCTATCATTTTGGTGCCACCTTTTTGCTGCCCGAATTTCTCGACTCTCGAACATACTTTGACCGACCGCCGTGTCCATGCTCGCCTCCGACACGTGGCTCAAACACCTGCAGCCGCAAGCTGTCAACGCCGACTTTGATGTTTTCTCCGAGAACCGCAGGGATGTGCTGACGATGAACTGGAACCCAAAGGGAGACGGCGGTCCTTCGATCCCCGTTGCATTCGTTGCCATTGGTGCCATGCTAGTCGGCTCGATCGGCTGGACCAACGCTACACAGGGCTCGAGCATCCAGCGAGGCGACGAGTGCGGCTACTATGCATATGGCGGCTCGACGAACATCCTGGTGTTCCCACCCGAGGCCAAGATCCAATGGGACCAGGATCTGCTCGACAACTCACGCAAAGAGATCGAGACCATGGTGCGTGTCGGTGACCGCATCGGCATTTCCAACGCTTGATCGAGTCCTTCCACTTCTCGCCCGCAGCTCGGCCAAGGGGCATGCACGCTGTATATACCATGGCATTTGTTGGAACCTTCTCAAGGAAGACCTTGACTGTGGTCTGTCCTCTGTCAAAGACATTCAAATGAGTTGATGGGAGGGAGGTCCACCATTTGACCGACGCGCAAATGGACGCGTCTGCGACCGGGGTCTTCTGGATCCCGCACCCTGTGTGACTGAATAAGAAGAAGAGCAGATTTCGACAAAAGAGCTCTAACTGAGAAAGGGGAATTTCTGACGCCCAAATGCGTGCGTCTCTGCATCTGCGGTCAAACCCCCACGGCTGAGCCCTTTTTGGAAGCCCACCTCACAAGACCCTGATGCGTGTGGCACAATCATTCTCATCAGCATCTCCATCCAGTCAGTCAGTCCCTTACTCCGCCACATCTTCTTCGATCGCACCAGCCATATCCGTCCAGGTTTGCCGATTCAGACCACATCAGATCGCTCACAGATCATTGCAAGGCCCTTCAGCTGCGCAACGACTTCACACTACCTGCAACCGCCACCATTTCCGTCTCACGCTTCAGTCAAGCATCCCAGAGATTAGCTCGACATGCGGTGACATCAAGCCCACGAGCGGCCGAGGCCGTAGCAGCAGTGAATCAGCTCCCCCGCCAAGAGATATGCTGTGCTGCAGGTCCGTCTCGGCTTCCCCACATATCCACACGGCGAGCTCACTCGAGCTCACAATCTGGCAGTGCTTTCGGGGAAACGGGCAAACCAGCACACAAAGGAGAGACTACCGATAAGGACCTCGCATCATCCAAGAAGAGCGCAACCCGGAGATCATTCAGCTCGACCCGTATCCGAGAGAAGACCTCACCGCGCTCTTATCGAAACACCGATCTCAATGTCGACGCAGGGAAAAGCACACAACCACAATGGTGGAACACTTCATCCGCAAGCTCAAGTCAGAATTTGGATCAATCCCTGGATGCTTTGGATCGCCAGCTAGCCGCTGCATCATGGCCATTCGGCCCTTCTCGACCTCAGGACCTCTACAGAGACGCCTACGTGGCCCATCCGGACCGCTTCGATTGGAGGAAGCGATGCGGAGAGATAGCACAAGCTGTCAGCCGCCAAGCCGCTCCTTCTCCGCGTTTGCAACGCAGGCGTGCTTCAGCATCCATGGTGTCGGGTCAGGAGAGCAAGATCGCAGCAAAGTCTCGACGGACGGCGGAACGAAAGATGGACGATCGATCGCAGCGCATCAGCAGAGAAAAGGCGGCGCAACTCCTCTTACGGAACGCCGAGCGCGAGCCCATTCGTCAAGAGGCAAAGCTATATCGCGACAGATGGACTGGACTGCTCAACTACGAACGCACGCAGGAGCTTGCTGCCATCGCAGAGAGGCGCAAAGCACCCATCGACAAGCTCGTCGAGGAGGGTATCGCAATCGATGGGCTGCAGGCGTATTGGCAGGACGACAGCAAGCGTCATTTTGGCAAGCGAGTCGCCGTCTTCAAGCTCGATGCTGCCGAGCCACTGCCGCGTACGTTGTTCCGCGCCGGAGACAAGGTCACCATCATGCCTTCGACGGCTTCTTCCATGACCAGCATGGACCCCGCATCGCTTTTGGAAGATGAGTTTGTGATCGAGGCCGAGGTCGTCGAGCGACAGCGTACGTTCCTGCGTCTCAAGTTCGACGAGAACGACGAAGACGTCGATCTGGTCTCGTGCCCGTCGTGGCGTCTCGATTACGGCTTCAACGATCTCACCTTCGAGCGCATCAAGGCAGCGCTCGAGGCTTTGGAGCATGACGTCGAGCACATCGAGACCCACTACGGCTCTCGGTATCAGTACATCTTGTCCGGCACTCGTTTGAGCGACGTCATCCTCGGCATTGACCCTCCCGTCGACCGCGTCACTCGAGGTGCCTTCTGGGAGGACGCCCGCGTTCAAAGTTGGTACGACCGATTCGCTCGTCAAGACCCCATCGTGATGGACGGCGATCCTCTGCCCGAGCTCAATCGCTCGCAGACGCAGGCAGTAGCCATGATGCTACGAGAGCGCATCTCCCTCATTCAAGGACCTCCTGGTACTGGCAAGACTCGCACCATTGTGACGGCCATCAAGTTGCTCAAGCAGGACTTTAAGGTGCCTCACCCCATCATGCTCGCCGCGCACACCAATGTCGCCGTCGATAATCTGGCGGATGGATGCATCAAAGCAGGCCTCCGTGTTGTTCGCATCGGGCCGTCAGCTCGTGCAAGGGCGGGCATCGATCAGTACACGCTCGACGCCTACTTTTTGCGTCATCCAGCCAAGGCGCGCCTGGATCAAATCAAAAGGCAGCTCGACACTCTCGAGAGGCTCAAAAGCGAATACGAGTTCGGGCGCATGGGCAGCTCCAGCACGAGTACCGCGTCCGAGATTGCAGACCAGCTTGAACAGGGCGAGGCCGCGATCGCGCAGGTCGTAACGCAGAGTTGGGAAGACGTCATGGCCGAGCAAGAAGAGCAGCGCGAAGGTGGCGCTGCCTCGGAAGAGTACGAGGCCATCAAGAAGCAGCTCAATCGCCTCAAGGCCACCTACTACTTCCTCCGTGCCTCCATCCGCGGCGAGATCCTCAACAGTGCCGATGTGATCTGTGGTTCAGCCATCGCAGCTGGCTCGCCGGAGCTCGACATGATCGATCTTCCGGTTGTATTCTTCGACGAAGCATCCATGGCTACGGAACCTGTGTCGCTTGTTCCGCTCATGAAGGGATGTCGACATCTTTCCATCATCGGCGATCACAAGCAGCTTCCTCCTGTGGTGACTAGTGTCGAGGCTAGGCAGGGCGGCCTCTCGCGCAGTCTATTCGAGCGCCTCATCGAGAGCGGCAACAGCATCCCATCGACCATGCTCAACGTGCAATTTCGCATGCACCCGAGCCTGGCGGAGTTCCCGAACAAGACATTCTACGACGGTGCCCTGGAGAACGGCAATGGCACCGAGTCGATCGCCCCAGTCGCCTCGAGCTACTGGCCTCGCAGCCCCGATGCCGACAAGGTAGACGCACAACGTCTCTGCTTCGTCAACCACACAGGTCGCGAGATGAAAGCGGAGAACTCTACCTCGCTCTGCAACGTGTCGGAAGCGCGCATCGTTGTCGACGTCGTCACCGACCTTCTGCGACAGAATTTAGACCTGACCGGGGACGACATTGGCATCGTGACACCGTACGCGGGGCAGCAGATCCTGCTAGAAAAGATGCTGCATAACGAAGCGTCCGATGCACGCAAGCAGGCTGCCGGCATCCTCCAGACCCGGTCTTCCCAGCTTGGCAGCGTCGACATCCACACCGTTGACGGTTTCGAGGGGCGCGAGAAGAAGGTCATCCTCTTTTCGACCGTGCGGACCAACCCTCAAGGCTACGTGGGCTTCCTGGCTGACGGTAGACGACTTAATGTCGCCCTCACTCGAGCTCAAAGCGCACTGTTCCTGATCGGCAACATCGAGACGTTCAAAAAGGCCCAGCTCAGTCAAGCTGCGTACGGGCGGGTGGAGAGTCCGAACCTCGAAGTGCTTCATAGCTACGCTGCTTATCTCGAACAGCGAGGTGCCGTGTTCAATCTTGACAGAGGCGATCTGCACGAGGAGGCGGAGAATGTGGAGGAAGACGAAGTGGTCGACAGCGATGCGGACGTCAGAGGGATTGACCCGGATGCAGCGGATTGGCAGCACATGCTTGCTGAGCGCGACACTGCCTAGTGAAAGGAAGCCCTCGGGTTCAGGATATGTTGCAGGCGAGAGGGATCGATTGTTGCTTTAATTGCGATTGCATTTCAGTCATGACACTTGCGTGTGCCGCAGCGGTGGATGAAGAGTGGTGTTACGTTTGGTCAAAGGCCAAGGCGATTACTTCTTGTCAAGGTTGTTGAGCTGGTTCTCGACCTGCAAGTAGAGGAAAAGAAGGCGGGCGTCAGCTGCCGTACAAAGTGCCTGGCTTCGCCTATTCGAGATCGTTCACTTACGTCGTCAAGGTGCTCGCGCTGCTTCTTGATGGATGCTCGAAGCTTCTCGAGCTTCTCCTTCTCGGCCTGCTGGACGTACTGATTCTCTTGAGCCTGCAATGTATGAGGAAGTGAGAGCAAACAAAAAGATCGTCAGTAACGGCTCAGCGCTGCATGTACTCAGTTAAAGCGTCGTGAACGTACCTGCTCGCGCTTGGACCAGCCCTGGGACGAAGCGGTAGCGCCCGCCTTGTCGGTGGGTCCGTCAGCGTAGCCTCGAGCCGCCATGGCGAAAGTGGGAGCCTTGGTGACGCGGGCGAGCGCAGAAGTCGAGACACGGAGGAGAGACATGTTGCAAAGGCGAAAGGTGTTCCAAATAGAAAGAGATGATGGTGAGTAGCAAAGAGAACGAAGTGTTGATGAAAGGGAGATGTCGCCCATCGGAACCCTGGCTGGAACGCTCGAAGTGGAGCGTTGCGCAGCATGCACTGGCCAACGTCATTCGGCAGCGCAGTACAGCGCCCTCAAGCTGTGGCCTCGAAACCGCACGAAAGCGTGTCCCTCACTGATCGCCCAAGATCGATGTTAAGGCGTGACGGAGCTGCTCGGAACCGCTCTGGAATCGGGCAACTCGTGGCAAGCCTGGGCACACGTTTGGAATTTCCAGAGAAATTCATCGCAGGCTGAGAGCTCTTTCAGAAACCAAGGCAGCAGGTGGCTCTATGAGTTTGCCCACCAGCCGGGAGCCGGATCCGCACCCTCGCCTGCAAGCGCACTTGTTCGTCGTCGTCGTTGTTCGTTGATTGACATCGTACTTTGTTTGCTGCCGTCATCCACCACTCGTCACTCCTGTATATCACATTCAAAATGGTCTTCGCTCAGCTCGTCGCCCGCTCCACCATCGGCGCTGTATGTGTCAACTTCGATTTCAGCAATCGCCGCCACTCGAAACTGCAGCCAATTGGCAACCGTCAACGAAGAAAGCACGACACCAATTAGACCCCTCCAACTGACAAGGACCACCTACGACTTTGCACTTGCTTCTGATGATACAGGTCCGATCCGCCTCGCGAACTCAGGTGCGAGCTCTTTCCAGCTCTGCCGTCGCCTCCAAGGGTACGCATTTGACCAAACTACCAGCAAGCACGTGCATATGGATTCGATCAACTGACCTCGCTTCTTCTCGCCTTGCTGAACGACGACATGGCAATCTGGCATCCACGACTACATCTGAACAGACTTCGTCCAGGAGCTCTACGTCAAGGAGCTCAAGGGCTACAAGGCTCCCCCCAAGGTGAGTTGCAGTCCGCGCACAGGGCACCTGTCGACACACTTTCATCGAACATCGAACATCCTCAACTGACCTTGTCTCATCCATCTCTCCACGTATTATCCTCGATTTTGCAGGCCGCTGACTCTCACAAGGGTCAGGTGCGCGAGTTTGCGACCCCCTCGGCGCCCAAGGCCCCCGCTGTGCCCTCGTCGTCGGAGCTCTCTTCGCAGCTCGAGGCCTACTCCTCGTCCGAACCCGACCACGCCGAGGCCCCCGCTTCGTCTTCGTCGGAAGGCGCGCTGACCGAGGGTGGCGATGTCAACGCCTACCTGCGCGAGGCTGCTGCCGACGTCAAGGTCGAGGCTCACCACTAAACGTGGCGTTGCAAAACACACGTAAACCTCACTAGGACCTTGTTGCTTCGCTCAATACAAGGTACACGTTTCTAGACTGAACTGGTCACGCCGCGCTGCTGCTTGTGTGTTCTTCCTGGTGCTCGGCAATCACTAAGTGGTCCAGCATGCATCAATGATCGTCCGACCTGAGATGCATGTGGGGCTCGGTCGATTGAGCAAGAGGGTCCAAAGGTGTCCATCACTCTTCTTCCTGAGCGATTGGGCGTGGCGAGGAGCAAGAGGTCTCACCCGCACGGTAATTTGCCCGACTTCCCTTTGTGGGCAGCAGCAGGCAGCACACGACCTAAGAAGAAAAAATGACTCGGCTCAACTGCGCCGCGTCTTTTGGTTGGTCTCTCTCACAAGTCCAATTTCTTCCTGAGACTCTCTCTGCTCAGCACAAGTCAGCCTTGCGGACGACTCAGTTTCTTTTTCTTCGCGCTTAGCGGGCATCAAGAGAGCGTGCGAGCCCGTCACACATCGTCTCCGCAGTCAATCCTTCTTCTTGCTCACCACAAGACCTCTACCATCTCTGACGTTCTCTTTCGACCAAGCAGCAGAAGCTCGGAGCATATACAGCATCCGACACTCGTAGCGCTAGGAGTTCTCGACCGGTTCTTGTTCTTCTGCATCTCGTCCTTGCAAGTCTCGACTCGACATATAGCAGCAGCATCGAGCATCGAAGCAGGACTTCAGACACACACCCACCAGCCGTATCGTTTCGCAGTCCAGCACCCCCTCGCACAACACCTCTCCCAAAATGGCAGCAGCAGTCGCCTCGAACGGCGACGTGGCCCAGCTCACAAAAGACATGCAAAAAGTGGCGATCGACTACGACAACCTCAACCCGCTCAGCCCCGAGGTCATTGCCAAGCAGGCGACGATCAACATCGGCACCATCGGCCACGTAGCCCACGGTAAATCCACCGTCGTAAAGGCCATCTCGGGTGTGCAGACCGTTCGATTCAAGAACGAGCTGGTGCGCAACATTACCATCAAGCTCGGTTACGCCAATGCCAAGATCTACAAGTGCGAGCGCGACGAGTGCCCGCGGCCACAGTGCTACAAGTCGTATCCGTCGGACAAGGAGGCGCACCCGGAGTGCGAGGTGTCGGGTTGTGGGGGGAAGATGAAGCTTCTGCGTCACGTTTCGTTCGTCGATTGCCCGGGACACGACATTCTCATGGCGACCATGTTGAACGGTGCTGCGGTGATGGACGCCGCGCTGTTGCTGATTGCGGGCAACGAATCGTGTCCTCAACCGCAGACCTCGGAGCATTTGGCTGCTGTCGAGATCATGAAGCTCCAGCACATCATCATTCTGCAAAACAAGGTCGACTTGATTCGCGAACAGGCGGCAGAGGAACACTGGAAGTCGATCATCAACTTTGTCAAGGGTACCGTCGCCGATGGCGCGCCCATCGTCCCCATCTCCGCCCAGCTCAAGTACAACATCGATGCGGTGAACGAGTACATTGTCAAGCGCGTCCCCGTGCCCGTGCGCGATTTCACCTCGCCACCACGCCTCATCGTCATCCGTTCGTTCGACGTCAACAAGCCGGGTGCCGAAGTGGACGAGCTGCGCGGTGGTGTTGCTGGAGGCTCGATCCTGTCCGGTGTGCTCAAGATCGGACAGGAGATCGAGGTTCGCCCGGGTATCGTGACCAAGGACAACGAGGGTAAGATCCACTGCAAGCCCATCTTCTCCCGTGTCGAATCGCTGCTCGCCGAGCACAACGATCTCGACTTTGCCGTCCCCGGTGGTCTCATCGGTGTCGGCACCAAGATCGACCCCACCCTCTGCCGTGCCGATCGTCTCGTCGGCCAGGTCCTCGGCGCAGTCGGTCAACTGCCCGCTATCTACACCGAGCTCGAGATCAACTACTTCCTCCTCCGTCGCCTCCTCGGCGTCAAGAGCGACGACAAGAAGCAGACCAAAGTCCAAAAACTCGCCAAGAACGAGGTGCTCATGGTCAACATCGGTTCCACCTCCACCGGTGGACGCGTGATGAGCGTCAAAGCGGATCTGGCCAAGATCTTTTTGACCAGCCCAGCCTGTACCGAGGTGGGCGAGAAGATCGCCTTGAGCAGGAGGATCGACAAGCACTGGCGTCTGGTCGGTTGGGGTACCGTTAGGAGGGGGACTACGTTGGAGCCTGAGAGCAACTAGGGCGATATCTCGCGCTTTTACGGCATTGTATGATTGAAAAACAACATCACCTTTGATCTGAACTTGAACGATCGTGGCGTGTTGAGTGGATGGATTGAGTTGTGCTGGGTCCGGCTGGACGGATGGGATCTGCATGGGTGAGTGGATGCGCTCGCATAGTCACGAGAAGATCGGTGTCGTGTGACTGTGTACTCAAAAGGCTTGACAGACGAGCACAGACGGTCCGACGGAGGATCGTGACTTTTTCCATTGCAGCATGCGCCAGCCAAAACAGTTGCACCCTGCTGCTCCTCCTTTCCTCTCATGCTACCCGTGCCCATCCTCTGCATAGTAACCCTCCCGATCTAGGGCGAAGCAATGAACTTCCCCGCAACGCACTGTCGTACCACCTCCTCGATCCTTGTCCCCTCGCCGATACTCACCACCCCCAATCCGCTCACCGTCTTGCCCAGCACCTTCCACCGCAAATGCACCGCACTGGGCACGGTCTGTCCACCCTCAATCTGACATCTCGCCAACAACTTTCGCGTATCGCCCTCGGACCCCGCGAGGGGGAGAGTCTCGTTGATCTTCCAAAACAAACTCTTGGTTTCGGCGACGTAGGTCGCGGTGGGTTTGCTCATAATGTTGCTGACGGTGGAGGGTTGGAGTTGGACGGCGAATTGGAGGTCCTGCACCACGGCGGGGGGTTCGGTTGACGATGAGAGGCGAGAGGTGGTGTTGGGCGTGTAGGTGAGGAGGAACGACGTTTGGTGTGGTTCACATCGCCATTGGGCGTGCAGTTGGACGGGAACGTACTCGTTCTTGCGCGAATCCGAGATGTGCAGTTGGTATTTGAGCACCACCGCCTGACCCCCATTGCCCGTTGGGACGGTACCTTGCTCGAGCAAGGCTTTGGTGTCCAAGAGATACTCCCCCGCAGCGTTCGCTACCGGAGTCAGGAACGCCGGGTTCGGCGCTGCCTTTTCCAACTGCTCAAACGACTCGATGCGGATATGCATCTTCCCCCCCGCACCAGCAGCAGCGGCCGGAGTGACGGCAATCGAAAGCTCACCCACCACCATCACCTTGGAGATCTCCCGCCCGACAAAGATCGCGTTGACCCGCTCAGAGAGGCTCGCCTTGACGGGCGACGTGGTGGCGCTGTTCTCAAAGGGGTTCGACGAGGAGGCGACCGAGGCGATGGATTGCGTTCGGTGCGCACCGACGCCTGCGGTGCCGGTGAAGGTGCTCTGCGGGGCGAAGGGCGAAGGGGATACAGGCGCGCTGGCTTGCGGAGATGCGGTGAGCGTGCCGAACTGGCTCAGGCGATTCTCGTCTCCCCCTGATGCCCCGACGGCGCCGAAGGCCGGGTTGTATGTTGTGTTGCGCACGTCGCGGCGATCGCGTCGTGTGGTGCCGCGACGGGTGGGTGGACCGCTCGTGAGCAGAGTCGACTTCATGCGCTCAAGTGCGGCCTTGTCCTTGGACGCGTCCTCGGTGATGGGTTGGCTGGCGATGTTCATGCTGCTGACGCGGTTGTTGAGCGTGCTGTCGAAGGTGTCGCGCGAGTCTTCGTCGTCGTCCATGAGGGAGGAGCCGGCAGCTGCAGGGCTGGTGGCTGCACCGGGGATAGCAGCGGTCTCCCACGGCTTGCGGTCGGGTGGTGGGATGGAGTAGCCTTCCGAGTCGACGAGCGGCGCAGCAGTGTCGGAGCCGGTAGCGCCAGCAGCTGAGGCGGAGGGTGTGGTTCTCTTTGAGGGTGCTGATGATGGTACCATGGGCGCCATCAGTCCTCCACCTGATCCTGGAGCCATCGAGTCCATCGAATCGTCGCCTGGTGCGAGACCTGCAGCGTTGCGTGACGACGAGCTGGCTCCACCTGGCGCTGCCGAGTTCTGTCGCAATGTTCCGCTGCGGTTCATGGACGAGAAGGAGGAATCGGCGGGCTCGTCCGGCAAACCACCGTACACGGTCTGGGTGTTGGCAGAATCCTTGTTGGCGCGTCCACGGCCGAATCGGCTAAAGGCGTTCTTCAAGGTGGATCCGGTTGACTTGCTGGGTGTGCCGTCCTGTGTACGGTCGGCCGAGTGGATCGAGGCGGAAGAGGCGCCGAACTCGCCGAGACCGGCACCGTTGGACCTGCCTCGTGAGGAGCTGTCGGCGCCCGTGCGGCTGCTGATGCTGCGGCCTGCGACCGAGGACTGGCGATTGAGACTCGTCGGGGCAGCAGGACGTGGAGCTGCCAACCTTCCATTGCGAGCGGCAGAAGAAGACGTGCCGCCGACAGTGCCGTTCTTGAGGATAAAGTCCTGCATGTCGGCTTGGGTATCAAAGGTGAGGCATTCCTGCATGGTCTTTTCGGAGCTCGACATGATGCGCTGAGCAGCATCGCTCTGTGCGGTCTCGAACTTAGCAACGGTCTCTTTGAGCAGCTCGAGTCGTTGCGCGTCGATGCGCTGGTACGCTTCAAATGCGAAGGGTGCTTCTGTCTCCCAGATCTCCATGGTCTGCGATATGGAGCGCTCGGTCTCTTGCACCTTTGCATTAGCCTGGGATGCCTTCTTGGAGGAAGCGCCTTCGAGCTTCTTCTGGTCTTTCTGCAGCTGCGATTCGAGCGAGTTGAGCTCTCGCAGAGTGTTGGCGAGCGAGTCGTCGTGATCCTTGATGCGACCCCATTCGCCTTTCGAGCTTGCATTTCGGATGGGACCCTCGCAGTCTTCGGCGATGCGCTTCTCCAACTCGCCGTGGGCACTGGCTACTTCCGCAAGCTCCTGAACAAGTCGCTCGTAGACAGGTGCATAGCCGGGAGGGATGGAAGAGGGATCCGAGAGAAAGGTGCGTTTGGAGATCTTTTGAAGTTGCTTGAGGTAGGCTTCCTCCAATTCGCGACGGGCAGCAAAGTAGTCTGCGAGCTCCTCGTTGAAGAGCTTTGCTTTGCGAAGGCGCTGCTGTACGAGATTGGTCGTGTCGCGCGGCTTGCCAGAGATAAAGGCGTTGGCGTAGGCGTTTGGCGCAAAGGCTGCGCCTGGATTGGGTTCAGCCATGTGGGTGTGTAGCGTCGACGCTGGGCTGTCACGGTTTCAATGCAGAGAGAAGCGTGGTCGCTGCACACCAATGATGGCTGGAGTGAGACGGCTGCGACTGCTGTGGTGGGTATATGATGAGAGTGCTTCGACGAGAGCGAGATGGTGTCTGAGAATAGACGATGGATGATCTGCTTACTGCTCCTCAAATTGGAGGTCCATGCGTGCCGCCCCGGCCCGATCTGGCAGCTTGATTCCCCACGAAACTCACGCCTGAGGTGGAGTTGAGTGCGCCTACGCACGAGAAAAGGAGCCCCCCGCGTCGGCTTATTGTTTGAAAGATTGACGGCAGGCAGAATGCATCCATCGCGCAGCCTTCGATCGTCGGATCTATTTGTTTGGTGGCATTTCTAGGAAAAGGAAAAATGGTCGAGGCATCTAAGCAGTTGTTGCTGGAAAATCCAATTCTTTGTTTTCGGACAAAAGGCACGGTGACGGCATTTTTCTGCTCTGGGCGATTCCAGCCAACCGAGCGTTCGAGGATCGACAAATCTGATTCTTGCTTTCCGCTTGCTGTCTGTTGTTGTTGTTCTTCTTCGACAGCTGTCTGTCTCTTGGGCCGAAGACGAATTGTTGTGATGGTTTCGACCTATTGATGCTGGCATCGAAGCCAGTCTGAGTTCAGTTGGCGTTGAAAGAAGAGGCCGGAATGGTTGCTTTAGAGGCGAGGTTCGACAAGGCACGTTACCACTCCCTTGTCGACTCGCTTGTCTACCGCTGATGAAAACCCTGGAGCGCTTCTTCTCGAGAACCCTGAATCGAGCCCCGTCCTCGGCTGTGGAACTGTTGCTCTCTGGAGCCGACTTGCACAAGCTGCAACCGTGAATCAACTCTGCAGTCCGCGACCTTTTTACTCAAACAGATTCGAGGGTGGCGTGCGTCGGCCCTGCTCGTCTCCGAGAGTGAGCCATGTCGATCCCATCTCCAGCCCGGTTGTCTTTGCATCGACGCGATACTGATCCGGACCCCGTCTCACCACAAGCACGCTGAACCCTGACGCTGGTCTCGCCTCGGACTCGTATCGTTCCTGTTGAGCTTCTCTTAGCTCAATCAAGCTCGCGTAGCCTCAACGAGGCAACGACGACGTGTGTTGACACTCTCAATGAATGAAAGAATGCTCGCCAACCTCGGCCTGACCGACACGACGATGGCTCTTGAGCCAAGAGCCAAGAAAGGCTGGCTGAGAGCCTTCAAGATAATAATTAAAAAAACGCAGCGGCTGCTGCTGTGGGCGGTACAGGGAGCAGGGCTTCGCCAATTTCGAGTAAGCAATTCGAAAGCTGACCGCGTCAGTGCACGCTCGGTCTCTGTCTCTTGATGCGGCTCTGCTCTGCCAGACAGGCTCAGCAAAAAGGCTGTGTGAGCCTGGCAGCGGTGCATTTTCCCTCTTGGGCCGTTCGGCTCAAGTGTCGTCCTCTGCCATCTCACCGCTGCTCGCTTGCCCAGCTCTCGACCCTGGAGTCTCGCAGACAAACACACAGACGCACCCTCTCGCATCCTCGCATCCATCCCTCCCATCCCTCAGCCAGCCAGCCACCTCCAACTCACCGCGTCGCCTTTTCGCCTTCGCCTCCACCACCACAACCATCCGCCCGCCCACCTTCAACGTCTGCCTTAGTCGAGACTTTCCCATACGATCCTTCTAGGTCCCTCAAACTTGAACCCGGACCTGTCACGATCCTCCTCCACTCAAGCACGTCCGTCTGCAAGACTGCTCGACTTTTGATCGCTTCACAACGGCATCCGTGATTCGCAATCTGGTGCTCCTCAACGTCGACTCTTGATCCACGTTCATTCTGTTACGACTGTCTCGCATCGTCACCATCGTAGCATCCTCCTTTCTTCTGCTCAACGGACCTGAAATCAGCGCAGCAGCCTGATCAAGCAACAGCCGCATCACCGCGTCCTCGAAACGTGCATCTAAGCCCAACCGTTCCAGTTGAACAATTCTCACCGAACTCTCACACAAGATGGCCGACTTTGTCAAGCTTTCCATCTTTGGTACCGTCTTCGAGGTCACCACCCGATATGTCGACTTGCAACCCGTCGGCATGGGTGCTTTCGGTCTCGTCTGTTCCGCAAACGACCAGCTCACCAGCACCTCCGTCGCCATCAAGAAGATCATGAAGCCCTTCTCCACACCCGTTCTCTCCAAGCGTACCTACCGAGAGCTCAAGCTCCTCAAGCACATCCGTCACGAGAACGTGCGTATTCGCCGCTCAGCGCCCCAGCTTGATGTCTGAGCTCAAAGCGAGCTTGGTCCAAACCCAAGAGGTGCAAGAAACATCACTGCTCTGTTTTGCGCCGCATTCTGACACCATTTTTCCTCATCTCATGCGCCTCTTCGCACCCGACAGATCATCAGCCTGAGCGACATCTTCATCTCGCCTCTCGAGGATATGTGAGTCTCAGCCGTGACAGCAGAGCGAGCAGCTGGGTGAGACGGCATTGCCTCGCATGCACAGCTGCTCCGCGAGTCGCTGATTTGCGTCCCTTTACGCTTCTCGCGCAAAGCTGCTGACACGAGTAACCATTTCTTCTTCCTTCACTCGCATTCTACAGCTACTTTGTCACGGAGCTCCTCGGTACCGATCTGCACCGCCTTCTCACTAGCCGACCGCTCGAGAAGCAGTTCATCCAGTACTTCTTGTACCAAATCCTCCGAGGTCTCAAATACGTCCACTCGGCAGGCGTCGTCCACCGTGACTTGAAGCCCAGCAACATCCTCGTCAACGAAAACTGCGATTTGAAGATCTGCGACTTTGGTCTCGCCCGTATTCAGGACCCACAGATGACCGGATACGTCAGCACAAGATACTACCGAGCTCCCGAGATCATGCTCACCTGGCAAAAGTACGACGTGGCCGTCGATGTCTGGAGTGCAGGATGCATCTTTGCCGAGATGCTCGAGGGCAAGCCGCTCTTCCCCGGCAAGGACCACGTCAACCAGTTTTCCATCATCACCGAGCTGCTTGGCACACCACCAGACGAGGTCATCAAGACCATCTGCTCCGAAAACACGCTCCGATTCGTTCAGTCGTTGCCCAAGCGAGAGCGCGTTCCTTTCTCGCAAAAATTCAAGAATGCCGATCCCATGGCATTGGATCTGCTCGAAAAGATGCTCGTCTTTGACCCCAGGACACGAATCAGCGCTGCCGAGGCGCTCGCACATCCCTACCTCGCTCCGTATCACGACCCGACCGACGAGCCCGAGGCGGAGGAGGCATTCGACTGGTCGTTCAATGATGCCGATCTGCCCGTCGACACGTGGAAGGTCATGATGTACTCGGAGATCCTCGACTTCCACAACATTGACAACTCGGGTCAAGAGGCCGAGGGTCCCGTCCCGCCCGTCGCCAACTAAGCAAGCTGAGCTACGCGAATCACAGCGTCTATGAAACCTGATACGCTCGCTCTGCTGCTGCTGCTGCTGCTGCTGCTGCTGCTGCTGCTCCGGTCACCGTACACTCTGCATTTCCTCCTTCCATCTGTCACGTCATTTTGGCTGAGGCTCTGCCGCTTCTGTGTTGCAAGCGGTAAGACCTCCTCGGAGCGGGGCATTCATCCTCTTGTCTCATACACACATTGCCGGGCCTCTCTTCCTTCTTGTTCTGTATCTGGCGTCGTTGTGGTATACATGCAAGCAACGCACGCATTGTCATTGCTGGAATAATCAAGTGCATTCTCTACACGGCAGCGAGCGTCAGTGCTGGTGCAAGGGTTCAAGCACGTCCGGTGCGTTCGAACTGAGCGGAAGAAAGCGAGCCCCGTTCTCGTGAGGTCTGAAGAAGGACAGCCGAGCGTGAGTCGGACGCACCGATTTGATCGTCCGAATGTACAGCGGCGGTCCGGGCGAACACGCCAGGGCGCGCGGTTTTTGACAGTTTCTCTCCACATGCCCGCACGGTTCATGCATTCTCAAGGGTCCATCCCTGCTTGCTTGTCTTGCAGGACCATGCTCTGCTCCATCAGCATCGCTGCTTGACACGGACAATCCTCACGGGAGAGCTCTGCCAGCAGCCATCTGGACCAGGTATCGTCCTGCTTGCACTTCAGCCTACTCCAACGAATCCCTTCCCCTCAAATCGACTAGGCTCCTCCCGGATTCGTTTGCCTCTCGAGGCTCGACATCCTGACGCTCTCGACGTATCAAGCCTCGCTTGTAGAGGTACCTGCTTGCCATGCGCTTCACCACTGCAGCCTTTGCTGGCTACTTGGCCGCTGGACTCGCCTGTCTCCTGCACGTCGTGCATGCTGCACAGGCGCCCTTCTCAATAGACAGACATCCCGGGACAGTCGAGCCTGCAACAGTTGAAAAGCTGGACGCAGCTGCTCGGCCCAAATGGACGCTCCCACGGAGCAGCAACAGCTCCGCCGTCGTCTTCGACAAGTACAGTCTCGCACTAGCTGGGGGTCAACAGCGCCTCTTTGTCCTAGCAGGCGAATTCCATCCCTGGCGTCTGCCCGTGCCTAGCCTATGGCGGGACGTACTGCAGAAGATCCGAGCGGCGGGCTTCAACACCGTCTCGATCTACACGCACTGGGGGCTCATCCAGCCCAGTCCAGACCCCGCGTCCATCAAACTCACTGGCGTCAACGACCTCGACTTCTTCCTCACTCTAGCGAAGGAGGTGGGTCTGTTCGTAATCGTCCGCCCGGGGCCGTACATCAACGCCGAGACGACTGCGGGAGGGATGGCGCCATGGACGGTCAACCTTGACGCCACCTTGCGCACCAATGATACCGCTTGGCACGCCGCCTGGCGACCCTATATCGACGCCATCTCCCAGGTGGTGGTAAAGCATCAGCTGCGTACGCACTCGGGCCGTCTCGAGGGCGGGAGCGTGATCCTCGTTCAGGCGGATAACGAGTACAAGACGGGGCCTGCGGAACGCGCCTACATGCGTCAACTCGTCTCTCGACTCAAGTCCAATGGCATCACCGTGCCCATCACGTACAACGACCCAGGTCGGGACGCCAACTTTGTCGATCTCGTCGACCTCTACGGTCTGGATTCGTATCCTCAACGCTTCGACTGCTCCAACCCGACCACCTGGGTTCCCATCCGTGACGACTATCTCGAATACCACCAGCAGACCAACCCTTCCCAACCGTTCTACATCCCGGAATTTCAGGGTGGGAGTTACGACCCGTACGGCGGGCCAGGATACGAGCAGTGCGCGCAGATGACCAACGCCAGCTGGACACGCATTGCGAATCTGGCCCTCGTCGCACAGCGCGTGACGCTGCTGAGTATCTACATGGTCTACGGCGGCACCAACTGGGGTGGGCTGGCTGAACCGGATGTTTATACGTCGTACGACTATGGTGCGGCGCTGAACGAGCATAGACAGATCACGGACAAGTATACCGAGCTCAAGAGGCAGGGTTACTTTGTGGATGCGTTTGCGGATCTAGCGATGACGGAACAGATCAAGGATAGGACTGGGTTCAATATCTCGCAGGCATGGGATGTGGATAGGAACAAAGAGGTCGATGCGAGGGTGTTCAGAACGACGGTGCTCGAGAACCCGGAGACGCGGAGCAAGTTCTATGTGGTGCGGTACGACAACACGACCGAGTCGAGGAGGGTGAGCTTTGCGCTGGAGATCGAGTCGTTGGGCGAGAGCGTGCTGATCGGAGGGCGGCGCGAAGGTGACAGCAGCGTCAACCACCTTAATGGGAGGGAAAGTCACATCATTCCGGTGGACCAGGCGCTGCCAGGTGGCCTGCTGCTGAGGTTCAGCACCGCCAATGTGTACCGCGTCGTAACGGTCGGCAACAGCGTAGTGATCAGCCTCGACTACGGGCCGGATCAGCTCATCGAGTATTCGCTCCGGGTGCAGATGGAGGGTGATGCCTTTGTGGAGATGCAGATGCTCAACGTTGGGAAGGCCGGAATGCTGCAGACGGTAGAGGGCGGAGAGTGGGAAGAGTTAAAGCGTCTGCATTCGGACATCGGGCCGAATGCTGTAGAGGCACGAGGTACGCTTCCCGTCTCTACCACCGATGATCACCGCTTCGTAACGTACAAGACCGCACTCGGCACCTATGTTGTGATGCATTTCACACCGACCTTCCTCACTCGGCGAGACTTTTCCGCACCCGCAAGGTACATCGGCAGTTCACCTCCCTCGAGTCTACAGCGACCCACACGCCCGAACATCATCAACGACTTCTTCGGCCTCTCCGAGGACAGCGTTGTGATCCTCAACGCGGACCTTCTTCGGAACGCCACCTACTCGACCACCTCCCAGCCTTTGGATACACTCCATCTCTGGGGCTCACTCACCACAGCCTCGAACACCACCGCCATCTTTGCGCTCCCCAACCTCACGCATGTCTACTGGAACGGTCACCGGGTTGACGCGCAAGCGCAGTCCAACGCCGACTGGCTCTACATCCTCCATCTCCCCGGGCCGTCGCCCAGCGCCCTCGCCTGGAGACCGCCTGCAAGTGCAAAGCTCGACTGGCGTTGGCGGGATAGCATCGTTCAAACGTCGCGCGTGTTCCACGACGCCCACTGGGTGGATGCCAACAAAACCACCTCGCCCAACCCCTACACCCGCGATCCCAGCCTCGACACGCAGGGAACCATCCTCTTTGCGTCCGAGTACGGGTATCATGCGAACAACATCGTTTGGCGCGGCCGCTTCGAGGTGGATCCGCGACACGTGCCGACGGATGTCTTTGTCAAGGTCGAAGGTGGACGTAGCAGTGCGTTTAGTGTTTGGCTAAACGATGTGTATCTAGGGAGTGCGGAGGCGGGGCGGGAGGCGAGTGCTGTGGGCGCCACATTCCGTCTCCCCGCATCCAGCTTGAACCAGAACAAGCGAGGGGGGAAGAACGTGCTGGTGGTGCTGCAGGATCATATGGGAATAGAGATGGAAGCCGGTCAACTACCCATCGGTCTGCAACGCCACGGATTGGAAGCGGTGAAGCTACCGCGCGGCATCGTCGGATTCTCCTTCCCCTCCCTCCGCACGACCCATCAACCCGAACCGTCCGTCCGATGGAAGGTCCAGGGCAACCACATGGGCGAGTCCGCACCCGACACAGTGCGCACAAGTCTCAACGAAGGCGGTCTCTACCACGAACTTCAAGGCTGGCATTTGCCTGGCTACAATTCGGACCATTGGCCCACCCTCCCCTCCAATCGCCGCGTGGTGTTCTACCGCACAACTTTCGCCTTCGACGCGCCTCCCGATGCGGATATCGGCGTGAGCTTTGTCTTCCGCAAACTCGAGGGAAGGCGATTTAGGGCGCAGCTCTATGTGAATGGCTGGCAGATGGGTAGGTATGTCAACAATTTGGGCCCTCAAACGGTTTTCCCGGTGCACGATGGGGTGTTGGACTTGAGAGGAGAGAATGTGGTCGGTGTTAGTGTTTGGTGGCTGGATGACGAGGAGGGGGAATGGGATCCGAGGGAGGATTTGGAGATGAGGGTGGATCATGTCATGAGCGGACGGGCGAGAGATGGATATGTGATGCAGGCGGGAGGATGGGAGGAGTTGAGGGGATAGGTGGAGGGGAAAGAGGATGCTTGTTCGCCGCACTGCAATGTCATGCATCCTCGAGAAGGAGAGTCTGGGTTTTCCGGCGTCTGTCGATGTGAGATGCCGCTGTGATACGCCTATGAGCTGTTCAAGAGTATGAGTTGGAGCACATGCCGGTCCATCAGGCATCGGGAGTACAAGTACAAGATGAGGTTTGTATTCGTCGTGGTGAAGAGGATGCGGTACGAGTATGGTCGCTGTCGTGCTGATCTGGTGTACGAACGGTCGATGTCCATACGACGAACGTTCACTCGGTCTGTGCGAAAGGGCTGTTCGACAACACAAAGCAAAATCAAAAGGTCAGTCGTCTCTTCATCTCCATCCCCCAGCTCCTGTCGGTATACATACTTTTCAATGCTCTCAAACCCATCTGCGGGATTGATCACTGTCAACGCCGTACCTCTGAGCACGACCAATCCCAACTTTCTTGTCTTATCTGTGGTGTTTCCCTCTTCGTCTCGCAGACTCTCCGTGACTTCGTCCATAACGAGGTTCATGAGTTGATCGAATCCCTTGAGCGTACCGAACACCTCGCGGCCGCCGGCGAATTTGACGCGGATCTGACGGTCGATGTACTTGGTGAGGTCGAGGATGGCTTCCTTCTTGGGGCGTTCGGTGCGTTCAGAGGGGCCGGAGTGGGAGCTGCCACGAGCGGTGCCTCGAGATGAGGCGCCTCGTCCACCTCCACGACCTCCTCGCTCCGCGCCCCGTGTTGGGGCAGAGCCGCGTCCTCCGCGACCCTATAGTGACGGTGATACGATAGCGAGCGAGAGCGGGCAAGGTTAGATGTGAAGGGAGTGAGAGAGCGAGTCAGTGATGCGGTGCGAGCATGATGTGGGGCGACTTTGGCAGACTTACTCTTTCCGACATGTCTCTAGATTATGCTGCGGCGAGTTGAGTCTGATGCTCTCGACCTTGCTGCTTGCTAACGTCAATCGAATGGCTACAGTGAGGTGTTCTGTCGAGTGTGAGCAGCTGGCCAGTCGAAACGATGCAAGGGAAGGTGTCGAAACCATGCGTCGAAGAGCATGCAAGAGCTGTCAACGAACTCCACAAGGATCTTCGACAGCCGTGCGCTTTTGCTGAAGTCTAGGCTCGTCAGTTATCAGCATTACATAATCAGGACCCTCTCCTCGACGCCGCATGCGAAGCTTCGTATGCCTCCACCGACCTCATCCCCACTCCTTGCTGCCTTCCACACGATCCAGTGAAGCGATACACATGCCGGAACCCACACCAAGAACAGATGCCGCGGAGTTAATCGCCAGCGGCGATGAAACTCCATCATCACCCCTGGAGCTGCTGAAAGCAGTCAAAGAGGTGCAGGAACGCCGGATCGCCGTGTGGCACGAATACGATGATGCCTTCGACACATTCCTCTCGCACGTACCCTCCTCCCCGTCTGACCCTATCAACGGCTCTCAAAACGACGCGCCCTCCGCACCACATGATGCCAACGAGGAAAGCACGGGCCGTTGCGCGGGGTGCAGCACCACCACCGTCCCGCTCTCCGACCGCCTCCTCGCCCAAATTATGCAGATCACCACCCAGGGCCTCATCGAGTGCGGTCACCGCTTGCGGGCGATCCAGACCGAACTCGCCCATTCGAACGCTCCCCAGCTCGCACCCCTCGTCGACGCGATACAGAACAGGGAGAACACCGTGCTGAGGAAGGTCGTCGAGCGCGATCAGCTGAGGAAGACCACGCTCAAGCCGGAGGACGGCCAGGTGGAGAGGGACGAGGACGAGGCAAGGGAAAGGATAAAGGCGCTGGACGAGGAGGTCAAGCTGGTCAGAACCGAAATCGCAGAGTTGATGCAGGAGGTGTATGCTGAGAGTGTCGAGCTGCAGTTGGCCGAGGGGTAGCATGTCTTGCAATGCTGAACACTGAAATATCACTGCAGCTGCTCAGGAACACGGTACGAACGATACTCAGTGGGAGATTGTGCAACAAACGATGAGCAAAGGAAGCAAGAAACCAGTATGAATTGCCTTTCTTTTTGGGTTGTTTTGACACAGAATGCCGGGAGGTGTGGGAAAAAAGTACAAGTATATGCGTGTGTGTGTGTGTGTGTGTGCAGAGCATGCGAAGGATCGTCCTGTGCTCAGCGATGGCTGAAAGGCAGATGTGCCATTGCGAACGTGGGAAGCCAACTCATGATGCGAGTGTATGTGTGATGGGAGATGATGCGGGAGATGTTGAAGTTAGACGGGAGATTTACTCCTCGTCCTCCTCGGCGTCTCCACCGCCGGCAGCCTCAGCGGCGGCACGGGCACGCTTGCGCTTGACACGGCCGGAACGGGCACCGCCGTAGGGCGAGGTGAGGGCAAAGTCAATGTGCTTCTGCGAGTCGAGGCGGACGACGAACGAGGGGACGTTGACGATCTGCTTGCCGACGCGGATGTGGCGCTGGACGATCAGCACACGGGCGTGGTGGATCGACTTGGCGAGACCGGACTTGAACACCTGGGTCTGCAGACGACGCTCCAAAAAGTCCTCGATCTTGAGGGCGAGCACGTAATCGAGACGCATGCGGGTCTCGTCGAGCACACCGATGCGCACCAGACGACGGATGATGGCGTTGCCCTCGAACAGACGCTTGGGGTCCTTCTCGTCGAGCTTGAGCAGCTCACGAGCAGCACGTCGGATCTTGGAGAGCGTAAGGGCAATGCGCCAGATCTCGCGCTTGTTGCGCAGACCGTACTCACCAGCGAGCTTGAGCTCGCTGTCGAGACGGGCCGACTCGAAGGGTCGACGGGGAACCTTGGCGGTCTTGGACTGCTTACGAGGAGCGCGAGGCATTTTGTCTTTGGGAAGAAATAAAGTCAGACGTGAATACAAGGGCGGGCAACAGTGAGGTCAGTATACATTGACCAGGTTGCCTATGTGTGCATGCGAGGGGCGAGGCTCTTGAGATGCCAGGTTGCCTCGATCAAGTCACCCTTGGTGTCGGACTGCAGGAGGAGTATACGATGATGACGAGATGATCCAGCGCTGAAGAGGCAGGGAAAGTTGGTGTGCTAACGTCCTCATCCCAGACAAACGGTGACAGAATCGTGACGGTGCTAGACTAAGCACGTCCTGCCAAGCCGTTCCCGAGGCACAGACTCTTGATGTAGAGCACGAACACGTCCTGCCAGCTGGAGATAGGTGGTGCTAAAGTCGATGGTGATGCAATATGCTGAACGAACAGTCTGTCGAAAGCGCGGTGTACGCTGTGATGGCGATGCGCCGGTCCCGGACGAGTTTGTTCTGCTAGCGGCTCCCTGCAAACAAGGGAAGGATAGCCATTTGACGATCGAAAGATCGGCCTGCCAGAGAATTCTCTGCTCCTGACTGGAAGTCCTGCGATGCTGAATGCGGCGAAAGCAATGAAGTGTTTCTGCTGGGTATATGGGATGTGCATGGGTATTTGATCGAATCTATGCTGCGGTGGTGGGGTCGTTGCGGTTGCTGATGCTATCGTCAAATCGTCATCGTGTCGTGATACTCTTCGTTGAATGCTGTCCTCCTAGCTGCCATTGCGGGCTATGTCGACGATTGGCGTCGGGGTGTGTCTTGGATCGAGGCCGCCATGGGCATATCTCGAGCACACGACCGCAAGCGGTTCGGTGCGACTTACCTTGATGGGTGTGGTGAGGAGCGGTAAGGTAGAAACGACGACGAACGAACTGTCAACTAGACCCAGTCCTGGCTCTCACACAGTCTCGCAGGCCCTGGCTGTCTGCCTGTCTCGAGCCAGCACGGCTTCGAGGGTCTCAGAATGCGAGCCGCTCTCTGATGTCGTGGCCCAGCCAGCCAGCGACTTGCCCGAAGGACTGTCTTCTCGACACCAGGCAGCTAGCTGGTGCGACCGAAATTCTTTCTGAACTGCACGTGACCTGGTATAGCTGCTCATAAATTCGGCCGGGCCGTTTTGTATTCTCGTTAAAATCCTAAACGTTTGAAATGACTGAATCGAAATCTTTAGATTCGGCACTCGCCTGAAACAGCTCGGTGCGAGCCCAGACTTGGTTAGGCAGCAGCAGAGCACAAAGCGCCGATTCTAAGCTTGGGATTGGCAGCAGACGGCGATGTGAGAAGCAGAGACTTAGAATTGGCGGAACTCGTGAGCGCCCAGCGAGGCCAGAAAGGCAGCTGCTGAGCCACAGAGCCATTGGACGGGCTGCAAGTCCACTGTAGCCAGGCAGCGCGAGTTGAGCAAACCGATTCGAGGTGGCCGTCATCATCATCCTTCTCGTCACCATCACCACCTCAAGAGATCATTAACTCACAATGCCTGTAAGTATACCTTGCAAACGTCAGCAACGTCACGTCACATCCTCGCATCGACCAGCGGCATCGACTATACACGCAGCATCTAGGAAGCTATCCATGTGAAGGAAAAGTTGGTAGTTGGGAGGCTCTCAGCAGATGTTCATGGGCATTTGTCGACACAAGCAGGAGAAGCGCTAGCAGTCCGAGAAGCTTCGATGATCTCATCTGGAGCATGGTCAGCCTAAGGCAGAGGAACTAAGGACCTACACAACGGGTATTAGAAGGCGGGACATTCGACGGCATCTCAACAGTTTTGAATACGCAGGCAGCCTCACCAGGACTTCGGAGTAGATGATTGCGATTGTCGGAGCACTTCGACACTTTAGCGGCCTATCCATCATCGCTACCGCTCAACGCTCGTCGCTCACGACCTGAAGGCTCGACCAACAACTGCCAGCCTTCGTGCGGGAAGGTTACGACACTTTGACACATCAACGTCTCGACTGGTGCCTTTAGTCTGCAGCGCTCGGGATCAGCAAAGTTCGAGCGGGTCTAGAACTCCGTGGACTGGCGACGTGGATCAAGTTGGCAAATGCTTCACCTCGGATTGTCAACTTGATCCATTCTACACCTCAATCCGCCATCCTTAGCACCAAGCTACCGACACGCTCCAGCATGTTCAGAGAGACGAAGCCTCGAGATTCTGGTTGGCATGCCGCTGCGACTTCTCGACACCCTCCGACCCCTTGCTGAACGATGCAGGATGGACGTGACTATTTGCATCGCAGACGTTCGACAGCAGCACCCACACGGCACCGTACTGATTCCTTATCCTTCGCAATGCGATCCTTCGACCCCATCGATAGCACTCTTTCGGTTACAGGGCGCGCACTCGCCACCTCTTCGCGAGGAAGTTCCGCCAGCATGGTCCCATCAAGCTGTCGACCTACCTGCGACCTTTCCACGCCGGTGACATTGTCGACATCAAGGCCAACGCTGCCGAGCAGAAGGGTATGCCCCACAAGTACTACCACGGCCGCACCGGTGTCGTTTTCAACGTTGCCCCACGAGCTGTCGGTGTCATCATCTACAAGGTGGTTGGCAACCGATACATCGAGAAGCGTGTTAACGTCCGCATCGAGCACGTCAAGCACTCCAAGTGCCGTGATGACTTCCTGCAGCGTGTCAAGCGCAACGCCGAGCTCAAGAAGGAGGCCAAGGCCAAGGGCGAGCGCGTTCAGCTCAAGCGTCTCCCCACCGCTCCCCGCACCGCCTTCACCCTCTCCATGAAGGGCAACGCCCCCGAGACCCTCGCCCCCCAGGCTTACGACACCTACATCTAATGGTGTTCTCCCATCCCCTGGTCTACGTTTTCTCGGCATTGCATTTCACACTCAGACTCTCTTTGTGATGCTTTCATCACTTGTATTTACCACACCCAAAACCACTGGTCGAAAGATCACCGCCTTGTTCTCCTGATACACCAGGAGACGGGCAACCATGCGAAAGCAAGACATTCTCACGAAAGCATTGTTGTGTGGCCGGTGTCGTGTGTGCATTCAAACATTCTCGATGGCTGTACTTTAAGATTGTTGACGGCAAGCACGGGGGAATCCAAGTCGAAGCCGCATGTGTGATGAGGAGGAGGAGACATGCTGTAGATCGGCCTGCAATTCTATTCCAAATCGGTGATCCGACTTTCGACTCGGAAGGGATCGGTAAGCGCCAAAGTGGAGCTTCAACTCGCTTTCACCGGCAAAGCGAAAGGCATTCCTGTCCGGATCAGGGTTCCCACCTCGTCCTTGCCTGAAAAGGGCCGGTGTGTGTCCGGCGTGAGCAACCCCACACGACAACGGCCAAGCGAGCGAGCAGGCCGGTGTCAAGGTGTGACGTGACTCCTCCCCGGGAAGTGTGTTTGTGAAAAGTGTTGTTCCTCCCCGGGTATATAGCTCGAACTGACAGGTGCAGATCGACGTCGCTTACCCCTGTGACAAGCCGGTGACGAGATCAACCTGCATCTGTCTTGTCGACACACCCTTTTGCTGCTCCAAGTGACATCGAGGACGTACCTTCTCGTCTGGTTTCCCGATCTTGAACGGCACGCCCAACTCAACGCTATTCTTCGGACTTCGACAGCTCGGAACGACCCCTCGACCGCACGAACGATTAGCTTCAACAACGCAGCGTACCGTTGCTGCACATTGCATTCGATCGTGCAGCTCTGCGAACATCTTCGACAACGGCCGGATCGACGATCCTATCGAGAGGCAGACGGAGGAGCATTTCCGAAAAGACGGCAGCGGACCGCATCCAGACCGTCACACGCTCAAATCACTAAAAAGCGCGATTTAACCGGTCACTTCCGAGCGAGTCACTGCCGATCCGAGTTGGGACACACAAGACATTCATCAACCTCTTCAGTCGTGCTTTCTTCTCGCAACGCTCATGTCGTCGCTCGCATCTTCTCACGCATCGTCACGCGCAACGTCAAGCAACCTCACACACGTCCCACGCGCTGCACTCTCACGGCGTTGAGATTCCAAGACCTTTTCTCGATCAAGCAGGCAAAAGCAGCGTCAAATCCTCGACGACATCATAGACACAACCAGTGCTATGCTCACATCACCACTATAGCATCTGCTTCGATCTCACCACAGCCGCTTTCCTCGCAGTCATGGCGGTAGCGACGGACCCAACACGGCCGATGGCCACGCTCACGCGCTCAAGCCAAGCCTCAACATCCGCCTCGACGCTCGAGAGCTTCCTCGATTCAGCGTCTGCGCTCGTCTCGCTTGCCGGCCAAACCACCACACCATGCGACAGGCCGCCAATATTGCGCATGCGCTCCACTGGCCGTCCCTCCGCCGCGACCGACTCTTTGACACCAACAGACCTCGCGCGGGCTAAAGCGTACGAGCAGGTGCACTCTCCATCCTCCAACGACACCTCCAACACCACCTCCTCAACGGACCACTCGCACGGAACCTCGCACGCCTTCCTAATCACCTACTTCGTCGCGGGCGGTGCAGCAGGTGCAACATCCCGCACCGTCGTCTCCCCCCTCGAACGCCTGAAGATCATCATGCAGGTCCAACCGCAATCTTCGGCCAACAAACGCAATCGCGCCTACAACGGCGTCTGGACGGGCCTGGTCAAGATGTGGCAAGAAGAGGGCTTTGCCGGTTTCATGCGAGGCAACGGCATCAACTGTTTGCGTATCGCCCCCTACTCCGCTGTGCAGTTCACCACGTACGAGATGTGCAAGACGTGGTTGCGACCGGAGCATGGCGAATTGGACGTGGTTAGGCGGCTCACGGCGGGGGCTGTGGCTGGTATTGCCAGCGTGGTGAGTACCTATCCGTTGGATTTGGTCAGGAGTAGGATCAGCATTGCTAGTGCCAACATGTACAATGAGGCCAAGAGCGAGGTTGGTGCAACGACGAAGAAGGTTTCGGCAGAACTGCTGAGAGAGCAGATTGCAGCACGACAAAAAGCGGTACCGGGTATTTGGAGCATGACCAAACAGGTGTATCGCGAAGAAGGCGGTGTGAGGGGTCTATACCGTGGTTGTGTTCCAACCAGCGTCGGCGTGGCCCCCTACGTCGCACTCAATTTCTACTTCTACGAGGCGGCGAGGAAACGCATCACTCCGGCAGACGGCGAACCTTCCGCTCTGATGAAGCTCGCCTGTGGCGCCCTAGCAGGCTCCATCTCCCAAACCCTCACATACCCCCTCGACGTGTTGCGACGACGAATGCAGGTCGCAGGCATGAAGGATAGCCAGGAAAAGTTGGGCTACAAGGACAAAAACGCGCTCAACGCGATCCAGAACATTGTCAAGGCCGAAGGCGTTACGGGGCTATACAGGGGATTGTTGCCGAATTTGTTGAAGGTCGCACCGAGTATCGGGACCAGCTTTTTGACCTACGAGGCGGTCAAGGGGTTCTTGGAGGTGCACATGGATGATTTGCATCTTACGAGTGGGGAGGAGACGAACAAGCATTGATGGCTTGTCAAGAACGGGGAAGCGGAAGGAAGCGCTACATATGACGATGAATACACTCATTCACAAGCACGTCCGTCTGTGCGACTGAGCTCAAGCAAGCATTCTCACGGTCTCATCGCAATCGCGGTTGGCAATGTTTCTTTTGCCATTTGCCAAGCGTCGCTGTGTGTCTCCTAACGATCTTGTGCAAAGCTACTAACCCATGGGCCCCTCGTTCTTCAAACTGCTCCTTCCCGCCCTAAGAATCTCATCGACGCTCAACAGGTTGCTCGCAATAACGGCCGAGCTGTGGAGCATATGCCTCTTGACGCGGTAGTTGTCCCAGACGCCCTGGCTGATCGCGTCCATCGGTTCGCCCGTCTGCACGTCCAGTCCCACCACGTTGCCCTCGCTCGCCTCGTCCTGCAGCGCCACCAGGCAGTCCTGCACATCAAACCCAGAGTTGGACGCGAGCGTCTTTGGGATCACCAACAGCGCATCTGCAAACGCTTGGACACCCAACTTGGCCCGGCCCTTCGCAGACTTTTTGATCTCGGTCGTAAGATGGTGTGCAGCCGAAATTTCGAAGGCGCCACCGCCGGCGATGAGCGTTGTGTCCTCGATGGCGTTCTTGACCGAACGCAGGCCGTCGCGCACCGCATCCTGGATCTGCGACATGGTATGCGCATTCGGACCCTTAATGAGAATCGTAACCGACTTGGGATCCTTGCACTCCTCGACAAAGGTGTACTTCTCCTCGCCGAGCGTGTGTTCGTACACCAACCCGGCGTAACCCAGCACGTTCGGGCTGAGGTCGTCGACCGAATTCTGCGCCACACCACCGCAGCACAGCTGCAGGCGCTCCATGTTGCGCCTCTTGGCGCGTCGCAGCGCCAGAATCCCGTTCTTGGCCAAAATGTCCAACGACATAGGATCAATGCCCTTCTGGTTGAAAATGACAAAGTTTTTCTTCTTCTCGTTGCTCCCCTCGGTCGGCGCATCGCACACCGCCTGCTTCAACTCGACAATCTTCTTCAGCTTGGCATCGACAAACCGACGTTCGGACTCGACGAGCTTCTCGCGCTGTTCCGCCGAAGAGTAGAAAAACCCGGAGTTGACCTCGGTCTTTTCGTACTCGAGCGAGACGTTGAGGGTGAGCACGTAGGCGTTTTCGACGCGCTTGGGCATGTCGGCGTGTCGAGCGCCGTGATCGAGCACGAGCCCGCGCACGAGTTGGGTGTCGGTCTCGGTCTTATGCTGCATCTTCATGATTTCGACCATGTGCAGGTCGATGGGGTCTTTGATGTTCCACTCGCTGACGCTCTCGCTGCTGCCGTCGGCGGTAGGGGCGGGCACCTCGACGGTGGAGGTGGTGGCGGGCTTGATGGCGAGCACCGCATCGACAATGTCGGCGGCGAGCTGCGTCGCGAGCTTGGCGTGCAGCTTGGTGGAGAGCGAGGTGGTGGCCACTTTCACCAGGGTAGCACGGTCCATTTCGGGAGACTTTTTAAACTCTTCGAGGAACTTTAGCGCTCCGGTCTTGGCAACATCGAAGCCTTCGCTGATGACACGCGGGTGGACGCCTTCCTGAATGTAGCGCTCGGCCTGCTTGAGCAACTCACCGACCAGCAACACGACAGAGGTGGTGCCATCGCCGCACTGCTCGTCCTGGGCAACGGCGGTTCGCGCGATCATGGCGGCGGTGGGGTTCTGAATCTGCATCTCGGTGAGAAGCACCTTGCCGTCCTTGGTCATCTTGAGATTGCCCGAGCCGTCGACGAGCATCTTGATGGTACCGCGAGGGCCGAGATTGGAGCGCACGACTTGGGCGAGACCGATGGCACCGGCAGTGTTGACCTGCAGCGCCTGCGTCCGACGGACGGACTCGGCTCTTGGGTTGATCAGCTCGATGGCCGACATAGTGTGGTGTGTACGGCCGGACGGCTGTGTGCTAGTGGGTGTTGGATCTTATCGCCTTCCTGACTGTTACTGCCTGATGTGAGAAGTTCGTTGTAGGCCAAGAGGAGGAATCGTTGAAGGGCTGGAAGAAAGGGTGTTCCGCAGAAATGAAGATGTGCGTGCGCGACTGGCTGGTGTTGGTCTTTGCAGGCTGAGCCAGAGACAGAAGCATCGAGTGCGCGGTGTGGTGTTCGAAGCGCGAGGAACCTTTTTTCCACCTTTCTTCTCACACTCAAAATCAGAGGCTAAATCATTCGCACGAGAACATAGCCTCAACTGCAACACTCACTTGGACCCTGACATTCACGCAGTGCAACAACACAACACCATCCGAAGCTCTCATCATAGCCACCATCTATCGCGCATACCCATCCAGACGCAAATCATCGTATCTCCACAGACAAGGTTCAACAGCAGTGACCGAAAGGACATCCTGCCAAACACAGGTCCGGTACAATCGCAGCACGGCAACCTCAATATATGGCCATGGCGTCGACCGAATCCAACTACCGCTCCGAGCTGTCGGGCTTTCGATGGGCGCAAGGGAGAACAGACGACTCTCGGCCACAGAACGCATCCACTGGACCGACGAGCTACCTCTCGACCATCACAAATAGCATCTCTGGCTATGTGCCATTACGGTCCAACGAGCGCACCAACGAAGAGGAGGCATATCTCAGCTTGAGTCGATGGGAGAGGTGAGTTGCAACGTCGTCAGATGCAGTTTGACCAGCGATGTGGAAGCAACAGCAAGCTTGATGATGTACTGACTGCTGATACTTGCCTCGCATGTCGATCTGCCACAGATTCCTCGGCTTTCTCGCATGTCTCGCCGGCGCAGCAGTGTGTTTCTTCTTCAGCTTCATCTTTCTCTCTCCGCCCATCCTGGCGCTTCGACCGCAAAAGTTCGCGCTCGCCTTCTCGCTCGGCAGTATGCTCTTCATGATTGGCTTCTCGATCCTCTCGGGTCCCCTGGCGCATCTCAAGCACATCTGCAGCAAGGAGCGACTGCCCTTTTCGATCGCCTACTTTTCATCGCTCGCACTCACGGTTTACTTTGCGGTGGGACCACGCAAGATGCTGCCCACGGTTGTTTTTGCGATAGTGCAGATCGGTGCGCTGCTGACCTATCTGGCGGCGTACTTTCCGGGTGGAACGACGACGTTGCGGTACGGCGCGAGCATGTTGTTGCGTGGAGGAGCGTCGCTGTTGCCGATTTGAAGTGGGATTGCAATACGATGCACATGCTATCCAAGGAAAGCAGCTATCGAGCGAGAGAATGCATCTGAAGCATGCACTAACAAGCACATGCGTCGAGCTTGGGTTGTGCCGTGGAGCAGGCCTACATCGCCGGTCACCTTTGGATCGAATCAGATCGGGCTGATCGGTTTGTGGGAGGTTGCATCTCAACCGGCTCCAGATGACCGGCGGCATGTTGTCATGGCAGACATCCAAAGTCGCCTTCAAGTTGCTATGCGTCGACTCGAGCGGCTTGTAAGGTGCCATATGGTTGCTCGAGACAGCTTCGACGCTGTCCGTTGAAAGACAAGCTCGTCAGCCATCCCTCCGATTCCAACCCGTGACAGAATAAGCGCATCACTGCCGCGCCCACGTGGTCACGTCTCATCACAAAGCATAGGAGGAGCAGGAAGCCCAAAGCCTTACAGACAGACCGTGCTCAAGATTTGACTGTCGAAAGCAAGGAAATGAATCCAAGACGGTGGATAGCAAGCTTGCGCAAGGAACCCAACAGGCTAAGCGAGACCCAAGGGCCCAACGCAGCCGCCTCGCGTGGCACGCAAAAGGGAAACAGAGCCCACGGTCGGAGATCTGTCAATCGCTGCTGAATGACGTGGGCTCAGCAAGCAACACGTCTCGCAAAATAGAAAATTGCAAAACGCTGCTCAGTCACCCCGCGTAGCACCGCCCTGAGAGAGAGCTTGAAATTCCGCCAAAGGGTCGTGCCGGCGCGCATGGACCAGCTCTGCATCGAGTGAGCTTGTTCGAGATTGCGTTCATAGCGTGATGATATAGGGTCGATACAGATCTACTGGGCGGATCAAGGCTAACAATGAACGTCAGGGACAAGGGCCATCAGGATGGATGGGCGGCAGTCTTTCGAAAGGGGTCCAGCTGGAAGGACACGTTGCCAGTCGATGGCTTTGATCTCCGCGTGTCACAGCCAGAAAGATTCGAATCCGATCTGGAGCACCGCTCACTCTCCGGATCTTGGCTGTACGCCTCCTGCAGGCTTGCAATCGAGCCGGTCAGCTGTGATCCTGCTGGCCCATCCGAGACAAACACGCACCCGCTCTACACAGTCACAGACCTTTTCCGAGAGCTGGCCGGCGTGTGACGATAGAGCGATCAGCCTTGGCATCCGCTAAGCGGGCGGGCCGCCTTCTACATCGGTCCGCCCGAATGGCTTCGCTGAGTTGGAACGAGTGCTTCCGATGATACATGTTCGCATAGACGCACCACAAAATAGCCTCTCCGGCAGGTCCGCTGTGTCACTTTGCGCTTCTCTGTCCCTGAACGTGGTTCGAGCGCCGAGTTCGTGCTTTCTCGAGAGCACCCTTTCCCTTTCCCACGCCGTCTTGCTTCTTCTGAGCCTATCCCGCATCTTCCCTCCCGTCCACCTCCATCCATCCCATCCCCCCGTCGCTTGTCGCAATCATGGCTGACCGCAATCACCCCTCCGCCAAGCCCGCCGCAAGGACGGTGCTCAACCTCGGCAATCTCCCTCCCAAGAAGCAAGGCTTCGGTGCTGCTGCCCAGTATGCTCGTACTCCCTCGCGCGTCGACCCCAACAACCCGCCCTGGCCCGCGTACCGTGGCTACCACGAGTTCTCTTTCGCTCACGTAAGTAACAGAAGCTCTCCATCGAGGGCGACTCTGTGCAGGGCTGAACAGATGCTGACTCGTCCTCCTTTGCTCAACAGGAAACCATGGGGAAGCGTCTTCCCACCATCCTCGGCAAGGCCGTCGACGATGTCATCAAGTCGCTCAACGAGCAGTCGGACGAAGAAAAGATCCTCGACCTCGCCAAGTGCATCGACCGCATGCACGTCCTCATGGATGATCTCCACAAGAACGCCAAGCTGCGACCCATCATCGACGACGGCGAGGGAGACATCCCCTTGTGGAACAAGGAGATCGCGCGCTTCTTCCGCGGCAAGGACTTCATGAACGCACCCTGGCTCTTCGCCGAGGCCTACAAGTACCGTCGTCTCCATGAGTGCTTCAGCATCTCCAAGTACTGGAAGGACTACGATGTCTTTTTCCGTCAAAAGTGCGACACCTTCTCTCGCTCCGGCACGGCCGTCTTTGAGCTGTCGACCCGCTTTGCCGAGCCGTTCGCCTACGAGGAGGGCGCCAACGAGGAGCAGAAGCTCAAGGCGCGCGAGCTCATCTTCCACGAACTCACCCAAGTCTGCCTCTGGGGCAACGCCACCGACCTCTCGCTGCTGATCAACATGACCGAGGATGACATCAAGAACCTCCAATCCACCGGTGGCGAGCACCTCGCCGCTACGGAGAAGAACATCCTTGGCAACCACCTCGACCGTCTCTGGAAGCTGGTCAGCAACATGAAGGGTGGCCGAATCGACTTTGTTCTCGACAACGCCGGCTTTGAGCTGTATTGCGACTGCGTCTACGCTGACTGGCTGATCCAGTCGGGAATCGCAACGTCGATCCACTTCCACGGCAAGCGATTCGCGTGGTTCGTCTCGGACGTAACCCGTAAAGACTGGGACTGGTTGCTCAACTCGATGCTCTACGGTTCGCTCTTCCCGCAGGCGAGCGATGCGGATATGCAATCGCTCAAGCAGATGGGTCTGCGTTGGAAGGAGTACGAACGCAAAGGCCAATGGATCTACGAACAGCACCCGTTCTGGTGCACCGGCTATACGTTCTGGAGCATCTCGCAGGAGGCGCCCGATCTGTTCCTCCACCTGGCCGACAGCGATCTGGTCATCTTCAAGGGTGATTTGAACCATAGGAAGTTGACGTACGATTGTCAGGCACCGAGCGATACGCCGTTTGACATGGCGATTGGTCCGCTGGCGAGCGAGGACGGCGCCCCGCCCGTGGCCAGTTTGAGGACCATCAAGTCGGATGTGGTCGTTGGCGTGCCTGGTGACGTGAGCCAGAAGCTGGACAATGAGGAGCCTGGTTGGAGGATCAGTGGCAAGTACGCTGTGGTGCTACTCAGCGACGGTCTGCCGGGCAAACCGGTCAGCTTCAACACGCAGTAAGAGGCGCGTTCGCCCCATTCGCTCTGCTAACCCCAAACTCAGCTTCACGCCCCCATACACGATGTAGAATGAAATTTGTCATGCCCGACTCGCACTCAATGCCGTGTGCCATGTTCGAGAAAGCTGAATGCGATGCTGCGATTAAAAGTTACAGATGGGTCTCGCTCACTCGTCATCCTCGACATCGTCCCTCTTGCTCCTAGCTTTCCTGACAGCTTCGCTGATCTGGGCGCTATTGAGTTTGATCTTCTGCCTCTTATCCGCCCTACCTTCCTCCTCACCTCCAACGAAGCCCTTCCTAGTCTTGTTCCGCTGCATCTCAACTTCCTCGCCTTCATCCTTTCCAACCTTGCTCCACTGCAACACGAGATGTCGGCCGAGCAAATGGGTATGTTTCAGCGCCTCCATGGCGCTCTGCGCCTCGCGCACCGTCGTATACTCGACAAAGCCAAATCCGCGCGTCGAGTTGTCGAACTTCTTGGGCAGACGCACGCTCTTGAGCTGACCTTGCGAAGAAAAGAGATCGCGAATGTCCTTCTTCGTCGCTTCAAAGGGCAGGTTCTTGATGAGGATCTTGGTGCTTCCCCCGCTCGAAAGAGAGGTGGCAGTGGGCGTGTCAGCATTGCGTCTCGCGAAAGTGACAACGAGCGTGTGCCCGTCGAGCACTTTGCCGTCCATAGCCCTTTGCGCGGTGCGCGCAGAGTCGACGGATTTGAACCCCACAAAGCCGTACCCCATCGAAAGGCGGGCGCCGGGTCGACGTGGGTCGGGCTTGGTCTGCACGTGGGCGAATGCGTAGTCGGACAGCCCGTGGAAGGTCGACGCGAGCCGCTCGTCGGTCGTGCTGAACGACAGGTTCTTGATGTACAACGTCGCACCGTCCGCCGCCTCCTCTTCGCCGGTGGACTTGATGTTGGAGGTGGGGTTGGTGGTGTCGATGGTCTTCCCGACGATGGGTGCCTGCTTGACGACCTGATCGCCCGCCTTCTGCGGCGCCAACAACCCCACCGGCGCCTTTTCGAGGTACAAAATCCCTCCCTTGAATTTCTTGTACGCCAACGCGCGGAAGGCCACCCTCGCCTCGCTCACCACGGGCATCTCGACAATCGCAATCGTCCCGCTCGGCGGGATCAACACCTTATCCACCTCGCCGTGAGAAGCAAACAGCTTCTCCACCTCCTCCCCAGACGTGCCGTAGGGAATGTTTTTGACCAAGATGGTCGTCTCCGACCGCTGACTCTTCTTGCCATCGAAGGCGTCGACATTGATGCCTTCCTGGGCGAAGAACTCTTTCGTCTCCTGGATGATTCGTGTTTCGGCCAGGGCGAGACGAACAGCCGCGTTGTCCGGCCCACCCTCCGCGCCCGGGTTGAGGATCTCCGCCTTGCTCACGCCCAGCCGGTCCGCGATGGACGAGGCGACGGCGTCCGAAGACATGTACAGCATCGACCAGTTGAAGTCTTTGGCCGCGTCGTCCTTTTTCTGTTCTGCCCGCGCCTGTTTTAGGGTCGCCGCCTTTTTGGTGTCGCCTTCGGCAGGGGCGTCCTTGTTGACGGCGGGAAGGAGGTGAAGGAGACGGCCTTGAAAGGTCGAGCCGTCCTTTGCACGGTACGCGGCAAGCGCGTGGGATGGGTCGGTGAACGAGACGAACGCCAAACCTTTGGATGCTTTCGTGGACTTGTCGAGCGGGATGTGGACCTGCATCGTATCGAACGAGCGAGTGAGTGTCAGTACACAACCTCTAGCACGAGAAGCGGGCAACGATGACGACTTCGACCTAGACCTTCTTGCGAGATCAGATACAAATCATTTTACTATCTAGATTCCAGTAGGTTCTCAGCACGGCATCAAGCTCTGCTGTCCCTATACTAATGTGTCATCATGCAAGAAGAAGTCCGCGGTCGTCGTCGCCAGTTCGTCGCTGTGAGGGTAAAACTTACCTGTTTAACAGTGCCGAAGCTTTCAAAGAAGGACTGGATCTCGTCCTGATTCGCGGAGAAGGGGAGGTTGCGAATGAAGAGTCGGCCACTCTCCATGATCTGGTCGACGATCTTCTGATCCTTTTCTGCTGCGATCTCGGCTTTTCGCCGTGACGCCGCTTGCTTGCGTTCGAGCTCCTCATCGTTTACTTGCTCGTCTTCGGACTCGGGATCGGACTCTTCTGCGGCGGCGTCCTTCTCGTCGTCCGACTGCTCGAACTGGGGAGTGTCCGCGGGATCGTGAAGGGTATCGAGGTCGGTGCCGACCTTGTGTTTCATGCGCAGACGCATATATTCTTCGTCCGTGAGTCCTACGTCGTTTGCTGCTGCGTCTGGTTCTGCGTCCGACTCCTCAGACGCATCCTTGCTTTGGGCTGCTGACTCGGCCGCGGCAGCTGCGGAGGCTTCGGCGTCGGCCTTCTTCTGCGCCCTCCTCGCGGCCTTCTTCTCGATCGCCTCTACCGGCGCAAAGATGTCTTCCATCGTCTGTTCCGGTATCGCATCCTCATTTTGCCACGCCTTGCGCTTGGCCTTTGGCTGCATGACCGACATGAACTCTTCGAACGAAACAGCGCCCTTCTTTGCCTTCTTCTTTGCTTTTGCTGGCTCTTCATCTTTGGATATCGACTTGTCGCCCTTCCTCTTCCTCGCATCGCTTGTCGAAGTGGAAGCCTCGTCGCTGGCACCGTTGCGCCTGGCTCGGCGCTCCTCGCGCTGCTTGGCGAGCTCTTCATCGCCAATCTGTCGAGCGGGCTCGATGGTGATGCGCGAGGTATCGATGAATGTGCGGTTGAAGTAGTCGAGCGCCTGTTGTGCTTCCTCGTCGGATCGGTAGCCTACGAAGCCGAACTTTCGCGAGGTGCCATCGGGGCGGCGCATGAGCTTGACATCGGTGACGGCGCCCTTTTGGGAAAAGTGCTCTCGTAACCTCGCGTCTGTGAGGTACGAGGGCAGGCCGCGTACGATGAGACGCGACATTGTGTGTGATGCTGCTATGAAAGGGGGAACAGCCGATGCTTGAGGTGCTTCCCGACGAGGAGATGCTTGCTGACCGGAGACGAGCGCGTTTTGCGGTCTTCAGTGTGAGATACTGTGGCGACGATGCTTTTTGCGGGCTGAGCCTGCGGGTATATGGTGGAAAGATGCTTGAGTTGGACGCTGTTGAGCGATCGAGGAGAAAGAGGGACGAGAAGAAGTGAAGAGTCGAGAATTTGTCTTTGAACTGAGCCACTTTTTTTTCACAGCTGCAGGTCTTCTTAAACTTTTTCGAGGGAAATTTCTTTGACACGTGACCTGGGAATTTGGCTACGCGCCCAAACACGCTTGCAGCTGAGCTCTGGTGTGTGTGCATCTTTTGCGAGGCTGCAGGCTGCGATGTGCCGTTTCAGAGAGGCTTTGTCCTCCACTCTCTTCTGGCTCAAGCGCTGCAGGGTTCATCAGGAAGCTCGACGTCTCCGCAAACCAGATCAAGCTTTGGATCTCACGACTCATCACCACCGTCTCAATTATCAAAGCTTTTAGCTCGTTGAAGGCCGCTGTCGAACCCACCAAGAGGCGCAGACCACCATCATGGACGCTTCACTGCCCGCCGACCAGAGCGGACTGTCGGATCTGTCAGCTGCATCCATCCTCAGCACTGGGCCCTATCTCGGCCCTCCATCGCCTCCAACCGACCAGCAGACAAAAGCCGCAGCCGTGCTGCCCATACCGTCTCCAACATTCACAGCAACGCAGTCAAACGCAACACCAGGGCCAAGCCGCATTCGAACACAGCAGGGAGACACTTCAAATGCTGTCTGGACGCCCAGCCCTGACGCATCCTCTTCGCGCTCCAAGTCCAGCAGTCAATCCATGCGACGGCCCTCCTCCAGAAACAGCAACGGTAAAGGAAACGAGAGCATCGGCTCCAGCCTCGGCACATTCGATTACAGCAATGCCTCCTTCAGCGAGAGCTTCCTCCGTCAGGCCGGTGCAAATATGCTCGCTGGTCTAGACGAGGCGAACCCTTCGCCAAACCGGTCCTTGTCCTCTTCGCCCAGGTATCGCACTTCCTCATCGCCCACGGTAACAGCCAGGCCTATCCGAGCAGTGGATCCAAGGACGCCTTTTACAGGCAAAAGCCTTCGAACGCGAATGGCCGAAGCTGGCATGCTCGACAGTCCAGCATCCTCCGACGGCAGCAGTCCAAGCTCGAGCCCGACAACACGCATGCTGCCCGACTCTGTCACGCGCACAATCGTAGCGCAGCAAGAATATGATGAAGAGATGAGCCCGCAGCCGGGTCTCGACTCCCCGGATGCTCGAGCTTATTCAAGGACATACTCGCCGTCCTTAGATAGGATACGACATGGCAGCTTCAACTCTCCTTCGCGGCATATCGTATCAGCGTCCATAGGCAGCCCTGGGATTGGAGAGGAGCACGACTGGCAGGAAGGCCTATCCATGGTACCGGAAGAGTCATACGTCGAAGATGCATCACAGCTGCCAGCATCGCCCGCCGTGCAAAACAACTCCCCACATCGCTCGATGATCCTCGACTCGTCACGCGACAAGGACCTTGAGCCAGCTGGGGAACCTGACTCCCCCTGTTTTGCACTTGAACATGGCAGGGCTTCGAGCGAGGATCACATATCATCCGACCCGGCTGCAGCACTCGAAGAGGCAATTCATGATGAGAGCGACGATGTCCTGCCATCGACTTCAGCCTCAGAAGAGAGACCAAAAGAGAGCGCCGACAAGTCGGAGGACCGACTTCAGGCTCCATCGTCGCCTTCGCCCCGCAAAGCAACGCCATCGACGCCTTCTCGCGTGGTCAATACGCCAAAGTCTTTCGCTAGGCTCCGAGTCGGGACACCCGTTCGATCTTCGCCTCTTGCGCGCGAGGTCAACTTTTCGCCCTCGTCGGCAGGCTCGAATGCATCTCGATGGCAGAGTCCTGTCAGTCAGAGGAGCATGCACGATGCAGTCACTGCATCGCCGCACCCGGTCGCACAACAGTCTCCAGCCCGTTCAGTCTTTGAGGCTGCGCAACCACTCTCACCGACACGGGAACAGTCTTTCGACGAGCAACGATCGGTCCTCAGACCAGCGGCGCACCCGCAAACACCACATGTGGCTATCTCTGCCCAGCCGACCGGAGGAACACCGTCTCAATTCTGGTCTCCGGCGACATCCGCTTCGTTCGCAACGCCAGCATCGCAGCGTCCGCAACATCCTTCCGCACCGACGACACCTGCATTTCTTTCGCACACTCCGCTCGGTGCAATCTCATCGCCACCTGCTGACTTTGGCACTCCTCAGTGGAGTCCCTCGCCCGTACCTCTTCAGGCAAAGGTTGAAGTCGTGCAGATCGAATCAGAGAAGCCGCAAGCAGATATCAGCGCCGACGCGCCTGAAGAGGAAGACGAAGAGGAACTGGCCTCGTCATCCGCCTCTGTGGGCTCGGAGAAAAAGCAGAGTGGCGACGTGTCGACCGCCTCTCAGCGCCCTCTCGAAATCGACCTCCCAGCTCAGACGAAGCTCGATCTATCGTTCACATCACCCTCTCAGCACCACGACTCACCATCAGCAGCCAGGTTCTCCCGACTCCAACTCACTCGCATCTCGCCTCCAACCTCCCTTCCCTCCGACCTAGCCTCCGTACCGGAACTCGGTGTGGTAGTCAGCGCATTCGACTCGCTGACGTCGCTCTCCGAGTCGCGCGTCTCTCGCCTACTCTCGCAGCTCTCAGCCTCCACAGCACGCATCGACGAGCTCGAGGCCGCTCTCGAGACGAAAGAATCCCAACAAGCAGAGCTGCACGACGTGCGAGCCACGCTAGCCCAGCTGTCGACGCAGTACGAGGAGCTGGTGGCCGAGGCGGATGAGAAGGACGCTGCCATGGTCGAGTTGGTCAGGAAGCTGCAGGGCCAACTGTCAGCCCGAGGAGGGGATAGGGTGGCGGGGCTGGAACGGGAGTTGGAGGAGGAGCGGAGGTTGAGGGAGGTCGAGAGGCGGGATTACGAAGTGAGGATTCAAGGTTTGCTCAGTTCTGCAACGACCAGCTCGAGTGCGGCAAACGCTGCGATGGACGAGATCGCTTTCGATAGTGACGACCGGATGACGGGAGCGGTGGAGCAAGCAAAAGAGCAGCTGCGGCTGACGTTGGAGAAGGACTCTGAGATTCGGCGTGCGATGGAGCAGCGAGATCTTCTGGCCAAGGTCGAGGAGCTGGAACGCCAGCTCGCATCAACGTCAAAGGTGGAAGCAACTGTGGAGGACCGTCACGACCCCGACGTGCAGCATCAAGTCGACCAACTCACATCGGAGCTCGATCGCCGCTTCGAAGAGCTCACCGATCTGCGCGAGGAGCTCGAGTCTGCCCTCGCCGAGAAGGAACACGCCGAATCGCGGGCACGCGCACTCGAGGAGGAGTTGGACGAAGCACGATCGCGGTCCCACCATGACAGCCGTGACTCCGCCAACAAGGAGCTCGACGAGCTGCGCACGACGCTTGTCGAGCGCGATACGCACATCTCTCGACTCGAGGAGACGCTCTCGCTCACCACCTCCCGTCTGACCACCCTCACCGCCAATCACGACGCGCTGCAGCACCAGAACATCCTCCTCTCGCAATCTCGCACGGACGACTCGACACGCATCGCGACACTCGAGTCGCACATCCTCTCGCTCGAGACACAGCTGCGCACCCGCACGCCGAACAAAGCCACCGAGTCCACTGCAGAAGTTGAATCCGCCACGCCGGGGCAGGATCGCCTAGCCAAACTGCACAAGGAACTCGCGTCGTTGCAGCTGGACCTTGTCAAGCTCGGAAAAGCGAATGATGCGCTGCAGGAGGACAACGTGCACTTTTCCATCGCGCTCAGCGCCAAGCAGCTCGAACTGGGCATGGTGAAGCGCAATGCGCGGTTCGCGTTGAAGAATGCGCGAGCGATGGCGCAAGGCGAGAGAGTGGGGCTGCCGCTGAGCAAGAGCGTAAAGGAGAAAGAGGTTGAGTTCCCAGCGGCGCCCAAGGGTGAGGTGGTGGCGGAGAGGAAGGAGGTGGACAAGGAGAATGTGGTGCCAGTGAACCAGGCAAGGTTACAGGCGAGACAGATGTTAGCGTTGCGGAAGGCTGCGCCGGTTGCTGGTGGTGATGGTGGAGGTGGGGCAAGGAGGGTGCGTCCGATGTTGGCTGCGTAGGAACGTCACTCATTGTCAATGTCCATCACGCTCTCTCACACACGGCGATCTGAGCTGAGTGAATGGTGGCGAACAACCATCTCTATCGTCATTGCGTCATAACGATGCGTGCTACAACGTCCTCGCAACCTCGACCTCGCTGAAGCTCTGCACCACATCTCCCTCCTTCAACTCCTGCCACCCTTCAAAGCTCATCCCGCACTCGGTGCCCTTCCTCATCTCGGTCACGTCCTTCTTCACGTGCTTGAACTCGTCCAACTTGCCCCGGTAGACCTCGTCGCGCTTGTCGCCCCTCAGCACCCTCACGAGGTTGCTCTTTGCGATGGTGCCGTTGGTGACCCTGCAACCGGCGATCTTCTTGAAGTTACGCCCCTTGAGGTTGATCTCGAAGATCTGGCTGACGGTGGCCTCACCGTGGACCCTCGCCTCTTTGGTGGGTGGCAGCAACTCGGCGACTTTCTGGGAAACGGTTTCCATCAGACGGTAGATGACGTCCGAGGCGATGATGGGGACGGGGGTTGGTTGGGCTCGAGCGGCCGACTGGAGGATTGCTTTGGGAGGGGTTACGTTGAATCCGATGATCGTGGCGCCTAGGGCGGCGGCTTTGGAAACATCCGATTCGGAAGGTTCACCAGGAATCGCACTGATAATCTTCACCCCCGCTTCGGCGTTGCCGATGGAGGAGATGGCCCCGACAACCGCTTCCACCGTACCGCTGAAGTCGGCTTTGACAATGACGTTGAGCATCTTTCTCGCACCTGGCTCGTCTGCACCCTTCTCCTCCGATACATCCGCAACGTCATCCTGCCCTTCGAGGGGGGCAGCCCCGTCCAACGCGGCAAGCACAGCAGCCGGATCCTTCCCATCATCCGCCGCAATGCGTGCCGCCCGCCGTCGTTGCCTCTCCTCAAACTCGCGTCTCGCCTCGGCCTCATCCGCTTCCGCCTTGACCCGCCTCGCCTCGTTGATCTGCTCCACGTCGTCCATCAATCGCCTCTCGTCCTGCAGCTTGCGTCGGTTCTCCGAGGCCCGTTTGCACGACTGCTCGTCTGTTCCGCCCAACAACAGATCCCCTGCGGTGGGCAGCGTTCGCCAGCCGCTGACCAACACTGGATCGCCAGGGAGCCCACGCGCCAATGGTTTGCCGGAGGAATGGATGATCTGTCGCACCTTGCACCACGCCGTACCGGCGACGATCGGTGCAGCCTTTTCGAGTGTTCCGCGCTTGATCAGCACCGTAGCGACGTTGCCCCGACCTTTGTCCACCTTGGACTCGATCACGTAGCCTTCGGGGAGACCGGTTCGGTCGGCACGGATATCGGCGAGTTCGGCGAGCGCCGCGAGGGTTTCTTCGAGTTCATCGATTCCTTTCCCTGTTTTACCGGAGACGTGGACGCACGGAATGTCACCGCCGAGCTCCTCTAGTTCGACACCGGCGGAGAGGAGTTCGCGTTTGACGCGATCAGGGTCGGCTTCGGGCTTGTCCACCTTGGTAAGAGCGACCACCATTTGGACAGGTTTCTCGTCCTCCCCTTGCGCGTCTTTGTTCGCCGCCTGAACGAGCGAGATTACCTCCCTGGTTTGAGGCATCACCCCGTCATCCGCTGCAACGACGAGCACGACTATGTCGGTGACCATCGCTCCACGGCTGCGCATCGCCGTAAACGCCGCGTGTCCCGGCGTGTCGAGGAATGTGATGGTCTGAATGCCCGCATACCCTTTCTTCTTGCCCTTATCCTGCTCTCTGTACGAGATGGGGACGCTAAACGCGCCGATGTGCTGGGTGATCCCCCCCGCCTCACCGGCCGCGACGCTGGTGCTGCGCAATCGATCCAGCAACGTGGTCTTTCCATGATCTACGTGGCCCATGATGCTCACCACCGGTGGTCTCACTGGGTACCCTGCAGCTTCGTCCGGTGTAGGCGCAGGCCGAGGAAACAGATCGAATGACGCTTCCTCGTTCGGAATGGCCACAACGTTGAGTTGGGCAGCGATCATCTCGGCATCGGAGAACTTGAGCATCAGATCCGGTCGCGTATCCTCCATCCCCAGCGACGTCATGACCTGTTGCACGGGGATGAGTTTCTTCTCCATCCGCATGCATAGTTGGATCACCGAGATGAGCGGGGGGAGGAAGATGTTGCGTTCGATCTTGAGGAGTTTCGGTTTGAGTTTGGGGGGTGTGCGCGGGCGAGGGAGGGGGTCGTCGTCGCGTCGTCGGTTGCGGGATGAAGAGGATGGCGGGTGGTCGAGAAGTGAGCCGCGACCCTCTTTCTTCTTGTGTTTGGCCGTGTGGTGGCGGTCCGACTTGTCGTTTCGTCTGCCGGGTGCGTCGTCCGAGGTGTATCGAGAGGGTGCGGGGCTGTCATCTGACTCTACAGGTTCGAACCGGCCGGAACCACCAGCCTCCTCATCCCCGCCCAAGCTCCGCGCCTTGATGCGGTTCAACGTCGAATCACGTTTCGCCGCTCCACCGCTACCTAGGGCGTCTGGTTCAGCCGAACCGAACTTCATCGCCGACGCATCTTCCCCGCCTCTTGTGTACCCGCCACCATCTCTCGGCCTCCCACCTCGCTCCCGATTGCCACCCTGGCGATCCTGTGGCGGACGCGACTTGGCGTTGGGATGCGGCAATCGCTTGCGCGTGCCATCCGGACTGAACCGTTGATTGCGGCTGAACTGCGCGACAGGGTTGCCGTAGTTCGAGCCGCCGGAGCGTTGATTTGGCTGCGAAGCGTCGTCGCGTCTGCGTGGTCGATAGTCGGACCCATCCCGATCGCGGTTCTGCGAATGCGAAGGTCGAGAGCCTTCGCGGCCTGATGCGGCCAGTGGTGTTGACGAGAGGCTTCGTGAGAGTGAAGGTGCGGTGCTGAGCGCCGCTGCCGCTCGGGAAGTGGAGGCGGTCGCCCAGCTAGCCAGGCGAGAGGACGACGCCAGTGAAAGTGATGTTCTTGACAGCATGGTTGCTATGCTCGCCTCCGGAGATGTCGTAGGAAGCGCTGATGATGGTAAGATGGGGAGAAAGGTGTGTGTGTTGGTCAGAGCGGCGACTTTCGGAACCCGCGCAGCTCGTTTCTTCTGAAAACTGGAAAAAATTACAAAGAAAGGGCCGATTTTGGTGGTGGCGGCGAAATTGCCCGAGGGTCCTCGACTGAGCTCACAGCTGAGTTAGGGCGAAAAGAAGAAAGAAAAGGAAAAAAGAGGAAAAAAAAGAAGGCAAAAAAGGCACCTCGAAAGGCATTGGAGACAGTCTACGTAGCAACTGAAGCTCAAGACCAGGCTCGACGACGGCGGCGGCACAGAGGCGGGTAACATTGCAGGTCAGGATCGAAGTTCAAAGGTGGTAACAGCATGGTTGCGAGCACGGTGATACGTATGATGACGAGTGATGCAAGAACGTTACTCGTCGTCCTCGTCCTCCACCTCCATCTCATCCTCGTCCTCCTCTTCATCTTCTTCCTCATCCTCATCATCCTCATCCTCGTCGTCGTCATCATCATCGCGGACCACCTGCGCCTGTGCCTTGATCAATGCCTCCTGCTTCGCCCTCACCTTCTTGGCCAGCCTCAACATGCCCTCGAGCGGGTTCTCCTTGGCGTCCATCTCCCAGTCCCTCACCTTCCCCAGGTCCTTGGGCGTGAAGTCGATCGCGTCTCTCTGCTTGGTGACCCACAGTGCGGTCTGATGCGACTTGTCCAACAGCTGCTTTGCCTCTGCCTGGAACTTGTTGTTCGTCGTGCTCTTCGAGAGCCGCTTGAGCTGGATCTGCAGTGGCAGCACCAATTCCGGGAAAGCGATGGATCGCGATTGCGACGCGAGGAACTCGAGCAGCAGGAACGAGTATTCGCCCAACAGCTGGTTCGAGTAGGGCCGGGTGCGGACGAGCTGTGTCGGTGCGCGGAGGGTGGTGCTGAAATCGATGGGTGCCGCGGTGCTGCCCTTGAGCTTGCGTTGGAACTCGGGCGACTCAAACACCGACAGGATCGACGGCGCCAGTGGGATGTACGTGCCCGTTCGCGTGACGATGCGCATCATCGACTGAAGCAGATGCAGACGATACGGGAAGTAGCGGGAGTTTGGGACGAGCCCAACGACACCCGTCGCCACCTGCACCAAGGGATAGACGAGCGGTTCCAGAGGCGACTCGAACCCTGCCTGACGCTCCGACTCCACATCGCACGCCCGCGACAGCAGCAACGACCAAAAGTCGATCGCACTGACGAATTGCCAATTGAGCACCGCTTTGAACGTGTCCTTGCTCTTGGTCTTGACGCAGTTGCGCAGGTGGATCGCCAGCTGACGGATGAAGCCGAATGCCTGGGTGTACGCCACGTCGCCGTCGACGAGGTACAGCTCCACCGCCGTGTTCTTCATGAGGTTGAGCATGGGCTGCGTGTGGATGCTCACCGACCGACTCGACTGGATGTACGACGAGTAGACGCCGCGCAGTACGTTCTCCAACGACGTCGAGCCACCGGACATGCCCAACCGCCTCAGCGTCAGGAACGCCGACATCCGCACGTCGTCCTCCGACACCTGACTCGACCACAGGTTGAGCGCCACCTTGATGAACTCGCGCGTCGTCTTGGGGATACACAGCGCGTACGGCACCATGCGCGTGCTCTCGCGCACCACGATTTCGAGCATACGCGGCTCGGTCAGCGTCTCGGTCAGCTGGAAGAGGTTGCTGAAGTACGACTGGATGGGCTTCTTGATCAAGTTCCACTTTTTGTTGGTCGACGGGATCTTGACGTTGCCCCGCTTGTCCTCGGTGATGGGCACGTGGTGCTGGAGGACGACGGGCGTGTATTTGAGCGCGGTGAGCACGAGCTTGTTGAAGACGCGCGCTTCCTCGATGATGAACGATGCGCCTTCGAGTCGTTTGTCCTCCTCTTCGGGCTTGACGGCGCAGCGGAAGGCGATGAGGAGGCGACGGAGCGCCTTGAGCGAGCGGTGGGCCAGCATCGACTTTTGCCAGCCGGCCAGCATCTTGAGTGTCACTCGTTGCGGGCCGCTCTCGACCTCGGCTGCTTTTAACGAAGAAGCTTTTGCCTTGCTTGGCCTCTCGTCCTCGCTCTCGTCCTCGTCGTCGGATTCCTGACCGAATTTGAGGAGCTCCTTGTCATTCTCTTGCAAGTAGGCGTAGAACTCGGGGTCCTTCTCCTTGAGCTTCTCGAGATCCTGTGCATGCATGCCTACGTCCTCATCGTCATCCGACATGCCCTCGACGTCTTCGAGATCGTCTGCATCCTCGTCCTCGCTGTCATCCTCATCATCGTCTTCGTCATCCTCTGCGTCTTCCGCGCCTGCGCTCTTGAACCCACCGCCGAGGAAATCGTCCACGCTCATCCCCTTGAATTTGCCGCCGCTCGTCTCCATCTTATCCGCTACAGCCTCGTCGTCGTACTCTGCCAAATCTTCTGGCGCTTCGACATCTTGCACCGCCTTGCCCTTCTTGCCAGTGTTGCGCAGCTGCTTCTGCTTTTTCTGAGCCGCCGAGCGCTCGATGACCTTGCGCTTCTTCTGGTGCTCGCGACGGCGCTTGATGGTACTGTCAAGCTGCGTTCGCAAGAACTTCTTGGTTCCCTTAGTCTGCTTGCCCATGTTGCCGGACTTGACGCTATTGCAGCGTGTCGGATGATTGGAAGGTAGCAGAGAAGTGTTGATGGAGGAGAAGCAGGGCCTATGGTCGCTGCGCCTCGTTGTGGAGCTGCAACTCGCGTTTTTTGCTGAACCCTTCCCTCAAAAATTTCAGAAGAAAGAGCGAGTGCGAAATTTCACCGCCAGGCACTTGGCCAATGTATAATCATGACATAATACAGGTCTTTGGCTTCCTATCGAGCTTCAAGCAGAGAAGTTCTTGTCTGATGCACTCGTTCCTTCGTTTGGTCACATGCAGTCTGAGGATAAGGAGGACAGCAGATTGGACGTAGGAGTCCCCTGTATCGGAAGGCATGCTATTGGATGTGTGCGAACCATCACCGCTGCTTCATGAGATGAGACCGCGCGAAGAGACGTGGAAAGGTCGCCAGCGGAACAGACTTGCCCTGAGTTGGCTCAGCAGCTCGAGCATCTGCTTGTCCTGCTCTTCCTTCGCATCTTCGGCCTGTGCAGCCAACCTTTCTTCCGGATTTGCGGGCATCTCGTCGTCCTGACGGGCCCCCACAGCTTCTTGTGGTGCCAGTAACTCCGCTGATGGATTTGTGTCGGCCTGCTGTCCAGCACTATCGCTGGTAGCCGCATCCGTTGCTGCAGCCATTGCGGCAGTCGCGCGATCTCGGGATCGCTGACGCATTCGCTCCCTCGTCTGTGCCCACAGCATGCTCAGCTCGCTCTGTACCGCTGGCGGCACCGACACCATCTGTGCGTATCGATCCCCGAACGACCCTTGGCGGAAGAGCAACACGCGCCATACGTCCTGACCCAGGAAGCTTGGCGGCCATCCTCGATCGTGACCCATCGGCTGCGAGGCAATGATTCGCCCGCTGAGCTGCTGCACCTGACGCGGCGATGCTGATGGTTGCTCACTCTCGTCCCACATTTCGGGGCCGTTGAGTGCAACGCTCGGCGCAGGTCGTTCGTCACGGATCCTGGCAGGTTGAGGTGGTCTCGTGCCATTGAGCAGCGGTGCCAGCATCGAATTGCCCTCGTTGCGTGCATGGCCCCTATTGTAAGAACGGCTAGCTCCATTGCCGTTCGCCGACCAACCTGATGGGATGGCTCGCCCTGAAGTCTCGGACTCGTTGCGACCTCTTCGGATGCCGAGCTGATTTGTGAACACGATCGTGGGAGCGCATAGCTTGGCAGCCGCGTCCACGCATCGCTGCCTTGCCGTCTGCTGCTCCTCTACCGCGAGGTCGGGCTGTGGTCGGTACTCGAAGGGCTTCTGAAGGCGCAGCAGCATCTCGCGGATACGCTCGCTGACTTGTGCAGCAGTCTTCCGATGCTGACTCGTCCCGCCCGACGACCTGATGTAGTACGATAGCGAGTCGATCAGGATCAAAGAAGTCCGTGGCGGTAGTGATGACGGCAACGCCTTCTTCGACGATGCAGCTGGCAGCTCGTCTGTCGGTCGCAGCGAATGCAAGAGAGCGATGAGCTCGGCCAGGCTTGTCACGCGACTGACATGAATTCCGGCCAACACGGCTGCCACCAACCGACGCACCTCCTCTGGCATAGCTTCCCGTTGCTGAGGCAGCGCCGACCTCGAGGACATAGTCTCTCCATCTGGACCGTGTGCACTTTGCTCCTGATCTAGCAATGATGACCACAGCGAGGTCACAGCCTTCCAAGCTGCGTCGCTTATCCTTTCTGGCAGCAATGCGCCTTCGCAATCGATGATCAAGACTTGGTCTGCGCAGGCTATTTCAGCATCCCAGAACTCTTCGGAGAAGTAGCTCGGGTCGTCGAATGTGCCGGGAGGGTCGCTCGGCTCGGCTACTGACTCGTCACTGTCATCGTGCACTTTGAGCGAGTCTCGAGCTCTGCCGAGGGCACGCAGCCTTTCGGTGACGGCGAATTGGAGGAGCAGGCTGGTCTTGCCGCTGCCGGGCGGACCCAGCACTTCGAGTGTGGATCCGGATGGGAGGCCGCGATCTGCAAGACCAAAGTAGGGTCGCCTGGAGCTGGATGCATCGTTGTGAGGGTCCGACGATGAAGGACCGTCGATGCGAGCGTGCTCACGCTGTACGACCTCAGCGATGCGATCGAGGTCGAGGTCGAAGGATCGAAAGCCGGTTAAGGACCACCCTCGCTTTGATGGAAGATCTTCCACTGCTGGTGGAAGCGGACGTGCAGGGGGTTGCTGTGCTTGCACTGGCAATGGTGGACGTGGAGGAATGGCTTGTAAGAGTGCACGGCGCGGGGACTCTTGAGCTGCGTTGCGAAGTGTGGGCGGTGCACGCGGGGGCAAGAGCTTTTCTAGGTCTTCGATGCTGCGCTGTGGCATGGGTATCAAAGTGACGTTGCGCGAGGGCGCGAGGGGAGATCGCTGCGAATGTGAGGGCGTGGAAGGCAGCGGTAGGGGCCGTGAGATGCCAGAAAGCGGTCTAACATTTGAGAAAGAGGGTGAGGTGAGCGGTCCTGTGGACGATGAGCTTGCATGGGAACGGTGCAGCTCGCTCGATGTCTGCGATCGGGGAGAGGTTCCATTGGCGATCGAGTCCGAGTCTGGAAGGCTCAACCGTGTTCGTTTCGATTGTGGAGTCATGGAATGATGATACGAGGATGAAGGCGCTGGAGGTGGATGGCTGAAGCGCAAGGCAGACTTGAGTGGTGTGGTGTCGAGCGATCGTGAAAAAGAAGGCGTGGTGGGTGCGACGAGTCGAGGTGGAGATGAGCCTCGAGCTGGTGTGTGTGATGTTGCTGACGGCTGATGAGATTCATTTGGGCGATCCGTCGAGTGTGTATGAGCGGGCAGCACCCGGGAGAGGAGGCGCTGCGACTGGTGAGGCTGACTGGGACCTGGAGCAGAGTCGAGCTGGTTCCCAGTCAGGTAATCGTGCGAGTGGTTGGACTGCATGGTGGGGAACGGGAAGGGAGGAGCGGCGATGGTCACCGTCGACGAAGATGAAGTGCGCGAGAGAACCATGTCTGTTTGGATGGCAGCAGCAGGAGGAGGGTTGCGGCTGAGTCGGCAGCTCATGAGGAGGCAGCCACGATCTGCCTGATACTCGTTGTCGCGACCGCGTCCATTGGTGACTGGCTGCAAAGAGCCTACTGCGGATGGTGGTAGCGCGTGTGGTAGCATTCACCTCGAAGCAAACTGAGCCATCTGGCGCCACTCTGATGATGAAGCCCCTCGTGAACAAGCAAATTCGCATGCAGCCAGCTGCGCCTTTTCCTATGAGGTGGAGACCAACACCTTACGTGCGAGTCGAGCGACGCGTAAATTGGCCTCAGCCACGCGTATCTCGAAGAGGCAGGCTTTGAAGTAGATCGAGCCCCCATCGTCAACCCAACCGCACCCACTCGAGGCTGCCTCTGGCTCATGCTTGGTGACCGAACAAGTGATCATAAGCAAACAATGTCAAACGTCGAGTGCAATTGAATCGGTTGGTCACACTTGCAGCCATTGTTTGACATGCGAATCTGTTCAACAATGCCAGTTATGAAGCCGCCTCGAGGACGGAGCCGCCAGTCAGAATGGCCTTGAAGTCGTCGATCTGTCGAACGCGGGGATCGTCATGGCGGCAGGCAATCTTGTGCCTTCTGAGTGGTCTAGGCCTGTTGCACCGGCGAGGCTGCGCTTTGAAATGGTGCTGCTGTCACAGGTCCGAACTGCCGGAAAAGACCAAATTCTGGAAAATCGATAGGCGGGGCCCAGGCGTCTGTCACGGTTCGCTTGTCCTGCTTGCCAGCCTCGAACCGTCGAGGTCTCACTGAACACTAGCGCGAGACGCTGGAAGCTTGCAGGTAGCATCGAGATAAGACGACAAGATGCTTTCAGAGCTCGTCACAAACAGAACAAGCTGTAAAGCGAACAAGACGGAGCTCGACACCACCGATGTCAGAGCTTGGTGCGACCGGCTTTCTTCATCTGCCCACCAAGGCGAACAAGCTTGCGGCGGGCGAATCGCCGAATTAGAGTTTGTGTACCTGTATCGTCACTGCACAGCACAGCACAGAGAGAGCTTTGTACTTTGAGTTGGAGCTCAGTGAATTTCAATTTGGCAGAGCGGTACAAAGGAACGTGGGCGGATCGACTGGCTGGCGTCACCCTCGACCCAAGTTAGACTCTGGCTGCAGCCCTGTTTCGCTCGCTCGGCTGTGGGAAATGGAATTTTTTTCTCTCGTGTCGGCCAATCGCACTTTTTCTGATACGCTTTTGGCCTGGCATGGCTGGTGTCTCACTCACCTTGGCTGACTGGCTGGCCGACTGGTTGAGTAGCTCACTGACACGGCGGTGCGACTTGCAAATCAGTCCTCCTCGCCTTTCTCCTCCTCTCTCCCTTTCATTGACATCTATAGTCTCACACGACCACCATCTCATCCTCGCCCATCGATCATCACAAGGACTCACATCCTCTTTCAAACGCACCAAACCATCCTCTTCAGCCAACTTATGCTCGACCCCAGTTGTAGACCCTATCAGCGTGCTTCATCTCTGATCCCGTCCAAGGCAAGCTGCCTTTCTGTTGGCCAGCTGCTTCTCTTCCTGGACTCCTCCGACCGTCCTCCCTAACGTAGATCAGCCCTTCTGCACATCTCTGTTGAACAATCTCGCGTCCGACCATTATCGGCGGGCACTCTGATACAAGCCAACGCGTCAAGCCTATCACAGCGCTTACTTTTCACCCCGACCTGACTACGACGAGCTTGGCCTCCATTGCCAACCGCCCTCTGTAGCCAACCCATGATCGGCGCCATCTTTGCCATCCTCCGTCTCTCCACCCGCTTGGCTTGAATCCCACGCTGCTGGTCCACCCTCCCGGATCCCAGCACCACTTTTAAGCCTCCTTGACCCATTCAAGCGTCGCCTACAACCCTCTTAAACATTACCAATCCAGCTTCGCAGCTCAAAGCCAGCCACCATGGTAGCCCTCGCTCTGCCTAGACGTCAGAAGGACTCTGGCTCCGGCGAAAACACCCCCTCGTCCGAGATGCCGCCTCCTCTGGCTGCAGTCCACGCTGCCACTTTTCACGGCAAGCCTTCTGCCGATCTTGCTGCTCACGACGCTGCACCCGAGGTGGAGCGCGTCAAACCAAAGCGCTCTTCCAGCTTCGGTCGTGGCCTCGGCCAGCTCGCCTCCATGACCAGCGGCAAGCCCAAAGGCGTTGACCTCTTATCCTTCGCACGCACCAAGTCGGGTGCCTCCACCCCTCAATCGCCCTCTCCGGCTCCTGCGGCCGACAATGTAGCGGCTGCTGCTTCCATCCTCGCCAACGGTGGCGGCAACACGCCCTCGCTCATGGGTCCACCTTCCTCTCCGGACCCGTCCCATCTCACTCAGTTCTCACTGCAGCTCAGTGATCTCGTCAACAAGGCCTTTGTCCCCTGTAGCGTTGCAAACACTCCGGCTGCCAACTCAACTTCGGTAGCCTCAAACGTAGCCGCTGCCACCAAAGGACCTTCCGCCCCCAAGATCAACCAGATCACCTACGACGGCAAGCATCTTCCCGACAAGGCCAAGATCATCGAGATTGCACAGACGGTCGTGGGCGAGCTGCGCTACGCCGAAGCCGTTGATGCTTACCTTCTGCGTGCCGTCTCGCGTCAGATCCTCAAAGCACTCACTCTCTTTGCCGCTCGCATCGACTCTCTTCTCGTCTCGCCCACCAAGGACCCTGGTGCGCTCCGAATCCCTACCAACGCCAAGGAAGGGCTGCTGCTCCCAGCTGCTATGGAATTCAACCTCGGCCTGATTTCGCTGGAGTGGATCGTCGAGGACAGCTTGGAGCGATGTCTCGAGGGCGATCGTGACGGTCATGGTGAACTCATCGTCGACGAGAACGGCGCGGTCCACGATGGCATGCCTCACTTTGTCTCCGAGATCCTGACGCCCGTCCGCAAGCGCATGGAAGGCACCATCTTGCACATCATCCAGCCCATCCTCGCCCAGACCAAGCAGTCCATGGCCCGATGCATCTCATCGGCCGTTCCGACGCCCTTTGTCAGCCCCGTCACGCTTTCTCCCGCTACGACCACCGCATCGGGCAACGGCATCGGTCCGACCGCTCTTGGCGCTGAGAATGGCACCGTCTCACCTCCTCTGTCGGCTGCGGCATCGACCACGGCACTCCACGTCGCCACCCCTGGCAACGTCTCCCCGCCCCTTCGCCTCGGCGAGACGGGTCCAGGGTCTGCTTGGTTGCGCGAGCTCGACGGGCGCCTCGAAGGGGCCCGTAGGCTTCTGCTCCCTCGCATCGAGGAGCGTTGCGGACAGGACGGCGAGGGCTGGTTCATCTCCGTCGCCATCCACATCATTTGGAAAGGCCTCATGATCCTCACGTCTCGCTCCGTCTCTTTGCCTAGCAACGCTGCTTCCGAGCTGCTTGCAGGAAGCAACGCAGCCAGCGCCTCTGCGTTCGACCGACTCCTCGGCGAAGTCAACCAGAAGCGCAGCCCTTCGCCTGCTCAGCTCGCCACCGCTCTCAAGGCTGTCGGCGTCGGCTCCGTCCGAAGCAAGAGTCGGAGCCAGGATCCTGCCAGCCACATTGCCGACTCGGGTCGCCAGAGTCCTTCTCACTGCGCTGCGACAGGCCTCGCTCAGATCGCCCCCTTCTCGCTCGTCAGCGCCCGTCTCTGCGCACACCAGCTGGCTGAGCTGCAGACCTTTGAGAAGCTCATGCTCCGCTTCTGTGACGGCTTCCTCCGAACGCAAGTCAAGAAGACGGGCAAGGAGGCCAAACGATCCCGTTTCGCCCTTTTCTCTTCTGGCGGCGGAAGTCTGGGTGGGGCCAACCAGATCCCTCTCGATCTCTCAGCGTACGACCCGGATGAGGAGGACGAGCTTGCCCGTGCTGCGCTCGCCGAGGCTATGCATGCTCTGCGAAGCACCATCCTCGTGCTTCAGTCGCTCGAGCGTGAGCCTGCTACCATTTGCGAAGGGCTCAGGCAGCTCAAGAGCCTTCCTGATGCCGCAGTCGATCGAGCTGCTGCTGATGCCTCTGGCACGGCTGCACCTGCTGCTCTTGGCTCGGAAGCAACCAAGGCGCTCGACGCGATCCCCAACCTGCTGCTCCTGCAGATCCTGTACAATCGTCTGCCGTTGGGCGCTGGTCGTCTAGAGCTGCCTTCGCCTCCTGCGCTATTCGGCTACACCTGGACCGACTACGAGAAGGCCATCGCTGGCTTTGCAGGCGGCGAGCAGTGGGCTCAAGCTGTTGCTCAGCGGTACAAGCCCGAGATCGAAAAGGCCTGGAGGTCCATTGCCATTCGAAAGGACGAAAGGATCGCCGCGTTGGAGCAGAAGGTGGCTGCTGGCGGCAACGGCGTTCGTTCTTCGCGCTCTGTGTCGGGTGCTTCGTCTCGCGGCAAGTCGGCCCTTGCACGAGGCGGCTCGCTTCACTCGGAGGAAGAGGACGAGGATGATGATGCAGATGGTGACATGCCCGATGCTATGTCGCAGTCTGTGCCCGAGCTCAAGAAGCCTGACAACGCGAATGTGGTTGCCAAGGGCAGGAACAGCGATGAGCAGCTGAGCAGCGTTGATGCTGCTGGCACCGGTACCACCCGTGGCCGTCTGTCGCCTGTTCGAGCCCCGCGCCGCAGCTCGACCCTCGCCCATCCAGCTATGGCTGAAGCGACTGCTGCTGCTGCTGCTGCCTCGGGCGCTCCTGCGACAACCAACGCTGCTGCTGTTCCTGCACCCAAGTTCTGGCGCAGGAGCACCTCGAACGGACGCAGCGGCTTCCACCTCTCCTTCTCCGGTCTTCGCGCCCACTCCCCTCGCACCGAATTTCCCTTTACACCACCTGTCAACGCTCCCACCACCGACCCGCTCCTCGGCTCCACCACGCCCCTCACCGCCTCGCCCACTCACGCTGCCGCCACGCTCATCGCCAGCCCCGCTGCTGCGACGGAAACCCCCTCCTCCCCGCCTCGCGCCCTGGCCCCCACCAGCGACTCCGAAACCATGGAAGCAGAAAAGCTGCTGCTCGAAACAAAACTCGAACAGCGCTCCCTCAACGTCTTTGCCACCGCCCTCATGTACGCCGGTCGCGGATCGATCCACATCGAACTGCGCTAGCCCTTCCCCAAATGTAGACGCACACGAACCCCCTTAGAGAGAAGAATGCATTAGATTGGAATACTACAACTGTTTGGACCGGTAGAGGAGGATGTAAGCGACGCTGTCCTCACCCCCACCGTCGAGGGCGGTGATCTTGTCCCGTCCCACCAGGCTGACTTTATCGTCGTCGAACTTGTACCATTCTTCGTCGGCTTCTGTCTTGTCCAACTTCTCCTTGTTCTTGCCCTTGGCAGGGGAGCCGGCAAGGGCGTGTTCGGTTTCCTCCTCAAGATCGCGTCGGACCCAGGAGATGTAGTGTCCTGCATCGGCGGCTGCTCCCTTGTGGGTGACGACGCCGACCAGCTCGTACAGCGCGGAAGGGTTGCACCCCGTATCGGCAAGAAGGTCCGGGTGAATGGTGGATCGGATGGTTTCTCGTTCCTTGGCTCGTTCGGCTAGTTCTTCCTCCTCCGATAGGGCCTGACCTAGTTTCGAATCTTCCTTCCCCTCCCCTTCCGTAGACGGGGCAGTGGTAGCGTCGGTCATGGCCACATCCTCCTGGGGAGCACCGGCCTTGGCCTCCCGCGCCGCCTTCTCCTCCGCCACCCTCCGTGCCACCGCCCGCTTCCGAATCTTGGCCCGTTCATCCCGATCCTTCTCAATCTTCTGGATCGTCACATTCGTCTCCTTCACCTTGGCCTTCAACTCATCCGTCAAAAACGGTGTCGCATCCAGCACAAAGGGGAACTTGACCTTGCGCATGATCTTGGTCTTCTTGTTGATATCGCGTCGCCAGTAGAAGCGCACAAAGTGGGTGGCGAGGTAGGCGGGCAGTCGATCGATCCGCGACGTCTCGTCGTACACCGCAGTGCGGTTGAGACTGGAGGACGTCTTTTCGATCTGCTGGTTGAGACTGTCGAGGATGCCGGAGGACATCTCGTTGGTGGTGGACGAGATGTTGCATTGGAGGATCGAAAAGGGGTCTTTGCTGAGCGAGGCGGGTTCGTCGGGCGCCTCGGCGGAAGAGCGCTTGATGACCATGTGACCGGTGAGATACTGCTCGACGAACTTGCGCGATGCGTCAGCCCCGGCCTCGGAAGAGGGGGCGAGACCGTGCAGGCTGTTCTGGAGGGCTTGGACGATGCGCACCCACACCTCTTCGGCGTCCTGCTGAGCGAAACCGTGACCGTCGCGCGTCATCTCTGCAAACTGCGGCGCGACTTGGCGGAGGATGGTGAGGAAGGCGAAGGGCGGGAAAGGCTCTGTAGTTTGCGAAAGGTTCTTGTACAGATCCCGCAAAGCAGCCGTCAGATTCCTCTCGCCATCGGCACCGCCCAGATTGCCGTCAAAGTGACCCAGCGCAGTCTGCAGCTCCGGAATCGCACGTAGCACCTGTAGCGTCGAGTTCAGATAGCATGTGTTGCCGAGGTTCGTCAGCCCAACCCGCGACTTGGTCGCAAGCGCCAGCTCCGAGTCGGTGAGATCCTCGATGAACGTGATGGGACCCGTAGGGGCTTTGGGCAGCTCACCCGCCGTGCCGATCACCATGAACGTCTGCCCCGGTCGCGCACCGATCTTGGTCAGATCATGGTCGTCCTTGAGCATGCCACCCTTGACCATGACCTTCATACGGTCCGAGGGCACGCCGGTCTTTTCGTAGATCGCCTGCTTGAACGCCGTGGCGGGCTGCGAGGGGTCGAGCTGGATGTCGTGCAGCTTGCCATTGTGCTTCACCTTGATGGGGATTGTAGAGGCCATCTTTGCCATCACTGCTGAGGTGGAAGGAGGAAAGAGGTGTTGGTGTGGGAGAAGGACGAAGGAAATGAAACTGAGCTTTCCAAGCTGGCTGATGCGGCACTGCGCGTTGGGAAGGAAAGTGGAGTGGGAGAGCAACAGAGCCGTGTGTTGGCTGACAACGCGTCTTTGGCCGCCGCACGATCACCGAGAAATTCTGAAAAATGCTGAAAAAAGGTGAATTAACCAAATCATTTTTCTGACTGGAATTGAGCGTCGAAACTTGCCACCTGAGGGTATAGCACAGACAAAAGCTCGTACTGCAAACCAGATCGTACGGCTATCGCCGAAATGGACCTCTTCGAGGGCGCATCCTTTGTCAATCTTAAAGAACGCTGGTGACGAGCTCACATCGGCCATGTTCTAGCAACACTGTGGGCAGCCAATCAAGACAGACTGCAGAAGAGCAACCATCGGAAAAGAAATGCTATGCGAAGAGGTACAAGTACAAATGTGTGTCTGCGTGTAAGAGGAAAATGTCGGGAGATGCAAGAAGCACCGAACTGCGAAGAGGAGAACTATGGGACATGCTAGATGCTGAGTGCTGGAGCTGCTTCTATAGCAAGTCAAAGTCGTCCAACTCGTCATTATACCTCGCGATAGTCCTCTTAATCTTGCTTGTGTCCACCCAAGTCACGAAGTCCTCCATGTTCCTCGTCACCATGAATGCCGGATCACTGATGGTATCCGGTCCGACCCTAACATGGCCCTGTTCGACGTACTTGACCGCCTGTCCGACCGTTTCCGACATCTTCAACCTGACCATCACCACCGGTAACCTCCTCCTGCAGAACGCCGAGACATTCAACTTGTTGGTGATATCCGACATCTTGGCTCCCGTATCGAGCAGGCCCATGTCGTACAGCTTGGCAAGCATCCCCTGTTCATGCTTGCCCCGGAACGGATCTGCCACCGGCAGGGTGGAGAGACGGAGGGCAAGGTGCCGAAGCTTGCCCACCAGCTTGTTGTACTTGTGATAGTCATCGCGATCTTGAATGTGATAGCGTCGCATCACCTTGACTTCGCGCATGCCCGCATCCTGCTTCCAGTCGAGAAAGTCATGCTTCTTGAGCAGCTTCTGCTCGTGGTGTTTGAGCTGCCTCATCGTGAATGTGCTTGTCGGGTCGGGGTTGGGCTTTGAGGAGGACTGCGATTCAACGGCCTGCTATGGTGGCTGTGGACCGTTCCTAAGGGGGTCCGATCGTGATTGTCTGACGCTTGGAGAATGCTGTAGTGTAGCAAGGTCGTGGCTTAGCGGTCGAGCGAGTACAGTTGCTTGAAGACGGAAGCTTCATGCAAAAGTCAGGATGAAGGTGAGATTTACTCGTCAGGGTCGTGGAGAAAATTTTGGATTCGGGTCTCGGCCACGGCGAATAGAAATTTTAGGCATTGTAAGGAAGCGAGTGTCAACATCTTGGACAAGTTCAGTGCGCGCACAGCATCACCATATGGCTGAGGCCGTGTATTGAGGACGAAAGGCGGGCAATGATGGCATCGCACAGAGAAAAGAAAGCATCAGAGTCCATTATAACAGTACGACAGGAGGAAGAAACTAGGTATATAGAGAACGTAATCAATCAGGCAGGAGGATAAAGTACTTTCAGCGAGCAGATAAAGTTGCGACCAGGCACAGTGTCGACACCGCGCCGACATGGCCTTCAGTTGAGTACCGCCAAGAGCACCACCGCCACCACAAAGCCGACCACCAGCAACAGAATGATGCATCTCCTTCCTGCTTTCCTCTGATACTCATGTGCCACGACCAGCTCCCGATCTGCGCCCGCCGTGTTCTCCGCAATCGAGTTGATGTTGAACTCAATGTTGTCGATCATGCCTCCCTGCTCCTGAACAATGTTGCCAAGGTCACGGAAGATCTCGTTGAGCTCCTGGACGCCGGACTCGATTTCACGGATCTCAGCTTCACGCGAGGTGATGAGCGATTCCTGATACTCAAGATCCGCTTGCGTCGGTCCTTCTGGCAACAGATCGAGCGACTCCGCCTGCAACCCACCTTCCGCGCCGCCGATCGCTGCTGCAGAACGATCAGACTCTTCCGTGTCAATGAGCAGCTGCTGGGAGTTGCGCGACTTGAGCATCTGTCGTTCCTTCTGCTTGTCCTGCTCCAACTTGGCCCGTGTTTTTGCGACTGCCTCCTTCTGGACTCGCTGGAATTGGAGAGCTGCAGCCTGGAAATCGCGTTGTAGCTTGCCTTGCGTCAGCTTAGCACCGCCGTTTGCTGGACCGAGAGGGAAGGTGGACAGCTGCTTGATGTCAGCTGTGGCATCTTTGACGAGTTCGCGCGTGGTCTCTATCAAGTCGTTGATGCGTTTGCTCCAGTCCTGCGCGCCTGCCTTGCCGGACGCGTTTGAGGAGGAGAGTGTGATGAGTTTCTGAATCGCCGTGACATTCGAGTTGATCTTGAAGATCTGGATGCCTATCTTGCTCGAGAGCTTTTCGAACTCTGGTGGAAGTGCCGAGGAGACTTCGTCGCGATACAATGGGAGGGGCGTCTTGCGAGATCCGCCGCTACCACCAGAGCCGCCTCCGCGGGACGAGGAGCCCCGTTCGAGGTCGTTGAAGGACATTAGCACGAGAGCTCAAGAGAGCAAATAGAGGTTCTCGTCCAAAGATGACTAGTGCTGAAGGCGCTTTTTGCGGTGGTGGGAGTCGAAGACGCGCTAATATTGCTAATCTGTAGCAAAGATGAGTGCTCGCTGAAGGACCCTTGCGGATGTCTGTGGTAAGTGTGGTCCGGTGCCGGTACGGCGGCGGTTCGGCTGGCTTGATGAGGCTTCGCAAAGTATGTCAAGTGCCGTGAGTTGTCTGTGTATGAGGAGAGTCGATATGGTGGGAGGATAGTGATGGATGCGAGAAGTGAAGCAAGGGTCCTCCTCCTCGAGCGTCGAAACGTGCTACTGCCGGTGCTGCCTGCCCCTCTGGCTGTTTGCCTGTTGAATGACGCATCAGCCTGTGCTCCCGATGCTGTGTCGAAATTTCGATCCCCGCTCCAACATCTTTTCTTCAAGTCTAACACCCATGCCAGAAAATCGGCCTTGCATGAGCCAAAAATTTCAAGACCCGGCAAAGCACTTTTTTGATTTATTCCAACTGCACCTCGATCCTCCTCCAACTCTCCCTCCCCCCATTGCCTTCGCACCCATATACCCAGCATCACCGGAGGTAGAATCGGATCACGATGGACCAAGAAATGGACCTCACGCTGTCAGGAGCGGCACGTGCTCCAGCTCTTGCATCAACATCAAGCGTCTACCGAGCAAAGGAGCCGTTCCATGTGCAGGTCATTCCGCCGAATGCTCAAGCGAACGCTTCGCCAGCCTACGTCACACATCTCCTCTCGCTCTCGACATCCTTCGGCGTACCAACACTGCTTGCTGTTGCGGACGACAGCACGCTCACGCTGATCGACAAGACGTCGGGTGTTGTTGCCGAGTCGCACCGAGCGTTCAAGGATGCGAGGATCACACAAGCCAAGCCACTCGGCACCGGATCCTCTGCTGGCAGCTTCGTGGCTAGTGTCTCGAACGGTACCGTGGCATGCTGGGACACACGGATTGGATTGACGAAGCCAGTATGGACGCTACAGGGGGCGTCGAAAGCACCGTACCTGTGCGTCGAGCCTTCGCCGAACGACAAGAACACGGTGGTGGCGGGCACAGAGCAGTACGGCCACGGAGACAGTGACATTGACATCTGGGACATTCGCTCCCTAGCAGCACCGAGGAGCAAGTACAACGAGGTGCACAGCGACGACATCACTGTGCTCCAGTATCATCCTGATGCGGCAAATCACGCTGGCATCCTGCTGAGTGGATCTACGGACGGTCTGGTGTCAGCTATCGACACGACCATCGCGGAAGAGGACGATGCGGTGATCTCGGTCGGCAACACGGGCAACTCTGTAGCGAGAGCAGGATGGATTTACTCGACATCATCTGCCGCTGGGTTGTCGAGTACAGCAGGTGCGATGGACACGGCCATGGACGGAGACGAAGAAGCCGACCTTTCCCAAGTCGAGACCGAAGCACGCCGTCGAGCACTGGGCAAGGTGTGGGCGGTAGGAGACATGCAGACGCTCTCTCTCTTCGACGCCGACAAGTTCGATCCCATTCTGGTCACCACAGACGTTCGATCGTCTTCGTCCCTCCGACCACCCTGGTCCACAGACTATGTCATCGACGCTTTCACCACTCTCCCCTCCTTCCCGAACCCCTCGGCGAATGAGGAGGAACAGCTCAAGCTCTTCGTTGGCAAGTCGGAAGGCGCTTTCGCGACCATCTCCGTACCTACTTCAGCCGCGGACGCCACATCAAGTTGGAACCTCCGAGCGGTGTTCCCAGAGCAGGGGGACGGTACCTTTTACGGTCATGCGGACATCATCAGGTCGGTCGAATGGGACGGTGCCACCAACACGCTGTATACTGGTGGCGAGGACGGAAACCTGTGTTTCTGGAACTTTGACTCGACTTCTGGCCAAGCGGTGGCGACAGGATCGATCGCGTTGGGCTCAGCTCCGCCAGTACCAGCAGCGATGTCGTACAACGGAGCTGGAGATGACAGTCAGAGCTCGAGCCGGTCGGGCTCGCGCAACGCTACTCCAGGGCGATCGCAACGATACACGCCGTACAAATAGACAGCCCTCTGTATTGGCTCGGTTGACCACACCTGTCGCGGTTCCATGAATGACTGTATTACTATTGCAGAACAGATTCCGTTCAGAGACTGTGTTGCTGATGCGCCGTGTATGAGAACAGAGGGTATTGAGTCGGAAGTGAGTCGGAAGGCGGACGGAAATGTTATTGCTTTGCAAGAGCAGGTCTTGCATCGAAGCTTCTATTTCCTCCGGCCAGCAGGAGTCGTGGCAGGCGCGGCCGCGGTGGCCTGCATTGGCTGCTGTGCGACCTGCTGCGTGTTGCCCTGGTAGCCGTTGCCACCTGCCTGCACCTGATTCTGAGCCTCGCTCTGTGCCGGGTGGGTATCGTGTGGCGACCTTGGTGTCAGATCCGGCAAACCCTTTGCGATGTTCTCCTCGCCCTTGACCCTGAGCAGCTCCTCGAGCAGCATGGCGTTCCTCGAGTTGGTTCTCCACGCGGCCATCACTACATCGCCCACCAGCGGCACGAAGCCGACACCCGTCGAGACGGCGTTGTTGAAGATCATCTGGCGGATCAACCAGTCCGGCCTGTCCTCGTACTCCTTCTTCACGGGCTTGACCACCAGTGTGTGGTTGAGGATCGCATTGACCAGATCACCCAGACCGGGCACGATACCGATGAAGAACGTCCATCCGAAGCGAAGACCGCAGAGCGAGAAGCCCTTGTCGAGGTAGTGCGCGCGCTTCTTGATCTTCTTCAGCAGCTTGGCTTCGGCGCGTGTGAGACCAGGTGGGAGAGGTCGCTTGCGTCGCTTCTGCTTGCCGTTGGACGCCGTGTAGAATTCGTACAGAGGGTCCTCCGTCTCGTACTTCTTAGCCTGACCAGAGACGAAGCGCTTGGTCACTTTCGAAGCGACGTAGCTAGCCATCTTCGAAGTTGGGCGCTGTGATTTGATGTGTCGAACAGGATGCCAAGCGTGATCCTTGGATGTCTGGGATGATGTCCGCGAGCTAGGATGGGACGAATGAGTTGGTGGTAAGCAAGAAAGGCGCAACTATTTGAGCCAAAGAGTATCATACCCTTTTCAAGCAACACAGAGGGACCCTCGACTCCGCATTCATGCAGCCGAGCCACTGTGCCCTTTCAACCAGCAGCGGAGGGCTGAGTGTGTTTCTTTCCTAGCACAGCCAACGCCGGCGCTATTTTTGGTGGTGGCTGTGACGTAGCCTCGCGATCTGGACCCTGCCTTGCACACTAAAGTCACACACCACACAGCCTGACGAGGCGCACTCGAGAACTTCACGTCATGTCTCGGCCAGAGCCGGAATTTCGCATTCATACTCGATGCGAGGGTCTAACAACCTTGCATAGATTTTTTGCCACTGCGGTCGGCCGTGACTCCGAATAGCACTGTCAGCTGAATACACGTCGTGGTATGCTTAGTGCCAACACGATGCTCCATCTCGGTAAATGATCACCCTTCGTTGGTCTCGATCAGTCAAGCTTGTGGACCTAGCTTCAAGTGCTCGCCGTCCGCTGCATGCTGCTTGAGCATCGAGCCAGGGTCAAACTTACACCGCCTGCTTGTCTCGGGTCGGCACACCAATCATGTTTGTCGAGATTGTCAAAGCTTCATTTTTGCCCCGCCTTGTGTGCGATGTTTACAGCGTACAAGGAGAAGGGCGAGGAAACGGCGAGACCAACTGTTCGGAGATGTCGCTCCATGACACCTGCTTTCGAGATAGTCGGGACGCGCTGATTGGAGACGTCATTGCGGCGGAGGACGCACTACATGTAGCCGTACGATATCTTTCGTTCGAAGAAGTCTTCGACAGTCAACGGTTTGACCCACTCCGCTTGTTGAGTGGCCGCTGACTCGGCATGCTCGCGTTTGAGCGACGTGTCCACTAAACAGTCTCTGCGAAACCGCAATCCAAGAGCGTGGTATACAAGGTTGGGACGGAAGTCGCTGACTTCCAGTACCTGAAGTCTGAGAAATCCTCGCTTCTGGCGCAGAGTCGGTGTGTATCTCTTTATGACATCGTCAAGGGTGAGGGAAGTATGGTAAGCTGTCAGGATGTAGATTGTCACGACGCAGTCGCCCCTAAGTAGCTGTTCTGGAATCGAGCACAGAATCGGAATCACCGTGGAATTGAACCATTGCTGGACCTTGTGAGCCTCCAGTACCTGGCATCGTAAGCGTCGAGAGATGAGCTTAAGTTCCTTGAGATTCGGATGGTGCTGCTTGAGGTGACACATGGCAGTCATCAAGTCGGCGTCGATGAATGTACGCGGGTACCACAGCAAAAGCGTGAGCGATTCGAGCGAAGGACATGCGGTCGTCAGGAGGCCACACGTGGCTGTATCACTTCTGCACACCATTGGGGCTATGGTTTGATCCCGAGGTAGATTGCAGGTATCGCGAGGGACGAGGAAGAGGTTGGCGTAGTCATCCGCGGAAATGCCTGAGTTTCCATCCATCAAGAGCACACGTCGTAGACGCGGAAAGCCGACACCGACGTGCTGAATGAGATCCTGGAAGCGGGGCAAGAGCGCCGTTTCGCTCGTTTCCGGCAAGACTTGCAAGAGATGGGAACATGTCGGGTCGAATTGCCAGGGCAAAGCCTTGCCATAATTGCGAAACTGTGCATGGAGACACATTGAATCATCGCTCAAGGTGATGAGCAGGTCATCGATCTGGAGCGTCTCCAAGCTCGGTGCGCTGGCGAGGAGGATGAGAAAGGTGTGAGCGATCTTGCCGATATCCTGACCCGCGTAACAGCTTGAGTCGAGCATTCTATATTTGATTGACAGATGACGAATGTGCGGCAAGAGTACGGCGGATGCGTCTGAAGTCAACGAGGTGATAGGTTTTTGCACTTCAGTCTGCTTTTCCCCGATGGCAAGGAAGGGCAAGAGGCTTGGGGCCATGAGGTCGTGGAAGCGCTTGCTTATGTACGGGAGCGTATATTTGAACCATTTGATGAGGGGGCAGTACACGCAAGCCAAGTCAGGTCTGAGGGTATACGTATGAGCATATCGTAGGCACGAGTGATTTACAGAGTTCCAGAAGATGTCGAGGAAGAGGAAGTGGATGATCAATATGAGAAGCTCGTCCGGGAGACCCATCATCAACGGAGACTTGATGTGAGCAAATTTCAGAGAGCTGCTGGAGGTAGCAAGCGTGCCCACAGGGTCGACATCTTGATGAGTTTCCTTGTCTTCGTGGCTGATCTCGTTGACAGACGGATTGCGCTGAACGTCGAGTGTCTCCGGCTTGGTACTGCCGAAAACAGGCTTGTGCTCTTCTTTTGCCATGTTGGTCAACGCGTGAAGCTGCGTCTCAAAGTCTATCAAAGTTGATTGCTGTTCAAGATGTCGATGAGAGACGGAAGGAAGGAAGCGGCTCGGAGGAGCGGTATCGACTTCTTTGAAGCGCTGGGTCGGCTGCGCGAACGTCTCGACTCAGCCTCAGCTGGACGCTCTTTGCGCAGTCACGTCACGGAGACAACTCAGCCGTGATTTCAGAGAGGAGGTGGGACAAGCGTGCTCACCTTTCGCGCTATGGTCAGACTTCCTATAAGCACATGTGGGACACGCTACAAATGTGGCGCGACGTCATTCTGATATGAAGCTGAGCGACATGCATCGAGCTTGTCGGCTTTGATACAATTACAAGCAGGGATGCCTATGTGGAGCGGAAAAGCTTGGCTGCAGGCGAAGTCGTATCGACTGCTGATGACGACGAATGGCGATGTCTACATGTCACGCCAGGGCACACCTGATCGAAGGCTCCGGTAAGAAGCTCCCTTGCCGTTGCACTCGTCGGCGCAGGCTTTTCCGGTTCTTCCTGGCGCGGATTGAAGCTTGTTGTTCAGTCAAGCAATCGGGATCACCTCGCTAAGCCTCAGAGGAGTCGGCGCCCTAGTCGCTTCCACTTGAGTGTTGTCTTCGACCGAGCAAGTACTGACACCATTGGCATGCAATCGGATCGTCAGCCTTGGCGCAGAGATCTGCTGGCAGGATCTCTTGACAGAGGTGCTTCGGCCAGCATCATGTTGGCCGGACAACCGAGCTTGTCAGCGACCCGCCCTTGCTTCACTAGACACCGAGAAGCGCAGTGATCCGGCTTGCCATTGTCTTGCTCAGCCGATACTCAATTGCGCAAATGCACGGCAGTATCTGCGCCAAACTAGGTTGTGCGGGACCGCTTGAAGCTTGTTCAGCAGCATTGATTTTCGCAGAGCTTTCTTCACTCCACACACATGACACGTTCCGAGCAAAGGACTAGATGCAAGATTGCAGCCCCTCGTGATTCCCGTAGCATCGCTCTCGGAGAACTTTGGTCGTACAAGTACAGAACGATAGTCGCCGGTGACCGGGAGCTCATGTCGACCTCCCGGCGAGATTGGCTGATGACATGCGCGGTAACTTACAACATGGAGGCCAAATTCATGCTGTTGAACAATCTCATCTGGTCACATGAATGCGGTGTGCAGATCGGTCACATCAAGTTGGTTGCACGCCGTGGCACAGGAATGTGCGTCTATCACAGTAGGAACTGTGCAACCAACCCACATGCCTGCAATCTCTACCCTGCTTTCGAATCGATCTATCGTCCTGATGCCTACCATGACCGAGCTCGTCGTCCGAAGAGCAAAAAGCGCTTGTTACCCTATCTTGCAAGTACCGTCTTGCCGGCTGTCACGACGGTCAGGTGCAGATCCCCGTTAGCGACTTCGTAACCGCATCGTTCTTGCCAGCTCACCAACCTTAAGCTTGCGTCGGCGCTGCCGATCCGCTCATCGCCACGGCCTTCGGCGTAGATGAACCGCATCCGCGAGACTCAAGCTCATCAAGCCAGAGACAGTCGCAGACAACTAGGCGCACGCCTCGGATCGGCCTGTCCAGGAATGCCACGGCTACCGGCGACATTGCCGAGAACCACTTCATCCGAAGCCGACCGACTCAGACAGCTTGGACTACCTGTCGTCAAGGCGAGCTCTTCCACTCCCCGGTATTCTATGTAGGTCAACCTGTGTCTTCCTATGCCGAAACACTCGCCAGCCACTTACACTTCATCTACCTGTCTTGCTTCATTCCGAACCTGACCGGTATGTCGACGCTAGACGGCGCAGTCCCGCCCGGCTTAGGCATCACCAAGCTTCGACTCTGGGACGACCTGCACCGGGCGCACTGCGAGACAATGCTTCAGCCCAGCTCGTCCGAATTCTCGGCCTGGAGTGCAGACGACGATACTATCGACACCGTCGAGCGCTACATCCAGCTTTGCACGAATCTGGGGAACCCGTCCACGTCTCGCGATTTGCAGCAGGAGGATTCGGAAGACAGTGACCAGCCACTGGCCGAGCTTGTCAGGACGAAGACACCGCACAGCCAAGAGGAGGGATTGGATGTCTTTCAACAAGCATTGCCCCCGCTGCAATCCGGCTGCCCCGCAACCGTCTCGGAGCAGGATGATGATGACGATCGTCAAGAGAGCATTCTGGATTGGTTGCTTTCTGACCACCAAAGGGACGCTTTATCGAGAAAGGACAGTCTCGAGTCGCTTACGACCCCAGTGGCGGGGCCATCGAGCTGCGCTGGAGGAATACTAATGCCTCCTCCCCCACCGAGACCCGGACCATCTCGACAGAAGCCGCCGCCTTTGGTTGCGAGGATCAAAGCCAAAGCTCGGCGTGCCAGGAGGAAAAAGCAGAAAGCAGAGTACCGACGACACCTCTTCCTCACTCACCTGGTCCAAGGCACCCAACAAGCTCGACGTCAACTGCAAGCATTGGCATCGCCGCTGTCCACGCAAATCGACAAAGGCAAGGCTGTGCAACCTCGTAGTCCGAAATGCTGGAAAGACGAGCACGTGGCGCAGCAAGCACTTATGCACTTTCCAGAATGCGCCGGAATGGACCTCGATAGCTTTGTCGAAATCGTGTTTGACACGGATGCACAGTCGACCGAGGTGACAGCGCCGTCGGATGTATCGGACGACGATCTTGCGTGGGCGACCAGGACAGAGATCGATACGCGCAAGATTCTGCGCGGTGCAGAGGTGATGGTGCCCAAGGGCGTCTTTCGATGGATGGTCGCCAGAGACTTTGCAGAGCGCTGGCCGGACAAGGTGCGTCATGTGCGCGACAATCCTTGGCCTGGACTGGAGAAGGTCTGGGGCGATCCGTCGCTCCAAACACCAAAGGGAGGCATGCGGTACGGAGTCGACGAGGAGCCAATTCGATGGCAGAGCGGTCGCCGGAGCAGATTCATCAGAAGGAAAGCGCCGTGTATTGTAGAGGAACGAGGCGGCGAGATCGTAAATCCGGCAGTTACTGGGCTGGGGATCAGCTTTAGCGATGGCCTAAGCGAGGCAGGTCCGTCCAGTAGCAATGCTCTGGGACTGTCGCTCTCGAGGGCAGCGACGGGTCTGCCGGGTTGGGCCCAGGTCGACCTCTTTGCTGCCATTTCGGAGGATCGTCCCAGACGAGAAGGACCAAAATAGACGAGGATAAGGGAGTGCACGAACGATTCGGGGAACTATATGGACCAGATCTGTTATACTACGCATATGTCTATTTCTTCTCGGCAGTGTCCAACACTGTTCAGAATGGGCATTCACATCGAGTTGAGGCTTGTCAGCGAGTGCGTCACGGTAGCAGTCGATGGACGGCCAGGCCTAACTTACGGATAGTCACGGGTCCTGTCGGAGGCGAAGATCGGCGTAGACCATGAAGCAAGAGGGTAAGCACACGACATCAAGGCAAGAGCCACGCGTTCGGTACACATACCATCATTCGTCAAGGAGACATCCATCATCTCTCCAAACGCGCCATCCTTGATCCTTCTGCTTGAGTAGCTATCGCCAAGCTTCTTGAGCAGCGCCTCGTAGATGACCCTCGCATCGCCCCCACCCATTGCACGGTGAAAGTCGGGCTTGGTCCCCTTGACCGTTCGCGCGAACAGGGTGAACTGCGACACGCAGAGCACTTCGCCGCCAAGCTCGACGACGGAACGCTTCCACGGCTTGCCGCCCCAGACCTGCTCTGCTCTCGCATTGCCACCTTCCTCGCCGTTGGCTGTTGGCACCGCTGCCGGGGTGTCGGAGTTGGTGGAAGATGACGCTTCAGGTTCGTATTGAGGCGGGACAGTGATCTGGTTGGCCTCCTGGTTGTCATTCCACAGCTTGGTATTGAGGATCTTGTTGGCGAGCGGAATGATCTCGGCGGCAGTGTCCTCCGTCGAAATACCGATCAGGGCTACAATGCCGGGGCCGATCTTGGAGACGAGCTTGCCATCGACTGGGTGAGCGCCAAATGAGGGTCAGTACTCGTGCCTACCACACTCGTAACGTGAGATGGACACCTACCATGCACAGTTGCGCCTTTGACGCGCTGCAGAACCGCTCGCATTGTTGCTGAGACGAGAGCTGCAGTGACAGATCTGAAGATGACGGAAGTGCAAGTTCGGGTTTGCGGCTGACGGATCGTAGCCGTATCACCTTTCTTCCCGACACGGCTAAATTGCCGCAGACGCACCGGACAATTCGCCGAGCAAAACCCTTGTTGAACTCGAACTCTCACCTTCATCATCAACCAACACGATCAAGATCCCACCACTTTGCCATTGTCAAAGATGAGGCAAGCTGCATGTCATCGGGACCGACGAGAATGGACCGAAATGAAGGTCGCTGCTCTCGATGCAGGTGAACACCCACCTCGCATTGGCACCCTCATTCAAGCCACGGAGCTGTGGCACCAACGATGAACAGCCCACATACATGCACAGCGATCCGGCGGAAGGGTGTTAGCAGCCAGAGCAGACGCTATGCTCGTCTTCTTCGACCGACTTGCAAAATTTTGTATGCTCTATGGACCTATGCCTGCCTCGAGATGCAATGCAGACCGACACGACCTCGACGAAGCCGGATGCTCGACCACGACTGTACCGACAGCCACGGAACCATAAGCAGCGTGGTCAACACTCGAAGCACCATCGATCTCCGTCCTCGCATGCCTCTTTCGCGTCTGTCAGCTCGGTTTTCGCCGGAACAAGCATGACTGCAGTGCGATCGGCCGTGGTGCCCAGTCCAACCACCTCTCAGCCACAGGCTGCCTCGCCTCTCAACGAACCACCGATAAGCGTCGCACCATCTCCATCAGCGGCATCCCTACCGAATGCAAGCAGCGCAGGCACCAGTCGTGAGCATCACAGCGCCAAGCCTAATCTAGCCATCCTAGCCGGAGCTATTCTTGGTGGCTTGATGCTCCTCCTTCTGATCATCGGGGCTGTCGTCTACTGGTGTGGGCATCGCAAGAAGGAGGCGACGAAGAGTAAGACGGTCCGATTCGCCAAGGGCATCGGAAACACATCCGCCGGCCCCACGAAACGTCCAGATTCCAGCGACTATCCGGACGACGAAAGCAATCACAGCTACCATACTGCATCGCAGGGTCATCAACGAGAACAGCCGCCTGTCGCGAAGCACGAGCAGCCACCGGTGCCTGTTCATGGTGCCGTTCAGATCGAAATGCCACCACACCATCCGATGAGGCGTCGAATAGAGCCGCTAGAAGCGGACCAAATCCAGCTTCGGGACAGAGAGGCTGCGACCATTCGCAAGCCAAGCATCGAAATCGCCGAGAAGACGGCCGACGACGACGACGCGCAAATTGATCGCTGTCTCAGCTACTATCTCAAGCATCACAGGCGTGCGTCCAATCATCCCGACGATGACATACGGGCATCGCTGCCGAGCCAGCTCGAAATGACCCTTTCGCCGACCAAAATCGACGCGCAGGACAGGGGCGATCGTCGCAGCTTGGGCTTCCCAAAGACGGGCAGCCTGTTTCAGAAGATCCGGCGATCACAGATCCGGCTCAACGAAGAAGCTCTCTTTCCCGCCAAAAGGGAGGCCAGACATTCCTCAAGGCGAGTCAGCGAGACGGTGGACACGAGTTTGCGTGATACCGCATCGTCCTCGTATGATCCATCTACGCCTCCGTCCATCGAAAAGGTACCACGGATTAATGTTCCTCTCAATTGGCGCGGGAGCTCGAAGCCCCACCAGGATGAACGAGACGTGCAGGGCTCACCGCCGCACTCGGCGTTCGAGTACGCCTACATGGCTGGTTCGCATCGCTTGCCGTTCGTCCCGGACGATGCGGAGGCCGCTTGGACGCCACCTTGGCAGGATCACTCGCCGTGCAGATCCTCGGCGCTGTCGCCGAGGAGGTCCGGTCCGGAGAGCGTCCGTCAGCGCAGTGCCACTGTGAGTGTAGATTCTGTGAGGAGGTGGCCGATGAGCACTGGCTCGACTGTTCATGGTGCGGAGTGTCCGGGGGAGGATCGCTCGTCCGTGGGTGGGCTCAGCGATGTCACAGCTAAAGGACGCGAGTCGGAGGAGGAGGTGGGCGAGGTGATTCGGTTCTAGGCCGATTTATGTCGATCCGATCGTGTCCTGTCTTCCAACTGAGCTCGACTCTGCCCCTTCAGGTCTGTGCTTCTTGCATTTCATTTTTGATTGCGACTGGGAGGCTGAAATATGCAGGGGTGCCCACAGCTCATAAAGTCGATGTCGGGATGTGTGGTGAGAAGCAAACGACCGTGCACAGGGACTCATACTCTCCATATGCGGGGCTCTCCTGCCATCAAGATCGGTCGTACGCCTCGACAGGCTGAAGCAGCCACGTGATCCCCCATTGCCGAATGTAGTGTGACTGAGGGAGGAAAGACGGGCTTATGAGCTCCGACCTTCATCCGTGCTGGCACCGAACGGGTCCAGAGATACTGCATCTCCCTCATTAAGCTGCAAGCGGCAGGGTCGGCATTCACAATGAGCATGTCGCCCACCCGAGTTCTCAGCAACGATGAGGTGTGAGCTTCTGATTCGACACTCAGACTGGAGGGACAAACTTTTTCACCTTAGCTCAGGCTCCAAGTCAGGGCCTAAAGTCTATGTCGGAACCCCTTGGTCACTCCAGCGAGGACATAGTCTCATCTGGAACGCCCTTGTTCACGCGCCCTTTGTCCTCCTCCTTCCTTCTCCTTCACTGTCCGCAAAGCTAGTTCTGTTTCTCAGACTCGTCCCTCCAACCTCATCTCCTCATCATCAAAGCTTGACGATGAGCAGGCTCGACAGGGATCAAGCTCCGATCGGAGCGGATCAACCTCAGAGTGTGGGTGAGGTGGTGGGGACGGTAGAGATGTTTCCTTCCTCAGCTGTAGCTCAGACCCACGTCCCCGGCGCTGCCCAGCTAGGTACTTTACAGCAACCTCCTCCTCCTTCAGCTGCGTACCATCATCGCCAGTCTTCTATATCTATCTTTCAAAACCCTTCCTTCGACAACAAGCACAGTGCTTACAGAAGCAGAGACAACGGCAAAGCGGCCGTCCCCACCAGTCACCAGCCCGCGCAGCAGCACCAGCAAGTCCCCGAGGTTCAGCCTTCTCACACAACTATCGCAACCACCGACGTGCCAACTAGCTCCCTAGTGGACATGCTGGTCGACGAGACCGTTCCGGTCATTGCGCCTGTCGTCGATGCGGCCATTGAGGCTACCGACAATGGTATCAGCAAAGGCAAGAGTGCCGAAGTCGGGCCACCAACGAATACGACGGCCGAAGCGACCAGCGACGCTGCCTCCAACCCGACCGTCCGAAAAGTGCGGTAAGTTCTCCTTTCGATCAAGGTGCAGCAGGATGACGACGGGATGGCGACGCTTTCCCGCTCTCTCTCTCTCTCTCAGGGTCTCGGTCCATGGTGATTCTGTATCGGGTCGAGGCGACGTCAGATGCGTGGGAAGAATTGCGGCCCGTGATCGGATCGGCGATGCCGATGTGCGATGTCAGCGATGCAGCTTTCTTCTCGGCGTCACATGCTGACCAGAAGCGTCGGTCGTGATGGCGCAAACCAGCCAGGAACGCCTTTGCAGAGCTTTGGTGACCTGTCGGTGAGCCCGCCGTGCCCCGAAAACCGTGACGCAAAGCGGTGGCTGGACCCTCTTTTTTCGCTCTCGCCTTGAGAAAAAAAGTGGCATCGTGGCAGAAAGGGGTCGTCACCCTGCTTTTGCTATGCACACGCTCAAACGCGCCTCTGCGTGCCCTTGGATCGGTGGCTCGGCTTCGAGTCTCTTTAGGCTCTGTCGAGCATGCCGAGCAGCATTCATCGCAACCTGGCAAGGCAGAGGTAGAGACAGTTGCAACAGCTATCTCACGCTCGTCCCTTGGCCGTTGTCAGCCTTTCAAGTTCTGCGCTTCCATCGGTCTGCACGTTGGCGTACAGTCGACAAGAACTCACCACTTCGTCAAGCAAGGAGATGTCGCTAAGCTGGTCCGATGCTGCGTCTCTGCTGGCCGAGAAGCAATGCACGTGCCCCTTGCAGCACGCCCTTCTGCAGAGCGAGCGACACAGCCCGTCCACCGCGTCGGCACTTTCATGCTTCCGCTCGGCTAAAGTCGCAGTCGGGAAGGAGAAGCAAGCGAGTCGTAAGCTCAAGTTTACGACCCGCACAACCCGCCTCCTCGCTGCTGGCAAATGGGCGAAGGCTTGCAAAGTGTCGGACTTTGGAAGTTGGCTTGTCCTCGTGTCCCAGATTTTTGTTGGTTGGTTTCAGTGTTGGAATGCGGGCATGCAGGGTCCGCGTCGAAATGGCGCCGACGCTTCTTCTTGCGCCCGCTTCGGTTGCGCCTCAGCTGTCAAAGTGGCCTGCGGAGCTGCAGCCGAGACGTGGATTCTCCCTTTCTTTGCCAGCTCTCATCGAGCTGCGCAGCCAATTGCAGTGCATCTCAGCACCGAGCTTGGGGGCCTTACCACAGGCCCCTTCTCGCTGCACAGTTAGCGCTTGCTGGCCCCCGTTCGTGGTGGAAGGCGTACATACGGCCACATGGTTGTCGTGCGTCCCGGTTGGAGATTCGCCCCTGCTCGGTGATGGGCTCTGTCGCGATGCAGTCGCTGTGCGGGCCGATGTATGCCTGCGACAGGCTAGTCCGCTTGGGCCAGCTCGCTTCACAGGCTCGTCGGCAGAAATAAAGTTCGCACGGAAGAGCTGAGTGCACCTCTTTTTCGGGCTATTGCGCTTGTGGCGTTACGTTTAGGCTCAGCGCCGACAGTCGGTTGTCAGATACCGTGGCTAGCATCGCTACACTCAGCCGTGGCGCAGCACGCGGCAGCAACCCGACGAGGTGACGGGGTCCACCTTTGCGAACGGAGTTGCCGTGACACTGGACCCTAGATCCCGTGGACAGGTGGTCTTCCACACTTCTCATGCGTCGCTCTGGCCAAGAACGGCTTGCCGCCAGACAGGCTCATGCAGGAGCTGTCCTTCTTCTTATAAGAAGAGCGTTTTCTTGATCCCTTTGTTTGCGGCAACCCCTCTGCTTCCTTTGTCTCTCCCGCTCTCGCCTCTTCCGTGCATAGTCTGGCTCTGCTTGCTACACCCCCACTTCGAGTCGATCTCGAAGCTACTCTCAGACGACAACTTCGCTGCCATTGCATCACTCGCGACGCCGATCGTATATAGACTTCGACCGCCCTCTCGTCGTCATCCTTGTGATCCCCTTCTCGCATCTGCCCAGCCGAGCCGCCTGGACGCTACAATCGCTTCGTCGATTCTGACACACCTCTACCTTTTCCTATCCTCCCTCCTCGCATTCGGCTGCAACCATGGCTCACGTCGACAACACTCGTGTCTTCCTCGACGACCTCGGCTCCCCATCCGACACCGCGCTTCCATACGACCTCTCCAACATGACCATCGCCAACCTTCCTTCTGCGTGCTGCGATGCAACTTCGTATCCGTGCACCATCACCGACTTTGACGCATGCGCATCTACGTCTGCGACCGCTTCTTGCAACACTTCGACAATGCCACTCTCTCGACCCTTTGACCATCGCGCCCCGTACGCACCCGCGGTTGCGGCATCGGGCGTTTCTGCCGTGTCGGTGACCACTCACTCCCATCGACCGCCGTCCAAATCCCACTCGATATCCTCGGTCGAATCGTTGGCTTCATCGTCCACCGATGCGCCTTCCACACCGCCACACGATGCGGACGACATTCAATTCGACATGGCCACCATCGCGAAACCGGCGCGTGCTTCTGCCGACTCGTATCACGTTGGCAATTACATACCTGGCATGCCATCTCAACCATCGCATCTCCCACAAATGTCAAACCAATCGGTCGATGCTGCCACGGACCCTGCTACGGCCACGCCGCACGCCAACAACAATCCTGCTCCCACGCGCGCTCCTGCTGCGGATCCCTCGCACTCTGTCTCGCGGAACGACAAACACAAAAACTCGATCAGCTTCCGCGTCGGTAGCAAGTACAAAGTCTGCGAGATCATCGGCGAAGGTGCTTACGGCGTCGTATGCAGCGCCATCCATCGAGCCACGGGGCAGAAGGTGGCCATCAAGAAGATCCAGCCGTTCGAGCATCAGATGTTTGCTCTGCGCACCTTGCGCGAGCTCAAGCTGCTCCGCTTCTTCCAGGAATGCGACGTCTCGGAGAACATCATCAGCATCCTCGACATTATCAAGCCCAGCACCTACGAGGCCTTCACCGAGGTCTATCTCGTTCAAGAACTCATGGAGACGGACCTGCATCGCGTGATCCGCACTCAAGAGCTGTCGGATGACCACTGTCAGTACTTTACGTATCAGACTCTGCGTGCTCTCAAGCCCATGCACTGCGCCGATGTGATTCATCGCGATCTAAAGCCGAGCAACGTGCTGCTCAACGCCAACTGCGACCTCAAGGTCTGCGACTTTGGTCTGGCGCGCTCGGTGCTCACTGCGGACCAGGATACTGGCTTCATGACCGAGTACGTCGCCACTCGATGGTATCGCGCTCCTGAGATCATGCTCACCTTCAAGCAGTATACCAAAGCCATCGATATCTGGGCTGTCGGCTGCATCCTCGCTGAGATGCTCACCGGTCGACCTCTCTTCCCCGGCCGGGACTACCACCAGCAGCTCTCGCTCATCCTCGACGTCCTCGGAACGCCCACCATCGAGGAGTTTCACAACATCAACAGCCGACGATCGCGCGACTACATCCGCTCCATGCCCATGCGCAAGCGTCGGGACTTCCGCACGCTTTTCCCGAAAGCCTCGCCGGAAGCGATCGACTTCCTCGAGAAGACGCTCACCTTCGACCCGCGCAATCGCCTGTCCGTGGAAGAGTGTCTGTCGCACCCGTACCTCGCGGCTTACCACGACCCCGACGACGAGCCCGGCGCACCCAGGCTCGACCCGGACTTCTTCTACTTTGACATGCAGAAGGAGAGCATCACCAAGGAGGATCTGCGCAAGGAGCTTTGGTACCAGGTGCAGGAGTTCCAGCCGCTTCTTCGCTGAAGCGATGCTTGTATCGGCCATGCCCGGTAGTCAAATCCTCGCGTGTATCTCGCATCTAGCACGTCTCATCACACTTACTATTCGCCACTAATCAGTATCTCGGTCGTCCTGGTGACACCTTGGCCGTCGCATTGTCATCTCGCATCTGTCCTTTCAATCAATGTTGAAGTCTCTTGCATCGTTCGTCTAACTTGTGGCCCGCGTGAGTGATGTGAAAGGTCGGGAACAGCACCGATGATGAGCGTGGGCTGGAGTCAGAGAGCGTGGGTGAGCCACCATCAGCTCGCCGGCCTGCATGTGTGGCCGCCGTGCTCGTGCCAGGACCCTGTCCGAAATCCGAACCGTCAACTCAATTTTTTCCATTTCTTCTCGAGCGGCTCCACAGAAAAATTTCAACCCCACAGAAGCAGCGTGCTTGCAACTCTTTCTCGACTGCTTCACCATCACCATTCACCTCGACATCAAGGCCGTTGCAACCATCTCAATCCGTGAAGATGGCGAAGGCACCTTCCGCGAAAAAGGCTGTGTCCAGCACGAATGGCGCCTCGGGCTCCAGCACGACCTCTGCCCTTGAGCAGGTTCAGGCGCTTCAGTCAGCATTGCTGTCCTCTTCCGACCTCAACCCTCTCTCCGACCTCCTCACGCTGTCCAAGAAGCTCGTCAGAGTGGGGTCAGACCGCTCGTCAAAGGAGAAGAAGGATGCAGCTGTCGCACTTCACCGCGCAGCTCTCGTGCTCGTCAGGGCGATGAAGTCGCTCAGCAGCGAGAACAGGATCCCTTTCGACAAGGACGTTGACCAGGACGGATACATCCTGTCCTACGGTGCCAAGGCTGGCAACAAAGTCGACAACGGAACGTCGGCGAAGGCAAAGGAAGCTCAGAACAAGGTGGAAGACTGGATCAGGATGCGCTGGAACGAGACGATCGAACTGCTCTGTGGCCTGCTCGGTCACGAGGTCGAGGGTCTTCGTCTCGAGGCTTTGCAGATGTTGTTCGAGCTGCAGACTGCTGCGTCGTCTTCTCTATCACGAATCACGGCTGCTGCCTCTGCTGCCAGGGATCAAGCAAGAGCAGCGTCCAGCAGCAGCAAGAAGGACGCAGCCCCGTCGGAATCGCTGCCAATCACCGCCTTGTGGTCGCTTTCGCCTTGGCGTGCGCTCACACTTGCTCTGATCGCAGGCCCGCCCAGCCTCTCGAAGCTCGGGTCTGGAGAAGCAGGCACGAGGCACAAGGTCGTGCGTGTCGACTCTGGCATCCACGAAGACGTTCGAAGCAAGTTCCTAGAAAATGGGCTCGAAGAGTACGACGATGTCCGTTTCGCCACTTTGCGAGAGATCAGCCTGGCTCTGCGCAAGCCTTCGCCTAGCATCGCCGGCAACACTCAGCTTCGAGCGCACACCTTGGCGCTTCTCATCCGGCTTACTGCTATCCCGACAAGTGCAGGCGATCTCAACAACTTCTTGGTCGATGAGCTTTCCAAGTCCCCATCAGGCGGTATCGGCAGCAAAAAGAAGAAGAAGAGCAAGGCTGCAGGTGGCATCACCAACGGGAAGAAAGTGGTCGATGACGGAGACTCGGAAGCGGAAGAGGAGGACGAAGACGACATGGCCGGATGGTTCTCCGACTCAGGTGATGAGGGCGAGGTTCGGGCAGGCGCCACCTCAGATGAGCAGCGACGAGCGGCAGAGAAGAAGTCCGTCGGCGGGCTCGGATCGGCTGCTCGATCGGCGAGCGCGAGCAAACGCAGACAAAGGACGTTCCACGAAGCTCTGCATCACATTGGGGCGCAGCGGTCCGCTTTCTCGACTGCTTGGCTCGACCTCCTTCTGCCACGTCGTCAGACTGAGGAGTCAGCTGCTGCTGCTGGCGTCCCGAAGGGCTCGCTGGTCGGTGGCGAGCTCAGCCTGGCTGCCACGCACGAAGTCCTTGTCCGCTTGCACGCCCAGATCCTCCCTCACTTGACCAAGCCTTCCATGCTGCACGACTTCCTCGTCTCGTGTCTCGACTCACGCGGCGCCACCGCCCTCCTCGCGCTCAACGCCATCTTCACTCTCGTCACCAAGCACAACCTCGACTACCCGCAGTTCTACACTCGACTCTACGCCATGCTCGACGCGTCCGTCCTGCACATGAAGTACCGAGCGCGGTTCTTGCGACTGCTCGAGACGTTCCTCTCCTCGACGCATTTGTCGTCTACCTTGGTAGCGAGTTTCGCCAAGCGACTGTCGCGACTCAGTCTTCGCGCGCCGCCGGCTGCGATCGCGTCGGTGGTGCCGTTCGTCTACAACCTCCTGAAGCGACATCCTCGATGCATGTCGATGGTGCATAGGGAATGGGATGGCGATCGACTCAATATTGGGCCCAGCGGTGTCGCCGATCCGTTTGACGCAGACGAGACGGATCCGCTCAAGACCAATGCGCTGGAGAGCTCGCTCTGGGAGCTGGCTTCGTTCGGCGCCGCAGCCGTTGCAAAGGGCAACAGTGGAGGACCCGCCGTGGATACCGACGACGTCGCACCTGGGGAAGCTCACTATCTCGGCTCGGTGACGAGTCTGGCCAAGATTCTGGCGGAACCGTTCACGCGCGAGCGATACAGCCTCGATGACTTCCTCGATATCACGTACGGGACGCTGTTCGAGACGGAGACGAAGAAGACGCTCCGGTCTGCGGAGGGGCGACAGCGCTTCGCCCCAGCGCTGGCGTACAGCCTGCCCGGCGGCTTCGGCGCTGGCGGCTCGAGCGACAGCACCGCCGCGAACCGCGTTGACATCTTCCCCTCCGAATCAGGGCGCGTGCGCGCACAGCAGAGCCTCCGCGCGGCCGAACAGGAGGAGGAGGCCGAGGTGGAAAGGGAGCGCGAGGAGCGCAAACGCAAGCTCGGACTGACCGATGGCGAGGAGGATGAGGATGAGGACGAGAAGGAGGCAAGAGAGGCGATCGAGGAGCTGAAGAGGGAGGAGAGGGCAAAGAAGAGGAAGGTCGATCAGACGGGTACGCATGATGTTTGCGCTCGGTTGTTCAGCTTTGCTTGACACAGCGATTGTCAGGACGGTCGTCCGAATGGAAATGCGATGCTATCATACGACGTTCTTGGTCGGTACGTGCACACCCAGCGTATTCGACTGATCGGAAAAGTGGGAAGGTCAGCTGGCGTCTTTCTCAAGAGGAAGTGCGCGCGGGCCTCACAGGCTCTATTGCTTGCTCAAGGGGTCCGTGCTCTGGCCCAATCGAGGACAAAGGAGAGGCGTCCTGTCAAAGGGTCCCGAGCGCAGCTTGCAGCCTGCAATGTGACTTCAAAAAGTGGAAAATGGGATTGTTGTCGGTCGCCATGCATAAACCCACCTGCGGACGGCTGAGTTTTGGCCATTGTTCATCAAATCAAGGTTGGGTTGCTATGCGCGCTATTTAAGGCCCCTTTGTTGCTTTTCTTGCATCTTCCCTCCCTTCCTCGAGCTGGAGAGACACTCGCGACTCTCCTTAGTCCCTTCTCGTGGCCATCACCTTCGCTACTACGCCTCTCCCTATCTTCATACTTTCCTTTCCCCCTTCATCCAATCGGCCACAGCATCGCTCTTTCCAATCTCGGCACGACGCCTCACATCTCTGCGCTCCTACTATGAGTCTGCCACCCGGCACAAAGCCACTGGGGGGCGAGCCAGGATCGATGGAGCTATTCACGAACTTAATGGCGGCGCTGTTCGGAATCAGCCCTCCTGCACCGGGACCGGCAACTGCAGCCGATCCCGCGCTCGACCCGACCGGTCACGCAGCGTACGCCGCGCAAATCGCCACCATCAAGCGCCAGAATGCCGAAGCCTTCGCTCAACAGCAGCTCCGCGCATGTCGAGCCGAGCAGTCGGTCGAGGAAGCCCTGTCGCCGCTCGCCACCAAGCACACGAGCCTCCCCATCTACTCGCTCACCCCGCGTCAGGCCACCGACTACACACGCAGCTCGACGCGCTTCACCGCCTACCAAGCCCGGCGCTTTCGCCAAGAGTTGGTCAAGTTCGACGACGATATTCCGGGAAGATTGAAGGCGATGGCCGAGTGGGGCGACTTTATGCTCACCTCCCTGATTGGGGCCGACTGGCCCGTTGTCACGCAGAAGCACCCGAGCGCGTTTGCTACACCGAGCAGCGTCTATTCAGATGCGGGCGGGTATGGAGTTACGATGCGATATGGTCCTCCCGTAGGTCCACCTGTGACGGGTCAGACGGACGCCAACGGCTGGACCACTCTATACCAGGCCGCGGACTATGATGCTAACGGAGTGCGAAAGACTCCAGCTCCGCGAACCAGCAAGAAGGTGAGCAACGCGAAGAAAGCAATCGGCGACGCAGTCAAGGCCAGTTCGACGGCTCCGTCTCAAACTCCTTCTGGAGCAGCCAAGATGCCGTCAAGCAAGCATGACGCCGTTTCCGGCAAGAGCAAGGCTGATGCTGCCAAAAAAGCCGAGCCGAAGGTAGGGCACGACATGGGAAATGATGGAAGCTCGCAGTATCGCCAGGACGACACTTCGTTCCAGGCCATCATGCGGGAGCTGCAGAGCAACGAAGCTGTCATGCAGGGTATCCGCGACTACGAGCAGGAGAAAAGGTATCAATGGGGACTGGACATCCCTCCCGAATACTGGGACTACTACGACGAGGATGGCAACTACATCTTTGGCTTGGATCGCGGCGACAACCATCCCTACGGCGGATACCGTGGTCCTCGGGACGCGGACGACTACAGCCTCACTGCCCTCGGCGAAGACCCATACGACAGCGATCTTATCGACCTAGGCTTCGACGATGATGACGTGTACGGTGACTATGGCGGCACGATGGAGGAAATTATGCTGGCAGAACGAGCTCGACGAGCACAGCAAGCCGAGACGAAGCCGATCAAGAAAAAGAAGAAGAAGAAGGTCAAGAAGACCGGTGCCTCAGTCGCAGCGCCCGACGGTGTGAGTCGCGGCGAAAAGGAACAGGACAAGGTGGCAGGAGGTGACAACGGTGCAAGCTCGACGTCGTCACAGAACAGCACTGGTGCAGGCAAAGTAGGTCCTACCAGCTGGTCCGGGATTGGCGTCACCCTCGCTCCTCCTCCGAAGTCGTCTGCGGCCTGGCAAAAAGTCAGGATTGTGCCATCCGTCCCCACGCCACCCAGACCCTCCGCCACAACCACTACGTCATCTGTCGGTCTCGGCCTAGCCGGCTCTCCGCTCAAACCAGGCAAATTCAGCTACTCTTTTCCCGACACCGGCACGAGCCCTGCAAGCGACACAAAGCCGAAGAGCAAGGGTCCCACGGCTGAAGAGCTGAGGCGCGAGTTCCTGCAAAAGTCCGAGGGCGTCCTTGCAAAGATGAAGGCCAATGCATCTCGGCACCAACAGGCAGGGACGAGCATCAATAAAAATTCTCCTTTCGGTTCTGGTTCCGACGACGCCTTCAAGCTCTCTTTCAAGGTTCCTGGTCCGACCAACACCGTTGATGCAGGAAGATCCAAAGAGACTAGCAGTGGTGCGACGTCAACAACAACAGGTGTCACGACCGCCAAGAGCCTGGGCGGTGCCATCCGTTCCGGAAAAGCAAACTATCCAGCTGCACCAGCCCCGCTGAAGGCGACTCTCCAAAACGACCTGCATCCTGGTGGCGGCAAACGAAGGAAGACCAACGAGATCAGCCTGAGCGAGCCTGGCGCCTTGCCTGCCTCGACCACTGGGACCGATGCCAAGCCGGTCAAGAAGGGCTTCAATGCCACATCGACTCTGACGACAACCGCTCCCGCAACCAAAGCCTTTGCCCACCCTCAGCAAGCCGTCAAGAAAGCAGGGAAGCGAGTGTCAACCAAATCGACCGGCAACTCTACTCCAGCTTCGGCATCGACTGCGGCGAACGCCAAAGGCCAAACAAAAGTGCAACCTCATCATGTTCACACGACGCAAGGACCACAGAAGATCAAGTACCAAATGGTCGTCTTCAGGAAGCCTTTCATGCCGAGCAAGCGTCCCCGTCGAGATTGTTGGCACGCATGGGAATGGCTGTGACCCTATTCGCCTTTATTTGTAGGTCCTTCGCTCAATTCCACGTCCGTATTGTCATATCATTGAGCATAACGTGCAGACTTTTGTGTACGAGACGGAGAGCAACTCTCGAACTTGTGCTTCTCGGCAGATGTGATCGTAGCGAGTGTGACCTTGCAGCAAAATGTGACTATGAAGACACACCGATTTTGTGGCGGGACGGTGGGGAACTCCAAAACAGAACGCTCAGCCATTCTCCCGCGTCCTTCCCCTTCCTCCATCTTCTCACCGTCACCTCTCTGCAAATTTCAGACGACTTGCCGTCTCCTCTGACATCAAGATGTCCTCCTCTGTCGAGCCTACCGCCAGCCCCAAAATCCAGTCGAGTCAGACTTCCGAGTCGAACGCCGGCGTCACTCAGACCGAAGCCACTGCCACCGAGCATCAAACGGCCAGCGTAGCCGAGAAGCCTTCGCTTCACAAATGCACACCTCTCATCGGCGATGGACTTGTTCGCCTTACGAAAGACTTCATCTACAGCATCCAGAATCAGGAGCACCGTGCGATCATGCAATGTCAACTCAACTCCGACAGCTGGGACTCGGCAAAGCACATGCAGACGGTCATGTTCGGACTCCAGGCTGAGGCACGCATCCTTCTCAAGGTGATCGAGGAACTTGACGTCAATCGGGACGGCCAGCCCATCGATTCAGCCTCCAGCACTCTCTCATGTGCCAAGTGCGAGAATCCCAAGAGAACAGAGTTCTACATGCTCGCTCAGCGACTGGCCAATCGCATCGACGGCTCTACCATGGCCTACGATTCCCATCTCAGCTTCGTCGAGATGTTGAAGGACAGAAATGAGGGTCAGATGCTGTATTACAGCATCTCCAGCGAGCTTATGCGCTTCCGCAACGAGGCTTACGAGCTTGAGGAGTTCCTCCTGCAGCTCGATTCCACTCCTGGAAAAGGATCGGAAGAGTGAGGATGGCGCTCGTGCTTTCGGCATGACCAAACGACGCGGCATTTTGACCTGGTCATCATCACAGATCGTCTCAGGTGCCGATGTGCCCTCAATTGAAGTGACTTTCCTATTGATTCTGGAAAGCGTCTTGACGCTACGAGGTCGACTTGTGCTTTTGACATCTCGGACGGAGCTGAGCAGTAATCGTACTATCTGTTTTCCACATCATGAGATTGTAACCGAGCTTCGGATGTGACAGGGCTCAGTGTGACGATATGGAGAAGAAGCGTTGGTGGGGACGTGGCTGAGTCGGGAGCTACACGAGGCGCGTAGCTACGCGCGCGACTGCGGGACCGGATAAGAACGCCCACTCACTTCCCTCCCACCTTCCTTGTTTCCTCCATCTCATCTCCTCTCGCATCTAACGCAACACAATCACATTATCTCCCGCACCTTTCGCAGCACAATCCCACTAACCTCTTGCAACACACTGTCCGGTACAATGTCCTTCACAAGCGAGGAGGCTTTCGAACAGCTAGCTGAGCTGCAGTCCGGCATCGCTGCTGTCTCGCTCGGTGCTGTCGCGGCTCGGGACCAGATCAGAGCTCTGGAAGAGGAGGCTCTTGCCAACTTCAGCCAGCTCGACATCTCCGATTCCGATCTTTTCGCAGCTCTCAAGACTACTTTTGTCAAGAACATTCGACAACTCGAGGTTCTCGCACCAATGATGGTCGCATTCGAACGAGTAAGCAAGGAGCTGGAGGATTGGACGCAAGAACATATGGCGGAGCTCAACGCCGGCGATCCAAACTTCAAAGAGATGTTCAGGAATCGATGCGATGCCCTTCGAAGCAACTTGGATGAGCTTCATTGCTGTTTCGAAGAGTATCGGGCTGAAATTGTCCGCTCCTTAGACGCTGTCTACGAAGAGCACCGGTCAAGCAGCCGAGTCGACTCAAACGCTTGACGAATGACCGCGTCAGTCCTTTTGACGGTCTTCAATATCAAATCGAGAGGATCTCCACGACGACGCTTGCACACCTTTTCCTTCTTGTTCACGTTGCAATCCTCATTTTCTGCCTGAATCCCTTGAACGACGACGAGCTGTATGAGAAGCGTCTCGGTGGGACTGTGCAGCAAACGTGATTGCCCGGAGTGAGGCAGCGTCGGCTGAGTTCATCGCTGAGCGGCGAGACCAAAATTCGAGCGCGTGGCGACTCCAGTCGGTGGGCCTTAAAACAGGAAGAAAATCTTCCTCTCCCGACTTTCATGCCTCCATTCATTGACCTTGCCTTTGCGCGCTAGTAGCTCCACGGTCCTCTTCGCCCCTTCCTCATGTCCTTCATCTTCGCCAAGCTGAGAGATTCTTGGAAGAAGAAGAAGAAGCGTTCTGCCACGACGTCCATCGCCGTTCAAGCTGGTCCTTGCGCCGAGGCCGATGCAATGTCAAGGCCTCCTGCCGCTTCTGGCGATCCAATCGTCACGGACTTCAAAGACGAAGAAGGCTCGACACACGAAGCTGAGAAATCTGAACAGCCCCCTCTTCCCATCGTCAGTCCCGTCTCTCAGGCCGCAACTGCCACGGACGACGTTTCAGCTCAGGACGATCCTCGTGCTGCAATCGTCACCGATGCAGCTAGTCTAGCACCTCAAGCCGATGCACCTCAACAGCAAGCTTTTGCCGAAAGCGGCTCCGCAGCTCTCCACGTCGGAGAGTCTCGATCTGTTGCTACCGACACAAACCACAAAGCAGCTTCGAAGCAGCACTACTCTCCGGACATCGCCAAGATCCTCAAGCGGACCGTGAAGTTCCTCAATGAGGTCGACTACAGAGTCTGCAAGGCTGAGAAATACTGTGATTTTGATCTCGACCCGAAAGACGAGGCAGAGCTCCTATTGGACCACCTCTACGAGTTGTATAATGAAGGGCTGGTTCTGGGCGAACTGATCGCCGAGCTGGTCTCGGAGCTGGCAGCACCTTTGCAAGGCGAGTGGGAAGTGGATTTCGAAGGCGAATTCACTGGTAAGCGGCGACGTCAGTCAACGCGCAGCACACCGACCAAGTTCTAGGCGCATAGCGACGCCATGTCGGAGTCCAGCGTAGCATCGACGTTTCCTCTCTTCTTTCGCCCTCCTCATGTCTCCTTCTCGTACACAACATGATGTCAATCTCCAATTTTTCTACCCTATCAAGGCCTCGATAAGAGCGCAGCTTTCTCGCTCCTGACTGAGGCACATCTGCTAGCGCTGTGGTGCGTGCCTAGGACTCTTCGCGTTATGAGCTTCTTTCGAGTGGTGTGCACGTGCCGGTGGGACCAGTGGCGTGCATGGAATGCATCAGGAAACTGAGCCTGCTGCGCTTCAATGAAGTTCGACTGACGCGAAAAAAAATTGTGGCGACGCAAGGGGACGCAGTAAAAAAGGTTTGCTCAGCCCGTTTCGCTCCCTTCTTCCATCCCTTCACTTGCCTCTCATCCTCACACATTCACGGACGTTGCATCAAGATGTCCTCTTCCAACAAGCAACCTGACAGCGTGTCCAACGTCAGCGGTGGTGCTGCTCAGCTCGCGCTCGACACCTCTATGAGCGACGACACTATGAGCGATGTTCTCCCTAGCAACGAGGCCACCACTCCGACGCCTTCCACTCCTGCCGCTTTCAACCACGCTGCTTCCGAGCCATCCGCTGCATCGACGGCAGACGTCGGCGCTCCCACAAACACCGAGCCCGAAATTACCGACGCCGAGCTCCGCCGGCTCACCATGTTCTTGATCCGCAAAGTGGACGAGAAGGTCAAAGACTTCGAGGAGTGCTGGGAGGACGACGGCGATTCGTGCAAGGACATGGCGGAATACATGGCTTCCTCGATCAGTAGCCTGCAATGCTATGCGCATCAGCTGCGCAAATTGATTGTCGAGCTGGACCCTCAGGTCGAATGGCTGGCGCGAAAGGAGCAGCACGGTTGGTGCGGCTGGGATTGCAAGCGCAGGTCTCTTCGGAGGGAGGTTGCTAAGGAAGTGAAGAGGCAGGCCGCCAAGGAAGCGAAGAGGCAGGCCTGATAGGATCGACGGGCGGAAGTCACGACGAACAGATCACCTGACCAATCCATGCTCCACCGCCGCGTCTCTTCTGCCGTTCCACTTCCTCCTTCCGGTCCTTCAAGTGTCCCACTTCTGATGTAGGTCCAGCCTGCAATCTATGATGTTCTCTCCCGTCAAGCTGACCCGATTGAGCATTCTCGTGATGTCCACAAAGATGTCCGTGCAGTCTCGATCAGCCTCTCTCGAGGTGCCTCTGACTTGATCTCACGTGTCGGTGGGACAAGAAGAGCAGGGCGGCAGGGCACGCAGAAGAAGACTGAGTCTGCTGCGCTTCTGTGTGGGGCTGGTGAAGTGGGACCGACGCGGAAAATGCGACGACACAAGGTGATTTGAGATAAGGGCTGAGTCCGTTCCGCATCCTCCTTCCCTTCCATCACATCCTCATCTTCACGCACCTTCGACTCCGCATCAAGATGTCCTCCTCCAACGAGCAGCCTGACAGCGTGTCAAGCGTTAGCGCTGGTATCGCTCAGATCACCATCGACAGAGCTGTGGACAACGCTGTCCCGAACAGCGACGCTACCGCTCCCGCGCCTTCCACGCATGACGCTATCAAACCGCTCGCTACCAAGTCTGTCGCTATGTCGTCCAAAGCTGCCAATGCTTCCAAGAAGACCGAGCCCGAGTTGACCGACGCCGAACTCCGCCGGCTCACTATGTTCTTGCTTCGCAAACTGGACGAGAAGATCTCAAATCTCTATCACGTCTGGGGATGGACCGACATTTTCAAGGACTGTGATGATCACGTCATCGATAATGCCAATGTCCTACTATGCTGGGCTCACCAACTGCGCGATTTGATCGTCGAGCGAGACCCGGAGCTCAAATCGGACATGCAGTACTGGCGCGACCATCAGTTCCGCGCCTGCGGCGAATGGTGCCGCAGCGATTCTATCCGCGACGCAGCCGCCAAAAAGCCGGAAGAGGAGCCTGAAGAAGTGTTATGGTACGATGATGACTAGGAGCAAGCCTGAGAGAGGGGGCAAAGATCATGTGGGAAGAAGCTATAGCTCAGATCATGCCCTGCCGTCGATAGGCGTCCATTATCGTCCTCTCCTCCCGTCCGCCTTCTCGATTCTGCTAGATACATCGAATTCGCCATCAATGAAGGTGGTCATTTCCGAGACCGTTTCGCATAAGCGTTCTCGTCGTGATGTATCTCAAGCTGCCTACGTAGTCTCAATCAATACTTGCAGTTCTTTTTCTAAGTGGTACGCACGTGTTGGTGGGACCAGAGTAGCACGGCGGCATGGAATGCGGAAGAAACGGGAGCCTGCTGCGCTTCTTCAGTGTGGAAGCCCTGACGTGGGACCGGCGCAGAAAATGGGACGACACGAGGTGGTTCAAAAGCGTGGCTGAGTCCGTTCCGCATCCTCCAGTTCTTCCATCACATCCTCATCTCTATCATCCATCATCACATCATTCAACAAGATGTCATCCTCGAAGGACAACTTTTCAATTTTCCTCAACGCTGGCAATGCTGAGCCTCGCGTCAACATCAACACCACGACTACGCCAAGCGCTAGCGACGGCTCGAAGCCGGACGCTCCTGCGGCTTCCAACGAGGGACCTGCCTCTACGTCTCCCGCAGCCGAGAACCCTTCCACCGCCTCCATGCGCGCATGGACCAAGGCTGACTTCTACCGACTGATCAAGATCATGTTCGTCAAACTTCAGGAGGCGATCAAGGAGATCAACGACAGCTATGATCCCGGCAATGTTGGCACGAAGACGGCGGATGCCGCAGCTCAGCCTGCCGCCACGTCTGTGGCTGCCAAAACTCCTTCAGCCGTCGACCGCGACGCCGAGATCCGCCGTCTCGCTTTCACGCTGATCCACAGCATCGGCCACAACGTCAAGCACAACTACGAGATGTGGGACGCTGACGGTCCTTCGAAGGATACGGCACGAAGCCTGTTTGACTCCATCGAGACTTTCCGCGATGAAGGCGAGCCTTTGCGCAAGCTGATCCTCGAGGTCGAGCCAAGCCTTGAGCAAGTTGGTGAGAAGCTCGATCGCACTTGCGAGGACTGCCTCGAGGCTAAAGAGCAGGCATCGAGCCAGGAGGACTCGACCCAGTAAGAGCCGAGCCGTTACTGCGCTCCTCTTATGATTCGTCATTGGTAGAAGCCTACTTCGCCTTGTAGCAGTGGTCACTTCCTAGTCGCTTGAACGTCAAATTGTTTGCTAATTGTCAAGGCTCGCACGGCAATGAAGCTGAGTCTCGATGTGAGCAAGGTCTCGGTCTCGGTCTCGGTCACTGTTTTCAGCATAATGGTTCGATTCGATGCTTTCCCTTCTTCCTTGCATCTTTGCGCACGTTTTGGTGGGCCATTAAGAACGTGGCGGCACGGAATGACGAAGAATACTGAGTCTCTTTTCCGTGTGGAACTTGTTCAGTGGGTCAGATGCAGAAAATGTGACGACATGTTTCGCTTCCTCTCTTCCATCCCTGTCCTCTTCCAAAAGCACCTTCGACCTGCAGATCAAGATGTCCTCCTCCAACGAAGCCTCTGCAACCGTTCCCAGCGCTCAGATCGAGCTGGTCAACACGGTTTCTGGCGTCGCTACGCCTAGCACCAACATCGGCGACGCTGGCACTCCGGCGGCTTCCCAAACCGCTGCGGTCGGCCCTGCCGCTGTGAAGCCTGCATCGACCGACGCTCCATCCAGCGGTAGCCGGGATGCCGAGATCCGCCGTCTCGCCATGACCTTGATCAGCTTCATCGATCACGATGTCAAAGACTTTGACGACAATAGCGGCGTATCTTCGAAGAATAAGGCGGAGGGTTTGTGGGAGTGCATCTGGGGTTATCACCGGTCGGCTCAGCCGCTGCGCAACTTGATCCTCACTGTGGAGCCGGACCTAAAGCGAATCGACAAAGAGGTCGATGATGGTTGCTCGTACTGTCACGCGGACGATGATTCGAGCTCTGAAAGCTCCTAGCGGTGAGGTCAGGCTAGCTCGACGACAAACATAGCCCGATGCATCGACGCTCTTCCTGTCCAACCCGATGGCTGCCTCTCTAGCCTGTCTTGAAGCTCAGCCTGCTCATTTTCCCTCGCGATCCCTCTACGTCCTGTAACCAGACTTTTAGGTACATCCTAGAAATCTAATTGTTCCAGCTTACGAAATGTCCCAGCACGACGAAGATCAACATGGCGATGCAGCTGAGTCTAATATTTCGGATTGCCTGAGACCACGAAAGATGCTCCTGCGTCCCCTACAGTCAGAACGATGAAAGTGAAGCGAAAAGAAGGCAGTGTGGATACGCGACTCGTGCCCCGACAAAATCGATCAGGACCAACGACTCGAGATGCTCGCACCAGAGCATGTTGCGGACACGGAGGTCTTTGTGTCTAACGGCCACATCCGATAGCATTTCCTCGCATTGGTCGATGATTTTCAGCCAAGCATTTTCGGTGTCATGTTGCAAACACAGCTTAGTCTGAAGCGTTCGTGTAGCGATCGGGTTGGTAGGATCGCTATGATGGTGCGAAAGGAGCAGCCACGTGTTGCAAACCCGATCGTCGATCTGACCCTCGACGGAGATGAGAGGATACTTGACATCGAGGTTCTCCTCGAGCGGCTCGAGGACGCCGAACGAGATAGGAACCTGCACGTTGAGCCGCTTTCGTTCGCCTTGGTCATCGACCACGAGTGAACCGATGAGGGGGAATCCGTTCTCGTGTGTGTTGGCAGCCGTCATCCAGATGTGTTTGTAGATGTCGTTCTCCCGCTTGAGGCGAATTGCAGATTCGCTGTCGAGGCCTACGGCGAGAAACGCATATCCCAAGTCAGGAAAGAGGATGCGAAAAAGCTGTCCGAGGTTGCCTCTGCATCCGATGATGGGCTCCATGATCTGCCATATGTCACCGTGTCGCAGCTTCGCCTGCATGCCTGCCTTCACCTCGTCGAAAGTGTGCGGATGATTGTGCTCGGAGTGGTCGTGGCAGTCGGCAAGAGTGCAGTGGAGGGCATAATTCGGGCAGTCGGGATCCATGGGCAGATCGCAACTGAGGCCCAGAAGACACTGCGGTGAACACCAGTGGCGCGTGATCAGGTGCGGATAGCGGTGCTCGTAGCGTCGAGTGCCATCGGCTTCGTAGTTGCTGTCGTCGTCATCGGTGTCGTTGCCACACTTGACTTTTTTGCTTTCCCCGGGATGAGACAAGAGGGGCGACGGAGAGAGGTTCTCTGCGGCACGCTTCTTGTGCTGTGACATGTTTACAAACTGCGGATGCTGTGACGGGAGGAAAGGAAGAGGGTTTCGTGATGAAGCAATGGCTTGAAATTCTCCGTGCGAGTCCCAAAAAGAATCGCCAGACGTGGTGAGTCAGAGTCGAAAGCGCAGTCGAAAGTTCCACCTGCAGCTGTGCGCAGAGCTGGTGGGACACGGGACCCACAGAGGTGGAGACGACTGAGCCTCGTCCGACCCACTCTTCCTTCCTTCACCTCGATCATCTCCCTCAGTGTCCCGCTCTGGTCAAATGTCGTCCTCTCCTCGTCCAAATTCGAGCGTCATCGACGAAAACGCTGCGGCTGATCAGCCGGGTTCGGACAAGATGCCCGTTGCCACGCTCGCTGCTCCGCCCTTGCGCGAGCCCCTGCTCAGCGCGCCCGTCCTCCAAGAAGCGGTCTGCTTGCTCGCCAGGCTCTCCTCTGCTAGCAATGCCTACGCTGAGAAGGACATCATGGCTCGCGACGTGCTCCTCGATGCCCTCGCCATCGGCAAACTTAGCGGCTCTGATGCAGACAGCGCCAAGCCCGTCAGCATCGCCACACCTCGCCCGGACTGCAGTAGTGCCTCTGGCGCCATCAAGGTTGATCGCAAGACCAACGTCGATCCCGAACACGCTGTCAGTTCCGACGCTGCCGGCTTGTCATTTGCCGTTGGGTCGCAAGTGAAGAGCGAACGCCAGAAGACGCTCAACGACGTCAGCAGCCTCGTCTACCGGGCGCTCAAGGGCATGGTTGAATTGTTGTCTCCTCGCACGCCCAATGCCTATGTTGAGTATCAAAGCATGCGCCCCGAGTTCAAGGATCTCGAAACTCGAGCCTACGTCTTGCACAATCTGCTCGTTCAGATGAACAACAAGCTCAAATGAAGGTCCTGCACACACATCATCGCAGGCTGTTTGATCAACGTTCTATGTTCCCACCCCAGCTTCGACGAGATGTACATGTATGATCCCATCACAGCTTCGATGTACATGCTAGATCTACTTCCCACTCCCCCCTGCGGCGCCAGCACCACTCGTTCCAGGACCGACCTTTGTCCTAGGCGGAGCGATCGGCACAGCCCCGGGGAAGGGCACACGCAAATTCCAATTCCTCTCGAGATGCAATTGCACGTCTCTTACCTCCAGCTTGTCGCCGCGTCGATGCTTTGCCAGGCGGCAGGCCATGCTGGTGACGCTATCGATGAATTCGTCGGCCAGCTCGAGCAGCAGGTCTTCGACGGCACCGGTGAGCTTCTCGTTCGCGTCGAGCTCCGAGATGAGGTCCGAGATCTTGCGCTTGGTGAGCATGGAGGTGGAGGTTGAGATGGTAGGCGCGGGAGCGGCGGCGAAGGGTGAGGTGATGGTGGATGAGAGGGCGGCGGTGGCGGTGGCTGCGGCGGCAGTGGCTACGTCGGAGTCGTCCGCGGTTGAGGGCAGGCTGAGAAGATCGTCTGCGTTGTTGCTGGCAGACTTAGGTGGAAGACCGAGCAGGTCGTCAAGCGCAGCATCGTTTTGCTCGTTGAGACCGCTACCTGTGGGGTTGGGGCGGGAGAGGATGGCGGGCGTGCCGATGACGGGTGCAACGCCGAGACCCTGCGTCATGCTGGAGCGGGGTCCGGCGCTGTTCGGGTACGGCTCGGGAGCGGTGGATGACGAGACGTTGAGAACAGGCGGGATGGCGACATTGGCGTACGAGGCGGCAGCGGCAGACATGGCTGTGACGGGTGTCCCGCCGACCGTGCCAGCTGTGGGTGTGGTCGCGCCGCCAGACGCTGCGGTCATCGGTACGCCTGGAGCAGCTCCCGCTGAAGGCACGCCAGGGACATTCGTCGCAGGCTTGCCCGCAGCTCCCGGAGTCGGAGCGGCAGCAGCGGCTGGAGTGGCAGGCGCAGAAGTTCCTGGTCCAGCACCTGGCGCAGGCGTCGCAGCACCACTCGCACCCGGCACAGGCGAGGACTTGGCTGCAGCAGCCGGTGACGCGGTCGCAGCAGCAGAAGAAGCAGCTACCGCCGACGCAGCACCTGCCTTACCCTTCGCCGCAGCACCTTTAGCAGCCTTGGCCTCCTTCGCCTCTTTCTCCTTCTTCTCCTTCTCCTCCTTCTCCTTGGCTTCTTTTTCCTTCTTCAGCGCAGCTTTGCTCTTTGCAGGTGCCTTGGGCGTCGCCTTCGCCTGCGTCTTTGGTGTCCCCGCAGCTGCCGTCGCAGGCGCAGGCGCCGGTGTGGATGGCACGCCGGCTGCGGTTGGAACCGCCGGAACAACGGGACTCGCCGTCTGCTGCTGGGGATTCGCACCTGCGACCGGAGTCGGTGCCACCTGCGGCATCTGTTGCTGCTGTTGACCCATCTGCTGTTGCTGTTGTTGTTGCTGTTGCTGCTGTTGCTGCCTGAACGTCTCCCTAACGAGCTGGATCTGCTTGGCAAGGTTCGCCTGCTGATTCCTCGTCTCCTGCAAAGCATTTTGGCACTGCTGCCTATCCTCGGGCTTGAGGTCGGGATTGGCCATGGCGCTTTCGAGTGCATGCACCTTATTGCGCAGTGGCTGAGCGATGCGATTAAATTGCTCGAGCAGCGCCTGCTCATTCTGGGGCATCTGAGGCTGGCCCGGAGCGCTTGTAGCTTGCGGCGGACGAACCTGCTGCTGTTGCTGCTGCTGCTGGAGGACATTCTGTGCAGCATTCCGCTGTTGTTGCTGCTGAAGCTGCTGTTGAAGTGCGGCGGCCATCTGTTGCTGCTGCTGTTGCAAATTCGGCTGTCCCTGCTGTTGCTGCGGAGGCCTCACCTGCTGCTGCATCTGCTGCTGTTGCTGCGGGGGTCGAATCTGTTGCTGTTGCTGTTGCTGCTGTTGCTGTTGCTGTTGAGCCTGATGGGCACCAATAAACACCTTCAATTGTGCAAGCTGTTCCGGGTTCATCTTTCCTTCCCTCGCGGCCTGGAGCAGCGCATTCAATCCCTGCGGATTGTTCTGCACCAGCTGCTGGAGTGTCTGCATCGTGGCTGCCTGCTGTTGAGGTTGCTGCTGCTGTTGAGGTTGTGTGGAGGACTGACCTGGCTGTTGCTGCGCTTGCGCCTGCGCGAGGGCCTGCGCGCGCATCAGCTGCTGCTGCTGAATGAGCGCTTGTTTGTACTGCGCGGCTTGGGCGGCGGTGGGCTGCTGACCCTGCCCGCCCGGTTGGCCAGGCTGCTGATTCTGCTGATTCTGGTTGTTCATGGCTGCGAAGGGCTAGCTGGCTGCTATCGGTTGATGGTCGACGGTTCACAGGCGCACGCCGCGTGATGCAGTCGGCAGATCGATTGCTAGCAGACGCTTCGTCCGAGTTGACTCGCCTGCGAGTATCAGATGTGCGGACTTGAAAGCGATGCTGGCTACTTGGAGACTGGAGACTTTTTGTGCGAGATCGCGAGGCTTGACAGGGGGAACGGATCGCCGAGTGGATAGATGACGGTAGTGTGGAAGGAATGCGAGGCAAAGTGGATGCGGGTTGTGCATCGCCAGCCGCTCTCGGCCCCCCGCCAGAAAGCCGAATTCCAGCTTTGGCTCATCGCGCTCGAAATTTGACTGAATCGCCGAATCACAAGGCGGTCTAACAGCCTCCATTTATTTCGGTTCGTGCATGCCGCCCGCTCCTCATCACTTTCTGAGCCCGCGGCTTGAAAGACTTCTTTCAGGAGCACATACCCATGTAGCCATACTCAAGTGCAACATCGACTGTGCCGCTCTGAATTACATGTCGAATAACTATGTTGCGTTAGCTCACCAGCCCGATGACAACGGCTACCCAGCCATCTGGCCCAACAAGCGCGCTTCCCAACCAAGCGATCTCCGTGTCCAGCGGCATCCTCACGCCCTGCACCAACGCGAAGGCTAGCGGTGGCGCCTGCGAAACAAAGCTGCTGAAGCTCGGTGGAGGCGGAAAGAGCAGTGGGAATAGAGCCGACAGTACAGCGCCTAGGGTGTTGGGTCTGCCATCGTCCAGCATGGGTGGGGCGGGCTCCTGTACGATGGGCGCGTTGTCTGGCAGGAAGATGCGGATGGGTATGCTGCGTACTGCATTGCCTGTGGTTGGGGTGGCTGTGCCGCTGGTGGCGGACGGCGCATCGGAAGAGGTGCTGGTGATCGTCGACACCGTGCTCGGTGCAAGACTCGCCTGCGATTCATTCGGCTGGTTGGTGAGGCTGCGCTGCACCATGGGAGGCGTGCGCTCTTCTCCCGCACCAATGTTGAGGGACAGTGTGCGAGCCGTGATCGGTGAGCGAACTGTTGCTGCACTACCGATCTCGAACGTCGAGTTCCGCGAGTTGGGCACAAGCTTGTTGGCGATGCTCCAAAAGAGGTCGTAGTCGTGCGAGGTGACGCCATCCCAGAGTGTGTCTTGCTCCTGTTTGCGCAAGTTGACCACCTTCTTGGTCGATCCGTAGCGCACAAAGTCGGCTTCCTTGATCATCGACATGAACGACGCCTTGCACGACTCCAAGCCCGAATTGCTGTGAAGACGGTCGACGGGTGGTTTCGACAGCCGCAGTCGGATGTTCCATGGGAGCTTTGTTGGTTGCGCCGCAGGCAGAATGCCACTATCTGAACGACTCTGAGTCGAATGTGGGTCTTCGGGGCGCAAGGACCCTAGCCCGGTTGTCGTCGTCGACGCTGCTTGATAAGCGATGGTCGTGCGAGCGGCATTTGGGGTGTGATAGTCGTAGAGCAGACCGATCTGCCAGTGCCATCGCAGCGGTTGGCCTTCGTACTCGAACCAAAGCTCTTTGTCGTTGAGCGCGGTCAATGCAGGCTGCTCCAGCACCAGCTCTAGTAGGTTCTTCCTGACCTCAGCCACGATGAGTGGAAGGTAGCTGATGCGTGGCACTACAAGATACGTCGAGTCGATGGTAGTGTCCGAGCCTGGCGGAAGATCTGCTGGATCTATCGAGACGCAAATCGGGATTGTGCCTTCCCATATCAGTCTTCGGAAGCTGGAAGTTGCGATTGGTGTGGATGTGGGATAGTAGGTCGAACTGGGCTGGAAGGTGGCAGATGCAGGGGATGTGACTGTCGATGAGAAGCCTGCGCCCAAGTGCGGTGAGTTTGGGAGCATGCTTGAGCCTGAGCTTCCTGCACCAAAAGAGCTCTGCCGCAGCAGAGGTGTGGTGGTAGCTGATAAGGACGTCGACGGCGCTGCAGAGGACGAGGAAGAGGGCTGGTTTCCGGCTGAGGCGGAGCGCTGCTGCGAGCCCGACAAGGGAGGTTGGCTCATTTTGAAGATGGTATCGACCTGAGCATCATCGACGAAGCGCACTACGTCTGTGTGATCAAAGGTTAAGTCGATGCGTGATGGTGAGGAGGGAAGTGCAGGTCTTTGGCGCTGATCGCCCATGCATGTCCAGACCAACACAAGCCGCAATGGACCAACTCAACCGCGCGTTGCAGGACCCTGAATTTCTGAAACCACGAAAAGGGCCTCTGGAGTGCAAACTGGCTCGTGCTCGCTCTGCTCTCACCATTCGGCTTCTGTCCATGAGTCAAGTATACAGCTCAACACACGATGCAACTAGTTAACTTCAGCAGACTTGACCGTGGTAGCACAGTGCATTGCGCAAGACGAGCACAGCAATCATGCTCGCCACGTGATGTTGGGAGTATCCGTCCTGAATCGCTGCGTCACCGTACTCTTCTCCAGACTCGTATCGAGTCCCATCCTATGACTCAACAAGCCCGCATGGGCGATCATGATCCCATTATCGATACAGAACCTCTCGTCCGTGGCAAACACACTTCCACCCCTCTCGTTCGCCATGACCCCCATCATATGCTGCAACCTCTGGTTGCTGCCCACACCGCCCACGATGAGCACCTCTTTGGATCCGATATGTGCCATGGCGCGCTCGGTAATCTCGACGAGCATCGAAAAGATGTGCTCCTGCAGCGAGAAGCACAGGTCGGCGGGGGTGATGGTGTTGACGGATGCGTCGAGCTGCGAGGGACCGGACTGGGAGACGTCGACGTCTGCATCTGTGCGTGCTGGTGTCTCGTCGGCCATGTTGACGATGTGTTTTCCGCCGCCTTCGCCCGTCCACACTTCGCCATTGGCTAGGCTACCGACGGCTGCATCGGAGTGCTCGACCCGAGGATTCGGCTTGAAACGCTTGTCCCGCGTGTACGCTTCGGTGGCACTGAGAATGCCCGCCAGGCTGACATCCATGCCTTTGGTGGTGTAGGGAAGGGGAACGAGCTTTGAGCCCTTCCGCGCTTCCTTTTCGATGTTCTGGCCAGGACTCGGGTCATTGCTTAGCCCGATGACGCGTGCGAACCTGTCCAGGCAGTTGCCGACGGCAATGTCGAGCGTCTCGCCAAAAATCCTGTACTTCTGTGCGGAGTAGGCAATGACTTGCGTGTTGCCACCTGAGACATAGAGGACGACGGGGTTGTGGGCGCCGGTAATGGTGCGACCCATCTCGATGTGGCCGACGCAGTGATTGACGCCCACCAGCGGCTTGTTGTACATGAGAGCGAGGGTGCGAGCTACCACGGCTACACTCTGGAGTGGTGCGCCCATACCAGGACCCTTTGTGTAGCAGATGCAGTCGACATCGGCGAGCGACTCGAGACCGGACCGACGGACGGCTTCGGATATGACGCGGATGATCCATTCCTTGTGGTGCTTGGCAGTGTCACTTGGCTGGAAGCCGGATCCGGGCGGCGTAACGTAGGTGTGTCGTACATTCGAAAGAATCTCAACTTGGCCTACGGACCGAGAGGAGATAGATGACGGTGCGGATGAGGAGGACGAGGATGGAGGGTCGAAGGGCTTGTGCAGGACAATGCCGGCACCGAGCTTGTTGGCGCTGCCTTCGAGGCCAAGGGCTAAGTAGGGCCTCGACGGGTATGGCAGCGGGTCTGCCTTTCGTACTCGTGTCCTCGATGGCATGTTGGCGGATGCGATGCTTGTGGGCGAAAAACAGGTGCTTGCGTCCTAAGGAAAGAACTTCTTTGATGAGGAGCAGAGCGAAGACCAGCCAGGGTCGAGTCCGAGATCCGAGGCTCCCACCCAAATTTTTCTCCAAAAGCTTAGATTTCGCAGACCCTTGGCTGCGGTGAGCTGTGGCAAGCCGACAAGGCTCAAAGCCTCCACTCAAGCAACGTTGCACCATACCTTCTAGCAACCCCTTCTGCCGTCTCTCCGCCTTCTTGGCATCATGCCGTGTCCACAGCCAGGCGATCCGGCATCTTCGGCCGCTGCGGCCGCCTCGACTGAAACCACAACTTGCGTCCGCTGCAAGACCAACCCAGCAACCGCCATCTTCCGCGACTCGATCTACTGCCAGGACTGCGCGCTCGCCGTCTTCTACTCCAAAGCCAAGCCGGGTCTCGAATATGCTCGCGGTGCCGGACTCGCCAAGTATGTTGCTGCTGCTTCTAAAGCAGGCTCAATAGCCAGCTCCTCTGCTGCGACGTCCGATCCTGTCGCATCCTCGTCCTCTGCGCCGGCCAACGGAGAGAGCAGCAAGAAAGTAAAACCGATCAACAACGGCAGTGGCAACACCGAGGTCAATGTGTCCGCCAACATTGCCGTCGCCTTCTCCGGGGGCCCGAGCTCAAGAGCCCTCCTGCGGACGGTGACGCAGTATTTCAGACCTGAGACAGCGTTTGTCAACCGCGATGCACGGAGGAGGAAGGCGCGCGGTGAAGATGTTGATACCTCATCGCCGGCGGAGAGCGAGGGTTCGACGGGCAAGCCGCGCGGTCTCAATTCTGCAGGCCGCTTCAACGAGGTCGGAAAGATCTATGTGCTCTACATCGACGACAGCGCTGTCATCTCCAACAGCGTAGATCAAACGGAAGCAGCTCGAATGATGGTCGAAGAGGAAGGCTCTCCCGATCTGCATTTCGTCCCTCTCAAGCTTGAGGACGTCTTCCGTACCTCCGACGAGACCTTCACAGGCGTCCCATGGAAGCACTCCTCTGTCGACGATCAGCTTCTCTCTCGTCACTCCACCTCCGTCGCAACCCCACGACAGGCCCTGCAAGACCTCTTCACCTCCCTCCACCCACCCTCGACTCCGCGCACAGGCGCCTCCTCCGCCCGCACGCGCATCGAAGACCTCCACCGCATCCTCATCACACACCTTCTCCGGCGCACCGCCACCTCGCTCTCCTGCTCCGCACTCCTCCTCGCCTCCACAGCCACACGGACATCCATTCGGCTGATCGAGGACATCGCCAAGGGCGCGGGTCACAAGCTTGCTGTCGCCAACAACGCGGCTGCTTGGATCGACGACTTGCTCGTTGTCCGCCCGTTTGCGCCACACCTTCTCCAAGAAGTGATCCACTATACATCCACCCTTGGGTTGGAGCCGTTGACGGAACAGGAGGTGGTGCCGCCCAGCGTGGGAGTCGGGGAGGGTAGCACGACGGCACCCGTGATGGATAAGACATCGATCGCGAGGTTGACCGAGACGTTTGTGCTCAACCTCGAACGCGGGGTGCCGAGCACCGTGACGACGATCGGCAAGACGGGTGCCAAGCTCGTGCTCAACTCCACTGAAGACGTTTCTCGGTCCACTAGCGAATTCCAGCGGGTGGGGCCGACCGTTCCGCTGCGTACTCGGAACGGCGTTGCAGACAAGATGGCGGATCTGACGCTTGCCGGGAACGAGCCACGCATCGGGTCAAGAGGAATGAGGTTGGCCCAGGCGAGCGCGGGATGCTTCCGCTGGAATACCACCGCAGGCTGTGCGCTGTGCAGCATGCCCAGTCAGCATCCCACCGCGCGACACTGGAAGAGGAACATCACCATTTCAAGCCTGGGTGAGACCGCACCCGGTCAGCGTCCGGTCAAAGCGGTCGAGGAGCAGGGGCAAAGATGGATCGAGTTGGCAGATCATCTCTGCTACGCGTGTCTGTTGGTTCTGGCGCCGCCAGCTGGGGAGGGTGGGGAGGAGCAAGCGAGGTCGTTGCTGCCGGCGTACGTGCTCGAGCATGTCCAGAGGTCGGCTGCCAAGGGCGGCGATGCGAATGGGACCGACCCGAACGGAGTCAGCGGAGTCGAGGCGGCGGTCGCGGAGGGAGGGGAAGCCCCGCAGAACGGCAAGCATGGCAACTGTGCGAGCCACAAGCAACCTCCGCAGCCTCTCAAGAGGTCAGAGATCAAGGCTCAGATCGACGAGTTTCTTCTCGACGACGCATGATTCTCACCCCGAAGAGGGGCTTCAGCAATCAAACTCAGTCGCAAACCCAACACACGCAATCAAGGATTGCTTTCAGCAACGATAATGGTTGTCTTTCCTTGTGCTCCGTGCATGAACATTCCAAGATGAGTGAAAAAAGGCCCTTGAGCTCGGGCTCAAGGTCTTTGGAGCCTTCCTGGGAGATCCTTACTGCTGCTGATTGAAAGATGCATTGCCTTGGCCAGGGCTGCCTCGGATGCTGCCATCGCCCAGGCCAGCGTTCAAGCCGTTGATCGGACTGGAATGGCCGCCGGGGCTCGATCCCCATCCTGTTGACTGGACGTTGGCGAACATGTTGGCGTTGCCGGCGTAAGCCATGCTGCCGGCGCCGCTTGCGGTTTGGCTTTGCTGATGCAGCCCAAGGGGCACGCCAGCATTCCACATCTGGTTCATCAGTCCGGCGGCGGCTGCCGCATCCCCTGTTCCCTGCATGCCATCGAGTGGCGCACTGTGCGAGAATCCTGCCGATGAAGATGTCATCTGAGCCGCGTTCTGGGCGCTTCCGGCCATGGATCTGTCCAAGTTCGGGTATAGGGACAGATCGCCGCCGGCCAGAGCGGACGGACCGAGCGCACCCGGTGTTGCGCCCATGCCATCGTCGAAGGGCCCATCGAAGAAGTCGCTCGAGAACGCGCCTTGGCCACTGAGCTGAGGATCCGATGCCTGCATGTCATCCAAGACCTGTTGGAAGTTGTACTCAGCGCCATCCTGCTCGTAGTCCGGCTCATTGTCGTCCTCTTCGTCCTCCTCGTATCCGTCCTCGTCCGCTTCCTCCTCATCGTCCGAATCTTCGTCCGAGTCAACGTCGCGCTGGAATTGCTGTGCGAAGGCCAAAGCACGAGTATCCTCGACGGACTCGAGCGCTTGCTCAAGCGCACCTTCCACACGACGCAGTGTGTCAGTGGAACGGCGACGCTGGTCGTCGTCCGACTCGGCTAGATCCTTGTCATCGTCCTGCCTGTCACGTGAGAAGCGCTTGCCGACATCCTTCGCGGTGAAGGTCTGTTCGCGTTGGAGTTCAAGCGAGTCGGGTGAGCCTTCTCGTTCTTCGCGGAGCAGCGGATCACCATATGTGACAGTGGCAAAAGAGACACCACCGTCGTTGTTGGACGACGATCCAGCTGCATTGCCGCTGGACGGCTGCTGACCGGCCTGCTGCTGCTGCTGTTGCTGTGGCAGGGCGCCAAGGGCGTTCATCTGACGGAGCAGGGCGTCCTCTGCCGCTTTGCCTTGACCGATGGCACTGGGACCAGAGGCGTTCTCGGTGTTGTTCAACTGGTTGCGCTGCTCTGATGACATCTGTGCCGCATTCACGTCGCCAAAATTGGTGCTTTGTTGAGTTTGTTCTCGAGTGTCGGCCGCTGTCACTCCGTGCTGTAGGTCGCCTGCCCAAGGGTGATGCGGCAAAGGCAGCGATGCGAGCAGCTCGTTGACATCCTGCGTCTGAAGACCGGAGTCCGAGAAGCTGCCGAGATCCCAGTCGACGTTCCACTGCGAGGCGTCAGCAGGATGAGCCGAGAAGGAATCGACGAAGCTTTGCATTGGGTCGTTGACGTAGTTGCCGCGCAAGGTTGCTTGTCTGTCGGGCATCGACTTTGCATTCGTCTGTGCCATCTGTTGCTGCTGGACGAAGGAGCTGGACGTCTCGGACGACCTGCGAGATCCTGTGGCTGAAGAGGCCGACGAACCGGAGGCACTGCCAACGCCTTGTCCCAGCATGGCGATCGAACCAGGATGCGGCGGTGAAGTGAAGCCAGCCTGGTTCGCGAAGTTGATGCCCGTTCCAAAGATCGGCTGCTGATGTGCTGAGAAGCCTCGAGAATCGACGCTACCGAGGCTAGCGCCAGATACATCACTTGCGCTCGAGCTGTATGCTGACCATGACGACGGCACCTGCCCGGAAGGTCCGTCCATGTCCATGGAGGCGCTCTGAGGCAGCATGTTCTGACCTGCGGGATTGAGCCAAGCCAGAACATCGGGTTGAGCTACGTAGTCTGCGTGGCCCAGAGGGGACAATCGGGGATCTGACTGGAGGGGCACAGCGCCTCCTGCCGGCGAGTGGTGCTGACTCGAAGACTGCGACAGAGGTCTTGAGTGTGGGTTCGAGTGGGACGAGCTGTGTCCGTGTGCGTGGCCGTGCATGTGATGGAGGTGACCATGAACCGAAGGCAGTCGCTCGAGTGCTGAGTTCTTGCCGGTGCGAGAAGCGTGACTCCTCCTCTTGTGACTGACGCCGTCGTGACTTGCTTGCTTGCCCGCCTGCCTGCGTGCGTCGTCCGCCGAGACAGCCTTGGTATGGCTGGACGACAATGTCTGCTGATGCATCTGCTGGACCCGCTGCTGCTGTGCCACGTCGCCTTCGCTCGCGCTGGGCGGAGTGGCTCGTCCGTGAACGCTGCTCGTTTCGGAGCTGGTACCTGTGCCTTCCAAGCTTGCCTGCTCAAGCTGCTCGAAGAGACTGTTGATGGACTGCCCAGTGACCATGTCGGTCACACGGAGTGGCAGGTTTGCACCGGGCAGAGGCGCCGTGTTGGACGACATGAAAGGGGGTCTGGCCTGCATGAACGCTTGTTGCTGCTGCTGCTGCTGCTGCTGCTGCTGTAATGACAGAGCTTGACCGAAACTCATCGTTTCGCCCATGGCTGCCTGTGATGAAATCTGGAGCCCGACGCCGTGGCCCATCGAGTTGGATCGCCCAAGCGCGCTGCTCGTGCCGCTGGAAGGCCCGGAAAAGACAGCATCTGCGCCACCATCGGTGAGATTGCCCTGGTCGGTGAAGTAGCTGTAGTCGGTAAGGTTGCCGTGATCGGTTAGATGGCCGTCGCTTGTGGTGTCACTCAAAGGGTACTCTGTGCTGCGCCAAGCGTTGCCGCCCTCGGAGTGACTGTGATCAGAAAACGGACCGGATCGAGCAGCATGTCCTTGACCTGGCTTGGACGCGCTGGGACCACGATCCTTTCTGGCTTTGGAAGGGCGCGGCTTGAAGCCAGCTCGCTCGTAGTCTTCGGGGAAAGCGTTTCGAAAACGATCGCGCAGATCGATGGCGCGTCTTTGGCCGTTGAAGATGGGATCCTTTGCTATCAATGCCCAATGGGATCCATAGTGCTGATAGCCTGCGCGAAGAGCCGCGTCCTCTTCAGCTGTGAAGGGCCGCCTCTCTTTGGTCTTGCCCTTTTCGAAGATGCTCTTTCCATCCGAGTCCCTTCCTCTGACCGCCTTGCTGAGATGCGTCTTTGCGTTGGGATACATTTCGTGATAAGCGTCGGGAAAGTAGGTTCGGAAGCGGTCCTTGAGGTCACCTGCCGTTCTGTCGGAGAAGAGTCCGGACAGCTCTGGATCCGAGAGAATCTTTTTCCAGTTCCCCACGCCATGCTTATTGCAGCCATCAACGAGCGCCTGCGTTTCCTCGGCAGACCACCTGTGCTTTTGACCGCGGCTCCCTTCCGATGCCTTTCGCCCCAGCGAAGAGGGTCGGCGCGATCCGGCTACGGACGACGAAGCTGTGCCAGAGTCCAAGATGGGATCCTCCGAAGCTGACTGTGCGCTGCTTGACTGGTAGCCTGAGCCTGTCTGGTCGGCGGACGCCGAAGCTGATAAGGGCGAGTGACTGCCCATGAAGAGGTGCTGTTGGGCTGTTTGCAGGAAGTGGGATGCTGCATCTTGCTGTAACCCTGGTGCGGCGCCGGGCGATGGATTGGGGTGATCGTGGGGAGAGCCGCTCTGAGAGAGGCTTTGTCGGAGCTGCTGCCGAGCCTCCTGGGATTGCGACTGCATGGTGATCAGGCTGACCGGGTATACGCCGAAGGATCAGATGTGAATGGTAAGACTGTCGACTTGAGCGCACACAGTGGCGATGTGCAGCGATTCAGAGTCGAAGCCGAACTGCGACGGCTTTGTCGAGGACGACGGTGCGCTAAGCGCGGATGGGGTATGCTATGAACGATCCTGCGAACGCATTTGTCACTGGTCCTTTCGCTGTGGCTTCCAAGGGGTGGAGAGTGTTTGTGAACTTTTGTGTGCCGATGCGAATGCGCGTGCCGTGGTGCAGGTGATTGTCGAGCAGCAGCAAGCAAGCAACGAGATGAAGCGAACGAGCGTTATCGGAAGAAGGTGCGTTGAACTCGGTGCAAGGCACTTGGCCAACTCTCAGCCAAAATCTCGGCGCAGGCAAGGGCTCAGAAACGCAGAAGAGAAACAAAGCTGCTGCAGCACCTCAAAAACGCGGCTGCAGCACAACAAGAAACGTGAGCAAAAATGAAAGACCCGAAAACAAAAGGAGAAAGAGAAATCGGCAAATGGTCAGCCAAGCCAAGCCAATCGGTGGCTACGCCGAATCAGATCTCCACGCTCGCGACTCGCTGAGCAACGGAAATGAAGAATCTCACAACTGGAAAACCTCAATTGGCGACTGCGACCATCTTTACGGTCTGATACGGCTCACCCTTGCTGGCTGCGCTGAGTCGAGACGACGATGCTCTGCTTCCACCATCGACACCATACCACATTGAGGCAATCAGGCGTGCTCGTCGTCCACCGCCTTCGTAAGTCAACCCTTTCAACGATCAGACCAACTGACCGACCGTTGCGGATCTCACATCGGCGATTTTTTCGGGCACCGCTTCGAAGCGAGCGCCTTGGATCTTCGCTTGGACCCTTGACATGTGATGGCTGAGTTCGTATGAACCTTCTGACAGACGGACAAGCTTGGCTCCCTTTACCACGATCATTGCCGGGACTCGACTGGAGCTTAGCTTGCTGGCTGGCACAAACTGGGAAATAGCCTTCGCGCAGCGATGCATCCATTTCATCTCGGCACTGCGCTTCCGGTTCGACTACCGCATTCATTTCGCAGCTGGGGGACGGACAGCCATCTAGCTCAACCCCACGCTCCTCCGCACGACACCTTATGTTCGGACCCGATTCCGTCAGATGGTGATCCAAAACGGTCGCTTGCTTCTCAGCAAGGTCAGCGCGGCGGCCTCTGTGTGGGTACCGTGCATCCGTCCCACCCGTGAACTAGCGCCCGTGCACGTCACCTCGCGCTTAGGCACATACTTTGTCCGCCCCACGCTTTTGTTCACGACCGTCAGCAGCTCTTGGTCAAAGCTCTCGCGACTCCGTGAAAGTTGAGCCATTCGGATCTCAAGGGGGGACGTCAAGACGTCTCAAATCGGATATAAGGTATCACCACGCCACCTCGTCTACCTCCTGTACAACGCTCACAGCATCCCTTGACAGCGTCTCGCCATGGACGCCTCCTTGCAGCCAGCCTCGACCTGGGATTCCATTTGGACGGTTCCCCTTAGATGGGCCGTGAAGGACTTCCACGACAAGAAGCCCTACGACAGCTCCAGCGCTTGGATCATCGCATCGCATCTTCCGCTTACTCTTCTGCAGATTCATCTGCTCATCCGATATGATCCCAAGTCGACCTGGCTTCTCAGAGCCACTCTCGTCCCCATCATCTCTCTGCTAGCGCTTCGATCGGCCTTCGCCTTCTACTCCCAGGTGGACGGACTCAGTCAGCTTGACGGCAAGGCCCAGCAGGTCAACATGACCCTGGGATGCTACGCCGCCGCCATGATCGCCCGTGCGCTACAATTTGGCCTCGCCAGACGCCGACCGCAACTCAAAGTTGCAAAGACGAAATCGAACGGAGCTGACCACGTCAACGGAAAGGAAGCGGATCCTATCGACATGCCAATCTTCTTTCCGGGGACCAGGTGGCCGCTCGAGATCGACTTGCTACTCAACGTCAGAGGGGTGGGGTGGGAGCACGGCGTCAAGGAAGCTCCGCCAGCGCTCCCCGTGCAGACCAACACCTCAAGCGAACGATGGACCTGGATCTGCGAACGCATGGCTCCCATCCCATTGTACTATCTTGTACACGATGTCATCGTCGTGCTCATCGCCGACCCGCGCTTCAACGTTCACGCTGGCGGTACAAGTGGCGGCAGTCTTTGGGACTGCTCTCGAGGCTCCTTCGGTTTCGCTGGACCGTACTTGGTCTGCCTCGCATTCGCCTTTTCCTTTGCGTGCAACCTGCATATGATGCACACAGCGCTGAGCTGCCTCTCGGTCGCAATTCTAGGCGACCCACTTTCACGATGGGAGCCACGGATCACGGACAAACCCTGGCTGTCCTCCTCCGTAGGCGAGTTCTGGGCCGAGCGCTGGCACCAGTATCTTCGCATTACCTTCCTGACCGTCGGCTACTGGCCTGTTCGTGATGCCCTCCGACCCATCGCCGGTCGTCGAATTGCCAGCATGGCCGGCATCTGCGGAGCCTTCCTAGCATCTGGCATCCTACACGAACTCGGTCGGGCGGCGATGATGCCTTCGCAAGGCAGCTTTTTGACCCCCGTCACGCTCTTCTTCGCCATCCAGCCAGTCGCCCTCTTCGCCGAGCGATGGTTCGAAACTTGCACATCCCGCAAGGTGCGCGGCATCTGGGGATGGGCGTGGACCATGACGTGGATGCTGGCCACCGCACCGCTGCTGTGTGAAGCTATGAGTCAGGGCGGCATGCTCGTGGCCAAGAACCAGACATTGAATCTCACCCATCGGCCTGTGACGTGGATGCTCGATTGGTGGGATCGCCTTTTCAACGCCGTTTAGAGCAGCTACAATCTTTGCTTCCTTCTTGCATTCATACATCGCAATCACAGCGTCTCGGTTCTTCGATCAGTCGGAACAGGCATGAGAATGCGGCCATGGCAGCGTGCGGTTTGAGCTGAGTACAAATACAGATGGTGATACACATGTGCGAGGAAACAATGCGAAGGTGGTAGTCCGGCAGACTGGGGTATAATGGACAACAACGAGAGAAAGGCTGGGGCTAGATATCGACGTAACCCCCAGCGGCGTCACCACCATATCCCTGTCCTTGGTCAAACCCGTCTCTCCCGTAGCCACCCACATCGACGGTCCCTGCGCCGCTCATCTGCACCTCTGTTCGCCAGGCGCCCTTCAACCCGCTGATCTGGACGATCAATTTCTGGCATCCCTGCTTGAGCGCTTCGGTCGGGGTCGACGATCCATCCGTTTGAATCTTTACAAACACCTTTGGCTCCAAGGGATGTGGGACCTTGTAACCGCAGAAGAGGACGGCGGGGTTGGCGAGCACGGCATGACGCAGCAGGTTGCCGAGCGTATGATCTTCCTTGTTGAACCAGAACGTGGCGGCGTTGGGGATCTTGGTGTCTTCGACCACCTCGACGCGCTTTTCGTCCGGACCCAGGATGAACAGGTCGAATCGATTCGGCGCGTTCGTCATGTTGGCGCTGTCGAGCCAGAGATGCAAGGGTGAACGAGTCAGCGCTTCCTCCCATGAGTGTGAATCCAGGCTGCAAGGTGTGCGCGCGCGTGCAACAATGGGCTCATCTACCGTTGTAGTCTAGGAATCAACGAAACAAGCCAGACCGCCAACTCGACACACTTGTCAGCGTTTGAGTCAGCCGGCCAGCCAGTCCTCAAACAGTGTGAATATGATGTAATCTTTGCCCCGTTGCAGAGGATGCGCGCGCACGATGCCCTTGGTGTTGAAGCTGTGTGTGGTCGCTTACCTTTGATGAATGTGAGAGAGGATGCGAGCTGAGGTTTGGGATGCGATAGGGTGAGCTGGGAGATCGTGAAAGGAGCGTGTGTAGGTTGGTGACGACCCCGACCTCGAGAGAGCGAAGCGCAAGGAGAGAAGAAGGAACGAAAGGGAAGTGTTGCGCTGGTCACTCTTGAGCTTTCCTGCGACGAGTGAAAACTTTGACAATGCGCCGTGAGATGAAAGGAAGGTCCTTCTGATTGGATGGTGTTGGGATGAGGAAAGGGCGATCGACCCTGAGTCGTGGGACAGCGCAATTTTCTTCCAAGCTGCTGCGGTTTATCGCACGACATTTCGGTCTTCAACTCTAACACATGTGGAAAAATCCACCCGGTTGAAGCGGACCCGAGACCGGATATTGAACGACGCAGGTGAGCGAGCCCATCCGCAGCGCGTTGAAAGCGCAGTCACCTTCCCCACATTAGCTCCACTCCACCATCTTCCTTTTCGTCACCAACTTGCTTTCGACGCAACGTTCAACAGGAGCCACCTACGACCAGGATCGAAAAGCGCCGCTTCTGAAGGCCCTAGATCAACCCAAACACCCGAGCTATCAGCAACTTCGACATCCACTGAAGCAACTTCGAGACTAGTCTGCCGCTAGCTCTCCCAACCTCGCCATGTCGGACCCATCCACTTCCGCCGTCGGCGCCCATCAGCAGCAGGTCTCCTCCGGCCCTGTGCGTCCTGACATGGTAGCGAGCGCCATCACCTTCCTCTCGGACCCCAAGGTCCAGTCCTCTTCGATGTCGCAACGAGTGAGCTTCCTGGAATCCAAGGGTTTGCGACCGCACGAGATCGACGAGGCGATCCGACAAGCCAATTCATCCCAAGCCGGCAATTCCGGCTATGCCTCCTATGCAGCTGGCCCTCCTGCACCGTACTACGGCGGTGGGATGCCGTACGGTCCCCATCCAGCGCAGCAGCAGGGGCGCGATTGGAGGGACTGGTTCATCATGGCCGTCGTCTCGGGCACCATTGGCTACGGTGTCATCTCGCTTGCTAAGAAGTATCTCATGCCCCACCTCCAACCGCCGAATGCCAACGTGCTCGAGTCGGACCTCGACAGCCTTACCGCGAAATACGACGAGGTGGCCGCCCAACTGCAGGCGCTCGACGCCCAGACGCTCGCCGTCAAGCAGGGACTGGACGAGCAAAAGGCCGACGTGGAGAAGTCGATCAAGGAGGTCGAGGAGTGCGTCAAGGGTGTGCGCGAGAACGAGAAGAGGCGCGACGGCGAGATGGACCGCATCAAAGACGATGTAGAGGGCATCAGGAAGGAGCTGGGTAGCTTGTTCGAGAAGAGCAAGCAGGCGCAGACGAATTCGTTGAGCGAGCTGCAGAGCGAGCTGAAGAGTCTCAAGTCGTTGTTGGTCTCGAGAGGGACGGTTGGAGGTCAGGGTGCGGGTGGAGGTGCCGTTCCTCCCAGGCCGTACGCGTATGGAGCGGGCGCATATGGATCGCCCACCATCGGCACGCCGACGGGCGAGTCCAGCCCCCCGCATGTGCCCAAGCCCAGCATCCCCGCTTGGCAGCTCGCGGGCGCTGGGTCGACCACCAACGGTACCGCTTCGACGGCGACAAAGGAGGCAGATTCGAGCAAGCCCGCAGAGCCGACTATGGCCGACCCGGCAGAGGAGATGTCGAAGAGCGAAGGAAAGGGCAAGGAGTCGTCCGACTGATTGGCTAAGTTGTGTACTTGTTCCACCTTCGATGTACACAGAAGTTGCTGCGCACACGTCATGATACAGGATCATGTCACACATCTGCGATGTGAAAGAGAGGACTGTGCAGATGGCAGCATGAGAAGAGAGCTGCAGCAGCTCACCGTGAGCCATGAGAATGTTCCATGAGCTGCACCCCCCACATTGCCATAATGGCGGAGGGAGTCCTCCGGATGCGCTGAATGCGAGTGCTACTTTGCAACCGGGGCACGCAGGCCGATGAGGGAGCTGCAATGGGAATGTGAGAGCGGCGGGATTCAATCGTGTCGTTTGGCGCAGAAGCTCTGACTGACAGCCTCTTTGTTCGAGACGGGTTTCCGTTTGCGGGCTAGAGCATCTCACTCTGGACCACATGAGAAGAGCTTGCTCATGTTTCGACCAACGTGAGCCCCTTAGCGGGGTCAAGATGTACTCCGCCGCGTGGGGAGCAGCGCCCGACCCCGCACCATGGACGCTTTTGTCCAGCTGGGCGTGCTCCTGACCGGCGAAAAGCTGTCTCGCTTAGTTTTAAAATAGGGTCTTATCTGGTCAAAGCGCGGGAAGCGAAGCGTCGGTCAAATTTGGTGGCCAGCATTCCTCGCTTCCCGTCCCTTTGACGCCAGGCTGTGCTGCTGATGATCATCTGTTTGTAGGCAACCAAGATTTCGAGCTCAGCAAGCCACCTAGGATCGTCCGACGACTTGCAGACCGATTTGACCAAAAGAGAAGTGAAGAGGTGGATTCGACCTTCGCTTCCTTCCTCCATCTCGCACCTAGCCGCGATCCAAGCTCCAAGGTCCCACGCACAGACCTTTTCATTGGGCGCAGGTTCGTGCAGTCCCACCACCGCCTCACGAGCATCTGGCTCGCCCTTCGTACCGCCACCATGCCGTCGCTACCGGGCAGCAGCAAGTCCACGCCGCCCAAGAAGCCAACCATGAACAGGCTCAAGTCGTGGTCCGCCGGTCTCGGCGCCAAGCTCTCTGGCGGCAGCTCAGACAAGCAGGAGGATCTCGCCTCGGAGGTCGAGCAGCGTCGCAAGGGCATCGACAGCCTCTACACCTCGACTGAAGCGTATTGGTCCTACTTGGGCAAGAAGAAGCCCGTCCCCTTCGACACCTCGTCCTTGCCCATCGACGAGACCGCATCCTCGACGAGCGGGACAGTGTCCTCGAAGCCAGAGCGCAAGATGTTGCCGGTCGAAGCCTTGGGTCTGGCGATGAGCTCGTATGCTACTGCTTTTCCTGACGGCTCGGCGTACGGCTCGTGTCTTGGCCTGCTCGGCGAGGCACACATCAAGCTGGGCTACCTCCAGTCGGCCTTCACAAAGGACACCTCGCACATCTTCCTCGCCCGCATCGCGCGTTCCAAAGCAGCGCTCGACTCTCTCACCGCTGCCCTCAAGAAACTCGACAGCGCCACCGCCCGTCTCGAGTCAGCTCAATCGAAAGTGCAGAAGAGCAAGAAGGAGAAGCGCGAGCTCGAGGAGGAGCTGCGTCTCGCTAAAGCTGCCTACGACGATGCGGTCACCGACGTGGAGGTGCGCAGCGACGCCATTCGGGACTCCGAGTACGACGACTGGCAGTGCTTGACGACGTACATGCAGGCGCAGCTCGACTATATGGGCCAGGCGCAGGCGGTGCTCGAGCAGGTCAAGTCGATGTGGGGCGAGCCACCGGCGGCCGCGGGGACTCGTTCCGGGGCGAGCACCCCGCTGACCCGGCCAAGGTCGATGTCTACGCCCAAGATCAGACCCGCCATCTCGCGCCGCTCGTCTGCAAAGGATGGCGCCGATGTTGCGACCACTTCGAGTCGATTCGGATCGCGGTCATCGCTGAGCCTGACGAACAGCAACGAGCCGACATCCTCGTCGAATGATGAGACCAAGCGAGAGACGGAGAAGCAAGATAAGGAGAAGAAATCGTTCCTTCGCATGCCCTCGTTCGCGGGCGCTAGCGATACCGTCTCGTCCGTCACATCAGGAATCGGCTCTTCCATCGGTCGTGCCCGCTCGTCGAGTCTCTTCGGCGCCGGATCCGGCCAGCCATCCCCTGAAAAGGACCGCGAGCCAAGCAAATGGAGCTTCATGCCGCGAACCAACAAGAAGGAAGCCGGCTTCGTCTCGATGGACGAAGCGGAGAGGCCGCAGTTCTCCTCCGAACAACCGCCCGCTCTACCAGCTCGGGACTACGTGCGACCTTCAGTGTCCGCGCACGACGTCAACTTGGGTGCAGCCGACCACGCCAACGGCGATCACGGCGAGCTCCGAGTGACGCGCTACTCATCCGACTCCCGCTCGTCCGACGAAGACGGGCAATTTGAACCGTCACCCTTCAGCCCAGGCGCAAACGACGGCGCCTTCCTTGGCGTGCATCGCGCGCACGAAACCATCCATGAGAGGGGCGAGTCCGGACTGTCCGCTGACTACATCGACTCGTCCATGCCTCTCGCGCTGAACCACACTGGGTTGAGTGCGTATAGCGACGGCGCCAATCCGTTTGGCAACGGCGGTGCCATGTCGCCCCAGGCAACGGGCGGACAATACGATGCAAATACGGACGACGAAGACGAGATGGAGAGACAGGGTCTTACGGGCAGGGTGGAGGACAGGGAGGAAGGTGGGTGGAGGAGTATGTTGAGTACTAGCATTACGAAGGAAGGCGATGGTAGGGGGTCGGTGAGGGGTAGATTGCCGCCGCCTGTTCCGAGCAGTGCAGGGTTCTTATCAAAGAGCAAGGCCAGACTGGCACCGCCTCCTCCGCCGCTGCCGACGAGAAACAGTTCGTGAATAAGCAAAGGCGTAGCATAGCACAGCATTACACACTTCACACAGTACACAAGCACAACGGACAATCCCACGCATCACTTTCCGTTGAAGCACTTTGCCATTCCTTGCGTCACGAGCTCGTCTCTTCTGGACTGTGTGCCAACCTTCCTCTGACCAAATTGGCCCGTCTCACCGCCTCAAGACATTTGCCGATCCCATCCACATCGCTGAGTAGCGTCACATGCCTGTGCGAGCTCTCCACCACACCTTCGCCGTCAAACCGCATCGCGTACCGATCCATCTTCAGCCTCCCCTTCCCCAGCTTCTTCTTGAACGGTGGTCCCTTCCCCCACAGCTCCTGGGGCAGTGTCTCCGTCTCCTCCCGCTTCGCGAGCAGTCTCGCCCACTGGCCGGGGAGAGTTGTCGCCGAGCGCCGCGTGATGACGCCGTCACCGGCGCCGTACGTCATCCTGCTATAGTCGCCCGCACGCACGTCGTCCTTCCATCCGTCTTCGGTTGGGTCCTTGGAGGTGTACGCGTCGACGCCGACCAGCGCACCGCGGACACACGGCGTGCGCCCAGAGGTGAGCAGCATCATCGGCGGATACTCCCCAGCTGCATGCTTGGTGGGCGAGAATCCGTGTTCGATGTCCGACCAGAACTGGCGCACTTCTGACAGGGTGCGCTCTAGGTAGAGCCAGGACTGGGTGGCGTATTCGAGCTTGTCGAAGTCGGCCGGGCTAGTTGGGTCCGAGGGGACGTTGCGTTTTGCGCCCTGGCGGTTCGACGGCTGGAGCGCGTCTTGTTCCGAGTCGTCAGCGGGCAGCTCTGCCTCGCCTGGGCTGGTGGGAGGCTGATCCGTGAGCCCCTCGATCACGCCCATCGAAAGACCGTTGGGTCTGTCCGGGGCGTCGCCGCCCGGAGACGCCACATCTGGGCTGGTTGGGCTCAGCGCTTGCTCGAGGTCGGCATTGCTGCTCGTGTCGATTGAGAGTCCTTCTCCCTCCGTGCGCGAGTTGTGCTTGCGTGCGAGTGCGATGAGCTGCTGGCGACGGCCCTGCTCCAGACAGGGACTCAGACCGAGCTCGTTCCACAAGTCGGGATCGAAAAAGTCGACGTCTTTGAAGCGAGACTGCTTTTGCTGCTCGGTGAGTTCGTCATCGTCTTGATCGGGCTCGCCGACGGGCACTTCGAAGCAGCGACCGTCGGGAGGTAGGAGATAGAAGCTGCTACGGAAGCTGAAGGTGGCACGCGGCGAGCAGATGGTGTCGTTGAACAGAGCCGCATCGCCAAAGCGGAAGGGACCGAGAATGTTGGGTGTGCCGCGGAACGGTGTCGACGCGAATACGAGACCTTCGAAGACGCGCGGATTGTTGCAAGTTGCCAGTGCATGCAGAGCGACTAGACCACCCATCGAATGTGCAATTACCTTTGCTCCTCTCTTCTTCCCGGAGGCTTCATCGGCAGAAGCCTCGTACAGCTCCTCGAGGAACTTGGTCAGCCGTTTCGAAGACCGGGCGAGGGAGAGACGCCAGTCGTAGCCCCAAGCGTGCACCTTGGCTTGCCTTCGACCCGCGACGCGTTCCTCCAGACGCTTGCCCATATCCACCAGCCTGCCAATCGACATGCACGGCTCCGAAGAGTAGACGAGCTCTTCCGACTTCTCCTCTGCTTCCGTCGACAGGCCCAGCTCGAGCGTCGGCCGGCGAAGACCCACGCCCACCTTGATGGGGATCCACATCATCATGTTGGTCTCGGCGTCTCGCAACACGCTGCCTCGATACCCGCCCAAGATGACCACGTTTCCAGAGAGGTTCTTGAAGTAGTCGGGACTGCCAGGATCCGTCTTGACGGTCGGGATGAGTTCTGGCTCGAGCATGTTTGCGGACGGAAGGGCTTTGATATCCGAGCCGTTGTCGTTAGGAGCAGACGCCGAAGCAAAGAAGTCGAATGATGGCAAGAAGCCCCATGCGCTGTTGATTGCTTCCCTCCAGCGTGGTTGGGAGGCTTCTTGAGGAGTGGGCGGTGGAAGGCTCTCGTCGAGTCGGATGGGAGTGCTGACGTCCTCGTTGGAGGCGTGACGCGATACGACCGCCTCTACCTGGGCTGCATCCTCCATCGAAAGGCCGTAGCTAAAACCTGACCGCGCGGCAAGGTTGTCCTCGCCTGGTCGATATAGTGGCACTGGATGAGGACGCTGCGGAGGAGCTTCTTGCGTTTGCTGAGTGGCCCCGTTGTCGTCTCCATTACCTTTCCCGTCGCTTTTACTGGTATCACCGTTGGCCAAGCTCGAGCCGGCACTCAGGCTCTTGCGACGAGCCTTGAGAAACTTCGACGCTGTGGTGAACGGCTTCTTGACCGTTGCATACAGAATGCTAGACCCAGCCTCTCCATCCGCCCCTTCGTTTGCGGAGCTATCCGTCGTGCCCCCTTTGTCGCTCGATCTACGTCTGGCATCGAGCTTGCTGCCGCTCAGTCCCAGAAAGGACGTAGCCGAAGGCACATAATAGTGATAGTTGGAAGAGGATCCGAAGTGCGTATCGTAGAAAGCCTGTTTGGCGGTGGGATTGCGGTGGGCTGGATGCATGTATTTGACTTTTAGGTTCTTCAAAGAGGGCTTCCATGGATATGAGTCGGGCCAGACGAGGTCATCTGGATGGCGATTGGAGCTGTCGACTCGTGAAGCCATAGCAGCCTCTTCGAGAGGATCGCTCTGTCGAAAGCCGGGCGTGTTCGGATCCATGTCGTCCTCGGACGCAGAAGAGTCGGACGAGAACAGGTCGGCGGCGGCAGCAGGAGTGGATGGGGCAGTGGCGAAAGAGTTGTGCCTCGGAGAGACAGGAGCTGATGTGACGGACCGAGATGCTCCATTTGCCGTCGGCACGTCAAGATGTCCACTTTGCGAGCCGGCTGTTTTGGGTCGTTGTCTCGACCCTGCATCGGCACTCTTCCTCGCCTGCGAGATGCTGGTTCGAGGCGTCGCCGAGGTCGAGCCAAACTGCGGTATGTCATATTTCCAACCGCGCTTGCTCTCGGGAATGAAGCGACCGTTGGCTGGCTCCGTGTCGTCTGGCGCCGGCTCTATTCTAGAGAGCAAGGAGAAGGAATGGCGCTTCTTGCTCGCCTCGCCGGTGCTGGACATCTTGGCAGGCGAGGACGAGGAAGGGATGCTCTAGTGGCAGTCGTCGTGGTGGTGATGAGGGTAGGATGTCAGGAAGGAACGAGGTCGAGGCAATCTGCGGATCATCCGCTGTCATGTGGTACGGCCGCTCCACAAAAAGGGATGCAGCACAGCCCAGAGCGGATCGGAGTTTCCGAACCGGCAAAGTGGACCCTGAAGCATGATGACCAGGTTGCCCTGTTCCGCCGTAAGCGGAATCGACTTCCCTAACCGAGATACTCAATCCAACAGCACCGCGGAGCAACGCAGATCTGCCGAGGCTTCTCGCTCACTTCTTCCCAGCTCAGTCATGCAGCGTGGGGCTTTCCCACGTCATGGTGGTCATGCTTCAGGACCGGCCCAGCTGACAAGCAACGCTGCTGTTGGCGCTCTGAGCAAGTGACCCGGCACGGGTGCATTCCGATGACCCATGCTTCTCGCCTCCACCGTTTGAGCCCCTTTCGCCGGATGTGTACGCCGACGCTGCAGCTGCTCTCAGGTTTTTTGTTCTTAAAAAAAAACAGAAAAAGAAGGCAAGAAATTGGGTCATGAAAATAGGCCAAATCTGCCGATCCATTCTCCGATCTCTCATGCGGGGTCGACCATATCTTGCCAGGTCCTCATCCCGCCGCAGTTCCAGCCGCAAACCACGAAGCACACAGATGAGGATGATTCTGATAGACTAGCGTATTGTACAGATCGCGAGCTGTCGGCTCTGATTTACAGGAGGGACTGGACAAAGGAGAAAGGGCAAGCGGCGGTTGTGCGTCTTGAGCAGGCAGATCGGAATGAGGACGAGTCCATGCTAGTCTTGCGTGCGATGAAAGTGGACCATCGATTGCGAGAAGATTTGATGCGCTGGTGTGAAGCCGCAAAGCGCGTGCTACTCGCTGATGCCGATGGCATTGAGCAGCCCGTTCGTCGGCAACAAGAGTCTTGCCGTGTCTGACGGCATCTAGGCATTCGGTCGAGGCTGAAACTTGTCCGTGAGGTCGCGCTGGAACAACGAAGAAGCACGTGCTGCCGCGACGCTGCTGTCAAAGACAAACTCGCCAAATCCGAGGTACTTCTCGAGCAGACCTCTTGTGGTAGGTTCGCTGATGCGGCCGATATCGGGTTGGAGGCCGGTTTGACGCTTGATGCCGGCGAGCACCGTCGATACGAGCAACGCATCAGTCGCGTAGTGTACGAGTCGACCCAGGACCATGTTGTGCTATCGAACCTTGGATGGTGCTTGAAAGGTGGAGGGAGGAAGCTGTTGATGGCGATGGAGGAGATGCGCGAGATGGCGCGCAGATGTTGCTCTCGCCAAAGTGACAGGTCTGCTGGCTGTGTTGGTCCGTGTTGAACGCGCCTTCCCGAAATAGCAGCGCGGTACGAGGAACTAACATTCCGCAAGAAATCGCCGATTGAGCTGCGATCTTGTGCATCCCGCAACACCAAAAAATCTGGTCGCGAAGTCACAGAGGACACAACACACGCTCGGTCCTCCTCCTTCTCCTCCAACCATCTTCACCTTCACCTACATCCCTTGTAAACACGATGGCGTTCTCATTCGGGACACCCGCCGCACCAGCTGCTGGCACCTCGGGCACATCTGGTGGCTTCTCCTTCGGCACGACCCCGGCACAACAGCAGCAGCAGCAGCAGAAGCCTGCGACGGGTGGATTCTCATTCGGCACACCCGCTTCACAACCCGCCGCAGCACCAGCTGCCCCGGCGGCGACGGGAGGGCTCTTTGGCGGCTTTGGCAGCTCTCAACCCGCTGCATCGGCTGCTCCCGCTGCGCAAGCACCCGCAGCCTCGACAGGCGGACTCTTCTCGTTCGGTGCCAAGCCGACGACCACTGCTGCGCCGGCTTCCACCACAGGCGGCCTCTTTGGCAACACCACAACCACCACACAGCCCGCATCGTCAGGCTTTTCCTTCGGCGCACCCGCCACCACACAGTCCCAACCTGCGCAACCCTCCACATCCCTCTTCGGCGCCCCCGCCTCGTCCTTCGCCACGACCTCTGCGCAGCAACCCCTCACACAAACCTCACTTCCACAACCCGCGCAGCCCTCGCAACCGGACAAAAAGCTCGGCGCATCCCTTTGTGCATCGATCGAATCCATCCGCGCAGCATACGACACGTCCAACGCGGCCCACTGTCGATTCGTCTACTACTTCTACAACAATGCGGGCAGTGCGTCGAATCTGAAACTCGTCTCTGGTCGGCGGGCCGATGCTGTTGGTCCTACGCACGATGCCTTGTGGGCAGCAGCGGTGCGAGAGAACCCCGATCCGAACCGACTCTACCCTGTGCTAGCGCTTGGGTTCGGGGATTTGAAGAAACGTATTGAGTCGCAGGAGAAGGAGGCGGCGCGTCAACGGGCGTTGCTCGCCCAGCTCTCGACGCGGTTGGCCGCACTGGAAAGCAAACATTCGTTGAGCAACAGTGTGCGGGCGCAGGCGGCTCAAGCCAGGCAGGCGCAGTTGCACCATCGGTTAGTGGGGTTGGTGGGCAAGGTGCAGTTGCTGGTGCCTGCGTTGCGGGGGAAAAGCGTGGGGCCGGAGGAGGAGAGACTGATTGCGATCCTCGAGTCGTGTCAGGCCGAGATTACGGGTGCTGTTGGCGGAACGGGCAGAGTGAATGGGAATGGCACACGGGAGAGTGGTGCGAATAGCGCTAGACTCCGGGCGAGGATCAACGAGCTTTGGGCCCAACTCGGCGTGATTCGCGCCAAGAGGGAGATGATGGCGCGCGAAGGGAGGAGTGCCACCACAGAATGGGCGGTCGTCGACCAGAGCGGGTTGGAGAACGTCACAAAGATCCTGGCGCAACAGCAACAGGGGTTGAACCACCTCAGTACCACGTTGGAGACGGACACCAAGACGATGGAGACCATCACGAATGGCTTGTCCGGCGTCAAGCTCGTTGGAGTTTCACGGTAGGGTATCGTTTCACACTAGACCAATGCCAAAGTCATCGTTCGCATGCTTTCCTTTCTATTGCTTTTGCTCGACTGTGTTTTAGAAGGGCGAGAAACCCGTGAACGCGACCGGGCCGACGCCTTGCACCGTCTGTCTCTTCGTCAACCCACCCGTCTTGGCGTCTCTCTCAAACACGACAATGTTCTGATCCGTCTGATGACCCACGACCAACCACCTCGCCTTGTCATCCCGACCGCTGTCCGAGCTGAGACTGAAGTGTCTGGGCATGCGTCCACCGCTGGAAACCCAATCGACAAAGCTCAGTTCGCCCGACTTTTGGTTCCGCTTAAAGATGCTAATGTGATCCTCCTTCCTATCACCGCGTTCGGAAACGTAGACAAAGTCGCCGCTTGGAACCACTGCGATTTCGGCCGTGGTACGATTCGTCTCGAGCACTCCGGGGCCGCTCAGCGGTACACCTGGTGGAGAGGCGAGTACCGGTTTGCCGACCAGCTCGAGCTTCCCACTCTGCTCATCGAGCTTGAATGCGGATACCGTGTTATCCAGTTCGCTCGCGAGATATCCCCAGCTCCTCCCCTCTGCATCCTTATGAAAAGTGATGTGTCGAGGACCACTACCGATCTTGACATCGGTGCTCCCCGCCCTGTGCACTTTGCCGTGGTCAATTCGCAGATGATGGATCTGATCCGCTCCGAGATCGCACACGTACACCCACCCTCCCGATGGCGAGAGCGCGACCTGGTGCGCGTACGAGTGGTCCTGTCTGTCCGCCACCGGTCCTACTTTGGGCTGATTAGCAGGCCGGTGAAAGTGAAATACCTGCGTCGGCTCGGATAGCGTCCCGTCGGGGAGGATGGCGAGGACGGAGGCGGAGCCGGAATTGTAATTCGCTACGAAGAGCAGTCCTTTGCTCGGCCCATGGCCGATGAGCGCTGAAACAGGACCGTCCCCGCCGCTCGAGACGCCGTGCGAGGGGCCAGTGTGCGTGATGCTGCCTGTGGAAGGATGAAAGGTGTGCGAGAAGACTCGGCCTGGAGAAGTCTCGTCGACCGTGTAGAGGTCGGTCACGGCGTAGAAGGTGTCTTTGCCTTCGTGCGAATGGGAAGATTTGCGCGAGGAGTAGGCGATCCACGAAGGCGATGTGCCGGACGAGTTGGGTTCGACACCGGACGAGCGGCGGCTAAGGTGGCCGGTAGAGGCGTCAAGAGTGTACGGCACGATCGTGCCGCTGTAGCCTGCCGCGAAGAGCGTCATCTTGCGTCGACGGTGGGGTGCATGCGCTACCGCAGTTGCTGCGGGCTGAAGAGCGAGGGAGAGTGCTGCGAGAAGGGAGACAAGAAAGAGTGTTCGAGTAAGCATCTTGCGCGTTTCGGTGTCGGCGGTGCGCAGGTGCGAGTGGTGAGAAGAGAAAAGATGCAACTCACGTCGAAGAGGAGTGTGATGATTGGCACGACCGTGCGAATGTATGCGAAGCTGGACAGAGCGCAAGCTTCTGGGACAAAAAAGGGGAAGCTCTGAAGTTTGCTGGACAGAAGGTTGCGTAGCTCGGTTGCGTGTTGGGCGAAAAAGTCGCCGATCAAGGTGGGGGAAAAAGCGGCTCGAGCGCTGTTTGCCGTCGGTCCAGGGTTCATCCTTCGAATCTCTCCTTCGATGCTGGGCTTGACTTGGTTGCCTGCTTACGATCTGACACCTCACCACGGACCAGCCATGAGCTTCCAAGATGTCAGCTCAGAGTGATGCTGAGGAATGACAAGGGTTGCAGGACAAAGCTCGGGTGACTCCTGCAAAGGTACCGAGGTGCCTAAGCGAGTAGTTTTGGCTGGCGTCGATCCGGTGTTGGTCTCAACGCGATCCGAAATCGCAGCAATTCACCGCGCATACGAGGCCGCACCTCACACCCACGGCCAGAATCATCACGACACGGACTTGTGCTCACTGCTGTTCCAAAGGCTTGCTATTCCTGGTCCTCGAAGCAGCCGATGGTGATGAGACGAGAGCACGTCCAAGGTCCAAATTCTCAATTCCGTCTCGCCTCTTCTAGCGCCTTCAACCACCTCGGCTTCAACGCCTCCCTCTGCTGCCGCACACTCAGATCGTCCGCCGCCAGCGTGTTGTACGCCTCCTTCCCACTCAGCTTGGATCCGTCTTTGCGCTCGACCTTGAGCAGCGATCGATCAACGTCGTAGCCGCCTTCCTCGATGCTCGCCATGCGCTTGCGGCTCTCGAGCACCGGTGGAATGGCCTCGGTGAGATACCTCCGGTTTGCATAGACGTTGTGCGAGAGGCGCTGGACATGCGGCGAGCTCCAATAGATAAAGTCTCCCAGCCCAGCTTTGCGATCGGGGTGATCGCGTTCGGCCGCCCGGTCGGTCGCATATAGCTGTTCGAAGGGGCGCGGTTCGGTCGGAGCGGTGGTGCTAGGCGTCTGGCTGGCACTTTTGCGTGCCTTCTTCTCGACTGTCGGTGGCGCTGGCTTCGCGATTCGTTGTTCGTAGGCGTCCTGCTCGACCCGTTCCAAGCTCTGCCAGTCAGCTCGCTGCAGCAGCTCCAGACTGCGCTCCTGCACCGACGCCTTGAGGGGCAGCTCCGAACTCAGCTTCTCCATCATCCTCGACCTCAGCTCGGACTTGAACTGCTTGTCGTGCGCGGCATCCTGTCGATCCCACTCGTCTTCCCACTCCTTCAGCGACTTGCGCGGTTTACGCTCGCCATCTTTCTCGCTCGCCTTGTTCGCCTCTTCGTCCGCCTCCTCAGCCTCCTTGGCGAGCGCCTTGCGCTCCGCCTCGCGCTTCTTGTCGAACATCTCGTTGAGCGATGTCCGCACCGGCACGCGAGGGTACATATCCAGCACATCGATCTTGAGCGGTTGAATGTCGGTGAAGGTCCAGTTCCAGTCCTCGCCCTGCTCCTTGCTGCACATCTGCAGGCCGTTGGTGTCCCACGCACCGAGCACGAACGTGATGTGCTGGCGCTCTTCTGTCTCTTGGTCCACGTAGCTGTACTCCGCCATGTGCAGAGGCATCAGGATCGGGTACGCGGCAAACATGTCGAGCTGTAGGGTATCGGGCTCGAACCGGACGGGTGGGGCGGTGATCTGCTCGCCTTCCTCGTTGACGAGGGCGATGGTGAGACCGAGCCCGTGCACACCGGCACCCGGAATGGGCACTCCTGCGGCGAGGTCTTGCTTGAAGGTAAGGTCTTTCAGCTCGAGCTGGTTGCGCAGCATGTCTGGCAGGCAGAGCGGCGAGATGGTGAATGGCAATGGGTCCGGGATACCACCCTCGATCTTGACCTTCGACCCTTCCATCCGCTTGAGATACGATTGGTACGACTCATAGTCTACCATCGATAAGTTGTTCCAAGTCGCTTTGGGTGCGTCTCCGCCGAGACTAGGATCGTTCTGCGCGTCTGCCTTGGGGCTCATATCGTATGGAGGAGGCGGAAACATCGGCATGGTATCCATCGGCTTCCAAGAGTGTCCTGGGAACCGTGACGACGTCGTGATAAAGTTGGATTCTGCCCTTCCGTCGTTACCGCGGCACTTGACCTCAAACGAGGCGTCGACGAGCCAGATCGGCAGATAGAGTGCCGTCATCCTCTCGAGCTTGACAATCTTTTCCTCTGGGTCCGACATGCTTGTGATGCCGACGAGGGACAGCAGCTGATGCTTGAGCATGTCCCATTTGCTCATGACCCTCGGCATAACCTCCATCACGGCTATTGTCTTCAAAAACTCTTTTGCACCGTCCGTGGAGACTCGGAAGGGAACCATCTCGACTTTGGCCTGCTGATGTCTCGGAGGTGTGCTCGAGCTCAAATCGGCCGCGCTGCTTGGTTCAAGAGTGGGCGCCTTCGCGGCGGGGCTCGACGCTGCTGCGGCAGCTGCTGGAGGAGCGGTTGGTTGGCTCGAAGCCTTTTTGGAAGGGCGCATCTTTGTGCTGGACGCGACTGGTTTAGGTGCTGTTGCGCTCGGCATCTTTGCTGCATGCGCCGGCGTCGGTGCAGCTGTCGGCGAGGTGCTCTTACTACTCGAGGAGCCTCTAGACGCCTGCGTTGGTGTGCCGGATTGGCGCTTCGATCGGACGGCAGTGGTGTGTACGTTTAGGGCGCTGCTGCGAAGAGGCCCGAGCCGCGAAGGGCCGGCTCGCAGAGCATGTGCTGCACGCAACATGGTCTGTCTCTTGCGCAGCCACGCTGTCTGAGAGCGCGAGACTGGCGGATTGCTGCTCGAGATGAAGGAGGTCGGAAGGTCGGTGGGTCTCGAGGCTCGATTCTTCTCCACTTTTCTTCCATTTTGGCTACACGCAGGCACGGTCCAAATTTTGGAGGAGGTCGGCAGCGAACGGCTGACGATCCACGATCTTCCAGCTTGGGCTTGGACCCTGTTCCTTCTTGCCCACCTTCCCTTTGTTTCGCTTCGTCGACATCAGCGAGAGTGATCGAGATCGTGTTGTCGTCTAAGAGCACAGCATGTTAGCTAGATCGCTGCGCCTAGCAGCTCCATTCCGGTCCACTTCTTCGCCATGCCGTCAAATCGTCCGACATGCTTCGTCATCTAGCAAGGCATCCTCCGACTTCTTCGCATCATCCGCTAGACTCCAGGGCAACAGCAAGGCCATCGCCTCGTCAACTGCTGTCGTTGTCGGTGGCTTGGCTCTCTATGCCACTCTGAAGCCCACCTCCTCGTCGCCAGTAGAATGCGAAGCAGCCAAGCCCACGCCTGCATCCCTCGTCAAGGGCGGCAATCAATCTGATCTGCCCGAGATCTCGCACCTCAACCCCGCACTCCTCACCGACAGCTCAGCACCTATGCGCCAGCGCATGGAAACGTACGTCAAGCTCCTGCAGCACAACATCGTCTCTGCTCTATCCCAGGAAGAGCCCAAGGCGCGCTTCCTCATCGACAGCTGGCTGCGTAAGGAGGGCGGAGAGGGCATCTCGTGCGTCCTCCAGGATGGTTCTACGTTCGAGAAGGCCGGTGTCAACATCTCGGTCGTGCACGGCACACTTCCACCCGCAGCGGTCAGGCAGATGAGTGCGGACCATGCCGGATTGATGGAGAAGACGGGGTATAGGCTCGAGGGCAAAGACGCCGATGTCAAAGGACTGCCGTTCTACGCGGCCGGGTTGAGCCTTGTGGTTCACCCGAGAAATCCTTTTGCGCCGACGGTCCACTTCAACTATCGCTACTTCGAGCTGACACACCCGGAGAAGCTGGCGGACGGCTCGCCAAATCCGCGACACCCAAAGAACCGCAAAGACGGCGGAGGTAACGAGCCGATCGCATGGTGGTTTGGCGGCGGAACGGATCTCACGCCCATCTATCTGTTCGACGAGGACGCGAAACACTTCCACCAGACCCTCAAGTCGGCTGCTGACCAACACGACCCTACGTTCTACCCGACATGGAAGAAGTGGTGCGACAAGTACTTTCTCATCCCGCACCGAGGTGAAGCGCGTGGTGTCGGAGGGATCTTCTTCGACGACATCACTCTCCCTCAGTGGGCCTCTGCCACGTCATCGGCCTACATCCCACTCTCGGACGGCACGAAGCCAACGCCTTCCGCACCCATCGTCCCATCCATCTCGAGCGGGAAGCCGCACGACAAGGACTCGCTCTTTGCAACGGTGCGCTCGCTCGGCGACGCCTTCCTCCCCGCCTACCTGCCTCTGGTGCAGAAGCGCAAAGCTACGCCGTTCACCGAAGCCCACGAGCGATGGCAGCAGCTGCGCCGAGGCAGGTACGTCGAGTTCAACCTGGTCTATGATCGAGGGACCAAGTTCGGGCTGCAGACGCCTGGGGCGCGGATCGAGAGCATCCTGATGAGTCTGCCTTTGAAGGCAAGGTGGGAGTACATGGAGCGCTACAGTGGCGGCGGAGCTCAGGGACGGGACGGTAAGGCGACGACGAGACAGGATGCCGGTGAGGGTAGTGGTGAGGAGGAGGGGAAGCTGGAGAGGCATACGATGGAGGCGCTGAGGAAGCCTCGAGAATGGGCGTAGAGCAGTGACGCGATGCAATGACACACCTCTCAGCGTGATGCACAAGTGTGTGACAGGTGCTGCGGCATGATCGTGAGAAGTGCAGAAGTCTGTGATTGCCTACTATGCTGTGACGAGAGAATGAGCGTGATGTTCTATTATGTATCCAGCATAGATCAGATATTCTATCTCGAACCCGAGGCGTCCGACCGACCCGCAGTCACATGATCCAGCAATCTACCTTCCAAGTCCTCTTCTATCGTCCCTGCCGTCTCCACCACCGGGGCAGCAATGGTTTCGGCCGCAGTCGGCTGTGACGTGGGAGCCTCTGTCTCCTCCTGCCCCGTTGATGCCTCGGAACCGGGCGTCGTTACAGGTAGCGGTAGCAGTCCTGCTGGGTTGCTCCTTCCGGCAGCACCATACCCTCTCGCCAGTCCGCTCCTACCCGCTGGCCCAGCAGGCGCGACGGGCTGTAACGTGAAACTTGGCGGCGGCGTAGCGAGCAGCAAGTAGTGTCCCGAGCTTAGCCCCGTCGGTCTATCGATACTCATCAGACCGAGTTTGGGCGTGCGCAGACCCGCTGAAGATGACGATGAAAGAACACCAGCAGGCTGGTTAGAGGCCGAGCGTGAGTAGGCCGAGGTGCGGTCGAACGAGGTGGACATCTTGTGTGGCGAACTGGTACGAGAGCGTGGACGTCTGAGCTTGGTGCCGGAAGAGGAGCTTGGGACGCGGAGGGCGTTGCTTGGTCCAGCTGCTGCGTCGATGAAGTCGATGCGTTGGCGCGGTTTGGTGCGGCTTGCGGTGCTCGCGAGGGAGGAGATGCGGCCGCGTGTAGAGGTGCTTGAGGGATGAGAGAGGAGAAGCGATCGCTCGTTCAGCGCGGGATCCTCGCCGTGCGGCTCCTCGTCTTCCTCGACCGATTCGTCGGCCGAATCCTCGCCAGACTCCTCATCCGTCTGCTTCCCGTTCGCCTCCCCATGCCGCCATGTGAGCACGAACACCCCACCGAACGTTGTCAGACATCCAAACAAAAAGTTGATCAGCCGATGTGCGTCCATGTTCTCGAAATCCCGGTAGAGGATGGCGCTGCCGACGATCGCCGAGATGGTGAAGAACACGAACTGCGTCGGGATGACCTCTCTGCTGTCGAATCTCTGCAGCGCCCTGTTGAGATAGGTAATTTGTACGACGGCTGTGACCGCGAGCACCACAACGAGCACATAGGTGATGGAAAACTTGAGCGCCTCAATAGGCTGACCGCCCGAGATGAGCGACGAGATGCCCTTGGTGCTCAACACTGTGAAGCCACCGAAGATGGCGCAGATGCCGACGTCGATCAGTACCCAGCGGTCTCCCAAGGATGTAGCGCTTGTAAACGCGAGCAACGCGCCGACACCGATGGAGATGGCAGAGTAGATGACAAATTCTAGCCGCTTGATGGCCTGAAGCAGCTCACTCGGGTCGAGACGGACGTCGTTCTGCTTGGAGCTGAAGACGACAGTGACGGCGCCGATGATGGCGAGAAGGATGCCGCCAATGTCCGAGATCTTGAAGCGCTCGCCGAGGAGGATGGGCGAGATGATGACGTTGGAAAGCAGAGCGACGGCGCCGAGGGGTGCGACGAGCGAGGCGGGCGCAAAGCCGTATGAGATGAAGTTGCCGCCTTCGCCGATCGTCATGAGCGCGAGTCCGAGCCACCAGAGCTTGCTGTGCAGGAACATGGTGTCCATGCCGGTACCGCTGCTGCTGTCATCACTCTTTCCGTGCCCGTTGTGGCCGTCTTCGCTGTGTGAATTCGCATGGCCGTTCTGCCCGGAAGATTCGCTGCGATCGGAACGCCTTTGGCCCGAGGATGGTCGTCTATTCGGAGATCCATCTTCTGAATCGTCACTATGCCCATCTTGCTGTCCATTCTGTCCCCTCTGGAGCCGAGTGTGGGCCAGCTTCTGACAGTTGAGCGCGAGACTGATGGTGACGTTGCCCGCTATGGCCACCACGACACCGATCCAAGTCTTGCTCGAGGAGAGAGTGTCCATGCTTGTGGAACAGCAGCGTATTGAAAGCGCCTGCGATCTCGAATGGTCGCGAGAAGATGTCTTCTAGAGGATCATGTCCATGGTCTGGTTTGTTCTATCGATGCCTGCCAGTAGGGTAGGGGGGCGAGGTGGTACAGAGGGAACGAGCGTTGCAGGTGAAACAACTCAGCTGTTTCTTCTGCATGACGGAATTTCGGGTCTGTGTTTGTGGAGGCTTTGGGCGCCGTTCGGCACGCGCTTGCCGATCCAGTTTTCTGAAGGCTGTTAGAGTGCGCGTGCTCTCCGGCTTTCGGGCAACTTTTCCGCCACACCGCAGCTTGAACGTGGAGAAGCTCGAAGACACCGGAGCACCTTCGTCTTGATCACCAGCTCCAACACAAAGCAGCGCCCACGATGAGCGCGCTAACGCTTTCTGTCAAGTCCTCGCTGACCTCGCGAGGGGCGTCGCGAGCCTTCTCCCGCTCAGCCCTCCAACGAAACGCCTCGCAGCCAGCCCCTCCTTCGACCTCGCAGAACCCGCATGCTGCACGCGTCGCTGCTGCCTCCAGCTCCAGCTCGGGCGGCGGAGATGCACGATCGCGACTCGCTAAGCTTCAAGCGCAGCGACTGGAGGAGCTGAACAGAGGCAAAAGCGGTTCGTCGAGTGGAGCGGGGAGGCCTGGCAATAAGCCGGAGCAGAAGTGGTCGAATCGCACCCTCATCGCGCTAGCTACGTCGGTGGGGGCGTGTACGTATCTCATGGGCACGTATCATGGATACAATGCTGGTAAGAAGCATGCCGAGGAGGAACTGCAGGCTGGAGCGGCAACGCCGAGTGGTGCGCCGTTGGAAGGCGAGGGAGGTTTGCCGACGAGTGTTCCATCGGGAGCAGGTGCTACTGTGACTGGACCGAGGAAAGGAGTGCAAGGCTCGGTGGAGATGGGCTCGCTCTCCTCAGCATTGTCGCAGCTGATTCCGTTCGGGTCGATGAGAAGCTCGATACTCTGCGAACCGGAGAAGTCCGCACCGACACAACCAAACTGCAGGCTGGCCGAGCTCACCCAGTATCACTGCGACCTGCACACCGACCGCGTCGTCTGTCAGCCCATCGATCGGATCTTCCGCATGTAAGTCCAAGTCTTTTCGCCTTATCGCTGGCGACTGTTGATCTTCCGAGCTGATCGGCCTCGCATATCGTCCGCTGTCCTCACAGATGCAAGGGCCGACCCGCGGTTGAAGTCTCGCACATTGTCGAGTTCGATGATTTGGGAAAGCCGTACCTTCCAGCACACCTCTCGTAAGTCGCTCTGCTCTTCTCTCACATAGAGGTGAAGCCGACTGACCCTCGTATCGCGCTCCTCGCCTTATCGCCTCCCACAGAGAAGCAATGCCGCCATCGTCCCACTGGCACGAGCTGAGATCCCCAGATCACTGACTTCCGCCGTCCAAGCAATGTCAAGCATCCACACACCACAGATCACAGCTTGGAGATCCGATCGCAGTTCATGATGCTTTGATTGAGCGATGGTGGACAAAACGAACCGACAAACAGAACCCTTGGACGATTTGGACATTTTCAATGAGAAGTGACCCGAGACGGAGAAAGGTGATGTTGACGTCGAGGTTGCTTTTGTTGACCAGCGATGCACGCTGTCGGGCGGAGGTGGCCGTTCGAAATGGTGAAGAGATGCGCTTACGAAGCACGACGGTCGAAAGTCGGCAGACGGTAAGCAGCCTCGGACCCAACCGTGGCACGGCGACGAATGCTTCTTGCATCCATGGTACTGGCGAACGACGTAGGAGAGAGCACGTCGCTCACTGTGCGGTGGTGGCCAAGGCGGTATCGCTTGAGCGTGCCAGACGCCCCTTCTGCATCGCGGCTCTCGTGCAATGAGTCGCGCGGAGAGCTAGCAGGAGTGGCAAAGGGTTCCAGGGCAGCAAAGGCCCCTGCATTGGTGCAGATGGGCATGGCGGGCCGCACAAAATGCAGATGAGCGTCGAAGGGGTCGTAGCTCTCCTGCTCGTGCTCCTGCTCCGAGATCGAAGAGCACGGGCTGACGTCCTCGAAATTGTCAAAGACCAAAGCCTCGTGCTCCAGTCCGGAAGGGAAGGCTGGAGGCATGCGAGGGCTTCGTCGTGTGTTCTTGAAGTCCTTCACAGAAGGTCGATCGACGTCTTTCCCGATGTCGCCGTTGAGCTGAGCCCAGGTATGGCGACCGTGAGGGCTGCAGCCACGAGTGGGGTGGTGACCAAGCTGCGGCGAGTAGGTACCGCGACCGACTGCTGCGTAGTCATAGTGTTGCTGTTCTTGCGAAGGCGATGTCTGCCTTGAGTGCTGAAGTGGCTTTGTGCGTCGTCCTCGGCCTCGGCGGTCCTGATCGTGGGCCCCGTTATAATCGTCCTCGTCGTCGTCGCTGCTCTCGCTGAAGTCGCCGAGCAGATCGAGGTCATCCCTCTTGCGCCTCTCGAAGAGCGGCGATGACCTTCGCTTGCGCAGATGGACGCTGCCAATGTCGAGGTCCGAATGGCGATCGGACTGTCGATGATCCGCGCCTGCACGGATGGGAATGGCAGCTTGTTGATCGTCGATGACTTGAATCTCGTCCGCCGAGTCCAAACAAGCGGCTTGCTTCAGCGCCTTCTTGACCTTTGGGGCTGGGTTGTGTTTGGGAGGAGTGACTTTGGGCTTGAAGCTGTCACTGTAGCTTCGTCGTTGGTGGTCCGGACGGACGGACACTTGGAGATCTTCGGTAGTGGCGAGCATGTCTGCCTGCGAGAGGGCTGAGGGATGGTAGCGAGGCAGTAGTTGCGTTGATCAAGAAGTCGGATGGAGACGGTGACAGTGATTGCAGCCGGCGATGACAAGAAGAGCCTGCTGCTTGCAAACCGGAATCGAAGGAGACGGGGGATGAACCACTGCGAGACTTTCTCGATGGAGTGATGATAGGAGGTCAAGAGGTGAAGGATGTCGAGCAAGTTGTAGAGCGATGGTGGAAGAGGGTCAAGGCGAAGAGAGGGGCGAGTGATGTGGTTGTGAAGAAAAAAAGAATGGAAGAACGCAAAGTGTGATTTGAGCGATGGCTTGCGAAGCGCAGAGCTTTTGTAGCGATGGATGTCGATGTGGCTTGTCGTTTGAGGAAGGTCTGACTGAGCTGTGGTGGAATCGAGTCGACAAGGGTCCTGGTTTATATCTTCTTGCCGAGACAACTCAAGCAGCAGCGTCAGTTGTAGCCGGCAGAGGCCCCGGAGACTGCGCTCACTTTTTTCGATTGCTCCGTGCAAAGATTTGCAATGCCACTCCACTCAGACAAAGCTGTCCCGCTCCCTTTACGCTTCGGAACAACGCGGACGACAAAGACATACGCAAGCCAAGACGGCGGGTCCAGCCAAAGTTTGGAGTGCAACCAGCGGGAAGAAACGCCAAAAATATTGAAGAACGGTGGCTTAAAGTTTGCCCTGTACAATCACACTTCCACAGTCACACAGTCACACTGTCACACTGTGCTACAGTCACAATCACATGAGGGCGAAAAGGCTCCGATTGAGCAAAGTTGCAGCGTCGAATTAGCGGCCGACCGCACGGCAAGCTCGCAAATGAACCTGGCCGGCTCGTGAGGAGCGGCGTCCAGTCCATGACGAGAAGGAGGAAAAAGAGCCACAGATAAGCCGCCAACCAAGCGACGGCTCCCACACCTCGACAAAAGGAACAAGGGACACTCGGCTCAGTCAGCCGTTGATTTCCCGGGTCGAGGCGAGATCCGAAGTGATGCCAGCGGCGTGATGAGAAAGGGTAAAGACAGCCAGACTACGACGACACTTGGCTGAGCTGAGCTGGCTGAGCTGACCGTCGATGAAAGCAACGTGTTCCGCATCCCACACGTACATCAGGCTGCAACTGACACAGCAAGCCGAACGTGCTTGGTGGGTCCGACTCATCCCGTGCACCTCAAAAATTTGCTACGTGCCTTGACAGGAAGATCTGACTGCGGCTGCGTCGAAAAAGGCGTGACAATGAAGGAGCCACAGGCACAGAGGGGAAGATCGGTTGCCACATCCTCGGTTGCCGCGCTACTTTTCTGTCTGAGCTTGGTACTGTAGCTGCTTTGCCTGGTGCTCAGCGCAGCTGCATTTCTTCCATGCACGTCAAAGCAATTTCGCTCGCTCCTGCGCTCTTCAGTCTAGTGCAGCCTCTGCGTCTGTGCTCACAAGTCGCAGCGTGCGTATTTGATCAAGCTCTGTCAGAGTCACGCGCAAGGTTCAGAAAAGGTGGTGATGCTGCCCTGCGCTGTGGTGGAAGGGCGGTGAAGAACCTTGATTGCGAGGCAGAGCTCGAGCCCTCCCTCCTTCATTTTGGTCTCGCTTCCCACGACAATACAAATTCCAAAAGCGGGGTCCGTTGAGACGGTGCGTACACCCTCTGCTCTTCCTTCCATGCCAGCTGCGCTTGCTCGAGAGGTGAGTCGTGTTTCGATTCTTGATCTTGCACAGGTAAAGTGGGCCTGTCCCCTGGATCAAAACGGGAGGCTCGATCACGGGCGAGTCGAGAAAGCTTTGTTACCCACATAAGGTCTTCGGCCTGAGAACATTCATCAGAGAAGAGCTGCCGGGTGGATGCCGAAAAAGCCTCCCACTGAAGCTCGCGGTTGCAGCGCTAGCAGGCGTGACGACTCGGAGGGCTTGTCCTCTATCACGGCTTGCTGGCCGAGATGAAGTGCACCAAGCACAATCAACGGTAGCGTAGCTCATCGATACTGTACAGGCGTGGTGCGTTTGGCGGCAATGCGGGTTCGAGGGTCCGAGTTTGGATCGACTTCATTTCATCCGACACCGAACGCTGCCCTTTGGCCCTCGACGCTTCCAAGATCGCAGGTGGGTTTCCAGCTGGTTTGCTTGCCGGTCCTGCATGCGCCTCATTGTTTTCCTGGCCTGCCTTGGCTTCACTTCAACATGGCGGCTTCTGCATGAATCGAGCTCGAGGAACATGTGCTATTTCCAAGCCGTGACGCCATGCATCCATCTCGATTTCAGGGTATCGCGTCGCCTTCTGTCAGCCTCTTCGACTCTGCCTGCTTTGCGCGGGTTTCGGCCAATCCTACTTTGCAAAGCTTTGATATTGTCTCGTGTGACGGCTCAGAGAAGCGCAACAAAGGGAGCTGACTGCGTGAGAATGTGATCGGACGGCGACCTCCCGCAGGTTTGATGAGCAACAACTCTCTCAGTTCGGTCACAGTCTTGGCTTCATGTTCGGTCATGCCCGAAATCAGGCAAATGAGCTTGCCGCTTGTATCGCTCGGAAGACCCGGAAAAGCAAGCCGACCGCAGCAACGCCTTGCCGCCACTCTCATTTGGCTTGCTGATATGTTCCGTGGCAAAGTGCGCGAGCAGAGACGCCGCGGCTGCTGAGTGAGCTGGGATGACAGTGCGCCGATCCCGGCCATCTCCTTGACAACCGCTTGGAAGCGGGAGCTTGACCAATTACGGCAACAGACCTGTCTTCGGCTCATCCGCGGAGGCAAGGGGGTGTGATTGCATCCGGCCAGTGTTGCTACTGTGGTACTGTCACAGCTGTCACACGGCAGGCTGGAACGGAGTCGTCTGCGCACGCTCGAAGCAGGGTCAGGTGGCAAATTTCCCTTTCGTCCCTTTCTTCTCTCTAGAACGGCATTGCGGGTGAAGAGCTTGTGCTTGTGACTGGTGGCGCCCGTTTGGCTCAAGCTTGCCGTCCTTAGTCTCGATGCTTCAGCGAACGGAAGAGCATAGCACGGTTCGAGCAAGCACCTCTGCAGGGCGTCTCTGCCCCACTCGAGCTAGGGAGATGCGACACAAGCTCGACGCAGGGCTAACTCATGTACCACAACTGCTCGCCATCTGAGGCACAGTCGCCGCTTGACGGCGCTTGCGCACAAAGCTTTGTGGATACGATCGTCGTCTTTGCGGTGTGACGGACGATCGCCACCTACCACAAGCACGGAGCGTTTCATCATCAGCTGCGGCCACTTGGCATCGCTCGGAAGGCGGAACCCGTTCAGTCCTCGTGCTGTCTTGGCAATCGAGTGCCTTCATAATTGCAAGTCAGGACCCCACTTCACTATCGACGGACACCCACACGCTTCAGCCACAAACACAGACGGCATCGATTCCAGCACCCTCGCCGTGCGAGGCCGGGCAAGGCGATGCCGGTGCGGCAAGTCTGGTGTGCGACTGTCTCTTCGCGCTTCTCGAAGGCCGAAGGGTCGTGCTCTGCCACCGGCAAATACAAGGGCTGCCCAACACGAACTTCGAGACGCGCACGAGGGCTATGACGAGACTAGAAAGACGAGGTCCGCCAAGCGTTTGCGCAAGCGTGGAGTCGAGCCTCGAGGTCACCTGACAGGAAACCGGCAGGACGCCAAGCTCACATAGGCTTCCGGACGATGCCGAGGCACTGAGCCTGTGCAAAGCATGTCTGTACGTTGATAAGATGTCAGTTCACACGATGGCGGCAACGCAGATGCGATAGCGTCACACGATCTGCTGCACCGAACGAATCGAGACTCATACACTTTTGACGACCAACAGACGAAGGCCACTGATGCCGAATCGTTGCTTACGAGGACAGACGGCGTCGATCCGGAAGAGGCGAGTGCAGGCATGCCATTTGAATTAGGGACTGTGGACATGCGTAGGCGGAAGCTCGACAACCTTGAGCTCAGTGACGGAGCCCCTTCGATCGGGCACCAGCTCGGCCTTGTCGGATCCTACAGGCGAAGTGGAAACGCCGAGCTCGAGCGTGCGCAGCGCATTGCCAGCCGCACCGCTTTGTTTCCTGGCGTGATCCTCGCTGGCATGACCAGTTCCAGCTCCAACGTGCGCTGCCTTCTGCGCATCGACGCTGCCTCGGCGAATCGCACCCGACGCATTCTGGGCGCCTGCGGGCAAGTTCGTCGTTGACGGGTCTGCAGCCGCATCGGCATCGGAAGCCCCTTGCGAAGCTGGTTGGAACAGGTGCCCAAACATGTTGCCCATCTCGCTCGCTCTCGCAGCACCTGGAGGAGCAGCACTTGAAGTGGGAACTGCACCAATACCAGCTGGGTTCGGACTACCGACTGTGGCAACAGCAGCAGAGGAAGGATGCAACGATTTGGCCGTTGCGCCAAGGCTGGCGTACTGACCGCCACCACCGCGAATCGCCGACGGGCTCGAAGCTCTGGGCGGCGGCAGGCTGAAGCCGTTGGCGGGAGGTTCACCGTTCGACTCGTACGGTCTGGAAAGGGGCGATTTGGCTGGCGTGTGACGCATCGGGAACGAGCCGGACGCTTGCGAAGGTCGACGGAACGTTGGGCTACCCAAGTTGGCACCGTATGACGGCGATCGGGGCGACAAAGCAGGGGTGCCGTTTCCTTGCGTCGCAGAGCCTGCACCAGTCGAAGGAGATCGGGGCGAAGCGACCGTCGAGTCCTGTGCCTTCGGTGTAGGTCGACCCATGCCAAGCCCGAGACCGCTCTGGGAGGGAGCACCCATCGCACCTGCATTCGTCGCCTTGCTTGGCTCTCCCACCGTATTGCTGCTGACGCTGGGTGAAGACAGAAGAGGACGACCCGTGGTCGTGGGCAGAGCACCGCCTGTTGCGGAAGGCACAGCGTGACTTGAAGGAGGAGGGAGCCCGCCGATCCCGTTGATGGCAGGAACAGGCCTGGACGCCGGGCCGGACGAGGTCAGCGATCCTGTCTCGGCAGGCTGTGCGCCTGCAGTCGGCGGTCGAAGCGTTTGGGAGGGGATCACGGGTGGCTGAGGAAGCGCGTTGCTCGTATCATTCGTGGGCGCTGAAGGCTGTGGCGACGCCGCTGCCGCTGCCGCTGCCTTGCCTGCGTCGGCATTCTTGGACCCCGACACCAGCTTGATCCTCTGACGCGGCGACTCTGCGTTTCCGTTCGTCGCTGCAGCACCGTCTGTCTTTCCAGAGGGCGAATCTGGTCCCAGACTCGATCGCTTCTTGCTGCGAGGACTCGAATTGGCGCGCTGCGCAAGGATGCCTGGGTGCGGGATGGGCGTTCCTGCCGCAGGCGGACGACACTTTGAGCAGAAAAAGTCGACCGACTCCCAGTCTCGCCTCTTCTTGAGGCCGACAATCTGCTTGTCGAAGCTGTCCCAGCACTTGATGTGCTGCCAGACGCTGCACTGCTCGCAGCAGACAATCTCGTCGTCCTCGTCGGGCGGGCTGATGGCGTTCTTGCCGCAGACTTCGCAGTTGAGCTCCCACTCCTCCTCGTCTTCTGCCGCTGCGCCGTTGGCTGCCGGCTCTGGCGTCGTCTCTTTCGAGGGCGGAGGCACGCCGCCGTTGGCGATGATCTCTTCTCGCTTGCGGATGCGGTCTTCGCGTTCCTTCTCCTTTCTCTCGCGCTCTTCTTCCTCGCGAATGGCCTTGGTCTCGAGCTCGAGCTCTCGAGCGCGGATACGCTCTTCCCTCTCGCGCAACCGATCTTCCCTGGACCGCTGAGCTTCGTGTTCCTCTTCCTCTTTCTGCTTCTTCTTCTCCTCTTCCTGTCGAATGAGCGCCATCTTCTCCTCCATCCTAGCGCGAGCCTCGCGATCACGTTCACGCTCCTCTCGCTCGGACTCTTTCAGGGCGATACGGCTGGAACGCTTTCGATTGGCCAGGGCCTGTTCCATGGCACGCTGACGCTCGATCTCGTCCATGGCGGCGAGCACCTGCTCGAGAATCTCCTTGTTGATGAATTGGTGCAGGTTCTTCTCATTGGCGTCTTTCGATTTGGCGAAGCGTTTGGAGAAGTCGAGCCACTCTTGCCGAGTGACGACGATGGTTTCGAACTCGATCCATTCTTCCTCTTCGTTTGCCGCATCATCCTTCTCGTCTTGTTGAACCACGCTGTCGTCTGCCACGTCTTCCTTGTCAGCCTCAGCCTCTGCGTCAGCGTCCTCCATCTTGACATCATCGTTGTCACCGGCGTTGGCTTCGGCCTTCTCATCATTGTCATCCTCGAGCGTGTCGGGCGGCTCGCTGAGCTCCGAGTCGGACGAATAGGTCGAAGCTGCTGCGCGCGAAGTGCGGCCGTTCGAAGGCGTGTCAGCGGTCTCGTCGTCCTGAGGAGCGAAGCGAGAGGAGGTTCGCGTACCGCGTCTGGGTGGAGGTCGAGATGGCGTAGAGGCAGCCGATCCGCCGAGCGAAGACCGTGTGCGCTTAGACGGCGTCGAGCTCTGCGCTGCGTCTGATGGACGACTTCGCTTGTTGTCCGACGACGATCTTGTGGACGAAGTCGCCGCGCGCCTCGCGGCCGCCGCTTCCATTCGTGCCCGCTTTGAACCCTTCTTGGGTGGTGCGCGAGCTTTGGCTTTTGGCTTGGGCAACGGCTCGGGACGCTGAATCCAGATTCGGTTATCGTCAAAGAGCCAGTAGGCGTTGTCGTTGGCATCCCAGCCGATGGGCGAGACTCTCCAGGTTGTGATGTCCTCTTCCGACTTGACGAGCTTGCGGAACCTCTCTGGGTCCATGAGCTGCCACTCGCACAGGTCGTGAAGGGTGGCGATCTTGTCTTCGAGCGAGAGCTGCGCCCACTCGACGGGCTGCTCTGCCGTTCCGAAGCGGCTGACACCTTCGTCATCACGTAGGTTGAACTGCACTCGAAGGTGATGCTGCCAGTTGTCAAAACTAATGTTGCGATCGAGCGTCAAGGTGTAGAGAAGGCGCTTGATGAGGTCGGGGACGACGTTGGTCTCGCTGTTCTCAAAGTCGGCCTCGAGCGTCTCGGTCTCGAAGCCGCTCATTCCGAACGCCTCGTCGAACACGAAAAGGAATTGACAGACAGCTGCAAACTTCCACATCTTGCGAAGACGCTTTGTGATAGGGTGGAGTTCGATGACCGGTGGCGCTGCCGGGGCCGATGGGCCTGCCATAGCGCCGATAGATCGACGTGCCGGCATGATGGAATGGCGATCTGGGAAGCAACCGGATTTGTTCTCTGCGTGACCGTATTGCCGATGCTGAAAGGAAGGTGTTGATGCAAGGAGGACAATGACGGGGTGAGTCAGAGTCGGCGTTCCGCGGTCCTGGCTGATACAAAACGTGTCGGGCGCGATACGGAAGCTTTGTCTGCACGACGTAGAGACAGACGATACCGAGGCCGACGCTTGCTGTGTCGACTTGCGAAGGGACAGTGACCGAGGTGGGGAAAGGAGAAGGAAGGGAAGCAAGGAGTGAGTCGTGCGTCGGTTTGCGCTTTCGCCGCTCACAACAGCCGACCGACTTTCTTCCTGCCTTTTTGCCTTTTCCTCTGGCCGTTCTTGAGCGGGCGCCCTTCATTTCGGATCGGGTGGCCCTTTTCGAGTGAAAACACGCCTTGAAATTTTGCGGCACGAAAGACGCGATGCGGGATTGCGCTCTACGCGGGTTGGATCAGCCAGCAGCACGGGCCCGATCCGCAGTCCCTCAATCATTTCTCGGTGAGAGTATCGATAGACATCCGCACTGTCATAGTTTGCAAGGCAGCAGAGCGAATGCCTCCATCGAGCGAGGACTCAAGTAGTTGAAGATGCGACGAGACAAGAGAATACAGAGAGGCGGACGAAGCGGATCGGATCGATATGATGCGCAGCCGGGGGGTAAAAGACGGTTCAAGCTGGGCTCGGGGTATGAAGAAGCTGGCACTGCGCGAAGCTGGTCGAGGCGTTGGACACTGCTACCTGCTTCGCTGCGCAACACCTTCTGGCACCTGCGCCTTCTCCGCAGCCGCCTCGCTGAGCTTGTAATGCGCCAACGGCCGGTTCAGCTCGCCCTTTGCCCTGCACTTGTACAGAAACCCAACGACCACCTCGCCCTCCTTGGGTGCTGGCTGTGATGCAAAGTGATTTGTCGCAACTTGACTCAGGTAGTTCGTGGCTGCATCGGCATCGAAGAAGTGCGGAGGGCACGGAATCTCGTCCTCGTTGGTTTTTGCGTTGGCACCCAGAGCTGCTGCCGTCTCGACTGCACTGTTCTCCGCAGCGGTCCGCTTTCGACTCGATGTGGTGGGAAGAGGCGAGTAGGCACGACCTTTACGCTTGCGGCCGGAGGAGGAGGATGCGAGGTCGGCCTCAGACGTGTCTTGCGGTGGGTAGGATGATGCTAGGTCGTAAAAGGAGACGTAGGATTGGACAACCTCGGATGGGAGGGCGTTGAAGTCGACGACAGGTTCTGGGGCGGGCAAAGCAAGCAAGGAAAGATGAAGCGAGTCAGTCGCGATGTGGATGCGGGATGAATGGGCGGGAAGCGGCAATGATGGGACTTACCTCGATCGAGATCATCGTTGGTCGCCTTGGCGGTGCCTTTGGATTTGGGGTCATCGTGTGCGACCATGGCGAAAACGTGAAAGCGGATGCCTTGGACGAACTAAGCAGTGAAAGTACCGAATGATTCGCTCGAGGAGGCGATGAGGCTGGAGAATGATGAAAGACGCAGTAAGAAGAGGATATGATGGTGACCAGGGTGAGGATCAATCCCGCATCCTGACCTGGGGGCGACGCTCGCAGTCCGAGTTCCGAATAATATCTCTTGCTGCGCGTTTCGACCCGCGACTTATCAGCTGTTGGATCCTGCCACGGACCCTTGTCAGCTCTCTAACTTGGTATGCTCACCGCCCCTATGCAGTTGGTACGAATGCTTGCTCCGAGTCAAGCTGCTCTCGTCCGAGCTTCAACTGTCGAGAGCGATGCCGGCACGGTGCGGTGAGGGGTGACTAAGGAGAAGCTAAATTAGACTGCACCGACATCTCGCAGCTCAAAAGCACAGCAGCGAATTGGACCCTGAGCGAGCGAAATGCAGCTCGAAAGCAACACTTTTCTCGAAGCAACGCCTGCAAGGCAGCACAGCACAGCACACGCAACAGCACTCAACTCACAAGACCCTGACTGACTAGCTCTCTGCCACATCTGTCACATCCTCATCTTGGGCCGAGTCCCCCTTCCTCTTGTCTCTGCGGTCTATCACATTGCGACTCTTCACCACAGCATCACAAGATCGACTTCGTTGAGCTCGCTGCCCTGCGAGCTTTTGCTTCATTTCGCAACACGCGCCTCGACCCCCGCACCAGCGTCACTTCATTACAGACGGCCTAGAGGTGTCCCAGCTGGATACAATCGCCCTCCTAGCCACCACATCTTCAAGGCCGACTCGAAAATTTCATTCAATCACGGACCAAGCTCGATGCTCTAACTACCGCCATAGTCCGCCCCTTGGACCGCATAGGGTCTCGCTGCCAGTACCTAAGCAACGTGCTGCCAAGCCAGCGCCGCCGAGCTGCCCACCATGAAGCGATTCTTCTCGCGGTTCTCTGCGGCAGGACCGACGTCTCCCGGTGATTCCTCACAAGTCGCTCCTTTCGCCCAGTCCGAGAAGCAAAACCTCACCGAGCCCAAATCTCCGTCCTCCAATCTCGCCTCAAAGGGCACCATCGGCCGCACCAAAGCGTTGGTGGCTAGATTTGAAGGCCAGCCTCCAGCAAAACTTACCACAGCTCTCACGTCGACAGTATCGTCGCAGCAATCAGCTTCCGTATCTCCGGCTCTCTCGTCCATCTCACGTGCACATGCACCTTGTGACAATACCAGCAAAGTTTCGCTGACGAGCATTGTCAGCTCAGTGCCAAAGCGCGTGCCAGGCTCCAGCTTGCCTGAAGAGCGAAAGATCATCACTCAGCCTGAGAGCCTTAGCTCAGGTATAAAAACGCAAGCTCAAGCTAGTGCTGATCAAGACGTGGGCCCGCGTCAAACGAGCTCAGGTAGTCAAGTGGCCTCGTCCGAAGCTCAACCTGGCAGGGCAGTCGCCTTTGCACCCTCACCCCAAAAGCAACGCTCCACTTCGCCTGCCCAGATCATCCACTTGCAGCGTCTCGCATCATCTCAACCAATCTCTCGCACCAACTCGACGGATAGCGATGCACCTGCAGCCGGCAGCAGCTTCGCACGACCAACGGCCGCCAGCCAGGCGAGGGCCAAAGCTTCGTCTAGACCAGCTACGAGCGATGTCAGTCAGCACGGACTTCCCTCATCACTGCGAGAAAAGGGTCTCGTCAATTTCAATCGCTCTGCAAGCCCAAGTCATGCATCCTCTTCTCGCCCTTGGGCTCGTCGCAGCTACTCACACTCAAGCGGCCCTGACGCACGAAAGGCTAACGCCTCCTCCGTCGCCCCCGGCGTCGCAAATCGCATCAGCGATGTCGCCTCATCTTCCCGACGCGTTTCAACGGAAGTGACTGCGGGCAAAATCACCGCTGCAGGTGCAGGTCCTGGAGCAGCGAATGTTTCGAGCCCACTCAGCTTTCCAAGTCGAACCTCTCTGCCGATGCGCAAGAGCTGCTCTGCTTCCACTGCTAGTCGAAGCGTTGGCCGCCGCGGCAGCGTTGACGTTGCTTCTCCGACAGGCTCCAATGAGCCGGTCGCTTTCCCTCCAACCAGCGGAGATGCGCCACGGTCTTTCCATTTCCCGACGTGGAGCGAGATGACGCATGAAGATCTCGTCCGCAATCTGGGACCACGCGAACGAACAAGGCAGGAGGTCCTCTGGGAGATCGTAGCGAGCGAAGAGCGCTACGTGAACGAACTCGAAAAGGTCAAAGAGATCTATATTGATGCTCTTCTCCGTCCGGACCAGTTCGATCTTGAGCGCGTCCTGCCCCCACCCGTCACCACCTTCGTTCCGTCTCCGCTCGAAGGTGTCGGATCAAGCGACTGGTCGCTCGTCTCGCCATCATCATCTTCGCAGTCTGCAGTCGGCAATGGGGACCCTCCGTTATGTAAAATAGACGCAAGCAGCAGTTCAAATGGTGACCTGCCCATCGCTGCTCGCTTCTTGTCAGACGGAGCAACAGGCAGCGTTCCCGGGCGCGGTATCCACTCGCCCGTGGACGGAGTACCTTCGAACAGCACAAACAATCCGTATCTACCGGCGTTGGGCGGTTCATCCTCGTCGGGAAACATCGCCACACGACCGGGTCAACCCAACAGTCGCATCGACATAGCGTTTGGCCTCGGTCTCGGGCTCGGAACCAAGGCTACAAAAGACCGTAGCGCTGCTGCCTACATACACTCTCCGGCCACCTCAAAAGACACGAGCAAGGTCTCGAAAGCACAGAAGCTGCGAGGCCTTTCGCTCAAGGCGGCCGGCGACTCTCACCCGCTTCGGCTCTCAGTGCCGCTACCACCGTCACTGCGCGAGGTGCTCGTCGCTATTTCTGAAGGCCTCGTTGAAGCGCACGGCATGCTGTCCGATGCTCTCAAGGCAAGGTACGAAGAGCAGTGGCCTTTGGTGCGCAGTCTCGCCGATGTCTTCATGAAGCATTCTCACATTCTGCAAAACTACGCCAGCTACGTTTGTCACCTGCAGAGGGCTATGGAGGAGCTCGAAGAGGCCGCACTGATGGAACGCGCCTTTCGAGGCAAGCGGCTCAAGAAAGAGCGCCTCAGCAACACGGTCGGTCTGGGCCGCACAGTAGCAGCGCTCGAAGCCTGCGCAGCGGAGCAAGGCTACGCTGGCCTCATGATCTTTGTTTCGATGCCGTTTCAGCGTCTCCTCAAGTATCCGCTTCTCTTTCAAAACCTTCTCTTCCACACGGATCCGTCGACTCACGAATTTGAGAGCACCGTATCCATGGTGGTCGAGGTGGAACGGCTGGTGCGCTCGATCGAAGACGAAAAAGTCAATGCAGAGGAGCGAGACAACACACGCGACGCATTTGCTCGCATCGACGGTATCACTGATCGGCAAGTGCTGCGACCACGACCGGATCGGGTGCTGATTGAAGAGAAGGCGTTGTACGACGAACGCGCCCGTCGCACGCTCTCCGAGTCCGCACCTGCAGATGACGCAGCCGCGTCGGACAGTGAATTAGTTGTGAGCGGCACCGAGAGCACCGACCAAAGGGGCAAACGCTGGAGAAGCTCTAAGCAGCTCGACCTACGAGCGACGCTCCGCGACAAACGCTCTTACCGCCGCCTCTCCGACTTCTTGTCATCCGACGATGCTGCCAGTAGCGCGACCAAGGCACCGGCGATAGGCAGCAAAAAGGACCTTTGGCTTGTTCGCTTCTCCGACGTCGAGCTCAAGTGCCAGCGCATCGGCGTCACCGCATTGCCAATGGTGAGCTCAGCCGTGCTTCGCGATGGCGACCAGGCTGTCGAGCGCGAGGCCAACGACCTGGCAGCCCGCAGCAAGGAGGGCCGCGAGCGTCTCAAGGCTCTGCGAAGTACTACACTGCGAGCCAAGACACGCAATCTGTACAAGTTCATCTCTGTAGTCGCTTGGCGCAACGCAGCTGCACGCTCAGTCGTCGAGGATCCGCAAGGCATTGACGGCCTACCCACCTCGCACGAGGTCGACGAAGAGGACGACGACGACGATGCTGCCAGTATGAGCAGTGCCGGAGACAGCAGCGCTAGCGGTATCGGCTCTTCTGGCAGCAGCGATGGCGTCGGAGGCCAAGCGGGCTCTGACAAGTACATCAGATCGACCAAGCTATCTTTCACATATTGGGGTGATCGCGTCGAGCCAGGTCGCGCTGTAGCCGGGCAGCAGCCCAACACGAAGTCAATCAGTCAAGTCAGGATCACGCGAAAGCGCGATACCCATAGTTCCACCTCGAGCACAGGAGGCGCGGCAGCTTCTACTGACACAGCAATCTCTGGAACGGTTCACACCGCACAACGTCCGCGCAAGAGCGTTCCCAGCAGTCGCGCTCGCCAACACGGTGGAGGCGGGATGTCAGGCCGACTCAGCGAGCCTCTGGCAGCGACATCCATCTCCACTGCGCCAGAGCCCATACAAAGCGCTGTGGCACAGATGCATGCAAGGCAGCGGAACGACAAGTTCGGCGCTCGCCTCCGAACTTCGATGGCCAACGACGGTATTAGCACGGCTGCGTTGGTCGGAAGGAGAAGCTCGCAGGTATCGGTCGATCACGCTGGAGACGGTGCGGTCAAGAACAGCGGCGGCAGTAGTGTCCGCAAAAGCAATATGCCAATTGGGGTCGGGAGGGCGCTATAGATGGCATCGCAGTTGGCGCGATACTGGTACATAGACGGCGGCGTGCAGCACACCACCTCTACATATATCAATCGGCGTACTGTATGACAAGACAAGTAAGCCATCCATCATTCCTTTCCCGTCCACTCAGAAAGCGTGCAACGAGAGAGAGCGCGCCTTGTTCATCGTGTTGACAGGGTCCGGGGTCTCAAGACGTCATCTTGCTTAGCCGCTTATTTTCAAAATTGGAAGCTCGCCTCAACGCCGGTCCAGGGAAGTCGGTGCTGCAGCTGTCAGACGCCATCCGCCGCCCTGTCATGCCATGCTTGAGCGGAGTTTCGATGCATTTCCGTTGCCAACGTGCCGACGAACGTCGAAAAATAGCCATCCCAGGTGGGTCAGCGCCTCTGCACGTTTGGTCTCTTCGGAGAGGGCGAGGTGGATGCTCGCGATAGAATTCCGTTGCACAAAGCAAGAAGGGATGACGAGAGAGTTGTCAGGGTCTCAGGATAGGCTTTGAGGGTGCTCGCTTGGGAAGAACGGAGGAGAGGAGTCTGGGCCACCGAGGTGTTCAGAGACGTGAAGCCTCCACTCGAACGTCCAAATCTCCCTCTTCCATTGTCACGCTGACGCTGTTTCCTGATCACCACCATCACATCGACGAAATCGAGGAGCGAGCTGCGGCATAGCATACCTATGAACGGCGATATCCATCCGCTTCCCGCCTGGACCTCTCGTCACCATTTCCTCCCGCCAATTGCGCTGCCTTCGTCCAAGGCATCACCACTCACCATGCAGGTGCAGTACCTCGAACCACCCCGGCCACTCTCCCGCAACCCCTCGTCCAAGCGCCAGAATCCCGTCTCGCGAACCACCTCGAACGCATCCTCCTATCGAACGGCCAACGACACCTTTAGCGATGCGCTCGACACGGTGGACTCGGCCTCCGCGTCCAACTCGACCTCTCCGCCCACCTCGATCGACTCGCAGTACGAAGTGATCCACTCGGCACGTCACGGAAAGGCGCTGGTCATAGAGCAACCGACGCTGGTCAACTTTGTGCCCACCTCGGAGATTCAGACCGCCGTTAGAGTCACCGCAGACCGCGTGGTGATCGACACCATTCTCCCGCCCACCGCCGTCCTGCGTGCATCGAACGTTGTCAGGCGTCCAGCCGGATCTCATGTGACGGAGCAAGTAGCAAAGGACTTCGATGCGACAGAGCTGCTGAAGAAGCACGAGGAGGAGCTGATTGCGATGCTGTCAGAGAAGCTGACGGCGAATTACGACCCAACCGGAACGATCAAGGGGGAGATCTTGACGACACTGACGCAGGTGACAAGGTTTCCAGACCCCAAGGGCATCGATGGGAAAAACAAGAAGGGCGTCTGCCCGTGTATCTGCTGCGAAATGGGATGCGAGGCGCCCCTGGAGCCGTGGAACGAGGTGACAGGAGAGGAGGCTGCGAAGCTGCAACCCAAGGAGGCGGAGGCGAGCACTTCGCAGCCCGTTGCTGAAGCCGTACGGACAGAGACGCCGCAGCCTCAGCCTACTGCAACACCGGTAGAACCAACGAAGGAGGTGCCGGCGAGCACTGGCGCCAACACGACCGATGCAAAACCTAGCAAGGAAAGGAGAACGTGGCTTGTCTCACTGCACCGCAACAAGGACAGGAAGCAGAAGGATGATGTCGCGAAGGGCAAAGACAAGCCCGACCATTATGGATTCATGGACAGATTCCATCTGCCAAACTTTGCTCGGTTTTCCCGCTCCCGCACGGACAACAACCTCGTCGCTCACTACAACGAGCCGAAAGTCCTCCCTGTGGCTGCGTCTGTGCCGCAAAAGGCGACGAGCGAAGCTGTCCCACAAGCCGGATCCATCACAAAGAAGGCGTCCTTCTCGAAGCTCGCCCGCCGCCGTCGTGATCGCCACGCGCGCAGCTCAATCGAGGTACACCCCAACTCGCCGGCCAAGTTCCAAGCGGACCTGCTCAAGCGCCGCGCGGCCGCGCCTAAGCCGGCGCCGGCGATAGTCGAACCTCTCCCGAGATCCAAGTCGCTCAAGTCTCGTCGATCTTTCTCGACCCTCGGTGAACGTCGCGACGGGCCTGCACGCAGGTCCCTCGACGTCAATGTGCACCACAACAACCCTGCGGCGTTCCAGGCGGACCTTCTCAAGGGATCTGCACCTCCGCCTCTACCGTCGACGGCGCCTCGCGAGGCACCACTGACTTCCAAGTCGATGACCTCTCTCGCCTCGCGTCGTCGCGACAAACATGCACGTAGCTCGCTCGACCTCGTGGAGCATCGTAACAACCCCAACGCTTTCCAAGCCGAGCTGCTCCGACGACCCACACGCGCCTCGCTCGACACCTCACGTTTGCCATCTGGCGCCTTCCAAGTCGATACCTACCCGTGCAGCGTCCGCCCTACCGCCCCGCCAAGGCAATCGCTCGATAGCGTACGACCACCACTCGAGGATCATAACCTGCCCCTGTTGCCAGCCAGGAGAAGCAGTAAGGTCTTCTCGCACCCGCTCACCCCGCCTTCGAACGTCACGAGTGTCCTCCGCGAGACGGTCGGCAGGAACGGTCTGGGTGAGTTCGGTAGGATTGTCGAGGAGGACGAGGCGCGCGCTAGGGAGGAGGAGGAGCTGGAACACATGCAGGTGGAGATCATGTCGGTGTATGCTGGAAGTGTCAGTGGCCGCGGCAGGCGGATGAGGGACGAGGTCGGATTGGCATTCTGAATCTCATCACTTGGAGTCACATCTCAATCACACGCTTCACACAGCGACATCGATGACATGACAAATGACCTCTTCGCTGAACCGTGTGAGATCTCTCTGAATCTACGCCTCGTCAGCATCGTACCTGGGCACCCACATCTCACCGTGCACCCAGTCCCTCAGCTCCTCCTCGTCCATCGCAGCCGTCTTGCCCCCATCCCTCGTGACACCCTGCTTGTTGGCCATCTGGATGCACCTCACAGCGATGTCCCTTGAGATCTCCCTAATCCTCTCCGTGTTCGGGTAGAGCCTGCCCTCCTTCCGCTCCTCGTCATTCAGCGCGTCGCTCAGCGCGAGCGCCGATTCGGTGATCATCTCGTTCGTCACGCGTGCAGCCTTGCAGAGCGCAGCGCACAGCCCAATCCCCGGAAAGACGAGGAAGTTGTTCCCCTGACCAGGAATCATCCTCTCGCCCGTGGGGCTCGCACCCGCCTCGATCTCCGGGAACGGCGATCCCGCAGCGAACAGCACCCGACCCTCCGTATAGCGGACAGCCTCCTCAAAGGTGCACTCCGAGTTGTCCGTCGGGTTCGACAGCGGGAAGATGATGGGTCGCTTGTTGAGCGTCGCCATCTTTCGAATGACCGTTTCGTCAAAGGTGCCCTTGATCGTCGAGAGACCCAGGATGGCGGTGGGTTTGACATAGTCGATGGTTTCAGCGAGGTCTTTGATCTGACGACCCTCGTTGTCTTGGCGAGCGAAGAAAATTTTGTGCTCGGCCAGCTTGTCCCCTCGATCGCGCGTAACGAGACCTTTGGAGTCGGTGATGTAGATGCGTTCTCGGGCTTCGTCTTCCGACAAACCTTGGCGGGTGAAGAACGACATGAGCTGCTTGCCCACTCCGACAGCCGCGGAGCCCGCACCAGCCATGAGAATGCGGTGGTCGTGCAGCGGTCGTCCACTCTCCTTGCTCGCAATGCGCGCAGCATTCGTGAACCCAGCAAGGATCACCGACCCCGTACCCTGAATATCGTCGTTGAACATCGGATACTTGTCCTGGTACCGCTCGAGGAAGCGGAACGCATTCTCGGACGTAAAGTCCTCGTACTGGATGATGAGGTTCGGATAACGGCTGTGCAGCGCTTCCATCACTTCGTCCATGAACTCGATGTATTCCTCGGTGGTCGCGCGGGTTCGGCGCAGACCGAGGTAGAGCGGGTCTTCGAGGTTCTTCTTGTTGTTCGTGCCGAGGTCGACGACGATGGGCAGTGTAGCGCGGGGATGAATGCCCGCACCTGCGACATAGAGGGAGAGCTTGCCGATTGAAATGCCTTGACCGTTCCAACCCAGATCGCCGAGGCCGAGAATGCGCGAGCCATCGGTGATGACCGCGATACGCGGCGAGCCCGCGGGAACAGGCCAGTTCTCCACAATGCTAGCCACCTTGCCCTTGTCCTCGAGCGAAATGCTCAGGCCCTCAGGTCGACGGTAGATGTGCGAAAACTTCTGACAGGCCTCGCCGACCGTAGGCGTGTAAATCAAAGGAAGGATCTCCTCCTTGTTGGCGAGGATGGTGGCGTAGTAGAGACGCGTGTTGGTCTGACGCAGCGAAGCGAGCATGACGTGCTTCTCGAGGGGAAGCGATTTGCTGCGAAGTTGGTGGAGCACGCGAAGGACTTGCGTGTTGAGGCTCTGCTTGGCAGGGGGCAGGAGGCCGCGGAGACCGAGCTGGTCGCGCTTCTCATAGGAAAAGCCCGTGTCTTGGTTGGGGAAGGGATCGGAGATGATGCGGTGGTCAGCGAGAGTACTCGATTGCGCGGATGATGACGTCGAGAAAGAGGCTGTCGGGGCTCTGCGCGAGGATGAACGTCGTCGTGGGCCAGAATGAAACGAAGCAGGAGACGCAAGACGAACAACAGATGGCCCAGCAACGGCTTGCGTGGATGTCGTTGCCGGAGACCATTCTGTCGCAGCGCAGCGAAGGCTGCTCGTGACAGACCGACTCGATGAGCGAAGCATGATGTGATGGGGGTATGAAGGATGTAGGAGGAAGGGAAGAAAGGAAGCGGCAGACCAGATGACATGTAGCCGGGCCAATCCAAGAAGAATGGAGCCGGGTCTTTCACGTCTTCTGAAACAACCGACGGCAGCGTGCCAGAGAAAGCCTTAGGCGCCCTCCCGCAACGGAAAAAAGCCGTGTCGGAAGCTGAAATTCTGACTCGACTGTGTGGGACGTCGGGAAGAGTCGCGTGCGGCTGCCCCACCGAGGCCTTTTTTTGGATTAAAAAAGGACGGAAAATTGGGGCTTAACGCGAGCCAACCAACCAGCGCCTCTGCAATCCAAAAGTTCGGGGCTCTCCGCATTCTTGCGAAGAATGACTGGCAGTCAAAGAACAAGCTTCCGACTCTTATCGGCATCTTCCCACGCTTGCCCAAGGATGATCTTGCGGCCCAATGCCGAGAAAGCGGAGTTGTGCCGAAGTAAGAGGCGGTCACACCGTGTCATTCTCGAGCCGTGGGGCCGGAGGGGCCAGGGATCTCCCACAGAGCGAGACCTGCAGCTCCTTTGTCAAAGCGGCAATCAGCCAGCCAGATAGGCAGGCTGATCCGATCCTCCCGTCGAAGTAAGCAGTAAGCAGCGCCAAATGACGCTGCCCACGCTGACAACACGAGAATGGGCGTATCACTGACGCCGGGCCCAACCGACAGAAGCTAACCACGAAATGACCGGCGAACTGAGACAGGATCATCCCCACACCTTCCGAACCACCAAAATTTCGCCGACCACGAAATTTCTCTTTGCCGCTCTTGCATGATGAGCTGCAGATCAGCTTGCGGCGGACATTGGACAGGTGACCGACAACCAATCACCTCGCCTGACCCTGCAGCAACTCTCCGCATTCGCGCATTCCGTTCTTGCCCGCCGGACAGGTCCGGCGAGGCGTCATGAAATGACCGTGTGACGTTTCCAGAAACAGCTTCTTGATCACCAATAACGCACGACCCAGCTCTAAACCCGATGAGCTGGCGGGAGACCGGACCGGTCACCTGGTGTTCAAGGAAGGAACGACCCACTGCCCTTCTATGTGCTCCGAGATCGTCCACGGCAACCCAACAAGACGGAAAGAACAAGACCCAAAACCCAAGACCACCAGGACTCGAAACGACGCGCCAACTACTTACCTTGATTTGTAAAGACATCGCGAAGGTTGGCAGCACCACCGTAGGTGTGCGAGCGGACGGCACGGTGGATGCTCGAGTCGCGAGGATCCTCGGTGGTCTTGTCATCGGGGGTCACCTGCATGTTCTTGCTGTTGACGACGGGAGCGCTGCCAGAGCGAACGTCCGAGACAGAGGGTGCCATTTTGCGTGAGGTGGTGATGGTGAAGAGTTTGTCTCCAAGCTGAGCTAGTTGGGCGGTCGATACGGAAAGTCGAAGCTAGAACAAACAAGGCGAGCGAAGAAGATGCTGGGAAAGCAGCGATGCGACGCAAGCTACGAGAGAAGAGGATGATTAGAGAAGGAAAGCAGCAGCAAGCTCGAGGTGGGCTGTTCTTATAAGTGTTGATCTTGTCGAGCCGGGAGCGTGACCATGGTCACAGGGTGTGCCTCTTCAGGGTCCTTGGGAAGAGAAGGGACGTCTGTGCGGAGTCGCCCAACACCTTCTCGTATCAGTTTCTTTATTTTTTATTTATTGATAAAAATTCAATTGTACACGGCCCTCCCGAACACAGAGACCCGGGACGCTCCGAAGGAAAAAGCCACACATGACTGAATCACACTCAGCGCAGCATTTCTTCTTGATGATCTGTGACTCGTCTGCAAGGGCTAAGGGCACAGCTGTCAAAGCGGACGATACAAAGGGCTACCTTAGCCTTCCGCTCAACTGCATCGAGTTGTGGATCGGATGCAGCCCGCTCGGAAGTGACCCTTGACCGAGCGAGGACGCAGAGAGTCCATCTCAGGGTACCGCTTCTCTCTTAGTAGATTGTCTCACGCCACTTTGGCTTGAGAATGATCATCAATCGCAGCCGGTATAGATGCGTGGCTCGTTCACACGACACTGCTTTGTCCCATTCTTCGGAATGAAGCGGGAAAATGCCGACTGCTTTCAGCATATTCGCACAACTCGTAGCGAGGGAACGATCATCGTACAGCGATAAGCGAGAGCTCGGGGTGCCCGAAGGTCATGTTGTCAACTGATGAGACGGGAAGATTGCCGAGTAGCAGATGTGAAAGAAAACGGGATCGACCTTCTTGGTGCCACTCGAGAAGATCGTTGACAGCATGCCTCCTTCGCTTGCAGGAGACAAATGCGGGGTAAGTGCCGCTGCAGCGCCATTCCACCAGAACAGGGGTGGACCTGCGTCTGCATAGGGTCGCATGCAGCTTGTCATCGACATTCGCGCGTGGCACAAGCCATGCACTGGCGAGACAGATGATGATGATGGCGGCGGCGGCAACAAGACGGATTGGTACGTGAAAGGTAATCACCATTCTTCTTGTCCAGGAGGAACCCTACTCCGTCTTTGATCTAATCTCGGCTAGATCAATGTGAATCGAGTCACTTTGGAGCTCCGCAGTATCCATGCTCACTTCCCGCACCTCGATCGAGCCTGCCCTCGGGATGGTGAATGGTGCTAGCACTGACGCCCGAGTCGACGTCTCAGTCACTACAAGACAATGCTGCAACTTCAAGGAAAGCCTCTCACGATCGACACATCTGTACTGACCCACCGCTGAGCTAGTGACCAAAGGCAGGGTCAGCAAGTCGCATTCGCCCTCTTTCACAAGGACGGATGCAAAGGTGCATGGGCCAGCTCTGAACTACCCGATCCTGGTTTCAAGGACTGGACGATGGAGTGGCCTCGAGGCGAAGGGTGCTGAAGGTGGTGGACACCATCACGTCGATGCGGGTATCGCCACGATACTCTGTGAATTGAGCTCCAATCGGCGATGCGCGGATATTCACGGATCTCGGACGGTGTTCTCCACGCGAACCTGTCAATCTTCTTGGTTGGACAGCCTCCTCTGTGCTGATGGCGTTGACTTAGGTCAGACAACCCTTCTGTCCTTCCCTCATCGCTGTGCAAAAGCCGCAACGATGAGCAACGAGACACAGACAGCTGGGACAGGCGATATTGGATCGGACAGCTCCGCTGCCCCATCCTCGAGGACAGGCATGACGACGGACGACCAGCTTCTCAAAGCCGAAGAGCTCAAGTCGCTTGGCAATAAGGCATACGAGCAAGGGGAGTTGACCGAGGCTCTTGGGAAGTGGCATCATGTGAGTTCTAGCGTGGATGAAGCCTTCCCAGACGAGCGTTCAGGCTGACCGCTCTCTTGCGTTTCAACAAACAGTCCCTGCTCCATTGTGCGGGGATCAACTCGTTCGCAACTTTGTACGGCGCTCGCTCATCAGACGCGCAGAACGAACGCGCCGCTGGCACCGCAAGTGCTGTCTATAACAACATGGCTGCTTGCTACCTGAAGCAGCAAAAGTGGTCCAAGGCCGTCTACGCCTCTTCAAAGGCGTTGGAGCTAGCACCCAATAACCTCAAGGCGCTCTACCGCCGAGCAGAGGCCCACCTCGAGCTCGGCAAGAACCAATTGGCAGCAAGAGACATCGACGTAGCTCTCGATTTGCGACCACAAGGTAAGTTGCGACTTGGCTTCAAGCGACAACGTCCTGCTTCGACTGACACACGATCCGCACTTTCATTTCCTCAGACCCTGTCATTCGCAAATTAGGCGAACGCCTGGTGCAGGCCTTCGAGGATGAGGAGAAGGAGCGCCAATTGGACAAAGCGACCCAACCTTCAACATAACTTCGTCTCGTCATCTAGTGTCAAGCTGCGAAGCGCGATCCTTCCTTCCAGCGCTTTGGGCTCTTCGCATCACCTCGATTGTCTGCCGCGCAGGCGCTCGAATATTTCCCGAGCTTTAGAGCTGCAGGTGCATGCACGCCGCCTCGAAATTGCAGGCGTGTTCCCGCCAACTGGTGGCAGCCTCTTCATGCACCTTCGAACTAACTCCCACACTGTCACATCGCTCCTTTTTGCAAGGTCACATCCGTTGTGCAGCTTTGTGCTTCGTGTTGCATTCTGACGGCTGGCTTTCACCAAAATCGCGAAGGCCGAGTTGGCAAGTGCAAGCCGGCATGCCAACTCACCACCTCGCCACATGGCTTGGACCCGCCCGTCCTTCTGCTCTCCTCATAAGCTTCTTCCCTTCTGCCTTCACCATCATCAGCATCGCAGGCATGCATCGAGGTCCGTCCACCGCCAGCCGTCGAACCTTCGTCAGACGTAGCATATAAGTAACCATCGATGCGGTTGATGTCGATACCACTCTAATGGACAACGATCGACCCAATGCAGCTCGAAAGCTGCCGCAGACGTCGGCAAACTTCTTTGTGGGCACCAACTCCAGGGTGCCACGCATGACCTTGGCGCAGTCTTCGCATATCATCCCCATACCGACGGCATTGTCACCAACATCCCGACAAACTTCCAACGTAGTCCTCAACAGACTCCAAGGCTCCCCCTTTCTCAGCTCTCCAACATCGGCAAAGAGTATAACCTTTCCGCGAAGCGCCTTCAGCGAAGGTGGCAAGGCGGCAAAAGCCGCCCAATTCTTTTCCTCTCTCACCGATATAGCCGAATCGGCATCCCACGATCTAGCACGGACCTCACAGGGCCCATCACAACCAGATCGAGGAATCGTACGCCCATGGATCGCGGACAAGGGTCCGAGCCCAGTGCCGATCAGGGCAAGAGTATCGTCCGATGTGCTTCCCGCGGCTGGCTCAGTAGACCACCGTCGATTCGAGCCGAATGCGAAGCGATCGTTGGGGTCCACATCAGCTCCAGAGACGCCTTCGCAGCCTTTCATTCCTGAACGCCAGCGCGCGATATCGCAGCCACATGTACCCAAGCCCGGTCCCTTCTTGGCGTCTAGTACCCTCCCTCGAGTGACAGCCGAGAAGGCAATAGACGGTGTTGTCCAGCTTCCACTAGGCGGGCCTCGGGCTTCGCCGACGTCATTGACATCCGATTGGTCTGGCTACTTCGGGACTGGAAGGGCCCAAATTGCCTCGAAAGCACCGCCATTGCAAGAGAGGGACTATGACGTGGCTTCAATAGGTGCAGAGAGTAGACCGACGCTGGCTCCCGAATCTGCGTTCTCCGACGCAACTGCACCTTCTGTTTCGCCCGACGTCCAAACCTTTGCAGTGCAACAGGCAGGGCTCGACTTGCACCAGCAGGGCAACACGGTCATCGATAAACGTATTCCGTCACCAGACGATCCATCTTCTTCCTCGTTGCCGAGCGCTACTATGCCTCTGCGGGGCAGCACCTCTCCAATACATCTTCCACCCTCGACACCACCTGCTCGCACTCCAACGCCTCTCGGTGCTGCTCACGGAATTGACGGGCCCATCGACAGTGTTCTCAAGGCATGGACCGACACCTTGGTCCTGGCAGACAAGCCTTTGGAGGAAAGTTTGCCGACCTCGTCAAGTGCAGCATTCGCTGGAGACACGAGCTCCGCAAGCATTCAAAGACTGCCTGAGGAAGTGGGAGACGAGCACGACATCGATCCAGAACAGACCCGCGAGAATGAATCGAGGGAGGAAGGCGAAGCGTCAGGGTTCATGGGGATGGCTGCGTCCGGCGATATGGATCGCATTCAACCTTCATCACACGACCAGGAAGCCGAAATAGGCCCAGAGGCTGTCTCTGAGGAGTCCCAATCTCATGATCTGGAAGATGGAGCCGAGGTCGCCCTCGGCGTCAGCGGTACCAGCAATTCTGCCAGAGCTCAGCTCGACTGGCCGCTTCCAGACTCCGGAGAGCTGCGTCGTGATACGGCTTCCGGGTTACCATTCCTGACAGAAGATGCCGTTCTCTACGATCTGATCGATGAGATCGCGAAGCCCGAAGCCGGTCTTGAGCGCACCATACCGCACAACTCTCGGCTAGATCGAACCGCGAGTTGGATTCAATCCACTTCCACCTTCGCCGAGGAGGACGCAGGGGCAGCAACTCTACCAGGCGGAGATCATGATCATCTTGACAACCTCTCCGTGGCATACGGCATCACGTCGGAATCCGCAGACTTGAACGAACGGTCTGATACGCCTCCAGTGATCTTGCCCACCTCGCCCTCATCCGCAGTCCACGACCAAACTTACGTGCATCTCAAAGACGCCGTTCTTTCCACACCTGAAGTACAGCCGAGACGATCTTCCGGACTCGCACAACCACTCGACTTGCCTGTCACTACCGCAGTGGATGCCAAACAAGATCGCGACAATCGGGTCGATGGACGCTCGTCTCGCCCTCCTTCGAGGCCGCACGGCTCAAAGATCGGCAGATCATACTCGCAACGTGAACGATCAAACACCGTCGCCGGACAGCGGGCCAGACATATTCCCGGTCGCCTCAAAATACCGGGCTTGAAGTCAGAGACTGTTAAGCGACAACATCGTCAAAGTCTCGAATTGCTCCATCAGCGCAGAGCTCGCCATGCGAATGCTAATGAAGTCATCTCACCCGAATATGCGACGGTGCGTTCTCCTCGCGAGGCTACGACCGAGCGCTCGAGCAACTTCAACGATATGCTAGGCTTGTGGGCAAAGAGCCTCGGGACTGGACCGGAGGGAAGTGCAGCTCAAGCTCCAAGTCCTCAAAGGCAACGTGTCGGACAGGCAATCAGAGACTGGGACGAGGTCGGGTCTGACGAGGACGCAGAGACTGCTTCGGTGACAGTCGGCAAGCGCATGGTGCTCAGACGCTTGTCCGACCTTGCCATACACCCCACTCCGCATCGCCAGGCTCGGCCACTACCAGGCAAGCTGCCTCGAGGATCATATAATTCGGACGAACAACAAGAACCGAAAGGTCTCATTCGACCGTTGCGCCGATTCCGGCCAGAACAGACAAGTGACACTGATGGCCAGTCAACCAGACCGTTGCATCGTCAGGGTAAGCCGCATGAGCCGAAGAAGTCGGCGCACCACAACCAACCCGACCTGTTCCCTTCTGACAGCACCAACACTGTCGAGCGGGAGCCAGTCCGTCTGCCTCCTCGTGCGATGGTGCTTGAGGATCACATAGCATCGATCAAGAACGGTCGTCCAGTCAAGGTATCCGCTGTGAGTCAACCTCAGAAGTGGTCGACGTCAAGGACGAACGCGACATCGGAACAGGAGCCCCGACCCATCGCTGCAAATCACCGCAACCTCTCAGCGGATTCGCTTTCGACAAGCGTCGGCGCCGGATCACTCAAGCCGTTGAGGCTGCAGAGCACTCGAAGCTCTCCCGGCACCTCGCGAGGTCCAGACACCAGCGCGACGACAACTTCTCCATTCACCGTTGCCTCCGAAGCTTGGACTCCCAACACGAGCCAGCCTGCCATCTCGGCCGAGGCGAACGCGACCAGGATTGACACAACTGCTGGCTCAAGGCTGCGATCGCCCGTACCAGACCTTTTTGACATCCAGTCGTCTGCTGGAGCGATCGGAAACCATACAGTCGAGAGGGCGACACCTAGACTCTCGTCACGTCCATCAACGCGCGATCAGCATCGATCTTCCAGCCGTGCCAACTCGCACTCGCTCGACGAGATTGCTGCTACCGAGCGTTCGCCATCTCGCAATTTGCCGGCATCTCAAGCGCGACCTGGTGTCTATCTGTCCCCATACACTCGTAGCTTAGGGTCTCATCCCCCTTCGAGCCCAAGAAGCTCGCAGAACGGAGCTCATCGCGAGTCGGTCACGCCAGCTCACAGCGCCGACATGCCAATGCCCGGTTTCGAGATCAGCTTCTCACTTCAAGAGCCCAAGATGGCACCGCACGTTCAGGCAGGCACGCTGCTCGAGCTCGGTTTCCGGGTTCACATCAAGCCGACTGGCGGTAATCACTCGGAACGGCCGTGGAGGTTGGTCCCTCCTTCGCCGTCACGAGCTGATCCGATTCAGCGTCGCACTCCACATGTGAACCCGGAACAGTTCGAATACAGCCACCTGACCACCACCCAGCTGGCCAAAGTGCAAGCTGAAGCGCAGGAACATCTGTTGCGCAACATCGATCTGTCTGAGCCCCGCGGGCAACGCAGCGCCCGGGGCTCCTCTCCGCTCTCGACGCCGTCCAAGGAACGTCTCGAGCCGCGTCGCTCTCCATCTCTCGCAACGGAGACGCTGGACGCACCTTCACCGTCCCGCTCCACCCGGGGCCCATATCGCGAGATGCTCCTACCCAAATCCCGCCAACCCTCCATTTCGCGCTCTACCACCGAATCAAGCATTCTCACACCGGCAGAACTCGCCTCGCCCCTACCCAAAAGATCGTCCGGTACCGCCTCCCCACTGCCCTACATCAAACGCGCCCCGCCCAGAAAGGGGACCGTTTCAACCGTCATTTCGCATCCATAGACTCATAGACATACACTCGTTCGTTTCTCACATCGGTTCGGGCTGAGAGGTTGATCTCATTCGTTTGGCTCGATCTTAAAAGTGGATCTCCTGATCGCTTTGATTGACAACGATGAGAGTGTGCTGCTGAGATGTCGCGATCAATGAGCGGTACCATTGCTCTGGCTCTTACCATTGGGCAGCGCATGAGCGTTCGAACTGATCCCGTACACGGGTTCCTTGGTCTTATGCTTTCCATCAGCTCGGCTCCATGTGTTAGGCACGCCCGCCTCCTCGCCCATGTTGCGACCCAAAAAGTTGTGCGATCCGTTAAACACTTCGCCGCGCAGATCCGTCTTGTACTTGCCCTTCAGTCCGAGCGGCTCGGCGATCTTCTCGGCCAGCTCGGCGTCGACTTGGTGCCAAACGCTGATGGCGCGCTTGAGCACCTCCTTGTCGGGGCAGGTCGACATGTGACCGCTGATAGTCTTGATCGTCTCCTCCCGGTCCTGCTGGGAGAAGACCTTGGTCCACATAGCGCGGGGTTGGACAAAGTCCTCCTCCTGCACACCGGAGAGGAAGGCGAGCGCGTTGCCCTCGTAGTCGCCGTGGATGGCGTCCGTGTCCACCTGGCGCGGGCGGAACTCCGGCGGGGCCAGCGAGGAGATGTAGTTCGGCTTGGGGCCTCCGTTGTAGAACGCCATGGGTCCATCGCGTTGGAAGTTGGTGGGGATGTGAGAGGGGTGCGCCTGGTTGACGGGCAGCTGTTGGTAGTTCACCCCGATGCGGTGACGATGTGTGTCCGGGTACGAGAAGAGTCTCGACTGCAAGACGGGGTCGTTGGACGGCTCCAGTCCGGGGATGAGGTGCGCCGGGTTGAACGCAATCTGCTCGATCTCGGCAAAGTAGTTGGCCACATTGCGGTTGAGTTCGATCTCACCGAGCGGGTGGAGTGGGAACTTGTCACGAGGCCACACCTTGGTGAGGTCGTTGACGTTGACGCCTGACGTGGGCGCATCGGCAGGGTCCATGATCTGATACTTGACGTCCCACTTCGGGAACTCGCCTCGCTCGATTGCCTCGAAGAGGTCCTTCTGGTGCGCGTCGGGCGATTGCTGCGCCGCCTCGTCGTTCGTCAGATTCTCCGTTCCCTGTTGCGACAGCACGTGGATCTGCACGTACTTCCACTTGCCTTGCTTGTTGACAAACTTGAACGTGTGGCCCGAGTAGCCCTGCATGTGCCGCCAGCTCTTGGGAATGCCGCGCGGGCCCATGAGGTACAGGAACTGATGCACGCTCTCCGGGTTGGCACTCATGTAGTCCCAGAAGTGGATCGAGTTGTCGCTATGCGTCAGGTGATTCTGAGGATCGCGCTTCTGTGTGTGGATGAAGTGCGGGAACTTGGCAGGATCACGAAGGAAGAAGATCGGAGTGTTGTTGTACACCCAATCCATGTTGCCATCCTGTGTACGGAACTTGATGCTGAATCCGCGAGGATCACGAGCACAGTCGGGCGATCCGGACTCGCCACCGACGGTCGAAAAGCGAGCCGTGATGGGGCATTCAGTCTGCTCGGCAAACAGCGAGTTCAAGCAAAGGTCGGGGATAGGGTGCGTGGTGCGGTAGACACCGTGGGCACCACCACCCTTGGCATGGACGACACGCTCAGGGATGCGCTCCCGGTCGAAGTGAGAGATGAGGTCGATGAGGTGAAAGTCCTGCAGCAGCAGAGGGCCTTCTCGGCCGACACGCTGGGCCTCGTAGGCGTGAGGAACGGGAACACCGTTCGACGTCGAGTAAACGCCAGGCGTGTCGGAGGAGTCTTCCTCGAACGAGCGGACGCGAAGACCGGAGGGTGTAGACGTCATGTTGATGGCGATAATGGGTTCGTGGTGGTGGCGAACAGGGAGGCGTGAGACGGCGCAAGCCTCGTTTAAGTACGGTCGGCCCTCCAGGAGGCAGCACGCAGCGGGCTTAGCGCAGGCAGGACAGGCAGCTGTGTGAGCAGGCGAAGCAGCGTCGTCGTCACTCGTGATGGCCGCCTGTTCGGCCATTGCTGACTGACCCAGACGCCGGCAAACCCTCGATTGCGGCACAACCTGACGTGCGCTCGCTCGCTAGACCCTTGCGTACCGTGGAAAAAAAGATGACACATCTTTCTAAGATTTTCTGCAGGGTCACGCATCGGAGTGAGTCAGGGTCAGACCGCGCGCTTGCATGGCATCACCTTCTTCACGATCGGCCCGCGTGGCAACGTTCGAGACGGCGACCGGCAAGTCACGGCTCCGCGACATCCGTTCGCCGTCTGATGCCGTCCCGACATGGCGGTGGCATGACATCATGTTTCTCCGCGCTTCAGCGCGCGCGAACTCGCTAACGGTGTTTCGGCCCACGGTGCGCAGCAGCCTTTCTCCCCGGAGATGGCGAGCGAGCGAATCGCAAGGCCTTTGATTTCAAATCTGCACAATGAAGTGCAGCTGCAATTTGACTTGTTTTTTGAATAAGGCTGCATGGTAGAATTACAACAGAGCGCCGGCTCCGTGAGTGGGTTGAGTAGAAAACAGTGGTGACATCGGGAAATGAGAAGTTGGGAGAAATGTCCATGATCATTGTGAGAGAAAGTCACCCTTCCGCAAGGGAAGCGGTGTCTGACCGGATTGGCTGTATGCGATGTAGCACAGCTGACGCTGTGCATTGGTGAGGCTCTGCTGGCGAGAGCAAATGCTGCTGCTCACGACGTGCTGCCGAACGTCAAAGAGGGAAGGTCGGGCGACGACTGCGAAAGCGTGACTCCGGGTTTGGAACTGACGCTGCTGTCACGATCCCTGCGAGGTTCCTGCCGCGTAAGCACGGGCGTAGACATCGACGCCGCTGCATCAACACCATTCAGCTCGCTGCTCTTGCTAGAAGTCCAGGTCGGAAGCGTCGAATCTGACGTCGGGATACTGTCGTCGGAGTCGCCGTGGATGCCGGTCGATCGGGCGATCCCGAGCTTGATCTCTTCAAATCGCATCAACTCGGCCACAAAGCCGATGTTCGGGCAGATGGCCGCTCGCCTTTCCGTGACGTGCGAGTAGGACCGCTTCAGCGTCCAACCGAGTGCATGGATCAGGTACGCAATGACGATGGTGACGGAGCGCGATTTGCCCGCCTTGCAGTGGACGTAGACCGGCTCGCATCGCAAACGTGCATCGTCGAGGAACGTGCATGCTTGCTCGATGCTGTTCTGCACGCCTTTCGCCTCGACGTTGTCCATCATGGGAATCTTGAGGTAGCGCTCGAAGCGATCTTTAAGCCCCAACGAACCGGCTTCTTCGCACTCGCACGCTACGTTGAGGATCCGACGAATGCCCATGGACTGTAGCTGCGCGACATTTCGCTCGGCTTGAATATCTGGTCCGAGGTAGAGGAAGTCTGGTAGGATAGTCGAGACTTCGAACTTGAAGGGCGCGTATGACTCGGCGTTAGCTGTGACGCCCGATGCGGCGGATGTGGCGCATTCTGAAGGATTTGCGGTGCTGCTCCCAGCCATCACACGGACCGGACTCGATGACGAATTCGAGGAAAGCGGAGGCTGCAGTCTGCTCGTATGATCCGACTTGATGGCATGAGAATAGCTGCTGAGCGTGGCGGACCTGCGTGGGACCGAAGTATCCAACTGAAGTTTCAAGGCGGTGGGAGATCTGCGATTCGGACTGGGTCGAATTGGAGCGGGCTGCGTAGCATTGGTGGTTTGCGAACGCAGCATCTCAGATGTATTGAGTCGAGTCAGGGTCGGTCTGCCCGAACGAGCCGGGCGCGCAGAAGCAGCTTCTCGACCGTCCTTGATTTGAGGCGGAGAGCTGAAGATCATTGCGGTGGTGTGCGGCGAGTCGACGTTGGTATGCGAAGATGATCCAGCGTGTTCATCATTCCTTGCTGAAGCTGCATTCAATGTGGAAGCGATTGGCAGAGAGTCGGCGTCAGAGCGCAGGAAAAAGATGGCTTCCGCTTGAGACGGCTTGCAGGTGTCGCTGATCAGCTGATCCCAGTGAGAGGATGCTGATGCGAGTGTCTGGGACAGAGTCGAGCCTGCTGACGGGGAGGGAAGTGCGACGGAAAGATATGCAGAAGGAGAGTTGGTGGAGTCGTTATATTGGGATCCAGTGCTGGACGGCCAGAATGGATCGATGGAGACAGTTCTACTGATCAAGTCGTCGACTGGTGGTCCAGCCGCGCCTGCCGCCATGATTGCGACGTCCGGACGGACGCCGTCGTCGACGTCAACTTGAGGAAAAGATGCAAGCGTGGCAAAGGACCGGCAAGACCCTCTTCGAGAGAGGTGGCGGTGCTTGTTAGAGTGAAAGGCAATGGTGACAATGTCGGAAAGACGCCTTTTGCTCATTAGCACTGTAGCAAGAGGTGGCCAGAGATCGATGCTAATCAGCACACTGGCGATCGCCAAACTAGACTGCAGATGGAGTCTCGCTTGCTGTTAAGGGGCGGATGAATGCTACGAAGCGATGAGATAAGCGCGAATCTACTCGACGACAATGCTGTGTCCGGAATCGAGAGCTCAGGGGAGGGTGAAGGCAGTTGCTGCTGGTGGTGGTGGTGATGGTGATCTAGGTCGTGGACGTGTGAAGCTGGAGTTACAACTGGACCAGCCAGATGAGAGCGAGGACGAGCTTCTACGGATGCTGCAGGGTCCTCCGCGGCAGCATAGGCTGACGATCCAATGAGAAAGGGCAAGTTCGGCTTAGCGATCGATCGACTCCACCAGGGCGGTGTGGTGATGGTGAGGTGGAAGAGGTATCTGAACAGCTGATTCGGCAGCGTTGTCGCCTTGTCTCCGCGGTTCGTTTTGACGATTTCGCGGGGTTTTGGGGCTGGCCTGGCCTGGTCTGGCCTCGAGGCTGTGTTGAAATCGAAATTTCGTAGCGCTGCTGCGCTGCAGTCACGGCGAATTCTTCCTTTTTGTCTGTCTGGAGAGTGAACCGAATCAGGACAGCGAGCCAAGCTTTCGGAGGCTGCTGAAATCCGACGTTGGCTTCATTGTCAGAGATGAGACTTCATCACGGCTCTGCAGGTCAAGATGCGCTTCACAGTGCCAGCACTGACGGCAGCATCACATGTCTGTGCGGCAGTACAGTCTGCGCCGGAGTGCGCTAAAGGGCTTAACAGTAAGTCAGACCAACATCGGCATTCCGAGGTCGGCCCCACCAGAACTCAAAACTCATTCTTTCTATATGGTCATCGGGGCTCTCTCGGTCCATATTTCAGAACCGCCTTGGAGGTGAATCCACGAGGTCAAGCATCGCTTTGACCTTGTGTGATCACGGCATGTGCCATGCACATGGACGCTTCGAACGCCATGCCTAAGCGTACTCAAGGACCTAGCCCTCTTCATGTCGGTCCTGCCAGCAGCCGCGAGGTCGCCAGCAATGGTTGCGGAAGAGGGTGGCTACCTAGGTCGAACCTTTGCGGCAGCATTCGCTGCATCGACGCCCTCAGCGCTTTGCAAATTCTCGCCACATCGTTGCAGCACGCTGGAACTGCGATGAGCAGCCAAAGGCCTCGACCTCAGCAGTTGGCTCTTGGCCGCATGTCTGATAACACGAGCAGCTCTGGGGCTTAGAGACTGACAGCTGCTTAGTAACTGACTGTCAGCGAGGCTTGCGGCACGGTCAGCCGACCAGGGCGCAGTCGAGTGCCCTTTCAGCCGTCTTCACGGTCCATCTTCAATCTTAGGGGAAGCATTGACTTGGAAGTCGTCTAGCACCAGCTCTTAAGTTGAGAATAGAAAGCCATTGTTAAGGGTCTACTAGGACTTTGAAATCGCCGCCTTTTGAAACAAGAGGCAATACAAACTTTCTCTAATTCGATCACATTCGAGTGGCCTAGCAGGTCTATTGAATGGAATATCAGAGTCTGCGCAAGAAGAAATGGAACAAAGCTCGGACCCTCTCTTTGGACAGAGTTGCTTGACTGGGCTCCCTGCCGTCTTCCTCACTCCTCTTCTGCCTGGCTTCCGTTGAATCCAGCTCATGTTTTGGCGAGCTCACGAGTATGAGAAGAAGGTTGGTCAATGGTTCGGCAGTGAAGATGGATTCAAGATGAAGCAGCAGTACGCTCGGCGACAAAGGGAATGGCTGCAGAACAAAGGGGAAAATGTGCAAATCGGCCGTGTGTGTGGGCGAAATTGCGCCTTGGACAAGTCAGAGAGAGAGCGTCAGACGGGCCAGAGTGAGCACTGCTCTTCCAACGTGGGTGAGTCTTCTTTTCGACCGCGCTTCCTTCTCGGTCAGTCAGTGTGACAGACAGAGTGTGCCTTGACTCAAAGTGTTGATTGATCCTTCATCTGACCTTCCGTGCTTTCACTTTCCTCATCCATCTTCTTTCTCGCGGTCCCGTCGTCTTCTCGTCTCGATCCTCTCCTTTCGTCTGGCTCTCCGTCAAAAGCTTGCATCTTTCCATCTCGATCGTCTTTGGTTGCTTCTTGCAACACGATCGCCGTGCAACCCCGCCACCTTTGCCCCTTTCATCGAGGCACCGCTGCCCTTTAGGACTTTCCCTGGTCCTTCCAGCTCCATACATACACGCACACACATATATCACATACAACAATGTCAACCGCAGCTGCGCGCAGAGGGTCCTTCCCTCGCCCAAAGGGCCGTTCTCAACAAGCACAAGACGACACCGAAGAGGTACGAGCGCTTCGTGCCAAATACTCGGATCAGCTCGGCATGATTCGAGAGCTCTTCCCCACTTGGACCGACGAAGACCTCCTCTTTGCTCTCCAGGACTCTCTGGGTGACGTCGAGAACGCCGTTGTGCGCATCTCCGAAGGACAGGTCGAACAGTTCTCGTCAGTCAAGTCAAAGAAGCAGGTCAAGAAGGAGTCCGGCTCCCACCACGTCGCTCCCGCTCCTCACACCTCTTCTGCCGCTGCTCCCTCAGCTACACCTCACGCTGCCCGAGGCAACCATGTAGGTGTTGCTGCTGGTGCTGGTCGCGGCCGCGGTGGCGCTTCCGTGCGAGGTGCTCGAGGCGGTCGTGGCGGCTTCCGTGGCGTCGGTGGTCGGGGCGGCGGTATTGCTCCTCAGGCCAACGGACACGAACTCAAGACCCCCGAGACCCAGACCACCGAGGCTACCACCGCTCAGGCTTTCGCTCCTATCGCCACCCCCACGTCCGGAACCAGCTGGGCTGCCGCTCTCGGCAGGGCCAACAACAAGTCGCAGCCCGCTGCCGCCGCTGCTGCTCCCCTTGCTCCTGCTCCAGCCATCGCCCAGGAGATCACCGAACCTGTCGTCGCACCTTCGCAACCAGCTGCGCCTGCGGCTGCGGCTCCTGCTGAGGAGACGGTTGCGCCTCAGGCTACAGAGGCGGCCACCACGACCACCGCTCTTCCTTCGTCCACCGAGACCTCGACACCTGCCGTCAAGGTCCCTGCCCCCTCCAAGCCTACGCCCAAGGCTGGCGGTATGAGCTGGGCTCAGATCGCACGCAAGACCGAGACCCCCAAGCCTGCTGCTGCTCCCGTCGCCGCGGCAGCTCCATCATCGGAATCCGAGCCCATCGCTCCTGTATCCGACGCTATCAGCGCCACTGAGCCCGTTGCTGCTCAGTCCGCCGCAGAGGTCGAGCCGGCCTCCACCGACGCTGCCCCCGTCGCAGCGCAGCTTCCTACCGAGACTGCACCCGCTGAGGCCGCCGCAGAGGCCGTTGCGCCCGTCGACGCTGCTCCTGCCGAAGAGAGCATCCCCGCTGCGGCCGACGCCAATGCTGCTGCCGTCGCTCCCCCTGGGCTTTCGAAAGCCGCTGCGCCTCGTGGTGCTGCCCAGCGATCGTCGCAGCGTGCCCGCCAGGATGCGCCCGTTGTCATGGTTGGCGGCTCGTCGCAGTTCGACAAGCTCGGCGTCCAATTTGGCTCGCTCAACTTCCTTGGCGGAGACGCTGACGAGGCGCCTGAGGCTGCCACCGAGGCTCCTGCCCACAAGACCGAGGCCGAGGCTGCTCCAGCCGCTGCCGCTACTTCGCCCGCGGCTCACCGACAAGAGGCCCAGGTCGCCCAGCCCCAAACCGACTCGTACAGCCAGCAGCAGCCTTCTGCCGCCCAGTACAACGGCTTCAAGTCGGACTCGTACGACAGCTCGTACGGCTTCACCGGCCAACCTCAGCAGCAGCAACAGCAACAGCAACAGCAGGCCGCTCCTCAGCAGCAGCAGTCTCAGGACCAGATCCACGGCTACAACGGATACAGCTCCCTCGGCCAGAGCCAGGCTACCTCGCAGGGTCAGTCGCAGGCTCAGCCTCAGCAGGGTCTCCACGACTACTCGTCCATGTACGGTGGTCTCGACACCCAGCGACTTGCTCAGTTCTACGGCGCTTACGACCAAGGCTCCAACGCTTTCGGTCAGCGATCCGACGACAAGTCGCAGTCGCAGGCCTCGCAGCAGGGCCAGCAGCAGTCGGCCTCGCAGCAGGACCAGAGCCAGCAGCCCCACCAGCACCAGGGTCACCAAGCCGGTCCCGGTCTTCACCAACAGCAGGCTCCTCAGCAGCAGTTCCCCGGCATCATGCCCTACTACTACCCCCACTACTACATGCCCAACCAGTTCCAACACTACGGTCAGCCCGCTGCTGGTTACGGACAGTACCCCGTCTACGGCCAGCCCGCTGGTCAGCCCCAGAAGCCCGGCACTCCCGGCAGCGTTGCCTCGCCGTACAACCAGGGTCCTCAGTCGGATGCCAGCGCGTACGGTGCGCAGAACCACTACGGCCAGACACCGAGCTCGGGCAACCTCTCGTCGTACGACCAGGGATTCGGCCGCGGCGGCATGCCCGGTCTCGGCGGCGTGTCGGACTACTCGAAGCTGTACGGCAACGCCATCCCCGGTCTCGGTGGGTTCCTCGGCAGTGGCGCCGGCGGTGCTCCTCCTTCGCAGAACGCTGGTTCGACCAACGCAGCCACTGGCAACAACGGAACTCCCCACATGAGCTCGCAACAAAAGTCGGGTGCTTCTTCCGGCAATGCGCTGGATAGCTACCGACAGTTCGACCCCAATGCGTCCAAGGGCTCGAGCCAGTCGACGTCGGCCTCGAACCAGGTGGGCCGCGGTCAGACGCAGCAGGCGGGTCAGCAGCAGCAGGGCCAGCAACAGCAGCAGCAGGCGCAGCAGCAGCAGCAGCAACAGCAACAGCAGTACTACCAGCAGTACGGCGCCTACGGTCACCAGGCTACGAGCAACGCGTACTCCAACTACCCTTACGCTCGCCAGTACTGGGGCCAGTAAGCGCATGTATGCAGCGCTTTTGGGGAACAACCATCACACCACTCCCTTTTGCACTCAGTGACTACTGTTTGCGAATCATACACCACTCCCCGATCTGTCTCACTGCAGATCGGAGGTCCTGGCAGATCTGACTTGATACGATCTGACGCATTGCGATGCGAAGAATGCCAACTCATTTCTGGTCTACTGTGTATGCTTTTGTGCGTGCTTTCGATTGCGAGATGATTGTCGCATCCAGGGTTTTCTGAAGCGTGCCTCGGGAAGCATGATCACAGCTGATCGTGAGAAATCTGGGCCTTCGCTTAGCAAGCGAGGTCAAGCCGGACAGGTACGCCGTGGCTTCCGCGCAACGCCGTCAACAGCATCCAAGGGGGCTCCGGGACGACGCCAAGCTGGCTCGCTACACCGGCTTGACGTCGGGTTCCGGGCGGCACTATTGTGGCTCTGGATCGACCTCAAGGTCTCACCGGTACCACACTGCGAAAGTTTCAAGAGGGGACTAGCTACTTGAGCAGTGGCAAGGATGTGTGCGGTGGTTGCTGCTGACTGTCAAGCACGCCAAACGGCCCGGGAAGGTGGCTGGGTCGGAGTCGGAATCGTTCGGCCCGCGCATCTGCGTCTTTGACCTGATGCCGCGTTACAGCCGTCTAGCAGGCTGCAGCGATGCGGGCTGCTGTGCAAGCTCACATCGAGTCAGGACAGGCGAGCGGGTGAGTGGCCGTTTCTCACCAAATCTCGGAGTCGAGGCTGACATGGCGAACACACCTGTGAAAACTAAAAATGAAAAAGGTCGCAGAAAACGATGGACGCGAAAGTTGCCATCTGAGACCAACACTTCTTCCCAACTGTGATGAAGCTTTCAGGCGCTAGGTGCGCCGCCTCTTTCTGCGAATGCAAAGCAGGCTGCACTGCCGACAATGCGAGGTTCTTGTGCAGCGAAGCTCTCTGGCTGCTTCAAGCCAAAAAGCAGCAGGCGACATTCCTCAGCCTCGCAGGTCTCGGAACGCGAGGCTTGCATTTGCCTCATGGCAACAAAAACAGCAACGAGCCCTTTTCCTTTTCGCACCCTGCATCTGGCTGGTGCATGCGCTGGAGCATGCTCATTGTTTATACAGCGGCAATCGCATACTCTCGTCAAGCACGCTTCCCAGGAGCGAGTACGGCGCATAGCTGAATGGTCATCAAGCTGGGAGGGACGCTCTGGTGTGTGGACTGAGCCTCTTGCCGTCTTCGTCTGGCGAAGCTTTGAAACACACCCTCCATCTCGCTTGATTCCACGCGGCAAAGATCCATTTTCTCATTCTCTTCTTTTCGACCATCTGTCCATCCCTCTTTGCTCGCATTCTCGGACGGCGGAGGCGCTTGCCAGCTTGTCAGCGCATGCATAGGCGAGGAAGCCCCCAGACAACCATCGCACGCCCACTTTTCAAGCCTGCAACTTGATCTAGCGGAGAGAAGAGGGATTCGGAGCCCATCTGCACCGCTTTGTTTGATGGCCTGCATTTGCCGTGGAGATTGGCTGTCTGTCTCCATTCTCCGGACTGCCATCTCTTGCGAGCTCGCCTGAACATGGCTATCAAGCTGGCACTGGCACTCCCATATGGAATGACATCTCGCTCTTGTTCCCACTCTTCGCTCCTCCGGCCTGCCACCAGCTTCGCAGGTCGACATCGTAAGCACGCTGATCAGCATGAAAGTGGTCTGTCTGCTTGAACGCGATGGCAACAGCACCGCGGCGTCAATCTTTCCAGCGGATCAGAGCTGAGATCTGCGACAAAAAGGTGAGCCGAGAACAGCGTCCCTTTGCTTCGCTTGGCCTTGGCAGAAGCGCGTGATGCAGGAGCAGGACAAGCCACTCTGGGTTTCCAGGCTGTTCGAGCGCTCGTGATACTTGCGTAGGATCTCTTCGACCCAGATTTTATTCTAGTTGCAGATCGTGTCAGTCGCTCTCTCAGTCGGGATCGTCCAGAGACAAGCCATAGCAAGGTCTAGCTCTTGCCTGTTTCAGCATGACGATCCTCTGCCAACACTTGTGACGGTCCTAGTGGCCTCCTCCGTGAAAGAGAGCTGGTCAGATCCACGCGCTCATGGCGATTTCGCAGCAGATGTGACATCGCCGCCAACGCCTGTATCCAACAGACCCGGTATATCACCATGCGCCTGCTTTTCTCTCGCAGCCAGTCATCTCCCGGATCGTTGGCGTTTTCTCTTCTGGTGGTGGCTGAGGCATGTACGGGTCTTTGACATCCCTTTCCAAGCCTCGTTAAAGGTCTTTTCGCTGGCTGACTGCCTTTGGCGAAGCATCGGCAGGACTTGCCTGTTGGAATGCATGGTAGCGGCACAGCATAGTCACAGTATCTCTGTTGGTGCCTGAGTTCGTTGGTCAATGGTGGCGCGGGGTCTCTTGACAAGGTGCATCTGACCGGCCACGAGAGTGGTGAATCTCACTCTTGTATGCTCTTCTGCATCAGCTGATCCTCTCACAGCCCTAAGCAAAAGCCATCTTGGTGTCGCCCTCTTTGACTGGAGCGAAGCATTGGCGCTTCCTCTGCTGCGTCGACACGCTGCTTAGGCCGCTTCAGTGACTGGTGTTCTGCCGTCCATTTCTATATTGACAGCTTTCGCTTGACAGCCTTCTGACCCGCTCTGCTCATACAAAAGCACCCGGCCTATCCCTCATCCTTTCTTGCGAAGATCCAGTCCCCCCCGCATCTTCGGTACCACCCTACCGCTACTTCCCCCCTATCTGCTCGGCTGTGCGCTGTCTCCTCCTACTGCAATCGCATGGGAACTCACACGTCGTTGATACCCCGATCGTAGTCTCTGCTCACGATCCACTACTCACACTTCGCATCTCTCTCATCGGAAAGCTGCTCTCAAGCACGTCATCCGTACCGAACCACATCCATATACCCATTCAGCATCGACTCGCATTGTTCCATTCGTCCTTCTCTAATTGCATTTCGCAACATCAGCATCGCTTCGTTCCGTCGTCTTGATACCTCTCGACAGCGTCCATCCATCTCATCCTTCTTGATCTTGATCGTTGGTCCACCGCTCGTCAGCATCATGTTTGCACCACTGTCCACTACGAACAACACGCAACACACCTTGCACAGCCTCGGCGATAACTTTCTCGGCCTCTTGGGCGGCTTCTCTCATGAGACTCAGCTCAGCTACTCGACCACCATGTCTCACTCTCAGTCTATGCCAACGTTCAGTCCGCAGGTATCGGGAATGCCTCAACCATACCACGGTGCGCGACGAGGCTCTATCAGCGTCCAGCACACTGGCGACCACTCGATGATGACGGTGGATGGCTCATATTCTCCGCGTTCTTTCACTCCATGCGAGTCGCCGTTCACGTCGCTATCTGGCCTCGCTCTCGGCACTCCTGATCAGTCGATTGACACTGAAGTCAGCTACTTTTCGGATCACCCGGCGTTTGAGCCCAGCCGCCACAATGCCCTGCTAGCCCTTTCCCACGGTCAAGACGAGCTCAGCCCGGAAACGCCTCCGTCTATGCCGATCAGGCGGCGAGCTGCCCACTCGTTTGACGCCTCGATGCTCTCTTCACATCATCACAGCGAGGCGCACCACTTTAGTCATCACCAAAATACAAGCGAGTCGGATGCCTCCAAGGAGACCACGCCGATGCCTGCTTCGACCTGCACATTTGCGGGACAGCCGATGGCCGACCTTGGCGCTGGCTTCCGTGCTGCGCAGATGCCTACCACACCTTACTCAGCCTCGACTCGCGCGTCTCTGCCCACTGGGCTCCGCGGTTTCCCGACAAGTCAATCTTATTCACCCGACTCGACGCCTGGACATCCGGTTCGTAGCGACATATATAATCCTGGCTCGCCCTTCTACCCTCCTTCCTCCATCGCCATCCGAAGGGACACTACCGCTGGCCATGATGATCACACAGAGATGTATGTGCCACATCGACTGGGCACGTCGAGGGAGGGCCTACCTCCTCTGCTCACCCTTACCGACCTTAACAACGCCCCCAAGAACGAACCCGACTTCCAGGCCAACCTCGCCTTCCACGATCATCTCCAAAGCTCGACCACCTTTCCATCTCATCGAGGCGATGGGTCGGGTATGTTGTCGGGTGGTCTGTCGTCGTCGGCAATGGCGAGGGTAGCTTCGAGTCCCATGACTCATTTCGCTCGCTCGTCGTGCTCGTCCGAGGCTTCCTCCTTCTCGTCTTTCCCCTTGACACCGTCCTCAACCATCAGCACGTCCAACAGCGATCTCTTTTCGCCGGGCTTTGACGCCTACTTCAGTGCTTCCCAGGACGCAAGTACTCCTGGCATGATCCTCGTCAGCTCGCCAATCCACGAATTCCCTCCCTCCGTTCTCAACAGCCGCAGCCGCAGTGTCTCCCCTGTCAAAAAACAAACATCCCATCTTCGCGCACGCACTACCCATCCTCCCCCTCTGGTCGTCAGCTCGGCCGACAAACAGCACGTCTGCCACTGCGGCAAGCGCTTCAAGCGGCTGGAGCATCTCAAGCGCCACACTCGCACGCACACCCAAGAACGGCCCCATCAATGCCCCCTCGAGACGTGCGGCAAGTTTTTCGGTCGCTCCGACAACCTTGCACAGCATTTGAGGACTCACTACAGACCAAAGCGCTCTGCAGGACTGTTGACGGTGGAGATGGGAGAGAATGGAGAGGCGAGACACGACCCATATGCTGCGGCAGCCGAGGCGGCAAAGGTTGCGTTGAGCGGGAAGCGAGGCAAGCTGGGAATGGTGGGACTGGGTGGACCGATCAGGTTGGACACAGGGATGAAAAGACAGGTCCTCGGTCCGGCTGGATTGAGTGCAAATTTATCGCCGACGAAGGCGAACGAGAGTGAGGCTATGCAGTCCACTGCTCACTCTGGTTGATCGTCATCGATTTTCTCTGTCGTTGGTACCTGTCGGCTTCGCTCTACGCTATACTCGCGCGTTGTTGTCCTCCGGAACCGCTCTCGTGATACTCAGACTCCTTAATCTCAGTTGACCCTATCTGCATACCGTCGAAGTATGGCCTATCTCGCATCCCAATCCATATCCGAAAACCTAAAACCGTCTCGCTCACAGGCGATCTTCGAAGGTGTAATCAGCGAGCGATGTATTCGTCGGTAGTAGCAACGAATCATGGACCCCTTCGAGCGCCAAAAGGCGGCCTACCTAGAGCCAATTCCAGATTCAGCTCAGACTCCTCACCTCGTGAAGCCTCCAAGAGCCTTTGCCGCACGGGCACGTGGTTCCACCCATCGAACGGTTGCGGGCGGATGTGATCAGCCTCTCGCCCGGAGCTGAAAAAGTTGTGCTCGACCGGCTGTCTCTCTCCCGTGCTTCCACTCGTGGATGCACCAGCCGCATCAGACGACGGCGAGACCGCGTCCTGTTGCTCCCGACCACTCCTTGATTTGCCCAATTTGTCCGCCCTCATGCTCTCGACTCTCGCCGGAGGAACCGCGTCCTCGCCCGAAGAGCCTTCCTCGGGGGATGACGCCCTCTCGACCGTCACTTCTTCCTCCCTCGGGCGTCCGACTCTTCTCAGTGATCTCATGCGGCGCCGCTCTGCATCGTCGAAAAATGTCGAACTCTGCATCAAGCCCGAGTACGGTGCTCTAGACCACATGGTTTGGACCATGTTTCGATCGTCCGTGGGCAGCTTTGCCAGCCATACGTCCTGTTTTTGCTGCAGCACCTTCTTCAGGCCGCGTTGCGCCGGCTTTGGATTGGCGAGAAAAGCATCCCGGAACATTACCGGTGAGGTTGGGTACTGATGCACGATGCTAAAGACGAGTCTGCGTTGCGGACCCGTTTCAAAGTGCGGGCGAATGATGGCGGTGGGGACCCAAAATCCAGTATTGGCCTTCGGCTGGAACCGGTCAAATCGCACCAGGTCGAGCGAATGTGCCGATCCTCCTCCTGGCAGAGGTACTCGAGCGAAATCCGGCCGACCCGTCGCATCCGGAGAGGTGAGGAGGGGGACGGAGAACCACGAGGCGCGTGCACGACGACTGGCATCTTGCTCGTCGATGCCATGCGTCAAGAAGCGGTGGCGCGGCATGAAGCTCGCCCGAACAAGGCCATACCCACCAGGACTGCGCCTTTGCAGGTAGAGCAGAGCGTTGCTCAGCACCTCGTCCGCTTGCGCCTCGGTGTAAGAAACCCCAAATCGACGCGGAAAGTCGAGATGCAGCAGGCGCTCAGCATCGGACGGCCAGTCGAACAGCTCCCAGCGCGGCAGCGGCGGAGCCAGCACCAGGGTCAACAACGTGAACAAGATGATAACATGAAGAAGGCGCATTGTTGCGAGATGGCGATGATAGCGACGGAAGGTTGAGGTGGTTGCAGATGCGTCTTAGCTGGACGAAGGTCGCCAACGATCGGGCAATATTGCTCTTGAGCTCGTCAGAGCTGGACTATATTCGACAGTCTCTTGACACTAGAGTATGGCGCGGTCTACCGCACGGCCCTGGACTTCATGAAGCGTGGTATCGCGGCGTCGGTGCAACGAGATGCGCTTTCTGCAACGCGGTGGGGCGTTCTCATCATGATCATGTCAACCACCGACGCGAGACGGTCGTTCCCACTGTACCAAGGAGAGCGGTAGACAGTCGCCATGCGACCATGTCACTACCAGCGTCGACACAGATCCGTCACAATGCGTGCCTACACTCACTGCCAAGCTCTCGACTCGTGCTCGACCATCGGCGTAAGCCCTCAAAACATCTATTGCAAAATCCTCTTCTAAGCTTGACGGCGTCAAAAGAACTCGCGGTGCTTGGAGTTTTCCGGCACCCAGATCGCAGCCGACCTCGGGTGGCAGTGCACCTCGACCCAGCCATCGTCGTTGACCTTCTGCTGGCCCTGGAACCAACCGATGACATCGACAAAGTTCTGGCCCTTGTACCTCTTGCCCACCTCGACCCATTTGGAGCCTTGGCCGGAGCCGTTGCAGATGATGGTGGCGCTGGCGTCGTAGCCCGCGTCGTTGTCGTCGGTCTTGGTGCCGAGCCTCGACCAGGCGACGCAGTTGGGGTGGTCCCAGGCGTCCTTCTGCTCGCCGTAGGCGTAGTACTTGCGTGCCTTGACGAATTTGTCGAGATCAGCCATGGGGTCGGCCTTGCCTTCGCCATTGTCGATGCCCGTGGTGTTGCATCCATCGAGGTCGCCCAAGAACACGCATGGGTAGCCGTCCGTTCGCATCAGAATGAGCGCGTAGGCGAGAGGCTTGAACTGGGCGGGCACGGTCGATTCGAGCGCCTGTCCCTTCTGCGTATCGTGATTGTCCACCAGCGTCACAGCATCGATGGGGCGCGCCTGAACGATCGACCCATCAAACACCTTGCGCAGATCAAAGTTCTCGCCCGCCTCACCAGCCTCCTTGAAGTTGTAGTGCAGCGGCGCATCGAACAGCGAGAATTGTTCGTCGCCAAAGTTGCCGAGGTACTTGAGACACGAGTCGAGGCTGTCCTTCCAGAACTCGCCGACGGAGAAGGCGATGGGGCCCTCGGACTCGTCGGCGGGCTCGACGCCGCGTTCCTTTCGAAGCGTGCGCGCCTGTTCGCGGATGTGCTTGACAAAGTCGTGGACGAAGTCGCGCGACATGTGCTTCACCGCATCGAAGCGGAAGCCGGCGATGGGGAAGTTGCGCATCATCCACGCGCCCCAGTTGAGCAGGTCCTTCTCAACTTCGGGATGCGCGTGGTCGACGTCGGCGCCCATCAGGAAGTCGTAGTTTCCGTTCTCCTTATCGACATCGGAGGCCCAGTGCTTGTTCTCGCCCTCGATGCGGAAGATGGCCTTGGTCTCGGTCTTGGCGTCCCAATCGACACCGGTAAAGTGCTCGAAGCCCCACTTGAAGTCTGAGTACTTGCCCTTGCGGTTGGGGAAATCGAACTTGGTCCAGCCCTCGATGTCGTACGGTTCGCCGATGAACTTGGTCCTATCGTTCTGGTCGACCATCCGGGCCTTGAACGTCTGCTTCTCGTTGGCGCCCATGCGATGGTTGAGGACCGCATCGACGTAGATCGAGATGCCGTTGTTCCTCAATTCCTTCATGGCAGCCTCGAGCTCGGCGCGCGTGCCGTATTTGGTAGCGGTCGAGCTGTTGTCGTCGGCATTGGGAAACTCGCCCAGATCCCACGTGTCCATGATGTCGTAGCCGGTGCTCGAGGCGGAAGCGCCCTTGGTGGGAGGAGGGATCCAGACGGCGGTGATGCCCATGTCGCCGAAACGCTTGGCGTTGTCACCGAGCCACTTCCAATGCTTGCCCTCGCCCTGAGTGTACCACTCGAAGGCTTGCATCATGGTGTAGTTGTGCTCGTGCGCATCGGAATGCTTGTTCGCCGAGGACGCCATCTTGATCGATCTATGAGGGGGAGAAGCAAAGAACGAGCAAAGGGAGAAGGGATTGCAAGCGGAGCGGAGGGGAGAGATGAGTGATGGGAGAAGGAAGATAGGACGTCGGAAAGGGAGAGCTTTAAGGGAGGAACCTAGCCGAGGCGAGTCTTCTCAACCTCACCGCACGGATGGGAGGGCCGAGACCTGTGTGCCAAGCGAGAACGTGGCACAATAGGACAGAACAGGGGCAGCCGGGTATGTACTACCATTACGGCGCCCCCTTCTTATCGGTGTTGATCTTCCTGACGCTCTCTTCGCTTCTCGATGGCAGCAACGCACGCCGGCAAAGGGCTGTGTTGGTGCAAACGGAAGGACGATTCAGGGTCCGCCGAGCGCGGAGCTGCTGGCTCGGCTGTCGAGTGACGTTGGCTCCTGCATCCGAATTTGAGTTTCCATCGCTCGTCCGATTGCCACGTGGACATGCTCGCGCTCGAGCGACTACATCACTACAGTAGGTGGGTCACCTTTCCGGACCGATATCGTTTCTCTCGATGGGCCCGATACCCGTTCTCGCTCAATCAATCGACGGGAGGGCGATGATGGTCATACCTCGACCGTCCTAGCAATGTCGTAGTGAAGTCGCGGCGCCTCCTGGACAACATCAGCCACCACCAAGTCGAGAGGCAGCAACGGCCCTTCCCACCAGCACGACTCGGTGTGGGCATTGTCTCGCGCCTCAAATTCAACATGAAGGCGTTGACAAGCAAGCTTGGAGTCGGCAACGAGGCTGATAGTTCTATATAGAGATGGCTGTCTCGGGCTTGTCCTTGATGACAAGCATCCGAGTCGGTTTCCACTTCCAATGGTGCCCAGACTATTGTTTCTGCGAGCCTGCCTCTTGGCGGCGCTCAGCATGGCGCTGTACTCGCAGCCAGTCTTGACTGGCTACTCTGCCCAACTCGACGCCTTTGACTGGCCAGCAAATACCGCCTTGATGCTCAGCTCGGGGCTGCACCTCTCCGACACGCGTCGCTACACCGAGCAGCAGGCGGACGATTTGCTTGCGAACGCGCTGGTACGTTTGAAGCATCTCGCTCGAGGCAGAACGACATCCGAGGAGGCCTTTCCGTCCGTTCGCCTCGTGACCGCCGGCTTCATGCCTCGACACGTCCTCGTCACCCAAGGCATCGACCCCGAAGCCCAGGGACGGCTTTCGACCCGGCGCTGGTTCTCGCTGCCCTTGCTAGCGGCACCCCCTGCAGATCCTGATGACGTGCACTACCTTGAGATGCAGACGATCGACGGCCGTCGTGCTCGCTCACTTGATCTGATCCGCTTTGACCGCTTCGCGCCTCGCGCTCATTCCGGCTTCTGGCTCCCCACCGCCATCGTCCGCCCCGTGCTCAAACCCATACCTCGCAGCGCCGACGACAAGCTCGAGTTCCGGGTCGTGTACCAGTTCCCTACCTCGCCCGCCATCTTCCGAGATCTGTTTCGCACCGACCCGGAGCAGGCGTATAGTCACCTCAGGCAGGTGCTGGATCGCAAGCAGGCGGTATGGCTGTCCAAGCTCGATCCGTTGGATCAAAAGCTGGTCTCAAATATGTGGAAGCGATCGCACAAGTCGAACTTACTGCCTGCCTCACCGTTCTTTGAACAGGCGGAGAGGGAGACGTGGGCTGCAAGGCACGGCGGGTCGTACTTCCAGGCTTCGACGAGAGGCTCGCGCGAGCTTGTCAACAAGGGCCTACGTCGGCAGCAAGAGCTCGAGTTGCTCTCTTCTCACGATGAGTACGGGCGCTCTCCATCTTCGCCGGCAACGCAAGTCGGATCTTCGAGCACACCACGCGGTCGACAAGACGCAGCCGGCACGTCGGCGGTCGAGTCGGATGAGACAAGGCCAATTATAGAGCACGACTTCTTAAACATGCTGCCATCTGGGCAATTTTCTTCGCTCCACGATTCGCAGCCGCAGCAGCCACTCCCTTCCGTTGACCATTCGCCCAACAGCAGGTCCGAACCCAACCTTGACCTCACCCTCGGACCCTTCGCGGGCAGCAAGAGGCGCCAACCGTCTTCTCCGTCTTAGAATCCCCCACTCCCTACAGAACTTCGCCCCGTCTCTCCTCTGTACTGTGCGCGCCAATTCAACGCTGCCCATACTTGAGCGGTCGACCATTGAGCGCGGTCATTCCGTCGCGGTCCCACACCGCATCGGGCCCAACGATCCTCCAATCCTTTCCCGTCTTGAACGCCGTCAGGAACGCGACGATCTGCCTTGCCTTGGTAGGCGATTCGATGGCGCCGATGAGTTGAAAGACGCTGCCGGATTCTTGGGGTGTGCGCTTCCACACGTAGAGGTGGTGTTCTTTGGTCCTCGACAGCAGCAGGCCCGCATCGACGCTGTGTGTGGTTGGGACGGTGTGCGCCGTCATGACGAACAGATTGGAGCGATGCTCGCGGAGGTTCGTGTGCGGATTGAACACTTCTCCGAGAAGAGAGGGGTTGAGGGAGCCCGTGAACGGGTGCACCTCGGCGGGACCCTGGATGACACCACGCGTGGAAAACTGCGCGGCGATCGATTGGAGGATCGTGCGTCGTTCCTGCACCGGAAGCGGCGGAGGCACACGCAATGACGGTCGCTCGATGAGCTCTTCGAGCTCGGCTGCTAGCCGCTGGACCTGTGTGGACGAGGCGGACTCGCTACCGGTAGGACTGGCCAGCGTCTGCGCGCGAAGAGCCTCCAGTTTGGGTCCCCAAAAGGCGTCAGCGAAGAGCGGCTTGGGGCTCAAAACGGGCGCTCCGGTTGTGGAGCTGTGCCCATCGGGCAGGTGAGGTGGATTGAGAAGAGGCAGATCCATTGGCACTCGCGCCACGTTGGCTGCTGGAAGGCTTTCGGACGACACGGTGTTATGCAGGACGGGCGAGTGCGCCGTGTCAACGATGCTCTCGAAAGACCTTACGATCTCTCCATCGCTAGCTGCAAGGCAAAACGAGATCTGCGCGGAGACCAGCACGAGCAGATGGAAGACGTCGACCTTGACGAAGCCGATCAGATGCATCTTGAATGCCGGCTTTGCTCTTTGAGCGCTGTTGTTAGTGCTTGAGGATTCCTCAGAGTAAGGCTGGGGTTCAGGGGCGTGATCGTGAGGGAAGCCTTACAAGGACGGAACAGCAGCGCACCTCGTACAAAGGGCATCAACGAGACATTGAACGAAGCATCATTTGGCCCTCCGCCCGCGATGATAACCATGAAAGGAGGCCGAGTCCAAGATGAACAGCTGACAACGTCGGTCAAGCCACCACGGCGTTCAAAGAAAGGAAGCCCTCGCTCCACACACCGACGTCGAGCATCATATGGTCGACCTTCGAGACGCTTTCGATGAATTTATTTTCATCCAAGCTTCTCAAGCCGCTGCAGAGCTGCGGACAACGCAAATGAGGTCCGATCATCACGAACATCGATGCTCATCAGAATCTGCCACAAGGATCTCAGACAGCTTAAGCAAAAGCAAGTGACATTCAATCTGCGCCTACACTAAGCCTATACGCAAGACCTAATCGGATCCCTGCTGGTCTGGGCGGTGCTGTGAAGTCCTCGACACCTCTACCGGAGTAAGCGCGGAATGATCGACGAATGAGTCGGGTCCGATCGGCGTGACTAAAATCTTCGTCGTCCTGTATGCCGGCAAGTGGCTCAACGTTGGCGCTGCGCGTTGTCGGAGTTCGAGCATGCCAACAAAGGTCAAGATGGTCCTGGGTCTTCGTGCCTCCGGATCCTCTGCCTGCTTGTACACAAACAGATGGCGATGGAAGTGCTTTTCCAGTGCGAAGCCAAATTCGCTTCTTGGCGCCTGGCTGGATGTCATTCCTGTCGGCTGCGGGCGACCGCGTGTGGTGACGAAGTACCCAGGCATCACCTCGCGCAGTAGCGATCGGGACAGTCCAAATTCGTTGATCACCGCCCGTGGCAGTGAACGACCCAGGAAGGGGTGCACCACGTCCACTTCCCGCGTTTTGCGCGACGACAAGGAGAGGTGCTCAAAGGCCCGATTGAGGATGTCGTACTTTTCGTCGAGCGAGAGCGGTGGTGGTGGAGCTGGCAGTTTTTCGAAGATAACGGGTCCGGTCTCAGCGCCAGACTTGGGACCTCGTCTCGGACGCGAAGCTGATTGAGGATGTGTGTCGAGCGAGGGAGGAGGAGGAGGAGGTTCGAAAGGTAATCGCGGCTTGGGACCTTTCTTCGAACGTGATTCAGCGTCGACTTGGCGAGGAGGAGACTCGAGAGATGCGTCGACATGCACAGCGCGCTGAATGCTGGGGTCGACAGCATCGCCCGCTGGTGCAGGCTGAGAATTCGTGTAGACTGCGAGGGACCCAGAGCTGGAAGGAAAGTCGACACGCAAAGCGCGATGAACGTTGCGCTCGACAGCATCCCCCGCTGAAGTTTCCAGATCTACACTGTTCAGAAAGCGAAGAGCTGTCCGTGGGGAGAAAGACATGAGTTCTTCCCAGCTAGATTGTCGACTCACGTCAACCAGGGCGGCCAACAATAGGAGATAAAATACCCTCATGGTGTGCGTCGTGGTGATGAATGTTCCGAGCGCCGGTCCGTTCTTCTTTCCTTTCACGACGGTCTTAAAAGGGTCCGAGAGGCATGCGCTCGGTATCTTGTACCTGATCCTGCCGTTGCATCGGCGAGCCGAACACGCCCATTCAGGCCACCATAGCACCTGCTCGTAAAACCGCCGACACCCGAGATACACGAGCATGCGTCGCATCCAACCGTCGATACCGTGTCGGAGAAGGGGACCAGCTATGAAGTCGGCAACGTAAAAACGCAACGAGTGTAGATCTGCCGGTGGGTGATCGCAAAATGAAGCGTGATGTATGAAGGTCGACGTCCAGCTCTCACGTAACGGTGGGATGACTTTCGCATATTGAGAGAGGTCCCAACCGAAGGTTTAGGGTGTTCACATCGGAGAGGCTGGCTGTATCCAAGCCTCATTTCACATCCTTTCAGCCTCACTTCATTCAGACGATGAGGTGATCGGGATAACAACACATTGAAGTCAACAGAGGCAACTCAAGCTAGGAGAATGAGCTCTACTACGGCGGATACGGACCTATTCGCGCTGTGAAGGTGGCGCTGCCGATCGCTTCAACGTTCGCGAGCGCGACTTTCGGCTCGCCGAGGTACAGCTCTCGATACACCGAGTTCCGACTCCTATGCGGACCACGAATCGCTCCGAGCAACTCGAAGACGCCTTGATTGCCGGTCCGGCTCTTCACCTGATAGACGTGGTACCAGGTGTCTTTCGGATGGGCGAAAGCGAAACCGTACAGCTGTTGAAAATCTTGCGCCCTCTGCGAAGCCTGTTGCAACATGTAGCGATTCGATCCGAAGAGTAGCGGATGCATGCCGATGTGTTGACCGAATCGAGTGACCCGATGCATGGTCGTCTCGAAGAGAGGGCGATCCATCGTAAGTCGAAAAGGCTCGATGAGATGGTCGACTCGAGGCATTGCAATCCTCGACGGACCGCGCTCGGATACGAAGTAGAAGTGATCCTTTACAGTTTCGAGCAATTGCCGACGCTGCTCTGTAGTATGCTCGAGCAGCTCGGTGGATGGAAAGGTTGCCAAGTTGGCATTTTGGACGTCATTCACTGGCCGTCCGACGGATGGATGATCCACCCAAGCGCTTTGACGGAGAATGTCGGCCCAGCTTCCGTCGAGATTTAGGGCTTGAGGTGCGGATCGAGACGCCCCATCGGCGGCTACGCTCTCGGTTGAAGCTTCAGGCAAGGCTGACAAGAGCCGCTCCAGCTCATCGATAGGAGTTCCGGAGGCGTGAATGCAGCGTGTGATGACCGTGCACGTTGCCAGTGCCAAGGCAGGCAAAACAGACAGCAAGCGCATTGTGAATAAACTCGAGAGTTGTGCACTGAGATATAGTGATCAAGATGCGTGTGACAATGTGTTGAGTCTGTCCGTGTCAACTGCGACTGAACGACTGATTTTCACTCAAGCTCCACCACTGGTGGGTCGTAATCGTCTCGATGTCCGCACCAAGGGGATGCGGTCCATAGCAAAGCAGCTTGGGTGGGCTTTCATCTCCGCCTCGGTGGCCGATGACCTCTGAGCTGCTTGCTCCATCATTTCCCCCAAAGAATGCCATCACAAGGAAACTCACGCTCAGCCTCTCTCGAATTCACAAGAAGCCGAGATGTGTACGGACTCGTGTTCGAAGGTTTGCGAGACGACAAGAGGATCACGCCGATGATCCGGCTTCTGCGGCGCTGCTTCCACCCTCAAGAGTATGGCTGTACCTGCGCTTCGAATGTGGACCCGCTCAGAGCTCGGATGTCAGATAGCTTGACCGCAGTCGGACCCAGCTCGCGGTCACGAAACGGTGTGTTGACCTGGGCATACGGTCCACGGAACGCACCCACGTAGCTGAAGGTCCCCTTCGTACCCACTCGGCCGATTTCATGGTAAACGCCGTACCAGATGTGCCAACGATCCTGGACATTGAATCCGTTCAGCACTCGAAAGTCGTGCGAGGTCGGCCTTGCTTGTTCGAGCAGGTATCGCTCTGCACCGATCTGAATCGGATACATGCCATGCCTACGGTCGACACCGGCGAGCTTAGTGGCAATCAGACTGAATACTTCCTGATCGAGGGCGCCTCGATGGGCGACGAGCAAGTTTTCGCCACTAGGGAGTGCGGCTCGGATGCGCAAGTAGAAATAGTCTTTGACCGTCGTGAGCCTCCGGAGTCGCTGGTCGAGGGTATTGTCGAGAAGAGGCGGTAAGGAAACAGCTGCTGCACCCGCAACTTGTCCGGGATGGATTTCAGGTGCAGCGATCGGCTGGTGAGGCTCAGCAGCCTGCGGCACCATCCGGGTGCTTTGGTGCAGGATGTCTTCCCAGCTACCATCCAGCTCGAGGCTTCGACCGGTCGGATGAGACTTCGTCGTAGCTTCAACAAAGGGACTGCCGGGTTGGGTCTCGATGGGGACCTGATGAGCTCCATTGGTCTGTGGAGCGATTAGGTTGTTTTGGTGGAGGATGTCTTCCCAGCTGCCATCTAGATTCAGACTGCTACTTGCCGGATGAGAAGCCTCTGCGACGTCATCAATAGGCATCAGTAAGAGCCGCTCGAGGTCCTCTAGCGCAATTGAAGAGGAGTCGACACGGTGAAAGATGGTCATCAACGCGATCAGCGCGAAGAGAACGTGCACACTGAAGGCGCACATCTTGGAGGAGGTGTGAATGTCGGTTGTAAAGATGGCTGTGACCGTCCTCAAGTAGACCTTCCATGCTGTGCTTATGTATGGCGGCTCCAATCGAGGCTGTTCATGATGTGACCGAGCTTGAGCCAGCGAACCTGAGCGGCAGCCAACCGACGCCCGAAAGAAAGCGAACCATCGCTCATCCCCGAGAGGCGCGGGCTAAAGGCAACGATCACGCTGTGCAACCTTGCAGACAAGTTAGTCGTGAGCAGCATGGCGGAGAGCAGAGCCAAGTTGCCAGGGCACAAAATGTCATGCGTAGGCTAGAGCCATCGTGACGTAGAGAACGAGCAACTCGGTGCGGCTCGGTTGTGAGTGAGGCAACAGGCTGCATTTTGATCCATCGTGCTGTGACGAAGATGAGGTACGCCGGCCCTTGTTGCTGCCTCTAAATGGATCATACTGCTCCAGTACGCCGGACCAATGTGGTCGGTACAGTGCGTGCTGTAGGATTGCAACGGTTGCAGCGGCGATTCGTCAACCTCACTATGAAGTGCGTGCCTCTCGGTGTCGAAGCTACGTAACCGCCTCGTACTTCGTTCCAGCATGACTTTGGTCAGACGACAGAAATTTGACGGTTCCACCGCATCACCGTGTGTCTCTGGCGCACCTCGTGATCGCGATGACGAAGACCAGGCAAGATGCACGATGGCCGCTGAAGAAAAGTGGAAGCATGTCGGCGATACCTGACAAGCAAGACCCGTCTTCCGAGTGATCTTCCAATTTTGCGGCGCGTGGTTCTGCTGCGCTTTGGGAAGAAACCGCCGAAGGGTGGAGACTAACTTCTTGTCCATCACCACCCTCGCCATCCACACGCCTCCGCTTCGTGCCTTCGTCGACGTTCAACACTCGCTCGTTGCAGCAACAGCGATAGCAATGGAGGTGGAACAGATGACGGATGCGACGGCATCACATCCGCGCTCCGATTCACAGCTGTCCACCTTGCAACCAGCAGCGCATCGAGAGCGCTTCCTCCACCTTCAGACGTCAGCCCGCTATGCAGGTCCATCCGATCCCACCGCACAGATGAACCACATCCTGGCTCTACTCGATAGCTACAGGAATGCAGCTCAGCGTTCGACGCTGCTCTCTCACGACTGGGACGTCTTCCTCGCTCTCGAGACTCGTCTGGCGGCTGCAACCGGACCTCTCACTCCCGACTCTCTGCAGGCACTCTTCCAATTGCACAATGATGCGACATCACACGTTCAGTCCATTGATCTGATTCGGCGATACATCAGCCTGCTCCTGGCCTACTTCTCGAAGCTAAGCGGCATCAATGTTGCTTTGCCCCCAATGCAGTCGGCGGAGGGCCCATCGACGAGTGGGTCCAACGACCCGGCCTCCAAATGGACGAGCCTTGGCTCGTGCCCTACCATCGACGTGCCTTCATCAACGTACATTGCAGCATCACTCCCCCAACTCTCGCAAGACTCGGTTGATGCAGCTGACTGGGAGCCTGTCTGCGGCGTCGAAGCAGTACGTTGGCGCATTCGAGAAGCATATACACGGTGCGCCGCTCAGCTGCAGGAAAGCCAGGACGTCTGGAGGCTCTATCTTGCCTTCGAAGAAGCACTTCTTCCTTCTTCCCTCGTTGCGCAGGATCAGCAGCTGGAAACAGTACGTTATGTCTACCTCGCCCGACTCAAGGTCCCCCACACCGCCATCGACGAGATTTTCCAGGCGTTTTCGAGCTTCGTCACAAAGCACCTGCCGCCGCAGCAGTACGAGAACGAGATGTCGGCAGCCAACGTCCTTGTTGCCGAATCGAGAGCCATCCTGCGTCAGCGAGAGCAGCACGAGGATGCGTTGGCGTCGCTCTTCCGCGCGGGCAAGGTCCACACAGCAGGTTCCAGGCAGGATCTGGACCACTTTGCTGCCTACTGCAAGCCCTACCTGCGCTGGCAGAGCGGCCGTGCGATTCGAGCGATGCGGTCGAAGGACAAAGCAGCTTCTCAGACCGAACTCGATCTAGCATGTGGCCTGTTCGAAAGGCTCATTCCGCATTTTGGTGTGCATCCACCGTCAACGCACAAGCACGAGCTCGTTTACTACTCGGACGACGTCAAAGCCTCGGAACACTACGCTCGCGAGTTTAAGCGGCTCAGCCACGAAGAGCGCGAGGCACGAACCCAGCAGGAACAGCAGCTCTTCTCGGAACGACATGCGCTAGCCACCGACCTGTGGCTCGACTACCTTTCCGTGCTCACTTCATCGCACCGTCCCGACGCCTCGCTCATCATGGACGTCTGCACTCGTGCCGTCCACTGCCTCCCCACCGCAGTCAGTCTGCACTGCGCGCTAATGCGCAACTCGGCCCGCTTCCGGCGCTCACGACCGCAGATCGAGCAGCTCTTCGAAAACGTGGTCACGCCGGGTGCGCTCGAACTCAAAGCTTCCGAGCTCACCGACCTGTGTCTCGCGCGCATCGACTGCGAGCGCGAACTCGCCAGCTTCGACCTGGTCGTCAAAGCTGGCGCCGATCTGCATATCGATCCTGCGCAAGACATGGACAAGTTTACCGAGATCTATGCGCTGCTCAGCTACTCGTTGGGAAAGCTGGCCGAGCTGGGTGATGACCGCGACCCGAGCCTGCGGCTGGAGAAGGCGACGGTGAATTGGGTCGAGCGCGCGGTCTTTGCCATGGGCGGGCCGGCGTCGGAGGGCGGGGCGGGGTTCAATGAGTTGGCGGAAAGCGTGTGGCAGACGGCGGTAGCTCAGCAGCCCGACAATGCGCTTGTGTACCGAGAGGCGGCCGGGTACTGGCTGCGCCGATTTGATGCGGGGAAGGCGAGAGGGTGGTTCAAGGCGGGCGTGTCCAAGTTGGAACGCAGACAGTCGCAAGAGGCGAGTCCTGAGTACCAGACGTTGCTGCAGGAGTGGGTGCAGTTCGAGCATCAGCATGGATCGATTGAGGAGGTGGAGTATGCGGAGGGCAAGGCTAGGGCGGAACGTCAACGTGCGCTCGAGGCTTGGTACGCGTCGTACGCGCAGTATGGATACCAGGCTGAATCGCAGGCGCAGATACAGGCTGCGAATGGTCATGACGACTCTGCTATGCAAGTCGAAGTCACTTCGAATCATGCTCCATCGAGTGCCGGCAAGAGGAAGGCCGAGGACGAAGAGGATGCCGACACGTCCATTGCCGATGCACCCATGTTGACTCGCACCGAACCGCCACCCAATCCTACCGATCCCGCACTCGAGCAGCCCAAAAAGACCCGCACAACGGACGCCGACACCGCGCCCTCACGCGATCGCGAACACTGCTCCGTCCTGCTCTCGAACCTCGACCCTTCCACCGACGCCTCGTCCATCCGCACATTCCTCCGCGGCTGTGGTCGCGTCATCGAGCTCACCGGCCCAACCATCCTCGGCTCCACCGCCGCTGCACTCGTCGAATTCGCCGACCCCCTGGGCGCCTCCTCCGCCCTCACACGGCACAACAAGCCCCTCACCTCCACCATGGTCTCCATTCACATCGGCTGGAAGTGCACGCTCTTCGTAACGAACTTCCCCGAAGACTGGGATGACACTTCGGTCCGAGACACGTTCTCGCCGCACGGGCTCATCTTCACCGTGCGTTGGCCGAGCAAGCGGTTCGTCTCGAGTCGACGATTCTGCTATGTGCAGTATACCACGCCTTCCTCCGCAGCAGCAGCGGTGGCAGCGTTGGACAAAACCGAAGTGGCTCCTGGTCGGGCGCTCAGTGTGGCGCTGTCCGATCCGAGCCGTCGAAAACAGCGCAGTGATGCGGGGGAGAACGCCAAAGAGCTGTTCGTCTCCGGTTTCCCGCGCAACATCAGCGAGTACGACTTGAAGAGCTTCTTCGAGGAGTTTGGCGCGGTGACAGGTGTTCGGCTGTTGCGCAATGCGGAGGGCGGTCTGCGCGGGATCGGATTCGTTGATTTCGAGTCGGCGTTGGACGCTACGAGGGCGATGAGGGAGGTCAACTCGACCAAGTGGAGGGGTAAGACGATTTCCGTCACTATCGCCGAGAATCGGGGTCATGCGACAAGGGCCGATGGGAAGGATAGGAAGGCGAGGAGTGTAAGGGTGGACGGGTTGCCGGTGGATGCGCAGGAGGCACTGATCCAGCAGGCGATGGAGAGGGCGACCGGGTTGGGAAGCGTCAAGCAGGTGCTGTGGAGACCGGATGGGGTGGGGACGCGGGCGACGGTTGAGTTCAGGGATGTGAGCGATGCGGGGAAGGCGGTGCTCGTCGGAGGAGCGGGCGGGGTGAAGTATGTGGGAGAGACAGAGACGGTGTTAGCGGTGACGGCGTTGGAGGATGATGTAGCGTCGCAAGTGGGGTCGCCACCGCCGATGGATCAGAGCGCGGCTAATGCGCCAGGTCTGGCGTTCGTTCCGCGTGCGTCGAGAGGCGGAAGGGGCAGAGGAAGGGGGAGAGCCTTCGCCATGGCAAGCGTGCATCATCAGAGCTCGAAGGAGCAAACAGCGGGGGACGATATGGAGGTCGAACCGCACACCGAAAGCACCAGCAATTTGACCGGCCAGGATCGGTTCAGGGCCATGCTGCAGCGTCCGCAGTGATCGAAGGCACCGTCTCTCGACACAGCAACTCAATCTCAACCTCAATCGCCTTCGCGCGCTCAATTGTCCTGTCTGTGCTTTGAAAGCGTGATCTATGATCTATTGCTCTACACCGCTCTACACAGCAACCGCTACCCCACCCTTCCTCGAGTCACTGCTCGCCCAAACCCTCCTCCACCTCCCCTCACCGCCCACTGCAACCGCCTGCACCTCGGCCACCCCCAAATCGATGTCCAACCAGCTCACCTCGTGCCCTCTCCCCAACAACCCCGCCAGCGTCTTATTGCTGTACCCTGTCTCGACGCTCAACTGGGTCGGCAGCAATTGGTGGTGTACCCTGGGCGCCTCGATCGCCTGGCTCAAATCCATACCCCACAGATAAAAGTTGAACATGGTCTGTAGCACACTGCTGAAGATGCGACTGCCACCGCTGCCGCCGAGGACCAGATCGACGTCGCCCTTTTCGTTCTCGACGATGGTCGGGCAGGTGGAGGAGAGCGGTCTCTTGCGAGGCTCGGGATAGTTGTAGGGAGAAGGTGCGAGACCGAATGCGTTGGGAACACCCGGCGTCGACGTATCGTCCATTTCGTCATTCAGGATCACTCCAGTGGAAGGATCCATGACGCGCGAACCAAAGATGAGGTTGACGGTGGACGTGAGGGCGATGGCCATCCCGGACGAGTCGAGGATCGAGAGATGCATGGTACCGTGGTCGTTGATGATGTCGAATTTGGGATGGTAGTAGTCCAACGGATGGGTTCGGTCGTCGGTGATGTTGGGGACTAGGCGCTCTGCTTCGCTGAGAGTGGGGATATCGGACATGCGATCGAGCTCGGGACCGGTCATAAAGGCCGGATCGGCAAGCTCGGTTCGTTGGCCAAATCCGAACTTGAGCGTCTCGACGAAACGGTGGATGTTGAGACTCGTCGCCTCTGGCGTGGAGACAAAGTCGGGGATGAGAGAGAGCATGTTGAGCACGCTGAGCAGGATCGGACCGGAAGTGGGTGCGTGGGTGGTGTACACCTTTTTGCCCATCCACGAGCCTTCCAGTGCTGGGCGAACAACCACCTGATAGTCGGCCAGATCTTGCATTGTCAAAATGCCTCCGTTCTCCTGTGTGGTGCGCACGAGGCTCTCGGCGATCTCGCCCGTATAGAATGCATCCGGTCCGTGATCCGCGATGGTCTGCAACGTGCGTGCGTAGGCGGTACGATGAAACGTATCGCCTTCCTTCTTCACCTCCCCCGTCTCTTCGTCAACAAAGATGGCGCGCCACACCGGATCGTCCAGCATAAACCCGCCAAAGTACCCCAACCTCCTCGCGAGCTCCTTCGACACGGTCGCACTTTTCGCCAGTTCGATCGACGGTTGCACCAATCGCTTCCACCGTAGACGACCGTATCGTTTGTGTGCCTCTTGCAACCCGCGCAGTTCGCCCGGCACGCCGACGGCCAACCCACCGAATTGGGCACGAGGCACGCGCCCCATGTACATGGTCTTGTTCGCCGCTGCTGGGGCTGTTTCGCGGAAATCAATCGTCGTATGCTCCACACACCCCTCCTTCTTGTGGATGAAACATGGCGTGGGGTCACGAACGATCATGAACCCCCCACCGCCGATTCCGGAGGAAAACATATTCAGCACTCCAACGCACAACGTCGATGCCACCGCTGCATCCACCGCCGTGCCCTTCTCGAGCAAGATATCCATACCGATGCGACTGCACACCTCGTTTTCCGTTGCAACGCCCGCTTTGCGGCCCGTGGCGAGGATCGCGGGGTGTCGTCGACCGCGTGGGTCCGTCCCTGGCGAGGTCACGGGTGAATCATCGAATTCGCCAAGAAGATTTTTAAGGACGATCGAGATGGCGATGGCAAAGACAAAGATGGCAAAGAGCACGAGGATCGAGTGGAGGATGGATTTGGGTTTGCTCTTCCGCGAATGGGCGTGATGTGCATGGTGGTGAGGTGAGCGGGAGGGGAGGAGAGAGGAGGTCTCGGTGGGTGGAGCGGTGATGCTGCCGTCGTTCGAGACGATCTCTTCGCGGATAGGGTCGATCGAGCCGCTCTCCGAATTGGTGGTGGAGCGCAGGCTCGACGGCCGATTCGAGGGCCGGAGGGTCGACATGGTCGAGGGTCAGCAGAAGAGGTGGATGTAGGTGTGCGACCAGGACGCCAGGTCCAATACGGCGATCTATCGCACTCGTCTTGCTTCGACCAGCAAGCTTCTTGGACAGGTTATGGTGATGAGGAGAGCGGCTGACTCAAGACGGAGCGAAGTGGTCGGCATCTGCTTACCATCGATTCGAGGAAGCGCAGCTGATTGTGCGAAGGAGTGCATTGCCGCGGATGCCGATCTCGACCCTTCCCAGTGCGGCGATTTGTGCGAGATATGTCCGGCAATTTTCGGTATTTGTTACATCGATCTCACACCACAATCGGCGTAAAAAGGGTCTGGACGGTGGAAATCGGAAATGGCTGTCGGCACATGCGAAGAACGCTCGCTCGGCTCATGTGATCTCGACGCTCGTACCAACACTTTCATCCTCATCTTCACCAACAATCCAGTCGCCAACATGATTGCCCTTCGCACAGCAACCCGAACAGCATTGCCGTCGATGCGACGCTTCGCGACTACGCAAGCCGGCGCCGCCGCCGAGGAAGCCGCGTCGACCGTCCGCTCTGCCGCGAAAGAGAACCTGGGCGAAGCAAAGGGAGCGCTCAAGCAGGCCGAGGGGTCCGTCAAGGGCGCCGCGCAGCAAGCCAAGGCGTCCATCCCAAGCCCACCCTCGCCGCCGCCCAAGCCCATCGTCGTCGGAAGCCCCACCATCCGTCGCCCCGTCGGTTCCGTGCGCGGCGGCGTCCTCGGCTTCCTGTTCGGCTTCGGCATCGCCAGCGCTTACGGCTACTACTATCTGCTCAAGGAGTACAACGCCGCTTCCAACCTCATGCTCGCCAGCGTAGAGGAGCTGCAGGGCTCCACCGAAAAGGTAAGCCCCCACTTTACATACCAGAGAAAAAGAGAGGGGATTAGATCACTGACAGTTTATTTTCGGATGAACAGATCACGGGCCACTTGCAGAGACTCAACAAGCTCGAGGCGGACCTGAAATCGCTCACGTCCAACTCGGCCAGCAAGGCGGAATACGAAAAGCAGCGCGTCGAGATGAAGCGCATCGTCGACGGCATTCACGACGAAGTGCTCGATGTCAAGAAGCAGGTGCTCGACCTGCCTAGGCCTACCAAGTACATGCAGTGAAGTCTCCAGCTTGCTGGAGTGAGAAAATCAATGACATCAGAAGGGTTAGAACACGACGATGCCGACCATGGATCCGTCTTTGCCTACCTCGAGCACCAGTCCTTGCCGCCCAACGAGTCGGGTGCTTAGATCGACGAGAAGCTCGCTCGAACTGTCCCGCTCGGGACTGCTATCGACGCCACCATCCTGCTTGCCCAGCGCCTGTCGACGACCCGCACCTTTGAGACCAGAACTCCCACCGCTGCCCTTAAACTCGGCACAGGTGCCACGATCCAGCTCCATCCCCCTATCATCCTCACCCGCGTTGAGCGTGCTATCAAAATGATCCTTGAACGAGAACGTCCCCGTGCCCCCTTCGCCCGCCTTACCCTTGCTCGCACTCTTCCCCGCAGCGACAACACGCCACGGACACCGATTGTACCGCTGAAACAGCGCATCGCCCGGAACGTTCGTATGGCACACCACCTTCTCCAACCGCGGCTGACCGTTCGCCGCTGCATCGTACATCTCTGCGATCGACGGCATGCGCGACGTGTCTCGGGAAAAGAGAAGGTCGAGGCCGAGATCAAAGTAGTTGTAGAAGAAGGCCGAGTCGTGTGCGTCGTGCGAGGTGGAGTGCGAGTCGTCGGTCGAGCCGCTGTTTTCCGAGGCTCGGTCTCGCGTGCTGCGATTGCCGTTTGATGCGGTTGCGGTACCGTGAATGCGCATCCGATCGTCTTCTTTGTAGAAGATGCGCTGCGGTTGGCCGAGGTCGCAGAGTGCATCTTGTGGTGTGCTGATTCCGAGCAGAAGCTCGACCACGTGCGATGCGGAGACGTTCCGGTTGTCGGGGGGAGGCGAATCTGCTCGTGAAGCGCCGCTCTTTGCAAAGTGCAGAGATACTCCGCGACCAGGCGTGACCTCCGCCTCGAGGAGGGTAGGGCATCGTACTTGGATGGCGTCCGTGTCGAGCGCTGCGCGGTCACGGTCGTTGTTGAGCTGCTGGTAGTCGCTGACTGCTGCCGTCGGTGATAGCATGCCTTTAGAGGATCGTGACGGCGGACGTGCCTGTTCGGTGGTCGATAGGCTGGCAGATGGCGAGACGAGGACGTCCTCTGGGCTGTTGGGGTCTGCCCCAGAAAAGATGTGCATAGACGAGACGGGCTGAGACTTGTCCACATCCGCCTCCTTGGACGCGTTCGGCTTGAGGGCAAAGCAGAAAGCGAGGCCGGGATAGGTGATGACGAACTCGCTCTGCTCGCTGTCTTTCGAGTCAAGCTTGCTGCCGAATGCAGACGACACGAGGCTGCTGGGCGAGGCGGTGGAGGTCTCTGGACGGCCAGGGTAGGTGGGACCGAGGATCTGATGCAACGTGGAGCGGTTCAGAGCGACGGGTGCGGATCTTGCTAAGCCTTTTGAGTAGATGAGCTTGCCGTTGTAGATGAGGTTCACGGGACGATGACTCGGCTCTGAGCTTGCGGATGACGGGCTTGTGCTTGATGACGAGGAATCGAGATTTTCGAGCGTGATCATGACCAGGCGCTGGGTCAAGCCGTTGAAGATGAGATGCAGATTGGGCTGAATAGCCACGGCAATGGGTGATACTCTTGGGGAAGTCTCATCGTAGGTGATGTTGATCTGAGGGAATAGCGACTGGTTGGACCGCAGATAGTTGAGCGTGTGCCAGAGGGAGTGACCCAGCTTGAACGGGCCCAGCGAATACGATGGTCTTAGGACGAGGTCGAGGCGGGGACCGCCGAAGGATGCTGAGCGATGACGAGCATCGGCAGTTCCCGAAGAGGGTGAAGAGGCGTAGATGGGACTCGACATGCTCGAGCGTGAAGCGCTCGGGTGTGCCGATACAATCTGGTGCTGAGCGTGGGAGGGATGCGGGTCGGCACTGACGTGATGGGTCGGATGGGCTGAGTTGAGACCAGCAGGCCGAGGATTGTACGAACAGCTCGATACAAATGAAGGTGTTGAACGTGACTCTGTGTTGGATTACTCGAGATGATGATGGTGTGCGCATCGATGCTCTCACGAAGTGAACGGTGCTAGTCGAGGATGGATGGCCAGAGCGCGAGCTGTAGCGCACAGCAAGCGAGCGAGCCATTCAGGGTCCAACGCCCTAAACCGGCCACTCCGCTCCAAGAGTCACACAACCAGCTGCAGCCGACGCGTCTGTGTTTTTTGCAAGGGTCCTCAGCATTCGTTAAAGTCGCATCCCACTTCGACGACCAACACATCTCCTTCAATCCTACAGCTGCAACACGGAGGACCCCGACATTCGGTCGAGGCGAAGACTCTGAACCGTCTCGCAGCAAGAGGAGAGTACTCACGGTAACGTCCTGATGCCATCAATATGAAGGTCAAGGTCAAGTCGTGGAACGCAGTGGCATACTGGCGTAAGTCGCTTTCAATGCTCGACATTCGATACACAAGAGCAGCGCTGACCTCTGGCCAATTGACCCCGAATCCGATGATCGCAGTATGGGATGTCAAGGACCCAGACGACATTTGCGGTATCTGTCAGAGCAACTTTGACGGCTGCTGCGCAAGCTGCAAGGAGCCAGGCGACAGTTGCCCACTGCGTAAGTGACCCTATAAGCCCTCTCTTACCTTTGCTGCCGTGCTGACACTATGATTCCCTTTCGCACCTGTTGTCATCCCTCTTCAATCCTGTGACAGTGTTTGGCAAGTGCAGCCACGAGTTCCATCTTCACTGCATCATGAAGTGGCTGCAGGACAACGATGGATGTCCTTCTTGCCGTCGACCGTGGGGTGAGTTCGAGGCTAGCCCTCCGTATCGCATCCATCCGTTACAACTGACATTGACTGTACTCGTATCGACCTTACCTTGATCACATGCAGAGGAGGTGGAAGGCACCACCATCGGATCGGTCACGGCAGCGCGGACCGCAGCCGAGGCATCGTGAGCCGCTGTCCTCCCCAATCATTTGCCTATCAACACCCAAACGACGAGCGACACAAGTCGACATATACCCTTCTGCCCTTCGGTCCCGCATGCGATTCCATGCTGGCTGTATCATAGACCCCTTCGACAGCAAACATGCGTTGCAAGAGATCGCCTCGATGGTGTGACATAAATGCAAAACAGCAAAGCTCACCAAAATAGTAAAGTTGTTAAGCCGGACCCTGCTGCGACCAAGTCCTGAAAAATAAGGAAGCGGTTTAGGGTCTCCTGGTTCAGGGTTCTGGAGCGGGTTCTGGAGCTGCTCTCGGCAAGCAAGGAGAGAGAGAAAGGCCACGGCACGATGAAAGCATGCATGGCATAGCAAGTGGGTCGTCCAAATCTCCTCTTTCAGCTGTCAGTCAGTCAGTCAGATCCGATATTGCGGGAGCCCAGCTCTTTCGAGTGCATTTCAATGACCGAAGAACAATGGAGCTTGGGCCTTGGATGAGCAAGATGCAAAGCAGCGCCGAGTGAGTCAGCTTGCGAGCAAGCCGTGTCCGATGGCGAGGACGAGGAACAGAGTAGAAATTCAGTCGGAAAAATGACGTCGATGACAGTCACCCCGCACTCCGGACAGTCCAAGGGCAAAGAGGGCCCTGAGCTCGCTTACCGTTCTGCAACGTGTTCCGTTCTCATGTGCGGTTGAATCACCTCTCCTGTTTTTTCGGTAACCTCCACTTGGCACGGATCATTCATCCGCCACTCGGAAGCTTCCTTTGGTCACAGAGCGTCACTCTGCGGCATCAATTCGACGAAGAAACTTCAGCAAGAGTATGTCGAAGCAATCGCGTCGTGCTGAGAGAATCGGCGTGTCGAAGTAGGCAAGTAAGGGGGCTGCATTGCTGCGGCGGGAACCGTAGACAGGGTGCCGGATCGGCTGCGGACTTGGCGCAGCAAGGCTCTATGACCGGTCTATGCAAGTCTTATTGTTTTGTGCTGCTCTGTGACGGAGAAGGCTGTGGAGATGAGTATGAGTGACGCGGTCAGAGGCAAAGCGAACGGGCAGAAGATGCGCTGCTGACCCTGCAGCAAAGCTTAGTGACGAAATCACGAGCCCGAATGATGCTCTCCTTCTGCCCGTGCCATGCTGCCTCTAGCCTTCTCTCGCTTCACGAACCGTATCTGACTGACAGACTGAACGGACCACGTTCGCGCTCGTGACCCCCCCTTCAAAGCTTCTACATTTAGCATTCCTACCATCCCTCCCACCATCGCCTGTCCATCCCCTCATATCTGGTCATCGATACCCCTTGTCTACCCCTGACCAGCTTCATCACTACCAACACCATCGCTAGTTTCCGACATCATGGTCAAGGCTAGCTTCATCTCCGCCGGCTTGCTGGCACTATGCATTGCCATCGCCACCGCCCCTCAGCCTGTGGCCGGTGACTGGCTGCAGGACTTCACAAAGGGAGGCAGCAAAACCTTCGATGCTGCCTTCAAGTCGTGGTCCGAGTAAGTGTCATGACCGCCAGCTGGACTTGCAGCACAAAGCAGAACTCCATAGCGCTCGACAGACAGCTAAACTCGCTCTTCTTTTCCTCTTTCGCTCTGCAGCTCTGACCTCCGCACCTACCTCCTCGACCGAGGCATCATCGCCCCTTACACCACCGGCGAGCAGCTGCGCCAGTTGGCCGTCCAGGACTACGAGAAGATCGCTTCCTCGGCCTCCTCTGCCACCGGCGCCGCTCAGACGGCTGCTTCCTCGCAGCTCAGCGCCGCTGCCAGCGCCGCCTCGTCCGTCAACTCTGCTGTAAGCTCCTACGCCGTTGAAGCTGGCAAGTCGGCCTCGAGCGTGGCACTGACCGACCTCTACTACCCTGCCTCCAAATCTGCCGCCTCGCTCGGCTCACAGGCCTCCTCGTACGCTTCCGCCGCTGCGGCCTCGGCGACCAGCCTCGGCAAGGACGCCGCCTCTTCCGTGTCCAGCGCAGGCAAGGGCGCTGCCTCCTCCGTCTCCAGCGCGGGCAGAGATGCCTCCGCCTCTGCCTCTTCGCTCAGCAAGAACGCTCCTGGCGCCTCGGACGTCTCCAAGAGCGCCCAGTCGGCCGCCACCCAGGCCAGCAAGAGCGGCAACTCGGTCTACAACGCTGCCTCCAAGAGCGGTAGCTCGGCCTACGCCCAAGCCTCGCAGGCCGTCAGCAGGGCCATCGACGACAGCACCGACTACGTCTACTCTTCGTGGAACGACAACGACCTCCGCTCGTACCTCGAGAAGCAGGGTCTGATCAAGACCAAGACGCAGGCCACGCGCGACGAGCTGCTGGAGAAGATGCGGGGTGCGTACAGCTCCACCGTCAACGCTCCCTACGAAGCCTACTCGGACAGCTACCTGCACAACTGGCTCGTCGACCACGGCATCATCAAGTCGCCTGCCGAGAAGACACGCGACGAGTACCTCGCCCTTGCCAAGGACTACTACACTACTGGCACCGAGAACGTCTACGACACGTGGAAGGAGTCGGATCTCCGCAACTGGCTCATCTCGAACAACGTGATCAAGTCGGACTACCAGGCCAAGCGGGACGACTACCTGGATCTGGTGCGCAAGAACTACAACTCTGCCGAGAGCAGCGTGTGGTCGAGCTGGACGGACAGCGACCTGCGCAGCTGGCTGATCCAGAATGGATGGCTCAAGTCGGACGCCCAGGCTAAGCGGGATGAGCTGCTCAAGCTCGCCCAGAAGCACGGCAGCGAGGTGAGCAAGGAGGCCAAGGAGTATGTTTCGTGGAGCGACGCTAGGCTGAGGGAGTATCTCAGGAGCTCGGGTATGCCCTTGGAGTCGATCCCCAAGAAGCGCGACCAGCTGCTGCGTGAGATGCGCGCCCGCTACACGGGCCACCGCGGCATCTTTAGCTACATCAAGGATGGTGTTCGCCAGGCGTACTTTGGCGTTCAGGACATCCTGGGTAAGGGCGAGCAGGGGGCTGCCCACGCTAGTGTGAGCGCTTCGTCGGCTGCTAGTGCTGCTTCCGCTTCGGCTGCCAAAGCTACTGCTCGTGCCAAGGATGAGTTCTAGTTCGAAGTCTCGAGCGATCCCAAGCTTCTGTTTTCCTGTCCAACGGGCCAAATCAAGTACAGACACATCATCACCTGTGAATGACTCTCTCAATACCAAAGTGTTCTCCGTCTCCATCGCGTGACCCATGTGAGAGTCTTGAGTGTGCTCGGCCTCTGGGATACGGACGAGAGATGGCCAGCTGAAAGAGGAGTTGCGTGCGAGGTGTGTATGCAGAGCTTGACAGGGACAGAAATTGCGGAAGTCGGAGGGGCACTCTGTGCAGCTCTCGAAGAAAAAAGTGTCTGTGCGTGGTGAAGCCTTGCTTCCTCACTCTCACCCTCATCTTTCCAGCAGCGTCTCGACTTGGGAAACCTCCTTGACAGTGCGCTGACTTCCGATAGCAGCGTCGTCTTAGCGCATTGTGACGCTGTCGAAAGGCTTGAATCCTGGAGTCGGTCCGTCTGGCTTACGAGCCGCAAACCACGGCAGTCTCATTTCGAAGTTCGAAGGCACAGCATGCCGCCCAAACCACGCAATACGGTCCCTCGACCGCCCCCTTCCTCAGCACCTTCCGCTGTCACTTCATCCACCACCTCGAACCCACCCGCACCCTCGTCCTCAGTGCGTCGCAAACGCTGGATCCACGCTCCCGCAACCCTCCTGCTCCTCCTGCTCCTCCACTCGGGCTGTCACATCCTCGCCTTTATCCTTCTCACCGAACCATGTCTCAATCCCTCCTACACAACGCGTCTACTTGACAAGGTCAACTACTTTACGCTTCTCTCCACGCCTAACGCCATTCCGCGGGGGGAGTGGGGGGAGAGGTTCACGCGCGCCGGCATTCGCGGGTTGTTCGGGGTGGGCGTTGTTCAGGTATGGTTTGTGGCGCGACTCAATGCCTACTGCCAACGAGCGCAGCGGGAACATGGGCGGATCGTGGACGCTCTCAAAGCGCAGCGGTCGTCCGGGGGCAGAGTGGGGGTGGATACGAGATATGAAGAGCAAGAGGGGGAGGTGGGGAACTTTATTCGGCAACTCGAAAGCGTGTCTCTGACACTACTCGGGCTACCACTGGTGGTGGTGGGTGTGGGCGCGATGGTTGGGGTGATGGGTGCCCCACTGCGCGGGTTCGTTTGGCAAACCGGCGTACTCGCATCCCAGTTGACCCTGTTGATCGCTTTGCCCCTCTTACACATCCTCGGTCTACCCGGCATGACCACCGACAATAGCTCCAACAACACCACTTCACCCAGTGCTTCAACCATCCCGGAAACCGGCTCAACAACCTCCCTCCGCAACACCCCCACCCATTGGACAGCGCTACTCACCCTTAAACCCAATCCAACCTTCCTCCTCCCCCTCTACCACCCGCTGATCGGGTGCGTCCTGGGGACCGTCGCAAGCAGCGCCCTGCTCGCGCTCGATTGGGACGTCGCTTGGCAAACCTACCCCTTTCCGCTGTTGGTGGGGAGTTTGGCTGGGGTGGTGCTCGGCGATGTGTGGACCATCGGCATCGTTTTGTTTGGCTAAAATGGAATGCAAGCGACACTTTCGGTTGATCACGCTTTGTACAGCGGTGTGTTTGAAAGTGTATCTGCGCGATGCGTGGATGCGAATGTGTGGTGCTTTCTAGCGTGATCATGGATGCTATGTTACAGCGATGTGCGTGAATGCAACAGTGTACAGCGAGGGGTGCTTCTAGCGGGTGGATGAGCCGGGCGACATTGGCGGTCCGTCTCTATCGGGCATTTGGAGCATGACTCTGGGCGTGGAGGTGCCGGACGCGGTAGGTGAAGCGGGTCCGTCGTTTTTCGTGTTCTCCGGCGAAGGCGGGTCAGCACTCGGTGGTAGGGCTAGACTCTCCATTTCGTCGTCGTCGCGCGTTGCCTCCCGCCTCATCGATCGGGTCGCCGTTGGTGAGCGTCTCGGGCTCTTCGTCTCTTCGTCCTTGTCCTTGTGCGATGGGAACAAGTGTGGATGGCTCGTGGGGCCTGGATTGCCCATACCTTCGCCCTTGGGCGCAGTGAAGTTGCTGAAGAAGGCACCAACGCGATTCATGCGATCGCGGATACCGAGTCCTCCATGACGCCGGTCGTCGTCGTCGTCTTCGCTAGCATCTTCATCATCGCTCTCGAGGCTGTAGACACGCGCATCGCGGGTCATTTCTTTGCCCGACGAGGTTCCATCGTACGTGCGGGATCGACGGGAGAAGGCGGATGCGCCTGCTTCGTTGATCGGTCCCTGGCGCTGGCCGTAGGTCTGCGACGAAGAGCGGTCGGCGATGTCGAGCCACTGCACTGATGATGCATTGCGACGCTCATCCTTTGAGGGTTCACCATCTTGACCAGAGCTCGAACCGAGTCGAGAAGGAGGCGCCGACGCTTTGAGGATGGGACTGCTGGCGATGGACGACGAGGCTCGCATCGGCGCAGCCAGACCGGCGCCAGCCGAAGACGAACGTGGGAAGAACTTCTCCTTGGGTCTCGGCTGAGCTCTACCGAGACCACCACGGCCGACAGAGCTGACCTTTTGCGAAGCGCTCTCCCGTGCCAGGGAAGGCGAGGCAGGTTCCGAGATCATCACTCGGGGGGACGCCGCAGCCGGTGCCTTGTTGTCATCCTCCAGAACCTCCTGGTCTTCGTCCGACTCGCCTCCCGACTCCTTGCTTGCGATCGACCTCCTTCGTCCCGACAAGCCAATCTGTCCGCTGAGCACCTTCTTGCGCAAATTGCCGCGTTTCGACGCTCCGCTGCCAGTCCGCTTGGTGGACTGTGATGCCTTCGAAGATCCACCCGCTGCTGCGTAGGACTGGGACACGCTCCTGTCTTGATCTGTGTCCTGCGCACTGGTGCTGCCCTCGGGCACAGACGAGTCTTGTGGTCCAATCGGGTCACCGCCTCGATCGCGCGTGTGCATCGCGCCCACGACTGCCGGCGTATGGTGAACGTTCGTGTCGCTGTCGTGGCTGTCTCCTTCCGAGTCCTCTTGCACGGCCCGGGAAGACCTTAGGGGGACATCGTGATCCTTCTCGGGTCCTCGACGGTCTTGAGCCCACGACATGGCACCGTACATCAAGTTGAGTCGATCTTCGCGATCCTTGGCTGTTTCCTCCTTGGGTGCCTCTGCCTTGATGTAGTGCTTCTTGTTCTTGGTGGGCCACCAACTCGGCACCTTGCTGTCCAGCAACTGCTGGATCGCCTCGGAAGCGTTCCACGAGCCATGGTCGCTGTTTCCCAAGAAGCAGGCGAGCTCGTCGTGGTTCTGGCGGACCCAGTCCTGAGCAGGGGTGTCCGACTCTTCGAGAGCGTCACGCTCGCTGTCGGTGAGCGGGATGACTTCGACCTCTGGATCATCCGAGTAGCTTTTCTGATGCTCGAGCACCAGATTGTGACCTTCTACCCAGCTGCGCACCTTTGGCCAGTCGCTGTCCTTCTTTTCGTCCGTGGCACCACCGTGCGAGGGAGAGCTCTTGGGAGAATGAGCTTGGCCTTCGTGATCTTTGCGACAGGCCTCGTCCTCGTCCTCGGCGTGAACACGACCGCAAATGATGTCGCGGTCCATGGGAGCCTCGCCCAGATCCTGTTCCTCCTTCGATGCGCGCCTCCTTTCGTCCTCCTCTGCTGACTGCTTCTTGCCCCTTTCTCGCGCAACTTTGGCTTCTCGTTTGGCGAGCATTCTCTCACGGTATCGGCGCATCTCGACGCAGTCATCGCCGAGGTAGTCTGCAGCTGGATTCGCATCCTCGTCGCTGCCCTCCCAGTCCTCGATGCCGTCCATATCCTTGCACTCACGCCGCCTCTTCTGTGCGTCACTCTCGCGGCTTTCATCGGCGTCGTGGTCGCCGAATTTTTCATTGTAGTCGACTTGCGAGCCCTCAGCCTTTTCAAGGTCGCGCTCGGTCCGAGTGTTGAGCAGGCCAACGAAGGCGGGTCCCTTCTCCTGGCTGCTGCTCGAGGACTCTGCAGCAACTGTGGCGGAATTCTCGTCGTTGCTGCTGTCACGACGGAGCTCGTCTTCGCGGTAGCCACCGATGGCACCGCGCCCGATGAGGGAGAGCTGTTGGGCCGACATCTTGTCGGCGCTGATATCGTCGGTATTGATGACGATGTCGTCGCCAGTCTTGACGCGGCGGACACGACTCATCCAGTTGGGCTCGTCGTCTCGCATGGATGGATTGCGACTCCATGTGCGAGTCAAGGTGTGGGCTCGTCGACGAGCATTCTTGCCGAAAGCGAAGAAAGGGATGGTGAAGCCGTGGACAAGGATGGAGCAGAGCACGAAGAAGTAGACGATCGGTTGGATCGTGAGTGCAAGCACGTCGTTGCTGGTCTCTGGAGGCTCTGCGACCTCTTCGGGCATGAGCGTTCGTCCAAGCGTGGCGATGAAGATGGCACCAACACCCATAGGGCCAAAGTGACCACAGAAGACTGCCTCCCTGAACGTCTTGATGTCCGGAATGAACTTCCACAGCGCGAGGACGATGGGGATGCGTTTGGTGAGGAGCACGCAGATGGTGAGTACGATGAGCCGCCAGATGGACAAGCCGATTGAGGCGTCGACAAAGTCGTGCCACGGAATGAGAGCGCCGATGTAGATGAAGGTGGCAATGTTGAAGAGAAGATCGACGATGTTGGAGAAATTGGAATCCTCGGTCTGCTTTGTGAACCATCCGTCCCAGGCGAAGGCAGTACCGCACGCAAAGGCGGCCAGCAGATCGTCCGAGCCAAGCAGCACGTTGACACCCATACTGGCGATGGCGAGCGAGATGTACTGAGCGACGAAAGACTCTCGATCGATGAGCTTCTTGCGTTCGGAGAAGCGCATGAATTTGCGGGCGAGATAGCCGATCAGGGCTCCGAGGAGAGTGCCCAAGATGATCTCGTACGCCCATGTCTCGTAGAACCACTTGCCAATGGCGTAGCCGCGGTTGTCGCGATTCTGAGTTAGGTAGAGCGCGAGGTAAAGGAAGGGAAAAGCAGCACCATCGTTGCAGCCTGATTCGCACATGAGCATGTGACGAACGTGGGCAGGGACGTGCTTCTCGGCCCAAGGACCACCAACGACAGCCTGGGCCAGGATCGGATCGGTAGGCGATACGCAGGCGGCTACAACGAGCGAGTTGAGGAAGTCGAGACCTGGAATGAGTGCATAGATGAAGCAGGCGCTGATGAGCCAGCCCCAAGCCATGACGGGACCGAGGAGCAGAGCAATCGACTTCCAGTGACGCAAGAGGTACTTTTTGGGCAATTCGACGCCGATGGCAAAGACGGAGAGGGCAATGGTGACGCGCATGATCTCGAGAGTGATCTCATCGGTGTGGACACCGCCTGGAGCGATGCCATCTTCGCCACCCCATCCGGCCGGGTTGAAGAGACCAATGGCAACAGGCCCGACGATGATACCGAACGCAGCGGCGATGGGAGCCTCACCAAGGTAGAGCTTTTCCTTGATGAAGAGCGAGAGGTAGGAGAAGATGCAAATGAAAAGGCCAAGCCCGACATAGACGATGTGGACGGGCGTGACCTCGAAAGGGTGAAACGCCTTTGATCCTCCTGCCATGACGGCGATTCAGCGTTCCAGCAGAGTGCTAGAAAAGGGGTCGAGATGAGCTGCTGCTAATGATCTTGCTAGCGTAGCCGAGGTCGATTCCGATGCGGCTGATTCAAGGAAGAGTTCTATTGGGTCGCTGCAAAGAAGATGATGACGACATCCGGGTGATATGCGCCATTCGACACAGCGATTGAGAGCGAAGGCGTGAGAGAGAGCTTCGATCGAAGCGTGTTCGATTGGCTGAGTCGTCGGACCGGCGTGATCGGACGAGATGCCGATGCGGTCGATGGAATAGGCGTAGCGGTTGTGGTAGCCGTATGCGCCTAATCTAATAGCACGGTAGGCTCGTCAGCTGGGCCGGAAAGGTAGGGAGGCCCGCTCGGAAGGGTGCCGGGAGGGCTAAGGCGAAGGTAGGAAGCGGTCTGCGTCGGTCTGCAGCCGAGCAGGGTGTATGCTTTCGTGAGAAGGTGATGATATGAAGGCAGAGACGCAAGTCGGTTGTTGTGCGATGAGAAATGAGAGACCCAAGGGTTCTCTGGCTGACCAGATCACAAACCTCGAATTCGCCAACAACGTGCTTTCGTCGGAGAGCCAAAAAAGATATGATAAAGCCAGCTGCCCCTCGCCTAACCTCGTCATACACAAAATTTCGCGCTGCACGCCCTTGTCATTAGAGCGTGCTGTCTCTTAAGGGACGAGTAGATCTCAATGACTCTCAACTGATGCTCATGTGGAAGCTTCTTCCGTCCCGTGTGGACGGGCGGCTCAGGGCCAGACCCAGTGACTTTGCATATCAGGTACGGGAGCTGAAGTCACATTTGAGGATTGAGGGTCCGAGCGAGTGGCATGGCTTGAGGCCTTTTCGCCTGTCGTGCTCAAGCCACAGAAGGCGCTGTTTACTGCGATCTCACGAGACGATGAGACGGCTAGGGACGCTTTCCGTGTATCTGGTTGAGCTCACAGACGTTGAGACCTGACCCCTGCTTATCAGCATGTGATCCTGACAGCGGGACCGCTCCCGAAGGTCCCTCGTATCGGCGGAGCGGAGAGACACAAGCATTCATCCGAATAGAGAGAGAAAGAGCGCACGCAGCATGGCAGAATCTGCAGCCGAATTCTCTTGGCATCCCACGCCGCCTATCCACGGAGGCGCACTGTCATCACAGTGCCATTGGCGAAAGTATGAAAATGAGTGTTACATCGACACACCTGCTGAAAGTAGAAATCAATCAACGCGCAAGGAGAAACGTCGCGAGGGTGTGAGCGCGTTATGAGCAGCGCGGGTGTTGCTGTTGCAGATCAAGGGTCCACTCGAAGAAGATCCTGAGCCAACTTGATCTTTCACCCTTCGCAACACCACCTTCTCGCACGCTCACAGCCTCATCATGATCGATAGAAGCGGCTCGCTCCTCGCCACTGTGCGCACGGCACTCGACGCATCTCCACCCGCCGTCGCAGAGCCGGGCACCTTGCGCCTCCACACGCTCTTCTCCATCCCACGTCAGGTCAAATCCCTCTTTCCGCTCGCACACATTCATCCGACCGACCTGGAGTACAACAAGAAAGCCGCATCCATCGGTGCTCTCGAGGAGCAGATCTTTGTCACGGCCAGCTGGGTGCCTCTCGCCAAAGACGATGTCGAGGGAGCCGTTGAAGCCACCAAAGCGGGTGAAGGAGGCGAGACTCGTCCGTCCAAAGAGACTGCACGGGATCGTAGCGCACCGCTGCTCATCCTCGCCATGGAATTGTACCTGTATACCATCCCCGAACTCGGTTCTGCCGTGCTGTACGTCTCGAAGCTCGACTCGAGCGGCTATGGGCCCAAGACGATCCCCACCCCACTGCGCGAAGCCCTATCACGCCAAGTCTTCGCGGACAAAGACACCAAATTCGGCAATACCCTAACAGCCACCCTCAGCTCAGCCGTCACCCAGCACTTCACCTCGTTCAAGCACTGGGATGCAACCAGCCAGAGCAGTTCAAGCGTTCAAGTCTCCCATCTCTCGGTCCATATCCTGGCCCGCTCTCAGAGAGCCTATCTGTTCCCATCGAGCCCCGAAAACAAGGACAAGAAGGTGCTCTCCGACGGAGGACTCATCAAGTGGTGGAGAGCCGTCATGTCCGACGTCGTGGTGTCGTCCAGGGACGAGACGTCGGCCGTGAGGAAGACCGCCAAGTCGAAAGGAGGGGCGATCGATGCGAGGGCATTCTACGTCATTCCAGGCTATAGCAAGATGGAGTCGCATCCGCTGGTTCCGCTTGTTCGCGAAGCAGACTCGAGCAGCACAGCTTCGCAGGCTGGTCAGGTGCTGAAGCAAGCCAAGTGGAATTACGGTCATCCATACAGCTCGGGCGGAGCATCCTGTCCCGAATCCGATCTTCCACCTCTACCCTTGCATTGGCAGTCGTCGAGCTTTGTCCTCTCCAACTCCGACACCGAGAAGGACAAGGTGCCAACGAATCCCGATGCAAGCGACTACGACCCCAGACGGGTGCGAACAGTGCCGACGCTCATGCCGCACTTTTCGGACGATCCCAAGACGCGTTTTCTGGACGAAATGGCCCGTGATGCACACGAGCATTCCGGCTGGAAGAAGAAGGTCGCCAACGGCACGAGCGAACCCAAAGCACCAGGCGTCACCAACGAGGAGAAGGAGAACGGGATCGAGTCGGAGCTGGATGTGTCTTCGTTCAAGGGCGAGGCCATCTCCAACGGCACCAAGCGACCTGCAGAGGATTCTACCGACGACTCTCAATCAGAAAAGAAGGTCAAGACCGACATCCCCACCACCTCTTCGTCCTCCGGTGTACCTCTGGTGACCCTCCGCGCGCAGATGCGCGAGCGCCAATCAATGGACGATCTGCCCATCGACGAGTTCTGGGAGCGCATGGCCTTTCGGCAGGAATGCTGTTCGGGTAACGCCGTCGGTGTTCTCGTCATCCTCTTCACCCGTTTGCCCCCATCCTCTTCTGCCTCCAGCGGGACGACGGTGGAACGTCAACCGTTGAGTCTGCCCTACAAGGTGCTGGGCGATCTCGTATTCAAGTCGCTCATGAAAGATTCGTGCGAGTGGAACAAGGTCACGCTGGCCAGGCAGTTGACCGAGAGCTGGTTCCAGGGCGTCGATCGGGAGGTGCGCCGAAAAGGTGGGCTGGCGCAGTGGAAGCAGGAGGTAGGGCGCGAGGAGGATGAACTGGCTACGTTGGTGGGGCGGGGCACGATCTGGGCCGACTTTGTCTTGAATGGACCGACAAAGGAGCAGCTGGACAAGTCGAAGAAGGAGGCGGAGACGAAGCAGAATGGCAACTCGACAGGGACAACGGCGCCGGGAGGCGGGGCCAACATGCTCAGTGTCAAACGCAAGAAGAAGCCTGCGGCGTAATGTTAGACATGCAACGGGTCTCAATGACATTTTCGTACATGCGATCCCCGCACCAGTCTGCGTGCCACCTGCATTCGTTACGATATAGACGTGTGTGTCGCTGGTGACAGCCGATGCTGCTGGGAAGCGTGCAGGTAGGCTGGGAAGAGAGGCGAGGCTATGCGCTCGCCCATCCTGCTTTCTGCCGACACAAGGGGCTGCTCCCGCGTCGAGGTCGGTGCTGCGAGGCTCGCAACGGCTGGATCGCTCACCATGGTAAGCTTGTCCGCTCCTGACGAGCCTGACTCGGCGCTCCTGCTTTTCTCTTTGCCTGGTTCAGTCGATGGCAAGGCCCCGACCGACCCACCTAGCACCCTCTCCCGGGGCACACACTCCCCGCCTAACCAATCCTTCCCTTCCCAAACCCTCCCATACTTGTCGTCATCCTCTTTGAACATCACGTCGACGTATTTGTCCATCAAGTTGTTCCGCACGCCCTCTCTCCTTGCCTCCTCCCCCACGATGACCTGCCACGCTGGCGGTTCCGCATGCCACACCTTGCCATCCACCTGCGGTGCATCGTACCGCATGTGACTTCGATCGCTCGCAAAGTGCGCTTCGAACAAATTCGCCGGAACGCTGCGAAACATTGCGCGAAAGTGCTCCGTCACCTCAGTCTGATCTCCGAAGGTGTGCCTGTTGTATTCCTTCCAGTCGACCACCTTTGGCCCGTCGGTTGGGTTGGAAGGGTAGGACAGTCGAGAGTCGTGGTCGTAGACCCAGCTCCTGGTCCACTGCCCTTGCCCTTCGAAGCAAGGAGGTGCTGAAAAGCTCCCAGTTGGTGTAAGGGCGAGTTCTCGAAGGGGTACAAGGTGGCAGCTGACCACTGCGACAACGTGGTAATCCCATATCACGGGCCACCCCGCAGCAGGCAGGTGCGACGCCCGTTGGTTGTACAGCAGCACCGTCTTGCTCGCATTGCTGATGAAGACGACGTCGAGGTCCCATATCGGCACAAAGAGCGCGTTCGAGCCGGACGAAGTGGATTTGCGGGCTCGCTGCCGACGCGCGATGTTGGCGGCTGCGAGGTTGATCTCTGCAAGCTGGGGGGAGAGAGCGCGGGCGAGCAGATAGATGTTTTCCTCGCAGTAGCACGACGTGTGTTGAGGCGGCAAGGGAAAGGAGGGCGGTGTGATGGTCTGCCATGCTTGCTCGAGGTCGGTTCGGGTGACGCTCTGCTCGGAGGGTGTGGTGGAAGCGGCGGAGGTGCTGGGCGCGCTGGGCAAACCATTTGAGGAGAAGCTTCTGGGCAACGGCGGTACGGGCGGTGGAAGATCTGCTGTGCTCCCAGAGCCGGCAGACGACGGACGACTAGCTGACGAGTTGGACCGCGATAGCCTCGCTCGGATCGACTGCGTCAGGGACTTGCGACGCTTGACCTTCGTAGCTTCTCCATCTCGCTCCGTTGAGTCGGTGCCTGACGCGACAGGATCGACCATCGTCCAGCCAGCCGAAACGCCGCCGGAGGGACTATGCATCAAGGTCCGTCTTCTGGTCGTCGTAAGTCGATGGTGGTGGTGGTGTGGTGGACCGGCGTCATGGCGGAAGTCAGCCCTTGTGTCAGCTTGCCAGCTGAGATGAAAGGGGTGGGACAAGGAAGAATGTGGCTTTTCGAACAAGACAGGGTGAGCTGCACGTCTCATGCGCGTCAAATTGCGGCCCTGCATAACAAAGCTCGGTCACGCACCAGAGCCATCGCATCGAGGCGATGCTTCACAACCAATCAACAGGGCCTAGCTTAGCTTGCAAACGTTCACACCGGTCACTGGTCCTGTCACGTATTTCATTGAGTACGAGCGCGGCCAGGTGAACAAGACGAAGCTACAAGAGGAGCGGACGAAAAACAGTGAAGATGAGTGCATCTGTAGGAGCGGCTTCAGTTGGCCTTGCCACGCTTGGCCTGGGCCTTGTCCATCCTGTGCTTGGTCACCAGCTTGCCGACATCGTTCTTGAGCTGCTTCTGCAGCTCGGGTCGGTAGCCGAAGTGGAAGATGACTTCGAGGAACACGAAGAAGGGGGCGAGGACGACGGCTCCGAGGAGGTTGTCGAGCAGAGCGGGGGCACGACCCTCGTGGACGCCGTGACCGTAGAATTGGCTGATCCAACCGAGCGCCTTGATGCCGATGGCGATGCGCGTAGCGTCCGGGTGCGTGCGCGCGAGGACGGTCGAGCCATACCACAGACCGTACCACAGAGGAGCGAGCATCAGGGCAGCGGTAGCATCGAGCACGGAGTAGTAGAGCCAGTAGGTGCCCATGAACACAGCGGCGGCGTTGAGCTGTGCATACTGGAATATTTGCGCGGGCAGGACGGCCGAGAGCGCAGAACCGGCTTGCGAGAGGTAGGCGGCGAGGACGGGAGAGTGATCCTGAACAAAGGGGAACATGGAGCCTTGCTTTGCTAGGAGGGCGGAGGTAGCGCTGTTTTCGACACGAAAAGGAGCACAATGTACTCGAGTCAGCTTCAAAGGCTGCACTTGGCTGCAAATGGCTTGCGCGCGTGCTTACAAGATGATGGAAGGGACGCCAAGAATATGGATTGCCACATTCACCGGGTCAGTATGGTATGAGCCGTAGAAAGCCAATTGTTTGCGAAGATTGAACGGATTGGCGGTGGCGGACATGGTGAATTGTTGATCGTGTCGAGGTATGGAGGGGAAGAGGAGACTATGGTGATGACGACAATGTTGGGGATGACGGACAAAGGATCGGAGGTGCGAAACTGGTGGCGCTTTTTATGGCGAAGATGGTGGCTCTCGAGAGGTTTCACGCTGCGAGGGTGGGTTTCGAGCGATGGCAAGTGTGGCAATGGTATCGGATGTGTGGTTGCCGGCGGGAATACTGGCAGCGTAGCGATGATGATGGTGGTGAAGCTGATGGTGGTGACCTCGAGAAGTGCCGGCGTATCGCGCCTCGGCTACCGGCAACCGCCCCGCCGAATTCCGGGGTAGCCACCGCTCTAACATTGTCAAAATTTCTCACGAGCCTCCACGTCCTAAGCATCCTTCTCAAGCAGCACGGACCCTGACTTCTTCCACCACCATCTCGCCCCCTTGGAGGTCACCTCCTCTACCAGAGCTCGCCATGGACTTTGAATCGATACCGCCCATCACGGGCGCATGGGGGGCGCTCACCCTCGCCACCGCCGTCCTCGAACACACGCACACCATCTCGTCCTACCAACTCTTCTACACGCCCGCCCTTGTCTTTCGCAAGTTTCAAGTCTGGCGACTCCTCACGACCTTCCTCTACTTCGGACCGCTCGGGCTCGACTTCATCTTCCACCTGTTCTTCTTCATGCGCTACTCCCGTATGCTCGAGGAGAACTCCTTTGGCGGGAGGAGTGGTGGCAGAGCAGGCTACGTGGTGCTGCTGATGTTTGCTGCGACATGTCTGTTGATATTGTCGCCATTGACAGCACAGCCGTTCTTGGGATCGCCGTTGGCGTTTGTGCTCGTGTACATCTGGTCGAGGAGGAACAGACATGTGAGGTTAAGCATGTTCGGGTTGCTGGTCATCACAGCACCGTACCTGCCGTGGAGTCTGGTTATCTTCGGCTGGTTGCTGCACGGGAGCTTGAGGGCGGTGGTTGGCGATATCAGCGGCATTGCGGTAGGACATCTGTGTAAGTATGAAGCTTCAGAACCAGGCTGCTCGGTCACAGAGAAGTCATCGACTGACTGTTGCTGCTGCTGCTTTTGCGTGACGACACAGACTACTTCCTTGTCGATATCTGGCCAAGAGAGTTCCGATCGGGCGGCCGCAATCTCCTCGCCACGCCAAACTTTCTGTGAGTTGACCTTCGGCGTCACTTCTTTCATTCTATACGAGCGGGAGTACTGACCTTCATTCTCGCTCCTGCATCTTCCTGCAATGCTTCAGCATCCGGCTTCTCGATGGTCCCGTCGAAGCGCACTAGGATTCTCTCTTAATTCGTCACTTTCATCTGTATCAACAACCGCATTGCATAGCATCCTTCTCTCCCCGCGATACTGCCTCCCAAGCTGAGCAAAGCCGTCGTCCAGTCGAGCATGTCTGTGTGTCTGGCCACGAAAGCCTGGCTGGACCCTGAATTCAGAGGGACGTGCAGACCGCGCCTTTACCAAAGTGGAGAAATTTCGCAAAGCAGCTGAGCATCTTCCCTCACATCATCCATCACCAACCTAGCTTCTCATTCTGCTCGAGCCGCCCTCGGCTGCGGACGTTCACGATGGCGGACAAGCCGAACAAGCTCGCCTTCCTGTCCATGCAGGCGCCGGCCGGCTACGTCGCTGGTCTCGGTCGTGGCGCTTCGGGCTTCACCACCCGAGCCGACATCGGGCCTGCGCGTCTTGCCGCCAGCTCATCGAAGAAGACGGAAGGAGACGACGCAGATGGTGCTGCCGACAACGACGACGACGATGGGCCGGGGCAGGAGGCAGAGGCGCAGTTCGAAGACCCCGAGAACGAGACGGGCCTCTTTGCCGGTGCCGTGTACGAGAAGGATGACGAGGAAGCGGATCGCATCTGGGAGGCGGTCGATGCACGAATGGATCAGCGTCGCAAGAAGTTCCGCGACGCAAGAGAACGCGAGGAGCGCGAAAAGGCGAGAGCAGAGAAGCCGCAGATCCAGGCGCAATTTGCCGATCTCAAACGAGGACTCAGCGCGGTGACGGAGGACGAGTGGGCGTCGCTCACCGAGTCCGGCAGCGTCACTGGCAAACGCAGAAAGGCAGCTGCGAAGCGCGAGGCGCGAAACACACGATCTTTCGCCATCTCGGATACCATCCTCGTCGGCAACCGAGACAAGAACGCCGTCGAGTCTGCACTCACTTCGGACCAGATGGCTGACGCAGAGGATGCAGGAGGCACCATCACCTCGCTCTCCGAGATCGGAGAGGCAAGAAACAAGATCTTCAGCCATCAACTCGACGCAGCCTCCTCCTCCTCTGGTACAGCTACATCCATCGACCCCGCAGGCTACCTCACCTCTCTCTCCTCCACCGCCATCAAGACGTCCGCTGAGATTGGGGACATAAAAAAGGCCCGCTCCCTACTCGACTCTGTGATCAAGACCAACCCCTCCCATGCGCCCGGCTGGATCGCCGCGGCCCGCGTCGAAGAGGTCGCAGGCAAACTCTCCAATGCACGAAAAATCATCCAGCAGGGGTGCGACCACTGTCCCCGATCCGAAGACATCTGGCTCGAAGCTGCGCGGCTCAACACAAACGAAAACGCAAAAGTCATCCTCGCACGGTCGATACAGCACGTCTCGCAGTCTGTTAACATCTGGCTCAAGGCGACGGAGCTCGAAATTGACACAGAAAGCAAGAAGCGCGTGCTGCGCAAGTCGCTCGAATACATACCGAACAGCGTTAAGCTGTGGAAGGAGTTAGTCAACTTGGAAGAGAACCCGCAGGACGCACGGATTCTCTTGAGTGGTGCAGTGGCGGCTGTGCCGATGAGCATCGACCTTTGGTTGGCGCTAGCACGGCTGTCTTCCCCAGAGGATGCCAAGAAGGTGCTCAACGAGGCGCGAAAAACGATTCCGACGAGCCACGAGATCTGGATCGCAGCGGCGCGGCTGCTGGAAGAGACCGAGGGTGATGACGTCAAAGTGGACAAGACGGTTGCTGCTGCGGTTCGCGCATTGCGGAAGGCGGGAGCGGAGCTGTCGAGGGACCAGTGGTTCGCGGAGGCCGAGAAAGTGGAAAAGGAAGGATCGCCGATGGTGTGCTCTGCGATCATCAAGGCGACGATCGAGCAGGACGTTGAGGTGGAGGATCGGCGAGCGGTGTGGGTGGAGGATGCGCAGTCTGCGTTGGAGCGGGGGTGCATCGAGGCGGCACGAACGATTCTGGCGTACACTCTAGGTGTGTTTCCGGATAGACCGACAATATGGACGCAGGCAGTGGCGTTGGAGAAGCAGCACGGGAGTCCCGACTCGATGGCGGCGCTACTCGAGCGAGCAGTCACGAACTGTCCGAAAGCGGAAGATCTCTGGCTCACCTATGCGTCGGTCAAGAGCGAGGCGCTGGACCTCACCGGTGCGAGACAGGTGCTCATCCGAGCATTCGATGCGAACATCGGGAGCGAAAAGATCTCGCTCGCCGCGGCGAAGCTCGAATCCGAATCTGGACAGGCTATGGCGGCGGGTAAGCTGCTCGAGCGTGCCCGCGTTGAGGTGAACACCCCGCGCGTGTGGCTCAAGAGCGCCGTGTTTGAGCGCGATCACGGCTCCCCCAACACCGCGCTTACCCTCGTTGATCAGGCTCTAGCCAAATTTTCGACGTTCGACAAGCTCTACATGCTGGGTGCCCAACTCTGCCGGTTGAAGGGGGACGACAAGCAGGCGCGAGACTATCTCAGCCGAGGCACACGTGCGTGTCCCACCTCGTCGCCGCTATGGATCCTCTCTGCGCGCCTCGAAGCCAGTCTTTCCCTGATCATCCGCTCTCGCGCCATCCTAGAGCGGGCGAGGATGCACAATCCATCCTCACCCACCATCTGGCACGAATCGATCACCACCGAATTGGCTGCGTCAAACGCAGCGCAGGCCAAAGCGTTGCTCGCTCGCGCGCTCCAGGTCCTCCCCGCAAGTGGGCTGATCTGGTCCCTCGCTATCGCACTCGAACCTCGACCCGGACGAAAAACACGCATGGCAGACGCCCTCAAGAAGACCGGCGACGATAGCTACGTCCTGTCAACGGTAGCTCAGCAGTTCTGGTTGGAAGGCAAAGTGGCGCAGGCTAGGAAGTGGTTTGCTAGAGCGACGAGCGCCGATGGGAGTGTGGGAGACCACTGGGCCATGTGGTACCGCTTCGAACAGCAGCATGGGGACGAGGAAGCAAGGCAGGCTGTGGAAAAGGGGGCGGAGAGGACAAGACTCAGATACGGTCTGGTTTGGCCTGCCATCGCGAAGGATCCGGCTAATCGAGGCAAAAGCGTCGTGGAGGTGCTCCACCTTGTAGCGAAACAAGTCGTGCCGCTCAAGTGAATCCAATGTCACGCAATGCTTCCCTCACACACACTTCACACTTGAGACAGGACGGAAAGCAGAGTGAAAAGAAAGGATTGACAGGTGCAATACAAACATGCGAAGGTGAACCAGCACAAGGATAAACAAGAGTGAAAGATCGCCCCTTCAACTCAGCGCAAAGTCCTCCTCATCCGTCTCGTCGCCTCCTGCGCCGGCCTCGGCCCTCGCCCCGGCCTTCTTGGGCTTCTTGGAGCTCCTCGGCTTCATGGTAGGCAACAACTCCTCTCTGCCCCGCAGGAACCTCGGATGAGCGAAGCTGCTGTGCGCGCCATACAGCTGCACCGCCGTGTTCAATGTCGAACTGCCGCCATTGCCCATCTCGGCCCTCTTGGCGGCGGCGACCTTCATCTCGGCCGCATCCAGCAATCGGGACGAAGGAATGCGCTGGAAGCCGTACAGGTTGAGCTGACGGATGAAACTCGCGTTGTTACCGTGCTTGAACAGACGAGGCAAGACGTCGGCAGCAAACTCGTTGGCGATGTCCGGTTCCGAAGAGAGGATGATGGAGGTGCCGGCTTCGTCCCATCGGATGTACTTGCTGTACTGCTCCGGGTTGATCATGAGGTGCCAGAGTTTGGAGATGAAGGCCGAGCAGCTGGCGGCGCCACCGAGACGGTCGCGGATGGCAGCGACCTGTTGTGTCTCCTCGGTGTTGCCTGTGGCGGCTGTGTTGCTCGTCGAGCGCACCGCGCCTGCTTTGCCGAATGAGGACTTGCGGATCGAAGGAATGGAGGCGTTGGATGCGTCGCCCACCTCGGTCGCCTCGCTTGCCATGCTGTCGGATCGCTCGTGGCCTTCAAAGTGCGATGCGAGGGTGGAAGCGTATCCGCCCGACTCCTTGCGAGCACCGTAGCTCTGCGAGTAGCGCGGCGACTGGCTGTAGGCGCCGCCTTGAGCGGGTCCGTAGTAGCCTCCCGTCCCGTTCAGACCGCGAGCGCCCGCTGCATATGGAGAGCCAGAGCTGACTCCGTACGGTGATTGGCTGAGACGATCAGCGCCTGCATCCTCTGGGCTGCGACCCGAAGCAGCTGCGTTGCCGAATCGAGGTGACGTTGACAGGGTGCCTGCGGAATAGGCCGGGGCAGCCAGTCCGTTGTTCAGACTGCTTCCTCTGCGGTGAGCCGGTCGATTGAGGGGCGCATTGGAGCCAGGAGAGTAGGCCAAACCCATAGAGGCGCTCAGCGGGCCCGTTGTGGCGGATGGACTGGTGGCATACGGGTGGTGTCGGAGCGGTGCGAGGCCGCCTGCAGCTGCTGCATGTCGATCCGAGCTGTACTGGCGGCTCAAGCTGACGGCAACGTTGGCATTGGACATGACGGGTGATCGACTTGCATCCAGCGGATGCCCCTTACCGAGTGTGGAATGGTTGCCCGGGCTCATATGGAAAGTGAGACCCAAGTTGGAGGCATTCGCACCGAAGCTCGACGGAGTGCTGCCGAGAGCCGCATCGCCTCTCTGTGCAAGGCCCTGGCGCACGCGAGCCTGGTAGGATGCGCTGTAGGCATAGTCGGCTTCGTCCTCCGTAGCGTCGTCGTCGTCCATGCGCATCTCCTCGTCCGTCTCGTCGTCGTCCACCGCCGTGCCACTTCGAGCAGGTCTCTCGTCGTACCTGGACCTCGACCTTGACCTCGACTGCTTGCGATGGCTGGGTGTCAAGCTGGAGGAGGTAGGCGTGCGTGCGTAAGGATGGTCGCGGCCGAAGCTGGATGAGTATGTGTAGCTGCTAGGACCAGGTGAGGCAAACGCAGGACGTGTGTGCTTGTTGTGCGAATATCGGCGCTGCTTCATGGCAGCAGCTGCTACGTCGGCTGAAGACGACAGAGCTCCACTGCTGTGGTGGTGTTGCGAGCGTGACGGCCTGCGTGCGCTAGCCGAACCAGGAGATCCTCTCGCCTCGTTGCTGTTCAAGGACAGCTTGCCGAGCGAGGCGGTGGCCCAGCTTGGGCTCATGATGGCGTTCGGGTTGGCCGCAGCCTGAGAAGGAGGCATGGCCTCGTGAAGCTCGGGCGAAGGCACGCTGTCATCGGACAATTCCTTGGGACCGAAGCAGGGACTCGAAAAGGAGAAGACCTCATCGCCGTCCAGTTCGATGCCGGGTTCAGCGGTTGCCCTGTCTGTGGCTGCTGTGGAGCCTCGCGCATATCGCAACACTGGCCTACCAAAGCTGTCGTCCTCCTCGTCTTCGTCGTCATCCAGTGCCGGTCCGCGCATACGCATAGCCGAGGTCTTGAACGAGGTGCTGAGCGAAGGTTTGTTGAAGCTGGTGTAGCTGTACTTTCTGCCAGCCGAGATCGAGTAGAGATGAGGATCGGTGCTCCTGCTGGGAGAGAAGTTGCTGGATGTGATGGAAGTGGGACCACTCGAGATGCTCGAGCCTTGCAGCGTGGAGTATCGTGGAGAGAGCATGCTCGAGTTGAGCGAAGGAAGTCGCACCGTCGCACTGTGAGGGGATTGTGAAACCTTGTGAGGTGCGGCAGCAGGAGCATCCGGAGGCGTTGGAAGGTCGTTGGGAGAACGCGAGACGTGCGAGCTCATGGCCACGGGCTCGAGCTTGCCAAAGGAGCCAGGGATGGGCAGCGGCAATTGGGATGCCTCTGTCATGTCTGAGTCTTCGTCTTGGGGAATCCCAGACTTGGACAAGACCATAGCCTTGCCCTGCAGTGCTGCGTTGAGACTGGCGTTGGAGGTACGCATCTTTGGCGAGAGGACATGCTGAGCGACAGCAACGGCGTTGACATCATTGGTTGCGGGGGCCGAGGCAGTCGGCACAGCGAAGCCGGTTTGGCGGAAGGTGGGAGAAGACTGAGTGTTATTTGCGCGAGGGGCGCGGGGCTCTGTGTCGACCGACATTGTGAATGAGGATGTGAAAACGACAACGGTCGAAGGTTGATTGCGTCGAGGAGTGACCGTCGGGTGCTCAAGCTTGTCAGCTTTTCAGCAATAGAGAAAAGGCTAGCTGATGGAGATCGGACCGCGCTGCGGTTGTCGATGCCTCCGAGAGGTGAGAAAGCCGGACGCCGTTACTGGACGGGAAGGTACAGTCGAGCGATTGAGCAATGCAGCTCAAGATATCGGTTTGACAGCGAAGATAGATGGTGGCGCGATGGAGGTTGCCTTGAATGATGAAGGAAATGGATGCAAGAAGGAACGAAAGCTGGCGACAACGATCTGGCCAGGGCGATCTAGAAGGAGCAGGTCAAGCCATAAGCAGCACTCAGAATTGGCGGGAAGGCGAGCGTGTGTGACTCTGTGTGTGTGTGTGTGTGTGTGTGACTGAGCCCGGATCGCGGTGCAGCAGCAGCAGCAGCAGGCAGAGGCAAGATTGGGAGGCTGGATCGAGAAGAACGCAGCGAACAGCCGACCGTGCAGCTGGATGCAGCAGCGGTGCAGCTCAGCAGCAACTCAGCCTTTGTGTCTGTGACTGGGCTGAACGCCGTCGCTTCCAAAAGTGACACAAGGCACTTGATCAGTGTACTGCATCGAGCTCAACCTCAGCTCACTCCACACACACTGACGCACTGCCTCCATTTTTGGGCTGGAAGATTCCGACGACGCGCGCGACTTTCTTGGTGAGTGAGTCAAGTCGACGCCGATCCAGGCTCTTTCCCTGTCCCATTTCAAGGCGGGACCCACACTTGACGCGTCTGAACACCCAGGCTTTCGGCATCCTACCCCCTTCTCATTGATTCCTATCTTCGAGCTGATGTACGAGTTGGCAAAGTTGCGAATGTCGTGATGACTCAAGGGTTTCTGCCGAGATAAAACGGGGTACCGGTGTGCCTGTGACTTGGCCAAAGGAGGCAACGAGAAGGCGGGCGCGTTGAAGCGGATTGCTGTGGCGCGTGCGTCTGTGCATAATCACGCTGCAGGTCAGGTGGGGCCTTGTTCAAGCTCGCTTGCTGCTCCTTTTGTCCGGTTTGGGAGAGGGAGAGCACGCGTTTTGGACGGCAATCATCTCATTATCGCGACACGACGCTGACTGTGCACCTCACTTGCACTGCCTCTCTTTGGCCCTGGATCGAGACGGTCAACTGCATGCTGCAGCCCTCCTTCTCCAGGACATCCTCTCTCGCCCATCAGGAAAGACCGTCGTGATGACTCGTCCGGGCCCGTTCTGGGTCCATTCGGCCCTTGAACCTGAGACAGACCAGCCTTGGCCGCCACCCGGTCTATCGCTTCATTCGACATCACGACAACACCTCATCTCGGCTCGTTCCGACCAGGGTGCGATCGCCGAGCAGCCAACGTGACCCCATCAAAAAAGCGATAGTTTGGACGTCGATCACAGACGGTCAGGGGCTAGGACCAAGCGAACGAGCAACTGAGCAGTCAAACAGGATCGAGAGGCGGTGTCGGTGGTGTCGGCCCTGATTCAGGGAATCTAGACCGGGACGGATTGGCTTTGCCGAGCGATGCGTGGATGCGTGGATCGATGGATCGAGATCGACAGAGACCCTTTTCTTGACATTTCCATCCTATAAATAAATTATAGGCTAAAAAAGGTTCTCTGGGGAAGGGTCCACGGAAGCAGAGAGGGTGTGGCGAGAGGGTCCGGCAAGGGGGCTCGATGGATGCGAGCCTTGGGCTGTGTTCCACTGAGACAGACTCGATCGAGACGAGCAAACATTGAGCTAGAGGGGATCTCGTGACCCAGTCCACCATTTTGGCTCTCCGGAACGGGCGCGAAGGGGTGCAAGAGTGCGTCATTCGAGATGCTTGGCTGTTGAGTTTCAATTCTGGACGGCCACCCCGCAGAACCTAGATCTGTCCCTGCTTCGCATCGTCTATCTCCAAGGCAAAGCTTCCATTCTGCAGTGGAGTCATGAGACCTGGCTCGTTGCAGCTCGAGTCAATGTCAGAGCAAGAGGTTTGCAAATCCAGAGGAGGTGAACAAGCCCGCAAGCGTAGGGCACAGACATCGTCCGCATCGTAAGTCTGTCTGTTACTATGAGCAAATCCACTTCCGCATCGACGGTCGAACGAGCGTATGGCTGAGCTTCCAATCAAAGGCGGTGATGGCGCATTGTCTGCTTTGCGGTAGGAGGACGTCTCAAGATCGCCGCAGCTTGCCGAGCTGGATCCATACGTCTCATGCCATCTTACAAGCACATTAGTAGCTTGGTAGTGGCGGTGTTGCTGCCGTTAAAGTAGCATCGAGCAACCAGTGATCATGGCGTACACCACGATGTGCCAACCCAATCCTCTCACCAGCTTGCGAGGGTGCGAGACGGAAACCAGCGGACTTCATTTGGGGCGAGGCTTGACACAACAAAAGGAGCCGCGTAACTTACCCGGTCCCTTTCCCGAGCTGGCTGTCAATTTTTAGTTAGAGCTGAGCTTCGCGTTGCGGGGTAAACCAATCAGCTGCGATCTCTGCTTTGCTCGCTTGGCCTCGCCGTAGCCATCCAGCTGGCATTCATCACAGTCTGTCCTATCGAGAGCCGTGATAGGCCTGATCGTCTGCGCTTTCTCAGATTGTCAAGTCACGAAGGCAACTGAATGCGTTCTGAGGGGGAGAAAGCATGGTTACAGCGCGCACAGGGCAGCCAAGCACCTGCGAAAGAGGGGAGAAGCTCGATATTTTTTGTTCCCGCGTCGTGATCAACTTGTGGCGGCGTAACAGATTCAGCCAAATTAACTCGCACGGAATTTTGAAGGTTGCGTGTCACTTGGAAAAGTCGGCTAAAACTTCTTCTGAAACGGATCACACTACCACAAGCGCGGCTTTCTCGATTGTGTTGGTGTGTCAAAGTCACATCTTTCGCTTTCATCACATTGTCCTCCAGCTCCGCAGTTCATCACATCGGCCCGTTGCAGCATCTTCATCACATCACATCGGCGTCACCGACAAGCAGCGCTTCTTCGACTCAGCTTTGTTCACATCTCAGCTTGGCCAGACTCAGTCTCTCATCGAATCACAACTTCTGATCTTCGAGAGTGTTCAGCAGCCTCCATCCTCTCGCTTCTCAGCAACAGCAAAATCATCAGCATCACTCTCACCTCAATGTTGGCATAGTCTCGAAACGATTTCCACGTCCCGGCACCGCAGCAGAGCGTCTCTCGAGCTCATACTTTGGACGGTTAGAGACGCATCTTCGGCCAACGCTGCTTGCCTGCACGAGCAGTGGCGACGGCAAATACAGCAGCCATGGAGGACCAGCTCATCCAGGCGGTCGAGATCGCCTCCAACCCGCTCGCCAATGCGGGTCCCGACGTCACCTCACAGGCGCTACAGTTTCTCGAGCATCTCAAGACCATCACACACGAGAGCTGGAGTGTAGGCTGGTCCGTATGGTCGGCGCGCAATGCCGAGGACAACGGTCCCAAGTACAGCCAGAATGCTCGCATGTTCGGTCTCATGCTCGTCGACGACTTTCTCAGCAACCGTATCGGTATGTCGAGCGATCCAGCAGCGGCCGTAGCCTCGCTGCAACAGTCGGCCGTCGAGTATATTCAGAAGGAATACATTGCTGGATCAGGAGACGGCTCCGTCCCATATATCAAGAACAAGTTTGCTCAAGTTTTGGCTGTCTTGTTGCTTCAGACTTACAATCTGCCGCCGCCCTACACCCTCCTGCCTACACTTCTCTCTATGGTCAGCGCCCATCCTTCCGCCTCACCATCACGGGCCTCCACTTCTCAACTGCCACTCAACCCGCTCACCACCGACCTGGTCTTGCGAGTCCTGCACGATCTCTCGATCACCCTTGGCTCCGATGTCACCTTGCGCGCGGTCCGGTCCAAAGAGCGTTTGCAAAGAGATGCTGTCATCAGGGACGAGATCCGAGCCAATCATGCATCCAACATCGCCGAAACAGTCTGGCGCATCGTCGAGGAGGGCTTCAGCCGCGTCAATCTTGGGGAGCAGGCCAGTGATCCCGCTACGTCAGCAGGCGTCCGCAGCATGACCTTTGCAAGCGCCGTCGAGCTCACCGCTGCGGCGACAAAGATCGTCGAGGACTACGTCTCGTGGATCGACATCAACCTCGTCGTCACCAACCAGACCGTACCATTGCTTTTCAACGTATTGCACCACCCTATCCCCAAGATGCGCACAGCGGCAGTAGACGCATTGCACGGTATCATCAGCAAAGGCATGAAGCCAGCTGACAAGCTCTCCCTCGCTCAAGCACTCAACCTTTCCGATGTCATCACGCCACTCGAATCACGGACGCGTACCGGTCCCGCAGCCGAGAACGGTCAGAGCGATACCAGCGATTCCAACATCGAGTTCCGAGAGCATCTTGCTCACTTAACCAACGGTCTCGTTCTCGAGATGTGCAAGATCTTGGAAGAAAGTGCAGCAGAAGAGTCGACCAGGGCCTCAGCAGAAGCTCTCCTCAACTCGATCCTGCCGCTCGTCCTCGCTTTCCTTTCGGATGAGTACGACGATGCATCGGAGCAGATGTTCTCGGGGATCAACATGATCTTGGGCATCTACAAAAAGGCGCGGCGACGAGGAGCCGAGCTCACGGGTCAGAGGGCGGAGTTCCTCTCCAGCCTCATCGGTGTGGCCCTTCAAAAGATGAAGTTCGACGAAGAGGCAGAGTGGCCTGCTTGCAGCTTCGGAGCAGCCGACGACGAGGACGACGAAGATGATGAGGATGACATCAAGTTCCTCGACATGCGAAAGAGCTTGCAAACCATCGTGGGCGGCATTGCCGCCATTGACGACAAGCTCTTCTCCAACAGCGTTGCCCAGCTCGTCTTGTCGACCTTTGCATCCTTCGAAGCGAGCGCATCCGGATCAGGCCCTCAGCTTTCGTGGCAGCAGATCGAGCTTGCGCTCTACGTGATTCACTTCTATGGCGACGTCATGACCACAGCCACCGCAGCTCCCAAGGTTGGACTGTCGCCCGCCATGTTCGTTCAAAGCCCAGAAGCTGGTTCCAAGGGACGAGCACCCAAGCTCGGCAACGAGGCGCTCGCAGCGCTACCACTCAGCAACCTGGGCGAGATGGTGCAAAAGCTGGTGCAGTCCAACGTATCGTCGTTTCCTCACCCTGCAGTGCAGCTGCAATACTTCGAATGCCTTGTTCGATACTCGAACTTCTTTGCCGCCCGTAGCGCCAGCGTCTCGGACGCCTTGCCTGCCTTCCTGGATTGGCGCGGAGTCCATCACGAGAAGCTGGGCGTACGCAAGCGCGTCAATTATCTGCTCTGGCGCTTCGTGCGAGACCTTCGGGCCGTCGCCGCTGTGCCTCTGGACTTCGTGCAACGGCTCCTGCAGGGCCTGCAAGATCTCTTGGTTGTACGTGCCGAGCTTCCCGAGGTCGGAGCAGATGAGGATCCGCTTGTCAAAGCAACCGCCCATGCAGGCTACTTTGACAGTCAGCTTTACCTCTTCGAGACCAGCGGCATGTTGATCTCTCTGCTCAACACCGCTCCGAACGACCAGGTGGTGCTGCTCAAAGCCATTTCGGAGCCGCTCAGCGAGCAGATGCGACAAGCGGTTCAAGCTTTTCAACGCAACGCCTCCGATCTCACCTCTGTACTGCAAGTACACCACCTCATGTTGGCTCTCAGCAGCCTCTCGAAGGGTTTCCCGGATCTCAACCCCAACAGCACGCAGCCCGAGCCGCAATGGGTGAGCGTCTTCAAGTCCATCACGGAGCAGGTGCTCGTGAGTCTCAGCTCGATGAACCAGTTCTCGGTCGTTCGTGAGTCGGCGCGCGGTGCATTCTCTCGCATGGTCTCGACGTGCGGCAAGGCGGTGCTGCCCTACATTCCGGGCCTCATCGATGCCTTGTTGAGCGAGGTGACCTCGCAGGAGCTGGTCGACTTTGTCAACTTCCTCTCGCTGGTCGTCAACAGGTACAAGGACGACGTCAAGGCCATTGTCGATCAGCTGTTCCTCCTCCTGGTGGAGCGCATCTTCTACTTCCTCAACCAGGGTGTGACGGGCACGGATGACGCGGTGCAAAAGTCGGAGCTGCAGAAGGCGTACATGAACCTGCTCTCGTCGATGGTGCAGTCAGGGATGGAAGGCGTCTTTGTCTCGGACAAAAACGCCGCTCAGCTCGAGACATTGCTGCAGAGCGTGGTGTTCTACTCGACCAACTCGGATGCCGCTTGTCAACGCACTGCCTTCTCGATTCTGCATCGCCTCGTTGGATCGTGGGCCGGCTCCACCAGCGCCACCGCTAATGGCACCTCCTCCGCCGGCCTTCCAGGCTTCGAGCGATTCATCTACGAGACCCTCATCGGGCTCATCTTTGAAGCACCCACCAAAGAGGACTTTGACTTCAGAGATGCCCAAGCTCAGATCGTCCTCGGTGAAATCGCCACCCTGGCCAAGACGATCTACGCCAAGAGGGGCGACGAGATGATCACCTACCTTCTTCAGGTCTACTTCCCGAGCATCAACTGTCCACCCGAGCTGGCGCAGGACTTTGCCCAGAACTTGAAGACGCTGGAGGCGAAGCCGTTCAAGAAGTACTTGGAGGCGTTCATCCGCAAGTCAAGGGGAGGTTGACGGGGGACACCTCGAAATTCTCCAATCATACAGCATACTCAAACATCATCCCGTCACGCAAAGTGATCAAACATGTCTCAATTTGCATTAGAATAGCATCACGCAAATCAAAAGCAGCATCACGCTGCGTATTCAAATGGACAACCGGCGAGAGGATGGATTGAAACGTGGTCTGGCCTTGATACGAACACAAAATCAGCTGCTCAGTGCTTGAGCCCGACAACTTCGCCATCCTCGACCTCGAGGCTGTCAAAGAGCCTAATAGCCTCGTAGGCGGCCTTCTGACCGGAGCCGATCATGCCGCCGAAGGACGCACCCATACGGGGGTGACCGTCGTGCTCGCTGAGTTCCATACCGCTGACGATGAGGCCGGGGAAGACCTCGCGCGTGTTGTTGACAATGAGGCCTTCGGACTTGTTCATGTCCATGGGGCGCATGTCGCCGAGCTTGATGAGGCCGGCGCTGGAGAGGCGTTTGACGGAGAAGGCGCCAAAGGGGCCGTCATGGCCGCAGGCGCCGATGACGACCGGAGCGGTGATGGCTAGCGACGCGCGCAAACAAATTTCAACATGTCAGTACTCGGCGTTTGGATGTCAGGGAAGCGAGTTGGGGGCTAAGCTTACTTTGAGGGTCCATGCAGGACTGGAGACCGTGGGCCATGGTGACGAGCGTCCAGTTGGTCACGACACCATTGACACGCTGGGCACCACTGGCATCCTTCTTGATGATCAGATCCTCACAACACGTCGCGTTGAACAACTTGACGTTGTCCAAGGCGAGCAACTTGCTCATCAGCGTAGCTGTGAACAGGGCTGCGTGCTTGACGACGACGTAGCTTCCCTCGTCATCGAAGGGGACGCCGAGTTCGACGAGGAGGTTGTGGGCGGGCTTGCGAATCACCATGCCGGACATGAGCTGACCACCCAACCAAGCGCCACCACCGGGTGCAACGGAGGCCTCGAGGATCGTGATGCGCAGATCGGGGCGCTGCTTAGCAAGCGTATAGGCACAGGTAAGACCCGCAGATCCAGCCCCGATGACAACGACATCCGAGACAGCGGCGTCCATCATGTCGGTCATGTAGCGCGAAGTCATGGCGCGCGAGGTGTGCGACTCTTTGATCTCGGCAAAGCGGTAGTTGCCCGAAAAGTCCTCGATGGGCTCCTGACCGGACTTGATGGGCACATACTGCTCGTATCTGGTGGTGACAGAGGCAGAGGGGTGGAAGGCTCCCTTGGTGGGCTGGAAACTGCCCAGCTGCGGGCCGGCGGGGGCGGCGAAGGAGGCGGTGGGAGGGGTCATTTTCGGTGATGTGAGGGTGAATATGGGTGGCTCAGATGGGTATGTGTCAGACGATGGGTGAGAAGGTGGCGAGCAGGAGAGCGCTTATATATTCATCCACGTGGGAGAGGGAGAGGGGGCGGCGCACGGACGAGGGACGGTTGAGCATCGATTGGCTTGAGACCTAGGCTGGCAATGCTATGCTTCTGGAAGAGGCAGGTCCCTGCGCAGCTCAGCGGCAGCAGCAGCCACTTCATCGAAGCTTTGCGCCTCCTGAACTGTTGTTCCCACGCTTGAACGATCACTCTGAGTCAGACGAGAGCGGAAAGGCTCCGGCGTAGTCACTTGACGGGACAGGATGCCGGGCAGGTCGGGGAGGCCGAGCACAGGCCATCCCCCCTCACCTCGGCGCTTTTCACGGCATACATCTCGTTTCGAGGGGAGCAACGCCAGCGCTTTTGAGCATAGTTTGACAGGTAATCAGCGCTGATGGAACGATTGCGAAAGAGCGGGGCGTTCGGTCAACCTCGACGAAGCCCCCACCGACATGCGCGCAAGATGTTGGTCCCAATCGCTTCAGCTGGCTTTGATAGGTTAGCCAATCAGGCTCTCTATCGAGTCACACATCCCGCAATCTAGACACTTTGAAGATCGCACCTTTACCAGACGACGAGAGCTGATGTGCTGATACCGGACCGTGTGATAGCGAGCGAGGACAGGTAATGCGCACCGTGGGAGTCCACACGACTGCCGAGTCGCGGGAGTCGACCAGGTGACAGCCGTCAGAACAAAGGTACAAATTAAAGCGTAAATTAAAAAAAGAATGTCAAGAAGAAACAGGGTTCAGGACGAGCGAGCCGAGCATCGATGCCGTTTCTGGCATGCCAGACGTTCTTGTCGCGCTACAGCTTGGGTGGGAAACGGAGACATCCGCGATGGCAACGACCTTGCTGGTTACTAGGGGCTGACGGTAGATCACCGAGATGTCGCCCTGAAGGCAAGGCAAGCGGTCAAGCTCAAGCTGGAGTCTGGACCAGCATCGCTCGTTCCCATCAATGCGCTGTGGGGCACAGACCTGACCGTCTTCTCAGCACTCGATCGTCAACTGCAGCTGGAGGGGGGACGGAGCATCTGATTGGAAGCGGACCGGCAAGCTTGGCATCGATGGTCAGTGCGCCCATCCAAAAGAGGGAACAAACGAAGCCCTGCTTCTTCTGTGGCACCCGGCGGCACAAAACACGGAAGAAGAACTTGATCTCGTCTACTGATAACCGAAATCGATGCGGTGGCGGCAAGATGATGGGGAAACCTCGACTCGACTTCTCGGCAAAGTGCGCGTGCCTTCTTCCAAGGGTGCGGGCGGACATGAGAGGGCATCGGCGTTTGCGGAGAAGCAAGTCGATAACTCGGTCCGAGCGCGCGTCTTCGACGGATTTCATGCAATGCAAGCACAGAAGCACGTTTCCCATGGCATGGTCGTACTGTACTTGATGCAAGGTCACATTCCTGCTCACAAAGAGGCAAGGAGAGGCTGCTTTTGATGATGACTCGCCAAAGGACTCTGTGTGTATGGCTTGTCTTGAGAAGAAGAGGCCAGGGAGTTTGTTCCGCAGACTCGCCAGCTTCTACAGATAGAAAAGATGCAAAGTGTCAGACTTCAGGAACGGCACAAATCGAAGGAAACTTCAAATTCGACATTGACGAATCGCCGATTTGATTCCGCCGAAATTGAATTTGCGCGATCTGTCGATGTTAAAATTGGATAAAGCTCGGCCGAGGACGGATATTATATCACGTGTTATTGAACTTTTTACGACTCACTCAAGGCCAAAGCCTGCAGAAGGCTGCAGCGAACTCCACAGCCAAGCCAAAGTCTGAATTCCCAATCGGAACCGTACGCAAGCCTAGCCGATCCACCTCTCAACCAAGCCTGTACAGAGTGAGTGCTACGCCAAGGCAGCGAGACGTCGACATTCGAGATCCACCGCCTCGTCATTACTTCCTCTCCTCCAAGCCATCAAGAAAAGGTAAGTCGAATCACTACGGCGATAGCAGCATCATCACTTCTTTTCATCCGCATCGACACTCAGCACGATCAGCATCGACGACATATACAGTAAGGACAGCATACTGCAGCAAATGGTTGGACAGGATTGGGTGGCATGGACGGACAACGTAATCGACGGATCGTGACCAGAAGAGCCTAAGGCAGCATCATCTGCATCGCACAGCGGAGCTCTCTCGACAGATTCCTCGTTGCCATCATCGACGAACGGATCGGATTGATCAAGGAGGGGTCCCTTGGCACGGCAGTGGCGCCCTTGATGGATGATACACAGGGCGAGAATCGATCGATCACAGTCTCTGTTGCATGCAAGGACATCAATGTTGACTGCGGCATGGCATCATGACCTCGGGCGTCATTGGCAAGTCGTTCGACAGGGTCATGGGTTGATGGGATCGGGCAGATAGAGCAGGGCAACCAGGGTGCGGACAGCCATACAGCCTATACAGCATAGGCAGAGCAGACGCAGACATCGACCTACGACACGCGATGCGTTCTGATCGCTTGGCATTCGACGATGCTGGAGGGTAATCGACGTCGGCAATTGCAGTTCGAAGTCTGTTCAGGATTGAATGACGAGACGGACGGACAGGAGAAGAGAATCGGCTGCTATCCTATCGCTGTTGCGCTATCACATCAGTTCTCAGAGACAGCTTGACTGACATCCGTTACCTCACATCTTCTCCGCTTCACAGCACAAAATCCGACACAATGGCCCGACACACAGTTGCCCCTAACGTGGCTCGCCTCGGCCGCACCAAGGCCTACCAGAAGAAGGGCGGCTACAAGTTCCAGGGTCGCCAGGGCGCTCCCAAGCAGCAGGAGGAGACCGCCGCTCACAAGGAGGTCCAGGTCAAGGGTGCCAAGAACGGCGGCAAGCGTCTCGTCCCCACCCAGAAGGCCCCCCGCTTCTACCCCGCTGAGGAGACCCGCCTGCCCAAGGCCAACCGCAAGGTCAACAAGCAGACCAAGCTCAAGTCCAACATCACCCCCGGTTCCGTCCTCATCCTCCTCGCTGGTCGCTTCCGTGGCAAGCGCGTTGTGTTCCTGAAGCAGCTCGACTCGGGTCTGCTGCTCGTCACTGGTCCCTTTAAGGTCAACGGTGTTCCCATCCGACGTGTCAACCAGGCCTACGTGATCGCCACCTCGACCAAGATTGACATCTCGGACGTCAAGGTGGACGACAAGCTCAACGACACCTACTTCAAGAAGGAGAAGGCCGCCAAGAGCAAGCCCGAGGCTTCGTTCTTCGCCGACCCCGCCAACAAGCAGGCCCACCCCGAGTCCAAGGTCGCTGACCAGAAGGCTCTCGACAAGGCCGTCATTGCTGCCGTCAAGAAGGCCGGCCCCACCATGGCCAAGTACCTCGCTGCCACCTTCTCGCTCTCCAAGGGCGAGAAGCCCCACGCTCTCAAGTTCTAAGCGGATCTCGCAGCAGCATACCCCGGCAACCCATCTTGGAGGACAGTTTCTGGATCTAGCATGGAGATGTCTCGGTAAACAAGCTTGTTGACGGTCGACGACGGACAGTCACGCATCTGGGTCTGGTCGACGATGACCGTCCCACTCGTCCTTCCTCATCAGCTTGACATTCCCGTTTCAACTCCACGCTTACACAGTCCAGCACTCGACTTCTCGATACTTGTCAAACCTCCACCACCCCCTCTTTCCGCGCATTCGCAGCTTCGTCAGGTGTAGTCCGCATGAGCACCTTGCCCTAGCCCGAACGCTTCCCGATTCGCATTTTCCTCCCAAGGTCGTTCGTGACCTTCTCACCTTTTGCTCGACCAGAACCCAAAAAGGCGTCCTTCAACCCGCCGCACCACACCCTCCCACACCTTCCAAATCGCCGCTTCGGCGATTTTGTAACTCATATCACAGGCCCCATGCCGGTCTTTAAGTAAACTCTCAAGCATTTTCCGAACATTGTTGGGTTGCGAGTGTGATCGCATTGAGGATCGATGTGAGATGGAGATTGTGATGTGATGATAGGGTGACGACGGAACGATCAAGGGGAGTGACCGTGAGATCGTGTTATGTTGCCAATGAGGCTCAATGTGCGCACGCTCCTCGCGGTCGTCAAACGCCAATCAGGCTAACGCCACTTCAATTTATCCATCGCATACATCACATCACCTAGGCTGATACATGATCCGCTCGCCCGTCTCGCCCTTGGCATCCTTCGCACCCAACTTGGCCAACTCCCTCAACCTGAGCGTGCGAATATTGCGCATCCTGATGAAGCGACTCTCGGCCTGCTTCCGCCTGGAACTCTTTCCATCCGCCACTCCTCCTGCTTCGAGCACATCATCTTGCGCCACCTCCGTCTCCTTGACCTTCTTGCCCTCGCCCGCCGCTTTTTCCGCCGACATTTGGCCGGGGGCCAACGGCATACCTGCTGCGACACCACTTCGTCTCTCCTCGAGGAATCGCTCCAACGCCTGCGGGTTCTGCGCCAGTTGCGTGGTGCGATACTGCTCGCGCTCGTTGAGCGCCTCGACATTGGGTAGGATGAGCGAGTTGAGCGACGCCTGTCTCGCCCTCACCGCGCTGAGGTTGGAATGGATTTTGGCTTCCGTGAGATCAGGACGCGGAGAGATGGAGTAGTCGATCTCCCACCGAACGGCGGGCAGGGAGGCACGAAGTCGACGCTCGATCTCATCGTCCGAGAGCGGATCGATGTGGCGACCGGGTAGGAGGGTGAAGTCGACAGGTCCGAGATTGAGCGCTCCATCCAAGTATCGGTCTACGGTGATGTCCAGTTGGGCGATCGATCGCTTTTTGGGCTCGCCCTCGTTCGAAGTGGGAGCGCTGGCGGGTTCAACAAAGATCGTCATCCCCGCATCCCCCTTCTCCCTCGTCTCCACCGTAATCTTGAGTGTTTCATCCGGGAAGATCGACGTGGTTGCATCCAACACCCGCTCCATCAACCCAAGACTCAACCGGAACGCCTGATCCGCCATCTCCTGCGTCCCAAACAACCGCTCGTTCATCTCCTCCACACTGATGTACTGAAACCCGAAGATGCTCGCCGTCGTATGGTACGCCACAAAGATCCCGTCCATATGCCCGATTCGGGCTTGGAAGTTGTACTTCAGGAAAGCGGCGCGGACCATATCAAAGTACTCCCTCTCAAAGCTCTCCAGTACACCCCGCGCACGGCGGATCTGATAGCCGGACCCCTCGACGTAGTTCGCGCGGTCATTGCGAATGCCGATGCTGGCGCGCGTCTTGAGGTCGAATGTCTTGCGCGGTAGACGCGGGTCGTGACAATCCAACTGGGATCGCATCATCATCTTGTCCGTACACGCGTAGTGGTACGCTTCCGGTTTCGTCCGCTCTTCGTGGCTAAGCGTGTGCGAGTTGACCCGCTTGTACCGGGCGTACTCTTCGGGGGTGGCGGTGAGCATCTTCTCCATGGACTTGCCAAGCGAGGTGAGCACGTAGTTGGAGTTCTCCGCTTCGCCAGCAGCGGTCTTGTCCGCGTCGATGGCGTAGTGGCCATCCCTGTAATTGAGCAGGATGGAGGCGGGAAGCTTGGCACCGACGCTGTAGCCAGAGGGAAGACCAGTGAAGGGCGTGGAGAAGCCAGAGACGTCCGGATCGCGCCAGCCCGAGATGAGGAAGTAGCACTGGCTCAGGAGGGAGGTCATGGAAGACGTGGAACCGCAGTACTTCTTTTGATGCTTCTGGGTCAGGGTTGCGAGCTCGGGGTCTTTCGAGGAGGTGACGTAGGGTGGCAGGGCGGCGTAGTCGAAGAGGTCGACGTCGAGGATGTCTTTGATGCGGGGATCGAAGTTGTAGATGCCTGAGCGAGGGTCTCGGAGCCAGTAGATCCCTGGGTTGAAGAGGACTCGGTCGAGACCGTGGGCTAGCGTGGCCACTTCCATCTCGCGGAGAGGGGGGACTTTGTCGATGGGGACACCTTTGGCGGTGACGCAGCCCGTGATGGACTCGTTCCACTTCTTCTGCTCGTCGGCGTAGGGTCCCGAGCACTCGACGCTGGGCACAACTTTGCCCTTGCCATCCCGCCATCGTAGCTTCGACTCGGCAAGCAGGTCGTTTCCGTGGACCAGCCGCGTCTTTGGCTCGTCTGCGGAGCGCTTATCCGAGTGCCTGCTGGGAGGTGGCGCATCGCTAGGCACCGCAGACCAAGTCTCCTGGCTTGATGTGGCAGAATCTATGCTAGATTGTGGGAAGAGTCGATCTGGTCCCCAGGTGTCTGCGAGCTGATTCGAAGGGCCGCCTTTGCGTCGCAGCTCGAGGTTTTTGAGGCGTTGCGAGATGGAGAATGCCTGGCTCTGGAGCGAGTCGAGCAGCTCGTCCAGCGCATGAAGCTCTTTCAAGAGGGATGCGGAGTGTTCGGATGCCGGGAATGCCGGGATACGAGAGTCGGAAGCTTCCTTTGTCTTACCCTTGTCAGCGGCAGGGGCAGAGTTGGATGGGGACGATGAGGATGCTTTGGCAGAAGAGGCCTTGGCTGCGTGGAAGCGAGCGCGGAATGCAGCCTTGCGTTGATTATGCGATTGCCTCGATGGCGAGCCCTTTGATGGGCTGTTGCTACCAGACTGAGCGGTTGACGATGCGGCCGACGACGATGCTGCTGCCGCTTTTGACGCGGAAGACGATCCACCCGACTGGCTTCGCAAACGTTCGGAGAGACCAGCGGCGGTGCGGCCTGTGGTGAACTGGCGAGAGAGCTGCAAGCTGGACCGCGCCAGGCTATGCGCCGACTTGCTGTTCATAATCTACAGCTCTATGCTTGATAGGTGCTGGAAGTGAATGTCGAGAAGGAACGTCAACACTTTGTTTGTCACTTAGTCACAAGACCGTCGCTGAGTTGAGTGGAGGTGCTGCCCTGAAAAAATTACTTGAGAAGAAAAGAGGGCATCGAAAAGGAAGAACTGGAGCAGCAGAGCGGCAGTCTGTGCTCAGCTCGGAAGACGGGAAACCCTGGCTGCACAAATTTCGCAGAGTCGGACCACTTTCTTCTCGACCCTGGACAAGCCGCTCACCAACCTCTCTCAGTCATACACCTCGGATATCCAGCAAGCAGCACAGACACGGCCAAGATGAGCACCTTGGGCGCCAAGAAGGCTGTGGCTGCCGCAAAAGCGAAGGCCAAGCGGGTTCACAGTCAAGAGGAGGACCAGGATGCAGAGGCTCAAGCTGCACAGCTCGCCCAGCTCGAAGCATTTGGCAACGCCTTCCTTTCGTCTTTCGATCTGCCCGAGTCCAGCACGTCAACAGCAGGTGGCGACGATGAAGCATCTTCAAGCAAGAAGAAGCTTTCAAGCAAGAAGCGCAAGCGTCTCGCGGAGCAGCAAAGTGGTCCCTCCGAAATCGAACAGGCACCAGCCAGAGAGCAAGATGAGATGGATGTCCTCTTTGGGTCCACAGATTCGACGGGGGCAGCCTCAGCAGAGTCGGCAAGCGCTACAGCCGTCTCGAAGCAGAGCAACGGCAAGAAGAAGCTCCCGAATTCAAGAGCAGTCGAGACAGTCGTCTTCGGCGGCGAATCACGTCCCGACGCTGACGAGCTAAAAGACGCCAAGAAGGGCTGGAAAGCCTTCATGTCGTCCAAGATCGACAAGATTGGCACTGAAGACCAGACTGCATCAACAAAGCCGACAACAGCGGAAGAGGAGGAGGAGAAGCAGCTCGTAGCGAACGATCGGCTGCTGTCCGAGCTCCTTTCTACGACGCTTTTTGCCCCAGGCACGGGCAACACATCAAAGGGCAAATCGAATCTTTCCTCGAACGACACGATCGCACGCATCATGGAGCTCTCTGCTACCGACTCACAACGCAAAGGCCAAGCAGTCGGACGCGGATGGGGAGAGAGCGAGCTGAAACGACAGCAGCTCTCAAAGGCACCCGCTGCGATTCGACAAGGCATGCGAAAGGCAGCGGGCGAGAGGAGAGACAAGGAGCGGGAGAAGGCAAAGGAGCTGGGCACCTGGCATCCTTCGCTCAAGCAAGGCTACTCGAGCCAGGCGACAGCGACCGAGATGGGCCTCAAGAAGGAGACGAGGAAACGACAGCGTGGATTGGGAATGGGGATCGGCAAGTTCCAGGGCGGCATGCTCAAGCTCTCGTCGCAGGAGATATCGAAAGTCAACGGCAAGAAGTCTGGTGGATCGTCTTCTAAGGGTGGCAAGGGTCGGCGGAAGTAGAGCCATAGCGATGCAGGAGCCGTGGAAGCTGCTGTTCAGAGCGAACAAGACATCGGTTCATCATATAGCGGCAATTTCAGCTCTGATGTGCCTGCAACTCGATCTCACACTGAAGGCCTGAAAAAGTGCTTGACTGGAAGAGCAGCGATGCGACGATCAGATGATCTGCAGTGACCTCGTTGAGCTGCCAGGTGGGTTGTGACAGTGAGTGCCTACTGCACCACCTGTTGAAGGGCAGCAGCGTGCAGCGGTCTGGACCAACATCAAGTGCAACTGCAAGCCAGAAGCGAGCGCCTAAGCTGGCGGGTAAGCGGACTTTGAAAAAGGTGCAGTCGCGATGGCAACCATCAACAACAGCCGCCGCCAAACGGGTAGATCTTAAACAAGCCAGCTTGAAGCCCGCAAGCAGCCACGACATCACCTTGCATCTGGTTCTACGGAATGTTCTCGTCGCCAAAGACTTGCAACAGCCGAAGCTGTCCAAACATTCCGCTCCCAGCTCGGGTGGAGTTGAGGAGGAACACGGTATGAAGCCCGTGTTTTTGCTCGTGCCTCACGATGTCTTGCCCGTGGGCAAACGTAGCGCCACATGAGGCAACTGGCTGTTGCTGAGTTGAGCGTTGTTGTGGCGCCCTGGTCAACTTCTCAATTCGGACCAAAGCACCGCTCGAGCCTCGATCATCATGGTGGCGGGCGGGTTGAGATGAAGTGTGTGTGGGCCTGAATGCGGACGATGCTGCACCCGACATGGTTGCAAACAAGGAGTCATGAGAAGGTCCGCACGTTTCAGCCCGAGAGCAAGTTATTGACACATGTGGATGGGCACTTGCTGCTTCGGCCCGCTGTGGGAGGGATCCACGTTCCGCCTCGAGTCCGCTGTCGCCTCTGATCGCCTTGCACATGAGAAAATTATAGAAAACGAGCTTCAGGGTCCTGTCAGTGTCTTTTGTGTGTGTGTTGATCATTGAGAAGCAGCGCTGACAAGCCGAAGGAAAGGTGAGACAATTCCCCCTTGGTCGACAATAAGCGAGGCGCGCTTCAAGGGTTCAAGGCCGGCTGTCGCGCCGCTTGTCAAGTTGCGAGACGGGTGAGATCTCGACAGCTCTCTCGCTTCTTGACCTTGCCAAGCAAAGCAGAAAGCAAATACGAACCAGCCGTCGTCTGGATTCCGCTTTCCCGCCCTTTTCTCTCTCCTTCAAAATCAGCTCATCTGGACGCCCGTATTGCGTACTCGTGCAGATGCACGCCGTCCCGCAGGTTCAAGGCGCACAATGTGGGGCCACGGTCCCGTCATTGTGCCAAGTCGAAGTCAAGTAATCGTTAGCGAGGGGGCTCCTTGCTCTTGCTTAAGATGCCGGTGGACCATCTCCGTGGCTTTGCCAAGCTTTGTCGTCCCCATCCGATGGTCGACCAGAGCACAAGGTCAAGCTTGCCATACGATTCATGTCAAGCTACTTGCGGGTGACGGCCGCATGCTTATCCTGACTTTGACTCTGGCTTGAGCTTTTGTTGGCTTGGAGCTTGGATTGAGGCTTGGCTCGCTTGGAATCAGAGCGAGATCTGAGTTCAAGTTGCTTTCTCGCGCTCTTTTCGGCCCGCATCTTAAGAAAAATAAAAACAGTTCAGATGGATCGCTGGATCCGAACTCGCTCTTGGCCTGGCTTGGATGGTCTCAAGCAGCCCACCGTTGCAGACGCAATGGCTTCATTTGCTAGCGAACCGACTGAGCCTTGCTGACGTTGCATTGCAACAAGGACAACAAGGCGAGAAAGTGCGAGTCAGAGAGAGAGAGAGAGAGATGATGATGAGGTGTTCTGTCAATCACGTTTGTCTCGCTTCGCCTCCGACATTCACGCCTGCTGCATCCGCGATCTGTCGGAGTCGCTGACAACGTGCATAAGTCGACAGTCTCGGTCCCACGCTCGACTTTGGCCGCTGCACGCCTGCCTCTCTCTTCCTCTCTGCCTCCCGCTCTGCGTGCGCTTCTGTATATCCGTCCCTTTCCTACGCATCCCTTACTAGACTCAGCTTTCTGGCTCACTCCATCGACTCCATCCTTTCCACCTCCCATCGTCTTCGCTTCTCTCTACCACATTGCTTCATCCACGAATCACACCGTGTTCAAAGCTGCTCAGCGTCACCTTCGTTAACCTCGCAACCGTCCTTCGCCAGCTCCAGCTTGCGTCTCGACTCGCAGGCTTAGCAACGTTCTCAAAGGACGTCTTCTGCTGCGCTAGCACGTCTATCCCCAGCCTCACTCACTACGCACGGCTCTCGTTCGCAATGCTCCGATCAGTCTAGACACATTCCACCCGCTTCGTCTCAGCAAGCTAGCCTGCACCCTCGGCTCTCCGACATCACCCATCGCGACTCGCATCGTCAAGGTCTTCTCAACTAGCAGCTGCGCACCTTCCCTAAGCGCGATTTCACATTGCTCATCTCGGAACAATGGGAAATTGCATGTCGTCCAAGGCCGTGGTGGTCGAGGAGGTCAACCCGGCTCCTCATCCCGAAGCAAGGCGAGTCTGGCTCGTCTCGACCCCCGTCGATGCCAAGGATGTACCTCTCGACCTCGTCGGCATCGATGCAGATGGTCTCAAAGCAGCCATGCGCAATCGCGGTCTGGAAACGGAACACTGGGCTCTCAAGGTCGATCCGCAAACGGGCGTCAAGGCCGAACCCAGCATCATCGACATCACAGTCGAGGGCGGCAAACTCGTCTCGCATATACACCCCACCTCCAGCCCGTACTGGAAGGGCATCACCCGTCGTGTCGCCATCGGATGGACTCTCTGGAAAGACGACGAAATCTTGGAAGCCAGCAAGCTTCTCATCCACGCAAGACCCAAATACGATGGCCGCGCCAACAACTCGCAGCAGCTCGCGCGTCTCTTGGGTCGTCACATTGACTTTGTGCCCCCGCAATCGCAGCAGATGGAGACGCAGACCACCAACACTACCAGCGAGACCTTGGCAGGCAGCGCCGCCAGTCCAGCTGCTAGCATGCGCAAGACCGACTCGGCAGGTCAAGAGACCCAGTCTCAGATGACGCTGGTCTCTGCTGCCACACTCAGTCAGCGCAGTCAATCCATCGAGGAGTCGGATGCCGTCAACGAGATGGGCGTCATGACCAAGGGCAATACCGAGAACAATGTATCACGCGTTCCAGCTAGTATCCGCCAGAGTCAGAGGATGAGCGTTGCTCGTCCTCCGCTCATCCACTTGTCCACCGCTCCATCGGCGTCTGGGTCTGAAGTCGGCACCATGGTGCGACCGATCCTCAATCGATCGGCAGAGACCGACTCGTTCCCATCGCCAACAGGCTCGGTGCGCATGTCGCTTCCACCACAAGCGAAGCAGCCGCAGTCGCCCTCGTCTCCGCTCAATCCTGGCAATCGCATGCAACGTCAGTCCATGTCGGAGATCCGTACGGCAGGGCGGGCGCGCACGAACTCTGATGCCACCGCTGCGTATGCTACGATGAGCGCAGCCGATCGTCGCACTAGCACCCTGCTCGACGGTACCGCTCGTTCATCGCGACCTTCTCGCAGACGCAGCGAGGCCCCTGCCGAGTGGCTTGCGGAACTGCCGAGTGCTAATGACGCACGCTTCAACTCGGTCAAGTCGCGATCGGGTCAAACCCGAAACACGCATCGTGATTCGATCATGAGTTCAGGTGGCGGCATGATGACTTCGCCCTCGATGGGCACCTGGGGTCATGGCTCGGGCTTCCCTGCTTCACCCTCGATGGTGGGGCTGCCAGGCATGCCCGGCATGCCTGTGATGCCAGGAATGCCCATGACAGGTTTTGGCACACCTCCGCAAATGTCACCCGTCATGCCTCCGATGGGTCTCCCGATGTGGCCACCTACAAGCCAGTCGATGATGTTCAACCCTGCGGCTGGAGCACTCCAAGTGCCCATGCCCTACTTTGCACCCCAAATGGGCATGCCCTTCCTGCCATCGATGCCGATGTTGGCCCCTCCTTCGCCTGGGTTCTACTCGCACACATCGAGCGCAGTCCCTACGCCACCAGAAAGCCCGCATCTCTCCTCAACACACCCGCCCAAAGGGTACGTGCCCGAGATGCAGTTTGATAACGCCCAGCCCAGCTCTACGCGGGCTTGAAACAAAGGACATTTCCGTTTCGTTTTCGTTATGATCATCATACCCCTTTCTTTATCATGCTCCAGTTATGTGAATGCATTTGTTTGTCGTCGCTGCAAGTGTGTGTGTCGCCAGGTCCTGAATGCTCAAGTGGTACTGTATGTCGGAGTGTGTCGTCTGTCTGCAAAAAGCTGCGAAGTGCGCGAGATGGTCACAGGAGTGTCTGTTCAAGCGAGAAGAAGCGCTTCTCGCCTTTGGCGTCGGGCTTGCTGTTCGTGTTCGTCTCATCACCTTCCACGATGATCGCGGGCCTCCTCTTTCAGTTGTGACTTCCTTTTTACCTTCTTATCGCCAGCATGTGATGTCCTGCCCATCTTTTGTGAGTCTCTACTTGCCATCCGCACCCGTTTCATTGCCTTCAACACGGCTGTTGTCACTCGTGATGTTGATCTCAGTCTTTGTAGCTCTTCTCACGTTCGTCACCCCTGGTCTCCCTTTTGGTCAACCCTCACTTTGTTGTGATGATGCAAAAATGATATATTGCCAAGGTGAGAGGAGCGAGATCACCACGGTTGTGGAGGCTCTTGGCCATTCTGCTGCTTCTGATCCCTTTCCTTGGACGCCTTGGTGTCGACCTTGACAAATTCGTCACCACCGGCCGCATTGGCCTCGCTCTCTCCCGCGCCCACGGCCGGCGCCGCATCCTCCTTGTCCTTCTTGACGCCCATGTAGATCTCGCCGACAATGCCCAACGCCTGCGCCCGTAGCCTCTGCGTCTCCTTGCCGATTTGGGTATCGTACAACACGGCCTCGCTCACCTCCCTGATGACGCTCTCCACCTCCAACTTTGCGCCCTTGAACAACGCGCGCATGCCCTTCTCGGCCGCTTGCTCTTCGAGCTCGCGCTTCCTGTCCACCGTAATGCCTGCCTCCTCAGCCTTGGCCAGCTCCTCAAACACCTTTTTCAACTCGAGTGCCGCCCTAACCGTTGACACGGTCTCGCGGACGACATGGATGCTCGAGGCAGCCGAATGGAACACCCCTCCAAACGACCCGAACAGTCCCGTGCTGGCGAGGTAGTGTTTGCTCTTGGCGCTGTACACGAAGCCAACAGCATTGAGCAGCTCGACGCCGTACGACTCGTGCTTCAACTCTTCCGCCTCCAACCGCGTGATCTCGCGGAAGCTCTTTTCGACCTCGCGCTCGAGCGCCGGATCGTGCGCGTGGCGCACGCTCTCCGTGTAGATGCTGAGCTTGCGCACCAGCTTCTCGACGAGCTTGGCGACGCGTTCGGCGCGCTGCTTTTCGCGCTCGGCGGTTTGCTTGCGCTCCTTCTCCTCTTTGGCTGCCTTCTGCTCGGGTGTCAGCTCGGGCTTTTTGCTGCTGTCCCCCTCAGCTGTGCTTTCGCCATTGGCTTGACGCTCGAGATCGTCGGAATCCTGCTGGAGGGCGTCCTTCATGTCTTTGCCGATGGAGATGGTGCCGATGATATCGGCGAATCGCTCGCCACCGAACAGGGAGCCGAACACCTCCTCGGGATCGACAAAGCCGTCTTCCGGCGTCAAACCCGGCGTACTCGCTCCAAACTCGTTGTACTTGTGTCGCAGCTCTGGATCCGACAGCACATGATACGCCGTCGCCAGCGCCTTGAACTTCTCCTCCACCTCGGGGTTGTTGGGGTTCTTATCGGGATGCAGCTTGATCGCCAGCTTGCGATACGCCTTTTTGATCTCCTCGATCGTGGCGGTGGCAGGAACGCCGAGTGCGTCGTAGTAGGCCATGTCGAGCGGGTTCTCGTCCGTACCGATGCGGCGTTTGCGTGCAGCAACGTCCTTGCCGCCAGACTTGCGCGCCTCGCGCACCATCTTGGTCGCATTCGGCGGCTCGAACTGCTTGTTGCAGCTACAACATGTGACGGTAAAGGAGGTTTCGTGGGATGGAAGAGCGGCGAGGTCCGAAGCGGACGGTGGAAGGTACTCGATCGAGGCTCGACAGGTGGTGTATGGACACGAGACGGCGATGAAGGCTTGTTTTGGACGCGAGGTCACGTTGAGGGATGCCATGGTGGGCGACAATGATGCGCCAGGTGTATCGCCGTTGGAGGGTTTTGACGAGTGTCAGTGTATGTCGAGGATCCTTCGCAGATGAATCGACAGGGTGTGGTCGTCAGGAAGCAAGGTTCCACAAGCCAGGGCCATTTGATAACAAAAACTTCATCATTTCAGGTGTTGTCGCGTGAGTGCTGAGCTCGTTCCCCCTGCAGCTGGGCGGGCGGCTTGCTTTGCGCTGCTGAGTGGGATGAAATTCTTTCCTTCGGCTAGCGGAAGTGTCGGTCTCGATTTTTTGAAATCCAAGAAGACCTAAGCAGGGTCTTGAAGTGTCATGTCAAGAAGCTCATCCTTCATCAGCAGGCACGCCTTGCTTCTCTACCATCACGACCCAGAGCGCAGCATTGTTTCGGCGCTGCATACCCACTCATACTCGAAATGAAGCCGCCCAAGAGGTCGCCCTTCCTTCACTCGAGGCAGGCCGAACTGCTCGAGATCTTTCGCCATCTCTACCCCGACTCGCAAGCGCACTTCTCCGCAAAAGACCGTCACGATGCCCTCTCCACCGTCCAGCTCTGGATCAATCGATCCGCATGCCCGTTTGCTGTCGAGACCACCGCGCTCCTCGTACAAAGCGTCATCCTCGACGAGCACATGCAGCAGATCGCAGCCTCCAGCATCGGCTCTGACTCCGCATCCACTTCATCCCCACGATATGCGCTCGAGCAGCTCGGCGGCGGCGCAGAACTCGGAGTGAGGCTCAACTACAGTCTCGCGCTGACCCGCTTCGTCAACAGTGTGGTCGATTCGCATCAGACGGGCGGGTTCGCGCAGTCGATCGGAGCCATCGCCGCCCGCATCGGACTACCGCAGTGGTTCGTCGAGATTCGACACGCCGTCACGCACGAAGAGCTGCCTAGCATCAACGTGTGTCGGCAAGCAGCAGGGCTGGCACTCGCATGGCTCCGACGACACTTCTGGATCCCGCAGCTGTTCGAAGGACCAAACGCCATCCGCTTCGGCAACGACGAAGGCGAAGCTATGGATGTCGACGCAGAAGCCTCCACCAGCCAGGTCACGACCAAAGAATCCGAGGCAGAGAAGACCCGCAAGAAGGATCGTCGCAAAGCACTCCAGGACCTGCGTCAGACACTGTCCGACTATCGCACCCTCGCCAAGCAGGTCACACGCGACCGCAGTCTCGCCAAGAAGTCCAAAGACCAATTCAGCCGGCTGTACAAGCAATTCTCCGGCTTCGTGTACCGTATGAGAACGCTCGACCCGAGCTTTGGCGCCCAGCTCATCGATAGCGCACACAAGAAGGGTAAGGATGAGGAGATTGATGTACGGGGTGCGGCGGTGATGGACCCCGACGACGTAGATGAGTGTACCCGGGCAGCGCTGGGTGCATTGGTGAATCAGCTGGTGAAGCCGGGAGGAATGGTTCCGCTGGGCAGGTCGAAGCGCGTTCAGGTCGAGGATGAGGTGGTGCTTCCGGGCGAGCTGGCAAGCTTGTGGATGCCGTTGCTGGGGTACATGCGCGATACATATGGGCCAATCTTTGGCCAGATTCTCGCGGAGGAACTCGTCGAAGGTGCTGTGCGCGAGATGGAGCCCGTCGACGATGCGTCTGACACATTGATGCAGGTAGACGCCGGAGTGGAAGCCCCCGCCGACGCCGACTCCGACCCGCACAACCAAGCATGGAAGACAATCGCATACACCGATCCGACCTACCGCGAAACAGCCGATGCCTGGTTGCGCCACCTCGTCGCGCACGCACCTCCCACCTCCCATGCATCCACCAGCCGCGGCACAACGACGCTCATCACCGACGCCGAAGTCGCCGAGCTATGTCTACCGCTCCGCTTCCCCGCATCGACATCGATCCTCGAGTTCCTGTGCGAGCGCAACGTCGAGCTGAAAACGCGCATCGGACCGCTGGTGGACGTGCTCAAAGTGTCCGCCTTTGTGACCGCAACTTCATCCGATGACGAAGATGTGCAGACGCCGATGCAGGACGAGTCAGGGTTCGAGTCGCAGCTGGAGGTCATGCAGAGGAGGTTAGTTGAGATGGAGGGGCTGGAGTGGGGTGAGAACAGCGGTGACAGCGGTCAGAGGAGCTACGATACTGCTCAGAATGAGACCATAGATGCGGTCGAAGGCGCTGCAATGGTTGATGTAGCAGCGAAAAAGATGCCAACGGGCTGGTCCATGGCGCCGGCCGACTGGAAACCTACCCCTTTCGGCTGTCTCAGTGGCAAGATCCCCAATCTTGTTGTATGAACGTAGCATAAGCCGTCGGTCAATGGACACGTCTCCTCCATCGTACATCTGCTCGACTGTTGAGCCGCATGAAAGTGATCAACGTGAGCAAGGCCCCGTCTTGGTGGGGGGTGTATGCTCCGACAGGAAGACGATCGAGATACACGCATCGCCGATCCGCGACCCTGTTGTAAATCATATCGGGCCAGCGTCCCAGCGATCGCTCATGCAACCCGCACGCGTGCAGCAAGTCGCACATCATCCTGCAGGTCAGCCGCTAGAAGTTGGAAAATGGCCCCTCCTTTTGTTCTGGTGCATTTCAGGTCAGTGCGCACAGCGGCAATTCTTCTCATTCATCGACCTTTGCTTGTCAGCAATTTGACGCGTTGCCAGTGCGCTCAGACCAGCCTTTGGCTGTGCGAAGGCCGCGTAAATGGACAGCGGGATCTGTGTCGTCCTCTGCTTGCAAGGGAATCTTCGCGTCTGGCTGGTACTTGGGCCGCGGCGTACAGTGGCCGTTTCGAGCGATGCCCGCTGCATATTGTGTGGCCGTCTACAGCAGGAGACTCCACTTTTCGCTATAGAGACCTCGCCAGGCCGCCCCTTTAGCTTCACCTCGTACCACCAACATCAACCCGCACCAACTTACACAGGAATCGCCCCCCACACACCCATAACGTAACAATGACAGGAGCCGCCGCCAAGACCTCTTCGTCCGCCGACGTGGGCGGCATCGAGTCGTCGGTCAAGGAGAACAAGCGCGATGCTGCGCAGACCGCCGAGAAGAACGCCGCCGAGGAGCTCGCCGATGAGGACGAGGACGATGAGGACGATGAAGACTTTGTACGTATTCCGCAAGCCCTCTAGATTGTTTCTGTGATTCGGGTTGCTGACTTCCCCTTTCCTCACGCATGTCATGTGGTGCTCCCTCCGTTCCACTACTGCCCATCCTATCTGTCACGAACGTGGTGATGCAGGAGGAGGACGACGACGAAGAGGAAGGCGACTACGAGGAGGACGAGGAGGAAGAGGAGGGAGATGTCGACGAGGACGACGAGGCGGTGGTAGAGGGCAACGACGACGAGGTGGACGACGATGCCGAGGAGGAGGCGCAAGATGAAGACGAAGTTGAGGGCGGAGAAGACGAGGAGGAAGAGGAAGACGAGGATGAGGAGGAGGACGATGCCGCTACGGGTAGCAAGAGGAAAGCCGACGACGAGGGCAACGACGACGATGGAAAGGCTGCTAAGACCGACTAAACGCCCCGGAATCTCTCCGCCACATCGCTCCATCTTCGCACTATGCTGCATCTCAATGCGAAAAGCTTTCATGACACGGTCGACGCGGTGTGACATTCAAATTGAAGATCCGTAGGAGCTTCTCTGCTGCAAACTGGTGTGACGAGGTGAGCCGGCCGCTGGATCGAAGCAGTGCGATGCCAGCAACGTCTCGAGAGTCTAAGGAGGCATTCTACCTCTGCTGCAGTCTCGCCCAAGAGCGGTTATGAGACCGCTTTGAATGGCATTGCATTTGAGGAGAAACTTTCCACGATTCCCATCGGTCCCGCTTTCGAGCAAGTCACTCGACGATTTATGGCCTTGGTCCTCAGACGCTGACAAGGAACGTGTGACGTGTGATGGTACGGCGAGTCACGGGAGCGGCACGTTACGGCGATTAAAACAGACGGGATGCGAGGTGTCGGGCAAGGAAAGTGAGACGTGCGAGCGGAACGGACAAAACAGGAGCGCGGAATCGGGAAAGAACATCAAAGGTCGACAGACAGAGATACACCGCGGGAGAAGATGTGAGATGCTTTCGCTGCCACAAGAAGAACACTTGTGAGTCTGCGTGGCTCGGGCTGTCATTGAATCAAGTTGTCATGCGATGGAACCGTACCGCCCCGAATTGAAATGCTACGCTACTGGTGGAGTGCTCCATCGATGTACCGTCCTCGGCCTGATCCGTAAAGAGCTCGGACCGGGACTCGCTCTCGAGGAGGTAACACTACTCGCGCCTTCGTCCGTTCCAGTCTTACTGTGTCCATTCGCGCCCATCGCCCCAGCTATCGCTTTTTGCAGCATGGCATAGTCCGCCCCGTCCGGAAGCTCGATCTTGTCCTGCTGAGCTCTCGCCGGCATAAGCTCGTAGAAGAGCATATACGGGTTCTCCTGCTTGACCTGCTGAATGGTGGCAGGTGAGACGCTTTCGTCTGAGATCCGCAGCCAGCTGTCCCCCGCGCCTTGGTCGGCAATCCCATCGTATCCTGACTCGCCTGCCCCAGAAACGCGCTTGAACGCAATGTAATGTCCAAATGAGTGCGAGCCGTAGTGTACGACAATAGCAGCCAGCCGGTAGAGGGATTCCGCTTTTGCATCCGGACCATCGTCTCTGCCAATGGCATTCGAGTTCATAGTCTGCCTCCCGTCCAGCGAGATGCTTCCCTGAAGGGTGAAGTCACTCAAGTCGAGATACTCTGGAAACAGCACGTGACGATTGTTCTTCGATGGTGCCCATGAAGAGGCCGAATACGAGGACCGGTTGAGGTGCAACGTCAGCACGCGGGGAGGTCGAGAGATCATGATCTGTTTCGTGGACAGTCGACTGAGCGTCTTTTTGAGCTGGATGTTGTTCAATATGTTGAACCAGGGCGAGGCGGGATCCTCGGAAGATTGCTTGAGCTCGTCCTCTGACAAGCCAGACTCCAGAATGCGAGTCAGCTTGGTTTCCTTCGACCTGAGCTGAGCAAGTCGCTTCTTCTTTGCTGGAGTCAAGTTGCCGTTCGACAATGCATGAGCGGAGCCGTTCGCGGCTACTCCGTTCTGCTTTGTGGCGGAACCTTTGTTGGAGAGATCCTCCTTGACAGCTTGCAAGGTGTTGCGTAGCGTGCAGTTCCAGCAAATCCAATCGACCTGTTCCAAGTCGGACCACTGCGCGAGGCATTCTTGCAACGAGCAGGCTGATGTACCTGTAATCTCGGACGTGCGAGTACTCACGTTCATCGCTGGCACGGACAGGGAGATCTCGGATGTGGAAAAGTGCCGGATCGCCTCGCAATATCCACAATCGAGGCAGATGGTGCGCTGCGCCAAGAGAGCGTCGAAGGGTGAGATCATGAGAGTGTTGCTGGTGCTGCTTGAGTGCATCTTGCTCGCTTCGGCGGAAGTGCTGTTGGATTTATCGGTCATCCCAAGGATCTCGAGCGGGTTGAAGGTGCCGTTCAATGTAGGAGCACCAGAAGCGTGCGCTGGATCTGCATACACACCGCAGCCGCTCCATGGCAGCGATGGCGCCATGAGCGCTCGGAAGCCAGCCTGTTCGCTGTCGAGCTTCTTTTGTCTTTCATGCTGAATAGCTCTGGCTTCGGCATCGACTGCCTCGTTGAGAAGCGCAAAGAGTTCGTGCGCGTCCTGTTGCTGGTGAGCACCCACGAGGCTTCGTATCGAGGAGGAGGGCAGATTCTGGAGAGCACGAACGAGCTGTTGTGGGTTTATCGTCATGTTCCGGTCGCCTGGTGTAGCGAGCTCTTCGACGAGCTCTAGCAGTGCATCGATGACGGGTGTTGGAGTATCCCATCGTTCTGCCTCTTCCACCAGAACATAGAGATACTTGCGGTATAGCGCGAGAGACGATATTGACTGCAGGGTTGAGTTGAAGAAGCAGGTGTTGCCCGTGTTGCGTAGACCCTTGTACTTTGGATTAGCTATGCGAGCTCTCGATGTCGATGCTGAAGACCGGGATGAAGCTCTTGAAGAATGGAGCGAGGAGGAGGGAGCAGCGGAGCGGGCCCGCCGCAATGACTGAGCCTTGTCGGAGGGAGCCGAAGGGGTATAGGGATGGAGGCGCGAGACTGATTGCAGTCCTGGCTTGAGCATATCGCTGTATGCTGCCAAAGCGAGAATAATGATGAGAAGAGCACCAATGCCGAGCAATGCCTGCGTGGCGATGGTCGCTGGTATTGGAAGGACGCCAAAGAGAGGATAGGCTGGCCTGGCAGCAGGTTCGACGAGCACGAACCGATAGCTTCCCATCCCTGACGCCCGCCGATGCTGTCAGAGATCACTCAGCTGTCTCATAAGCTCGATCGCATGGGATGGTATGGTCCCGGAACCGCCGACCGAGCGCAGGATCGAACGCGATACTTGCGTGGGCGCCAAGGACGGAGCTTGCCGAAGAAGGGAAATGTCGGCGAGCTTCCACTGCGGGTGTCGTCTGCTTCGCGCTCGCTTTCTGCCGCGTTTTGGAACAAGGATGCAGGTGTTTTTTGATGTTGTGCTGGTAGAAAGGTCAAAGAGCATGCGAGAGCGAGGATGGTTTGCATCAGGGTCCTACTGTAGTTCTTGAAGCATCCGAGCAAAAACTGAGTTTCTTCCTCGGAAAGCGGCTAAAAAGGCGACGTCACCTCCACAAAAGGCGCAGCGGACCCACCATCATCCGATGTTACATCCCTGCTCATAGGAAGACCAGGGGGCCTTCTGCGCGGAATATGGCAGCTGGTCTGCAGCTCGTCCAGTGAGTGCTGGAGTAGTATGTAGCTCTCCAACTCCAGTTCTGCAACAGCCTTTCCCGTCCGCTGGGACTGACTAGACATGTCCATGATCTTTTACAAAGCATGGTAAGTGGCCCACCGCAGCAGACTGTCTTCCAATGCAAAGGGACAAGCAGGAACCCAATGGTCCAGCTCGCAGCTGTGCTGTAGCTCGAAGCTGTCACTGCTACATGGCGCTCTCGAAGCGTGCCTGGCTCAGCCTGAAAGCGTGAGCTGTGGTCTTGAAAGTCTCGAAAGCCCAATTCAATCTGATCTGCTGAAAGAGAATGCAGCCTCACAACGATCTAGTGAGCCGCTGCAGCTCGTTTTGTATTTTTGAATAAGAAGATGTCTCAATTTGTATCAAGTTGAATGCAGGCTGACCTTTTCCATTGCCTTTGAATCGGGAACTGCCGCTCTGGGGCGATGACGGGCTTCGAGCGCTTGACTCACCATCCGCCGATAGTGACACGACAGCCCGTTTCAAGAGGCAGTTCGTGCATCGCGAGACCCCACTGGATGCGTCGTTGGGCTGCATATGAGTGCCTGCGCTCCTCCGACCTTTGGTCTGCTTGGTCTGCTGCATCCTTGCCATGCGGCATACTAGAAGGTCACGAATGAAGAGGCGAAACCCGCTGAGGCGTGGGCGGAGGCGAAAAGCGCGAAAGCTCCACACGAGCTGAGCGAAAAGCGGCCCAACTGTGGTGACTATCATCGTGACTGCAGTCGGAGTACTGTCTGGGCTCTATCCCCGCGTCTTGGGTGAGCGAGCGTTCTCGGCTCTGAGTCGTCCCTTTTTGGCTCACGGTCCACTCAAGGCGATCGCCTCTCCCCGCGACTGTCCCTGAGTGGGCCGCCTTGGCCTTAGCCTTGGCTTTCTGCGTGATTCCCGCCATTCTCTTCGCATCCGCGCTTGTCACGATCACCCACCCTATCCATTGTCCACTCGGTCGCTTCCTTCTCGTCACCATCCACTGTTCGATTCGGATCCCTTCCGATACTTCGGCTTCCTTTTCGATTCTTCACCGAGCATCGCCCCTTCATTTCGGGTGTCACCTTCAAAGCTCTTATCTACAGAGCCGCTCCACCAAAGTGTATCTTTACTCGCCGCGTCACCTGATCGCTCTGTCTACCGACTCTTTCTAGCTGCACACCATCGACATCAGCACTGTCACAGAGCTATCGAACGCAACCCGGTTTCCTCAAACTGATCACAAAGTGGCTGTCACTCTTTGCTCTATCAGGACGACTCGATACTCAAAGCTTTGAGCGGATCGTCAGCCTTCACGGTCAGCAACACGAATCGGCTCATCCTTGACTTCTGCACCGATAGCGCACACGCGACACGACAAGCTGAACATCCGCATCACACGCGCTTTTCTGTCCCTGTCGCACCATTCTGCTCACTCGGCGACCCCACCGCTGTCTGAACTCAACTCGGCCCAGTACCGAGAGCAGTGGAGATGGACATGAACGCCACCATGGCCTCCTATCAAGGCTCTGGCGCCAACAGTCCCGCTCTGGGCCGCGGTGTCAACAATCAGTACCCACATAACATCGTCGGAACTTCCTTGACCGCCCCAGCTTCGCCCTCAGGCGCCTACACCGCCTCGGCACTCGCATACGCCAATGCTCAGCTCTCGCAGTATGCTGCCACCGGAGGCACTGCTGCTCTTCCCGCCCACCTTCATCCGCACGCTCTCAGCTCCGCGCTCTCCGACTACTCGATCAGCCTGCCCAACTCGGCTGCTTCTTCGCCCGGTGCCACTCCGCGCCGCCTTCCAGGCACAGGCACCTCAACGCCTGGAGGCAACTCCCGCGTAGCTGCCAGCGCCATCACGGGCAAGCGTCTCAACTGGAGCGAGATGATCTGCCAGACCATCGCAGAGAGCGAGAGCGGTCGTCTCGTCATCCAAGACCTCTTCGAGGGCATGTGCTCCAAGTTCCCAGAGATCCGCGAGTGGGCCTTTGGCAAAGATTGGGAAGCTCGTGTCAAGAACCGTATCAAGTCGACCCTCTCCATCAAAGGCAACCTCTTCGTCAAAGTCCCGAGACCCAGCAGTGCTGCTGGCAAGGGTAGCTGGTGGACCCTCAGCCCGGAAGCACAGGAGGCTTGGAAGACAGGTCGAGTAGCCAATGTAGTCAAGAACAACGCACATAGCCGTGCAGGCAGTGCAGGGCCGAGCAGCATCCACGGCTCGCCCGTTCGAACCGTCAGCTCCAAGTTTGGCACCTCGTCTCACACCACCAACCCACCCTACCTCGTCCAGAATTCGCATGCCCATCAGAACCACAGCCAGCGAACATCACCGCTCGGCATCGGTCTCGCCCAGGCAGCCCACAGCTACGGCAGTCCGCTCGCCAACAACTTCAACTTTGGCGAGTCGCTGCCCATGGTTGGTGCGCTCTCCCAGAACAGTGCGTTGCCCAGCAACCTGGGCCTGGGCGGCGACGATACGAATCTGAGCCTGGGCGGGCAGCAGCCGAACACGCAGTCGATGCAGGACCAGGCGCAGAACGCGCAAGCCAGCATGGCCACGCAGAGCTTTGCCAATCTGGCTTTCCTTCAACCCAACGGGCCACAGCCGTTGGGAAATGCGCAGAGTGTGCCTCACCTCGGTGGGCCGCAGTCGATGCCGTTCCCCGCGCAAGGGCAGGATCTGTCCGCAGCCAACTTGGCCAGCTTTGCCAACTTTGGCAACAACGACTACTCGGCCATCTTTGCCGGCATCCCCGGCTTTGATGCGAATGCATTCGCCGCTGCGAACAGCACCAACAACGGGCAGGTCAACATGGGCATGGGTGCGTACCAGATGGAGCAGAGCAGTCATCCGTTTGGCGGTAGCATTCCTGGAGCATACACGTTGCTTCAGCAGCAGCAACAGCAACAGCAGCAAGGGGCTGGGCAGCAGGGTCAGCCAGGGCAGCCAAGCAACAACGCGTATCCGAACTTTGGCAGTAACCTGTATGCCAACCTCCAACAGGGAAACCAGATGTCGGGGCAACAGCAGCGCGGTCTCAACCAGAATCCGGGCACGTCTTCGCAACAAACGCCACAGTCGCAGTCGCAGTCACAGCAGTCAGCGTCACAGCGAGCGACGCCGCAGCCCCAACCTTCGCAGCCGAGCAACAGCAATACGACGTCTGGCATGGCGAGCGGTTACAGCGGGAGCTTCCCCGCCTCGAGCCCTTTTCCAGGGAACGGACTAGAGGGTCCCTCACCGGCCGACTCGACGTGGTTCTCCTTCACGCCGCTGGTGCAGCCGACCAACGATGCGAACGATGGCGGGTCCGCACTCGGGCAGCTCGGCGGCGAAGGATCGCGCAAGAGGCGGACCAGTGGCGCTGACCTGGGCGATTTCCAGCTCCCACCGCCCCAGGACGGAGCGTGATTCCTCCCAGCTGGATAGACATCTCTCCCCAATCATTCTTCTTCACCAGGGCTCTCCCTCTCTCGGTGCTTCACCGTCCCTCTTCTCCCTCTCTCTCTCTCTTGGCCTCTTGATACGTCAACAATTTATACTTGTACTCTTGACAATTGCCATGGGTGTGCGTTGTGACGAAGTCTCCGTCAGTCTGAGTCGCAAAGGTCAGCATTGGACCCTGCTTCAGCCATGGCCTCGCTGCCGCTGTTTCTCGTGTCTTGTCTCTCATGCTCTCTCGCGGTCAAGTTGATCAGGAAGACCGTGAGCTCGTCCTTGATCCTCCAGAACATGTCAACTGAGAACAATCGCCCTCACACACTCAAGCAAACGCAATCGCAGCATCACGACAACATTTGACATTCAACGCGAGGCCCGAAGGACACGTGTGCGAGAAGGACGGGTGAATAGGTACAAAGGATATCGTGGGGGCGTGACCGAGAGGCGGGGTCCACTACGAGAGCAGAGGACCATCTATTATGTGAGGGTTTGCGGGTGGTATGTCGCTAAGCGCGAGTCAGGGGAATCATGGTGCATGGTCGAACCTTGTCGAATTCGAGGGGTATAGCCGAGCACCGTGAAGCGTGAGATGCGACACGGAGCGAGGAAAGACAAGAGAAGAATCAACAGAGCCGCGGACCGAGAAGACGGAGAGAAGCATGCAAAAGAATCCGGAAAGCAGAGAGAGAGATGAACGAGGGTGGGCGAGCTTAGGCGGCGGCAGCGACAGGGGCAACCGGCTTGGGAGCCTCCTCGACGACGACGGGAGCGACGGGAGCAGGGGCGGCGACGACCTCCTCGGGGACCTTCTCGTTGATGGCGGCAGTCTCCGACTCCTCAGCAGCGACGGCGGGCTCCTCGGTGGCGGCAGAGGCCTCCTCGGTCTTCTTGGGCTGCTTGTGGAAGAGAGCGCCGAACTTGCCGCTCAGACGACGACCAATCTTGATCTTCTGAGCGGCGACATCGGGAGCGGGAGCGTCAGCCTTAGCAGCCTCGTCGATCTTGACCTCCTTGGCCTCCTCAGTGGCAGCAGCGGGAGCAGCAGCCTCCTCGGTGGCGGGAGCGACCTCCTCGACGGCAGCAGGCGCAGCGGCCGTCTCCTCGACGGCGGGGGCAGCAGCAATGGTCTCCTCAGGGATGGCGGGAGCAGCAGCAGCTTCGGTGGACTCGGCCTCAGCAGGAGCGGCGACAGCGGCCTCCTCAGTGGTGGCCTCCTCCTTGGCGACGGCGGGCTTCTCCTTCTTGGCGGTCTTTTCCTTGATGGCGCCAATGATCTTGTTGAGGAACGACTGACGCTTCTCCTTCTTGGGGGCAGCCTCCTTGGCAGCAGCGGCGTCGTCAGTGGCAGCGGCAGCCTCTTCGGGCTTGGCCTCCTCGACGGCAGCAGCAGTGGCAGGAGCCTCGGTGGCGGTCTCTCCGATCGCAACGGCAGGCTCGGCGACAGCAGCCTCCTCTACGGTAGCTGGGGCAGCCTGTCGATGTCGAGAGACAGACGAGGTATCGATGCGGATGCGGGATGGTCAGCGCTTTCATTCGACGCTGCTCAAAGTGTTGCGCAACATTGTACTTACAGCCTCCTCAGCGGGAGCAGCAGCCTCAGTGACAGGGGCAGCAGCAGCCTCAGTGGTGACAGGGGTCTGCTCGGCGGCGACGGGAGCGGCAATCTCCTCGACGGGAGCGACGGCGGCGGGGGTGGTCTCGGGAGCAGCAGACATGGTGATTATGGTAGTGCGGTGGTGGTGGTGGCAGCGGTGGTGGTGGTGGTGGATGCGAAGGAAGATGGGATCGCGATAGAGATAGGATGTGTGAGTGCAAGAGGAGAAGAGGCCAAAGGAAGCTCAGCCAAGTATATAAAGGCGAGCGGACAAAGGAACTCAGCTGAGCGGCCAGATGGGACAAGTGCGGAAAGGGGGCCTGTTTCCGTTCACTTCGCTGGCTTTCCTTGTGTGTCTAGTCACAGTCACACAGGAGTGCTTAGTCCCCCTTTCGGTTCAATATGGACTATGCGCGCGCTGGCACGCCAATTGTAGGTTGGTGGGCAAGAGCTTACAGCTGCAAACTTTTGCGGTGGGCGAGGTGCAGGAGGGCAAGCGTGTGTGCATGTCGGAAAAGTGCGTGGGTGCATGGGTGCGTTGAGCGTCTAAATGAAAGCAGCCAAGGCGAGTTGTGATAGGCCAGCCAAGCGGCAGAGGACAAGGTCACCCACGGAGTAGCGCCGTCGACTCTCGTGTAGGAAGCGCACCATGCCAAGCGAGACTCGAGCGAAGAGCTTGTGGCTTTGGTTCTGTCTCGTGATGGCCCGAGATTGAAAGGGGCTTCGTGCCGCGTTCGAATCTCATGGCCCTCGGAGCGCGTACTGACAACAGTCACGCAGTGCAACAAGAAGCCAGCAGGGGAGGGATCCGAGCGAGTCTGCTCATCGGTCGAGCATTTGACGGTACACAACCAGACAACAGCGCTCTTCAGCTGTAAGGGGCCAGGTGCAGCGACTGCTATCGGGAGCATGAAAACAAGCCAGAAAGGGAAACAAAAAAAAAATAAAAAGTGGGATGAAAGGGTCTGTCTGGCTGTTGAACAGCGCGTGGCTGGTTTCGTGCCGAGCTCTGACTCGAGTGCGATTGATTGCTTTTAGAGTTTTGGCGTGAAAAGGTGTACTGTGACTGTCCCAGCCGGAACGAGCCGACCGATTCGTCGCGACGAGGCTCTGCTCCGGCGTGCAATCCGCTCTTTCTCTCTTGCTCATCGCCTCTGCCGATGTCTCGACTGTGTGCTATTGCAGAGTTGTGTGATGTCCAGTGTTAAGCGAGTCGGAACAGCAGGCGAGCAGGTTACACGGTGCTCAAGCGAAAGGGTCGCGGTCCATTTGCTCTCACATGCACAGCAGATCTAGCGCCACTTTGTCTCGGCTTTTTTCTTTTCTCTTTTTTTTTCCTTATCGGGGCATAGACTCAGCGTTTCCACCGAGTTCTATGGCACAACTCTATATGTGAGTGAATTCCTGCTTTCAAGTGCTATGAGAGCTCATCATGCCGTCAAAAATAGCCTCAATTGACTCGACAAAACGTAGACTTCTGGGCGGTACGAGTGTTTTCCATCCGCAAGTGCCAGGTCTTGCACTCCTGCGTTGAAGATCAGGGGTCCTCGTGATGTCAATTTTCCGGCTAAGCGCTTTGCATTTGGCAGATTTCCTCTTTGAAAAGAAATTTTTCACGCTTTCTTTGATCTGCAGAGCCTCCTGACGGACCAAAATCGAGACAACCAAATTCCTGTCACTTTTGACAGCTTGGCAGCACCACGCAGGACGCGTGCGGCTACTGCCGAAATCATCTGAAGCCCTTGGATTTCCGCGTCGGCGTGCTGCGATGATGGCCCACGCCTCAAGCCCTTCCCAACAGGCATGTTATGCAGTGGGTCGACCAAGCCAATGAAGCCGTGGCCTCATCTACCCGGCCGCCAACAAGTGGGTTCCAATCGATGCGTAAGGTTCAGCGGAGATCCAAAAGGGCAAAAATTTCCCGAGCGGCGCGATCAAGGGGGTCGACAGGGCAGTACACACTGCGGCTGTGTGTGTCTGCTGCAGGGGTCCTACAGTATGATTGAAACTTCCACCAAGCGAGAGAGGGCGAACGCATTTCCCTCGCTCAACCAACAGAAGCGACAACACGCTGAGCCCTCACGCTGATCATATGCACGAGGTGCATTTGGATCGGCGCGCTGCATCCAATGAAACGCGTTCTTTTCGCTCGCTTCGGTCTCGACGACATGGTTTCGGGCCTAAAGCTCCATTTCAGTCCCGCTCTCTGCTGTTTAGATCGTGCTAGGCTGCTATGTGAACTGCTGACTCCTTTCTTACTCTCGTTGGAACACGGCGAGGACAAGAAATCGCAGCAGCACCACCACCACCACCAACAGCATGTCTCGCAACTCTTCGCGAGATGCGTGGGTTCCACCTCGGCGTGGCGTGCACAAAGCAAGCTCGCTAACTTATTGCTCGACCTTCGAGCTGCGTCAGCGCGATGGCTTGAGCGAAGCACTCGAGCAACACAGTGAGCAACCAATGGTCACCGTGAGCTTTCGTGTGCTAGAGTCAAAGGCAAGAAGGCTTGTCAGGCCCGCGACTGGCCCGAAATCAGGGTGTTACATCTCGACGCTTCACAAAAAGTTCAACTTGTGGGACGTAACATCTTCAAAAAAGCGGCACCAAAATGCTTCCACGCTTTGCGGCTTGGCGTAGCCGCCCTGACTGAACAAACAAAAGCCGACTCCTCGTTTTCAAGTGTCCCTTTCAACTGACTTGATTTCCTGTGAGCGTTCAAGCGTTGATTTTGTAGTGCGGTCCTCCACTCCGAGAAACGTGAGCACGGTTCATTTCGTCAGTCATCCGCTCTGCTGGCCTGCTCAGCCTGCCTTCCGCATTTTCTCGGTGCAGGAAAGGCTGGGACGCTGATCAATGCTTCCAACAGACTGCGTCTCGCGCCTGAGCGCACAGATCCCCCGCTTCTCAAGTCATCTTCCTTGCTTGCTGCCATCATCTAGACCATCCAAAAGGACCCGACCTGCAGCCCATCTGCTGGCCTTCAAAGTCGATCACCATGGCTTCGTCCCACAACGGCGGCCGCTTCGCCTCCCGCACCGCCTTCGAGGCGCTCCAGGTCGAAGAGATCGAATCCGACGAGGAAGAGGTCGTTCAGCAGAAGACACCTGCTAAGCCAGCTCAGACCGCTGCTCCCAAAGCCTCACCTGTCAAGGAAGCCAAGAAGCCCGCTGCCAAGGACAAGGCAGCCGCTCAGCCGGCCAAAACGGAGGCACAGTTCGAAAAGGCCGCCCCAACGCCTTCCAAGGGCGCTGCAGCCCAGGACACAGCGAAGCCAGCCACTGGCAACGGTACCAATGGCGTCAACGGCCATGAATCCCTCACCTCGACTATCGCAGAGAAGGTTGGTCTTCAGAGCGATAACGTGCCCACGCCCCCTGCTCCCTTCGCTCCTGGCGCCCCGAAGCAAGGCAAAGCAGCCGCTCAGCCGACCTCCGCTCCTGCAAAGCTAGCACAGGCAGCCGAGACCAAGCTCGAGTCCGTTCTCGACAAGGCAGCCAGCGCTGTTGGTGTTGACTCCTCCCAAAAAGACAAATCGCAGCCCGCACAGCGACAGGCTCAACCAGAGCCAGCCAAGCCCCAACCCATGCAAAGGCAGCTCTCCAATCCGCAACAGAAGCAGCAGCAGAGTCAGGGAGATGCTTCCGCTGATTCCAAAGCATTCTGGAAAAAGGTCTGGGACAGGACTCTCTTCGGTTTCGCCATGATCGGAGGATTCATCGGTCTCGTGCTCCTCGGCCATCCGTACCTCATCCTGTTTGTCATGGTCTGCCAGACGCTCGTCTATCGCGAGGTGGTAGCTCTCTTCAACATCCCCAACAGACCCTCCGTCACCGGCGGCGGTGGAGGCACAGGACGTTCAAGTCGCATGTCGTCGGCTCCCAACAGCGCCGCCGCCAGCGAAGTGGACGAGAATGAGGAAGAGGAGCGCATTCAGAAGCGCCTCGAACGTCGTCGCGATCAGCTTTGGAGCAAGACGCTCAGCTGGTACTTCTTTGCCGCCGCCAACTACTTTTTGTATGGCGAGTCGATCATCTACTACTTCAAGCACATTGTCTTTGTCGACGCCTACTTCATCCCCTTCGCCCGGCACCATCGCTTCCTTTCGTTCATGCTCTACGTGTTTGGCTTCATGGCGTTCGTCTCGAACCTCAAGCGTCGCAACCTCAAGTACCAATTCGGCCTCTTCTGCTGGGTGCACATGTCGCTGCTTCTCATCGTGTTTTCGAGCCATTTCATGGTCAACAACATCCTCGAGGGGCTCATCTGGCTCTGGGTTCCTGCTTGCCTCGTCGTTTGCAATGACGTCTTTGCCTACGTCTGCGGTATGACGTTCGGCAGGACGCCATTGATCGACCTCAGTCCCAAGAAGACAGTTGAGGGCTTTGTGGGAGCCTTCTTCGTCACCGAGGTGTTTGCCTTCGGTTGGGCCACCTTGTTCCAACGCTACAACTACTTCATCTGCCCCGCTGTCAGCCTGGGCATGAACGCATTCAAGGAGATCACCTGCGAGATCAACCCTGTTTTCCACTGGCACTACCTTTCGCTGCCTCCTGCGCTTTCGTCGTTGGCATCTTCGATCGTAGGTCACCGCGTTTCTTCGCTGCCCTGGACTCCTTTCCAGCTGCACGCTCTCGTATTGGCTTCCTTCGCCTCGCTGGTGGCGCCCTTCGGAGGTTTCTTTGCCAGTGGCTTCAAGCGTGCCTTCAACATCAAGGACTTTGGTGACAGCATTCCCGGTCACGGTGGTCTCACCGACCGGTTCGACTGCCAGTTCCTGATGGGTCTTTTCACGTACGTCTACTACACTTCGCTCATCCGAGAGCACCACGTCACGGTCGGCACGGTGCTGCAGACCGTCGTCACTCAGCTCACGCTCGATGATCAGATTGAGCTGTACAACGAGATCAGCCGCTACCTCGTGGGCCAAGGCAAGCTTCCCAAGGCTTGAGATGCTGGCTGTCTTGACCCGTTCTCATCATCTCTTGTACTCGTATTCACCACGCTTCGATGGAGCAATCCCTCTCGTGTCTGTCGGAATTCCAAGTCATCATCACCAACAATGCAGCGGACGCTATGGCCCAGCTTCCGGCGTTGAGTTGTGACTGAGCTCGGCGCGATTGTGTGAGTTCGTAGGTTGGCAGCGGCAAGATGAGGAGGTCGTGGATTTCAGGTCCTCAATTTCGTCGTGTGTTTTTTGGCGTCGTAAAACACTGCCTCGAAGTGAAGCGCGAGAGCAAGGTAGGCAGAGACAGGTGAAGTGCCCCCAACGTGGCTTGGCCACCTTAAATCTTATTCAAATTGCGCAGTCAACATCACTCAACACCATCGCCTCTTCGACGCTAACACCATCTCGACCTCGTTCAGCTATAGGACCTCCTGCGCTTCAGCTTCTCTTCGTTCTTCCGATCACAAATACACTCGCTCTCTGTCCCTCTCTCTCCTCGCATTAGCGGCGCGCGGTCATTTGCACCGCCGCTCCCGCTCGTCACCGATCTCGAACCCTGGAGCAGCTCATATCGCCGCCGACAACAACACATCGTCACTCGAAGGGCTCGCCGGAACTGCAATATCGATTCTGTTCTCAATCGCTTTCCCTCTCCTTTTCTCAACGCTCATCATGCTTCTCTCACGATAACCCATTCGTCTCACTGGCAGCAGCCTCCACGCCTCGGGAACCATCACGTAGCTCATCAGCTCTACCGAGGCCACAGTAACGAGCTACGATGTCCTACTGGGCGTCATCCGCCGAGGCGGGGCCTTCGCGCTCACCGCATACGCCCTCAAAATCGCTCGCTCATATCGTCTCCTCGTCGATGACAAAGATGCCAATGCCATCCAACTACCATCTCGCGTCCACATCCGCGTCCAAACACGAGTCTCACGTCCCAACTCTCCTCGTTCGGTCCGCCACAGAGCACGATCTGTACAATGCGGAGCACAAGTCGTCGCACGTATTTGCCTACGGCGGTATGGCACATTCGTCACCGTCAACGGATTCAACGTCTACATTCTCACCCGCCGCTCCGTATCGCACCACCTTCTCCAACCCATCCTCGTCTTCCATCTCATCCTCCGGTCAGCACCGCACTTTGTCTCATCGCAACTCCTTCAGCTCCGTTTCAGCTTCTGACTTCGGTAGCTCCGCCATGAGTGATCGCATGAGCTGGGGCCGCAGCTTGAAGAGGCAGAGCAATAAGAGCTCGCAGGACATCAAATACAACCTGGGTCTCCGTACGCCTGAACTCGGCAAACGAGATGGCGGTCGACTTCGATCCAACACCGAAGGCTCAACGGCTGTGAACAACAGCAGTGGCGATGTCTTCCTCTATTCGAGCCGCAATGTGGAAGCCAGCTCAGAGAGGACCCACCCACCCCGCTTCATGCATCAGCGACGCAAGTCGGACGGTCCGCAGCGATCAAAACATGACATTGGCTTTGAATCGCTTACTCACGGTCGCAGTCATCGCATCATTCGATCGCAGTCCTCCAACACCTTATCAAATGCATTCTTGGACACGCGCAACTACAGACACCAGCCCAGAAACAGCCTCAATAACCTCAGCCTTGTCAAGGACGAGGACGAGGAGATCCTCGTCTCGAGCGACCGCATCGAAATGCCGAGCTCGCCTCTGCGAGAGTCTCAGACCCTTGCAGACTGGGATCTCGAGGATGCACCGCCGCCTTCCTGGCTCTGGAGGAGAATCGACGATCAGGAAGCGCTCGACCGTCTGGCCATCATGACTTCGAGCATCTCGTCAAAGATGTTGCGTAGACGATCCGGCGAGATCGTCAACGGCGCAGCTCGTTCGGCCGCGCACGCGACCAAAAGGAGTCTGCAAGCCATTCGCAGAGCAGGCAGCTTCGACGTCGGGTCCAAGTTCTCGGAAGACACAGGCATCGAACGCACTCGTACGCGGTCCAACTCATCTTCCTCCCTCCTCTCCCATCTGGGACTGCCACCACGACGCGACGTCCGGCATCGGCGCTCCCAGACACTGTGCAACATCGACTCCTCGCATCCGGCCATCCACGTTGCGTTGGAGGATGGCACGCCACCGTCCGTCTCGCTTCCCGCCTCGGTCACCAACTCGCCCAAACTGCTAGGTCTCGGATTACTACCCGAGGGCAACAGGCCCCACGCTTGGCGCTTCTCTCAGATCGCGGAGGTTGAGGACGAAGACAAGTCGTTCTCCAAAGATCTGCCGCAAATTCCCCCAGAGCAACCCGAGCCCGCTTCCTCTGGAAGCGATCAAGAAATGCAGAGGCAAGGATCCATGTCTACCCAGGCATCGCCAGAGACGGACCCGAAAGCCCTTCCATCGGCGTCAGAAGCGCCCTTGGCCTCGGCTGAGCACGTGCCACAGTCTCCCGGCCGCTCAGAGAAGGATCGTCGCCATGGTCTCGCCAAGCGATCCTATGCTGCTCTGATCGATCTGCTGAATCCAGCTCTTCACAAGGAGGGCAAGCTGCAATCTCGAAGTCGCCAAGCATCGCTGAGTGGGCCCGTACCGGCACCCGCGCTCGCGAATGGCGAGCACGGAGGAAGGACTGCATCCGGTGGTTGTGGATCTGGCTACGTCGCATCGGGTAACGCCGGCGGCAGAGCCCGTGGTACCAGTTCGGCCAGTCGTGGAAACGGTATGCATGGCGGAGGCAGTGGCAGCGGTAGTGCTGGTGGCGGTGGTGGTGGCGGAGGTCAGATGAACAGAGGCAACGGAGGCAGCGGATCAGGCGGTGGCGGGCCTCCAGATCGTCGAGGAGGACCGCCTCGCGGCGGAGGCAATTCCTCCTCAGATGTCGCTCCTCCCGTCAACTCTGTCTACCGACGCCTCGAGCTTGTTGGCCGCGGAGCATACGGTGCCGTGTACCGTGGTGTCCACGTGGAGACAGGCGCAGCAGTCGCGCTCAAGGTGGTTAACCTGGACACGCCGGACGACGATGTCAGTGACATCCAACGAGAGGTGGCGCTTCTCAGTCAGCTGCGCGAGGCTGCGACCAAGAATGTGGTGCGCTACTGGGGATGCTGGCTCAAAGGTCCGGAGCTGTGGATCGTCATGGACTTTGCCGAAGGTGGCAGTGTCCGCACTCTGATGAAGGCGGGACCCATCGCAGAGCGATACTGCGCCGTCATTGTGCGAGAGACGCTGGTCGCGCTCAACTACCTGCACAAGTCCGGCATCATTCACCGTGACATCAAAGCTGCAAACATCCTTCTCACCAGCACCGGTAGGATCCTGCTTTGCGACTTTGGCGTCGCTGCGTCATTGGCATCCAGCAGCGTGCATAGCAAGCGCAGCACCTTTGTCGGCACGCCGTACTGGATGGCACCTGAAGTCATCACGGAAGGCAAGACATACGATCAGAAAGCCGACGTCTGGAGTCTCGGTATCACGATCTACGAGATGGCCACGGGCAATCCGCCGCTCGCCGATGTCGAACAGATGCGCGTCATCATGCTCATTCCCAAAAGCAAGCCTCCTCGGTTGCCGCTGGAAAGCGACTTTACGCCCTCGATGCGCGACTTTGTCGCTGCCTGTCTCAACGAAGAGCCTAAAGAGCGAGCCACGTCGGAGGAGCTCAACAAGCTCAAGTGGATCAAGACATACGCAAAAACGCCCGTCAGTGTGCTCAAGGAGGTCATCCAGGCGTACAACGCATGGACCAAGGCCGGCGGCATGCGGATGAGTCTCATCGGCGCCGAGACAGCCGACTGGGGCGAGGCTGGGAATCGCGACTCGTTCGCCTTCGACGGTCGAGAGACGGGCGAGGGTTGGGAGTTCAACACGCTCCGAAGTGCCAGAGAGTGGGACGAGGATGAGGAGGAGGTCGATGGTCAGCCTGCGCCTATTGCCATTCGAGACCATCCACTGCTGAGGCTCTTCGATATCGAGCCGAGTGATGGCGCGACAGGCTCGGCGGGGATGTACGGACAGAGGGGTGGAGGAGCGTCTGAGAACGCGAATGCAAATACGTGGAGGGCAGGCGCGCCGAACGGGCCAGCGACGGCGACGCTACGAGCGCAGCAAGCACCGCCGCAGCTCACACAGCAACAAGCGACTATGCAAGGAACTCTGGCAGCCGCTCCCGGTGCTCCTCTGCTGACGACCAAGCCGTCCCTACCAAGCATGCAGGAGAAGGCCAGCTTCACAGGCACCGGCAACACGCCTTTCCGCTTCGGTGTTGGTGGCGTAGTCGGGTCAGCACAGCCGCCAGCCTCGCCGATGACCGCGACCCCACCTCGAGAGCATGTCCCGATGCGCAAACGCTCGCAGTCGCTCACCAAACCCAGCAGCGGCTCTTCCGGCATTCAGACCAATGCTCGACCTGAAATGGCGGCCATTGTCATTCCCGACTCTCGCTCCTTGCATGATCTGGCCTCACCTACTTCCACCAAACAGCCCGCCGTCAACCCTCCGCGCCCAGCCGCCTCGCGCATGGGCCGCGCAGAGAGCAACGACACGACCTCGACCACCAACGCTCTGTACACCGACCTCGATCGCGGCATCGAGACGCCTGGCGAGCTGATCGCGCACAATCGCCAGTCGCATGGTGGCAGCGACCCCACAGCTGCCGGTTCGCATGCATCGCCCTCGCGTCATCTGCAGAACCTCTGGGATCGAGGAGCGAATGCGCAGGCGTACAGCCGGCTAGCGAGGCTGCGAGCTGGCTACGTACAGGAGCGCAGGCAGAGTGGAAGCATGGGTAGCGGCAGCGATGAGACGCCGGTCACGCCGACGACAGCGCTGCCGCCGCCCTCGCTGACTGCTGGCAAGGCAAGCGCGCCGACGGCAGCAGTGCAAGCGAGGCTCATGGACCCACCCCCACCGCTGCAGCCATTGGACTTTGCGACGTTGAAGACCAAGGAGCAGGTCTCGGCGAGTCTGGGCAAGACCGTGGATGAGTTGGGCAAGTGGTTGGATGTGCTCAGTCTGGGCTTGGGGCGAGCTGTACATTCGGATCTGTAGATCTTCACCGCACAAGCAAGGAATGGACCTTCAGTCACCATACAAGAATAGCTCGTCTTCGAGAGTCGAGGGCGCGATAGAACAGTGGGACCCTTGCTATCTTCCTGACAGGACCCTCGGGCTGTGTATGAGAGAGACCGAGAGAATTCGCCGCCGTTGAGGAGAAAGAGGGATTTTTGCGGTGATGTTCCAAACTCCGCCCACTTGGCGGCCCACGCTTAGGGGGTTTGGAAAGGAAGCGGCCAGCAAGCCACTAAAATTTCGTCATGCAAGTCACAATCAGCTGCAGCCCAACGTGGTCCTGATACGCCTTGAAACCATCATCCTCTCTTTCCTCATCACCATCAACCCTTCTAGATACCCTCCAATGCTTCGTCTTGCCTCAACATCGCCATAGAGACACATCACGCTCGTCTGCAGCTCAGGCACGCTCGTCGGGTCCGTAGACATGTCTCCCACCAACGCAGGCAGTAGCGCTGCTGCCCCGGTCCCCGCCTCGACCAAACGACGCTCCTCGAGCAGCGATGCCAAGCCGGGTCCTTCCTCCAGCTCTCGCCGGCCGCCAACATGCTCCGCCACATCCGCGCGCACCTCACCCGTCAACACCGTCACTGGCTTTGCAGCACCACCTCGCCCACGCCCGCCGACGTCTCCTTCCAAGAAAGCGCGCGCGTCGGCATTCCCTTCGAGCTCGCGCTCGCCCACACCCACCAGCAGCGCCGCCTCCAGCCGCCGGAGCAGCGTCGTTCTCGATAGTTCGGCGTACCGGTACAGCCTCAATGTGGGCAGCATCAACCGCTTCCCTGGTGGCACGAGTGGGGGCGAGATGCTTCGTGCTGCCGCGGCGCAGTCCGAAGCGGCGATCGATCCTAGTCGAGCCTCGATAAGCTCGGATGCGAGCTCACGGTTGAGCTCGCGGTATACGGCGGAAGAGGTGGCGCCGCAGCGCAGGCCCGTGTATTTGGCGCTGCCGAGCGATCCGAGTGCTGTCGGCGTGTGGAGCAGTACCACTCTCGCCCCGCCCTCCGACTCCGGGGATAAGAAACCCGCGACGAAGGGGAAGAAGTCCGAAGAGGGGAAGCGGAATAGCAAGGTGATGACGAGCTTTCCCTTCCCGCATCCAGCGACGCCGCGTCGACGCGGTGGGGCAGGGGGCGATGCACCCGCGGGCGGCACCGGTGGAAGAGGGATAGGCGCAACATGGCAGCGTCTGCTCACCGCCATCTTTGCCGGACCGTACGAACGGCAGTTGAACAGGGAGGAGCAGGAGGACGATCGAATCACGCAGTCGATCATCCACGACATCGCCCGGCGCAACGGGGGGCAGGTCCCACTCCCGTCCAACTACGGTACCTTTCCCCAAGCGGAAAGCGACGATCCGAACGACCCGTATGGATATCGACAGCTGGCAGGCTCGCATCTGCTCCCCTCATACACGTCGGATCTGATCGCGAGGCGGAGGGAGAGGCGGAGAGCGCGGAGTCGGGCGCGGTTCCAGTGCATGGCGAGCTGGACCATCTGGACGGTGAGCGTGCTGTTGGTGGTGATCGTGGTGGTGCTGGTGTATAGTTTTGTGTATCCGGATCGATTGGATATACCGAACCACTCGGATGAGGGGGACGAGGATGCGGTGATGGTACTGGGACTGGGCAGCGTGGTCCAATGGGCGATTGCGACGGGGAGGAATGGTGCCGGGAGATAGGATTGGACATGGACAGCAACGTAGACTTTCATACCCTTCATAGAGCACGCTTTCGTATAGCTTCACACGCATGCTTCGGATCTTACGACACTTTCACGACTTCACGCTTCTGCATTCACTGCGTTGATAGTTTCCATTGCAAACACGTTCATGCCCCACTCTCCTTTGCCATCTGATCGGCCCGCTGCTTGGCAACAAACCAAGCGATCCCCCTGATAACTTCGCTGCACCTCTCCACACCCACATCCTCGGCCGGCGGCACATGCACGAACAGCACCAGCGTGCCCCGTCCATCGCGCTTCGCCTCGCACAGCGAGCAGTAAAAGATGTAATCGCACAGGTAGCGGCCGGGATCGAACGATTGTTGGAGTTCCTCCTTCCGCACCCCGCAGCTGTGAAGGGAGGCGATGAGGGAGGAGACGGGTACGGGGGTGGATTCGATTGCGTTGAACCCCTCATACGACGAGGGGAAGCCTCGGGGATGGCCATCTTGATCGAGGTATTTCGGGTTGAGTCTCTCCAGCTCGGTCGAAGAGAGGGTGATGCGCGGGGCGAAGGCGGTGTGAGCGTCCGGTTTGCCGTACGAGTACTGGTGCGCTTGGGTCTCACACCGGATCGAGCCACCACGACCGACGCCCACGTGGATGACCACATCCCATCCGTCTGGCGGAGCGTCGAAAGGGTATGCGTCGGGATAGTGCTCGCCGACCTTGCCTCCAAAGTCAGGATCCAACCGGGGGTCGTGCCAGAACTCCGCCTCGGGTGGGGGTGTTTGACCGTGCAGACGGGGTACAAGATCCAACACCGATCCGTAGTGTACCGGCACTTGAAGGGTTTGCACCCTCGCCTGCACCCTCTGTCCCCCACTCTCGGAAGCAGGAGCCGTCGAAGAGCCCGGCGGCGACAGCGTTGGCGACGTCGATAGGTCGAGAAGCGTATTGTGTAGCGGTTTGACGGCTAACCAGGACGGATTGTTGCCCACGGACATGAACGGTCCGAAGCCGGTGAGGAGGATGTTGAGCTCCCGACGTGGTGTTGGCGCCATCGTTACAAGCAGTCGAGATCGAGTGGTGCGAGTCGATGTGTTGAGGTGGTTGTATGCGAGCAAGAAGCGCGGCTAGCACTCTCCAGGATGGAGGGTGAATGCGCGTGGGGTAAAAGAAGGGGTCATGCATAGCCGTGCGCGAGAAAAAGACGGATTTGGGCCGAAGCTCCAAAAGTCCGCCGGGTTGAAGACCGGATCTCGAAACCTCACCTTGCACCTCGTCAAACTACTCTCAAGGCACTTGAAATGACCGAAAGACACTCGAACAGACAGGAAGTGATGATGCTGAATGTGTGCATGTGATTGCGAAAGGTGACTGTGAGTGTGCGATGTGCAGAGGAAGAGTGACATTATAAATACAGAGCAAGTGACGAGCGAACAGTCCAGACTCGGATAGCATCGCCATGGGTTGCGCGTCCTACCATCAAGGTGGACGGCGGGCAACACGGCTTCACTTTGGAGCGAACATCGTTCGATGGGATGCAAGCGATGAGTCAACCAGCGACTCACCACTACTAGGATGCAGTCTCCATAAGCTTTTTAAGGGGCAGCACCGATCCACGACCAAGTCAGACCGTTGAGACGACCCAGACTCATATCCGCCAGCGCAGCGAATCCGCTCGGTGTAAAGTCGAGATCACCCCAGGCACATCCCTCGCAGCGATCGGCAACCGACACGGTGATGGTCTTGCCTCCGTAGGTAGCGGCGATCTTGTGACCACAGGCGGGGTTGTTGTTGGGGTTACCCGTGCCGAACGAGTCGAAGAGCGAGTGCGAGATGGCCACAATGTAGTCCGAGTCGCCGTTATACTTGCCGCAGGCACCCAGACCGGGAGCGTAGTACGTCGCCTGACCGGAGAAGTGACCTGTGGTCGACTGGGAAGAGCCGCTGTTGTTGGTGTTCTGGGCGGCGTTGTTCTTGCTTCCGGTAGCTGCGGCATTGCCAGCACCGCTAGCGGGCGTTGAGGTCTGAGGAGTCGAGGTGGAGGCGGGAGTGGTGTCCTCCTCGCACTCGTCCGAGTCGGAGCCCGACCTACCTTGCGACGAGCCAGCGTTGTTGTTGTTGGACGGAGCAGGGGTGGAGCTGGGCTTAGGTTGAGTCTGCTCCTGCTTGGGCTGCGTCTGTTGCTGCTTGGGCTGTTCTTGCTGAGCAGGTGTGGATGAAGACTGAGCGCTGGAGTCCGAGGACGAAGTGGGCGTCGATGAGCCAGAGTCGGAGGAAGACGGCGAAGAAGAGCCACCAGACTTGCCGTTCCAGTACTCGTCAAAAGAGGGAGGAGTCTTGCCAGCGTTGAGATCAGCAATGGCAGCCTGCTGCCACTCTGCATTCTTGGCGTGGAAGTCGTCGTCCCACTTTTTGAGCGCAGCAGCCTGAGCGATCTGCTCGGCGGTCTGCCTCTTCTGAACCATCTTGCTACCGCTTGCGAGAGTGACCGAGCGATGCGCCGGGCGCGCTTGGATCATGGCAGCATGACGACGGACGGCTGCGTTGTGGCTGATGGTGGGCTGTGCGGCCTGCGCGACAGTCAGAAGGGTGAGGGCCACGAAAGCGAGGAGGAGGGTCTTGGCGCAGATCATTGTGGTGAGGTGAATGAGGGACGTAAAAGGAGCAGATGCAAGATGGGAGAGAGAAAACCAAAGAAACCGGCGCGATCAACGCTGCTGGATCGAGTAGAGAAGCAGAAAAGCGACCGAAGACGTGAGAGGAGAGAGAAAGAGGATGAGGAAAAGGTGATGGAGGTGAGGAAGGAAGGTCAAGAGAGCGACTATGTATATACGACGGTGAGGAAAGCGCGAGGAAGGGCAAACGGAGAAGCGCGTCTTTGCTGTCAGGCGAGCACACACATGTCACCCGCAACGAGCGTCCAAGGTTCAGCCAGCGCAGGGCAGAGTCGTACAATAGGCTCAGGGGCTCGAGGCTGCGCATCGATTGATGCAGGAGCAGAAGCGCTGGCTGTAGGAGCTGCATGATGGCATGTCAGGCAGCTGCAGTCCTTCCGCTGCGTATGTCTGTTGCCGAAGAGGCGGCAGATTGGACTGTCGGAGGTCGGAAAGAAGCGCCATTGCTGCGCTCCGCTGACAGGAGCGGATGCTGGCAAGTAGCTTCTCATCGCAAGGCTCAAGCTTTGACCTTTGCTGAGCGTGTTGCACAAAGGGACAGCGAGCGGAGAGGCGTTGGTTGAGCAGGGTCGGACACGCGTCCTGCAAGACGTGAGACGTGCATAAGGTTCCCAGGCCAACGCCGAGCCGCACACCACAGTTTGACAAGTCGATTTGTGCCTGCGTGGGAAAAATGCAGGGCAGCCCCGAGCCAGCGCAGTGAGAAACTTCAGGCCCATCGACCAACTCCAGTGCCAGCAGCAACGTGCCGCTTCCTCCTCCCCTGCCTAAGACCCTCGAGCGAGCGGTCATGGCGGCTAGGACGGTACCGCTGCCGCTGGATGCTGCACATGTTGCCGAGCTGTGAGCCTCCCTGACACCGCCGTCTTCGAGCTCCGCTTCACAGCTCGCCGCACAGCTGCCACGCGTCTGGACCAAAGGCAATCCTCTGCAGCGTCTTGGGATGTCCTGCATTCAATCATGGTCTCACCACGAGGCCAAGGCGTCGGCCGGATGATAGAGTCTCCTGCTTGACGCTGAGAGAGGCACCGGCTGAGCCACTCGACGTTTCCGAGGCACAAGAGGCAAAGGGCCGGAAGGAGGCGAATGATTTTAGGCTGTTACATCGTCGTTTGTTCCTCGCAAACCCCAAAAAATATTGGCCCCCGTTTCCCGAAAAAAAGTGGGCGAGAACCCTTTCCAAGTTTTTTCTCTCTTGACGGCCTTCTGAAATTTTTGAGAAGCAGCAGCTGAGCCCTTCATTCAGCAGTCCCGTCTTGATCATCGTCCTCTCTCCTGCCATACCTTTCCCTCGACGCACATCAAGCATCATGGCGAGGGACTTCAGACCAAAAGGAGCAAGGTCAGCGCCACGCGACACCGCTTCGGCCAAGTCGACGCCCGTCAAGCAAGTGTCGAGCTCGCCAGCAGTCTCCCAATCCACATCGAAGCCAAAGTCAAGCACGCCCAGCAAGAAGAACGATGCATACGACTCGGATGACAGCGTCGACGAAGCTACCTTGATGCGCGAGATCGAGAGCTTCGGTGGTAACAGAGATGATCTCGATCTCATCTCAAAAGCCAACCTCAAGAAGAAGTCAGATGTTCAGATCGACGAAGCAGCCTTCTCTGGCGAAGTTGCCGCTTTCCTCAAGCAGCTCCAATCCGACCCCAACTCTTCCGAGCCCGCTTCGATCCCCTCCAAGAAGAAGGAGAGAGAGCCAAAGCCTGTTGCAGAGAGCTCAAAGAAAGCAGAGGCCAAGAAGCAGAACACCGAAGTCGCTCAGCCCAAAGACAAATCCAAGCCAAAGGACAAGAACCCCAAGCAAGCAGATGCCAAGGCGCAGAAGCCACCGAAGCCGTCCACCTCGCAAACTGGTGCTGCAGAGAGCACAACAGTCCAACGCATGGGCAAGGGCAAGAAGATGGTATTCGATGACGAGGGCGTTGGCAAGGAAACCAAGGCCAAGCCCTCGCTCCACGCTACGGGGCCATTGCGCTTGGAGGCAGTTCCGCAATGGATGTCGCAAACCATGCCCAAGCTTCCTTCCACCAGCACTAGTAACGACTCGCTCTCACATGACCGCATCACACAGCTGCTCGACCTGGGCGCCGATCTGCTGCGTCAAGAAAGTCGAGCTTACGACGACATCACCAGCAGCGAAACCTCGCTCAACAAGGCCGGCGGCAGCATTGGTACCCTCAGCGCCTCCGATGCACGATTCGTTCGCTCGCTTCTTTCTTCAGAAGGCGGAGGTACACTCTCGGATAAGATCTCGGCTTTGACGCTGTTGGTGCAGAGCAGTCCAGTGCACAACGTCAAACACCTCGACAGCCTGCTCAACATGACGCGCAAAAAGAGTCGAGAGGAAGCGAGCCGTGCTACGCGCGCACTCGCCGATTGGCTCGCCAGCGAAGGCGGTCTCGGCTCGAGAAAGCTGCGCTACTTCCGAGATCAGCCTCAGCTCGCTGCTGCTTCTGCCGCCCTCTCCTCTGGTGACCTCGTCGCTGCTGAGGCTGCCAAAGCGCATCTGCTACTGTGGGCCTTCGAGGACCAACTCAAGAAGTTCTACTTCCAGTTCCTCCAGGTCCTCGAGGTTCAATCGCACGACACCATTCCCTTCACACGTAAGCAGGCCACCACGCAGACCTTCATCCTGCTCCGCGACAAGCCAGAGCAGGAGCAGAACTTGCTGCGTCTCCTCGTCAACAAGCTTGGTGACCCGGATCGAAGCGTCGCCGCCAAGACCAGCAACCACATCCTCGAGCTGCTCACCGCTCACCCTGCCATGAAGTTCATTGTCGTCCGCGAGATTGCAAACCTCATCATGCGCCCTACGCCTGTAGCAAGCGCGGAGGACGACGAGGCCGGCAAGACGAGCAACCACAGCACGCACGCCCGCTACTACGGTCTCCTCACGCTCAACCAGACCGTGCTGACCGCCAAGGACGAAGCGACGGCCAACCACCTCATCCTGCTCTACTTTGAGCTCTTCGAAGGCGTCCTCAAGCAGAACGAGGTCAAAGAAGCCAATGGCACCGCCGAGGGCGAAGACGCGGACGAGGCGCCCAAGAAGAAGGACAAGAAGCGATGGAAGGATCAGCCGCGCAAGGGCAAGGGCAAAGGAAAGGGCAAGTCCAAGGGCAAGCAGGCTGCCTCTGCCAAGCCTGAAGAACCCAAGCTGGTGAAAGATGCCGAATCCAAGATGGTCGTCGCCATCCTCACCGGTGTCCGCCGAGCCTTCCCCTTCGCCAAGATGGAAGCCTCCGTCTTCGAAAAGCACGTTAATACGCTGTTCAAGATTCTGCACACCGGCTCGTTCAACATCAGCATCCAGGCGCTGCAGCTCATCTTCCAACTCACCGTCTCGAACCCGCATCAGGAGTCGTCCGCCGTGCTCACATCGACCGCCATCACGGACCGCTTCTACCGCGTGCTGTACGACTCGCTGCTGGACCCGCGCCTGGAGGCGTCGAGCAAGCAGGCCATGTACCTCAATCTCATCTTCCAAGCGCTCAAGGCGGATGCCGAGCAGGAGCGAGTCAAGGCGTTTGTCAAGCGTATCTGCCAGATTTTGTCGTTGCATCAGCCGTCGTTCATCTGCGGATGCCTGCATCTGCTTGGTGAGCTGTTCAGGCGTACGCCGGGGTTGCGCGCCATGCTGACCGAGCCAGAGGAGGATGACGAGGAGCACTTCCAGGACATTGCATCCAGCGATGACGAGGATGAGGATGCTGCGGCGAAGAGGCAGCCCGCCGTCGCAGCTGCTGCCAAGGACGCATCGACAAAGTACGACGGCCGCAAGCGCGAGCCACGTTTCGCCCATGCCGGCGCGACTTGTCTATGGGACATCCTTCCCCTGCTTGCTCACTACCACCCGTCGGTTTCGGTCCACGCCTTGCAACTGCTGGAAGGCGGCAAAGTCAGCACCAACGCCGACCTGAGTCTCAACACGCTCTCGCACTTCCTCGACCGCTTTGTGTACCGCAACCCGAAGCAGAAGGCATCCCTGCGAGGAGCGAGTGCCATGCAGCCTATGGCGCAGGTAGGAAGCGGTGTCACGCGGTCCCGCACGCACGCGCTCAACGAGGGCGAGTTCTTCAACACCGAGGCGTTCTGGAAGAAGCGCACCGACAGCATCCCAGCAGACCAGCTCTTCTTCCATAAGTTCTTCAACCTCAAGTCCAAGCAGCCGTCGAGCTCGCGGGTGCAGAAGGCCGGGGACGAGGACGCGCTGGTGGGGTCGGATGACGAGGTGGTCGCGCCAGCAGTGATGGAGGAAGACGAGAGCGAGTTGGATAGCGACGACGACGCGGACGAGAAGGAGATCTGGAAGGCCATGAAGGCGACCATGCCAGGCAAGGAAGAGCTGGAAGGGTTGGAGGATAGCGATGATGAGGATGACGAGGAGTTCGACTACGTGGACAGTGAGGCGGAAGAGGCGGCCGAAGATGACGGACCGAACGTCATTCCTGGCATGACCTTCTCTGACAAGGATGAGGACGAAGATGAAGACGAGTCCGAGGCTGAAGAGCCGTCCACTCGCGCTTCCAAATCCAAAGCGAGCACCCAAGAAGACTGGGAGGAAGACGAGTCGGACGGTGGCATCTTTGACGAAGACGACGACGATCTCATGCCGTTCACCGACTTCAACCCGAAGAAGCGCGGTGCTGACTCTTCTGACGACGAGGAGGAGGACGATGCTGCCGAGGGTGTGGACGCGAAGAAGCGCAAGAAGCAGGCGGACAAGAAGAAGATGAAGAAGTCGATGCAGAATCTGCCCACGTTTGCGAGCGCTGCGGACTATGCGCACTTGCTCGGCGGTGACGATGATGATGACGAGTAAACGACTTCGCTGTATTGCACGGGAATTCACACGCCGCAATCTCACGTGTACAAGTATCAGTTGTTCCGATATCGTGTATGCTCACAAAAGTCAATTGAGGGCTGAAGCGATCGAGCTCGCTTGTATGAATTCATCCTTCGCCCGCATGGTGAGAACCTGCGCGGTGCACTTTTCTCTCTCGCAAGGCTTGCTAGGGACGTCGGAGAAACAAAAAGTGGGATCCGTCGGGAAGGCGAGGAAGAAATCTTGGATTTTGACAGGAGATGCCGCTCCAGACAAAAGGCCAACTTGCCGCCCGACAGCTCTACCAAAAAGGCAGCTTTCAGAGATGCCAACAAGAGAATTTGGACGCCATCTGGCGAGCCTAAGCGAGCCGAGACGCACCCGCCGAGCAGAGATTGGACAAAACAGATCGCGCGAGCTCACCGTACCGCGCGCGGGGGGGGCAGAGCTGTCACACAACTTGATCCGCTCGTTTGGCGAGTTCATTTGTGCGACCCTATTGGAGCCTGCATCTCGCTTCTGTGCTACCCACCTGCAATCGATCTGCCTCGCGACGCCCGCCCGGGCGCCACAGTGGTTGCAGCTCCGAGCCTCATGTCCGACAATGAAATGGCGACAATGCGTGGGCGAATCTGGAGAATGAGCATGGCGACTCCATCAGATCTGCTGTTTGCGTGAACTGTTGAAGTATCATCAAATGACTTGTGCAAGGATGGACCGACGTGACAAGTGAGGGTGACGGCGTTCAATGGTAGAGCGGCAGAGCGCTTGCTTGTCTTGCAAGAGCGAGAGAGACTTGAACAAGTGCCCGTGCGTCTGGGCTCACCAACTCGCCGCGTTGCACTCGGGGCTGGCTTCGGTTTGAGAGGGCTTCACGCTCCCCCCTCCCCCGCTTTCGCCGAATAATGATGTCGCCACATGCTGCCTCGTCTATTTTACATCATTTATTTTTTACCCCTCGTTTCTTCAATCCTTTGGGCCCACTGCTGCGCCGTGGACTTATTTTTAATCCCATGTCTCACACTGCTGCAGCCCGCCTGCGCTCTCTTCTCTTTGCGGCGCGCTCCAACTCTGAGTGTGTGTGCGAGGCTCAACGGCTGGCGGATTGCATCCTCACCAAATCAATCACTCGCCATCACATCTTCTTGCTCTCTCACTCGAGCTTCTCTTTGCTTCTTGTCTCAGCACGATCATCCCCCCCTCTTGACCTTCTACTTCGCTTCGCCAGATCAGCTTTGTATCCTACGACGGTAGCAGCTGCAGTCACACAATCTCTCCTGGTGATCCGACATCGACCACTCGAGCTTCAAGCCTCCTCTCTGCCGTTCATCCATCGCATCAGTCCTTCGCTCGATCAGTGCGACCCATCTCACATCTCGCCAAGAATCGTCATGGACACATGATCTCGGCTACACGTATCTGCTCGACGCTTCCATCTTCGGCTCAGCACTACAGCCGCTCAGACCTTCAGTCCTCTGCTTTCTGCATCCTCGTCTTCGTCCCCTCCTCCAACACGGTCGCACCGGCATAGAAAGGCATCGTGCGGGTCGCCATTCGCACGAGCCTTGGGCTTCACCTCGTCTCGGACCTAGACTACGTCCTGTGGATCGTCTCCGGCCCTGTACGCATGGATAAGCGACTTGCTCTTTTCTGCCAAACTCGTTGCGACATCTCGTCAAGGTTTGCTCTGTGCAGCCGCACGCCGCTCCGATCTGCGAGCCTATTCTTGGTTCGGCGATCATTTGCTCTCGCCCGGCTCATCGACGTTGCTTTGGCCAGCGTCGTTCAACATTAAGCTCACACAGGGGCTCTCTCCACACTATGCAAGGCACCGACCCATCCGCAGCGGCGGCGCCCTCGTCCTCTCTCCTGACTGCCGAGTCTCAGTCCGAGTTGAAGCGCAAGCCCACCTGGGCTCAGATCAGCTTTGACGACGGCTTCGATCTCAACATCGCCGGCACATCTGCTTTGGGCGCAAGCTCTGAAAAGACGGATCCTTCCTCCAGCTCAATGCAGGCCACAAAGGCAGCATATCCGGACAATGCAAATCCTGCGCACCCTGACACACAAGAGAACAAGAGATTCTCGGTCAGCTCTGCATCTTCCAACAAGGCGCTTCCATCAGTGCCACCTGCATCCAGCACCACGCCGATCAACATCGCAAACACCGATGCAGCGGACAGACGGCAACCATCCAGCGAATCACAGGCTTCCGCTACGCTTCGTCCCGGATCCTTTGGCGTTGCTAGCACCGCGCACGGCCGCGTCCCCTCGTCGCAGGACGGCACGCCCACGCCCAGATCGCCCATCACTCCGCAGGCACTCACCTTTGCTTCGCAAATGACCGCAGCTGCCACACCACAACAGCAGCCGCAGCGCTTAGAATCCGAGTCAACTCCGCTGGCCAAGCAAGCAGTGCATCAGCCTTCCCGATCTCACTCCGGCAGCGGATTGGCCGCCGATCAACAAACGCAGCCATCGCCGTCTCGTCCCATCTCTTCCGCCGATGCCTACATGCTTCCTTCCGAGAGCTCGAGTCGCCCAGGCACCGCCATGAGCCATCTCAGCGGCTCAAATTGGATGCACGATGGACCCAGCAACCGAAGCAGCGTAGGCACCACCTCGAGTACGCCTGTCAACCAGGCCAAGCGAGCTTCCGTGCTGTCGTTTCAGACCGCAAACAGCGCAGGCTTTACCAGCGGCGATGAAGCAGACGAGGAGACGTACGAACGGGAAGAGCTCGCCGACAACACATTCCATGCGTCTCCGGCTGCTCCTGGCATGGTCAACCACGCGCCGTTACCGTCCAACAACATGCGTCCGTGGATCGATCGCGGTCAGTCAGGCTACGGCTCCTCGAACGACGAGCGTCATGTCCCCGGCGGTCTCCCAGGCGCATTCTGGGATGCGCAATCCGCCCAATCCTCGCCTCGGCCTGCCATTCCTCGTCCTCATGCTCGTGAAGAGCTCCGATCTGCTCCTGCCGTCGCGCCAACACAGACGGATGCCGGCATTCCGAGAGCATCCGCGCAGAACGGACCAGCCGATGGGAGAGCCAGCGATGACAATGCCAAGAACGACAGCAGTCGGGATCTCCGCGAGTCAGCCGCATTGCTGCCAGAATCGACCCTCGCACCTATCAAGACACAAGGATTGGCACCTTCTCCAGCAAACTTGCCTCTCTCCTCGACTACCATCACAGCTCCTTCTGACGAGACCGCTCAAGTCATGCTTCGCTCGCCCGACTTCAACAGAGACCGACAATTGCCTTCGGTCGCGCCCAAAGACGCGGCCCCCTTGCCTCCCGCCAAGGACGTGCGGGCAGTCGAACACGTTGCTCCCAAGGTGTCCTTCGTTTCCACTCCCGACGCTGCTAACCGTAGGCTAAACGCCGCAGCGACTCCAGCACCCGTGGACAACGTCATTCCACCGCCGCTGCCAACGGAGGCAGTCCAGGCTCAGCCTGCGTTTGACCCAGGTATGCTCAGGAACGGCCCGACCCTGGTCTCCGACTATCGTAAGAAGCCGCTGGCCGACATTTCTCCAGCACAAAAAGCTGCCGGTCTCGCACATCTGCAGGCGCAGGCCAAAGGCCCTCAGCAGCAGTCCAGGACGGAAATGCAGTCGCACGTCCCCCCAACGAATCCACCAGCCGAGGCTCCACCCATTCCTGTTCTCGAACGAGGTCGCCGCAAGTCGAATGCTAGTCTCACAGCCAACGTGGCGCTAGCACAGCAGGCCGCCGCTGTTGCACCGGGAGCGCAAAGCGGCGACGCGATGGACAGGCCTGGAACCGCTAGCACCGAGAGCGTTTCGCACGAGTCTAGCGCCCCGCCTGACGGAGAGGTGGAAGCACGAGCCGAGTGGGAGCGTCGGCGCAGGATGAAGCGCAAGGACGGCAAGAAGCAGAACGACGTCACCAAGGCGCAGAAAGGTCGCTCGGACGCGTTCAAGACGCAGCTCAAACCTTTGCAGCTCGTTCCCGCCGACAACCTCACCGGTTTCAACGATCGAAATGGCGCTCCCAACACGGCCGCGCGTGGCAACGACGACCGCACCAGCATGGTCAAGGACGACCGAAATGTCAACGTACTGTCGTCTGCACCTGCTGATGCCAATTCGGCGAAGCAGACGTACAGCACACAGCAGCTGCAAAAGTTGCAGGCTCGCGAACAGCGGAGGAGCGTTGGCGCTTTTAGTGCCGCTATGGCCGCAGCCAATGTGGTGTCAAGCGGCAGCAACGGTCCATATCCGGTGTTTGCGTCTCCCGGCTCCGGACCGCAGAAGCCAGGCTCGCGCCAGTATCCCGGCCTCATGGCGCAACGAAGTCTCGTCCCGCCCTTCGAGCTGCAGCACCGACCAGACGGATTGCCTTCCGGCATGATCGGTCCCGACGGTGTGCGAAGGAGCCTCAATGATCCCGAGGTGTGTCTCGAATGCATGATGCGAGACGAGGATATGATCGACATCACCGTCGTTGGCCACGGCATCTGGGAGCGCGAAAGTGACAGGGACTTTGAAGAAGCTGTCCGACTCGAAGCCGAAGAAGCAGCAAATGGATCTGGTGTCTACTCTCCCGCCGAGGGCGACGGCCAGGGCGACAGTCGTAGCACACGAGGCTCGCGCAGGCCTCGCAAAAAGATCGGCAAGGGCGAGCCGCTGACCGTCGAACGACTCAAGCTGCACACGCAGATGAACCCGCCAGCCTCCTCGTTCCGCTGGCGCACACTACAGACATTCTTAGCCGTGCAGGCCAAGTACATCGCTATGGAGCAGTCGAGGATGCGACTCGAGGCGGAGAAGAAGGCGAGATCCATCGCTGACTCCACCGGCAACCGTGGCAGCATCGTCCTACCGGACGCGACTGGGCAGCAGCCAGAGCGCAGTCTGTCCTCTCCCTTTGCACCGCCACGCGACGGTTCTGCTGCGGTCGGCAGTGTCTCACGTCAGTCGATGCTGCCGACAACGGCAGACGACGGCGTGTTGACGCCTCAGCAAAGTCAGGAGAAAGAGCGAGATATTGCAGCAGCGCAAGCAGCCCGTAGAAAGATGACTGCCGGTACAGCGACAACGGAATCGGCTCTTGGCGCCGCCGCCGCCTATCCTGTCACGCCGCTGCAGACGCGCACGCTTCCTCAAACGGTGCCTGGACGTTCCAACTCCGATCCGGACGACCAGCTCGCTGCGCCAGCGTCTGTCGGCAGCGGTCTCATCACTTCCAATGGTGGCCGCCGAATGCCCTTTGCCTCGGCGCAAGCAGCAAGGGCAGCAAGCGTACAAGATCTCCGTTCAGCTGCCGATGCGTCTCGATCATCGCCCATCGGGTACCCCCTGAGTCCAGGAGACAGCCTCGTGCCTCCGTCCAGGTCGGTGCTGGGGACATCGCCGACCGGCACGCCTTCGCGGGTGGGTCGTTCGGGCGCATCTCAGTTGTCACTCATGCACAGCGGCTCGATGATCGATATGCACGTCGCACAGGAGGACCGCGTGGAGCACCGAATCAACCAGACAGGTTTCCTGCCCGGAACGCCTCTTGGTGTCGAGTCGCCGTCCGCGATCAACCGATCCTTTTACGGCTTTCCCGGGGATGGAGACTCGTCGCTTCCCGAGGCAGCCGCCTTCGAGCGATCCAGGTCCAGAATGGTGTCTGGTGATGGCTACGTGGACCCTATGGAAGCTGGACCGCGGGGACTCGAAGTGGACCAGGACGAGACCTCTCAGCAGCGCAAAAAGAAAGGCCTGCGTGGCCTCTTCTCCAAGCTTGCTGGCAGCAGCGGTGCTCCCAGTCGCCAAAGCTCGAGCGGTGCAGGCGCGGGCGGCAGCATCAATGGCAGCATCGCCAGCCGCAATGCCAGCAAGCGCTCGCAAGGCTCGGGCAACGACAGCCCTCGTGCTCGCAAAACTTCGATCAGCGCGGATCAGTCCCTCGATACCACGGGTCTGCCCCAGAATGGCATGCTCAGCAAAGCTCGCAAATCGACCTCTTCGTTCTTCCGCAACGGTGTCGAGCCGGCTGACGAGTCCAACTCACGTCCTATCCTGAGTGGGAACAATTCGATCTTCCAGAACCCATCAGGTATGGGTAGCCAGAACAGCATCGATCTCGGACCTTTCCAGTCTGCGTCGCCGCGGATGGACGCGTTCGCTAGCACCAATGGCCGTGTCATGCCGCAGCAGGACGCAGCGAGGATGCGGAAGGCGTCGAATCCCATGATCCAAAAGTACCTCAATTCGCCTTCGCCTCAAACGCAAGCTACCACCGGTGCGAGCCCCGCGCCCACGTCGCTACCTCCGACGAGCGGCGGCGTGCCCGGCGGTCGCATGACAAGTTATGCCAGCATGCGAGATCTTCGCACCTCGACCCTGCCACCCATTGTGGACGGCGAGCAATACGCGGAGGAGAGCGATGCGTACAAGTCGTACCGCTCGGGCGGTGGCAGCGCCGGCGTGCGCAAGGAGCTGCCCAGCATGCCCTTGTCGGCGGGTGTCGCAGAGCATCGACGAACAGGTTCGACCGGGGCAGGCGCATCAAGAAATTCAATGGTGGAACCGACATCGATGGCAGCGCCCGCACTCGTCGTGGCTCGGCCCGCCGGCAGCGGCCTCGGAGAATACGCGGCTCGTCCTAGCATGCAAGCATCTCGCAACGGGCGGAATGCGGACGGCTTTGGAGCGATGGCCGACGACGCTTCGATGGAAGGCAACGGGCCTCTGCGACCGCCTAAGAACCCACGCCGACCTGACAGTGTGTTCAACTCGCCCAGTTTGGCCGATTTCCATGATGGCAGCGACGGACTGGCATCTGGTCGTCGTGCGTTCCCGCAGCAGGGTCGATCTCAGTCGGACGCCTACCCTGGATCTGTGGGCTCTGCAGAGAAGAGCAAGAAATCGATCTTCCGACTTCCGTTCGGGCGCAAGAAGCGCGAGTCTACCATCGACGGCGATAGGAGCAGACCTTCGATTGTCCTCAGTCAGAATGACGCGCCTGCGCAGGGACGCCCATCTATGTCGTTGGGCCGCTCGTTCTTGCCCAAGCTTCGTGAGCGCAAGAGCTACGGCGGCCTGGGAGCGGCGAGAACCAGCTTCCAGACGGAACGTCAACGAGTCTTGTCCTCGCCCGCGAACGAAACTTCCAACTCGGATCTGCCCCCTCGAAGCCAGAGCGCCTTTGGTATGGCACGACAACGCTTCATGTCGATGGACCTTCCGCGTCGATCTATGAACGTCGATCGCTCCGCTAGCCGCAATCGACTAAGCACGGTCCAGTATGGCTACGAAGACGAAAGGGACGAGGATGAGGACGAGGACGACGGGATGGAGCGCGAACCAGGCTACGAGGCCGAATTCAACCGATATGCGCAGGAGGCTGCCGAAGAGCGCTACCTGGGCACGGGATCGCGAGGCGGCGGAAGGGAGGTCAGCTTTGGCCGAAAGAGTCTCAACATGCTCCGAGAGAGCTTCAGGACGCCCTTGCGTAACGTCAGTGGTGGGGAGCGGGCAAAGTAGTGGCCGAGCATGCAGGCAGATTATCACTGATTTCATTGTCACCGGATACAATGCCATCGGATACAAATCGGATCAAAGCTGATTGCTTGTCTGATGGGGGTGGATGAATCTGAGCGTCTGAGCCGTTGGAACCATGCTTGAGTTGATACGACTTGAAATCACGTGATGCTTCACGCGTTTTGTTGCTTCGAGCGATTTATGGAAGAACTGAGCCAAAATGCAGCTGTGCCCTGGGCGCGCCCGCGGAACCTGTGTTGATCCGCCGCCAACCCCACGCGAGCTTGACTTTTTCGAGGTTGAGCCTCCACTCTCTACTGTATCACTCGACTTAGCAGCATCATCCATAGCGAGGACCTTCTGATATCACACATCGACTGATACCCATCACCCTCGACACAAGAGGTGATTCTGCTACACACGAGCAAACATCTCGAATTCCCGTGATCGACTCGCGACAACCGGTTTGCTGTCCTTCTCTTCCAACAACCACACTAGGCGAAAGGCAGGATGCCTTTGCCTTCCAAAGCGCTATCAGCCGACGCCAAGATCAGCATAGCTTCCGTCTCCGACCTCCATTCTCACTTTGACGATCTCTACGATGACCTGCATGCTCCCGAGACCGAGCACACATGGCAGAAGATCGAGCGGGCATTGCTGCACATCCAGGCCATCACTCGAGGTGGAGCGCCCAAATACAACGAATTCGTAGCGTTGCTCAAGGAAGCGGCAGGGCCCATCAACAATGCTCTGCTTTCAGAAAGGACAAAGCTGTCAGGTACGGCGGGCGACTTGCTCAACTCGATAGCGCCGAGAATGGCGGAAAGGTTCGAGCCATTGGTCCCAGTCTTCGTGCCGACACTTCTGCTCATCTGCGCTAGGACCAACAAAGTGGCCGTCAAAAGGGCAGAGAAGTCGCTGCACTTTGTCATCAAGCACTGCGCGCCACCTTCGGTCGTGTCGTATCTTCGAGAGGCGATCAAGGACAAGGGCCAGGGCTTGAGAGCGGTGGCAGCAGGGACGTTGGTGTTAGTCTTGGAGCACACCGAGAAGGACCGCCTCACAAGACGTGTAGCAGACATCGAGGCATGCATCAAGAGCGGGGCCACAGACTCCAATCCGGAAGTTCGACAGACCACCAAGAGGCTGTTTGAGCTCTATGTCTCCATCTGGCCAGAACGCGTCGAGCAGTTCACCAAGCCCATGACGCCCACCATCCGCAGATACCTTTCGCTGCCCAAGACAGGAGCGCTGCAAGTGGACATTCCTCCGATGACAGAAGCACCGATCAGGTCAGCAAGGCCACCAGCCTCGCACACGAGCCGCCAAGACGAGGTGCTGATGCCCATGTCACACGCTCCGCAGTCTCGCGCTGCGCCAGCCTACACATTTTTCCCGGATCTTCAAAAGACGGCAGCTACTTCCTCAGCAACTACATCGACAGCTCGAACGCAGCCAGGGGCAGGATACAGCATGAACGACGCTGCGTATGGGAAGCGGGGCCTGTTTGCAGACCAGATCGCTGCAGCAAGAAACGCTCGTTTGGCTCGGATGCCATCCTTCAACTTTGACGATGCGGCCAAGAGCGAGACCGTCCCTGCACCGACCATGAAGAGGCAGCCTAGCTTCGATCAGCTGCGACCTCAAGGACCCGTTACTTCAGGTGCCATGTTCCGCGTGTCACGATTCGACGTGGTCGCAGGTCCCAGCAGGCAGGACAGCAACGATGGGAGCAGACCACGAAGCGGGCACGGCTCGGAGTCGGCGTCACACAGGCATGCAGACATCAACGCAAATGCACCTTCGTTCGCCGCGGCATCCGGACTTCACGGGAAGAGCGCGCTCCTGGCTGCCTACAAGCAGGCGTTCGTCGGCGATATACCAGCCGCAAAGGCCTCTTCGTCTTCGTCTCGCGATCGCCAACACCGGGAGAAATCCGACAAGCCTCCCAAGAGCGAGAAGAGACGCGAGAAGACCGTCACGGTGCGATTCGAGCCATCACCGGACAGCAAAGACTCCGACTCGGATCGGCTCCTGGCCAATGCTGAGAGGGGTGCGGATGAGCTGAGGAGGTCCAGATCGGCTCCACAGATCGCTGTTCAGGCCGACAATTCTCACAAAGAGACGGACGCGGATGCTCACATTCCGGCGGAGACAGCTCGGTCAAAGGCCCGCAACTCGCCGGAGCACCACGCAGACTGGGTGGACTCAGATGACGACGAGGACAGACCGAACACGCCACCTGAACGCTACCTGCATGCACAGACGCCGAGGACGGGCGTCAAAGCGAGCCGGGTTCCAGCACAACGAGTGGCGGCGGTACCCTCCGCAGTCAAGGCGTCGGCTATGCGCGTAGCTGCAGCGACACCTTCCGCCAAGATTGCTGCGAGCCGCGTTGCGAACGTGTCCGAGTCGGTCGAGTCGAGTCCCATGCCCAAGGCTCATGCTGCTCCTCGCACGCCTCAGGCGCCGTCGGCGAAGGTCGAGGCGGAGATGAAAGCAGTACCAGAGTCGATCGCCGTCGAGGCGGATCAGAAGCAGCTCGAGGTGCAGGACAAGATAGAAGCTGAGACGGTGAAGCCAGCTGTGGTGGCACAGGTGACCGCGATGCCCAAGGACAAACCGGCAGCAGTGAAGAAGGTGGCTAGCTCGACGGTTCAAAGCAACAAGCAGCCAGGCAAGGCGGCTCCGGTCAAGACAGCGCCTTCTGCTTCGTTGGCAGCCAAGGCACGCCTCGAGGCCAGGGCGGCCAAGACGACACCGACGGGACCAGCCGCCGAAGGCAGAAAAGTCGTCTCCAAGGCGGTCAGCACCGTAGCGAAGCCGGTTGTCGTCAAGAGACCTATCGTCAGCTCCTCAGCAGCTGCATTCAAGCCTGTCGCCAAGCCTGCAGCCTCGTCAGCGGTCATGGCCAAGTCCTCGAGGCCTGCTGCAACGGTCAAGCCGAGCACCACAGCCACATCAACCACCGTACGATCGAAGCCAAGCGTGACAGCTAAGTCTGTCATCACAGCTCCAGCCACTGCCGTCGCAGTCAAGAAGGCAGACGCTCCCACCATCACCCGATCGTCCACCCTGACCGCACTTACAGCCTCGACACGCAGCAAGATCGTCCCCGCGGCCGCAATCAAGAAGTTCCAGCCGAAAGCGACGAGCTCTTTGCGACCCAAGAGTTCGATCGCTGCTTCGCTCACCGCCAAGAGCAAGTTGGTCGGAGCGAAAGCTGCTGCGTCTGACAGGGAGGTTGCGGTCAAGAAGGCGAGCGTGGCGCTGGTCAAGGCGGTGGAGAAGCATCGACGAGCTTCTGCAGCCGCGGCTCAGGTAGCTTCTGTTGCGCCGGGTCTGCCGGTTGCGGCCGTCGAGCCGGTCGAGCAGACCGAGCCAGTGGTGGCCGATGTGATCACCCAGCCTGCTGTGGAGCCTATTGTGGAGGAGCAAGTCGTCGCGCACCATGCTGAAGTGGTAGCGGAGGAAGCAGCAGACATCCTTTCAGACACAAAGACAGAAGGCAAGGCTATCGAACAGACTACCGAGCCGGTCACCGTGGACAACATTGCTGATGCGCACGAAGGGCAGTCCGGAATGGACGTGACTGCTTCGAGTGTCCAGCCCGACGAATCTGTCGTCGAAGAAGCAGCCATGTCCCTCGACCAGTTTGACACTTGCGTTTCCCAGGAAGAGGTCCAACCCGAGGAAGAGCGAGAGACGCCTGCGGTCGATGACTTACAAGACCTACAAGCCGACCATGTCGAAGCAGTCACACTGGCTCCAAGCGTCCCGGCGACTCCGATCAAGACTCCGGCCACGCCGACAGCCGGGACGCCCGCCCGAGTCCGCACGCCGCTGAGCAGCAAAGACACCAACCTGCCCAGACAGCCAACATCCGCTAGAGTGACTCCGTCCAAATCATTCACGCCCAACAGAGCGACACCTTCAAAGTCATGCTCACCCATCAAAGCCCCAACCACCCGCTCGACGCCAATTCACTCCTCGCCACTCCGCCGCAATCCGCTCCTCGTACCCGTCCAGTTCGACCCAGATTCGTTCGAGAGCGAGTCCGAAAGCGAAGACGAGTCGGAGGAGGTGGTCCAGCTGCACTTTGGACGAGCCCGAGAAGAGCAAGCTGAGAACAAGGCAAAGAAGCAATTGGTGCTGGGGCTGGACTCGTCGGATGACTCGATGATGGAGAGCGGGGAGGCGGACGAGACTGTGCTTTTGGAGGCCGCTGCTTAGGATGTTCACTTGCTGTGCCACCATGCAAAGCTTCTACGCCCAATATGATCAAACATACCCTCAGACCCTCCATCATTTGTGTCTTACCGTAGCAGCGCGAAGCTTGTCTGTTGAGATCTCTGTCGTTTGTCGACGTGCGGCGAGACGAGTACTGTAGATCGGGCCAAGGGCCGGATCGGACTGAGAATTTTGTAAGATGTTAAGGTTGTGACACCCAATGCTCCACTTTTTTCGAGTCTTCCAAACGAGGTCCCTGGCTTAGGTCAAGAAGGGAACATCGCGAACCGATCTCAAAGATCCGAAGGGTTTTACGGAAGCAACAAGCAACCGGCCTTTCCGAGGAAGGTTGGTCCAGTCTTGGTCATCGAAAGTCACTCCGAGAAGCCTTTTCTTCCTTGCTCCCATCACCTCAACGTCCGGCCTCCCACGTGTCACATCGGCGCGGCGACGTTGCTTTCTCATGGCTGAGATCCGATCGTCTTGACTTGCTTCGACGTTTGTATCGACCATCGTCTCCCAAGCGGATAGGATCAGTCAGCCCGAACTTAGATGGCCTAAGACCTAGTAGCTGATTTCCCGCCATCATGTGGCCCGCGGCCACCGCCGTCGTCGGCATTCGCTCGTGTGCTCGCGCCCCTGCACTCAGAGTAGTTCCAGCCTTGACGCGGTCAATATGGCTCGCAACGTCTCACCCGAGGCCGGCGCCAATCCACATTGCATCACGTTTGGCGTTGAGCCCATCGAATGGATCAACACTACCACTGGCGCGTGCCTTTTCGAATTCCATCATCAGACTTGACAAGACAGAGCCGGTCAAAGCTGCGCAGTCTATATCGTCAACAGCCAAAGATGCGATCCCAACTACATCATCAGAAGATAAAGAAGCGACTAACACGAAAGAAGCCGCAACAGCGACCACTGGCTCGCTAGCATCCAGGCTCTCAGCGCGCATTCGATCTCTTCTCCAATCACAACTAGCAAAGTCGGCGCCTAAATCCAAAGATGGCGCTTCGCCTGCGCCGACCAACTTCCCGGACCTCAAGCGCCTCTTCTCGCTTGCCATGCCTCAGAAGCGAAACATCCTGATTGCTCTCGCTCTGCTCCTCGTGTCTTCGTCCATCACGCTCACCGTGCCCTTCGCGATTGGTCGCCTGATCGACTTCTTCACCTCTGGTCAGAACGCTCTCTTCGGCCTCGGGTTCGGGACTGTTGCCGCACTGATGCTCCTCATCTTTGCTATTGGCGCGGGTGCCAAAGCGGGTAGCAATATCCTGCTCGAGCTTTCCGGTGTTCGCGTCATCCAGGGCATTCGCAACCAGGCATACCGATCTGCGTTGCGACAGGACGTGGAGCTGGCCGATAAGGGTGCCGGTGACGTCGTCAGCCGTCTCAGTGTAGACACCAACATCGTCGGAGAGTCGCTCACTTCGGACATCGGTGACGGACTTCGTGCGGGCGCAACGGTGCTCTTTGCCGGCACCGCCATGTTCATGATCTCGTCCAAGCTGACGCTGCTCATGATGGCCGTCGTGCCGCCTGCAGCCATCGGAGCCGTCTTTTACGGTCGCTATCTGCGCGATCTGACGCACAAGACGCAGGATGCCGTGGGCCAAATGACTCGTCTCGCGGAGGAACGCCTCTCCCCGCCCGCCTTCCGTACACTCACCGCCTTCAACACGCAGCGTCAGGAGTTGCGTCGGTTCGACGGTAAGATCGGCTCGATTGTGGATCTGCAGACAAAAGAGGCGTACGCTTCCGGGTTCTTCTACGCCGGAACCGGCTTCGTGGGCAACTGCGCGATCCTGACGCTCCTCACGTACGGCGGTCACCTAGTCAGCCGCGGCGAGATCTCGGTGGGTGACTTGACCTCGTTGCTCATGTACACGGCGTACTTGGGCGGAGGAATGGTGAGTCTCACCTCGTTCTTCGCCTCTTTGATGAAGGGTCTCGGTGCGGGCGCGCGCGTGTTCGAGCTGATCGACCGCGAGTCCAACGTCGCCCTGGGTAAAGGTGAGACTTTGTCCGTCAGCACCACGCCCGCTCGGCTGCCGGTGCGGTTCGAAGACGTGCACTTCACCTACCCTTCCCGACCGCAGCAGCCCATCCTGCGCGGTGTGACGCTCGACATCGAGCCCGGTCAGTCGTACGCGCTGGTCGGTGGGTCCGGCGCAGGCAAGTCGTCGGTCCACTCGCTCCTGTTGCGCTTCTACGACCCCGTCAAGGGCCGGATTCTGCTGGCGGGTCAGGACCTCGCGTCGTATCGACCAGAGAGCGTCCGCAAGCACCTCGCATTTGTACCTCAGGAGCCCATCCTGTTCGACGGGACGCTGGAGGAGAACATCAAATACGGCACTGAGTCTGCGACGCGCGAAGAGGTCGAGCAGGCAGCGCGCATGGCAGGATGCGAGTCGTTCATCGCCGAGATGCCGCGTGGGCTCGACACAGTTATCGGCTCGAGGCAGCTATCGGGTGGGCAGAGGCAGAGGATCGCCATCGCCCGTGCGTTAGTTCGCAAGCCCTCTATCCTCCTTCTCGACGAGGCCACCTCTGCGTTGGACAGCGCGTCGGAGTTGATGGTCAACAAGGCCATCGAACAGATCATCAGCGAGGGCAAGATCACCGTGTGGATCGTAGCACATAGGCTGAGCACCATCAAGAGCGCCAACAACATCCAGGTGCTCGAGAAGGGCAAGATTGTCGAGCAGGGCACGTTCGAGCAGCTCGATCGGCCGGGGAGCCGGTTCAGGAGTTTGATGGCTGCACAGCTGGAGGCGAATGCCGAACCGGCCGAGGCGGAGGTGGATGCGCAAGGGGAGAGCGGAAAGGAGCGGACGACTGCGGTACGTTGAACACATGTTTCCTCAACACACACCTCTCTAGACGGAATCACATTCAAGCATCAGCACTGACGTTCGGACATCGCTCATCGAGCCCCATGGTGACTGTGATGAGCGGTACGTCGTCTACTGTTGCTTGTGCTGTGGTGCGTCACGAGAGAAGGGCGAGTGGTGCCCGGGCTGAATAATCAGAAGTTGACCGAACGAGAATTGACGATCAATCTCCTCTTCACATCACTGACATCACAGCAACAGTCTCCATTCAGCACTCCCACCCAGCGTCGATCGCTGCACACCTCATCGCGTCGTCTCTCCTCATCCTCCCACCCGGCCATCCCAGACAGCGGCACGTGGAGCATCCGCAGCGTGATCCAGCCCGACTCATCCGCCTCTTCCTCGGACGAACTCCTCACCGACGAGCAGCTGGACAAGCTGCACCGGCTATCGGCGCTCATCCCGCCCTCCACCCCGGAGGAGCGGGAGAAGCTCAAGCGCGAGCTGAGCGTCATGCTGCGTCTCGTACGGGGCGTCCTGCCCGCCGACCAGCCCGAGTCGAAGGGGGAAGGCATTGTGGACGCCCGTCCGCTTAGCACCCATGACAACGCGTGGAGCGTCACCCTCGACACCCTCGAGCCAGAGAAAGAGGAGAGCAAGATAGAAGAGACGCAGAAGGAAGGGACTGCAGTCCTCGACCGCGAGACCCTGCTAGCAAAGGTGGATGGCTCGCGCAAGTATCATGAGTACTTTGTCGTCGACCGTACGTGATGCTTCCTCCCTTCGAGAAAGCGAGATGATGTCAGACGCCTGTAACACCACTCTGCGCATCCAATGGAACTCGCTTCCACGACAGAGATTTCGACAGCGTGTGTGAGTGCGGATGAGCAAGAGCGCATGTGCGAAGCTTCACATTCGAGCTCGATCGAGATAAACTGCAAAGCATGGCGCCAACACAAGCTTGTTCTCACACGAGAAGCTTGTTTCAGACTCATTCTGAATGCCGGGACTTGCTTGCACATTTACGATTCCGCAGTCGGGCATGGTTGCCGGTGAAGTCTATTCCTCGTCATCCTCCTCGTCTTCGTGGTCTTCGTCTTCATCTTCCTCGTCATCCTCCTCTTCGTCGTCGCTGTCATCGCTCTTCTGCGAATTCTGGATCTGCGGCACGATGGTAAGCTCGTCCTTCTTGGTAAAGTCCATGAACAGCTGCGTGAGGATAAAGACGGCAAAGTCTCTGTGTCCCCAGTACGACAGATGCGCACCAAACATGTCTAGGTATCCGCTGAGGCTGATGCTTGCGGACAGGTGATAGTCGATGCACCCGTGCGGATTGAGTGCACGGAAACGACGTTCGGCCCGCTCGAGCGAGTCGAGATCAAAGTCGTGCTTGTCGTCTGCCTCTTCTCCCGGAATGGATGATGTGCGGAGGGCCGTTTCAGGCTGCAGCATCTTTTTGCGTCTGCCTTCCTCGGTCTCGAGCTCCCTCTTCTCTGGCGTGGCTGCGCCAGCATCAGCAGAGCCAGGATCGGCGTTCTGGAGCTTGTGCCATTTGCGCACGGTCTGGATGTAGTCCGAGGCGTCGACGATGCGTTTGCCGAGCTTCCTCTGCTTGAGATGCTTCTCCTCGAGCTCGGAGAGGTCAGAGGGAAGCGCATCTTGTTTGTTCTCCAGAATGCGCGCCTGTCTCACGATCTTGCCGACACCCTGGAAAGGACGATCCTTGTACTTCTCAAAGACCCGACTGACACTGATACGTGGCAGAGAGAGGCTACGAAGGATGACCTCGGTGGCGCTCTCGATCGAAATGGGCTTGATGAGCTTGGCGTAGGCCGAGTCGACCGTTGGGGCGAGCTGGAAAGCGACGGGATCATTGGGATTGAAGATGTTGTACACATTCTCCGTCGCCAGGCAGCCGTAACGACCTTTCTCGCCGTCCAGAGCATCTCCGTGGTTGTCTGGATGCCTGTCGGTGCCGCTTCTCGCAATGAGCTGCCCGCCATCGAGGTGGAAGAAGAATGCTACGGGCGAGCCGATGAAGAAGAGGTTCTTGACGTTGAAGTGAAGATTTTCGTTCCGCCTCAGGGCATCGCGATCTGACCGCTCGACTTCCAAGAGTGGCGGCACCTTGGATGGTTGTGACGAAAGAATGTCGGCTGACAATGCTGAGCCCAACGAATGACCGATGATAGAAACGCGGCCTGCGTTCTTCTCGAAGTCGGGGTTGCGACGACAAAAGAGACGATAGGTGCGATTGAGCTCAGAGATGACCGAGTCGATCATCTTCTTGCGGTGCCGAGACAAGTAGAAAGGCACGTCAAGCACAACCTTGGTGATGACATTGCGGACCATCGGGATAGCCGCTGAGTTGGTGATATCGCTGAGCGTGTAAAAGTTGTCGTTCTCGTCGGGCTGATCATCGAACTCGACGAACCTTCGCCAGCAGATAGGGATGAATTGGGCTCTACGTCCCCGTGAGAGTCTTCGTACGGCGGGATCGCTGGAATTCTCGCTCGCCAAATTGCGAAGACGCTCAACATCATACACGAAGTCGAGCGCTTCGATATCTTCTGTAAGGGCTTGTCCTATGCCATGAATGGCGAAGACCAGCTCGGGAGGCTCGTCTTTGCGATCGTCAGGCATCAGGTCGGGTTCATTTTCGGAGCGTTTTTGTCGATCTAGCTCGTTTTCGGTCATTTGCTGTTTGACCTTGCGCTTCTCTTCGTCGACGGCGTCATTTTCGTTGTAGCCAAATAGCTTCTTGAGGGCGACCAGTGGACGCAAGGCTGCGTCGCTGGAAGGAACAAGCTTGAAGATGAATGACCCTCGCTCGTCCTTGTCGCCGTCAGTCGACGAGCCGGTGCGATTCGGACCATCAGCGCCACCGCCTGATGGAGGCGAGGAACCAGGCTTTGCTGCGCCTTCGCGTTTGGAAGCCGTGTGGGCGCCAACGCTAGATCCCTTCTGTTGGGCCTCGCTGTACTTGGACGTCCCTCCATCCCCTGTGCCACGGTCGTTTTCGTCATCGTTGGCCCAAGGCAGGGACACGTGGAAGAGTGGACTGAATTCTTTTTGCTCTGCGATCTGTTCGGCCCGATCAAAGCCTCGGACTACGATGGACCCACCGACGACGGACAGAAAGCGGCCTCGTAGGTCTTCAGAGAAGATGCGACCAACTTCGGCGTCCTGGAAGGAAACTTGACCCTTGTCTTTCATGCTTGGTAGCGGATAAAGCTTCGACTTGTCCGTCTCCTCCCCCATGTTGGAGGTGTCTTTGGAGTCGTCGCCAGACGAGGCGTCGTTGAGCCAGGGCTGTGCTTGCTCATAGGCGTGATCGAGATCCTGCGATAGAGGGTCTTCCCAGCTGATAGGTGCGTAGGATCCATCTGTGAGGGAGGAATAGAACCATGTTGCGCGCACTACCTTGAGCAGGACACCTTTCCAAAAGACCGGGTAGAGGGTCATAGACTCGAGGTCAACGTCGAAGAGGTTATCTTCCATGACCTCTACTTTAGCGACGCGTTCCGACTCGGGCTGATCCGGATCAAGGATGAAGTTGACCTGGATCTTTTCCGAGTCTGAGTCTTCCTTGGACTTATCCTGCTCGCTTGAGTCAGTGCCCGCATTGTCCTCATCGTCCTTAGTGTCGTGAGTGGCGCCGAAGGGCATGTAGTGACGCAGGCCGCCGAGCCAAGAGGTGTTCGATTGCTCTCGATCTTGAGAAGATTTTTTGGCCTTGTTTCTGCCATTGCTGGATGATTCTGAGAAGTTGGCCAGGGCGGAGTGGATGGCGTCGACGCCGGAAGGGGGAGCGCGCGCCGATGAGGTGATGGACTGTTGCTGCTCGTCATCGCCGGGCCTTTCTCGACGATGTGAGCGAGCCCACACTGCGCCGCCGAGCTTGTTCCATCTTTGTTCGAGCTTTTCATCATCATGAGGTTGAAAGGTGGCCCATGTATCACCGCGAGCGTACATCCATCGTGCCCGCTGTGGAGGGGCAACCTTTGAAGATGATGCCGCCGAAGAAGACGACGACGACGATGATGCCGCCCGCGACGTCTCAGATGGCTGGGTCATTTTGGCCAGCGACGCTCCTGCGGCCCAAATGCTTGCTATGACAGTGATGCGATGAGTTGAAGCGAGGCTGTCCTTTCCGATTGACTTCGGTAACTCCTATCGACTTGGGACGGAACGAGCCGAATCTTCCAAATCACTTATCACATTCACACGCCTCGTGAGGACAAAAATAGCCGTTGACAGGCTGCTTGCTGCAGGTCCCTTGATGATGATGAAATTTCGCTTCTTCCTATCGGTTGTCCCCGATTGGTGTCGACCCGATAGAGCGATTCCAGTGATCCATATGAGGTGAGGGCCACACCTAAAATCCAAAAATGCTCCGTACTCAGGCATGATGGACCAGCGTTACGCTGCCAGCTGCTCTTGCGGAGAATTTGCAAGAGCGAGTAAGGGTCCACAGGGGGAAACAGCAGGGGGTCGACATGGCGTAACGCGGCTTGGCCAACTCGGCACGGGAAAAAGGACGGGAGCCGCGGAGACCTCTGCTCTAGTGCCCACGGAGCCGTCGTTGGTTGCGTATGTGGCTGCCGGCAGCCTCTGCATAATTTCTGTTTGCCTTGTGTGGGCTCAGAATCCAATCACGAGCTTCCACTCTGGCCTGCACACATATCAGCTCAGGTTTGTCCTCGCCACCGGTCCCTCCTTTCATCCCATTCACCTCATCCTTCGCTGCCCTCTCACGCATGTTCGAAGTCGCACATCTCTCTCGCCATTTCAATCTTTGAATTGGTGAGGTGTCAAGTGCGCTCGCACCCACCATCATACACATCGCAACCATGCTCGATACTCGACTCATTGTGGTGCTAGCAGCATTCAAGCTGGCTCCTATCTTCACCCTTGCACAACCTTCCGACCAGGCTCCCGTCACTGCATTCTCTGACAACCCTGCATCCGCTCTCTCGGCAGCATCAGACTCTTCACAACCCGTAGTCATGCCGTCACCCGCACCCTTGTCCCCTTCTTTCTGGGACAACTTGGCCAGACACTGGATACAGGCCGACAGCACAAAGCAGACCTTGATGGCCGTCCTCCTCATCATTCAGATCGTCGTCCTCTTCTCCTTCATCAAGCGCTCATTCGACAAGATGTTCGGCCGGCGCGCAGAATATCGCAACCAGCGAACAAAGCGTTTCGCCCGCAGAGCCGCTGCCGCCGCTGCCGGTGGTTCCTCCAAAATCGGCATTCCTCTCAGCCATCACCGTCCGCTTTATCGTCCAGATTCCAAACCACAGCTGCCACCCAGGCCATCTCAGGATCATCCTCTCATGCGCTCGCCGTCAACCTCGACTTTCTCGCAGGCAGCGTTTCAGACGACTCCCACTGGCGACATTGTCCTGCCCTCATGGACCCAAGCTGGCCCTACACCCCTCAGAGTCATTGTCGAGGAGCCAGAGGACGACTCCCGCAGCAATTCTCCCATCTCCTCACGCCCGCATTCGCCTGCCATCTACCGTGATTCGCAGCGCTCGCCCGTCTATCAGGACATCTCACAGCAGTCTTGGTCCATGCGCTCCGCCTCACCCAGAGACAGCGCCTCGCTCAGGCTCAGGGAACGCAACGATTCTCCCATGCTTCCCTTCGCCATCGACCGCTCTTCCACACCCGACACGCGTCTTGAAGACGTCAAGCGACCCTTCAGCCGAGCCGTCTTCAGCGACGATCTCTCGGGCCAGTCTCCTTTCCAGTCCTACTACACGGATCCTCTCTCGGAACATTCGTCTCTCTCCGCCTAATTTCGTCGTACATTTCCACACCATTGCTATACCCTCAGCATCATACCAGTGCCGTCCATCAAGCATTTCTCACCTTCTTCGCACCGCCGCGTCGCACGAGTCCCTGATTTGCATTCTCCTCTTGCTCCATGTCGCTCCTTTAATCGTGTTCCCCGTCCGTCGCATCAGTCTCATCGCATCAGCATGTACTCTTAGTGTCACGCGCTTTACAGAACATTCCTTCCAGACTCGCTCAAAATCTCCATGCGTGGTTTCACGTCTTGCTTGTGCGGCTTCAGACCAGAGTTGCGTGGTGGCAAGGATTTTATGTTCGGAACACTGCTTCCACAGACAAGCACTGTAAGTAAGATTTCGCGATCAGCATTGATGCACTGCGCCGGTCTTGCCCGAGGCCGTGTCCGAGATGGCCGTCCAGACTGTCAAGCGTGGCAAAATAAGGAAGAGTTCGTCAGCGAGTCGTTCACGATGCCCTTCGTCATGCCGATCTTGTGCAAGGAACGCGTTGACTTACCACTGATGACTAGAACCACAGACCCAAAGATGGCACACGCCACACTCAGCGGCCGCGTTGACTGCCACCACTTTCGATTGGCTGCTGCCGGTCGGAAGCGTACGCTTGCACCCGGCCGCAAGGGCAGCTCGACGTCATCAACGTCGACAGAATCCCTCGCAGATCCATTCGCTGCGGCTCTTTGGCCGTTCTCCATTCTTTCAAGGCGGTCGTACGACGAAGGCTCTTCCTCTTCTGCACCGTCATACTGGTTGGCGCGAATCGCGTTCTGGCCCCGGTCTATCGAGCCGTTGGATTGCTCAATCAGAGCTTCCTGTTCCTCCTCTCCGTGCTGTTGCGAATCGTCGTGCGCGATGGTGCCGTGGTTGGCGTTGAGGTTGCTGCTGCTATTCCCGTGACCCGTAAGGTGAGACAGGTCTGCCGTCGGCACTCGCTTGCCCGTCTCGCTCGTCAGCTTGAGGTAGCAGATGCTTGGGAAGATAAAGGCCAACGCTGTTGCACTCAAGCCACCGGTGAGTTCGAGTACGATGCCCAGATCGCACGTCAGGAGCGAGATGAACATGGCGCTGACGACCAGACTCGAGGTGAAGATCAGATGGCGGTTCTGATCGAACTCTCCAGCAAAGAAGTACGTCTCGAGCACTTCTCGGCAAACGAAGCACTCGAGCGGCAAGGTGGTGAGCATGTTGAGGCCGAACAGTCCGCGGGCGATGTTGACTGTGATATCGTCGTACGGAAAGTTGTTGAGGACGTTGCTGAGTGTCTTTTCCTCGAAGCTCCAGTAGCCGGCGACGCTCATCGTGATGGTGGCCGCTGCGGCGATGATGGTTGAGTAATGTGTGACGCGCCCGAACTTCCTCATCGAAGGCTCTTTCAAAGACCCATAGATGAGCAGGGAGTTGTGGTGGCAGACAAAGGCGAAGCTGATCACAGAGATGGATCGGACCAGGTTTGAGACGTTGACGATGGACAATCGAAGAGCGGGATCGCCCTTCAGCTCGGCGGGCATCGCTGGGCCACGAACGGTGACAGCGATGATGATGACGACCATGGAGACGAGCGCAATGGCGCTGGCCTTGCTGAGCTTTTCGATGTTGCGATAGAGCGAGAGCGGATATGACACCGTCATGGTGAAGAAGGTGATGACGAATTGACGATTGGCGAGAAAGGTTCCATCCAAGGAGGGAAAGACCATCTTGATGACATGTGGGATGGTATCTCCAATGACGACGCAGAAGGCACACATTCCACCGAAGCCAAAGGCAAATTGGAAGATGGAGACAGCGGCTTTGCCGTTGTGACCAAAGCAATGCTCCATGATCTCGATGTAGGTGATGCGGCCGCTGAGTTTTGCGTTGAGAACAATGAGGCGGATTGTCCAATCGGTCAGGAAAGAGAGACCGACAAGCAGGACGAGACCAGCGATGAAGCCCGACTCTCGCATGGAGTATGGAAGACCAACGATGCCGGCGCCCAGAATGCTGTTTGCCATATTGACGGTTCCATCGAAGACACCTGCCCCCCTCTTGAGCCAGTCAGGGAGACCTTCGCCGTCCCAGCCAGGCACACCAAGGGATTGGCGTATGGCGCGTAGATCGTGGCTCAAGCCATCGAGAGAAGTTCGGATGCGATTCTGACCGGGTATACGATCGATGAGCGAATGGCGACGAGCACCGCGCTCCCTGCGGGGGAGATGGTTCGAACAGCTGCCTACCGAGGTAAGGAGGGGATCGTCGTGCGATCGCAGCCCTATCTGAGATGCTTGTATAGCGACAACATCGTCCTGCTCGTCGATATCGTCCGAGTCTGCATCGAACTGCGCCTCCTTTGAGGATGTGGTGGATTTGAGCTGAAGCGGCGCTCGTTCCGCTGCGACAGTCGAGTAGGAGGGAAGGTCCAGTCGATGTGAAGCATTATCGCCCTCATACGATACAAGACCGGCGTCCTCCTCACTCTCTCTACCTGACCGAAGGCCTTGTTGGGGTAGATTCGAGCTGCTCATCGCCATCTGCTTGACTAGGCGCTGTCCGTGTGGTACGTATCGAGGCTGTGTCTACCTTTGGCGCATCATCTGACGGTATCGTGGATCCGGATTGAACCTTCTGAAGGAAGTATTGGGGCTTCCTGCTGTAGAGTTTCCTGCTGTGTTGGAATGTGGCTTCACCGCCTTTTGCTACAGGCGGAATCTGCCAGACGTGTTGTCGGAGTACTGTTCCGGAGTCAGGGTGAAGTTGGTGGGTCTGACGAAAAGGATGCACGTCGAGCAAGAAACTGAACCGTGCTGCACTCAGCTCGCAATTTCAGAAGGACCCTGCAACGTGAATCCAGAGAGTTTGTGACGTTTGTCGAGAAGAACACCGCTGCCACGCGATTTGGCAGAAGAAGAAAAAAGTTGGCTGCAACCTTTTCTAGGCCCCATCATCTCCTCCCTTTCATCGCGCAAACAGCACCAGCATCGACGAGGAGTCAGCGCTGTGCAAAGCATCCAGCAACCATGGCGACCGTCACTTCAGGGGCTCAATGGCACCCGCCTCTTGTACAGCCCATCATCTTCTGCGGGCCAGGCAGCAACCTCTATCCGCTCTCCACCTCAACTGTAGCAGCAGACGCTTCCCAAGATGTGCAACAATCTGGCAAGCTCGATCTACCAAAGGCCATGCTTCCTGTACTCAACAGGCCCATGATCGCTTTCGCCTTGCAGCAGCTTCTGTCTGCTGGCCTTCGTCATGCTGTCGTCTTTGCGCCATCCGAGCATCACTCCACCCTCACGGCCGCCCTCAAATCCCTGATCCTCATCCCGCCAACCCTCATTCAGTCGGGAAAGAAGAATGTCTCATCTGCAGCTGCCGCAGCCGCTGCTGCCGCTGTCGAGGAAGCGTCTAAGTATCCGAACGTCTCGGTCTCGGTCGGGCTCAACAGCACTTCCGCATCCTCCGCAACACCAGCTGCTGGCAATCCTTACCTCGCCGGAAGCTCGTTCGCTGTCTCTTCCCTGCAAAATGAGACTGTCATGCGAGTCGACCTACTGCCTCTTGGACCCGACGACATCACAAGCTCCAAGTCAGACTCGTCCGCCCCAACTCCCGCGAGCAAATACAAGCGACTCGGCACCGCAGGCCTCATCTCTTGGCTCCACTCAGTCGGACGACTCGACAAGGATCCTCTCATTCTTCCTGTCGACTTGATCACGCAGTCGTTCTCTCTCACCGACATCATCAGCAGCCACGTCTCCGGTGTGCCGAATTCACCTGCACTGACTTGCTTGATGTATGAAAGAGGCGCCGGCGAGGGTACGGGCAAAGAACGTGAAAAGGATGGTAAGTCTAGATCCGCCGAGCGAAGCGGTCTTCGTTGGTCTTACGCTGACACTGGCGTTTTATGTTTCTTGACACAGGTCCGCCCAAGCTCTTTAGCGCTTACGACCGTGATCCTTTGCAAGCGAGCAGTTCCTCGTCTCATGGCACCGATCACTGCACGGCGCATCAATTGCTGCTTCTCCAGGACTCGGATGACATCTCGGACATCGACTCGTCTGACATGCATCTCCGCATGTCGCTCTTGTGGTCGCATCCTCACGTGCGTATATCCACCTCTCTCCTCGACTCGCACGTCTATCTCTTCAATCTTCGGCAGCTTCTCGGCCTGCTCAAATCCGAGGCCGGCCAAAAGATGAAGAGCCTTCGAGAGGAAGTCGTCCCCTTCATGGTCAAATGCGGCTGGATGACTGGCCTTCGCGAAAAGGCGGGTTGGTCCAGCCAATCCTCGAAAGACCTGTCCATCCCGGAACAATTCTCGTCGTGGAACATTCACTCGGGCAAGGAGAACGCCACCAGTCCATTGAGATCAAGCACTTTTGTCGATGCCGAGCTCCTTCAGGCCGGTTCCACTTTCCGATCTGCCCTTGACGAAGTCAACAATCGTGCTTCGCCGCTCTTCTCTCCTGAACGATCCCAGCTCATCTCACCCTCTGGCAAGCTGGACGACGGGACGACAGACGTGCGAAAGCAGGATCGCACAGCAGCAAAGAAAGCTGCTGCCGAAGCCAGAGTCAATGCCCTCATCTACCGCCTTTCAGCAGACCGCAAGCATCCCATCGACCCCTCGTCCTCCGTTGAAGAGATCAGGGAACGAGAGGAAGATGCAAAACGCGAGCCTTTCATCGCACGAGCCAACACCGTTCCAACTTATCTGGAGTGCAATCGCTATCTGCTGCGATGTCTAGCTAGCGGGCCAGCAGGGCATGCAAGCGCTTCGGCAGCAGGTGCTGTAGGTGCCGCTTCTCTCGTACCCTCCGCGCTCTCGCACCCACTACCGAGTCAGTCTCTGCCGGCTCCCACTACCTCCTCGACCGACTCGACCTCCGGTCAAGCTTCACAAGATGCGACTAAGGGTTCTGCCCCTGCTCAATGGATCGACTCCAAGGCACAGATCTCTTCGGATTCCTTGGTGGAGAGCTTTACGCGCGTCGGCGAGCGCACCGCCATCAAACGAAGTGTTATCGGACGCGGGTGTGTCATCGGTAAGAACGTCAAGCTCACCGGCGCTATCGTCATGGACGGTGTCAGGATCGGCGACAAGTAAGTTTTTCCGCTCGATCGGTGGCCGCTTTGTCTCTCACGTTTGATGGTTGACCCGACCTTCTCTCTTCCTTATCACAGTGCCAAGCTTGAAAATTGCATCCTTGCGGCGGGGTCGACTGTCGACGAGAAGTGCAACCTCAAGGACTGCGATGTCGCCGCATCCGTCAAGGTGCCCTCTGGCACCAACTCCAAGGGCGAAAAGTTTGACGAATGATGTAGACGCCACCGCATCACCACCATGACTGAATGCAGTTGGCACTGTCCCTTTGTCCGTCCTCTCCATCTCCATAGCTGTGACCGTGCGCTTGTGCTTCCTTCGATTCGTCTTAGGCGTTTCGCCTTCGCCTTGAAATCGTTTGAACGTGATGGGAGGCATTCGAGATCGGACTCAGACGATGACCACTTCGACGCGACCATCATCCCTGGGTCCGGACGACCACGTCACCACACATCATCTCTCTGTGTGAGCCGGCTCAACATCCTTTGTGGCGGACCACCACCGCCGAGCACAGAACGAATGACAGGGTGAACATCAGTCAGGCATGAAGGTTTGCGGGCCCCGGGACACAGCTTGGCAAGGCAGGTGAGTGTATGCAAGGTGGGCTCGGCACCGTCTCGATGCTCAGACAGAGCTTCTTCACCACAGCTCAGGTGGAATTTTCTTTTTCTATAGAGTCACTGAAGCACAGCCACGATTGTTGAGACGTAGGATTCTGAAAAGAGGACCGCGACTCGACTGTAGTGCGCTTTGCCGCTCCAGATGCTGCAAATGGTCATCCGCGCCCGCTTGGCTCTCGCAAATGGGAAGACAATTTGAAGACTCCAATTTTTCGACCGGCTTTTCCGTTTTTGGCAACGGCATTGCGACAAAAAGATCCTCTTGGCCTGCGGACAATCGAGATATTAAATCTGTGCTATAAGTAAATTAGGACTCTGTCTGCCGATATTTTATTCAAATTCGATTGCAGAAGTGTAGATGCTGGTCGCACAGCTACAACGATTGAGTTATTGTCGGCCAGCAGTTAAAATCGACGAAAGTGCGTCAAAAGCGGGAAAGAAGGCGATGAAAAGATTTGTTTTGACTGCGCTCTTATCTAGTTTGTGCCCTGGTCTCGCAGAAAGAAGGTAAAATTGTCACAAGTCCGGCGTGTGTCGAATTCTAAGCGACTCTTTTATCGGCTCAACGCACCAGCCTGGCCACGAACGCCAATTTCTAGCACATCGTTATCAAGTACAATTTCATTCATTCACTTCCCTCACTGCAGACCGCCGATGGTGCCTTCGACTCCCTTCCTCACTCTGCCAAAGATATCTGTGGCAAGATCCCTAGCACCGCTGGCCGCCTCGCCGAGGTACTCGGGATCCAGAAGACTGGCAGCTGCTCCGGCTACCGCACCGCCAGGGCCCGATCCGTTCTGTCTCCCTCCTACGGCCAGCTGAACAGGTCCGATGCTGAGGTTGAGGGCTGGTCCTCCCAGTCCCAGGTTGGCGGGAGGCTTGGCGACTCGCGCATCGAACCGAGATGCCGCGTCCTGGACCATGTCCAGATACGACTTGCTGTTGTGTATTGAGCTGCCTCCAAGCAGAAAGCGAGTGCCAGTGCCCGCCACGCCACCGACAGCAGCCTGTTGTACGCCTGCCTGGGCGCCGCGTTGGTGTTGAGCGTTCAAGAAAGCGATCGAGCGGGCTTCTTCGTATGTCGCACCTCCAATGACGAACAGGACGACGTCTTGCGGGCGCTCCGCAGGGTTGAAGGGCGCTCCTCCTTGACTGGCCGAGATGAAGGGGTAGCTTGTGTCTCTCAATCTGCCGCGCATCAGGTTGTCCACTGTCTGTACGAGGTGCGGGGTATGCTGCGTGTAGACATTCTCAACGCCTTTGAGACCCTTGAGAGCGCTCTTGCCTCGTGAAAAGAAGTTCTCGTTGGCGAAGAGGTCGTCTTGCCGCTGGTCCGCTCCGGCAATGTTGAGTGTGACAAAGACGAGGGCGGCGCGGCTTTCTGGTACACCTGCTTTGAGCAGGTCTTGCACTATCTTCTGGATCTGGTTGCCGGGCAATTTCTGATATCGCAGAGCGTAGAGGATGGCGATGCGGATCTTAGCGTCGTGAGAGGCCTTTGTCGACTCGATCATGGACTGAACCGCTCTGAGGTCAGAGGCGTGGCTTTCGACGCTGGCAAGACTTTGTTCTAGTTCTGAAATTTCCAGCAGCGAGTCTCTTTCGACTCTGCGACTGAGTTCGCCGAGCAATGCGACATGCTTGCTGACGTTACCGCCCAATTTGCGGAACTCCGGGTATTCTTCGACGAAGCGTTTCATGTCGGCGACCGTGTCGATGCTGGCGTTGGATGCTGTTCTTGATTGATACTCAAGCACATATTTCTTGATTGAAGCGCCGAGATCGCCAAAGTTGTCGAACAGATTTGCCGAGAAGAAAGGATCCTGGTCGCCCGAGAGAACGATTTCTTGGAGCTCAGGACGGATACCGTCCGCATCGGCAAGGCTGACACGGCCATTCTTGATGCCGAGAACTTCGTGCACCATGGCCTGGTACGTCCACTGTGTCAAGAGAGGTGTGACGGGATCATTCCTGCGATCGAGGATGAGAAGGAGCGGCGCGTTCTCGGTCTTTCTAAAGTCAAACAAGCCAGAGTGACTGTTGCTGATCTGGTACGAAAGCTCTTCGCCCAGCTTCTTCGCGAGCGTGCTCATCCTCTCGTAACGGATGACTGGTCTCTTTTTGAGACTGAGAAGAAGCGCCATGAGTCCCTTGACGTGCTGGTCGAGACCTTGCTGATCCCAGGTGGCAGGGTTGTCGCCCCAAATGCGTGCCGGTGGTGTGTCGATGTTAAGCGAGAAGAGGTCGGTGTTGACGGGCAAATAGTCGGCGAAGAATTCCTGGATCTCTTTGACGACTTCGTGCTCATCTGCCTCGGCAAGCAGCTCGATGTCTTGCTTTTGTAGAACATTGGTGAAGTAGAGCCAGTACGACTTGTATCTGGGTTGTCGGAGCTCGCGAGATAATGCTGCGATCGACTGTGGTGTTGGACGGAGAAGAGCAATGCAGTTGAGATGGCGCATGCGATCACGGTTAGCGTTGTCGACACGGTCGGTGAGGTAGACTTCATGGCTGAGCAAAGAAGACTGTGTGAAAGAGGTAGAGATGACTGGTGTTGTGTCTTGATCCAGCAGGAGGACCTTGATGCCAGCGACTTCCGTAATCATGCGCTGGATGTACGCCGACACTGCCTTGGTGACGTCCATGGCGGGTGGTGTTGCCGTTTCGGCTCTCCGTGAGAGGCCCTTTGCACGCCAAAGGAATTGGAACGCCTAGCAGAATACTGCGTCAGATAGAGCTGGCTCGGTCTACAGCGTGATCTGGGGCGCGAGTAGCCGAGACAAGGAGGGTGGATGGGGTTGATGGTGCTGGTAAAGAGGCACATTTGGACGTGCATCACCAGCGTGAACCGTGCTGAGCCCGAATTCCGACGTTCAAAAAATGCGGCATGGACGAGAAGAAGCCATTTGCCTTGGGGGCTCCTCTCTCAGCAGCCTTACTCTACCTGGACAGTCTCACAACCAAAGGCAACTCGCTGTTGATCGTGGCCCGCCATGCCATCCACCATCAGTCATGTGGCGACCTACCATCCCAACGAATACATCCAGACTGCGATGACAGGCAACAAAGTGTCAAGGAAAGCGACCATTCTAGGCTCCCAAAATATTATTCTAGGTGGAAAGTGCATCATACAACATGGCGCCATCATCCGAGGCGATCTGAAGCGAATCACAGCATCATCAAGCTCAACAGGCGCCGCTGGTGGCCAAGCTCAGCCGACGCAGTCGGTGGCAATCTACATCGGAAGATATTGCCTGCTAGCCGAGTCGAGCGTAATACGGCCTCCTTACAAGACCTACAAAGGGTGAGTGCGTGAGAAGCACGGGCTTCAGAAGGAGCCTGGAGACCACGGTGGCCCTTCTTTCCGCAAGAGATGCTGGCCCTCGAACTAACAATGTTCCCGTTCGCAGCATCTTTTCCTACTACCCAATGAAGATGGGCGACCACGTATCGATCGGTGCCAACACGGTCCTTGAGGCAGCTACCATCGGATCGCACGTCGAGATTGGAGCCAATTGCCTGGTCGGACGCTTCGTCATCATCAAGGATTGCGCACGTATCTTGGACGGCAGCGTCGTGGCGCCCAACACTGTGATTCCATCCTTTTCGATCTTTGGAGGAAGCCCGGCGAGGCTCGTGGGAGAGCTGCCCGAGACCTTCTCGGAATCCAGCGAGGCCAAGATGAAGGACCTCTACCAACGTTTCCGAGCTACCAACGACAGATGATGGATTCAAACATGCACCCTCATTACTCAAGAGCACCTGGTTCTCTTCCCGAGCGTAGCTCATCGAGAACAACACTCACGACTGACTGCGACGCGACCCTTATTCGGAAATTCTCCACATGCATGCAGCGTAACACGGACCGCTTTCACACAAACCCGACCCTGCGGTCGCACCCTGCATCTTGCTTCGTCGCCAGCACACGAGGCATCGTCGTCCACGTAAGTCCAGGATCATCGGCACAGCATTGTCAGGGAGCTACCGTGCCAAATTGCAGCCTTGGTATGGCAGCGGTCGGTCGCGGCTGGCTTTATACTTCAAGAGGCGGCTTCAACTCCCGTCAAGTCGGCTCGCTCGCAAGCATGAAGCCAACCAAGTACAATCTGTTGATCGACCTCAACGGAACGTGTCACATTGGGGATAAGCCCACTCAAGGAGCCATCGAAGCAGTAAAGAAGCTTCGAGCTGCTCAGCAAACGCAGCAAGGTCGTCTCAACATCCGCTTCTGCAGCAACACGAGCAAGGAATCGTCAGAGTCGCTTCTGGCGCGTCTGCGTCGAGTCGGTTTGAGCGCGGATCTGGTATCGGCCCACGACGTTTTCACCAGTCTCGATGCCGCCCGGCGATATGTGTCGAGTCGAAAGCTACGGCCTCTGCTCCTGCTGTCATCGTCCGCTCAAAGTGTCTTTCAGGACGACGAAGACCTTGCAAGAGCATGCTTCTTTGCGCAACCAGAGCTGAATCTAGGTACACTCAGCCCCGAGGACCGATCTCGGTTGCGGTCGTGCGACGCTGTCGTCATCGGTCTGTGCCCAGAGCTCATGACACAGAGGTGGCTCGACGAGGCCTTTCGCTTGCTGTCCGGGGAGTACGGTGCACCCGAGCAAGTATCATTGATTGCCACACATCGCGGTAAGTATTGGATCCGATCTGAAGAGCGATGGTGCGAGGAAGGCACCGAGGCTGACAATATTGCAATCTGTCTTCTGTCTTCAGCGCTCTATCATCGTCCAAGCGAGGGCGCTGCGCTATCTCTGGGGCCTGGTGCGTTCGTGGCTGCCCTTGAAGCTGCTTCGCATCGGACGAGTAGCTCAACTGTGGTATGCGGCAAACCGAGCCCAGCATTCTTGGAGGAGTGCATTGCAGGCATGATCTCAGCCAATGAACGCATGAGCGACTTCCACAACATCATCGTAAGTCAAGGAGGCACGCGAGGCGATACGATATAGTGCGAGTCAACGAGCTGACGTAGCCTTGCTGTATTTGACGTGGCTGCCATGACTCGGACGCAATCAGATCGGAGATGATCTTGACGCCGACCTGGGTCAAGGCACTTGGCAGCTTGGGCTTCGTCGGATCTTGGGTGAGTCCATCACGAGTCCATGGATCCCTTCGCTGAGTTCTATGTCCCTGACCATTCATCGTTCTTCTGTTTTGCACAAGCAGTCCGCACCGGAAAATTCAGAGACGGCGACGACAGCCGCGGCGAGAAGCCAGCGGATGAGGTGCACGATAGTTTCGCGTCTTGGGTGGATGACTTCATCTCCAAGGAGTTCAAGTGACGTTTGGCAGCGGCAAATGAGCACGTCGAAGCCACATGCATGACTGTGCCAAGGTACAAGGTCCAATTGAAGAGCGGTAAGGGAAGGTCGATTGTACATGAGGCATGGTCTTGGTCCTCCTTACGGGACTGCTTTTTGGAAGACTTGCGGAGACATCCGCGTCCCAAGGTCCGCGTGGGGGAGCCAAGGTCGCGGAAAGGATTGGAAAGGCAGCTCAGGAACGTCCGGATGTTTCCGCACTTGGACCCTGATTGTGACCCCGCCAGCCGAAATGATTGCGAGCCTCTCAATGAGAAAACAGGAACTGGAAGATCATATCGATTGTGTTGGCACGGTTCCATGCTGATGGTCGACGATCGAGTGGAAGAATGCCGCTGCGTTGCTGACTGAGAGCCAAGTGTCGACGAGGATCAGGACCAGGCATGTCTTGCGTGGAGCTCAAGGCTGGAAGCATGTCGCAAACTTGCTCGATTTAGCTCAACAGGCGACGTCAAGGTGGGCGTTACGTCTGTACACGTTGTCGAGAGAGTCGACGCCAAGACGAGGAAGATGGAATGATACGATCACGATGACGTTCGGAGCCACTCGGGCGTCGTCACGGAAGGTAACGGATGGCTGCCATGATCGTTTGGCGGGGAAGAATACAGTAAGGGACGTCAGCTGCAGCCGAGATTGAATTGATGCTCTTCGGAGAGTGTATGTGATGCAAAGCGAGACCTCCGTCGACTCGAGATCACGCATGACAGCAAGAGGCAGGGTCACCGTTGCAGGAGGGACGAAGATGGTGAGCAGCATCCTGTTTCGGAATCAGCCGCGAAGGCGCATGGTCAACGGTCAATTCGCTTAGCGCTTCACCGGCCAGCATGCAGGGGAGCCATTGTCATTTGATGGGCGACCGGCCACTTTGAGTGTCGTTTGTTTGAGCTTTGATCTAATCAAACTCCGCTGCCGCCTATCCGAGGCTTGGAAATCCATGCCCTACCCTTGACCCAAACGATGACGATCAGCACACACACACTTTGGTGGGGTCGGCACGATTCTTTCCGACGCTTGACCTTGACGACGCGACCTATTGACATGCCTCTGTCGCGCTGCTCAGCTGTAGTAGCAGCATCGATGGTGAATGGGTTGTGAAAGTGTGACGAACAGGAAGGTCAATGTGATGCAAGGCAGAAAACAAACGGACCGCAAACGAATCTGAAATTGCTCGTGACTTTTTCCGGATTCTTCCCCCCCGCTGTGAAGCCTGCGGAACAGGAACGAGCCTCGGTTGCACACACTCTCTTTCGCGGTCTTCTCCGCGTCCCAGCGTTGTCAGCGTTGTCAGACCCTCTCGTGTCTCGCGACTCCGCCTTTCCTCCACCTCCTCCTTTCTGCCCCGCCGTCCCACCCGAACCGACCCCTGCGACAATCTACTGTGGGCTACGATTGAATCCGCACTCTGCTTTGCTTCCAACTTCCATCAACGACACATCATCGCCAACGCAGAGTTTGCTTCCCACAAAATCCCCTACACGCGCAGTACGGATCGACTTGGACCCTTTCGATACAACCTCCTCTGGAAAGCATGCTTCGCAATTGCGACACCTAGCAGCCATCACATCGGACGGCAGCGCCATCGACTCAAGCACCCCCATCACCTTCTCAAGCTCTCATACTTGAGTTCACAATGTCGCCAGGATCATCATCCACCCCCGTTGCCCCAGGCTCGAGTTCCTCTCCCTCAGGTTCGAGCAAAAGGGATCGCATCAACACGGAAGAAGACCAATTGGCGCGAGCCCAAGACGACCGGAGCCAAAAGCGCACTCGAGTGCGTCAAGCATGCAACCGCTGCAAAGCTCGCAAGATCAAATGCGGTGACCTTCGACCCTGCAAGAACTGCACCAGTCTGGGCCTGGTCTGCCGAGACTGGCGCCCCGGGGAGGATCCGTACGACCAGCCTGCCTTTGCTCACCCTGCTGCCTCATCTTCGTCGACCCTCCCGAACGAGCTCGCGGACACTTGGCCATCTGCAGACTATCAATTCCGAGCGCAGGGCGGTGCTGCAAGGGATAGCTTCGATTCGCATCAGGGTCGCACCAGCCGATCAGTCGATCGAGACGGCAGGGCTGAACGATCCGGCTCGGCCATCCCGTGGCCCAACACGCCGTACGAAAGATCCAGTCATACCGTCGCTTGGCCTCCGAAGCCCGATCCGACACGTCACAGGTACCTCGCCTATCCTTATGACTCCATCTACCGCAACGAGTTCGGTCACCTCAAAGCTCTCTCTCTGTCTTCGGGACTCGGCACGCTCTCCTACCTTCACGAGTATCATAAATTAGCCAACGAGCAATTCCTCGATGCGCTGTGGCAAGTGCTCGAAGGGGAGAATCAGGATGGCGTCAACATGCAAATGTTTGCGCTCGAAAACGAGAGTTTCTCCCCTCATTCTCACGGCAGTCATATCAGCACGGGTCTTGGCGCACCAACAGGAGCATTCCCGGATTCCCTCGCTGCCGACTGGTCGTTGGGCGGCGCTCCGTCGCTCAATGTCCCTTTCACGTTCGACGCGGCCGCCGGTCCGACACCGGAACGGTTTCCATCGATGCAGATCCCCACCAAGCCCACCCTTTCCGTCGCCAGCAGCTCCTCCGCCGAGACATCTCCGGCAAATGCTGCTTCAGGATTGAGTGATGTACGTCGTGGCCGCTCTCTCAGCTCCACCCTCGCCTCCAGCACAACCAAAAAGGACGACAACGGCCTTCTCACGTCCAACCAAAACAAACCTGCCAAAACCTATCTGGAGGCAGGACCACCACCCGAAGACCTCTGGGCCTTCATGGGGTCCAAAATCCCGCAGCAACATCGACGCTCTCTCCTTCACACTTTCTTGTCCACCACCTACGTGCTCTGGCCAACTTTCATTCTCTCCGAGTTCCTTGCCACCCTCAAGGCCGAAAATGAAAGACAGAATCCCACCTTCGTCTGCCTTGTCATTGCTTGCTGTGCCGTAGCTGCTCGTCAGGAGGCGGGCAGCGTCAAAGGCGGTCTCGCAGCCGAATGGGGCCGAGACTTTGGCTTCTTCGAGCTCTACCTCGATATCCGCAGACTGGCTCCAAGAAACACGGACTGGGCCAGCCTCAACCACATTCAAGCTCTGTTCTACTTGTCTCACTACTGCTTCGGCGCCTCCGGTCCATTTGGAGTCACCAGAGCTCATTACCTTATGAATGGCTGCGTCTCAAAATGCTTCGACGTCGGCCTCCATCGATCCGCCGAAACCTATACGGACGCCTTCACACCTTCCGAAATCGAAGCTCGGCGCCGCACGGTCTGGGCTGTCTACTGTGGCGACAAGATCTCGGCTGCCTACGGACGTCCGGTCATGCTCCGTCTCTCTGACATGGATGTTCCCGAACTCGACGTCGACTCGGACGAGTACACTGAAAGATTGCCCGCTGCAACCTCTTTCGATCGCGCTTGCACGATGAGACCATGGCATCGAGCTGCTGTTCGCTTGTTCTGCGTCCTCGAACGTGTCATCGACAAGATCAATCTGCCCGCATGCAGTGCTTCGGCTGCTCTAGAGCGAGTCATGCGCAAGAAGCCTAAGCGACCTAGGCAATCCGAGAATCACGATGACAGCTGCATGGCCGATCATGAAGCCATCGGCTTTGATGAGGAGCTCGAGCTTGTGGACGACTTCCGCTTTGCCGATACTCCCACGCCCACGTCCGCACACGAGGACGACCCGATGTATCAAGCACACGTTGAGAGACTTCGTACCACAGCTGCCTTCATCAAGATTTTCATCTATAGACACCTCTTCGCCGCCGCGGCCAACTGCCATCTGTCGCGCCAGCCGCCTAGAATTGATTATCGCGACGAGATGGTCAAATGGTGTCGCGAACTGCTGCTCTCACAGCGCAAAATGATCCAGCGTGGCGACTACACTGACTTCGGCTCGGTCATGTCCTACCAGCTCAGTCAGACAGGCCGTGGTCTTATTCCCGCGATCTACATCAGCTCGCGACTCATGGACACATCCCAAGATCCCAACTCAAGTGCCATCATCAAGGAAGCGCAAGAGCTTCTTGTTCTGGCCTATGATCTGCTCCGACAGCTCTCCACTCGCTTCACAGCGTCGCATCGACAGCTACAGATCATGCAGTCCGCTTTCAAACGACTCGATCTCAGTCTCAAGCGGAGACATCACAAGGGCGGATCGTCGGCGGCACACGATGCTTCCTCGCATCAACACGGCGGCTCAGATCGAGCGGGCACGCACGGTACCGCAGCAGCCAGTTCGGAGAAGGAATTGACGAGCGGCCTGGATCTGATCGCCGGTGTCGCCGGTGCAGAGCTACTCGGCGGCGAAGGGCTGGGAGAGTCGACGGCAAGCAACGAGGAGGAGGACGAGTTCGAAGATGACCTCGACCGAGACAAGGGATGGATTTCTGATCTGCCCATCAACCAACCAGCGGAGAAGACCGCACCTCATCCAGTCAGCGCCTTTGTTGGATGGCCACCAGCACCTCCCTCAGGTCAGGAGTGATGTGATTCTTTCACGCCGATCTGCGGAATGCATCTTGGAGCGGGTGGACAAAGGAAGTGTTCCATTGAATCTTAGAATCGTTGCACAAAAATTGCTGTTCTGATCAATCCACGTTGCCCTTGACCTCATCTTCTGCCGCCAGCTGCCAATCCAGCCTTCAACCCGATGGTGTTCGGTGCCGGTACGACATTTCTCCGCGACTGAACCTCCTCATGAGCCTTCTGCAGACTCTGCTTGATCTCCTTGACCTGCCTTGCCTTGCCCGCTAACAGGCGCATTCTTGCCACCGCGCTCGCCGCGTTGAGAGCCTTGGCCCATCTGCGCTTCACCTCGTCCGACCTCTTCCGCGTGTCTCGGGAGTGATGCTGAAGGTTGAGGTCGAAGATGAGTCTACCGAGCTCCTTGTCTGAGCGAGCGAAGCCTTGCAGAAGCAGGCTGATGTACTGCTTCTGGTGGGTCAAGTCGGCTCGGAGGTCCATCTGGCGGTTGAGCTTGAGCTTGAGGTACTTGATCTGAAGGATGAGGCCCTTGCATTCGGCTTCGTGCATCTTGCGTGCTGCGACGAGCGAGTGCTCCTCCACGTAGGGCGGCGGTGCCATGGTTCGAGATCGCTCGAGATCGTCGAGCTTGGTCTTGATCCTGTCCACCTCTTGCGTCTTGGACTTGAGCTGGTCGACCAACGTCCTGACCTGAATCATGAACTCGGCACGCTCTCGGTCCTTGGCGTCGCCGTCGGAGGCCAGCTGACGTCGGGCTTGTTCGCGCTCGGCTCGCAGCGCTTCCAAATCGGCACCCTGTCGGTCTGCCTCGCGACGCAGCTTGCGCAGCTCCTGCTCGAACATGCCCACATCGTGGACGATCAAGTCGCGCTCGGCTCGGAGACGGTCACGATCGCCGGCGATCTTCTCGTAGGCCACCTTCTTGGAGCGCAAGGCTGCGTGCGCTGCCTCCATCTGCTCGATCTGCTCGTCCAGCTGCGCCTGGTGCTCGGCCAACGCCGTTCGCGAGGCAGCCAGGTCGGCAAGCACCTGTTCGTAGTTCTCGTTGGCCGTAGCAAATTTCTTGTGCAGGTCAGCACGTTGCGTGAGAAGGTCGTTGCGCTCGGCCTTGAGCATTTCGACCTCGGACTGAGCCGCATGGAAGCGATCGGCCAGCTGCTCGGCTTGGCTGTCGAGCTGTGCCTTTTCGCGGCGAGCGAGCGAGCCCTCGGGCTGCACCGCCCTCTCCATGTACTGGCGACCAAGGGCTTCAAGTCCGCCCATCTTCTGCTCCAGCTTGCGCTTGACCGCGTCGAGCTCGGCTTGAGTGCGCGACAGGCTGCCCTCGATCGAGTCCTTCTGCTGGCTAGCGGCGCGCGTCTCGGCGAGCTTGCTGCGTTGCTGAGCTCGCTCGCGCTGCAAGTCTTGCTGCAGCGAGGAGGCGGCTTCCTTGAAGCGATCGAGCTCGGCCAATACTTCCTGGTATTGGCGCTTCTCCGTGCTGCGGTCCTGCAGCTCTCGCTCCCGACGCTCGAGCTCCCTTTCGCGTTGCTGCAGCTTATCATTGTCGGCGGCCCACCGGCTCTTGAGCGCCTCGAGCTGAGCGTGTACATCGGCAAAGACTTTTTGTCGCTGGCTGACGCTCTTGTTGGGGCTTGCGGTGGACGTGTCTCCGCTGAGTCCGCCGAGCATGCGAAGCCGTTCGATCTCCGCTTCGAGCTCGGCGATGCGCTCGTGGGCCTGTTGGAGTCGTTCGGCTAGGGTGAGGTGCGCAACACCCGCCTCGTCGAGCTGCTGCAGCTTTGCATCGATCGAGGCGTTGGCCTCATCAAGCGCTCCTTCGAGATACGCGATCCTGTCGACGACATTGGCCGCGCCGAGACTCGACTCGTTGTACAGCCAAGAGGCTTCACTGAGCGGGCCTGGAGAGCGAGGCGTCTTGACAGCAGAGATGTTTCGCAGGCTCATGACCGATTTTGGCAGCGGCGAGGACCCGTGTGGCGTCCTTCCGGGCGTCACTGGCGAGATGGATGCAGCATCGCCCCTGTCATCGTTCTTGGACAAGTTGGCGAGGTTGGTGCCAACGCCCTTGCTGATCATCTCGCGGTACTGTTGGACTCGGTCTTCCAGCTCGGCTTTTTGTCGCTCGAGGAACCGAATTCTCTCGTCTTGCACCGAAGATGACGTCGACGACTTTGGATCGTTGGCTCTTGCTTCCAATTCTGCAATGTAGGCCTGTGCTTCGCGGAGTTCGTCCTTGACACTTTCGACCTGCATTGCCTGGCTGTTGTCGGCTGGTTCGGAGCTTGCACCCCTCGAGAGCTGCGCGTTGGCTGCGTTGAGACGGCGTTCCAAGCCACGGATACGAGCGGCATCGCTGCTGCCCTGGTCCTGGAGAGACTCAATCTCGGTCTGCAAGTTGCGAACTGTTTCGCTTTGCGACTCCAGCTCCTTTGCTAGGCTCGCTCTTTCAGCTTCCAGCTCTTGCATGCGAAGCGCCGCGCCGGCCTCGCCATCCTGTGTGACCGACCGAGAAGACGGTTCCGATTTCAGCAGCTCCGAAAGCTCGGCCTGCAGTGCGTGAACGCGCTCGAGAGCTTGGTCTCTCTCGGTCTCGATCTTGTCGAGGGTCTGGAAGGAAAATGCTTTCGCTTGCTGGACTTGCTCTTCCATTTGAGCTCGTTCTCGCTGCAGACGCGCCTCGAGCTCCTCGAGGTCTTCCTCTCTGTCCTTGAGTAAGTTTTGCAGCTCGCTGATCTCGTCTCGCAGTTCTTGCTCCTGTCCCTCGTTGGTCTGCGGCACGTCTTGTGAAGCCTTGAGCGAAACGAGCTCCCGTTCTTTGTCGTCCAGAAGGTCAGCAAGCTCTTGCGCCTCTTTGTCGAGAGCCTCGGCCCGCTGACGTTCATCCTGCAACTGTTGATGGACAGCATCGAGCTCAGCAGAAGAGGCTCCACTGGATAAGCCAGCCTCCAGTCTGTCGAGCTTCTGAAGCAGCTGGTCACGCTCGCGTTTGAGCTCTTCGTTCTCGGCGTCGAGCCGCGCATTGAGCTTGCTCTGATAGAGTGCGAGCTTGGCTGCATCGACGCGCGGCCTTGCCACTGAGTTTGCTTCAGTACCAGCGTCGGCTGCGCCGAGACCGGGAAAAGAGGTGTTGGCTCGCAGACCCATAGCACCGTGCTTGGACCCATTCGGAGCGAGAGCGAGGTCGTTGGACGAGGCTTCTGAGTACGTCGTGGTCGAGCCGACAGCGCTGGCTACGTCATCATCTTTGGCGGGTTCTACTGCTTCTGGTCCTGCGCGAAGAGGACTCTCGGCGGCTAGGCTGGAAGCGGCACTTGAGTTCGAGACACCAAAGAGGGCGCCGCGTCGGAGCAGCTCAGCAACCCCCCCTTTGGGCAGAGGCGTGCGCCCTGCTGCGAATGTGTTGGCCTTGCCAAGGCGGTCCATTCTGCGTCGAGGCGTCGGGTCGGTGGATGTGGCCGGTGAGCCATCCTCCGTGGTTCTCGCATCACCTTCGGAGAGGGAGCCTGGGGTCCTGTGCAGCTGTGCTTGCGCTTTGAGACGCTCGATGGCTTCGAGATGCGCGTCGGAAGATCGACCGGAGCGCGAACGGGTCTTTTCGGTTGCTTTCACGCTGTTGAGAAGATACTGCTTCATTCTGGCGCGCTCTTCGGAAGCAGAAGCATGCTTGGGCGTAACAAGGTCGGATTGAAGCGGTCGATTCGGTGTGCTGGTTGCCGATTCCGGAGTTGACCTCGCGATGATGACCTGACGCGCGAGACGAGCTGCCGCTGGACTAGAATAGGCAGTGGCGGTGTACTCGGTCTCTGCTACCGATTCCGCACGGGTAGCGGCGGTGCCAGCGGGCTGCGATGAGGCCAAGGTGCGGGTATCTGCCTCTGTGTGAGCCTGGGTCTCGTCGTCATCTACAGCCGACTCGTCATTCTGAACCAGTTGCCGGCGCTGTGCGCGACGCTGCCTCCAGTCAATACCATCGCCATTACCGCCAGTCGAGCTCTGACTCAAGGCAGGAGACGCATTCCGTGATGAAGAAGCAGCTGGGGGAGCATCGTAGACCACAAAGTCGCGGCCATCTTGCTGATGCTGCTGCTGATTCACTTGAGCCTCGTGCAACTCTGGCGAGGGAGCTTCAGATACGCGTTCAGGGTCGGATGCATCCTCCGGCGCGATGGACGACTCGGTGAGGTCGTCAAGCAAGGCTGAAGCAGAGCGCGTGGAATGAGCAGCTCTGGAAGTCGACGTCTTTGTCGTCTCATCGTATCGATGTGTGGCGGTGCTCTCGGCGGTAGAAGGATGCAGTGGACGAGCGGTCATGACGGTGCGCGACCTTGATCCAACCGTAGATGCTGCACCAACCGTGCGTTGTGGGGTGGATGTGAGCGGCGGCGAGGTGCTTCTGATGTGGGTGTATGGATCCGGAAACTGCACTGAATGCGGCGAGTCGGACACGCTGGAGGCCGACGACGAGGATGACATCGCTTTGACGGGCGTGTCCTGTACGGCATTGCTGCTGGGGTGTTGTCGCGCATTCTGAATGGCAGCAGCCAAAGTCACGGGCTGCTTACTGGCGTGCGGTGTAGCGAGGTGAGTCTGCTTAGCGGGGGAGGTGAACGACACGTCCGAGGTGTCTGACGGCCTCGAGAAGGATGAGTTGTGTCGATTGGTTGCACCCAGCGGGGTCCTTGTTGTTGTGAGGGAAGCGCTGATATCGCGGGTATCGCCCCCAGGCATGGAAAGATCGAACTCGGACTGCGTTTCCATCAGATCCTGAGCGATCTGACGCTCGAGTCGAGCTGGTGTTCCAAAGTGAAGATCCATCGTCGTTGACTACCCAAGCAGACTACCAGGTAGGAGGCGGAGATGAGCCTTTGACGACGTTGGTCTAGGTATTGCAGACACGTTGCGATGATGGAGACCAGCGAGGAAAACGCAAAGGATGGTATTGCTGACGGCAGGTTCACAAACCTCACACAACGATGTGCGCTTCTGCAGACAGGAAAGAGCAACACACACATAATTGACCCTCGCAGCTTGGCAGCAGAGACGCGATTTCGCGACCAGGTCACGTTGGCGAAAACAACATCAGACACAGCTACCCGCCATCGGGCACACCACAGATCGGGGTGGCTTTTAAAACAAGTTTGTGGGATAGAGGGATCTCACACCTTGAGCTCCAAAAGTGTTGGTTCCGCGGGAGAGGCCAAAGGCGGGGACGGGGACGCGACCCGCTGTCGTCGTCGGGTTTCCGCTTTGCTCGACTCGTTGCCGATCCCACGTCCGCACAACTGCGAACGTGTTCGAGTTGGACAAGCTGTAGCTCACCGTCGAATCCGGATCAAAGTCATCCGGCAGCAATTTGCTTCCTGAATGTCAGGTTGGTTAGATATGAACGTGCCACGCTTCAACGATGCTCGGCTCTCTGAGAAGACGCTGCACGGAAAAAGAGTTCACATCGAGGGCTTGTTGCGGTGGCTATGCGCAAGACGCTGACATTGAGCCACGGCATGGCAGTAGCCGGCGGGCAGATCAGGAGTGGGCCGATCGCCTCGACGGCATGTGCTCGTGCTTGCTCGCGTGGCCGTGTCATCAGCCAAAGGAGAGGCATGGGCATGGATGGTGGAGCGGCTCCATCGTGCGGACAATCGAGAGTTGATCACCGAGAGCGCGGACGGATCTCCGCGAACTCTTTGCTGGATGATTATCTCTTGTTGATCAACGCCAAGCTGAATGCACGTTGCGGATCGGAGGGCAGCCCGAATGCTGCGCTGTTGCGGAACGATCCGTCATTGCTCGCGAGAACGAGGTCGCACAGGTCCGGTCCGCTCACATGCACAGATGCTTGGAGGCTGGTCGGAGACAGGGACAAGGAAGTGGGTTCCATCACCGCAGCGGTCGGGTACGTCTAAGCGAGCGAAAGAGAGGATTGGTACAAGCCGAGCCGTCGTCGGAAATCCGTACTGACCAGTCTCGCAGCTTGTTCCCTCTAAAGAAGCAGACGGACTTTGAAAACAAAACAAAAAATTGACTGACTCTGGCGCCGTCTGGTCGAGACCGGACCATCGGCGGATCCACCGAACAGCCGTCCGTCAGCATTCTGTACGAGCACAGAACTGACACTGGTACGAAGTCTAGGCGGATCGCTTGACAGTGAGTTTGGAATCAGCCCTGCCCAAAGCACCAACGCAGGAACCGAGCGGCGTAAATGCCCGTCTCATGCACTAGTTTCACGGAAGAGTTAATGCCCAACGGGATCATGCTAGGCTTTCTGCACAGCATCACGCAACATCACAGCTTCAGCCCTGTTGCCATGGCTCCCAAGTGGTGATGGTGAATGAATGTCCGCGAGCCTGGCAGAGCCGAGAGGTGATGATCTGGTGCTGTACCGGAAGAGCGGCGGGCGCCGAAACTTGATGGCGATCAACAGGGAGAGAAGATGCCACTGACAGCGGCTACATGGTTCCTAGATTCCCGAATAGCCCTGCACCTAACTTATCCGAGCCCGTTCGCACACTGACATCAAAGTGAGACACGATCCCTGTTCTTCTCTCGCCTCCTCACATGGGCTCGACAAGGACCGCTCGTCCACGGGAAGCAACACCGGGCACGAGTGCTCTGATTCGCATCTTGCCTCGCAGATGCATCCTCTCTTCAGTGTTGCATTGTTGCATCCTCGACACAGGCCGGTCCCCCCATTTAGCCGACAAGATAGTTTCCAACTATCCATTGTCCGACCATCCATTGTCCAACCACGCCCGTGCTTGGCCAATCCTTTGCGCGCTCATATACCGGCCACTCTGAGCAGCGCTACCATTGCTGCTTTTCCCCCATCCTTTCTTCAGTTCCTCATCTCCCCGTCTTCGCTTTCCTTTGCGTCCTTCCTGACCACGCACCCTCTCATCCCTCTTCGATCGGATCCGCCCCACCCAAATTCGCGCCCCGACGAGGCATTTGGAGACCCTTGCTGCAGCACTGGACGAATTTCGATTGCGCTCAGCGACGCTTTCCCGAGAAAAAAAGGGCGCCAAACTGACTTCGGAAGCTGCCGATTCGTGTCCTCTTTTCACCATCTGCGCACTGCTCTCGTGACCCTCTTCTGGTCAAAACCTTCCTTTCGGAAGAGGCCGATCGAGGTGCTCTCACCCTGACCACCACCACCTTCGCAGAGCTGACTGGCTCGTCCCTTCTCGTGAGGTCACATCCTCGGACCCCTTCCCACGGTAGCCATTTCCAGTTCGGGCCAGGTGCGATCGATTCTCGGCTTCTGCGACAACACTTACAGTAATCTCTGTGCCTTCTTCGATGGTCGATTACGCCGCTTCATAAAACATGAGTGCAGGCAACGGAGCGTTTCCTCCCCACCACGATCCTCGCTCTGGCTTTCACCCCGCCATGTCAGCAATGCATGCACACCATCACTCAGCACCCTTCGCACAGATGCCTGCGGATCCCACTGCTTTCTACGCATCTTCGCATGCCTCAGCCTCATCGTCTTCGCTGGTCGACCAGTTGAGCGATCACGAGTCGTATTCCAGCTCCTTTGAGCCATCCAGAGACGGCAGCTTCAGCGGTGCCTCGTCAGGTCGATCCGGTCCAGGTCCCTCCTCTTCCTCTCAGGGCTTCCTCTGTCCCAACTGCGGCAAGACGTTCGCGCGCGATGATCTGCTACGACGCCACCTCGCAAGAGAGGCAAGAGCCCTCGCTCAGCCCTCGTTCGATCGACAAAAGAGCTGCTACGAGTGCGCCAGGTCCAAGGCAAGATGCGATCTCGAGGTTCCCACCTGCGGTCGATGCCGTGCCCGAGGAAAGCAGTGCCAATACGCTCCTAGGTCTGGAAATCCCAATGTTCGAAAAGCACGCAACACGGTCGCCACGCCCGGAATGGACACTCAGATGCAGGGCATGACGCCCCAGATGGCCACTCCCATGGCCTCCACCCTGCCTGATCAACACTGGTCCATGGCCAACCCTGGCTTCCACATGGCTCCCAACGTCTTCATGGCTCCCAACCCAGGCTACGTCAAGAGGGAAGGCGAGCCCGACTACGACAGTCAGAGCGAGGGGGAGGCCCAGTCGTGGCACGATCCAGGCTCGTCCGCCTCTGGGTCCGCCTTTGGCTCTCCTCGATCGCAACACAGCACAGCAGAGCACCCCGACTCTGCACCTCCCAACCTGACCCACTTTTCCATCTCAGGCCACCCGTTCCCCAGCAACACTCCTCTCCCTCGCACCGATTCGCCCCACTCCTTCAACGATCTCGAATCGGACGCTGCTCCGGGACCACAACGCATGCCGTCGCGCAAGTCGAGCGGATTCTCGCGCACCAACACCGGACCCATCGTCACCAACATGAATCGTTCCGGCATGGCTTTCGCCAATGAAGAGGGCGAAGAGACGCCCATCGTGCGTCTCAGTCAACATCAGCTCACGCATGCCGACTCTGACCCCTCGAGGATGCTCATCAACGACCATTTCCTTGCGGCACCGCAGCATCGTCACAGAGCTACCAGCCTTCCCGAAGCGCTCGAAGAAACGCTTCCGGACAATGTGCAGACACCATGGAACGAGCGGTCCATGGCAGGTCAGCCCTCACGGCAGCTTCCGCACAACTCGATGGCGGCAGCGAATGCCATGATGCCCCCGCCGAGACCTCCGACATTGATCACCTCCAACCTCAACAACCGCAATGCATGGCCCTACCCTTCTCCCATCCGTTCCGGTCTATATCAACCGGGTCTCGATCTTTCCGGCTGGCTGGCAGAGCCAGTGGTCCCGTCTCCACTGTATCGCATGGGTCCCAGCTTGCATTCGGCCATCAGCGGCAACTTTGCTGCCATCTCGCATTCGCCTGTCGTCGACACACCCATCTCGGCCAAGTTCGCAGCCTCTCTCGCCCAGACCATGGGCCTCTCGATCAATCCTGGTTTCCTCCCTGCTTTCCAGGAGCATCCCGCAACCGCCGGCCCAAGCCACTCCTCCACCCATCCGCTGAGCCGATCCCTGTCAGATGCCACCACTCCGCCTAGGTCGCGATACGACTGCGATGGTCAGCCCGTCCTGCCTGCACCCCAGTTGCCCAGCGCAAAGCAATGGTGGATCCAGCCAGACCAGAACGGCGAGGTCGCTGCCTCGATTGCTCAGGGTAGTGCCGCCCACTTTGTTTCTTATCCGGCCTTGATGGTGCTCACCGATCCGACCTCGCCCATCCCGCCCTTCATCCACCGCAAGTGGCTCCAGGAGAATCGCGCCCGCGTTCCCGAGTCCCTTGCTAGCGCTCGTTCCATCCTCGCCGGCTACTACGTTCGTTTGCCGGCCAGCCAAGGCTTTGTCTGGCGACTCATCTCGGAACAGATCAGGTCGATCCTTCATTCCGAGGCAGAGCTCAAGAAACCTGACTCTGATCCCGTCGCTGTCTTTGGTGCTGTTGCATCGCTGTGGATGTACCTGGTGCTGATCGTCTTTACCGACGAGTCGGCCATCACGGATCATGTCGATGCGGGTCTGCTCGACCACGCGCTCTCGGTACTATCGAGTCTGTCCCAGTCGCTTCTCGCCCACACTGTGGAAGCGTGCAACGCGGCTTCGGGCACGATGACCCCGAGTCTCGCCACGTTTGGATGGATCGAGACCATGATCCGCACGCTCTTTGCCTCCTACTCGCTGCTGGTGCTGCAGCGATTCCGCGAAAACGGAGGCGATGCACGAGAGCGTCTAGCAGGCTGTTCACTCATCCTCGACATTCCTCTCCCGGCTGGCGCTGGCGAGTTCGAGGCCGACAACGAGGCTGACTGGCTGCAAGCCCACCATGCAAACCAAAACGTCCTCACCGAGGCCGCCGCCCCCTTTGTCCGCCCCACGTTGCGCCAGCTCGTGCAGTTCCGCAAGGACACCTTCGCAGCCGAGTCACAAAGCTCCCAAGCTGAGGCCAAACTGCGCGACCTCCCGTGGGCCGCTACCCTCTTTGACAACCAGGACGAGTTCACCAATGTTGTTCTCTCGGTCGCCTTTGCTCTCGATGATACCCGTGTTTAATCCAACACCAGCTCGATTGGACTATGCCCTTGTTCTCAGTCTCGTACAGTATCATGTAGTTCTATCTATTTCTGTCTTTGTAAGAATGCAAGTTCCAAAGGAGGGCGTCTCGCCCTTCTCCTAATCAAGGAGCATCGAAATGCGCGTTGTGATTGCGATCATGACTTGCCAGCGGCGACCCAGCCCGCCGAAATAAGAATGACGACCATGCCCACCGCGCTCAGTGGCTGGATAGGCGTATGCAAGAAGACCAGCTGGTACAGCGAGGCGTAGACAATCTGAAGGTAGGTCACCGAAACAGCGCGCCCTGCTTTCTCTCGCTGCAGACCCATAGCGAGCAGGATCTGTGCTGCGAGGCCGAAGATACCCACGCAAACCAGCAGGGCGATCCACTTGGGCTGCGTCGGTAGCACAAACTCGGTGCCCGTAACCCACATGAGGATGGCACTGACAATGGTCGAGTAGAGCGAAAAGTAGGCGACGCTGTGGGTTGCAGATGCGCGTCGACCGATGGCGCGAATGGTGATGTAGGCTCCGGCACCACCGCACACTCCGAGCAACGAGAGACCTACAGCGACGAGACGCTGCTTCTCCGTAACGCCGTCGATGGTTACAACGCCGTTGGGGCCGTCGAGCGGCATCGTGCTGTCGGTGCGCCTGAGCAGCTCCACCGAGGTCAAGTTGTGCACGAGATGCTTGACCACACTCGAAGACACCTGCACCGTAGCATTGACAGCATCGACACTTGTTGTATTCGAGACTCCGAAAGCGAGCGGCTGGTCGAGGTCCGAATCAGCCGCCTTTCGACCAAAGATGAACGCGGGTCGCGCGATGAGCACCACACCGGCTAGACTCACGATGCCGCCCGCCACTTCACGCAGCGTAAAAGGCTCGCGAAGCACGATATACCCCAGCAGCCCCGTCGCCAAAGGTCCGAGGAACGTGATCACCGTCGCATCCGCCAGCGACAGATACTGCAACGAGTAGTACAGCCCAAAGAGCCCGAAGAACCCCACAAACCCTCGGAGCGCCAGGAGCTTCCTCACCTCTTTGGGCCCCAAAAACGGATTCTCGACGCCAGAGACGAGCATGAACCCCACGCATCCGATCCACGTGATGGACATGCGGATGAAGATGATCTCGAGCGCCGTCACCCGCGGGCTCTCTTCTGGAGGCAGCAGGTTGATCAGCTTGAAGAAAAAGTTCATGGTGGAGAAGAAGAGCTGGGCGAGACCGAGCAGCAGGATGCCCTCATTGCGCTTGATAAAGCCTTTGAACTTGGATGCGTTCTTCTTCACACGGTAGTTCTTGGGTCGTAACGGCTTCGACGGGTCCGTTTGGGATGGGAAGGGCAGCTCGTTGATGCCGTCCTCTTCGAACGAGGAGCCGCGCTCGATGTCGCGCGAGGTCGGGCGTGCGTCTTTGCGGGCGTGGGGAGGGGAGATGGTGGGTGTCTCGTCGAGAAGCCGCGCTGTTTCGGGGACGGCATCTTGGTCCTCAGAGGTCCGGATGGAGTTGGAGAGCTTGCGTGGTCTCGCGCCTGTCGGTCTGGATTTGTACGTTGATGATTGGGCTGTGTCGGCGTCATCGAATTGTTGCGAGGGTAGCTGGGGTGTGAGGAGCGGACTCCTTTCGTAGCTCGGCCGTGGTGATATCGATGGTCTCTGCATGCTGAGCGTCTCAGGCTGCAGTTGATGGTTGATGTGATGGCTGGCGGAAGAGAGGATGAAGATAGGATGAGGCCGTTGAAGAAGTTGCTGTAGTCACAGTTACACAGATCGGTTAGCGGCGCAGCACCCTGTCCTGTCAGTGTGGGGGGCTCAGCTTCAAAAATTCGCGCGGAGAATATCGCTCGATGCCGATACCACCGGTGTAGAATGCCGGCTCTGGAGTCGGCTATGCAAGCATAACAACCTTGCATTTGAGCGACTTGGGAGTCTTCGGTCTTGCCTGACACTCACACGAAAGGACATCATCTAATGGGGTCATGCTGTACGTGATGGAAAGGTCCAAGAGAGTTCAGAAGCCGGGTCACTGAGGAGCGACGTCAGCGAGGCGAGTCAGGCAGACCCTGACAGGGTCTCAATTAGCGCCAAGGTGTTAGACCTTGACTCTCATAAAAAAAAATAAGACACGGCCGAGAGGCGTTGCACGTCCGCAGAGACGCGTTTTGAAAGTGTCTGTGCTCACAAGAGATGGACGATGCGCTGGAAGCTTCAACTCTTCTCAGCTCGAAACCATCACACTCGTCATCGTCATCCACCCGTCACCGCTCTCGATACCCTTCACACATCTACCGACTACAACGACGACACAGCAAAACACAGACTCGCCGCCAGGTCGCATAGCATCGTTCGGTCACACGACTCTGCCCAACAATCAGCACACACCCGCATCGCTCAGAATGACTACCGTCACCTCGTCTTCTGCGGGGCTCTCGCTCTCCGCAGAGCGACCCAAGAACATCGAAACACAGCATGAAGACATGATCCACGATGCGCAGCTCGACTTCTACGGTAAGCGCCTCGCCACCTGCTCTTCGGATCGCAGCGTCAAGGTGTTTGATATCGTCAACGGCACCCCTTCCACCAATGCAGAGACCCTTCACGGTCACCAGGGTCCAGTCTGGCAGGTCGCCTGGGCGCATCCCACCTTTGGCGACATTCTTGCCAGCTGCTCTTATGATGGAAAGGTGATCATTTGGAAGGACAACGGACCCAGTGCGGGCAGCGCTGCTTCGGCGCCGTACGGCTCGCAATCCGCATACGGAGCTCCCGCATCTTCAGCAGGTGGCTGGACCAAGATCAAGGAGCACACCTTGCACACCGCATCCGTCAACTCGATCTCGTGGGCTCCTCACGAGCTCGGCTCGATCCTTGCCTGCGCCTCGTCCGATGGCAACGTCTCGGTCCTCACTTTCAACAACGACGGCACTTGGGCTGTCGATCTGGTAGCGGCGCACCCTGTTGGCTGCAACGCTGTGTCGTGGGCTCCAGCTGTGATCCCAGGCTCGCTCATTTCGGCGCAATCCACCGGACCCAACGCAGCTGCGTCCAACGGTGAGGCCAAGCTGGTGAAGCGCTTCGCCTCGGCTGGCTGCGACAACACGGTCAAGATCTGGCAGTTCAGCGAAGAGGCCAACCGCTTTGTCGAGGCAGAATCGCTGCAGGGTCACTCGGACTGGGTGCGCGATGTCGCCTTTGCTCCCAACGTCGGCCTCCCCCGCAGCTACCTCGCGACCGCTTCGCAGGACCGCACAGTGTTGATCTGGACCCAGGATTCGCCCACCGCAGCTTGGTCAAAGACCGCCTTGAATCCGTCGTCGGGCGCTGCTGCTGGCGGCAACAAGTTCCCGGACACGGTTTGGAGGGTAAGCTGGAGCGTCAGCGGCAACGTGCTGGCGGTGAGCTGCGGCGATGGCAAGATCACGCTGTGGAAGGAGAACCTCAAGGGGGCTTGGGAGTGTGTTAGCGAGATGGACTCGTAATTGTTCTCCACCAGGAAGGTAGGCGTCTCCAGGATCCGCGCCTTTGCGACGACCGCAGCTCGAGGCGCTTCTGTAATGCAACCCATCTGCCATTTTCGATCAACGACAAGAACGATAGGAACTTCATGACAATCCGTTGAGATGCGAGGAACATATCGCGATGCGGACTAAGCATCGACCTTGCTAGTTTCTATAAGGCATCGTCGGAGCCGGGCCGGAGAATGTGAGCTGACGCTACAGTGGTGTCGTCGGTCAACGCCGGTGATGCTTGTGGGACGCGATGTGGACGACCGGAAGGACAGCCCATTTGCCCATGCAGGGGGATGCGAGAGCGATCCATTGTTTCGGGATGGACGGGTGTGGAAGATGTGGATATGTGGGCTGATTGGGGGCGCAGCATCGGTTCTTCATCTGGGTTTGAGATTCGAGATGTTTGATGAGCTCAATCGGAAGGTTTAGTCGGATCGAAGCTGCACTCACTTCATCAAGCCTCGCACCGGATGAAGAACCCGCCTCGAACCGGTCTACAGTAGGCAGCAACGTGACATCGTTGGACTTGTCCCACGCTGTATCCAAGCAAGGCTGTGCATGCCTCATCTAGCCGATCGAACGCAGTTCGCTGACTCTACTCGACGGGCCAGCCGAACCGAACAACGCCCCACAGACCGCATGAGCTCACCTCATGTCGGTCGATAAGTAAGTATGAAGATGCCGAGCCTAGTAGCATTCTTGGTGGCAACGCGGACATGAAATGGAACTCAGATGGAGCGCCAAGAGGAGAGGGTGGCTATGCAGCTGGGTGTAGAGATGGCGAGCTCATGTCAAAGTTAGGCGGACAGCAGACTGGAACAAGCTTTCAGCTAATGCGGGGTTGCGTTGTTTGAGGCTGGCTGCGCGGCTGTGATTCGGCAAATGTCTGGGTGTTGGTGGCGAAGAAGAAGGCACGGGGCTTCGAGGAAAAGCGGAGCGAGCAACGGATCTCAGTCAGACCAGATACCCTTCCTTGCTTTCTTGCTTCCCACGCCGAAAAGCATCCTTCAGAGCAAGCGACCAACGGGCTAGTGGGCCAAGCAGCAAGCCACAAGAGTGGCGGGCGTGGGAGAAAGAGTGAGAGAGCCGAAGGAATATGGGTCGGGTCTGTAGCTTGTTACCCGGTCTTGAGGGGGTTGTCTAAAGGCTGCAACCGATGTTCATCCGCGCGCTTCCCACTGCGCGAAACCCCTGTATCCAAAAAGGACACCAAAAAATCAGGAAAAGGAAAATTCCACACTGTGTTTGGAGCGTGAGCGCGTCGGTCAAGAAGGGTCTTGGGTTGTCTGAGTGTTGGTTTGCTGCTTGCTAGCCTCGCTTCGCCCAGCTTGCTCCACCTGAACAACCGTGTAGGACTGCAGGCCAGCAACAAGCAGCACACCACTCAGTCAGACATGCATGTGCAGCAGCGGCCATTCCGAAGCCAGCTGCCGCTAAAAAAACAAAGATCCAGGTTACAGCTTCTGGCTTCATCTCGGTTAGTGGCCGCCTCCTCACTCCCTCCCTCTCCTTAGACTCACGCTTTCTTTCTCACTCAGACCGCTTTACTACAACGGCACGGCTTCTGAAGCGAGAAAGAGGGTTCGGCCCTAACCTTGTGTCGCTTCAGCTTATCACCGTTGGTCCACCCTTGGCCTCTCATTGTGCGGGCAGCTCAGCGCGACACCATCACCATCACCATCACCGACATCTTCTTCCACATCGTCGCGACCATCGCTGTTCCGGGAGTAGCGTCTCAATAGATTCCAGCAGCAACACCATCAAAGGACCATCCTCGCATTGCTCATCGCCCTCCTGCATTATCCCTCAGTCCTCACTCGTCCCGACAGCTCGAACTACTCGATACAGGCAGCCTCTGTTGACGTTCCTCAACTCCACCTGACACAGCATACACGACTAGGTGATCAAAAGCGAGTGCTTCCCACCGAACACAGACCGCTTCGCATCCATACCCAAGTCGACGCTTGATCCGCAGTCGTGCTTCGGTTTGGCCGCCTGACCATCTTTGGATTAGTCGACCACGGTTCCTGCAGCCAATCAGTACCTGAACGGTCACGCCGAGCTTAAGCTCGAGTCAATCGATTGCTGGCTCGCATACAGTACAATCCTGAGCTTGTTCTCGCGCTGGCCGACCAAATTTCCCACGCTTTCTCAACACTGGATATGCTCAGCAACGGCGCCAAAACCAGTCTGCACCCTTGATGCTTTCCAATTTGCGATCCTCAACAAGCTCGATCGGCCACAGTGGCGTTCATCACATCTCAGGCCGCTTCTTCAGCCACTACTGCGTGCCTGCTCGGGAATAAGCGCTCCGCCACTTCATCTTAGAGCGAATCTCGAGCAACGACACCTTTGCATCCTTGTGGAGTAAGTCACCGTCCCCTTGCCACCGGATCCTACAAACTCAACCTTTGGTCCGCTCTCCTCACAGAGACTAATTCAACTTGATCCTTCGCTCCACTCCCATGCCCGCGGATGTCCCCCTCTGCTCGCTGCGGTGCCAACAGACCCACCAACCCCCCTCTTGCAGGCATGGACACGATCTGAGCTCTTCTCTGCACCAGCTCGTCGACCAAACCGCTCCAGTCTCTCGCTTGTCGTCCCGACCATGGCTGCGGCAACAGCTACCCTCTTGCCCACAGCCGCTCCGGACCTCGTCAATATGGACCAACGATTGCCTCCCATCACCTCCTCGTCGGCGGACGCCAATGCCGCCGCCGCCGCCAAGTCACTCCGCTCGCAGAGGTCTGCTCCCTCGCCCTCCACCCCAACATCCGCCTTTCGACTTCGCGCAACCCAAGATTCGCCTTCCATCCCACATCGTCGTATCTACAACATTGACGATGATGCAAACTCGAGCCCGTCTCGATCCGCTGCTGCGCCCATCACACCGTCCCAATCTGCCAATGCTTCGCCTACCAAAACACCCACTCGTCTAGCTGCTCCTCCGCTTCCCGCGAGTCCCGGCTCGCCGACTCGCCCATTGGCTCACAAGTCTTCAGCAGAGCGTCGAAGCAAGGCCACCCGCAATCAGCACCTCACCAATCTCGAAGCCGCATCGCTTTCCACACCCGAGCTTCACCTCGCTTCGGATCCCATGCTCGATACCGAAGAACCCTCCTTCTTGCGCAAGCTCGTTCGAGGCACTCGAACACAGTCGAACGATGCCATATCCGGTGCAGGGAGAAAAGCACAAACCAAAGCCAAGTCTCGCTCGATCAACGCCTCGCCACGAGCTGGTGCACCATCGTTGCCTGCTTACGCCAGCTTCGGAGCCGCAATGAGCGTCGTCGACTCTCAGAAAGATCAGCTTGCGTACCGCGCCGCTCTCGAGGGGCAACGTTCCCGTAAACACAGCACCGCCACCTTGCGAAGTGCCGACGTAGAGACCGGATCGCCGTCATGGGCACACAAGAATCTCAGCACCGACACGCTAGCACCCACAAAGGGCTACAGCACGCCTCCTTCTCCTACCAAAGCCGGTTCAAAATCTTCTGCGGATACACCACTTGCACGCACTCAGAACGACACGGAGCCCGCCCCGAGGCCCAGATACGACAGCAGCGCGTTGGTGCCACGATCTTCTACCGACGTTTCGAGCCGGACAAGCGCTGATACCGCCGGTTCCGGCGCCACTCTCGTTGCCGAGACCAGCTTCACCATGCTTTCTGACGTATCATTCGGGATGTCTGACCTCGCAGCACCTCAGGCCGCGCTCGATAGCATCCGCAAAGCTCGTTCCTTCATGATTCGTGAGCTCACCCGTCTCACCGAAGAAGAGCGTGGACTCGATCGGCAGCGCATCTCAGCACTCATGTCGCAGGAAAAGCCCGAAGCTCAGGAACCGAGCATCGAGGCGTCACGCTTTTGGAGCGCTATCGCCGACGGAGTGCTTCTGTGTCTGCTGGCGAACCGCTTGAGGCCAGGCAGCGTCGATCGCATCGATCGCAGAGACATGGAATGGGTCAGGGCCGACAATATTTCCAGGTTCTTGAGAGCAGCGCGCGATCAGCTTGGCCTGCGTTCCAAGGACCTCTTCCAAAGCTTCGATCTTACCGACGGCACCGTGGAGGGTCTGCTTCGCGTCGTTCACACCCTGCAAGCCACAGAAAAGAAGATCAAGCGCAACTCCAAGGTGGCGAGCGCTCGTGCCAATGTCATCAAGATCGAGCCGAGGACCACTTCGATGACGCCGCCGTCCACTCCACGCGCCCACGACCGTAGGATGCTCGCGGCCGGCAATGGCGACCTGGACCGTCTTCACAACAGCTCGGAGCTGTCGCTCAACGAAGACACCCCGAGAAGGGCCATGATGACCATCCAGGAAAACAGACAAGAAGCGGAACGCATCCTCATGGGCAAGGCCGATTCTGCACGCCTCGAATCCTCGTCCGCCGACTACAAGCGTCGCTCAGCCGAGCTCGGCTATCCGAGGGCGAAAGGCTCGTCTATCACCTTCGCCGACTCGGTCAAGCAGAACAGCTATCACGGCGGCGAGGAGGGTCGAATGCCATACCGCGACCGCAAACTGAGCGAGTCGGCCATCAGCCTCACGGGTGTCGTCGAGGAGCCTGAGGATGGCGTCGTGGCCAACGGAGACTCGATCTCCATGTCCACTGCAGGGTCCTTCTCAAGCACTCACTCGGCATCGATGGAGCGAATTCAGGGCAGGAGAGGTAGCAGCGAGTCGGAGAAATCCACCAAGGGCTTTGCTATGAAGGCGCCGCCGCTCTTGCGCAGCACGTCTCAGAAGCGTATCAGTCAGGAGCTGGCGCTCGGTCAGCTTCCGAGGGCTGTCATCGGTTCCACCGAAAATCTCGACGACTACATCTTTGCCTCGGGCAGTCCCACCCGGCATGCTCCGACAAGGCGTCACAGCGCACGCCTCTATCCGGGGCCCTCGCTGCTCAACCCATCGCGCGAGTCTCTTCTCAACCTTGCATCTCCGTCCAACGTGGAGCCCGAGACAACGCCTCGAGTCCCCTTTCCCCGCGGGGCCAACGATTCTCCAGGCGCTCGCAGGATGGCGCGTCATCTCTCCATGAACGGTGCAGGTACCGAAAGCTTTGCGCAGGCTTCCGGTTCTGCACCGGGCTCCAACAACAACAACGGTGGCAGCAGCTCGCCCAAGATGGCTACTCGGCCTCAGTTCCGGCACATGCGGTACTCGTCCGAAATGCACCTTCCCCTGATGCATCGACCGCTGTCGACGAGCGGACGCTCTCCAGATCCCTCCGTCGATGAGCGTTCCTACATCTCGACATCGCGCAGCCGTTTCGAATCCGAGATGGGGTCCATCTACAACAACACGCTCGGAAGTCAAGCCACAGACGACTTTGGATCCGCACCGACTCGCGGCGGTCGTGGTGCTATCCACCCTAGCAGGAGGCTGGTCGTTGTAGAGGAAGGCAAGCCTGACATGGTCCTTCACGTCGGGAATTGCATCGGCAAAGGTCAGTTCGGCTCTGTCTACAAAGCCATGAACATCAACACGGGAGCGATCCTGGCTGTCAAGCGGATCAAGCTGGATGGACGCACCGATGCCGAAGTCGATGACTTGATGGGCGAGGTCGATCTCATGAAACGACTCGTCCACCCAAGCGTGGTCAAGTACGAAGGCTTCATGCGCGATGCCGAGTTTGCCAACATCGTCCTGGAGTATGTCGAGAACGGCTCGCTTCAGAACACGATCAAATCGTTTGGCAATCTGCCGGAGAGACTCGTCGCCAGCTACGTCGCCAAGATGCTCGAGGGCCTCTACTATCTTCACGAGCTCGGCGTCGTCCACTGCGACCTGAAAGCGGCCAACATCTTGACCACCAAGAACGGCAATGTCAAGCTTTCGGATTTTGGTGTCTCGCTCAACTTGGTCGCTGTCCAAAAGGCGAAGAAGAACGACGCGATCGGCACCCCCAATTGGATGGCACCCGAAGTCATCGAGCTCAAAGGCGTCACGACCGCTGCCGACATCTGGTCTCTGGGTTGCGTCATCATCGAGCTGCTGACCGGCAAGCCTCCCTACTGGGACATGCTGGCCATGTCAGCCATGTTCAGGATCGTTGAGGACGACTGCCCGCCCATCCCGGAGACATTCTCGGAGGACCTCCGCGATATGCTCAAGCAATGCTTCAACAAGGATCCCACCAAGCGCCCGACCGCCGAGACGCTCTTCGAGCACAAATGGATGCAGCAGATCTGGACAAATAGCAAGGAGCTGCGACCGCAGGATAGCGTTCCTTTCCTGCGTCGCATCAGCGTCGGTGCTCGTCGCTTGGACCCTCGCATGTTCGACGAGGGCAACAAAGCTGTGCAGCCTTCGATCGAGAGGTCGACATCTTCGCCACCTCCTGCCATGCAGCGACCGGGCCTTGACGGCCTGCGCGCCAACACCTCTCCTGCGGGCGCTGCAGCCATCGTCGTTACTGAGGCGACGAACGACAGCTCCCTTGCAGCCTCTTCGCCCACCGCCGAGATGTCCTCGCTGCCGGGCCTTGACACTTCATTGTCAACGCCCCTACCCGTCAGCCCGACCACGCTGACGCCCACCGGCGAGACCTCCCTCTTCGATCTGGGTCTCATCACGGACGAGGAAGGAAAGGCCCACGCCTTCGTCAAGAGCACTTTCAGCAAGGCGGTGGTGTGCAAGATCTGCCGCGAGCCGGTCAAGAAGCACGCCGTGCTGTGCGAAGAGTGCGGTCTCGTGTGTCATGCGAGGTGCGCCGTCCACGCTCCTTCGCCATGCGACCTGCGTGCCCAGCTGTTGCTGTTTCAGCAGCGCGGCTCGCAGGACCATGCCAGCCCCATGTCGTCGGCCGTCCATCTGGGCCCGGTATCGCCAGCGCTCAGCAGTTCTGCCTCCAATGTCGCGGCTCCGATCCACTTCCGATTCCCCTTTGGGATGAAGCGTCAGTCGAAATCGCCAACGGTGGAGTCGCCGCCGGCTCTCGGGCTTGCCATGGCTCCCAGTTCCGACGCTGAGGCGCCGAACGCACCGCCATCGCCGCCAAGTCGGCAGGGCGCGCTCGGGAGCAAGCCGCCTCGCGACCAGACTGCGGTGCGCAAGCGTCGCATCTCGCTGATTCCGAGTCGACAGCGCTCTCCGTCGCCGCCTTCATCCCCAGCGCTGCTGGAGGCGACCGAGGCGTTGCGAAGTCCCTACGGCACTAGCGCTGGTCACGGCGTAAGGAGGCACAGCTCGATGAGCTACGGCAGTATCAGTGGTGCGAGCAGCATCTCGAGCACCGGCGGCGCGGTTCTCGTCGGCCATCCCTCTAGCTCGCGAGGCTCGTCGGCGCATCACCCATCGCTCGCATCCGCAGGTGTCACTGTGCCCGTTTCACCCGCCGAACCGCCTACGCTGGCGGATCGCGCCCGGCGCCGCATCAGCTCGGGTGTTGTCTACGGCACGCCCGCAAAGACGCCTCTGGCGAGTAAAAAGACAGCCAAGGGTCTTTCTGCAGGTCAGGCCACGCCTACCCCACAGTCGGCAATGGACCGTAAAAAGTCCCGTCGCGTATCGGCCAAGGCCGACTGCACGATCATGTAACTTTCCCCTTTGACTCGTGACGATCTTGATGACTTCACTCGTGCTCGAGAAGAACATTCACGCAACCCTCGTAGCCATCGCATTCGCCTACTGCTTCGTCTTCCTCATCTTATACCACGTCCCTCCATGTCCTCATGCATTCACACGAGAAAATATCACGCGTTTCACGTTCCTCGAGCCGGGAACAATGTGTCCTGTAAGTGTGGTATACATTGCGTTGCAAAGGCTAGTGATTCCAGTCCCTTTGGGCATATGATGACTGGTAGGGCTGAATATGGGTCTGGGAGGCGAAGGGGTCGGTTGTCGATGGTTGACGTTGCAGGTACTGCTGTTGATCCCATCCCTGCTGCTCTTCCCTCCTCCATGCGCCATCCTGGCTAACCCCATGCCCATACCCCGGGTGGTTGTTGTAGTACTGCGTACCCCTGCGCGTACTCGCATAGGCTTTCTGCTCATCCTCCAGCACGGGATCCCTCGGCAACGGACGCGATTCCATCTTCAACCCGGGCACCAGGCGCGCCATGTACCCACTCCCGGGAGCCTTCGCACCGTAGTTGTCGCTGATATCGTCCTCCTCCACCCTCTGCCTCCGCTCTTTTTTACGACGATACATCATTCCGCCGACCAAAAGGATCACGAGGAGTAGAAAAACGCCGAGGACGATACCGATGATTTCCGGCACGGTGTTTTTGCCCTTGCCGCGATTGGAGGATTTTTTGCTCGTAGAGAGGCAGGTGGTGTTGCCCGTCGGACTGGCAAGGATGAGTCCCTGGGCTGTGGCGAGGGATGTGATGTTGGAACGAATCTGGTCGGTGAGTACGAAGAGCGCTGTGCTGTTCGATGGCAAATCGACCGCATCCCATAGGACGGACGTGTCACCTCGATCCATACGACGACGAAGGACGAGTTTGTTGGTCGAAGAATCGCGCCCTTCCAACGTCCAGTTGCCGCGCGCGGCGACGGTGATGTTGGCCGGAGAACAGGTGTATAGTGTGGGTAAGGTGAGGGTTGCTGCGAGCGCCAAGGGCGTCAGGGTCAGGCTGAGGAGGAGTGCGAGGGTGAGACGCATGATGAGGGTAGGATTGCGAAGGGTGATGTTTAAGTGAGAGGCACTGCGCCAGGAACGGTGGTATATGAGGTCACTGAGCGAAGTGATGGTGAGGTGAAGAGGGATGCTGATAGTAGTGCGCAGAGAGGTGCGTCGTGATGATGGTGGGATGAGAGTGAGGGTGGGATAATGAGTAACTTTGGCGTTGGCTGTGGGAAAGAAAGGTGAAGGACTTGGCAAGGAAGGGACACGGGTCTCCGTGACAAGCTGTGGTTTCGCGGTGGCGGAGATGGAAGTAGGAGAGCGCCGACCCGTTGGCACAATGGAAGCCCTCGGGATGGCCGCTCTCGTCGGCCGCTCCGAATCACGTTCCTTTGGTCGGACCATTCCGCTGCCACAGCCTCGCACACCTCGGATCAACGCGCTGGTGTGACACACCCTCTTCCGCTCTCGCGGCACATCCATGGTCGAAAGCAGCCAGCGCCATTGACCGGCGGGAGGCGTGTGTTTTGAGAAGCCGACCCGAGGCGCAGGGAACGACAATAGCCAGCGAGACGCGTTTCTGGTTCTCGCTTTGCATGAAAAGCCAAGGCTCTCGGGCCGAGTGTGGCTCTTGCCGAGTGTTACACAGCGCTCCCTTCTCGCTCCAAAAAAAAACGTGGCACCGACAGCAAGCATCTGCACAACCATCTGCAGGACCGCGGAATGCCGATCTCCTCCTCTTCGGTCAGCTGTGCAGCCCGCACCGACTCGCAGGAAAGAACAATGGCATTCGGGAACACTTCCAAGCGCAGCTGCATCTGGCGTGCATGATTCAACCAACAAACTGGGCTGCTGGACAAGTGCGTGGATACAAAGCCCCCACGCGCGTCGTACACGATAGAATGTCACGCCGACTGCCGACGCTCCATAGTCATGCGCAATGCTTCGGTGACGTCGGTCTATGGCGACCACATCAGTGTACCACAGCGAGTCGACAGATGCAGGCAATCGTACCAGGACGAGGAGCAAGGTGATGTTCAGATCCGAGCCGGATCGGGCAGCTGGGCTCGCCCCGATCAAACCAAGATTAGACTCAAACCTTCGAACTTTTTTTTGGCCGCTGCAGCTCCACATCTTTGAGAAGCTTGTCCTCGTTCGACATGAAGGGTGTGCACTCACCTTTGCTCCTCGATTGTCACCTTCGATCTGCTCGTCTCTCCTAGTCTCAGCAGCGAAACGATCAGGAAGAGCATCACACGACGCTACCGAGGCGCTTACCGTTGATGCGAGGCGCTGCATCGTCTCTCAGCAGCCTTCTTCGAACATCGCTACATCACACACGCACCTCGGCCACTCGGTTTCCATCCCTTCAAACACTAGCCGCCATGTCATCCGCCGATACGAGCGCAGAGCTGGGCTATCCTGATCGCACCTTTCGCACCCAACTTCTTCCATGCGAAGCACATTCCACTGTCACCTTTCAGGAAGCGGGTCCATCACGCTACGCCGCCAACGCCGAACCATTCTCGAGAGCCAGACCCGTCATCCCGTCTCCCGTCACACGCAACAGCCTCGATGTAGCTGCTGCACACCTTCGGTCCGGTCAGCTTGTCTCTTTCCCCTCCGAGACCGTCTACGGTCTTGGCGCCAACGCTCTTTCGCAAGCCGCCGCCGCCAAGATCTACGCCGCCAAAAAGCGACCCGCCGACAACCCGCTCATTGTGCATGTCTCGGATCTTGAGATGCTCGACACGCTCCTGCCAGAGGCATACACGATGAGCGAGGCGTACCACCAGCTCATCAAGGCGTTTTGGCCAGGTGCATTGACGCTGCTGTTCCCCGTCGCAGCTGACAAGCCGGCGGTGCCAAAGGTGGTGACATGCGGTCATCCAAGTGTAGCAGTGAGGATGCCATCACATCCAATAGCAAGGGCGCTGATCGCGACAGCCGGTCTGCCAATGGCCGGTCCCAGTGCAAATGCGTCGGGAAGACCCTCACCGACAACAGCGGCTCATGTGATGCGTGACCTTGGTGGACAGCTCGATGCCGACTCCAACTCGAGCTCCAACGACGAGCCGCGGGGCAGGCTCAAGTACATCCTCGATGGAGGCGCGTGCCAGGTCGGCGTCGAGAGCACCGTGATCGATGGCATCACGGCAGAGCATGAGATCCGAGTGCTCCGACCAGGCGGAGTCACTATCGAGCAAATCGCCGATGTGCTGGACACGGCGGGATTGACCGGCAAAGTCAAGCTCAGAGTCTACGGAAAGGACATGGAACGCAGTGCGGAACAGGAGAGCAATCCGACCACGCCTGGCATGAAGTACAGACACTACAGCCCTACAGCTCGTGTCGTTATGCTGCTGCCTGCTCAGCTGTTTGCGAGGGCTGTAGAGGCTTCCAACAGTAGCAATGTGGGCGCGACGGCATCAGTCTTGGAAGAGGCTTCGACTGCGGCCAAGGTCGTACATTCGCTCATCAATGGCGATACCGCAGCACCAACAGCACCGCAGACATTTGCCAACATCGTACGCGATCAGATTCCCAATCACCTTGCCAACTCTGCTTCCAACGACTCGATACGACACGTCGGCCTCATGATGTCCTCCGACTCGGACCTCGCCCGTCTCATCCGCTCCTCATCCACCTCCATCTCCTCGCCCACCGACACCATCCACCCACATCTTCTCGCCCCGCTCACACTGTCCGGCCTCCCCAACGTGCTCGTCCACCCCTTCGACCTCGGGCCAAGCGCGCAAGCCTCGATCTACGCACAACGCATGTTCGACGGCCTTCGCACGCTCGACGAAGGCCCGCTCCACGGCGGAGCCACCCAGTGCGAGCTCATCTTTGTCGAGGCCCTTGATGACGCCGGGGTGGGTCTGGCCGTGATGAACAGGCTGAAGAAGGCCGCGTCTGAGACGGTCGTGCTCGATTGCTAGACTCAATATACCCTCCTCGTAGATCAAAGTGTTCAACTTGGGTGAAAGGACAGCTCTGTGAGCCTCGAGAATGAGAAAAGTGAGTGGAGATCTTGAACCAGAAACAAAAAAAGCCGAACGGCACGGGCCATGACGACAGCTCGCGCCTCCACCCTGCGGTCAAGTTGCGTGCTGAACAGGGTGGAGAGGGTGACACACGCGGGCGGTGGGGCTGGGCTGCTATCCCCGAAATTGAGTCGGCGGGCATTGTATAGCCGGTCCTCGACAAGCTGTGTCGTAAGCTCATCAACCGTCCTCTCCTTCCTCCCGTCTCACCACCATCATCATCCGAACCACCTCTTCGCCGACGACCAATCCCAAACTACAGCCATGAAGCCAGTCATCCTCTACACGGCGGGCACGCCCAACGGCCAAAAAGTGTCCAACTTTACCGAAGAACTCAAGGCGATCTATCCGGAGTTCCAGGTGGACTACCAATCCATTTCGCTGGGCAAGAACGAGCAGAAGGAGGACTGGTTCCTTGCGATCAACCCCAACGGCCGCATTCCCGCGCTCAAGGACCCCAACCGGAACGACCACTGCGTCTTCGAGACCGCCGCCATCATCCTCTACCTCGAGAAGCATTACGATCCCAAACACGTCTTCTCCTGGTCCGACGAAGGGGATGGCGTCGACAAGAGGAGTGAGGTGCTCAGCTGGATCTTCTTCATCCACGGAGGCGTAGGACCAATGCAGGGTCAGGCAAACCACTTCTATAGATATGCCCCCGAGGACATTCCCTATGGAAAGACTCGATACATCACCGAGACCAAACGTCTCTACCAAGCCCTCGATACCCGCCTGAAGAACCACGACTGGCTCGTAGGCGACAAGTACAGCATCGCAGACATCAACGCCTACCCCTGGCTCCAGTACTACAAGTGGGCCGGGCTGAAGGACGACGATGTCCCCCAAAGTGTGCGGGACTACATCGACCGCAACTGGGCCCGAGAGGCCGTAAGGGAAGGCATGAAGGTGCCCAACGGTACAACGGACTGGGTCGAAAAGATGAGAAGCCCCGACTTTTTCGAGAAACACGACAAGGAGGCGCAGGAGAAGGCGGCGCTCGCCGGAAAGTGGATCCAGGACGGCATGAAGAAGGATCGTGAGAGCAAGGCTTGAGGGGTCGATGCCAAAGAGTGTACCCTCAGGAGATGACTGCTCGATCTGTCTGTCTTGCAGGAATGTGCTCGTGCAATCAATCCAGAATGATTCGAACGGATGCAGGTCGGATGGTGTCGCGGTGCTGAGGATTTTGTGTGCAGATGCTGGTATTGCGGGAATGGTGAGACAAATGCGGGGGTCATACAACCTCGTAGACGGCCATGATGAGGCACGCTAGCGAGACATAAGGGCTCAGACGCTCGCCTGTGAGGGGAGCGGAGGTTCGAGATAGCGGTCGACCAATGGACAGCGTGCAGAGGAAAGAGACGTAGGCAAAGAGTTGGCTGTCAGCTGTGTCGCCCGTCAGGCTCAAACCGAGTAGTCGGAGTGGGTACGTACCGACTCGTGCTGACTTGAAGAAGACGCCTAGGAATCTGTGCGATGCAAGACAATATAGTAGCAAGACAAGAAGCGAAACAGAACGTCAGCATGGCAATGATCAAAGGGGCGCTGTGCTGATCCTCTTGCTCTTGTGAACTCACCCCTCCTTATTGCGGTCGATCAGCGCAGGTGCGGTAGCGCGAACGTATGTGCAGGTGCAGATGATGAGCAGCACCACTCTCAGTAATGAGTGGAAGTTGAAGAGCGCCGACATCTCGTGCACTCGCTATGAGCCTAGGCAGGCGATGCTATGAGAGTGGTGGGCTTGGAAGATGAGCGGATCCTTATGACTGCTTGCTAGGTGCTGATTCGCTACGTGAATCTTGATAGCTTGCGAAGAGAGGTTCGATACGATGCGAGTCGGAGGCGATGATGTGGAAGAAGAGAAGTACGACAGGGTCGTCTGTGCGTTGGGTCCTTTTTTCGACAGCTCGAGCTGCAGCTTGCGAAAACTAACACTTTTTGCATTTGGCGCTACAGCCACGCCCAACACGCCGTGAAAAAGTGACACTTTGAACCCCACACGCTTCTTCTCGACAGAATCATACGACCTTCTTGATCTTCGCATCGTTGCTATTAGAGACCAGCAGCCCGCTTTCGAACACAGCTCGCACACTCGATAGATTCAGAACTTGTTCTCCGAGCCTGCCAACACCTTCCCCTGCTTTGGTCTCGCACCACAACCTCTCACATACAAAAGGCGGCGCGGGCACGCCCCATTCGTTCAGCACGTCCCTAATACCTTCCTCCATCGCCCAACATGGTCTCGAAGGAGCCTCCCCTCGGTCAGACAGATCCCTCACGATGGCGACTGCGAGTCTCGGACGGCGGTCGACACGTGTGGCACTACCTTCGCGATGACGCGGAGTGCAAAGCATGGCCTCAGACTGTCGAAGACAAATACTGGCTCGGTCTCGCAACCGACCTCCCTAAGCTACCCAAAGCAAAGACACCACTCGACGCTGCCAAGAACGGCCTCTCCTTCTACCGCCATCTTCAGTCCTCCGACGGCCACTGGGCGGGCGAATATGGCGGACCCATGTTTCTTCTGCCCGGCATCATCATTGGCATGTACGTCACAAAGACGCCCATCCCAGAAGAGTGGAAGATCGAGGTTGCGCGCTATCTGTGGAACCGTGCCGACAAGGAAGATGGCGGCTGGGGCATTCATATTGAAGGCTGCTCGACCGTCTTCGGTACGGCGCTCAACTACACTGTCCTGCGTCTCATCGGTGTGCCCGCTGATCATCCAATGATGGTCAAGGCACGCGGCACACTGCACAAGCTCGGCGGCGCGGCAGGCATCCCATCATGGGGCAAACTCTGGCTCGCGATTCTCAACTGCTACGAATGGGAAGGAATGAACCCAATCCCGCCCGAGTTGTGGCTGCTGCCCGACTGGCTGCCCATCCACCCATGGAGATGGTGGATCCACACCCGCATGGTCTATATTCCCATGGGATATCTGTGGGGACGCAAGTTCAAGGCCGAGATGGATCCGCTCATTGCCTCGTTACGAGAGGAGCTCTACGTGCAGCCCTACGAGTCTATCAACTGGCCGGCACAGAGAGGCAACGTCGCCGCCGTCGACACCTTCTATCCACACACCAAGACGCTCAAGACACTCATGGCTCTCGTTGGCGCGTATGACAACTGCCACATCCCTCCTCTGCGCAAAGCAGGCATCAAGAAGGCGTACGAGCTGCTAGTGCTCGAGGACGAGAACACCTCGTATCAATGCCTTGGGCCCGTCAACAAGATGCTCAATTACATTGCGCGGTGGGACGTCGAGGGGCACGACAGCCATGCGATGCGAATGCACCGTGAGAAGCTCAAGGACTTTATGTGGGTCGGAGCCGAGGGCATGATGATGACCGGCACCAACGGCAGTCAGTTGTGGGACACGTCGTTCATCGCGCAGGCTATGGTCGACTCTGGACTTGCTGCATCAGCTGAGAACAAACAACTGACGCAAAAGCTGCTTGACTGGCTGGACGAGTGTCAGATCCGCGACAACCCGCAGCATTTCAAGAGCTGCTACCGCTTCGCCACCAAGGGCGCATGGCCCTTCTCGACCAAGGAGCAAGGCTACGTGGTCTCCGACTGCACTGGTGAAGGGCTCAAAGCGGTCATTATGCTGCAAGAAAACGTGCCCTACCTCAAGAAGCAGGTCTCACGCGAACGCATGCACGATTCGATCGACCTCCTGCTCACCATGCAGAACCCGGGCGGCGGCTTTGCGTCGTACGAGACCATCAACGGCCCGGCGCTGCTCGAGCTCATCAACCCCGCCGAGGTCTTTGGCGACATTATGATCGAGTACGCCTACCCGGAATGCACCACCTCGGTCGTCACGGCGCTGCTCAAGTTCACCAAGATCGACGACTACCGCAAGGCGGACATCAAGAAGTGTGTCGACAGCGCGGTGGGATACATCCTCAACGCGCAGAGGCTGGACGGAAGCTGGTTCGGCTCGTGGGCCATCTGCTTCACCTACGCGACCATGTTTGCGGTCGAGAGTTTGATGCTGGCGGGTCACACGTACGACAATAGCGAGGCGATCCGAAGCGCATGCGATTTCTTGGAGAGCAAACAGATGGACGACGGCGGCTGGGGCGAGACGTACAAGTCGTGCGAGCTCGGAGAGTACACGCACGCCGAAAAGTCGCAGGTCGTACAAACGGCGTGGGTCGTCATCACCCTGCTCCACGCCAAATACCCAAAGAAGGACCGCATCAAGAAGGCGGTCAAGGTGATCATGGACCGTCAGCTCGAGGATGGCTCGTGGAAGCAGGAACAGATCGAGGGCATCTTCAACAGGAATTGCGCCATCTCGTATCCGAACTACAAGTTCAGCTTTACGATTTGGGCGTTGGGCAAGGCTGCGCGCGAGCTCGATTGGAAGTCCTAGAGTGGTAAGGTAGATGAATCACCAGTTCAATGCCAGTTTCGATGTCACCTTGCCTTCTTTGTGTGATGCACGAGGATTGAGGTGGTTGGTTCGGGTGATGCTCGAGATCAGGTGGCCGCGCCATTTTGTTGAGACAAAGCTGGAGCCTGCTCGACAGGCTCTCCGCTTTCGATCTTGTTCTGCTCCGATGATTGTGGTTGAGGAGGTACCACCGCTTTGATATGCGGGATGCCCAGCTTCTCCTCGAGGTCGTGCCAAGGGTTCTCGAGGAAAGATGTGTGGAAGAATCCAGGATGAGGCGGTCTCGGTGCGAGTTGAGGATCGAGTGCCGGGTCACCTATCGAAGCTGCTACTCCAGCAGGACCGCCTCCTCTTCGCGCACCAGGATGACCGCCACGGCCTCTATGACCTCCGCGAGCCCCGCCTCGGCCACGTCCACCGCCGCTGCCGCCTCCACGATATGGACGGTGCCCTCGAGGCGCGTGCGCCGGTCGACCTCTGCTCCCGAAACCCTCCGAGTTCATCGCTATCCCGCGGCGATCGGACTGGCCGACGGAAGGGATTCACCGCTTGTGATGCCTCGGGCCTGCCGATGGATCGAGATGGATGATGACAAGTCAGAGTGACAGGAGAGAAGTCAAGAAGATGCTCAGCATCACAAGTGGAGTGGGCGTAGGAAAAAAGTGTGTGCACGGTGACCTACCACACAAATCGCCTTTCTGAAATCACAACTTTTTCCGGCATGCACAAGCCAAGATCACGCACTTGAGCAGTGTCATCACTCGTAACCCTTAGGAAGCAATGGCAGAGGCCACCTGCTCGTCATCTCTTTCCTTCGCCACCATCACCTTGTCCTTCGCTCAGTTTCAGCGACAGGCAAGATGTCGTCGGGCTCAAATCGCAAGGGCCTGTTGCCCACTTCCAACGCTCAACCGTCCTCGCCGGGTCCGGACACTGCCACTCCTCCACCCGTCCAACGTCGATCCTCCCAGCCGCTGCCAGGCATTTCGGCCACTGCTTCGTCTCTCCGCAGCCGCAGAGCTGGCTCGACTTCCACTGGATCTACCTCGTCTAGCTCGAAACAGCAGCAGCTCCACGACATCGCCGACAACGACTTTGATGACGAAACGCCTGGAGACTACGATCCTGGCACCCAGCCCTCTCCCAACAGCCGCGCGAATCGCGCCAAGTCACCTGCGAACCTGCTGAGATCGGCTCTGGTTCCGGGCTCGTCTCAGAAGACGGCGGCCAAGCCTCCGGCCATTTCGACTGCTTCTGCACCCAAGAAGACGGGCCTAACCGCTCCGTTGTCTCCGCCTGCCACCACCTCGAATCGCTTCAAGGGCACACCCGCTCGAGCGACACGCTACTCGTTACCCGTTCGCACCGAGAAGCCTGTTCGAACTACAAAGACCTCAGGAAAGCACGTCGTCCTGCCCTCCGAGTCTCAGCTGGCACCTCTGCCAGGCGAGGAAGATGAGGATGACGACGATGATGACGATGACGAGGAGGATGGATCGGACGAGGAAGAAGTCACCGACGACGAGGACGAAGCATCCACTCCCTCTAGCACCGTACCAACCACGCCTGCGCTGATCACGCCCGCCAAGCCGCCCGCCAAGGTGCCTGTCACTACGCCCAGACCCGGTCCGACCATCCCTTCGACTCGACACACGGCACCAGCTCCCGTCTCGGGTAAGCTCGTGACCCCTGCTTCCAAAAGCTCGCAGCGACCCGCAGCATCTTCTGCTCTCGCCCGTGCCGCCGTCTCGTCCGTCTCGGCTGCGCAAGCTCGTCATGCTCAGAAGGGCAAGCCCAAAGCTGCGACCACATTCCGCAATGCTGCGAGTCGCGCGCCTCCGCTTCGTCCACACAAGTCCGGGCCGGTCTATCACACGTTCGAGCGCATGCCTCCCACCGCCAGGCTCATGACGCCTTTGCCTCGAGTAACCGCTTTCAGTATCTCTACCTCGATCCATCTCGGCACGCTGCTTGGCTTCTTGCGTCGCGAACACGGCGTCAAGCCTCGTCTCTACGACGAATGCGCTTACGCCGTCTACACCAAGCCGCTTCTGCCTGGCTTCGGACGTGCCAATGTTCGCTCTGCCCCTGAGCCTCGCTCTGCCAGCCCAGGCGCCGAGTCTCGAAGGGAAAGGGAGCTCGAGCAGCGCGAAGAATTCGGCTACATCGGCACCTACTTTGAGCACCGCCAAGAAGAGGACGAGGACATCGATCAAGATGGCTACATCAAAGGTGGCGAAGGCCGAGGATCCGACAGCGAGACACGAAGGCGAGGCGACTCGCACCGCGGCGACGGACGCGGTGGAGAGACGTCCGCTTGGGAGAGCGAAGCCGAGAGATGGACCTCAAACGAGCGACGCAACAGCCGAGACCGTGACCTCACCGACCGCGAGCAAGAAGAGGCACAGGTCGCCAACGCAGCTCACCAGCACGACCGCAATCAGACAACGGACAGCAGCGCGCATCCCGTCAGCAGCAGTCTCGAGGACGACGAAGGTATGCTCGCCACCCCTCTAGCCCGCCCTGTGGCTCCACCGCGCAAGCTTTCGGACAGCGACAACGAGGCCGGCGCCGAGACGCGCCCCTTCCTTCTTGAGCGTCGACGCGGCAGTCAGAGCTCCATGTCTGATGTCGAGGCCCTGCCACCTTACCGCGGCGCCAGCTCGCCGGTCGGCTCACCCGTCGACGAGATCGCGACCGACAAGAGCGAGCTGGCCATCAACCGCCTCGACTCGGCGGGCGCCCGCGACATGATGCTGCAGCAACGGGCAGAGGAGCGAGGCGAGACTGAGCCCATGGCCCACTCATACCGCTCCAATGAGCTCAGCATTATCTCGGACGTGGAGGAGGCTGCCAACTCATCGCGCGAAGATACTGCTGATCCTGGGCTCGCACGCTCCGGCGCTCCCGATGGCTTGCAGACACTCGACGAGAATGCTGCCAGCGATCGTCTCGGGAACAACAATGACGCGCAAGGCACTGGTCAAAATGCCGAAGAGCAGGTCCAAGAACGCAGGACACGAAAGGTCAAGCTGCGTCGTCGAAAGCGCCGCTACGCAGGCCCCAACATGGCCTCGCACAACCACGACACTTCGGCCAACCTCAACACGCCTCGTCCGATCCTCGAGGCGCTGCAGTCGGCCGAGCTCGTCATCCTGCCCTACGGTGTGCTGGTCATGTACAACTTTTCCGCAGCCGAGGAGAGAAGCATCATCGAAGATGTTCTCTCGTCTGGATGTGCGCGTGAACCGATGGACGAGGCAGCCCGCGAGACGGAAGCCTTCCATTTCTGCTACGACCCCAACATCTCTGCGCCTCGCATCTTGTACGACTTTTTCACCTTCCGTGCGCCCAACCATCTGCTCAAGCTCTCGCTCGCGCACGCCATTGCGCAGTCGACCAAGCTCTCGGTGTTCGAGGAGAGGATGCAGGCGACGCTCGAGCTCACCTCGCACATTCCCAAGGAGATGGCGTCGAGTGGCGAGCTGAAGCTCAAGAGGAGGGAGGCGCTCCGCTTGACGGGCAGGTTGTTCAAGCTCAGGGTCGATGTGAACCTGACGAGCAACGTGCTGGATACGCCGGAGCTGTTCTGGTCGGAAGCGTCGCTCAAGGCGCTCTACGACGCGATTCGAGATTATCTGGAGGTCGATGAGCGGGTCGAGAACCTCAACGAGCGATTGGCGGTGGCAAACGATCTGCTGGAGATCATTCACGAGCACATTGCCAACACGGCCATGTCCAAGATCACATGGATCGTTATCATCCTCATCATTGTCGCATGCGCCGTAGCCGTGGGCGAGATCTCGGCGCGATTCATCGTCGGTGCCAACCGCAGCGGCGAAGATGGTTTCAGGGCGCTGAGAGCGGCCAAGAACGCGGCTCCTTTGCTTCCGCCGTCGTCGTACTTTGCCATTGCTAGTGACTCGCTGTGATACCTTCTATACGTATTCAATCTTTCTTATGCATTCGATATCAGCCTTCTTGGGATCGGCAAGACTTTGCCGTCGTTGCGAACAGAGTGTTCACATCATCTGCGAGCTTGAGACAGAAAAATGAACTTAGAGAAAAATAAAATTATTTCAGGCTTGATCTCCACACGACACCCTGCGGGCATTCAAATTTTTCCTGGTTTCTCTTGACTTTCTTCTTGACCAAACCACAGTCCAACCACCTCGTACAAGCTTGTCAAGATGGCCGAAGTCGCTGCATCCCCGGTGGACGCTAGCACGATGTCATTGAGCACCGATGCACCAGAGTCGGTGTGGAAGCACCCGGTCTACGGTCCCACCGACAAGTACACACCCGGCATAGCCCCCATCAAGGCCGAATACATCCTGCCCAAGCCTAGCAGCTCCTCGACCCCCTCCGCTGCCACCCCCACCAAGGAGGTCGACGACGATGCGGCCGAGCGCTCCACCAATCCTGCCACCACCCATATTGCCACTGCCAACGGTGAGCCTCCCAAGAAGCTCAAAGGCGCAGCCCGAAAGCGTGCACGCCGGGAAGAAGCTGCTGCCGCGTACGCCGCTCAGAAAGCCTCCAAGAAGTCGAAAGCGCACGACGACGACGGCAAGAAGGGCGGACAGAACAAAGGTCGTCAGTTCAACTCGCTCAAGGATGGCAAGGGACATTGCCACGGGTTCCTATCGCGGGGCGAAGAGGGTTGCAAGTTCGCCAAGACCGGAGGCTGCAGGTTCAGCCACGATCTGGTCCAGTATCTGCAGAACAAGGATCGCGATCTGTTCCTGCCGGCGGTGAAGCATGCCGAGTTGGAGGCGATGACGAAGGAGCAGAAGGAGACGTGGTTGGAGGAGCGATATTCGCTCACGCTGCTGCCCGCTGTCGGTGGCGATGATGGGGAAGGGGAGAAGTTGGAGACGTTTGTTCGGGCCAGCTCATCCAGCGCGGCATCAGCATTGGGGGAGGTTCAAGCATCGAAGGATCCAGCACACGCCAGTCTGGATCTTACGACCTCGTGCCCCATCTTTGCCATCAAGGGCTTCTGCACAATGGGCTGGAAGTGTCGCTTCCTCGGATCTCACGTGCGCATCGTCGGCCCTTCTTCACTCGCCGACAAAGACAACGCCACTGGATTCTACGGCTCGGGACTGGAGCTGATCACAGACGAAGTCAAGGTGGCAGCGTGGAGGAATCGATCTCGCGCCTTCATCTTGCCTCCGGCGGCAGGCGAACCCTCGCAAGGAGAAGACAACATCAACCAAGACGAGATCAACTTTGGCACCAGTGCAGGGATGAAGTCGATGCGAGTCCGAAAGTACCCTTTACCCAAGACCAAGGCGGTGCTCAAGTTCCTCGAGCAGGAAGTCAAGGAGCTGGCCAAGATCGATCCGCACGGAGCCATGTCTGGCAAGGGTCCCATCCCGGTGCAAGTGATCGACGAAGCTGTTGCGGCGCAATCTTCCGGCGCTGCACCCACTGCCACAACCGCCGTCCCCAGCGCAGGAAGTGATGATCTGGAAGAAATGGAAAATGCCATGCGCAACAGTGCCGCCGCTGCTACCGCCGCACGAGCCGCTGAAGCGTCCACCACGACCAGCCCCATCGATCTCGCCCGCATCCGACCCTCGGAAAAGCGTCGTCTCAACTGGAAAGGCGAACTCTACCTAGCACCGCTCACCACCACCGGCAACCTGCCCTTCCGACGCATCTGCACCTCGTTCGGTTCCGACATCCACTGCGGCGAGATGGGGCTTGCCGAATCGTTCCTGCACGGCAATGCGTCGGAATGGTCTCTCGTGCGTCGACACGAATCGGAGCGAATCTTTGGCACCCAGCTCTGCGGTGGCAAGCCCGATCTGCTAGTTCCCGTCGCCGAGGCGCTCAAAGCCGAGATCGGGGATGGGTTGGACTTTGTCGACATCAACTGTGGATGTCCGATCGATCTCGTGTACAACAAGGGTGCCGGGTCGGCGTTGTTGGATCATCCGGCCAAGTTGTCCAAGATCGTACGTGGCATGAACGCCGTACTTGGGGATACGCCGTTGACGATCAAGCTTCGAACGGGGACGTCGGCGAAGCAGACGACACATCGGATCTTTGCACGGGCGCAAACCGAATGGGGGGCCTCCGCAGCCACCCTCCACGGCCGTTCGCGCAAACAACGCTACAAAAACGATGCGGATTGGGGCTACATCGCCACCTGCGCGGATACGTTGCGAACCAGCGTGAGGGAGTGGAACGAAGAATCCCGTCACGCGGACGAGGCCGAGATGGTCCCCATCCCCGTGTATGGCAATGGCGACGTCTATTCGTGGCAGGACTACTACGAGCGGTTGGAACGAACACGCGTGGATGGCGAAATGATCGCCCGTGGCGCGCTGATCAAACCTTGGCTGTTTACAGAGATCAAGGAGCGACGCGATTGGGACATCTCTTCGCGCGAGAGATTGGACATCTTCCGCACCTTTGCCGAGTACGGTCTGTCTCATTGGGGGAGTGACACGCATGGCGTCAACACGACGAGGAGGTTCATGTGCGAGATGATGAGTTTTACGCACCGGTACGTTCCAACGGGATTGTTGGAGTTTTTGCCCGCCAGGCTGAATGATAGGCCACCGCTGTTCAGGGGCAGGGACGAACTGGAGACCTTGCTGGCGAGCGGGAAGGGCGAGGATTGGGTCAAGGTGAGCGAGATGTTTCTGGGCAAGGCGCCGGAGGAGTGGAGTTTCACGCCCAAGCATAAGAGCAGCAGTTATGCCGCGGAGGGGGATGCGGGGGGCGAGCAGCAGGGGTGATGCCCAGCGGGACTACTCCGTGTCACTTCCACACAGCATGCAACGAGAGCTTCGTATAGACGCCTGAAGCTGGATCGAGAGGCCGAGTTGACGGTGTGTAGCCATGACTGGTTTCGTCGTGGGCGGTGCGTTTAGGAGAGCCAGTGTGCGGCCAAATGAACGAATGTTAGAGCGTAAACATTACGAATGGCATTTTTTTTTCCGCGCAGGCTGATCATCTGGCGCCTGTGCTCGTCTGAGAATCGGCCAAGGGCAGCTGAGCCCATCCTCTGTGCCCTTGCGGCGGCGGCGGGCCAGGAGGTTGCATGCACCGACCACCAAAATTGGGCGCCATCAAGATTTCTCCAGCCTTCGTCTCCACCCTGCATCGACATCGACCCTCTTCTCTGATCGACCTTCATCCGCTTTCGTCATCCTCACCGCAGTCTCGGGATCACGACAGACGATCATTTGCCCAGGCTTCAGCCATCGATCAGCAACAGCAGCAGCGAGAGCAACAGCAGCAGCAATAACCAGGAAAGACAGACGAAGCGTTTTGCTGCAAACTTAGCAATGATCTCGACATTAGCGCTTGCAGGCGGGTCGGGCCTGACGACGCTTTCGGCGGTGGGGCTGTACATGCTTCTCACAGGTAGGTTTCTCCGTTCTTCGCGCTCTTCAGTCAGTCTGTCTGCTGGCTTGACTTTGCGGCCTCAGCCCTGCTCGCATTCTCGACCCACATACTGACCTTGATCGTCTTTGTGGTATTCGCAGGCAACGGAGAATCGTTCAACATCGGCGCTTTCCTCGAAGAGACGTCGCCCTATGCGTGGGCGATGATCGGCATCGGACTCTGCATTGGGCTGTCCGTGGTTGGTGCTGGGTGGGGCATCTTTATCACTGGCGCGTCGATTTTGGGTGCCGGTGTGCGCGCTCCTAGGATCACCACCAAGAACCTCGTCTCGTAAGTCGCACCTCTCACTTTCACGCTGACATCTACAGCGCCAACAATTCGGGCTCGCATGGATGTCTGGTAGCTCACATGGGATCGCTGACACCTCACTCTGTTCTGGTTGAGGACGACAGGATCATCTTCTGCGAAGTCGTCGCAATCTACGGCGTGATCATGGCCATCGTCTTCTCCGCTAAGATCACAGGCAATCTCGAGGCAGGCACCGATGGTCTGTGGTCTCCCAACAACTACCTCACCGGTCACGTTCTCTTCTGGGGAGGATTGACGGTGGGCATGTGCAACCTGTGCTGCGGTGTCGCCGTAGGCATCACGGGGAGCAATGCGGCCATCGCCGATGCTGCCGATCCCCAGCTGTTTGTTAAGATTCTGATCGTCGAGGTGTTCAGTAGCATTTTGGGGTTGTTCGGGCTGATCGTGGGGTTGATCATGACGGGGGCTGCGGAGGAGTTCAAGTAGTGTTTCGGCAAAGAAGGAGGAGGAAAGGGGGAGGAGGAGAATGTACATATGGTCGAATCGCATTGGTTGTGGATAAGCCCTGCTTGTGTTCGCGGTCTGGCGCTACGAGGACTGATGTTCGGATCAGGCATTGGGGCCGTCGAGCTCGTCGAGAGTCAACGGGTCTGGACCTGCGCTTGCGGACTTGTCTTCAGTGCACGAGGGTGCAACGAGACGTACATCCCACCTCATCTCACCGTTCAGTTTTCATGATCGGCACGGCGACTCGCTCCACAACGACATCAGCAGGGTCCGAAATGCGACTTCTCCACGACACACACAAAGATCATCTTCAGATGCTGCATCCGCATGAGCCACGCAGGGGCGGCTCTTCAAGACGGGCTTCGTTATGGTTCCAATGTTTCAGATTTGGAGAGGTGGACTTCTTCGAGAGTCTGCAGTTCCATGGTATGAACAAGGAAAGGGGGATTCTCGACGCCCTGTGCGGAGTCACAATTCGCTGTGCGGCCATCTCGACATGTTTGCAGGGCTTAAGCTTGCCGTCCCCTTCTACTCAACGCATCGCCTCCCACCGCTTTCTAGTTGCGGCTGCTCTCTCTAATGACTCAGCTTGGCCTTGCCCCTAAATCGCCGCCTCATGATGGTTTTCCTCCCGTTCTTGGTCCTGTTGCGCACCAGGAACCCGTGTCGGCGCTTGCGGATGCGTTGCGAGGGTTGATATTCCGAGCCGTAGGTGACGCTCCTTGTCTGGCCTAGCGCTGGTGCTGCTGTCAGAGACTGCGGTCTTGAAGAGAGGAGGGAGAGGATGGAGCTGCTCGATGACGAGAGGAGAGGTGTAGATGTGCGCGTGCGCAGGATCGCAGAGGGTGAAGATGTGCGGGTGGTGAGAGGGAGGATGCGCGCCGCGGGCAGGTAGGATGTGGATGCGACCGGTACAGGTGCGGCTGCTAGCCGAAGGAGTGGACGGAATGGCGAGATGCGTGGCATGGTGGCGCTTTGATGGTTGATGTGGTGTGGGAGAGATTGGAGGTCTGATGACGATGATGATGAGGAGGATGAGGAAAAAGAATTGGCGCTGCTCGAGGTGCAATCTTCCGATTAAGCGGTGCACGTGATTTTTGGCACGGAGCTGTTAGACCTAGGAGGTTGTTTTTCAACAGCCTTCTTTTTTCGTCGACTCGAGAAGAAGCTTCGAGTTGCCCGTGCAATTGGCCGAGGCTTTGGCAACTTGCAGTGACTCACATCTTCCGCCTCTCCACCCCACCAACACACCGTCACCATCATCACATCCACCGAAATCACAAGCCTCGAAATCAACGATGAGCGACCTCACCACCGGCGCAAGCAGCGCCGAGACCGTCGCCCGTCAAGCGCGCACCGCCTTCGAGCACTCGTCCCAACTCCTCTCGTCCTCCTCCTCCGCGGACGCCACGCGCTCCTCTGCGCTCCTCTCCATCCGCACCGCACTCGAATCCAACAAGGCCCGCATCGTCGAAGCGAACAAGCTGGATATGGAAGCGGCGCTGGTGCTTGTCGAGCAAGGCAAGCTGTCTTCCTCCCTCGCTGCCCGGCTGGATCTGTTTAGCAAGGCGGGCAAGTGGGAGTCGCTCCTGGCTGGTGTGTCCGACGTAGCGGCGCTACCGAGTCCGTTGGATCATGTGCAGTGGGCGAAGCGGTTGGCGGACGAGACGGCCACTCAGGGCGCCGTGGATCTGTACCGTATCACATGCCCCATCGGCGTGCTGCTGTGCATCTTCGAGGCACGGCCGGAGGTGGTAGTTAACATCGCCTCTCTCGCCATCAAGAGCGGGAACGCGGCGATTCTAAAGGGTGGCAAAGAGTCGAAGCACACCGCAGCAGTGCTATCGGGAATTATTGCAGAGGCGCTCGAAGTGGCAGGTCTGCCCAAAGGGTTGATCCAGACCGTCGAGACGAGGGAGGACATCCAAAGCCTGCTGCATCTGGAGGAATTCATCGACCTCGTGATTCCGAGGGGCAGCAACGAGCTGGTGAAAGCGATCCAGAGGGAGGCGAGGATGCCCGTAATGGGTCATGCGGACGGTCTGTGCATCGGCTACGTGCATAGCGATGCCGAGTTGGAAATGGTCAAGGGTACGGTGGTGGATAGCAAGACGGACTATCCTGCTGCTTGCAATGCGTTGGAGACGCTGTTGGTGCACGAATCGTTGCTAGGCAAAGCCGATTTTTGGCCGCCCCTCGCGCAGACGCTGTTGGAGGCGGGCATCGAGCTTCGTCTCGATGAGGCTTCCCTTTCAGCCCTGCCCCAGAAATTGACTTCGAGATTCGAGGAGAAAGTGAAACGCGCCCAACCGCAAGACTTTCATACGGAGTTCCTCGATCTCACCCTCGCCATCGCCTCCATCGCCTCTTTGGATGCGGCGATCAAACACATCACCACCCACTCTTCCGGGCATACCGACCTCATCCTTACCTCGACCCACACGCCGAACCCTGCAGCGGAGAGGTTCGTCAAGAGCATCAACTCCGCCAATGTGTTTGTCAACGTCTCGACGCGCTTTGCCGACGGGTTCCGCTTCGGCCTGGGCACCGAAGTGGGCATTAGTACGGGTAAGACCCACGCCAGAGGACCGGTGGGGCTCGACGGGTTGGTGATCTACAAGTACGTAGCCAAGAGTGTTGGGGGAGGCAAGGGCGCCCAGACGGCTGGGGAGTTTAATAAGGGTAGGAAGTGGGCGCATCGCGAGATCGAGGCAGTGTATCCCGAGTTGTAATTGAGGGCAATGCTCAGTTGAGGGACATCAGGCAATTCACATTTCGTTTGTCGCAAACGAAGGTTCGTCCTGAGATCAGCGCACACCGTGAGACCAGCACTCAGAGACAGCAACAACAATCACACAGACAAAACTTATCGAACATGAACAGACACATCGATACATTCAGACGAAGGTGAACACAGATCTACAACTTTTGGTCGAAACCAGCCGCGGGGGACCGCGCTTAGTCGACATCCATCTCGCCCGGGCCGTCGTTCTTGTCAGCGTCAGCGTCGGCGGTGGTAGGCTTCTGCTCCTGCTTCTTGTCGTCCTTGGCCGGAGTAGGCGCCTGCGTGGTGTCGACGCGAGGCTTGACCTTGCTCATGATGGGGTGGCAGAAGTAAATCACCTCGTCCTTCTTCTTGATCATATCAGCCGAGACGATCTTGGGGTCGGCGTTCTTGGGCTGTTCGGACTGCTTGTACAATCCGTCATCGAGCCACTTGGCGACGGTGGCGCACTTCTCGATGACCTTTTGCTTGTCATCTTCGGAAATGTGGCTGTACTGTTCGTCGCCGCCCTGAGCCATCTCCATGTACTTGTTGATGGCCTCGCGCAGCACCGAGGCCGCCTTGGGTCGCTCCTGGAACTCCTTCTCGCGGAACTGGATGGGTCCGCCGATCTTCTGCAGCGAGTCGATGCGCTCGACGTACGCCGACTTCTTGGCATCCTCGCCCTCCTCCGAGTAGAGCCAGTCCTCCTGCGCGTTGAGCGCAGCGAGGTACTTCTCCTTCTCGTCGGCAGTGACAAAGAGCTTGTATCGGTCGTCGAGCTTGGAGCGCTGGTCGTAGATCATCTCCTCGAGCGCGTTCTTGCGGTCCTCGGTGTCGATGACCAGCTTGTCGTTCGAGTAGAGCTGACCCTCGGTCTCCTTCATGCCGGCCACCAGGCTGGCATCCTTGCCGCCGGTGAAGCCAGAGACAATCTTGAGGTCGGCCTTGCGCTGCAGCTTCTTGACCTTTCGGATCTCGGTCTTGGGGGCAGCGGCCTCCTTGTCGCCGTCGGTCTCCATAGCCGCGGGGTCGGTGACAGGAACCTCCTCCTCCTTCTCGATCTCCTCGACAGTGTAGGCGGCCTCGAAGTTGAGGACACCGTGCAGATTGAGACGAGCCTTGACCTTGACGATCGAGTGGTCGCCCTCTGCGTTGGGGGTGACGCCCTTGATGGAGAACTTGCCGATCCAGGGATTGATGCCCTCTGGGATTTGTTCGGGCGAGGCGTAGTGTGCCTCGAGGTCAAAGTTGTCCTTGCGGTAGAAGGTGAGGATCTTGGTGGAAGGGATAGGGTTGTTGGGCTGGAAGACCACGAGCTCGGTGTCCTCATCAGGCACGTCGGCGGCCTTGTCCCAGGTGACCTTGATCGAGTAGGGGGTGGCATCGTGGACGCTGAACTCTCGGACCTTGAAGACGGGCGAGAGAACGGCACAGGCGAGGGTGCATCCTCGGGCGACGGCCTCGTCCTGGTTCGAGGTGAAGGAGAGGGGCTTGCCGAAGAAGGCCGAGATGCGCTCCTTGAGGGCGGGAACACGGGTAGAGCCACCGACCATCTCGATCGAGTGGATCTCGTCCTTGGTCAAGCCAGACTGCTTGAGGGCAGCCTCGAGGGGCACAGTGATGCGCTCAAGGAGGGGGGAGATGAGCGACTCGAACTCCTCGCGCTTGAGCTGCGAGCTGGCGTCAATGTCCTCCATGAGGTTCTCGACGTTGAGAGGGGCGACGGCGTTGGCAGAGAGAACCTTCTTCAAGCGCTCGCAACCAGCAGCGAGACGGAAGGAGGCCTTGGGGCTGGAGAGAACGTCGATCTTGTACTTGCCCTTGAACTCCTCGGCAAAATGCAGGAGGAGAGCACGGTCAAAGTCACGACCACCAAAGTTGCGGTCAGCGGCGGTGCCGAGGACGGTGAGCTGACCCTTGCTGAACGAGACGACGGCGACCTGGTAGGACGAGTGGCCAATGTCGCAGAAGACGACGTTGCGCGGGTTATCGGCTTCAGGGAGGTCGGTCTTGGTGATACCGTAACCAAGAGCAGCGGCGGTTGTGTCGTTAAGGAGGCGGAGAGGGTTGAGGCCGGCGATTTCTGCGGCATCGAGGTAGGCTCGTCGCTGCGCATCGGTGAACCAGAGAGGAGTGGAGAGGACGACGTCGCTGACGCCAGCACCACCGAGCTCCTTGGAGGTGGTGTCACGCAGCTTGCCGAGGTACATGGCGAGGAGCTGGGTAGCGGAGAAGACCTGCTCCTCCCCTGCCAGACGGACCTTGACGCCAACTTCACCCTTGGCATCGACGAGCTCTGCGTTGATGAAGTTCTTCTCGACCTTTTGCACCTCGGGGTCCTGGAATGTGCGACCTACGAGACGCTTGAGCGAGCCGACGGTGTTCTTGAAGTTGGAGGTCTGAGCGGTGGCAGCGGCCTCACCGAGCGCTCTCGCCTTCTGACCGAAAGAGACGAGCGAAGGGGTAGCGCGGTTGGAGACCTCGTTGGCGATGACATCGACACCACGAGCACGGGCGACGCCGATCTTGGACGAGGCGTTACCCACGTCGATACCGACGACGGACGACATGTTTGCGGAAGGATATGCGGAAGGGAAGGGTGGAAGAGAAGGTTCACCTGAAGGAAAGCAGCTGTATTGCACAGAGCTGTACGAGGCGATATGGAGTCAGAAACCGGATGCAAAGATGAGCCGGAGTCGTAGAATGAGTCGATACAAGTATCGAGTGCGGAAAGATGGTGTGGGTGATGGGTGGTGATGAACAAGTGCAAAGAGTGGATATCAAATCGAACAAAGGCCTGTGCTGAGTATTCAGGGTCGCGCTGTGCTGCTGAGTTTTTGAGCAAAGGCAGCCTTCGCACAGAGCAGCAGCAGCCACCTGAAAGGATTAAAATTTCGTTTCTTCTCAAGCAACACAGCGCTTTCTGGAAATTTAACGCGTGTCTGCTGCGTCGAAAATTGTTCTTCTCGCTTCCGCCAAAGCTTCGTGAAAATTCGCGATGTTCTCGCCATTCTACGCTCAGCTGTACCGCTGATCGCTCGCGCTCATCATCTTGGACCGCTCGTTGAAGGTAATACAACTCGATTTGACTCACGGAGGGAAAGGCTCTGAACTCAGTCCACCTCGAGACCCGACAATCTCGACATTTGCGCTGTTTCATAGCAGTGGAACCAGCAGTCTCTTCTTGGCTTTGTTGAGGTGTGGTATCGGGAGGTGTATTGTCGATCTGGTCTTTATCTCAGATGCGGCCGAGAACGACAGTTTTCCAAAAGCTGTTACGCCGCCGTATATGTTTCTTATCCAAAATTCGTGCCCCGACTGTGTCATGAGGTCATCTCGCGGGCTGTCACTTTGAGCATCAATCTCATATCACCTAACCGGCACAGACGGTGACTACTGACAGCTGCACCATCAGTTAAGCCGCGACATTGTTGCTGCGCCGGTCGGCTGTTCGATGCAACTGCCCACATCGCTGGGTCTCTATCCACACTGAGCCATGATCAGGCTTGTGCCTCCCTTGTATCCTCGTGATGATATTGACTGCCATGTAACTTTGTAGCAGGATCGTCAGACCGTCCTTCTGAGCCCTTGCAATGAAGCTCGTAGACAAGCAGAAATGACCGGTAGTATGTCGCAGAGGCAGCTGCCTTACCACATGTGGACCCTGGATGATCGATGGACTGCAGCGGGACGGCCGGGTCCTTTGAATGACGCTCATGACGAGGGCGCAAGCTTGGCCGGATCTCAGGGTCCATGACAGCATCACCCCCTGGTTCTTCTCACCTCCACCTTGGCAACTCTTCCCTTCGTTCATACCTCGCCTTCTTATAGATGGTTCGTCGTTACCCTCCCTTGTAGATTCCTCTCCATCGCTCCTGTCTGCCTGTCAATCCATTCTGGCGACGAGGACCACCTAGACTCTCATCGCCGTCACGCTTCGATCCGTCGTAACATTCTTCTTGGGGTTTCTCTCTCTCGCTCTCTACATCTCTCCTCTCGGCACCGTAGACATCCTCATCATCGGCCATGACGCGCAACATCCTCATCGCGGTCCTCCGCAACGACCTTCGTCTGCACGACCATCCGATCTTCCACCTCTGTTCCGAGCCCACACCCTCGTCCGCCCAATTCAAGAAGCCTATCACGCACGTCCTGCCCGTCTACGTGTGGGATCAGCGGCATGTCGAAGTCTCTGGCTTCCCGTCTCTCGTCAAAGCGGGCAAGGAAGGCGGTGGCAAGGGCTCCTCCCAATTCGCCAAGACGCGCGAACTCGGCATCTGGCGCACGGGTGTCCACCGTACCAAGTTCATCAACGAGAGCGTATTCGATCTGCGCGAACGATTGCGGTCCGTCGGGTCCGATCTGGCCATCTTCGCCGGTACACCCGAGAGCGTCGTCCCTTCGCTCATCAAGAGCATCCGCGATAAAGGCGATACCGTCGAAGCCGTCTACCTCGGACGCGAGATCAACACCGAAGAGGTCAACGTGCAGAAGCGACTCGACGGGATCTTGGGTGATCTGCAATGCCCGTTCAAGTTGTTGGAGGGCAAGTCGTTGATTCACTCGCGCGATCTGGGGTTCCCGGTGAAGCAGTTGCCCGATGTGTTTACCCACTTTAGGAAGCAGGTGGAGGGACCGGACATGTTTCGTGCTCCCCTGGAGGCGCCGACTAAACTCAAGCCTTTCCCGGACAACGTCGATGTGCAGGACGACGCGGGAGTGTACAATCTCTCCACCAAGGACGAGTTCTCCAACAAAGAGGCTGTGGAGAAACACCTTCTCTCGCCGCTGCTGGAGGAACCGGTGCTGGGTCATAAAGAGTTGCTATCCAAAGTGACCTCCTCTTCACCCACCGAGTTCGACGTTCCGCACAGCGCCTTCCCCTACCGCGGTGGCGAGACGGAAGCGCTCAAGCGTCTCGAGCACTATTTCGCATCTGGCAAATCTTCACCCGGAGCGTCGTACAAGGAGACGCGCAATCAGATGCTCGGTGCCGATTACAGCACCAAATTCGCCGCTGCTCTCGCTCACGGTCTCCTCTCTCCCCGACTCATCGCCCAACGTGCTACGCAACTCGACGAACAGACTGGCGCACACAACAAGGGAGGAGGCTACTGGATCCTCTTCGAACTGCTCTGGCGCGATTACTTCTACTTTGTCGGCTGGAAATTCGGTTCGCACCTCTTCACCTTGGGCGGGATTGAGGAAGAGATCTCGCCCAAAAGCGCTTCATCCAAAGCGTACGAGTGGAAGAACAGTTCGAGTCTGACCGACCCGAAAGATCACTTTGTTCGATGGGCGACGGGCAAAACAGGTGTGCCCATGATCGACGCTAACATGGTCGAACTGGTCCAAACCGGGTTTATGAGCAACCGTGGGCGTCAGAACGTAGCGAGCTTCCTCACCAAGGATTTGGGCTGGAATTGGAGATATGGAGCAGAGTACTTCGAAAGCTGGCTGGTGGATTTCGATCCCAACTCGAATTGGGGCAATTGGCAGTATGTGGCAGGAGTGGGCAACGATCCGAGGAGCTCAAGACAGTTCAACCCGATCAAGCAGGGGAAGGATTACGATGCCAAAGGAGAGTACGTCAAGACGTGGCTGCCCGTGTTGGAGGGCGTGGAGGAGAAGTATCGGCATCACCCCTGGACGACGCCCGGTGGATGGGAGGCCAGGGGGGAGTATCCCGAGAAGCCCATGATCGAACAGCAGATGTGGAGGAAGCATTATAGCAATGCGGGTGGGGCGCCGGGTGGTGGGGGTGGCGGGAGGGGCGGACGAGGGAATGGCAGAGGTGGTGGACGGGGCGGCTACCGAGGTCGTCGCGGAGGCGGCGGTGGTGGCCACCGACAGCAAACGCAGTAGTTAGCCCTCATGCAAACGAGCTCGCAGCTCACATCATAGACATCAAACACGCAATAGAGCCCGCATCCCTTGGCAAATGTTGAAACGTTGCTTGCGACGGCCATCTCTACTCGCCCGTCCCTTCCTCACCCGTCCCCTGCTCCTTCACCAGCCCGAACCTGTCCACCACCTCGCGCACCACCTCGGTCCACTCAATCATCGCCCCCACACCCGTATCCCCGCACGCCAACCGCTTCTCCACCGGCCCCCTCACCTCGTACCCCAACACCTCCCTCACCGTCCTCACCTGCCCCTCGGTCAACGGGTGCATCCACATGAGCGTATTCATCGCAGGACAAACCACCACGGGCGTCTCTGGTCCGAGCGCGCGCATGAAGCTGGTCAACAGATCGTCGCAGATCCCTCCACTGAGCTTGGCGAGCGTATTGGCGGAGCAGGGGGCGACCAGGACGACATCGGCCCAGCGACGCAACTCGATGTGAAGCACCGGATCGCCGACAGTGCGGAAAGAAGACCATTCGTCGGAATTCGTCCACAGATGGGCTCGGGGTAAGCGGGTGGGAGGGGCGGTGGAGAGCGAGGCAGCGCGGTTCTCCGCTGCCAGGGTCGCCACGCTATACGCTTCGTCCTGAACTTCCTCCCCCTCGGGTCCCGAGCTAGAGTGCGTGGCAGAGAGACGAGCTATCGACGTGCGATCGTAAAAGTGCAACGAGGCATCCGTAGCAACCACCTGGACGCGCACGTTGGCGTGCTTTAAGAGCGCCTCGACGATGAGCGGGATCTTGACCGAGGCTACGCTGCCCGTGGACGCGAGGACGACGTGCAGCGGCCGCGAGGGCGTCGGCGGCTGTGAGAGAGGTGGGTAAGGGGAGCGAAGCGATGCTGGTAGTTGGGTGCTGGAGGAGGCGTGATTGCGGTCGGCGTCTGTCAGACTCGGTGCCGTGATGGCGGCTTCGGACAAGGAGCCTGTCGGTTCAGCGGCGCTGGCAGCGAGCATATCGTGTAGCCCCGGCACCATGCTACACAACAACGCCTCGCTCAAGTGTGCTGCAGCAGTTAGCAATGGTTGGTTGTGTGAGGTGAAGATGGCAAGGAGCCAAGATGTCAAGAATTCAGGGTCCTCCCGACTGAGCCGTATAAATTGATTTGCCGCGGCTGGCTCAACCGCAGCCGACTCTCTATGCTCGACTCAGCATCCCACACGAGCAAGCCTGTCTTCGATCAATGTCGTATACACTCTCAGCAATGATGCAATAAACGTGCGCTGGAACTTGTGGGATTGCAGAGGAAGGGTATAGGTGTGGGTCAACTGCCGATGTGAAGAAGGGGTATATTGAAAGTGATTCTGATGATGACGGAGCCTCGCCTCAGCGAACAGCAGTTAGCGCTCTTGATGGCGACCGTACACTGCTTACCGACGCCGCAACATCCTCGCTCGCAGCCGCACCGCCTATCCCTGCTCCGTTGGCCGCCGCAGTCGCCCCCGAAACGCTCGGCGGGTACCCCGTCTTCAACGCAAACGTTGGGCTCCTCACGCCCGCCTCCCCCTTCCCCAACGCATACTCATCCAAGATCGGCAACTGCAGAACATTCATCTTGGGCGTAATGCACACCAGCGTGTTCGTCGGGATCTCCATCCAATCCGCCTTTTCAAACGTCAACGGCTCGCTGGCGACCACGATGATCTTCTCTCGCTTGTCCGTCTTGACCATGCGATACGTTCCGGGCGAGTGCTCGTAGAAGCTGGTACCTGAGGAAAAGTAGAGCGAAGCAGCCTGGTCGTGTTTGGACGAGACGTAGCGGGTGCAGATGATGCTCTGACCGTCGGTGACGCAAAAGTTCATCAGCGAGGGTTCGCGGATGCCTGCGGCTCGGGACCAGGTGTTGAAGTCGTGGATCGTGGAAAGCATCGCATCCCGGAGTTCTTTGTAGGAGAAAGGCTCCGTTTGGAGTGGGTCGCCCAGGTGACTGAGGAAGACTGCGAATGCAAATTCAGAGTCTGTATGACCTTGTGGGAAGAGGAAGAGAGGTTCCGGGAGGGAGGCAAGGACCTGGCGTTTGATCTTGGAAAACTCGCTGATCTGGCCGTTGTGCATCCACATCAGACGACCATACCGCCAGGGGTGGCAGTTGGTTTCTGAAAGCGCACCGGCGGTAGATGCCCGGACGTGGGCGAAGACGAGCGGCGACTTGATCTTTTCAGCGATGCGCTGGAGGTTCTGGTTGTTCCACGCCGGGGTGACCGAGGTGAAGATGCACGGTGCGTTGCCCAGTTCTGGGTCAGGGGTGGAGTCGTACCAGCCTACGCCGAAGCCGTCACCATTTACGGCGCGGGTGGCATCGAGACGGAGGCGTGAGTCGAAAGCTTGGTTGATGATCGAGTGCGCGGGTCGTGTGACGAGGTGGCAGAGCTGGATTGGGTCGGCGCCTTTGAAGACTAGGTACGGCATGGTGCGAGGGTGGGCGTGGGCAAGGCCGAGTTGGAGTTTATCGTCAGTATGGGTGTCAGGGTCGCAACGACGGAAACACTTCGAGCACTTACCTAGCAATCGACACATCTTGCTGTGCGGATTGATCTTATGCCCGAGCCGGCCTCTGTAGTATATAGGAACAGGGAGGGCTCTGCAAGGTCCGTGTGCGCCGAAGTAGCGGCAAAGCGTTGGGTGTCGGCTATATTCGCGGATGCCGCTATGTTTATGCAGCGCCACCAATTGCTCTTTGACGTTGGTTGAGCCTGAGAAGAGGAGGATGTAGATGGTGTGCAAGAGCAAGGAGAGATGGCGAGTGACTCGTGACCTTCTCATCTGCAGCCCTTATCGCGTCATTTTGCGTTGCCGTGCGGGGGATGAATTTAGAGCTCAGTTCATGGACAAGAAGAAAATGCAGCCAAAAAAAGTTGGCTTGGAAAAGGCGACCAAAAATGACCGAGGGTGTTGGTCTTTGATGACGAGGAGCGAGTGTTACTTTGATCGTCACCATTGCGCTTCGATTGATCACCGACAAGTAGCAGTTCTCTGTCTCTCGACCCGTCTCAGCACACTAGCAGCTCTCTGTCTCTCGACCCGTCTCAGCACACCTCAAGCTACATCGGTTGTGAAGCGATCTGGCAGATTTCACGGCCATGCCGCTGCTCGATTCCTTCGACCCATCTCAGACAATATCCTCGTCGAGAACCCGCTCTCAAAAGCGATCTCTGATCGCAGGCAGCTCTTTCCACGACAGCTATGCCGCAACCGAAGTCAATTGGGATGGTCTCACGCAGCATCTTGTCTCGCACAGTCATGGACTCGTCAGCTCGGTCTACCGTTGCAAGCTTTCTCCCTACGCCTCATGGCCCTACCAAGGCACCTCTTCGACCTTGGCGCTGGGTTTGACGCTCGCCGAGGATGCCGAGTCAGCCGAGGGCCTGCCGGGATGGGTCTGCATCAAGCGCGTTGCCGTCGACGAGCAGCCCCGTCCGCATTCGGTCGCTCGCGAAATCGCTCTTCTCGACCGTCTGCCCCCTCATCGCAACATCACGCCTCTGCTCGCAGCGCTATACGATACGTCGGATCCATTTGGGGCAGTGATGGACCTTGTCATGCCGCTGTATGCAGCTACACTGGAAGAGGTGCTTCAGGAACCATCGTTGATCCCCTCGCTCGCGGCGGCAGAAGGTAGCCTAGCAGAGACACCGAGACCGGGCAACTCGATACAGCACCTCTGGTCATCCTCCCCACCCTCCTTCATTCACAGCGTGGCGACACAGCTCCTCGACGGAATAGCCTTTCTGCACGAGCACAAGATCGCACATCGGGACATCAAGCCGTCCAACATCCTCCTCAGCCACAACGGCACGCTCAAACTGATCGATCTCGGTACGGCCTACACCACCACCCCACTCCGCAACCCTCTCCCAGACGAAGACATGCCGCTTGACGACGAGGCGAAGCAGATGGTGTGTCAGGTGGGGACGGGCGAGTTTCGCGCACCGGAGCTGCTCTTCTCGCCACTCGGAGGGTACGATGCCTTTGCGGTGGATGTTTGGGCTGCAGCAGTGACGCTGGCGCACTTCTTCACGCCGCTCACCGCCATCCCCACCATAACGACTTCTGACTTTCCCAGCCTAGACGTAGAGCATGACGAGCGGAAGGATTGGCAGCGTGCCTTTGACTCAAACACCCCTCTCCCCGACGAAGGAGATAGCCCACTGTATTTCGAAGAAGATCCGTATCCGCAGGACGACCCATCGCAAGGCGGCAGGAGCGAATCGGGCTACATCCGCACCCCACTCTTCGAGGCTGACAGAGGAGACATCGGACTGGCCGCCAGCATCTTTGCCCTCCTCGGCCTGCCAATGTCGATCCAAGATTGGCCCGAAGCAGAACACTTTCAGCCGCGACTGGAACGCATGCCCTTCGCAGCCACCGAGGGAAAGGATTTGTTGACTGCGCTGCCCCTCTTCCAGCCAGAAGAGGGTGGAGAGTCGGGGGAGGTGGTGCAAAAGGTGATTGTCCCAGCACTTCAGTTGTCCACTTCGAAACGACCAAAGGCGCAGGAGTTGCTCAATGCCCTTCGCGCAACCGGTCCTGCCTCATAAGCATAACCGCAATCGATACCCCATCCTCACAGGCAAGATGTATAAAGAAAAGTATAGTATTGAGTGAGAGATCACAGGTAACACAGAGAGAGGGCACGTCTTCCTCCGCCAACACCAACGTTATCCTGAAGCTCGATCTTTCTGTAGAGGATCGCGACTGCTGCTAAAAGATGTCGAATCGTGGCGTGGCAACAAAGGCAAGAGTGCCCGAGATGATGATACAGGAGTCGCACTGCGCACCCTCAAGACGCTGCATCTGCCTGCAGCGCGAGAGGTGTGCTGAGAACGTGCGAAGCAACCGGGGACGACATGTCTCCGAGGTGCTGGATTAGGGAGCGAGGGAGATTGCGAGGAGAAGGAGATGCATGAGAGACGGTGGTGATACAGGATGCAGAGAGAATGTTTGCGATAGGAACGACGAAGAGGGAAAGGGAAAAGGAAGGAGTATCATGGCAGCGCTGAATCACAGCTCAGCAGAGACTGTGGCTGCGCCAGCGCGGGGGAAAGGCAGAGCCGGGTCTGCTGCCGTGGCAAGCGACAGCTGCTGATCATCGCCGAGGTGACGATACTTGGGCTGCACCTGCGAGGGCAAGAACGGGCTGGCAGCTCGAAGCTCGGTGTCAGGAGCAACACCGGCACCAGTGACGTTGTCCGACTGCGAACGGCTCAAGCTGCTGCGACGGCCACGCACATCGTGAGCTTCAGTCGAGGCGGCGTGCTGACCGAAACGAGTGCGCTTGAGCTCGGCAGTCCAGGCCTCCCAGTCGCCCTCTGGGACCACGAGTTGGTAGTCGATGGCCTTGAGGAAGGCCCGCTCGAGCTTGCCCAGATCCTTGATCGAGAGACCCGAGATCTTGGACCAGGCTCGGTTCGAGTAGCAGCGATCCTGCACAAACTTGGAGGCGGTGATGACCGAGGCGAGGAACATGCGTCGCGGGCAGCGGGTCAGGCCCGCCTCTTCCCTGGTCATGCCGAGCGAGGGCGAGCTGATCGCCTCGTTCTGCTTTGATGCTTCGGTGGCTCGGCCGAGTCTAACGCAGTAGAGCAGAGCAGCTTGCAGGGTAGAGCAAGAAGTGCGACCGCGACGAAGAGTCTCGCGCACAAAGACCTGCAGTGGAAGGGCGTCCTGTCCCTTGGCCAAATCACAAGCAGTGGAGGGAGCCCAGATGCTGTCGAGTGTTCTGCATGCAGCATCTATAGAATGGCGACGAGCGAGAGGAAGACGCCGAACTCGGAGCGTCAGCAGCCTGGTTCAGATTCAGAATAGAGATGCGCGCGACTTCAAGACTTTCTACTTACCGACTAGGCAATCGACGAGGGCAGTCTTGGAACCTTCCGAAGACGAAGACGACGTCGAGGAAGAAGCAGGTGAGATGCTGGGACCTGGGACAGCGTGGGGAGCAGCGGCAGGCTGGGCAGGCTGGGGTACTGGCTGCGAAGCGACATGAACGACTTCGGAAGCGAGTCGGACGACTTCGCTCTGGAGATTGCGAATACGTTTAGCACAGTGTTCGCGGTCGGACGACTCAGATGAGGCCAGAAGCTCGGCCCGCCATGCGGCGAGCTGTTCAAGCTGTTGCTGCTGAGAGATGGGGTGAATGCTCGTCGAGCTCATCGAGCTCTTACGAGACGAGGGAGTCTGCTCGCCGAGGCTGGTCTGCGAGTCGAAGGCGGCCTCGGATCCGTCATTGTCGAAGACGGAGAAGACAGAAGCGTGGTGACTGGCGACTGATCCCGAGGAAGAGGACGACGACGAAGCATCCGAGTTGGACCGAGAACGCTTGCCGAGGCTGCTGGTGGGAGGCTGCAGTGCGAGACCATTGGCGGTGGAGACGAGGTGAGGCTTGCCAAGCACCGACTGCTCGAGGGCAGTGGTGTGGCTTGCCAAATTGAGGCCGTTGAGCTCAACATAGTCTGAGATGGGCAGGGTTGCGCCATCGATGACCATGGTCGGAGCGTAAAGACCGAACGGCTGCATTGTTGCGAGCCGGTGCGGAAGAAGTATCAGAGAGGGGCTGCGATGCTACACTCTATCTGATAAGTCAATGCAAGTCAACCAGCTTCACTGATGGATAGGTGAAGCGAGCAGATCTGCTGGGTGAGATGTCGGAGAGAGAAGAAATAGATGATGATGATGATAGGCCGATGCGACGAAACCAATTCACGTAGATAAGGACCGGATGGATGGCGATGGAGACCGCAATCCTGAAAGTTGGGAGGGTGGATCGCGAGGTCCTACAGGTTGAGTGTAGGGTGGCTCGCTGGGTGATGCCGAGAGCGTAACAGCGCGACGATGTGCCGAGTTGAGAACGTTCTGAGCGTCGATGAAGACGGGGACCTTGGAGGTACAATCTGGAATGCAGATGGGTGTCCTAAAGGTCCCACGAGGGGATGACGACGTGAGAAATCATTGAAAGTGAGGATATAGTGTAGCAAGATAGAAAGCTGAGTTTGGGTTGAGGCAGTCGCAAAAGAGGCGCCAACTGAGCTCTTTAGAGGTACAGAGTGGCGGGCTGAGTCGCGATGACTTGGGCTACTGAATGAACAGGAGCGCCAGGATGGACAGTGTGGCCGTTGTCCAAAGCTGAGTTCGGTTGACGACAGTAGCGGGGAGCAGTCGATGAGGATGAGGAGGTAAGGAGCTGAGCACGAGTCAGTGAAGAATCGGGCAAGTCGGTGATGAGGAGAGCTGAGTCGACAGTAAGCTAAGCTGTGCTGAGCTGTGGACGCGTATGCTATGGCTGAGTCGGTTGCTATGAGTGGTGGTGACGACAGAAGTAAGACTCGAGAAACAAGGATGAGGACGAGAAGCTTCTTGTGGTGAGGGGGAGCGGAGGAGAGTGGCGGAGGCAGTGATCATGGTCTGAGTCACAGAGCGGCACAGTGGGGAGGAGGAGGGCTCAGCTTGATAGACTGACAGGCAGGCGGTTGAGTGGCACACTTAGACAGGCGCTCAGCAGCAAGCAGCAGCAGCAGCAGCTGTGAGTGGCGGTCAGTTGTCAGTCAAATCGAAATTAGGTGGCGGCAGGGGGCAGCAGCACCACAGGCGAGAGACCCTGAGCATCCCTCGAATCGGCAAGTCCAAGCCTCGACCTTGTTGGAAATTCGCGCGCCTAGTCAGTCAGAGTCATACCCCTCACACTGCCACTCGAACTGCCACCACCAACCGCTCTGACTGCGCTGCGCTGAGCCACAGATCTACAAGTGTGGAGGCGCGAACCAAGCTGCCTTGCGCTTCATTGCATCTGGCAAGCATTCCTCTTTGTCTTCATTGAGAGGCAAGTAAAACTTTGCACATGCGCTTGTTCGACGTATGACCATCTCAAAACGAATGACAAAGAGCGATCAGCTAGGTCAAAGACGCTACTGTGCTATACAGTGAGGGAGGAGGAGTCATGTTGCTTGCTAGCCTTGCGGGAGTGGTGGCGATAATGGCGGCGTAAAGTGCGAGGCACTGGACGAGTGACTCTGAGCAAAGCTGCAGCGCAGGCGGATGACTCCATTCCGAAAATCGAGCAATTTACTCAGTCGCGCCGCCCCCCTGGAGCTATGAAAGGGCGTCTGAGCAGTGTCGCGTCGATTCGACCTCTGCTCTTTCGCTTGCTGCCTATCTTCGAGTGGATTTTCGAGAATTTGCGATCTTTTTCGACCATCGAAAGAGCATCATGCGCCGGCAGCTTAGAGCAACGACGAGTCATCCACCTTGACAAGCCTATCTCAACGCTCCGCCCGGTTCGACCAGCTCAGCCTGGTTGCTCTTCACCTTCTCTTGAGCCAGCCTCAAATAGATCATCCTCGTCATCACGTAGCTGACCTTCCGTTTCGTGATCATCCCGAGCCACCAACGGATGGCGTTTCACAGGGCGCTGTTGCACCGCCGGCCGGCTACCAGTCCGGCAAGCAGCAACAGCGTCTGTGCTGTGAGGCGGACATGGCCGAAGTGACTGCTTTGCATGCACAGTCGCTTGAACCCTACAGCGGTGTGTGCAGAGAGCTGCATAAAGCCGATCTGCCAGTTCGGATTTCGTGGTTGAGCAAGGGCGGGCCGATGGGAATATCGTGCGATATGGCTGTCATCGGTTATCGAGATCTGACAACAATAGCAATTACATCAGCATGACTTATCCAACTGCGTATTATGCGAGCAGCCTTGCTTCTCGCCCTCGCCGCCCCGCTTCGTCATGTGTTCGTCTTGCACAGCGTCAATCCTCAGCTGCATCTTGACCATCAACTAGACTCTCGATACATTGAGTGAAGAAGGCATCGGGTAGCCTCTGCGCGCACCATGTCGAGGCTTGCACGCACATCAACAACGGCAGGACCGCTCGCGGCGGCAGCAAGGTCCCTTTCGAAGGCCGGCTCCTCCCGCACACCTGCAGCAGGTCCACCGGCGTCTCCACGATCTTTCAGACATGGACTGACGGCAGCATCGACTCAAGCGACGCGGAATGCGGTGGCAGGACCTTCTCGGCTTCTCCCTCGAGAGCACTTCACGGCATCTTCTGCGTCCAAGGCAGGCCCACATCGTGCACTGGCCACGGCCGCTCCTACATCGCCATACTCGCACAACATCGACTCTGACATTGTGGTCGTCGGAGGAGGCGTCGTCGGTCTCGGTCTAGCATGCGATCTCGTTGCTTCAGGAGCTGTAAGCTCACCGGGCCTTTCGAACGCCCACCCAATCACCCTTATCGAAGCTTCCGATTTGAGTCGCCTCAGAACGTGGTCTGCCGATCGCGCAAAGCATCTCTCACAGAGCCAGGCATTCTCGTCCGCCACGACATCCTCGGCTGACGGTCTCGACTGGGAGAACCGCGTCATCTCACTTACATCTGAAAACCTCAACTGGCTCAAACGTATCGGCGTCTACCCGTATCTGGTGGAACACCGCCTTCGCCCCGTCAACTCGATGCGCGTCTGGGACGGTCTCTCTGGCGCTCTCCTCGACTTTGACTCATCTGACCTTTCCGATGCTGCAGGTTCATCTTCCCAAATCAGCGTCATGGTCGAGATCAGCAATCTCCAGCAAGCTATGCTGCAATACCTCGAGCACGGACCCGGCAAAGACATCTGCAGCATCCAGGACAGCGCCAAAGTCGAATCCATCCTTGCCGCCTCCAAGACGGAAGCAGACAGCGCTTCTGCCGAACAGGATCCTTGGCCTGTCGTGCAGCTTTCGACAGGCGACGCAATTCAGACGAGGCTGCTCGTGGGTGCGGACGGACCCAACTCTCCTGTTCGCAAATACGCAGGCATCGGCGACTATGGCTGGCCGTACGACCGACGAGGCCTGGTTGGCACCTTGCGGTGTCGCGGCATCGAAGATGGTGAGCCACCGGTGAGCTTCACAGCCTACCAACGCTTCTTGCCTAGCGGCACGATCGCTTTCCTCCCACTGTCCGACTCGACAGGGTCGTTGGTGTGGACGCTCGAGCCCGAAGTCGCCGCTGCGTTGACCCTGCTCCACCGCGAGACGGCCGGATCTGCTGACGAGCCACTCGCCAAGCTGATCGACGCAGCATTCCGTCTGCCCTGGTCGTACATCGAGCGGCTGTTCGAGCGCGTGGTGCAGTACACCAAGCATCCTACTCCGGACAACGTTCAGCGCAATTGGTCTTGGCTCGACGCAGAGATCCCAACAGCAGCCGAATGGGTCGAGCGTGGGCTAGGCGAGCCTCTACCCGAGAGCGGCACCGGTGAAGTGCCACCCAAGGTGCTCTCACTGAATGCAAAGAGCGTCGCCAGCTTCCCACTCAACCTCAAGCATGCAGATGCATACATTGGCGCGTCGCTCAATAGCTCTTCGCTCTTGCCGTCCGGCTTGCTCGCCGGTGCCATGGCCGCTGTCGGTCTCGCACCGGAGGGAGCTGGGCAGGGGGCTGGCCGTGGACGCACTGTTCTCGTCGGCGATGCTGCGCATACCATCCACCCGCTCGCGGGACAAGGTCTCAACTTGGGCATCGCCGACGTTCGCTCGCTTTCGCGCACATTGCGATCAGCGTTGGGGGCAGGTGCCGACCTCGGCTCGTACAATGCACTGAAGGGCTATGCGAGGGACAGATACTGGGAGAACCAAAAGATGCTCTCCGCTGTAGACCACCTGCATTGGCTCTATGCTGGTACACCTGTGCCACTGAGCCAGCAGGCGGATGGCGGGAAGCAGCAAAGAGAGAGGGATGGACTGGTCAAGACGGCAGCCAAGGAAGTGGTCGGCAGAGGTGTGGTCTGGGCCAGGAGCACGGGGTTGGAGGTCATCAACGAGCTTGGCTTTGTCAAGAACGCGTTTATGCGTCAAGCAGGTTCCACCACCACTCGCAGTAGTGCGCCGTGGCCTACATCGCGATCCTTTTCCACCACCCCTCGGCGAGGCCTGCACACTGCATCGCGACCTCGCGCTTTGCCGGTATCCGCCGTCTTCCAGCAGATCCGTCAGCACTCCTCCCACTCTACGGGCCCGCTGGCATCCGACGCCTACACCAGTCCCTCGGCCACCTCCGACTCGGCAGCGACCACGTCCACTCCCTCGCTCGCCTCTCTCACGCCATCCCAGGTTCGGGCGCTCCGGGACATGCTTCGCGTCGACCACTCTGGCGAGATCGCGGCCAACACGATTTACCAAGGTCAAGCAGACATGTTCGGAGCGCTTGGTGACGTCAAGAATCGCGATTTGTCGAAAGAAATGTGGCAGACCGAGAAGAAGCATCTCGAGGTGATGCGTGCGTTGTTGCGACAGCACAATGTTCGACCATCGGCGCTGCTGCCCGTATGGTCCGTGGCGGGGCGCGTGCTCGGCGGTGTCACCGCGCTGCTGGGCCCACGGAGCGCCATGGCCTGCACCGAGGCCGTCGAAAGCGTCATCGGCGAACACTACGATGATCAGTTGAAGGAGTTGAAGACGATTCTGGAGAAGGAGGACGTGCATCCGAGTTTGCCGTTGCTGAGCGATATCATACGGGAGTTCAGGGATGATGAACTGGAACATCTGGATACTGCGGTGGAGCACGAGAGCCAGCAGGCGGCAGGGCATGCCTTGTTGTCGGCGGTTATTGCGGCCGGGTGCAGAGGCGCTATCTGGGTCGCTTCCCGTGTGTAGGTGCCAGCAATCACAGCTTTGGTTCAATCCTGATATCGCGCTCGGTTTATGGTTGAGGTTGCCGAGAGAGTGAACCCTGAGAAGACGCATCCTGCCGATCCCCCAGATTTAGCCGAGACGCACGTCAATTTAGCGTAGGCCGTGGTGTTGCCGGTGTTGTTGTTCTTATCGCAACCAACGCCTTCCACACCGACCACACAGAAGCCGGTGTCTGCGGCTCGGCGCAAGGTCTAGCGAGGCTGGTGACGGCCCGAGAGTCAGCATTCCGTCGAGATCTGGGGCCAGTCACGCTGGTGAAGGGTATAAATAGAGCGCCGGCCTCTCACAAACACAACCCTGTCGCAGTTTTCATCGTCAAAGATGCGTCTCGCACAGTATGCGCTGCTAGTGACGGCGATCGCAAGCATCGGTGCTGTTGAGCTCAGCCAGCAGCTCAAGATCCCGTCGATCTGGAGCTCACCCATGTTCCAGTCGGGCGGTGATACATCCAGCTCAACCCCGCCCAACGGTCAACCGCAGCCGCAGTCAACCTCGACACCGCTCTCCGAAAGCTTCCAGATCCACCCACCAGCGCCCATCCTCACCCACTCCGGCATCTCCTGCTCGGTCACCCTAGTCAATCGTTCCTTCGCCAACAGCTACGGCTCTACCTCGCACCTCCTCTTCGACCCCTTGGTCTCGTTCTCCGGCACCCCCTGTGCGGATCCAATCAGCTGGACGGGTCTCACCCTCGACATCCACGGCGAGACCCGAGGACGCCAATTCGACCGACTGGGCACGGTGTGGATCGGCAACAATGTCACGGGGCAAGGAGTCGAGGTGATGCGACTGGACAATCCGGAGCCCACCCGCACGGGTGTCTATTGGGACATCCAAAAGGATGTGGGACGATACTGGTCGTTGTGGAGCCAGAGGGCGGATGTGGTGTTTGACCTGCCGAACATTGTGGATGAAACGTATACGGGGGCGTTGAATGTGACGTTGAGCCTCACTGCTTCCGTCGACGGCGTGGTTGGGCAAGGTGGGAAGCATCGTCGACGTGCAAGTGTCGCAGCTCTACCGCTCGCAGAGAGGGCTCCGGATCTGGTACTGCCCCTATCGAAGCGCTTACAAACGGCCAACTCGGTCTTCCTCATCACCGGGGTGAACAACGCCAGTACATCGCTCACGATCCCACAAAACGCAGCCCGAGCGATCGTTGAGATCTACGCATCGGGAACGGCAAACGAAGAGTTCTGGTACACCAACCTCCCCACTCGCTTCCTCACCCCTTCGCTATCTAGCGCAGGCTACTTCGGTCATGGGACGTATCGCGAGGTGCAACTGCACATCGACGGGAGGTTCGCCGGCTTCGTGACGCCCTACCCGGTGGTGTTTACCGGTGGGGTGAATCCGTTGCTGTGGAGACCAAACGCTAATTGGGGGAGCTTCGATCAGCCGAGTTACAACGTGGATATCACGCCCTGGTTGGGGAAGTTGACGGATGGAGAGGTGCATGAGTTCGTGGTGAAGGTGGTAAGTGGCGAGACGGGAGGGGCGGTGGGCGAGGGATGGTTTGTCAGTGGGAATGTGCAGGTGTATCTGGATGAGTCGGGCGAGAGGACGACGGGCGAGGTTGTGAGGGTGGAAGGTGGGGACGAGGTGGATGGGTGGGTGGATGGGACGATGGAAGGCGATCCAACGACGAACGGGTCGCTGACGTACGAGGTCGGGCTGCGGAGGAGCAGGAAGTTCGGCGTCGTGAGTAGCATCAGGACTGGATCTGGGAAAGAGTACCTAGCGGGCTGGTACCAGCAGGCGCAATATGGCAACGAGGGATACGTCAACGCCACCGCTCAGACGAACGATCAGAGAAGCTACGGCTGGATGAGGTCGGTCGTCTTCGACAACAGCTCCATCGACAGCAGCTGGTCATGGGACGATCTTCAAATTCTGTCAGACGCAGGGTTGCAGGATGTACAAGCCGTGCAGCTGGACTACAACTACCCGCTCTACGTTGCATCCTACCTGTCCAACAGCAGCTTCGACGCGCAGGTCACGCAGCAGTTCGACCGGACCGTTCGGAGGATCTCTCCCACTTCAAGCACAGAAGCTCTCGGGCAGATGGTGGGCGACGAAACGACGGTGGTGCATGCCGACCCAGTGGCGGCGTTGGCGCACACGACGCTGTCGAGCAGGAGAGGGGAGGCGCGGTCGGTGCTCGTGGATGGGCACATTGCGAATGGCACGGGGACGTCGGAGCAGACTTTTATGTATCGGGACATGGCGGGTGGCACGATTGATAGGCTGACGAGGACCAATACGACGAGCGTGTTGGAAGACCGGCTGCGAGGAAGTGCGAGCGGTCGTGCTCAACCAATGCAGTTGACTACAGCCTAGGAAGAAAAAGAAATGGTATCATTGCAAACATCGCTACGAGTGCTTCACTTCTTGCCCTTCTTCTTGGCGTTCTTCTTGTCGTCCTCCGCCTTGCGTTTTGGTGGTGCGGATCCCGGCTTGACGGTAAAGAACCCATCCAACCTGCCCTGCTGTTTCTGGCTCAACGACTTTTGCAGCTTCTCGCATCCCTTTCTCACCCTGTCCTCGCTGAACCCTTTGTCCTGACAGAGGAACTTGACCATCCCCTCAACATCCGGGGTGTCCCACTTGAGATCCAGATCCTTGCCCTTCTGCACGTCGGGGTTCTCAAAGATCTTCCTCGCCTCCTGGAACGGCCAGTGCTCGGGGATCTGGACCGACTTCTTGCCTTCCTCTTTGAGATGCTCGATGACGTTCTCGAGCGTCTTGTGCTCTCGGATGAGCTTGAGGGCCGTTTTGGGCCCGATGCCCTTGATGGGGTCGAGGTAGTCGCAACCGAGCAGGATGCAAAGGTCGATGAATTGCGCCATGGACATCTGGAGCCCTTCGAGCGCTTTGGGCAGGTCGACCTGGTGGACAGGCAGCTTCTTCTGTTCGGACGCCGTGAGGTGCTTGAGTAGGATCGGCGTTCCGAAGGTGAGCGTGTCCATGTCCTCGGATCCTGCAGCGAAGACCTTACCGGCTCGGGCGAGCTCCGCGCACTGAGCCTCGGCTTCGGAGGGCGCAATCACACATGGGATGCCCATGAGCTTGAGCAGGTGTCGCACTTCTTCGTTGTGCTGTCGCGTGGGTCGAACCTGTCGTCGCGCCAGCTGGTCCATCTTCTCCACGTCAGCAACGTCCTTTTGTTCCTCCTCCTGCTCCCTCGCTTCCTCTCGGCGACCGAATCGTTTTTGGAGAAGCTCCTTTTTCAGGTCAGGCGGTGTACCATCGAAAACGTACATGGGCTTGATGCCGTAATCGATCATGCGGAGGGTTCGGTAAAAGAAGCCAAGGAGATGCGAGGTGGTCTCGCCCGACTCGGTCATGAGCTGTTGGCCGTCGTTCTGTCGGACGGCGATGAGGAACTGATAGAGAGACATGGAGGCGTCGATGGCGACTTTGCGACCAAAGTAGGTCTTGATCTCCATCTCCTTGATGGCGCCAGGCGCCTCGTCGGAGATGAGGGCGGTGAGGCCTTTGATGCCCATCGTGGCGAGGATAACAGGGTGTTGATTTCGGCTGAGCTTTGAAGTAGGCGTTTAAAGCTGCTTCAGGGAGCAGATTCGAAATGCTCAGCGATGGACGATGACGAGACCGATGATAGAGTCGAAGTGGGAGGTGGGAGGAAGAAGAGGCCCCAGCTCAGTCAGGGTCTCCACCTCAACCTCGAGAAGAAAAGCGGCCTGAACACTCCACATTTTTGGCTCTTTACGCGTGGTCCAAGCTTACGCGCGCCGCGTTGTTTCTTGCGAGACAGCGTTGAGGCTCAGTTTTTTCCGTCCGATTTGGTGAGCTGAGTTGCGGGAAAGTGTTGTTCTCTCGCTTGCTTGTCCCTTTCGACGTTTGGCTAATCTCTTCGACTCAGCTTCGTCGCCGCCAACACCATCGACACGCATTGAAGCCGGGGCAGCATCAATGGATGTGCTCCATACCGCGGGGCTACGTTCAGACGCAAGCTGTAACCAGTGCTGAGCATGCGGCTTCGATCCCACCTTTTCCATACCGGAACATCCTCGCCTTCCTGCCGAGCTTCGTCCACCATTGGGGGCCAAGACGATGTCGGCCTACGCTCGTCAACCCGACGCAGACGAAGACGAATTCGATTCTCTCTTCGATGATCAAAGCTTACTCGACCCGGAGCTCGAAGAGAGCCTTGCACAGGCTGAAGCCAACTACTCTGCTTCTCAGGCCGTCCAGCAGCCAGCCTCACACGCTGCAGCGCCAAATGCGAGCTTCACCTTTCGTCTTGAAGCTGAACCACCACGACCCGCAAGACGCATCGGCACATTCGTCCAACCGCCATCGAAGAAGCAACGCCTGGATCCCGGACCTTCCAATCTCAGCCGAGTCGCCGCTGCGTATCGCGAACCAGAGCCAGATCAGGTCATCGTCCGCAACTTCAGAGATGAAGAGTTCGCCGACAATGATGATGAGCAGTGGTGGGCGGGCAACCATGCGCTCGACCAAGTAGAGGAGGAGGCAATCCGCATGTCTCAGCAGATGCCAACATCGCAGCCGCATCAATCGAATGCGGATCACAACCAGGACGTAGCACGGAAGCCGCAACGTCGAGGTCGACCCTCGGCTATCTCTGAGGAGCCACCAGATCCAATCACCGTCACCGACGCAGCGCACCAAGGTCATGTTGGCGCCGACACCGAGGAGCTCGAGCAGCTGCGTGCCGAGGTGGAAAGGCTGCGAACTGCACAGAAAGCGCAAGAAGAGACGGTCGACAAGCTTAGGCAAGAGGCGTATCGCAAATCGGGAGAAGTGGCTGTGGTCAGGCAGAACTTGACCAAGCTCAATCAGGAGAACTCCAAGCTTCGAGAGCGAGAAGTCGTGCGGGAGCAGGAGCATCGTGCCGCGCTCGATCGCTTGCAGAAGGATCAAGAGCGTCGGCTTCAACGACTCGAGACAGAGACCGCCTTCCGCAGGGTCGAACAAGATACCAGCCGTCGGATATGGCCCTCCAGCGTAGCGCGACTGCCTCCTGTAGGCCTTCGCGACGTCGACAGGAGGCAGGAGAGCCAGGTGAGAGCCGGCCTCACAACCCCGACGAAGGCCAACCGCTTTGGTATCCGAGGCGGAAGCGGCAGCTCTGGCAACCGTCAACGCTACGCAGGTATGGATGTCGACCGCGAGGAGCCTGGGACACCAACGAGATCGGCCGCCAAACCTCTGCCGCAGTTTCCTCGGCCACCCACGGCCGCCACATCTGCATCCAAGGCAAAAGCCTTCCGAGGTTTGCAGAACTCCTTTGCCGACTTTGGTCCTGTACAGGAGAAGGTACGACAACAGAGAGAGTCGCCCGTCAAACCTTCAGCCAAGGCCAAGCAATCGAGCGCTCTGGCTCCGGCTGTATGGGACGGGGACCAGTCTCAAATGGCGGCGCACGATCACGATGATGACTTCGCCATGGCGGACGACCACCCGCCACCCTCTGTCAGAAAGAACGCACCAGTGCCCGCCACCATCCATGATGCAGACAAAGCCAAGGAGCACCACTATCTCGCAGCGATGTCCGAGATTCTTTCTCGTCGTACCACTATCGTCTCGCTCTTGCTCAGCCACGCATCGACTCCTGCTGCTGCGCCTGCTTCTTATCCGTCGAATCGCTTCAATCCATCTGCCTCGTCACCTCACGCAAGGACGCCAAATTCAACAGAGGATTCCGCCTTTAGCACCAGCACACTCAGCCGCCTCATCTCCGCCAATCTCGTTCAAGGATGCCCGGATCTCCTGCTCTTTCGCTACCGAAAGGCGGTCGAATCGCTGCTCACCAGTCTCAGCAGCGCCAGGGTCTTGGAGCCGGAGGAACGCGAAGATGCCTTCCGTCTACTGTCCGCCGACGGCAGTGGTGGAGCAATCGAGGAGCTCGACTTTTCTTCCGCGACGATGCATCTCTCGCACGCCATTGCCTCTTCGCTCATGGTCATGGCCGGCGTGCTACTGCGACTGTGTCAGACCGATCTCTTAACTGACGTTTTGCGTCTGGTTTCGTGCCTCGTCTCGACGTTGCCGAGATTCTGGTTGGATCTCGAGTGCCTCCAGACGGATCAAGAAGCTAGGCGCGATGAGATGGCTTTTCTCGGTATCGACGAAGAGGTCTTCAATGCGGAGTGGGCACAGTATAGTACGCCAATCCATGTGCGCGAGATCTTGGCTCAGTGCGTGGCTGATTGCCGATCTTCAGGCACGCGAGCGCGCTCGGGCAGCAACGGCGTCTCGCATGACGAAAGCCATCAAGACGACGACCTAGACATGGACTCCCCAGCCAAGGAACCGGGCGGCGGAGTTGGGCTTGGTAGCTGGACTTTGTCGTCGGAGGCTCGCGAGGATCTGCTGCATGAGGCCGTGCAAGTTCTCCGCGCCATGTGCGAATGTCCTGAAGCGAGTCTGACGTCGAGCGTCCATCCTCTTCGACTGCTTTCTCGACCAGGCGTGCTTCACAAGCTCTTGCACCCCGATCGATCTACTTTCATCCTCTTCAACGTCGTACGCATGCTCAGCTCGGCGGTCTCTAATGCTCCTTTGATTCACGAATGCCTGGCAACAAAATCGGACTTTCGAGAAGCCAGTCGGTCGAGTCACCATTCGACAGCGCCACGCGCAAATGCTCGCTTCCCCGTCCTCGAACTGCTCGTCAAGCATCTGGTCGACCGACGCTTCGACATGGCAGAGAGCGAATGGCATCATCTGCACCGCGCTATCCTCACGTTCCTGACGCAAGCCGCGCTTCGCTCAGCAGACACACTCATCGTCCTGGCCGACAGCGCGGCGCTCCTCGCGGCCTTGATCCGGTGTCTCTCGCTCGATTCCGACTTCGTCTGGCTCCAGAGCCGTCCAACGTTCCTACTACCGCCACGCATGCCGACATACCGTCGCGGATCCTCCCACGCCACCCCCGATCCTTCCGGCGCAGATCTCGTCCAAGCAACCGAACGCATCGTCATGGATGTTCGCCTCCTGAACCTGCTGTACAACTACCCGCTCCCCAACGCCACCGGCCAGTCCCATCGCTTCGAACCCTCGAGTCAAGCACAGGAGCGCATGGGAAGCATCTCCCTAGCCAACAAGCTGGACCAGCCCGAGACGTATAGCATGCTCAACGGCATTCGGCAGAGCTTTGTCGTCGCACTTTCACGGATTGCTTTCTGCTCGGAGCCGGATTGGATCGCGACCGAGCGCAAATTGCTTGTTTTAATCCTGCCGGGACTGCGTAAAGAGGGACAAGGGGAGGAGAGGGTGCGAGAGCAGGTGGAGCAGAGTGTCAAGGGGCTGGATAGGGTGTCGATGCTGCTGGAGGCGATCGCAGATGTGGCGGGTGATCTGGTGGATATCGTGTTGAGTCCAGAGGAGATCGATAGTGTTTATGAGCTGTTGGTGTCTGAAGAGGACGAGGAGATGGATGTGGATCAGGAAGATGTGCCGCGTGGAGAGCCCGAAAAGAAGGCGACGGAGGAGGATATGGGGAGCGAGACGGAGAGCGAGCCCGAGCTGAATGTGGATAGGGGCGCGGGAGGGAGGAGTGCGAGGGCGAGCAAGTCCGTTTCGCCTAGGAAGGGGGCTAGGCCGAGCACGTCGCCACGGAAGAGTGGCGTGGAAGAGGTCGATGTCATTGAGATCGATGATTCGGACTGATCCTCAAAGGTGCTGCCTTGGTGACAATGCTGCACAGTCAATACGGAGACACTTGTCACACATGTCGAGCTGACGTCCGCTCACACTTGAGGCGTGATGAAGCCATAACGAGTTCGACTGAAAGCTACAACCACTGATCCTTGCTCCAGCCCGCATCCTGCAAGAAAGCAGCCATGACCTTGCTCCCCGTCTGCAACAACGGATGACCCGCTACCACCTGCAAGAACCTCTCCAGTCCCTCCCTCCTCCCTTCGATCACCTCGTCCGTGAACCTATTCGTAAACACCTTCCCTGGCAGGGGCGGGATGTTGACTCTGGTACTCTCCCTCTCCAAAATATCCCTAAAGTACTCGAAATCGCTGTACCTCCTCCTCACCGCACTGTACCTCAGCTTGAACGCTGGGATGTTGGTGCGCGTGACGATCTCGTAATCCGTATACATCTTGCGACCTACACCGTGGGTGAGGGGATTGCGCACTTCGACTTCCAAGAAATTCTCGGGGACGCCGTACATGTCTTCGACGGTCTCGCGACGCGGGGTGGAGAGCGAGTCGACACGGGCAAAGGGCGAGTAGGCGGGGATGGTGTAGTTCGAAGCGGGGAGAGGGTAGCCAGGAGCAAGCTGGCGAGGGGCCGCGCCGTAGTCGGTGGACGTGTGCGAGGAGAAGCCGGCCGGTTCGTGCGGGAGGAGCGTGGAGGGCGTGTGGGATTGGAAGCGCGAAGCTCCCGTGACGGAGGAGGTGGGTTGGTACTGAGAACTGACGCCCGATGGGAAGGCTCCCGTTTGCGGCGGCTGTTGTGGTTGAGCACGAGCTGCTGCGGTGGGCGAGGTTGGTGCTTGTGGCTGTTGCGAAGGTGGCTGATCTGCGGTGCTGATCGCAGACCCATGCGTGCTGGATGAGGGTGCGTTTGGCAGATGCGATTGGGTCGCCGCCCCGAACTGGCCCGACGCACCAGAAGCGGAAGCGAATCCACCAGAGTCGGCACGCTCTAAACCAGCCCGTCCCGCGCCGAAGCCGTTGTCCATCGACCCGCCTGCGTATGCATCTGCTTCGGCTCCGTTGCCGCCTCCAAAGTATCCCTGCTGCTGCCTATGCTGCTGATGTTGCGCGGAATAGGAGGCGAAGCCGTTGCCGCCGGGAGACGTGTCTGCGAAGCCGCCAGAGGTTGCTGAGGGAGCAGCAGGAGCGGCTGCAGAGGATGAAGAGGCGCCATTGGCACCCCACGGATCCTCTTCGGCATTGTCGTTGCCTCCCCAGGCCGAGGTGGTGTTGTAGCCTGGAGAGAGTGGGCCTGCGCTGTAGAAAGCCATCGTCGATTGTCGTTAGTGTTGACGATGAAAGTGCCGATCCAAGAAGAAGTGATGGAAGAGAGAGCAGGATGAGCGATGGGTCAGGGCTCCGACCAGAACACACACTTTGCGAAGGTCGAGATTGCGATACCGACAGCGAGCGCTGTGCGTGGCCTTTGCGCTGCGTTGCGGTCCGACTCCATCGGCACGCTTGTGTTGAAGCATGAATCCAAAATCACTGCCCCCGGTGTGGTTGGATCGGCCCTTCCGCGCGCAGCAGATCGGGATACCAAATGTTCGGATTTCGCGAAACGCCTTTGACAACGCACGTCCAAGAAGTCCTTCTCACACGCCCCCTGTCATCCTACGTTTCGGCCCTCATCCGTGCCTTTTGCAAGATCACACGACGCAGCATCATGGGTACGATCGGGATCCCAGTCAAGCTCATTCACGAGGCGGTGGGCCACGTCATCACCGTCGAGCTCAAGGGCGGAGCTTCCTACCGAGGCACTCTCTACGATGGTACGTCTTCACCTCTCGCGCTAAACAGAGTTGAAGCAAGGGCAAGGAAGTCGCTGACACTCTTGATCTGTGCCTTTGTTCATACAGCCGAGGACAACTTCAACATTGCCATGAAGGACATCACCGTCACAGCGCCCGATGGCAAGCAGTCGCATCTCGAAAACGTCTACATCCGGGGCAATATGCTGCGCTTCATCATCGTGCCAGACATGCTGCAGCAGGCGCCTATGTTCAAGCGCATCGGTCCGAATGCGATGAAGGGCAGAGGTATCGGAAGTGCCCGTGGGCGAGCGACGATTCTCAGAGGTGGGTCGCTTCCAGTGCCGACGACTACAAGATTTGCGATGAGTGCTGACAATCTTCATCTTTGTGTTTCGGTAATCAACAGCGCAAGCGCGGCGTGGACGAGGAGGTTCGACAAGCGCGAATGGCGCAGGCGCTCCTCCTGTTCGCAGATGAGAGGACGAATACTCCAAACACCACACGCATATCCTACGACGATTCTCAGGCACTCGCATTGCCTTGTATTTTAGCATCGATTCTCAATCACACACGACCACCCTGTCTCACGTGCGTACGGCCATCGGGACAGCTGCGCAGCAAGGATGACTCGTTTTGATTCGGATGTGGTCCGAAAGGCGATTCCCACGCCTTGTTCCGACCGATCGGCTCACCCGACCAGTGTGATCATCGAGAGAAGATCCCACAGCTCATGGCCTGCGGTCATGCGAGGTCGCAGCTCGAAGGTTCTCGACATTGCTCGTGGTCAAAGAGCTCAGTCAGTTCAAAGCCATGGGTGTTGGGTCTTGCATCGCTTCGGTCGGCCTGGTGTTGGTGGAGAGCATTCCGGCGCGGCATGTTTCCCGAAATCGGCCTCCCCAACATCGTTAAATGATTCTGAGGTATCCTCGGGAGGCAGCGTCGCGGTACATGAGAGTGTGAGATGGATAGAATGCTCAGAGCCTGTGCGCACGATCATCAGTTCACCGGTTAGTTGGCGAGCGCAAGGTTGCGCTGCGCTTTCATCCTGCAAACACCGACGCACATTTTGAACGAGTTACGATCAAATTGGCCGTTCTCAAGGCGGGCGAGCGTCGACTCGATTTTGGCTTTCTCCCGCTTTCGAACGGGCGCGCAGCGACTGAGCTGCAGCTGAGTCTTTCTTCCCACGCAATATTTTCATCTGCGCAAAATGAAGCTAGCCAGCTTCGAGCCTCGCTCCCTGGCTCTCTTCCTTTGTTTGCTCTGGTTCTGATTTTAGTAGCAACCTGCAGCGGCACAGCTCCACCTCACCATCCTCCTCGTCGCCAATTCTTCTTTCCCATCTTCCTCACCACCATCCATCTCCACGCTTCTCCACGCCGCCATTACTGGCACTCTATCTCTTCCGCTTCTTTCACCTTCCGACCTCGACCATCCACGAGCCCTCGCTACACTCGTCGACCAGACACATTCTTCCGCGCATTCGACCCCGTCAGCAGCTACAATTGCAGGCGCAGACCAAGTCGCTTTTCGGTGCCTCTTCTCGACCCACCATTCACTCCATCGTCTCGAAGGGCAGTCCCACCACCATCGTGCTTGTTTGATATAAGCAGTCCTCAGTCGACACTTTCCCGGCCTAAAAGAAGCCTCTCGCAAAATACGGCAACACACTTAAGGTAAGTCATCACCGCATCATTCTCGTCTCTAGATCCCCCGAGCACGTCCAGGTTTCGGCTGCGGCGGCTTCTGGATAGCCTGATTGGTCTCAGCGCACGATCCTCTCTTCGCAAGCCAAGCTGCATCCTTGCAACAATTTCATATCGGCTGTAGCGTTGCAAATCGCTTCATTCTGGAAGGGATCAGAACCGCCATCCTTTTGCCACGACACATCGAATCGAGCCCGGCTCCATCATCTTCCACCATCATATCCCTCTCTTCCTTTCATACAAACGCTGAACTAGACCGTCTGCAATCCCCCTCCCTTCCACTTCGGCCCTCACACATGGCTCCTCGCTGTATTGCCGCCCACTGTCTACAGTCGTACGCAATTCCGCCTTCCATCCCGCGCCACTCTTCCTCTCACACTCCTGGACTTCGACAACGTCCTCACAACCTCCTCACTCAAACACTGCCGCAGCTCACCTCCACCTCAAACTCCTTCCTTCAGTGCCTCAGCCCAGGCTGGACCGTGATTACTGATCAACTCGAGCCTCCCTTTTGGTTCTCACCCTCCTCATCCAACCATGTCAGCAGTCGTTAAGCGCGATCGAGACTCCTCCAATTCCCCCGAACCAGAAGCCAAGCGCCTCAACGTAGACGCCAACGTCAAGGCAAAGTCCAAGAACGACGGTAACGATACCCCTGCCTCACCCGACCGCCAGAGCAACAGCACCACCAAGAAGATGGCTTCCGACGCTTCCGGAAAGCCCGAGGAGATGGACGCCGTTGATCTCGGCAATGTCACTGCAGATGGCGACAACAACAACGCCGACACCAGCGCGCTTTCCAACGATCAGGATGGCGATCAGGTCGCTGACAGCGCCGGCAGCGTCGGCGACTCGTCCGAGACGCAGGCGACCCAGATTTCGATGCGAACCTTGATCGTCACCAGCGATGCCAGTATCATCATTGGCAAGTCCGGCAAGCACATCAACGAAATCCGTGACAAGAGCAACGCCCGTCTCAATATTGTAAGTTGACTGTCGTGGCACACATGATCAAAGAAAGAAAGGCCCGTGAGACTGACCGCCATCTTGCTTTCACCCTCTTCCTCCCTTCCTTGCCCGCACGCAGAGCGAGATCATTCAAGGCAACCCCGAGCGCATCTTGACCGTTTCGGGTCCTCTTGACGCTGTCAGCAAGGTGAGTCAAGCTTGAAATTGTCCCATACAACTTCGACGAGCACTCACTGACCATAAGACTTTCCTCGGTGACTCCCATTCTCCTCTCTCTTCCTGCAGGCTTTCGGTCTCATCGTTCGCAGAATCAACGACGAGCCCTTTGACCAGCCGTCTGTCCCTGGCTCGAAATCCGTTACCATCCGCTTCATCGTCCCCAACTCCCGCATGGGTTCCGTCATCGGCAAGCAGGGTTCCAAGATCAAGGAGATCCAGGAGGCCTCGGGTGCCCGTCTCACTGCAGGTGAAGCCATGCTGCCCGGCTCCACCGAGCGCGTCCTCTCTATCTCGGGTGTCGCCGACGCCGTTCACATTGCCGTCTACTACGTCGGCACCATCCTGCTCGAGCACCAGGACCGCAACGCCAACAACCTCCCTTACCGACCCACCGCCGGTGGTCCATCGACCCGTCCCCCCGCCCCCGGCGGCAACCCATATGCTGCTCCTCAGCAGGCATTCGGCTACGGTGCACCCGCCCCTCCCTTCGGCGCCGCGCCTGCCGGTGCCGGTGGCGCACCCCAGCTGCCGCCCGGCTCGCAAACGCAGCAAATCTTCATCCCCAACGACCTGGTGGGCTGCATCATCGGTAAGGGCGGCTCCAAGATCAACGAGATCCGCAGCATGAGCGCCAGTCACATCAAGATCATGGAGCCCGGCGCGGGCATCGCCGCTGGCGGCAGCGGCAACGAGAGGCTCGTCACCATCACCGGCCCACCGCCGAACATCCAGATGGCCGTCTCGCTGCTCTATCAGAGGCTCGAGCAGGAGAAGATGCGACTCGCGCAGGGTGGTGCTCCCTGAAGACCAAGACCGAGTGATTGGTCTTGTGTGAAGTTCAACAAAAAAGAAGCATAGTTTGCTCCACCGCTTACCGCCGCTCTCTCGCGTGTAAAATATTCCGTCTCTGTCAAAGTCAACTTATTCTTGCTATTCCCCGTGGTTGTGGTTCGCACGCCTGAGTTTTGCTTTCTCGAGATGCAGACCAGCGACGAGTGCGTTCTGGTGTTCAAAAGGCAGGGCGAAGCAAAGGATGAAGGACGACGAGAAGAAGTCTCATGAGAACCTTTTTCGAAACATGTTAAAGGGTCACTTGCTTCGCCAATGCGGAATTTATGAGGACGGCTGCTCGTGTTGGTCTCTGGCTCGGCGCTGCCTCGCTTCGAAGTGTTGTTGTCCCTAAATTTTTGGAAGGCTCACGCACACGCAGGACGCACCGCTGACGCGCGGCACGGCCAGCGAACTCAAGGGTCTGGTCTCGAGATTTGGCTTTCGAGGGTCCGTTGTCGTTGCTTTTGAGCTTCTCCCATCACACACGCTCCTTGAGCAGAATCTTCTTCGACCGAGTCAGCAGCGATCGGAAGGGACAAAGGACCGCGCATTCAGCGCACGGGTAGATCTGTCACCTGCATAGACGGAACGCGGTCGACCGACCTATCGAAACCCTCATCAGCTGTCTCAGTCTCGACAGACCCGACCACCAGCTCTCCCTCACAGTCCAACGACCCCGATTCAGCACATCAGGGATCCCACTCTGCAAGCCGCTCGATTCCTTTCACACCCAACTCATGCTCCATCCTAGACCGGCATAGTCACCATGGCCGCACTAGCCGTCCCCTCTACCGCCAGTGGCTCGTCCAAAGCCGAGTCCTCTTCCCACGACAGCGGGCCTTCCAGTGTGCCCTTTCGAGGCTCTTCTGTGGCAAAGTCGCGTCGACTCAAAGCACCCGCCCACACGCCAGCCTCGTGCTCAACATGGCTGCTGCTCGATGCAGACGAGCGGGCGATGCCCTTCCTGCGCACGCTCGAGTCGTCACCACCAACGGCACGGAGCAGCGAAAAACTCACCGAATCGACCAACACCGCCTCTACCCGGTCAACGGTGCGCTCACAGGCAAGCAAGTACGAAGACGCGGATGACAAGCGTATGTCGCTCCAACAAGGGAGTGTGGGCAAGCGCGGGTTCATGTCGCGTCTCAGGGGGGCGGGGAGCGTCAGTGGTGCCAGTTCATTTCAGGCGACGACGGCGATGACCACGTCGGGCAGCTGGGCGATGGTCGATTCGCCCGCATCGACAGAGCAGACGGGGTCGAGGATTGCGGGGAGAACTGTACATCTGGCATTCACAACTCTGGCCTTGGAGGCGGCGACAAAGCACGCTCACGGTCTGGTGGGACGAGCATCGTTGCGGCCAGCACCCACGTCAGAGCACACGACAGAACTCGTCCATTCGGATCGAGTGGATGTAGCAGGGCTGGCGGTATTGATCGCGTCCACCGGCGCGGAAGGCGTGTATATTGGATCGGCACGGTCCCCTTCGAACAGCATGCAGCCGTTTCTCGAAGCGCTGCTCTCCATCAGCACTCTGAAGATCATACTTCTCGAACCAGCGACAACACGAAGGTTGACATCAACTCAAGCATCAACATTGCACGACCTGGCTCGTGGTCGAAACATCACACTCCATCTACCGCTTCGTCAGACTTCACTATGGACGACAGGCATCGAAGAAACACTGCTCGGACTCGAGCTGCTGCACGACGTGGCCGAGGATGAGCAAGCACGCACTGCACCGTTGGCGAATGGCGATGCAGACGTCAGCGCGGACAATGTATTCGACGTGAGCATGTCAAACATCCCCACAGGGTTGTCGGGGGACGGACTCAACGGGGTCGAGGTCGAGACGCTCAAGACGCAGCTGGAGCATTTGAGAACGGAGGGGAGGATGAAAGACGGGGTGATCGCAGAGCTTAGGAAGCAGGGCGAGGAGCAGATGGGGATAATTCAGACGCTCAAGCGGGAGAAGGCTGTTGCAGAGGCAGCGCAGGCAAAGGCGCTCGCAGCGCCCGCTCAAGGTGTCGAACCGAAGACGCCAGAGCGGTCGACTGTCGTCGCTCTCGCTGCACCTCTTACACAAACCGAACAGACCCAGGGCGCTGCAGCAGCTGCAGCGCCTCGCACGCCGAGCAAAATCGCATCATCAGGTGCCGCCCCAATCACGCCCTCGCCGAGCACAGCAGCCCTCGCCCGCGCGGCCCCCATCACCACCCCGCAACCGTCCTCGCCTAGCACGGGCAAGTCCACCGCGGTGATCGCCAAGCTCACTGCCGAGCTCGCCGAGACGCAGCAACTGCTCTCCGCCACCCGGACTGCCCTATCGACCGTCCGCGCGCAGTCTGCCGGCCACCAAGCGGCGGCGGACGAGATGCGCTCCACGCTCGGCCGCGCACGTCTGGAGAACGATTCCTCCGTCACCATTCTAGCGCGGAAAGATCGGCAGGTGGTGGAAGCGCTCGAGCGGGCACGCAAGGCCGAGGCGGAGTGTCGCGATCTAGGCCGGGCGAGCCGCGAGTGGGGGACGCGGGTGAGGGAGGTTGAGGAGCAATTGGGAACCGAACGTGTAAAGCGGAGTCGTGTCGAGCAGGCATATGAGTTGCTCGGGGCGGAATGGAAGACTGCGCGAGGAAGACTCATTGAGGAAGTAAAACTGCTCAAGGAGGAACATCGTCAAGCAGTCGATGGGCTCGCAGAGGAGTACAAAAAGGTGTTGACGTTCAAGGACCGGTTGGCGCAGGAAAATGCCTTGCTCATCACCCCCGCTCCTGGTACGAGCGACGCAGAGGTTATTCCGCCTAGCAAGCTGCTGACAGAGCTAGCGGGGTTGAACGACAAGATGCAGCGCTATATCGAAGGGCAGCTGCAACCGCTGCTGGCGAGATTGGCCAGGTTCGAGCAGAGGGAGAATGCCGAGGTGATGGATCAGTTGCAGGTGCTCACGGACGAGTTGACGAGGATCAAGACGCTCATGCGCAGAGGCGACGTGGTGGACGCTCGACAGGTGCCCCCTGGTCCATTCTGAACTCAATTCACACATTGTATTTCGTCGGGATTGAACTGTGTGTTGTTGCGGTGTGGTGCATCTACAAGAGGGTCGAAACGAGACTTCGACTGAAGATCCGCGCGTTGCCGTTCGACTCGACGAGCTTCTCCATGAACAGTTCGTCGTTGACCGCACTCCAGTGTCGACGTTCGTCCTTGAGCTGCGCAAAGATGGCTGCCGCCTCGGAGCGGGAGAGCGGCTGGGAGGTGTCGATCTTTTCGGCGTACTTAGCGGCGAGACGCGCGTGCTCGAGGTGTTGCGGGTGGAGCTTGGTGTACGCGTTGATGGCTTGTGTGATCGGACGTGTGGAGGGGGAGAGGGCGAGCGTGAGTTCTGGTGGTGTAGGGAATTCGGTGTGCGTGGTGGAGAGGGCGGAGATGATTGCGCCGCGGGTGAGGGTGGGGGTGGTGAGGAGGGTGAGGAGGGCGCGAGGGAGACCGAGCTCAAAGGACTCGAGGTTGATAAAGTCCGGATCTTTGTAGAGAGATGTTCGGAAGAGCGCTTGTGCGTCGTCGACGGCGATGAGCACGGGAACTTCGGTCTGCGTAGCGAGGGTGGTGAACAGCGTTTCCAGAATGGTCTGTCTCGCGGAGGCGGACGCGGCTTCGTCGATCCCACGCTTGAGAAGCGCCTCGAGCGATGTTCCCGCTTCCACCTTGGACCCGTCCACATCGACAGCCACTGTCGTCTTAATCCCCTTCAGCGCGCCACCGTTGACCTTGAGCGTCGCCTCGAGCAACGCCTTTGTCGCTTCCGGTTGCAAGTACGCCTTGTGGCCCGCACTGTAGCTGTACATGGTCGACGAGTTGACCAGGTTGATTGCCCTCGGTACGGACACGACCACCCACCCGTCGTCCAGCGCGTACGCAATCGATTGCGCCAACAACGTCGACTTGCCGCTCCCCCTCTGTCCGTCGAGCACCACGCTCAACCCCTTCTTCCCTTTGGACGCTGCGTCGAGCTTGTCGAGCAGATCGAGCGTCTGTTGACGCACCAGCGAGCGGGGCTTTGGTTGAGATGCAAGATCGCGCTCGAGCTCCTGTGGCAGACCGAACGCTTTGAATGCCGCAAGTGTCTGGTCGCTGAAGGCGAACGTCTGGCCGGCAGAGGTGGATGTAAGGCTCTCAGCGTGCAGGAAAGGCAGGTGCGACATGTCCGGTGCATCGACGTGAAACTCGGACGTCTTGGAAAGACCGGTGGTGGAGTCAGCGCCTCCTTTGCGACGACCACCGGACGATCGTGGGCCCGAATGGGTAGCCTTCTTCTTGACCACCGCCTTCTTTTTGACAGAGGCGGGCTTTTTCGCTGCTGCAGAGGCGATCGCTGAGGTTGTGAGGGTGCGAGAAGCGGTACTTGGACCGACGAGGGCGGAAGCCTGCTGGGAGAGCAGCCTCAGCGAGCTGCCGAGTCGAGAAGCGGACGCCATTTGGGATGATGAGGGAGATGATGACGAGATGATGGAGAGGAAGATGCTGAAAGTGCCGGGTGTCAAAGGATTGGAAGAAATGGGCCAAGCGAAAATTGCTTTGCGGTCAGATCGGAGCCGATTTGCAAAAGACGTCCTTGTGTTAAGCCATCACTTGCGTCTTTGTTCCAAAATTTCCGCCGAATCGAGAGCGATGTGCGGAGTGTTGGGCGCAATGACGAGGTGCGTGTGCGGATGGGCCATCTCTCGATTCGGATGGGCTGTGCTCATCTCGCAATCCCATCCTTCTCCGACCTCCTCACCATCATCTTCAAACAATACTGGGAGTCGACTGCTAGTCCTTCCATCTAATCCAAACCTACTCGACCTCCCACATCTGCTCCACCATGGCTAGCCAAGTCCACCAGCTCTCCCTCGGCCCTCTGACCGCGCACGCCTTCAACGCGGACCGCACCAAAGTGGCCGTCTCGCCCAACTCGAACGTTGTGCACATTTACGCCCAGTCTTCTTCCGGATGGACTCTCGAGCACTCGCTCGCGGAGCACGACAAGCTCGTCACGGGCATCGACTGGGCCCCTTCCTCCAACCGCATCGTCACCTGTTCCCAGGACCGCAATGCCTACGTGTGGCAGCTCCAACCCGACGCCCAAACCGGTGCCCAGGTATGGAAGCCTACGCTCGTACTCCTTCGTCTCAACCGCGCCGCTACCTTCGTCCGATGGAGTCCGAACGAGGACAAGTTCGCCGTCGCCTCCGGTGCCCGCATCATCAGCATCTGCTCGTTCGAGGAGGACAACGATTGGTGGGTCGCTAAGCACATCAAGCGTCCTCTTCGCTCCACGGTGCTGAGCCTGGATTGGCACGAGAACAACGTGCTCCTGGCAGCAGGGTGTGCGGACATGAAGGCGCGCGTGTTCAGCGCCTACATCAAGGGTGTGGATGCCAAACCGCCCGGTAGCGTGTGGGGTGAGCGCCTGCCGTTTGGCACGGTATGCGGCGAGTTCGGCACTCCCAGTGGCGGATGGGTGCACGGTGTGGCGTTCAGCCCAAGTGGAAATGTGCTGGCGTTCGTCGGGCACGATTCGAGCTTGACCGTCGTCTACCCAGCCGGACCGGAGCAGCCCCCGGCAGCTACGCACGTCATCCGCTCCCCCACGCTGCCGTATGTAACGCTGACCTTTGTGTCGGAGACCTCCCTCATCGCTGCGGGCCACGACTGCCAACCCGTCCTCTTCCAAGGTGATGCTTCCTCCGGATGGACGCTGGTCAAGTCACTCGACGCTGCCGGTGCGGCTGCTTCGAAGGGTGCCCCTCCTCCCCCTCCCCCGAAGGCCCCAGGCCTGGCTGGCCCGGGCAGGCTCAACAACGAAGCGTTCAACCGATTCAAGTCGGCCGATTCGCGCGGTGGGTCCTCTGCCCCTGCGCCCGCGACGAGTGGCAGCGTCGCCGGTGCTCTGGGTGCTGTAGCGGGCGCATCCGTCGCTGCGGACGGAGAACTGCACACCACCCACCAGAATACGATTACTAGTGTCAGGCCCTTCGCGGGAGGCAAAGAGAACGTTGAACAGGTCAGCACCAGCGGTGTCGATGGCCGATTGTGCATCTTCAGCGTCGCCCAGGGTACAAACGTCGGTGGGATTCAGAAGGGCTTGTCGAGCATGCAGATCTAGTCTCTGGCGTCACGATGTAACAATTGACTTGTTCTTGCATCCGTTTGTATTCACGATGGCAACGACCCGAGCCAGGACGAAGGTTCAAGATTGTTGTCACTGTTGAGCGGTAGGGTGACGCTGAGCCGGTGGCGGACCCGGCCTAGGACGCTGATCACGATGCAACCTCACCCACGCTGTCCAGCTTGCCCGTTCAGCTTGAGCCACGCGAATCACACAAGAGTTGCAAATGAAGACCGGACTGAGATAGCATGCAACGCGACGTGCGAGGAGAGAGAACTACAAATACAGCGTCACCGATCTTCCCCAGTGGGGCTTGAGAATTGACAACGAAGGGGAACAATGCGAGGAACATGCGAAGAAAACGACAAAGGATGCAGAAAGATGCGAGAGAAACGATTCGGAGTTTTGCATGGGTTAAAGCGATGCGGGAGCGAGTTTGGCAGCGCGGACCTTCCAGGCTGTGCACACCCAGGGGTGATCCCGGATCTGGGCGATGGTGGCGCGCTTGTCGGGGTCGACCTCGAGGCAGAGGAGGAGCAGGCTGAGGGCTTGTTCGGACCACTGGCCTTTGGGTTTGCTGATCCGACCCTTGACTGCGGCGGCGGGGTCGGGGAAGGGACATTGGCCAGACAACAGGATCGACAGTAGCACGCCCAGACTCCAAATCTCGGCATGGGGCGCACGATACGGCTTCCCCTGGAGAATCTCCGGAGACGCAAAAGTCATGGTCCCAAAGAACCTGTTAAAGTACGGTTGAGGCTTGCGAACGTCTGTGATGACCGCAGAACCAAAATCGATGAGCTTGACATTGAAGTCGGCGTCGACGACGCAGTTTTCGTCCTTGATGTCCCGATGCGAGATGCCGATGCGGTCGAGGTGCCAGACGGTTTCGACGACTTGGGCGAACACCCAGCGAGCCTGTTCTTCGGTGAGGCGCGAGTGCTGCTCGATGCACTCGAATAGGTCGCGGCTGGTGCGGCGCATCATGGGTGCTGGACGGAGACCTTTGGCAGGTGCAACCGGCTCCGGGACAGGAGGCTGCCACGGCGTTCCATGAAGCTCCATCACGAGGTAGAAAAAGTTGCGATCATCGAACAGGTCAATGAACTTGACGACACCCGGGTGGTCGACGACTTTGAGCACGAACGCTTCCATCGGGATGACGCCGAGTTTGGGATCCCGCACCCAGCCGTGGGCGGGCACCTTGTCCTTGAAGATGAACTTGACGGCGACGTTGAAACCGTCGCTGTTGCGTTTTGCCGCGACGACAAAGCCGAAGCCTCCGCTGCCGAGCTCGTCGCCGAGCGTGTAGGAGGATGCGAAGCGCGGGTGAAGCTCGTAATCCGCCAGATGGCGCGCCGAGACGGTCTGAGGAGGGACCGGCGCGCTGAACGATTTCTCCATCGCGGGCGCCTTGAGCGCGTCGCATGGCGATAAGAGCTTAGCGTCGGGCTTGGGCATCGCTTCGACCATGGTCATGTCGGGTTGCGAGGTGGACTGCTCGTGCGCCATGGGCTCCGGGCTCAGACGCTGGTCGATCTCGATCTCAGTCTCTTCGTCGGCAAACGAGATCTTCATCGCCGGTGCTGACAGTGGCAGCGGGGCATCAGCGTTGGCATCAAGACGCTGCGTCTCGGCTGCGGGGGCCGTGGGGAAAGCCTTGTCGAGATTGAACGGCTTGGGCACGGCCTTGTTGCGCGTACTCGACTTGAGGCGGTTGGCGCTGAAGGATCGCGAGAGATCGGCGCCACCGCCGAGGAGGTATTCTTTGGCGCGCAGCTTCTTGCTACTTGATGACGAAACGCTGCTGCTGCTGGAGCTGGACCTTCGCTGTGCGATGACCGATGCCTCCTCGGGCAGACTCTTGGCCAAGGTGAGCGGAGAGTAGGGAGGTGTGAGCAGCGTCGAAGGCGAGCCGAGGGTGGTGCGGCCAGCCGAGAGCTCCTGCGCGCGACGAGGGACGGGAGACCCAGTGGAGGCAGGGTCCTCGTTGCTCTTGGACTTGCCGTGCATGCTGACGCTGGCAAACTCCCTTGAGAGCGGAGACATGCCCAAAGAGCCGTGTCGCTGCAGAGGAGCACGGACAGGTCTGGACGGACGAGGGGTGCCGGCGATGGGGTAGGGGAGCGAGCCTCTGGAGAGCTGAGGCGAGAGGGAGGAGCGGCGGCCGGCTTCCTCTTCGCGCATCGATCGCTCGCCTTCGCCAAGACGCTTGCTCTGCTCGTCCTCCATCATGGAGGCGACCAGCGGAGTGGGAGGCATGAAGGGGCTGACGGGAGTTCCCGTGGCAGCACCATCACGAGCGCCGAAGAAGAGAGAACCGCCAGGAGTCTGGGGGAGATTGGGGCGAGAGAAAGCCGAGGGTGCCAATGAGGGCAGGCTGAGCTTGGGCTTGTTGGGACGGTTGAGTGGAGAGGACGGCGATCGGTGAGGTCCAACCTGAGACATGCTCTTGGGCGAAACACTTTCGGTAGATGGTAAGCGAACCTGTGATGGTGATACGGAGGACGCGTCGATGGCAGCGGCGGTGTCGGATGGTGTGCTGCTGCTGGTGTTGGTGGTGGGTCGAGTCTTTCTTGCTGCGAGAGCCTCGGCGAGCAGGTTCTTGACAGGACGAACTGCAGCCGGTGCAGATTGTTTGTGAAGACCGAGGAGGTTGAACGAGTCGTTGTGGTCGTAGAGCTGGTTGGCCGCGAGGCTGGGCTTGAGCGGTGTGCGAAGGTCAAAGCTCGAGACGGAGCCCAACGACTGGCTGAGCTCGGGCTCGAAGTCGAGGTCGCCCGTACTACTTGATGGCGAGATGGAGTGCGAGGACTGAGATGAGGTCATGATGGGAGCAGCGACTTGGATCATGTCGGGGTCGCACTCCATGTCCTCGGCGGGATTCCATGCGTCTTGTGTAGCGGCCATGTGATTTTTTAGAGCCGAGTTGGCCTGGGATGACAGGGTCGAAGCCAACATCTGCGATTGTCGAGGGTTTGGAGTGGAAACGAGGTCAGCATATGTTCGAGCACCGACAGAGCGGCTTAGCCGTAGATGGGTGGACTTACTGTGAGATTGTGAGCGAACTCGCAGTGCAGAATCAGCTAGGGCGAGACTCTAGAACATATGCAGCAGTTGAGACGGTGAGCAGATGAGAGCCGGAAGCATGCGATGCTGCTAGAGCTGGAATGTGGTGATGATGCGGGCGAGAAAGTGGATTGCACGTTGAGCAGAGAGGCAATAAGCGGACGTTCCAGACGTAGCAGCTCTGCTTTTGTAGTTGGAGATGGCGACAGGCACGACGAGGTAGAGGTGGGGCGGCGAGACAGGCAAATGCGGTGGTTGCTGATGAGGTCGACGAGATGAGAAGCAGCCGATCGGTGTCGGTCGAGAATCTGAGTGTAGCGATGCGATGAAGTTGTAGAGACGTGTGGTGAAGCGGTGATAGCGACAAGGCTAGTATCGGTTTGGTTGGTGATGAAGGTGGTGGTGATGGGGAAAGCAGAGGGGACGAGGATGAGCTAGCAAGCCAGATAGGAATCTAGGGTGTGCTGTATGAGGATGCCAAGGGAGGATGCTCGCCAGGAGGATCGAGCGAGGTTTAGAGCGTGTGAAGGCGTCTAGTCGGAGTTGCAAGCCTGTCTGCCAGAGGAGAGGGGAGGCGTGCGAACACTGTAGCAAGCGAGGCAGGCACCCAAGGGGTAGAGCGGAGGAGAAGCACTTGCAGCGGATTGTCGAGTGAGGGAGATTGGGAATTGCTGGGTGTCTTTGAAGTGCATGCCCAGAAAGCGCAGGCTAGTGCATGGACAAGCGCAAGGGCAAGCGCAGGTGCAGGTGCAAGTCGGCAATCACTCGCTCTTGACCTCGTTGCCCGCTGACCGTCTCGTTACACTTTGAAAGCTGTGATGGATATGAGATCCTCGCACACTGCTGGCAGAGACCAGCTATCCAGCAATTGAGGGTCTCTACCATCTATCAAGGGTCAACGAGATAATGACAGCAGCGGTATCGAGGGCGACGACGGCGGTTGCTGTACCGAAGAGGTTGACCGCGTTCGTGGTGCTGTCGACGATCGCGCGCTGGCTCAAGGCGAGAAGACCGACCAGGGCACGAGCGGACAGCAAGTCAGTTGGCAGGCACGCTGCCATCGAGTGGGCCAGACTGAGCGTGTGTCCGCGGTTCTGCGCTGTGCTGTGCGTGAACCTCAGAAAGCGACTTAAAAATCGCCATTTGAAATTTAAGGGGCACACCACCAAGCCAGGCTCGAGACACAGCAAGCAAGTCAAGCATCGAGGCAGGGACTCAGAATAAATTCATTTTATCTTGCCTTGACTCAACACTGCGCTGTGCTGCCTGCCCAAAAAACGGCCCAGAAAATAGATCGTCGATGCAAGTTGAGTGGGAAATTTATTGGGTGAGAAAAAAAGAAAGCTTAAGCGAGAGAAGCGAGGCTGAGAGGCTGGGCTGTTGCGGGCGGGAAATGGACAAATTGGCAATTTGCAAACGTATCTCGAAGATCGGTCCAACGATGGTCCGGCATGCTTCACTGTTCGCCTCACTTGAGCCGGATGCCCACTTCCCCGAGGCAGGAACCTTCTTTGTCCTCGCACAATGATGTCTTCTCTCGGTGAGCGAACTATGAACTGTCCATTGTCAGCGAAAGATCATTGTCACGGTAGGACCGTGGCAAGACTCACAACCAATGAGAAAGAGAAAGACATCTCCATTTTGAGATGTTATAGAGCGGGCGAGGCTGGCGAGGCGTCGACGTGGGCAATGCATGGCAAAGACCATCATGAGAACAAAAGAGAGAGGCGCTTCCTTAGGCGATTCGCTTCGAGCTTCGTTGGCTCTGCCCCCTCGATTTTGACAGTTGAAGTTCTGCAAGCAACAATTCTGCTCCTCTTGTCGCTTATCCGTTCCGGTTGAGCCATCCTACACCTCGCTTGTCATTGTATTGCAGCGCTAGCACGCAGCCCACAACGAGGGCCCTGTCGTTCTCGCTCGTGGCAGCATCTCCCTCCAACATGGTAGCTCTCGATCTTGTCGATGCTCATCGTCGATCCTTGGAATGGACAGCATGCCGAGTGAGCAAGAGCCAAATGATTTTTGGTCCAGGCCAGGCTCGGGGCAGGCTACAGCGGCGTCTGCCAAACTATAATTCTTGGAAAATCGAATTTGACCAGATTGCAGGCTGCTGGTGCTGGTGGTGCTGGTGCTTGTCTGGGTGCTCCCTCGAACAGCTTCCCCGCTTCATTTCACCATCTCGTCTGTCCGAGCGTCCGACGGCATTCAAGATAGTTGTTCCGTGTGAGTTCGTTCCTTGTCCGCCTCTCTGTCTTCCGGACTGGCACGGGGAGCTCCTTGCACCTTCTCCTCGTCATCGCTCGGACTCATCCTCGGACTAGGCCGAAGCTAGCCGCTTTGCCCGCCCGCTGTTGTTGTCTCAACTAGAAGATTGGACTTCCTTGTCAAGGCGATGCGAGACACAGTGATTCGAGCAAAGCGAGCATCTGGCGTGCTTTGTGCAGGCTTGCAGCAAGCGACATTTTGCACCCCGTGGCTGAAGTGTAACATCCCTTTCGACATTTGCACGCTCTCACTAAGCTCGCCACGATCCGTCTCGGCTGTGCCTCTTCGAAGCCATCGTAGCGCTGATCTTGCAGCTCGCCTATCCACTTTGACAGCTACTGCCATCGATGGTGGTGTGATAGCCGCAAGCGGAACAGGGGTTGCACCGGTCAAAGCTGCATTGCCGTCGTGTGTCCATCGATGCTGTCGTTGCAGCAAAACCAGGGCTCTGCGGTTGCCGAAAATTTCGCAATCCGTTTTTTGACCGCCATCGCAGGCTGCTGCTCCGTTTCGCGATCCACTGCAGCTGAAACCAGCGCAGGCGGGGCTGATACCCCCATCGTGCATGATCCCTCCGTCCGGCAAAGGCCTTTGCTTATCTCTTCGTCGATAGCACAGCCGTCACATCCGACGACCCACACGTTTCCACCATTTGCCTCTCGCCAAGGTATTGTTCGATGTGATCTGCGCGCCTGACGTGCATGCCGCAGAAACTAAGCGAGGCCGGTCAAGTTCTTTTCCAGATGGTTGTCGCAGGCTGGCCATGGCGACCATCGAAACCTAAATCGAGGGTTCCTTAGAAGCGCGCTTGACCGACCCACGTTGACCATCGACTCGCGCCTAAGCGCTGCCGTCCCGTTAGGCGACCTTTGCCTCTCATCGGCAACCTAGCCTCTACGCCCGATTAAGCAAGATCGCCATCGTAACACTCAATCAGCTCGCGCCTTCTCGTTCGACTATCATGACCTTGGTCGCGGGTTTGATTGGGACCAGGAGGGGCATGGTGTGCAGGGAACAAATTGGATGAGCTCTAAACTCGGTCCCGCCTCATGCCGGTCCGGAGTCCTGGCCCGGTCGCACGATTGTCCGCGCCCATCGACATCTCTCTGAGCAAAGAGGCCGCCTTGAGGGTGCGGAAGGGGAGCTACGAAGACCGAGTAAAGCGATGGCGGCTCTTGAATGCATCGGCCTTGCAAATCAAGACGCCACCGACGAGCTTTATTCGAGGAGACAAAGAAAGGAGAGAAGCAGCAACTTCCTACCCTTTTCATTCAAATTGGCTGCAAAGTAGCGGTCGAACTGCGGGGAGCTGGACGAACATTCGGCCAGGGACTCATCTTATCGGCGTCTCTCGTTCGAGCGGCACTTTCGATGGATAGGAATGATGAATCATTCGTCGTGCCGCAGGAGCAGGATCAGAATACAGAGGACGCAGAGGCAAGATCGGAGAGGCACTATAAGGTTTTGAGTGTGTAAAGACAAGGTTTGGGTAAAGCGACGAGCGGGTCAACTGCAAAACGATTCGATAGCAAAAGGGCTCGGCGATAGCATCGTCACCGAGCATCGCCTCGAGCTCTGGAATTCTCTCACTTCCATCAGCGAAAGTGTCGTCCGGCTTGTTCGGTCGATAGCCATGCCGAGCTGACCCAGGAACATCATGCTCTGGACGACGAGCATGAGCATCAAGAATCACGCAAACATCAAAAGCTCTCGCTCGGAGTGCGGCGTTCGATCAGCTGCAATTGCTCCTTGCAAACATCGGAAGGCTCGGATCCCTCTTACAATGTCGTCACATGTCCAAGCCTGCGCACAGTGAAACGGTTCCTTGCAGCCGTCTACTGGCGTACCACGTTGACCACCAACTCCACCAGACTTTCGCAGATCGGTCGATCTCGCTACCTCTGCGTTCCCATGCAACCTCCCCGCCCGCCCATCGAAATTGCGCTTTCCGATTTGCGTGCCTTGAAAAATCGGGAAGCGACAGAGGAAGAAGTTTAATTTACGCGAGAACCGAACGCGTCGCCGTAATTTGACAGCTTGACGTGTCGTGACGTGACGCCAAAGTGCCACGATCGCCGATAGACGAGGTGGCGATCTGTCGAACGCGTTTCCCTGCTCGTGTGGGCTTGTTTCAGTCGTCCGGCAAACCTTATTTGAATTTTCCTCCCTTTGTTAGGCCGTTCCACGTCGAAAACTCCAAAGCCTCCCTCCTCTCGGACCTCTCTTGTTTGCGAGGAGAGTGTGCTTGACACAAGACGCTTGTTCCTGCTTGCTTCACCCACGTTATCCGCGCAATGTGGTTGCGGGAACAAGCTGCAGATTGTGGGGTCAGGCACACGGACCAATAGCCGCCGCTAGAGCCACTCTGATCCATCGCTGGCGTGCGAAAACACGGGATCTACTTGCAGCCCTCGGGCAAATCCATGCGGCTAAAAAGGACTTGCAACCCTCGAATTACCCTTCCGTCGGTGCTCAACTTTCCCCGGATCAACGCGCTTCGCTGGCGCCTCGCGGCAAATGGAACAAGCCAATTTGAGATTGGGGCAGATCATTGGGTGCGGTGAGGAGATGACGAACTGGATCTTGACCGGTTTCGCCTTATCGTGGACGCATTTCGGCTGTTCAAGATTGCAAGCCACACCGTGCAAGCGAAAGCCGAGACGCTGGTTAAAGTGATTCGCAAGCGCAGGCACAGCCTTGGTGACGTCCGCGAAGGCAGGCAATTTGGTCCAAATGAGCGAGATACGGCGTCCGGAGTCGCCTTGCGCCTCGCGCGATAGAGCCCAACCGAGAGGCGAGAGGAAAGAGAAGGCGGAGTGGCGGGGCCGAGAGCGGGGAATCGGACGCGCTTAACCGAAGAGATGCGTTGGCTCCGACCCAAATCCTGGTCCGAGTCCTCGTCTTGTGTGTGGGGGCGAGATTGCGAGTTTGATCGGCTCTCGGCACCAACAAGGCAGAGACTGCGGTAGCGTCGCACACCAATTGGAAGTATCGGCACCATAGCAGGCACCATGTCGATGTTCGCTCGACGGCTCCGAGTGGCTTTGCTCTGCGGGTCAATGTGTGTAATGCAGGAAGAAGGGGCCATCCTTCACCTGTACCGTGGCAAGCCGCTCAATCGCGTGTGAATGGCTGCCATGTGGGCGAAAGACACACTCCCACAGCTTCCACTTTGTCTCACATCCAACACCACAACCGCTGACCCGTCGTTTCCGCCATGTCCAGCAAAGCAACAACAACTGCATTTCTTGCCAACAAAGGCGACATCCCCCAGCGGCAATGCAAGCGGCTCGCAAAGTGCTCTACAGCAAAGAGCGGCTTAGCTGAAGACCCAAGATAGAGAGACTCCATGCATAGATTAAATGAGCGCTGCTCCCTTGTCCGAGGCCAAATTGCCTCTCCGCTTAAGCGAATCTCAATCTATGCTTATCGCGTACTTTCCCTTCCGCCCCGCCCCTTTTCACATTTGATGATCCGACGGCGATCAAAATCACTGGTGGCCTTACGCTGGTTCGTAACCTTCGGTTGGTGTTGTTCTTCGAAGCGTACCAGAGATGGGTGGTGGGCCCAAGCGATTGAGTGCGAGCTCTGGACCAATGGATGAGCGCGGGGGAGATCCTTGGTGTCGACCTCGCAAACGGCGACCCGGTAGACTGGCAGGCCGGGGCAGCGAAGCCAACCCATCGCTCTCCACTGCCCCGTCCAGTTCACGCTGTTATCCTCTACTTGTGCGGTACAAGCTTGCTCGAATTCTATAGCGCCACGCACACTTCTCACCACGCCAGCGTCTCGCAAGCCACATAGACACACGTGTCGGCCGCCAGAGGAACGGAAAGACCCCCTGGCCCGTCCTCGCGCTTGGCAGCCTCGTTCTTATCCACACTTGCCACACCTTTGGGCGACTCGCAATGGAACAATGGATACGGCCTATGCGGCCTATGCATTGGGCCCTGCGGGAAAGCCAATCCGTCGCCACTCTCCGCGCGCGCCAATGCACCTGCGAGACCCTTGGCCGAGCGAAGAAAGACAAAGTTGAAGCGCCGCTTGGAATTGCAAATTGCGCTCAAAGGTGTTGGTTGTTTCCTACCTCGCGCTCTTGGAGCGCTAAGCTGAGTCGCAACGAGGTTGAACCTCAGAGCCGCAAGTACGAGGTCCTGTGTTATGACTGTTGGTGGTCACGGCTGAGCTTGATTTGCGTCAGACGCAGGTCCGAGGGAACCTGGATCCAGGATTGTCAACATTGGTATCCATTGCCATGCAGACGGTGCCTGGCCTGGACTTCTTCGGCATAGCGCAGGAGGTGTCGCGAGCACACTGCGAAATATTCTGACATGTTAGGCCCAGATAATTCTGTCAATCATGTTACACCGTGATGAAGCTCGCAGCATTTTAAAAATCATATCGCACGAATCGATGACGCGCGCCAAAACGGATCCGAAATTTCGTCAATGATTGGTAATGAGAGACGCTTCAGCGAGGTGGCTTTGCTGAGCGGCTGCAGCCTGCAACCACGCCGCCGCCGCTCAACTTCACTATTCTTCGTCGACATCATCCAGCTCATCACCACCACCGCAACCCACACTCACCTTCACACCAAGGCTGAGCGTTTGCAAAGATGGCTTCGCTTCGCTCGCTCTCTCGCGTCGGCCTGTCGGCCAAGCCTACCATGGCGCTCGCCCGCTCGTTCCAGACATCGACCATCAAGTCTGTACCCAAGGTGGCTGCTGCTAGCGCTGTCACTGCTGGTCCGTCCAAGCCTTCCGCTTCGCGCAGCATCTCCTCCTCCGCACCCGCCAAGGATGCCTCTCCGGATGGACCTCTGCCTCTCATGCCCGTCGCCAACCGTGGCTCGAACCAGCTTTCATTGGAGACCCCCAAGAACGGCGTCGAATACGTCCTCTCGTCGATGGACAAGATGGCCAACTGGGCACGTCAGTCGAGTTTCTGGCCCATGACCTTCGGTCTCGCCTGCTGCGCCGTCGAGATGATGCATGTCGCCACCGCGCGATACGATCAGGATCGTCTGGGTGTTGTGTTCCGTGCCTCGCCGCGTCAATCGGACTGCATGATCGTCGCCGGTACGCTCACCAACAAGATGGCACCCGCACTCAGGAAGGTGTACGACCAGATGCCCGAACCCAGGTGGGTGATCAGCATGGGTTCTTGCGCCAACGGCGGTGGATACTACCATTACTCGTACTCGGTCGTCAGGGGGTGCGACAGGATCGTGCCCGTCGATCTGTATGTGCCCGGTTGCCCACCGACTGCCGAGGCGCTGCTGTATGGCTTCTTGCAGCTCCACAGGAAGATCAGGAGGAACAGGAAGACCACGCTCTGGTACCGAAAGTAGAGAACAGAATCGCATCGGGCGTCGTGCTCATCCAACATGACGAGTAGTGCCGACAGCTTTGTTCCTCGTCCCTGCAATACAGCTTCTCTTCTTCGATCAGGATTCCATCTGCCTTTTAAACAGCAATTTGATCTGCGTGAGAGATGGTGAATCAGGGCGTTCGCAACAGAATGCGTCCTTAGGAAGCAGTCAACCACAAGCTTCTGCCTTGCTCACAGAAGCTTTTGGCTACCGTCGACCCACACGCAGGCTTCTCAGAACCACTCTGCACACACGAGAACGTGAGCCTCTTCTTTGCAGCAGTTCATTGCCTCCCCCCTCGTCACCCAAACCACTTGTAGATATACCAAAAGCAGACCAACGTGAAAATCGCCCCTACCGCAAAAATAATGTTATCCTGCAACGTCCTCCTTTCGATATACCCGATGACATCTCTGCTCAACCCCAAGGTGTTCGCTGCGTCTCTCAACCGTCTTTGCGTTCCCTTGAGTATCCCTCTTTGTTCGACGAGATTGCCGAACACTTCGCGACCCTGGGCTATGAAGGCGTCCAATTGTTGCTCGGTCTGTTGGATGAACGAGTGTTCCCTCAACGCGTGGCTTTCTCGTGCCGAAAACTCCGAGGAGCCGAACATGGCTGCTGCGGAAGCGTTCATCTTGTATGCCGCTAGCGGGTCGGTGGGTGGTGAGGCGGCCGAGTTGCGAGCGTGCAAACTGAAGGGAGACTCGGCGATCCCGCTTACGCGCCGATTCGCACTTTGACCGCCAAACCCCGGATTGGTGGGCGATCGTATTGATGAGCCACTACCATGGCCGTTGGCGTTGGACAAAGCACCTTTCGTTTTCAACCGCGCCAATTGGGAAGAGAGCTCCGCATAGTCCGTGCGAAACTTCGATACGCGTGTGAGCGCCTTTTCCTGCTTGGACTGGATCAGCTCCTTTTTGGCCAGGTTCTCGTACTCGTCGATCGTCCGCTCGAGGGAGGAGAGCGAGACGGTGACCGGACCGAACGATGTGGATGGCGCAGAATCGCCCTCCGAATCGATGCGCGAAATGTCCGATTGGATGGAGGAGAATTGCCGTAGCGCTTGGTTGTATAGCGAGTTCATGGTGAGGTTGTTGTGAGCGGTGGAGTGTTGGAGTGCAGAAAATGGAACTTTATGCTGAAGCTGGACGCGGATCAACGTGTGTGCTGTTCTCGAGCCTGATGTTCGTTCGTCAATAGATGCCGCTGAAGGCAAGAGTCGTGGTTCCTTGGAGGAGATTCTCGCGAGTGACGATTGCGCCGCGTCCGGCCTTGGGTAGTCGTGGACTGGGGTAATCGTGGACGTGGATGGAAGACAAGTAAGAACGGCAGGCCTCAGTGCATGCGTGTGTGTTGGTCTCGCAGCGCGTCATCGAGCTTCGTCGTTTAAGCTGAAACGTGCGTCACCTGCCCAAAAATAAATCTAGGCTTGTGAGATCGAAGCAAAATGCTGAAGACTCTTTTTTGGGCCTCCACTGAAGGCATCAAGAACCCTGAAAAGGATGAAATCTGCACCGACGAACGGCTCTCGAGCCATGAAGATTTGCTGTCTTGGAGAGGGTTTCTTCTTTTCTTGAAATTTGGTTTTCTTCTTGAACTTTTTGTGGTGCGCCACGCAGACGAGCGTTGCAGCAGAACGGGTCCAACAGCATAGACTCTCTCGCTCTCTCTCCTTGCGTCAACCATCACCATCTCCCCCTAACGATTCAAGATGGCTTCCACTTCCACCAACGGCGCTGCCGCCGGCGCATCCACGTCGACTGCAGACATGACCTCCAAGGACTACTACGCTGACTCGTACGCCCACTTTGGCATTCACGAGGAGATGCTCAAGGACGAGGTGCGCACTCGCTCCTACCGCAACTCGATCATCAACAACCCGCATTTGTTCAAGGACAAGATCGTGCTCGATGTCGGATGCGGTACTGGTATCCTGTGCATGTTCGCTGCGAAAGCCGGCGCCAAGAAGGTCATCGGCGTTGACATGTCCAACATCATCGACCAGGCCAAGATCATCACCGAGGTCAACGGCTTCAAGGACACCATCACGCTCGTCAAGGGCAAGCTCGAGGAGGTTGATTTGGGGCTTGGCCCCAACGGCAAGGTGGATATCATCATCAGCGAGTGGATGGGCTACTTCTTGCTCTACGAGAGCATGCTCGACACGGTCCTCATGGCCAGGGACAAGTACCTGGCTCCTGGAGGCATGATGTTCCCCGACAAGGCGACCATGTACATCTCGGCGATCGAGGACCAGGAGTACAAGGACGAGAAGATCGGTTTCTGGGACGACGTCTACGGCTTCAACTACTCGTGCATCAAGGACATTGCGTTGCGCGAACCCCTGGTGGACACGGTGGACATCAAGAGCGTCGTCTGCGACCCTTGCGCCATCAAGCAGCTCGATCTGCTCACCGTCACAAAGGAGGAGCTCAGCTTCGAATCCGACTTCACGCTCAACGCAACACGAGACGACTACGTGCACGCCTTCCTCGGCTGGTTCGACATCAGCTTCGACGCCTGCCACAAGCCCGTCCAGTTCTCCACCGGCCCGCACTCGAGGTACACCCACTGGAAGCAGACCGTCTTCTACACCAAGGACGTGCTCGCCGTCAACCAGGGCGATGCCATCACCGGCAGGTTGGTCTGCAAGCCCAACGAGAGGAACAACCGCGATCTCGATATCACTATTGACTACCAGGTCCAGGGCGCCACCGCATCGTCCGGTCACATGGAGTACAAGATGTCCTAGAATCGACTCTGCTCTCCTCCAAGAGGACCTCGCATTCCTGTCATGAGCGGTCCACTCCTCCTTCTTTCGCTGTGTAATTAGGCTCTCGCACTGTTCTCTCTAGTAACTTGATATAGACATTTCTCTTTCGACGGTGGGATTTGCGATCGCAAGCGGGACCGCAGGTGTATGAATCTGAATCGTTTTCTTCGATGCAGGTGTCAGTTGGTCGCAGCAACAGTCTCGTCCGTCGCATCAGACTCGCTTGTCTCATCAGCCTCATCTGCCGCTCCAGTCTGGTCCGTCGCATCAACTTGATCTGTCGCTTCGCCCTCGCCTTCAGTGCGCGGTCGCTTCCTCGCCCCCCCTTCTTCCTCTTCGATCTCTCGAACCCGTCTAGCCTTGAGCTTCTTCAACTCCTCCTTGCCGCTTTCGTCCAAATTTGCTTCGTCGAGAGCGATCACCGGCGGATGGACGACGCGGCGCCACTCGCCGTGTGGGCCGGGGAGGACCGAGCTCGGGTTGCTGTCTCTCGGCAGTTCGCCGGTCCAGCAGCAGCACCCGAGGGCGTTGAGCTGCATGTACGCGAGCCAGGGCTTAGTCTCGACCAAGTCAAAGACGTCCGGGTCGGCCCAATGGCCTATGTCGTTCGAATCCGATTCGGGACGACTTCGCTCGGGCTCGTGCTGCGAGAGATTGGCTGCTTCACAGAGAAACTGCGTCTCCTGTTCCGCCGCGTATCGGGAGGGGTGCAAACCAACCCTGTCCGCTGCAATACAGATTTTGGTCTCCACCGCAGAGTCCGTTCGTGAGTCGACCCAGAGTTTGATCAGCGCATGCTTGCCCTCGTGAACCAGACGCCAGTGCTCATTCCGAAGTGCTTGCTCGCCATCGCGCCTTTGCTGCTCAAACAACTTCAACCTCCTTTCCTGTATAATGTGAAACGCTCTGATTCGGGAGATCCAAAGAGGAACACGCTAATCGCCTAAACGCTGACCTCCCGTGCCCCAGCTATACCCTGTGCTTCCACCGCTTTTGCCAGCATCGCCCTCATCGTCGCTGTCTCTCGCTTTGCCCTTCCCTTTGCCTCCCTGGCCCCACCTCTGTTCCGCCACCGCGCCGCCACTCGAACTGTGATCTTCCTCTTTCGCCTCCTTGCCTGACCCTTGCTTCTCGGCGAGCTGTCCAAACGTGAACATGTTCGACTGGCCCGAGGCGGCGGCAGTCTTCCTCAGATTGGTGGTCGAGTCCCCAGCCCCCGGTCGAGCGTTGAGGCTTGTCGTGCCTGGTGTGTTGGATCCTGCCGCCTTCGCAGGGCGTTCCGAAGCGTTGCGTCCGACGATCGAGTTCCCCTGCGAGGCACGCAATCGTCGTTCTGCAGCGGCGAGCATCTCTTCCCTGTTTGGACCGGCGTTGGTGCGTGTCGAGGTGCTGCGGCCAGCAAAAGGGTTGACGGCCGACATGGTCGAGCGCACGCCTGCGCCTAGAGCAGAAGCGATGCTGGTTGGGCGAGGCGTTGCACTTCCACTTGAACGGTCCGACAGGCGGTGTCCCCGATCGCGCGCAGCATTCCAAGCGGTCCCTCCAGCGACACGCCTTGCGTTCCTGTCGCCCATGGCGTGGCCTGCGAGTGCTGGATCGACCGAGTCTGGCATGAGACGGTAGAGGAAGCCTGGTGTGGGGATGTAGCTTCCACCTCTCCCACCGCCTCTGCCTCCTCCGCCGCGGCGAGCAGGAAGCACCTGGTCGAGCAGCCAGTAGACGTAGCCGGCCAGCAATCCGGTTCCACTCTGAATGGCCAACCCTGGCCCACCCTGCAGCAAATCCAGCCCGATGTTCACATATGGCAGCCATCGTGCAGGCACGTTGACCATGCCGAAGAATGATACGATGCTGCTTGGGTTCGCGCGTGCCCATACATACACAAGCGCATTGAGCAAAGGCCCGAAAAAGATGGGCGACCCCAGCGGGTAGTTTGTAGCCAAGATGATGACGCCCATGACAAGCAGCGACCAGGTGTAGTCGGCAGTGCGCCGCCCGAAATGGTTGAGCTCGAGGTCATTGCTGTTGCGATAGAGGATGAAGAGGTCGAAGAGGAGCTTGAGACCTCCACCGCCGTAGAAGAACGAGGTGAAGATGCGGTGGATCTCGTACTTGCGTGTGACGAGAGGCCAGAAGAGGGCGAAGCGGTAGGGGCTGGTGATGGCGAGGATACAGGGAAGGGTGATGGCGCCCGTAGCAGCGAGCATGAGCCGCGTTACGGGCGGTATCTTGCGTATCTCGTCCATCGTTTCGTGTTCGCGGTGCGGATGGTGGTGGTGTGCGGAAGTGACGCGGGGTAAGAACGAGGCTGAGCAAGCGTTGGTCGACGTGGCCCAAACTCGAAGGCTTTCGCCTCCACCAGGTCGAATTTTCCAAGAATGTTAAGCTAGAGTTCAAGAGGACCCTGAAAGGATGTCGTTTCTGCAGAAGAAATTTTGGCAGCCGAGAAATTTTGGTGGCGCCTAACCTTCTTGTACGACTCTTCCTGTCCAGACTCCATACAACCAACTCTGGAACCAAGCACCATGACAAGATACACCAAGCTGGACGGAAGGCGGTCGCTCGCCAAGAAGATGGTCGACTCGGACAGCGAGCCTGAGTCCACACCTGTCGCCACGCCTGTCAAGGCCGCACCACCGCCGACTCTCGAAGATCCCGCAGCAGAGACACCATCGAAGGACAAGAAGAAGGATAAGAAGGATAAGAAGGACAAGAAAGAGAAGAAGGACAAGAAGAACAAAGACAGTGGTGACGATGTAAATGAAGTTGCTGTCGACGAGGCTCAGGACGAGGCGCAACCCACCGAGCCAGTCGCATCCACCTCAGCCTCTGCAGCCGAGACAGATCAACCAGCCGCCGATGCCGAGCCACCTACCGTAGAGAAGCTCCTCAAGCGCGCCAAGCTGCTCAAGCTCAAGGCCAAGAAGGCCAAGAACGAGGAGAGCAAGAAACGCTTCCAGAAGATGACGCGCGACATTGAGCGTCAGGTCGAGCAGATGTTTGGCTCGTTCGAGTATGGCCCCAAGGGTCAGCTTATCCGTCTCGGCGCGGCTCAGTCGGATACCATGTGTCAGTCGAGGCACAAGGGCGAGGATTGGTCCGGCAATCAGATGGGAGGTGATCGGGGATGGGGTGCCCGTGGCGGCGCTGCTCAGAGCTACGGCAATGGTGGCGGATACTCGAACCAGGGCAGCAACGGCAACGCAGGGTGGGGTCAGACAGACGAACAGCGACGCATGGACCGACGAGACGCTCGACGTGAAGAGAGGGCGGACCAGCGACAGTCCAAACTCAAGTGTTTCGCGTGCCGTGGTATGGGTCACTCGGCAAAGGACTGCCCGAACGCGCTCGACGCTCAATCGATCTCGCTAAAGGGAGACGCTTCCACCTCGGACACGCCCATGATTGGTCGCGATGCGGTAGGAATCTGCTTCCGCTGCGGCTCGACCGAACACACGCTTTCGAAATGCCGCAAGCCTGCGCTCAAGAACGACGAACTACCGTACGCAACCTGTTTCATCTGCCACTCGAAGGGCCATCTCTCCTCCAAGTGTCCCAACAATGCCGGTCGCGGTGTCTACCCCGAGGGCGGATCGTGCAAGCTCTGCTCCTCCGTAGAACACTTGGCGAAGGACTGCCCGCTGTCACTCAGGAACGAGGGCAAGAGCACCAAGGGCGATCGCGAGGCCAAGGCGCTGGTCAACCAGGTCATCGTCGGATCGACAAAGGATCAAGCAGCAGGCGGAGACGAGGATGACTTCCACAGTTTCGCAAGGAAGCGCGCTCAGGTGGACTCGGAGGCCAAGGTGGACAAGGCAAGTCCGTCAAAGAGGCAAAAGAGTAGTGCCAAGGTGGTCTCGTTCTAGTCCTCGCATCGTTTGGAATCTATTTGCATTGTACTCTACAACTCTGTCTGCGAGCCTACAGCCTGGATGAGCAACGAGTAGAATTCTGTCGCCTTGACCAGCCCGTGGATGCTGGTTCGCTCGTCGACCGTGTGGATGTTGTCTCCCTGGCCTTTGATTGGGAAGGGCTGATCTGAGCCCGGGCTGAATCGGAAGATGTGCTTCGTCAGCTTCCAGTAGCTCTTCGTGTCTGTGTTGCCGCCCATCACGTCTGGTGCGACGAGGATATCGTCCCACACAGCACGAATCACGCCCTGCAAGAGTTTCCACGGGGCGTCCTTCGGACCGATCGGTGTGAACGGTGCGGGCTCCAGCGGCGAGTCGAATGCATCCGACAAAACGATTTTGCCAGCAGACGTCTTTGATGACGAAGATGGGATGAAGTTCCATGCCGGGCTATCGCCTTGCAAGTAGAGCTTGAGCTTCTTCGCGACTGGTTGCAGGGTGTGGAAGATATGGCGTCGCACCTCGTCCGTTGAAGACGATACGTCAATGCGGTGATTGATGACCGTCGACGCTTGTTCGGGCAGAGCATTGATCTTGACACCGCCAGAGATGAGATCGACCGCTTGAGTGGTCTGGAAACCGAAGCGCTGCTCACGGTCCATCAAGGAGAGCAGCTTGGCCGCCTGCTTGTCGAGCGACTTGTCCAGCCAGCCTCTCCCCCACTTGCTGCCCTTCGCGATCTTGCGTTGCATCCGCTCGAGCTTCTTGAGCGCCTTGCTGAGCTTTGCGTCTGCCTTAGGCGCATCCCTAGTGCATTGCAGGTATTGCAACGCTGGCGTGACTTCCTCGGGCTTCTTGCCCGCGAGTTGAATGGCTGGCTTGTACGGATTCGCCTCGATCGCCGTGATGAGCTGAGCGAGCAGGCCGATCGACGTGTGGTCTCGCGGCTCGGACGAGTGACCACCTGCAGTGTGGACCGTGATCCTAGCATCGAGATATCCTTTCTCGGCCACATTCGGCGATGCAACGGCAATGCCGAGGCCGAGATCGATTTCGCCGCCCTCGTCGACGATCATCGCAGCTCCATTGTCGCCGTATCGCTCGTAAAGGAAGTTGGCGAGCTCCACACCACCTTGCGTGCCTGCGCTCTCTTCGTCAAAGCCGAAAGAGCATACGATTGTGCGTTCGGGCTTGAAGTTCGCGCGAAGCAGAGTTTCAAGGGTCGCGAGGATCGAGATGAGCGAAGCCTTGCAGTCGCCAGCGCCTCGGCCCCAGACCAGACCGAGATCGGCGTCGACGAAGCCGGAAAAGGGCGGATGCGTCCAGGCTGAGACGGTCTCCGGTTCGACCGGGACGACATCTTGATGCGCCATGAGCACGAGCGGTGGGAGGATTTCATTTGAGCCGGGGAATGTGTAGACGAGTCCCCAGGTGTTGACGAGCTCCAACTTGATGCGAGAGTCTGCCGCGTGGATCAGAGGGAACGCGGATCGCAGGTAGGCGTGGAATGGTGCAAAGACTGCTTCCCATCGAGCAGGATCTTGAGTTACGGTAGGCCAGTCATCGCCAACAGAGGTGTCGACTTGAACAGCGCCGGATAGAAGGCGAGCGAGATCTGAGCTGGATGGCAGCTCTATTGCGTCGGTGCTGTTGCTGAGACCGGGCGTGAGCTTCGAGGTTGGCAGCTTGAACGGAGGCACTTGCGGACATGCGTCATTGTGCTGACTCGAGGAGAGGCCGACGTTGTCAATGGACCATGGAAAGATGTCCAGCGCAATGTCTGCGAACAGCCAAAGGCAGAGAAGCAAGGCAGCGCAGCGCTGAAGTGTCGTCCGCCATAGAAGTCGACGACGGGCTTCTTCTTGTGTGCTGTGAATCGTCGGCAGACCAGCCTTGATCTGCTCGATCTGACCCATGATTGCGAGGTAGCGCAAGCTAGTAGTGTCGATGCACGCACATGCAATGGCTGCTGCAGATGGTGAACGGGACGCAGACAGTGGCAGACGCAGATAACGGTGTCGAGTCGTGTGCACGGTCCTAGGCTCGTACAGGGTCCAGAAGCGGAATTCGAAAGCTCCGCATACAACCACGATGTCTTTGGACCCTGTTCCTCTTTCTCGATTCTCACTCTCCTCATCATCCAGCTTTACGCCGGGTCCCTTTGCTTGCCGTCTCAATGCAAGAGATCGGAAATGAATGGCGCCAACGGATCGAGAGACAGGATACCAGCGCTGCCTGCTGAGGTTCTCGCTCGCATCATCGCAAGTCTCGTACCAGCTGTTGACCCGAATGCGTCGACGCTGCCTCATTTGGCGGGTCTCGACTTCGACTCGACACCCGCACTGCCACCATCTCCGAACAGCGATCTCCTGGCCGCTGCGTCATCCTCTAGATTACTTCATGACATCGCGACTCGGATGCTCTATCGTCGGCCACTCCTTCGGACATTGAAGTCACTCAATCAGCTCGCTGCCACCATCACAAGCGAAGCCGCACAGCATATAGACCTGTCGTCGTCGAGCAAGAATGGCGAAAGCAGTCACGCTACGCAAATTCGTTCCATTCAGCTGCCGCCAGGCGACGGACTTCTTCAGCCAGGCGATACCCTCGCCGAGCAAACATGCTACGTCGACAGCCTGCGCACCCTCTTCCAACACGCGACTCGAATAGACTACGTCTCGCTAGAGCATCGTCCAGCCGGCGCTGCGTTGCTCGAGTTCCTCCGCCCTTCGACCGTCTGCCGTCCTCGTAGAATTACGCTCTCGAACCTGTCCTTCTCTGCGCCACCGTTCTCGACAACGCAGTCCCTCGCGCCGCTTTCGAAAGTAACACACCTGCACTTGATCAAGATTGTTCCTCCACCAGCGCTGATCTCATTCCTCGTCGGCGAGCAGATCAACGCCGAAGAACAAGGCAATATTCCTAAGAGTCTCGCCGCAGGCTTGTCGCCGCGAGAAACGCTGGAGTGTTTGCGCCTTTCGCTGCTGCCAGCAGACGCATTGGTAGATTTCGACGCCTACATTGCGTGGAGGCGGGCGTGGAAGGTGTACGAGAAACTGTCGGCTCAGCAACAGGCGCGCGAGCCCGCGCCACGAGCTCCTCGTGGCCCAGCAAGACGTTTCGCCGTCCAGGAAGCGTTGTACGATCTCGCTGTACACTCACATCGTCTGCCGAGGCTGCGGCTGTTCATGCTCGAGCTCATCGCCTTGTCACCCTTGATACATACCGACTACCAGGCTGAGAAGCCGGCAGGAAGGCGGGCTGCGCACGAAGATGCACACACCTTCTTAGACGCCGCTAGATCCTCTACAGATGTCGAGGCGCCAATACCGGACCCGAACGCATACGAGCGCGATAGATACTGGGCACAGATTGAAGACGGCAAGCTGGCCTTGACGAAACTTTGGGCCGATTCTCAGGAGGCTTTCAGTGGGCGAGTCGACATTCGTGTCGTCGCTGCAAGGCCGAATGGCCACGATCGTAGAGAGGGCTTTCAGGACTTTGACTGCCAGGCGCAGCACGAGCCTGACAATCTCGGTGCAATTTCGTCGAACGGAGATGCAAATGGCTTTGCAACGACGTACACAGACGACGAACGACCAGGAGACGCGGGAAGCTGGGCAGATCCGGACGTCTTCTCGCTCGTTCGGACGGCCCCGCATCTTTCATTCAGAGCGCTAGGCGGATCGGCGCCAGGCTGGTACTGGACAGGCGAGCTTCCTCGCCAAACGAGACATCCGTCGCCATTGACCTTGCCGTCGATTGTTTCCGGCTCGTAGCTCAATAGAAATACAAGTTTCGCTAATCGCAGCAGGCTGGACGAGCTTTCGTTGTGTGAACAAGTCTGTTGTCGTGTGTCTCTGAACGTATTGGCGGTCGATCGCCAGCTGACGATCAATTCAAAGAAATCCGGCTTGACGAGATCACACGAGCCACCAAATTTCGTGATCACGAGCGAGAGCACCTTGAAAGCGATTCTTCTGAGTCTGCATAACCGAGGGGCGTCTCCCGTATATAATCCCCTGCGTTTGTTGCTTCGCAGCCCACTCACCACCGTCTTCGTTGCGAATTTGAGCTCCGTCGCGCCACTTTAACAAGCAAGTGAAAAAGAAGCGTGCCTCGTCACCAAACGTAGCCTCCGGACAAGAAAGAAGAAGAGCGGCGCCCTTCGCTCGAAGGCTTCATTGTTATGCCAAACGCATCGTCATCCCGCAATGGTTCAAGCCAAGAGGACGATCTGTGGTTGCAGAGCAAAGATCGCTCTCCTGCGTGGCTCAGTCTGCCCACAGAGATTTGGGAACGCATTGTCAGCTTCCTACCCGATGACCCGACAGAGCAGTGCGTCTTCCCCCGACCATCAGCAAGATTTCTCAGAGACCGAGACTATCCCTTCTCGGCGAACAAAGCATCCCTCGTATCGTTGGCTTTGACTTGCAAGCAGCTCAAGACAATCGCTCTGCGAAGAGCCTATCGAACAATATTCCTCGCAGACCGATCTCTATCCGATGGCTTTCTCTTTGATCTATGTTCAAACGAAGAGGGGAGGCTGGTGCTGGACACATGTGAGCGTGCGTCGTACATCCGCGCGCTTCACATGGCGACTGTGGTCACGACGAACGATGGCTTTGAAGCGACGAAATTGCTGTGTCTCTGCGACATCCACGTTGCGCTCTCGCTCGCCCACCAGATGCGCTACCTCTCGTTGCATTGCGAAGACAGCCGGAGGAGGGCGGACCAAAGAGAGCCGGTCTTGGACCATCCCGTGGTGCATTTTCTCTCTCACAAGACCAAGTGTCGCCCTCGTGGACTGAGCCTGAGCCTCGGCGACAAGGAGAATCATCCGATGCAGAGACAGGTATCGCTGTGGCATGCGACGTCGTTCGCGCCCCTTTCCAAGCTCACGCATCTCGATCTGGTCCGCATGATCCCGCCGGCGAATCTGACCGCCTTCCTCCTCGGCGATGCGAGCATAACTCTCGTGGACCCGGATGATGTTTTGTCGCCTCTGGTGCGCGACGAGATCGAAGCAGGCCTCTCGCCGCATCTGACGCTGGAGTGTCTGCGAATCTCGGACCTGCCTCGCAAAGCACTGTACCACTTTGGCGACTTTGCCGTCTGGCGCAAGGCATACGATGCGTACAGAAGCCTGTCACCCTCAGAGCGAGCTCTGCGCGCGGCTCCCCGACCACCAGAGAGCACGGAGGAATGCTTCCAATTTCAGAATTCGCTGTACAATCTCGCGAGCAACTCGCGGAAGCTGCCCAGCCTCAGACTCGTCATTCTCGACATCGTCACGGACATGCACGACGAGCCCTACGGGGCACTCCGGCAGCTTGTCGAGGAAGGCGCGCTCAAGGGTGTGTCAGAGACATTTCCATTACCTGGCGCCGGAGACGGTGAGAGCTATGCTGCCACGGGTAAGCTGGCGTTGCTGTTTGGTGCCAACGCCAAGGTGCCCGAAGAGATCATCGCAAGGATCGGAGAGCTGGACGACCGGTGGCAAGGCTATGTGGCAGATGAGGACGAGCACTGGCAACTGGTCCACCAGGGTAAGCACGATCTGATCCAGCTTTGGAACGATTCTCGCAAGCCAGCGAACGGCCATGATCCAATTCCTGTACATACAGAGATTCGCATCGCCGCCGATCGATACCAGTTTCTGAGCTCAGGCGACCGGCAACGCGAGTTTGTTTGCCAGGCATCCAGCCTCGAAGCGCTCGAACACGCCGAAGGATCGCCCTTGTCGTCGCAAGATGTGGGCATCTGGGCCGACCCAGACGTGTTTGAGCTCGTCAAGACCATGCCCTGGCTTTCGTACATACAGCTGAACGAGATGGGCTGCTGCTGCTGGCTCGGCGGGCTGCCACGAGACAGCAATCCAAATCCAGGCCTCTCGCGACAGAAGGGCGAGGAGCCAAGGCTGGTCCATCCATCAATCGTTTTGCTCGACGAAAACAAGCTGAACGAGACAGGCAGGGACGAAGTCAGGGCACGACGAGCTCAGGAGGAAGAGGAGGAAGAAGCAAGGAAGCGGCAGCGCACCGAGGCTGCTGCGGCAGAGCAGGCCGATGCTGCGCCCATTTGAAAACGCCCGCCTCAAGAGACTCATGTCCGAAATATCTCAAAGGAATACTAGCACACGAGCACACCACACTTGCACGAGGATAGATGAAAATCGTTGTTGGTACAGAGCGTGCGAGGGTATATGAGGCTTAGATCTGCGGTTGAGGCTGCGTTTCGTACTGAGTAGAAGGTGGAGGGATCGAGGCGGCAGCAGCAGCAAATGATGGCGGTGTTGCTGAAATGCCTTGCGTCGATAAACTCGCTGACTCGGCTGCAATATTGCTCTGCGACCATCCTTGTTGGCCGGCCGGCGAAGGGTAAGGCTGATGCTGGTGGTGTGGTGCGTAGACCGCTGAGCCTCCCCTGCCACCTCTCCCTCTCCATTCGCCTCTCCCTCTTGGCCCACCTCTACCTCGTCCACCCCCCGCTCTTGGCGGTGGTCGATCCGGCAGCAGGCCCTCCGCCCTGGTCTCCGTTCCGAGCCTGTCCAACAGAATCTCCTTCACCTCGGCCTCGCTCGGCTCCCTAGACATCTTCGCCGCAGGGTACGACAGCACGTAATGAAAGCCTTCGTCCGTGCTCGCCTTCTGATATGATCTCAAGAAGTGCGGCAGAATCCCCAGAGCGTCTTCGGGAGTCTTGATGGTCTCGTGGTCCAATCGTACGCGCAACCGCTCCTCTGCGGCGCCAGTGGAGATGGTGAGCGTCAGAGAGATGGTGATGATCTTCCTTGCTCCATCGTTCGGCTCTCCGCTTGTGGGATTGAAGTCCGCAGAGGATGTTGTGCTGAGCTCTCGCGCCAATTCGAGCCAGGTCCTGCGTTGCTTTGCGTCGATGTTGGTTCGGTCGATGATGACGTTGTGACCAGCCAAGAGAGCCGTGCGAGCAGCATAGACGACCGCGTGACGATCGCCTAGCTCGTCTTGATTGCAACGTCGCCAGCTGGGAAAGTGCTCGCATAGCGCGCGTGCGAAGGTGGACTTGCCGCTGCCGATGAGACCGGAGAGGACTAGGAGGTATTGCTCTTGAACATTGCTGCTGGTCTCGCCTATGGCTGGGTTCGACGAGCCTGCCGCTGCTTGTGTGTCATGTTGAAGCAATGTGGATCCGGTGAGCGTCGCGCCAGGCGCAGCCTCCGAGGCGGAGAGCACAGGTGTCGCCTGCATGGCTGGATCGAGATGGTCGAATAGAAGCAGGGTCCTTCGTTGCTTTCTTCTCAGAAGTTGATCCGCGGAGCAGCGAAAACAATTCACAAGGGTGTTAGACTACGGAAGAGACTTGCACGTGACGGCCAACTTTCTTCCTAAATCTCGATTTGCGCATCTCGATCCTTTTTGCTCATCATCATCATCCTTCATCGACACCATACTCACCACAGCAAAACAATCTCGAAGGATCTCGTTGCGTTCGTACGCTCCGGACAGCACCATTTCTCATAGCTTCCGTCGTCCCGCGTCACCATGTCTTTCGCGACCAACTTCGGATCGTCCTTGCGGTCAGCAACCGGCACCAGCGCCGTTGCCTCTTCCTCATCCTCGGCCGTTCGAGCCTTCTCGGTCTCCGCCTCAGCCTCCGCAAAGCCGCGCAAGCAGCGCAACATGGCCGACCCAATGGCGCTGCGCAAGATGGGCAAGTTCAACTACGACGACGTCCCCACGCTCGGTCACGCCATCCTTCAACGCAAGCGCGAGGTGCTGCAACTAATGCGCACGGTCGAATTCGAGATTCCCAAGCTGTCCGCCTTCCGTCAATCCTACACCCCACCCAAGCCATCGCAGTATCTGCAGTTTCGCTTCCAACACTATCAGGGGGAGAACCACCCAGCGTCGCGCAAGGTGGTGCTCAACGTCGACGTCGATGAACTGGTCAAAGCCGGTGCGGTGAAGGACGCCAAGTCGAAGCACAAGCTGCTGCTGCTCGCGGGGACCAGGTTCCAACCAAAGAGCCTGCAGGGCGAAGGGGATAAGGGGGAGATCAAGATCTCTTGCGAGCTGTTCCCCAACGAGAGGCAGAACATGAAGTGGTGCTCGGATACCCTGGATGCGCTGGTGAAGGAGGCCAATGTCAGGACAAAGGAGGTGGACGAGCTGCCGTTGGATTTGAGGTCGGCGCTGATCAGGCAGGACAAGAAGAGGCATTATTTGAGGACGGACAGGCCTAGCCTGAAGGACTTCCCCAAGGAGTGGTTGTAGCTGATGATCCCACATCCATCGCAACACATACGCAAGCTTTACTCCGCTCTACTTCATTGGTGCTTTGGGAAAAGGCATCGCTTGAGAATGACGCGACCCAGCTCGGCTTCGAGGACGGTTGACTCCATTGCGGACCTGCATTGTACGAGTTTCAGCGTCTGATGAGGCTTTGAGATGACGAGGTGAAAGCAACGTCGCAAGAAAGGAAGATCTAGACCGATCGACGAAATCCGGCCCGATCATTTACAGCTTCCATTGTTAGACTCAAACCGTCATGGCCTGGAGATATTTCCAGCCAGGTCCAGTGAAAAGACGGCTTCTGATTGGTTCCAGATACAATCTGTTAGCTGCTCGCTTCGAGCAGAGACCCTCTCCCACGTTGCTTGCGGCTTTGCTTGCCCACCCTGTGTCGCCGTGGTCCTCAATTCGAGCTCAACTTAGTCTACGGTACCACTCATTCTAACGTCAAGATCGCCTTTCTGACAACATGAAAAGCTCTGCGATACAGGCAAACAAGACCGCCAACAGGAACGAGGCTTGCTTATATATCGGACTGTCGAGAAGTTGGTCCAAAGACGGCGTGTTGGCGGAGACTGAATTGAGGTCGCCTTATCTTTTCGAGCACGCGGCCGCCGGGTCGAGCCTGAGCTCGAGGCAAGATTTAGGTGAGCGCCGCGCTCTGCAGTCCAGTTGTGCGCATTTCCTTATCTTTCCATTCCAATGGTCCCCACGCTGTTGAAGCCCCCCTTCCCTTATCATGACCCTGAATCAGGAACAACAACGCCTCTGTTGATAAGCGCCTCCCCACCACCTCGCCTCGCCATTTGCCAAGTTGCTTGTGTGTGCGCCAAGACGTTCTTAGACTTTGTTCGGTCTGTCTTTCACGCTGGATGTTGATGATTGAGTAGGAGGACAACGTTGTAGTGATTGCGATGGTGATTTCGTAGAAATGGATTGATTGCGTCCAACCGCTGGAGTGTGTCTGCACGCCCAGCTTGCGAGGGTCGAGGTCGAAACGAGCATTTCAGGGAGAAGTCCATCTGAGAGTTGCCGAACAAAGATCGAAGGCTCGAGCTGTGCAGCAGCGAAACGGCAAGGAGAAGCATCTCAAGCAACAGAGCGCTGCACGAAATCAGGAACGGCGGAACGGAGCTAGAGATAACGAAATCTCGCCTTGCCGAGCTATTCAGCAACGCTCTGCTGCGCATGTCCCCTGTTGCTCGCAAGCCTTGCTCTTGTGCAATGATCCACATGCGCGCGACCCTTGATCGGCTCCCTTAAGCGATTCTCTTCCCATCTAGGCGAACCAGCCGTGGCGGAGACGAATCGATTGCTTCGTGGGGCATGGTACATTGATCGCTTGAACTTCCTCTACCGACCGTGCTTGGCCCTCGCCTAGGTGATCCTTCCCTTCATCAAGGATCTTGGCTCTCCGGAATCAGCATCCCTCTTGCGGGTCCGCTTCTTTGAGATGGTGTTACACTCCGTCTTGGCAGCGATATCAACACCAGAACCGAATCAGGTCTCGAGTAGGTCTTCGTGTGGGGAGGCAGATCCGCGACTTCCCGTTCTGTTCCTATCGTTCAACGGCAGATTATCGTGCATGGCTAGCATGAAAGCGTCACGCCGGAGTGGGAAACTTTGACCCTTTCCTTCCCTTGCTTCTCTACTGCTTGCCGGTACCACACATTGCCCCCATGTCCGTCCTTTTGTCCGTTCGTCTTTCACCGATGTCTGTCCAGCCTGCCGTTTGTTGCCGTTCCTTGCGCGCTGCAAGCCTCATTTTCACTCCCCGCTGATTGCACCAGATTGCTGCCCTGCATGTCTTTTCCGCTCTTGCTCCCCCCACGTTGGTGGACGGTGGTCTTGTGAGTCAGAGAGTCTGACTGCGCAGGGGCGCGCGAACGTTGTCGGATTCGTCCGCTTCATTTGCCGTTGTGCCCAATCCCAAGCAGGCCTTACCGTATGCAAGGTATATAAACAAGCTCTCCCCCGTCACCCACCTCTCTACTCTCTTCCACGAAGCAATCACCCCTTATACCCTAGGACGGTATCAAGTCGCTCAGCAAGACCTCCCGCGTCAAAGCAACTTGCCGGCTACCTCCCTTTCTCACACCTTCCCTACAGTCTCTTCCCTCCTCCCTTTCTCGATCTGCACGCGCTGTGAATCGAGCCAAAATGGTCAACGTCACTTCCACCCCCAACGGTGACCTGCTCACCTACTACGACGTCGAGGGCGTCGAGACCGAGCTCATCTACAATGCCGGCACCCTCGCCTGGATCATTGTCGCCACGGCGCTCGTCTTCATCATGATCCCCGGTCTCGGCTTCTTCTACGCCGGTCTGCTCAGGAAGAAGTCGGCCCTGTCGATGATCTGGATGTCCATGACCGTCATGTCGGTTGTCACTTTCGAATGGTTCTTCTGGGGCTTCTCGCTCGCTTTCTCCACCACTTCGAGCAACGCTTTCATCGGTGTAAGTAGCCGACACGACGTGGTCTTTCGCGCTACCAAATCGAACGAATGCTGATCTTCTTCATCCCCCTTCCGATGGCTACGCCTACAGAACCTCGACAACTTTGGCCTGATGAACGTCGACATTGGCCCTTCGACCGGCGGCACGTCTCTCCCGCAGCTTCTCTTCTGCATCTACCAAATGATGTTTGCCGCCATCACGCCCGTGATCGCCTGCGGTGCCTTTGCCGACCGCGCGCGTCTGGGCCCCGTCCTGATCTTCGCCTTCTGCTGGTCCACCATCGTGTACAACCCCATCGCCTACTGGACCTGGAACGTCGGCAAGGGCTGGGCCAACGTCATGGGTGGTCTCGACTTTGCCGGTGGTACCCCCGTCCACATCTCGTCCGGTACCGCTGCGCTGGCCATCTCGATCTTCCTCGGCAAGCGCAAGGGCTACGGCACTGAGCAGCTCGCCTACCGCCCCCACAACGTCGCGTACGTCATCCTCGGCACCGTCTTCCTCTGGTTCGGTTGGTTCGGCTTCAACGGTGGTTCCGCTCTCGGCTCCAACCTTCGCGCTGTGCAGGCCATGATGGTGACCCAGGTGGCTACTGCTGTCGGTGGTCTGACGTGGATGTTCTGGGACTGGAGGCTGGAGCGCAAGTGGTCCGCCGTCGGTTTCTGCTCTGGTGCCATCTCGGGTCTTGTCGCTATCACCCCTGCTTCTGGTTATGTCGGCACCCCTGCTGCTGTCGCCTTCGGTGTCCTCGGCGGCACCGCATGCAACTTTGCTACTGGTCTCAAGAACCTCCTTGGCTACGACGATGCATTGGACATCTTTGCCGCTCACGGTGTGGGTGGTATCGTTGGCAACCTGCTCACGGGCATCTTCGCCGACTGGCGCGTTGCCTCGTTCGACGGTTCCGCTCCCATCCCCGGTGGATGGATCAACAAGAACTGGATCCAGCTCGGTTACCAGGCTGCCGACTCGGCGTCGGGCTTCGGCTGGTCGTTCGTCGTCACCCTCATCCTGCTGTTCGCCATCGACCGCATCCCTGGCTGCCACTTCCGCGCCACCGAGGAGGACGAGGCGCTGGGAATCGACCTCGCCCAGATCGGCGAGGAGGTGCTCTTCATGCCTCTGCTCCACGACTTTGTCAGGCCAGAGGAGGGCGCCGAGGTCCACCACGTCTCGCAGGACGTCAAGTTCTCGCCCGCCAGCAGCGAGAAGGACATCGAGGCCGCACAGCCTAGGGCCGTGTAAGGGAGTGTGATGCTCCCGTCGACGATGTGTTGTAATTCTTTTCTTGCCTTTCGACTTGGGTCTCCCGCTTTTCAATACCAGTCATTGTACTTTGATCATCAATGTTGCTCTGACAACGTCGAAGACGATCAGGATGAGCCGTGCTTTGAGTCTGAGTCTGCTGCTCGTGTCGATTTGTAGGCGGGCTTGTCGTCCAGCTTGGCCTTGCTTTCCAAATCGCGTGTCAATTCGTCTAGCTTGCTGGCATCGTCCTTGATCGTTGGGTTGGCCAGCTTGCCATCCTTTTCCTTGGCTGTGACCTTGTTCTCGTCTTTGGCGTCTTTGGTCGATTGTTCTGTCTTGGTCGTTGGCCTCGCATCCGCTTTCTTGTCGGCGTCCAGCTTCGTGTAGCCATCCACCTTGAGCCGTCGCAGCTCGGTCTCCCACTCCTCTCCCACTAGCTTCACCAGCTCTGCCACGCCATCGTCCGCCTTGCCCTCGTAGAAGACGTCTCTTGTCTTGTCCTTCCCGCCATATGTCAATCCATCGAAGTCGAATCCAGTCTCGTTGTACATGCCTGCGCCCATTCCTCCTCCCGTGTAACCGTCCGATGACGCCAGCTCGCCGACACGCTCCAAGTTGATGAGCAGCCTCGGGCAATCCGCTGGCACGGCATCGATCAACGATGCGAACGGCTGCACTTGCAGCGATGTCCCCATAACAATCAACAGATCTGCCGTCTTGAGATCCGGAATACACCTGAAGAACCTCGCTGGCAGATTCTCTCCAAAGAAGACGATATCCGGCTTAACCAGTCCCCCTGCCTCTTCTCCCTTCCCCCTCTTTCTCCCTGGGCACTTGTCTCTTGGGCACCTCGCCACTTGGCCTTTCTCCACCTTGGCACGGATCCAATCTTCTCCGACCCTGTGTTTGCACACGATGCACGTCGAGGTGGCAAAGCTTCCGTGCGCTTCAACGATCTTCTCCCCCTCTACACCCGCAATGCGTTCGAGCGTATCGACATTCTGCGTGAACACCCGCTTCAACTTTCCTTTCTGCTGTAGTAGCGTGAGGAAGTAGTGCGCAAGGGCAGGCTTGAAGTTGCCCGGATAGAGATGCTTGGCGAGGGTGAAAAAGGGTTGTGGGTGACGTTGGAAGTAGGAGATGTCAAAGATGGCTTCTGCGTAAGGCAGGTTGTACGCTGCGAGGTTGGAATAGAGACCCGTGCCAGGGGAGCGAAAGTCAGGGATGGGAGGGGAGGCCGAGGTGGAGATGCCGGCGCCCGAGAGGATGACCACGTTGCGGGTGGTAGGGGAGGCGAGGAGGGCGGCGACGCCGGCGAGCGTGGGACCATGACCCGAGGGGAAGAAGCGGTTCTTGATGGTAGCGCTTTCCGAGGAAGAGCTCGAGGCGTCTGACTGCTTCTTGTCCGGCATCTTTGGGATTATCAGCCGCAGCTATCTTCAGGATGATGTGATGATGATGGCGGTGGTGCATAGCCGGTACCCTGATGGCGAGCACGAAGTGTGGAGAAGATCCGTCACCGTGCGCGCGCGTTAAATTACTGATTTTTGTGACCTCAATTTAATGAACCGTTGACCTTTCAGACGCACAAACATGTCTCAAGCTGTGGGGCAAGAAGCCGGCGAGCTCGGCTAAGGGCGACGGTGATTTGTGCGACCCGAACGTCATCATTCGTTTGCACTTCTTCGCAATCTTGCAAGGGCTCGACGGGCCAAACAACCTGCCCAGCAACCGCGTATGAAAGCTCATTTGGCTTCTTCGCAACAACGCATGTGAATGTTTCCCAGCAGACAGGCAACCCGAATGTGCAGGTTCATTTGACCTCGGTGGGACCAGTGGGGCGTGGGCGCAAGTTGTGAGGTGCACCGAGGTCGACCTGGTACGCTCTTCATTAGACTTTCTTGAGCTTTCGCCTCTCCTGCTCACTTCCACCATCTATCTCCCCTCAATCGTCTCTGTCCTGCTCATTGTCACCATGGCAGACCTCGTCACCACCAACGACCCGCGCAAGGTCGTCGTCATCACTGGCTGCTCCTCTGGCCTTGGTCGATCCATGGCAATCGAATTCGATGCTCAGAAGCAGTACCGCGTCTTCGCCACGGCCCGTAACGTCGAGTCTCTCCGCACGCTCCCCGCTGGCATCGAGCGCGTGCAGCTCGACGTCACCGACACCGATTCCATCAAGCGCGCCTTTGCCGAAATCACCCAGACCACGCACGATCGCATCGACATCCTCGTCAACAATGCCGGTGTCAACCTCGCCGTTGGCCCACTGGTCGAGACGCCCATCGACAACATTCGCAAGACGTTCGATGCCAACTTTTTCGGTCTCATCGCCGTCACACAGGCTGCTGCGCCGTATATGATCAAGCGTCGATCGGGCGTGGTGGTCAACATCGGCTCGGTTGCGGCTATCGCATGCATGCCCTTCGGTGGACCCTACTCGGCGTCCAAATCGGCCGTTCACGCCATCTCGGACACGCTCAGGCTCGAACTCTCGCCGTTCGGCGTACACGTCGTCGTCGTCGCCCCAGGCGCAATCAAGAGCTCCATCGCCGATAACACCGCTAAGAACCTCCCCAAGCCCAGCGTCGACGGCAAGCAGCAGGACCTCGGATACCTGCCTTCCGACTCGATGTACAAACACGTCGAGGACCTCGTCAAGTTCCGCGCCGAGTTCAGCCAGCAGGGTGAACCCACGCCGAGTGAGACCTTCGCAAAGAACGTCAGGAAGTTCGTCACCGCCACCCGACCCGGCGCTTACCTGTTCACGGGCAAGAAGAGTTTGGGTGTGTGGATCTCATACTACCTGCCTACGAGTGTTAAGGACTGGATCATCGGCAGGATCTTTTCCATCCACAGGATCGGTGAGAGGGCTCACAAGAACAAGAACATCTGAGAGAGAAAGGTGGTCATTTGTATATAAGTTTTCCAGAATGGGTATATTCGTTGCAGAATGTGTCTTAAGGCTGTCAGGAGGAGTGGATGGGCAGCCAGACAGTCTGTCCTTGATCCGAGACGAGGAAGACATCTTCGTCCTTGCTCTTCTTCTCCTGTTTCCCCTCTATCTTCCTCTCCTCTCCCTCTCCCTGGGCCGCCTCCCCGCCGTTCAGCAGAAGCGTCTCGTCCGACACGCGCGCGAATCGCAACCCTTTCATCCGACACGCCTTGTGCAACTCCCTCACATCTCCCCTCGTCTGCTCGTCGTTCCGAACAAACGTCCCGTAGTGCACTGCCAAACTCACCATCCCCCTATCCTTCCCCTCCTTCTTCTCCCTCTGAAAGATCTCGTGGCACTCGACCGCATCGAAAGGATCCATATGAATACTCGACGTCAGCGTGCTGGACACCCTCGGGAACGGCGAGAAAGCCCTTGGAAATGGATCCCACGATCGAAAGTAACTGAGACTGGATCCCACCGATATGGGTAGCAACAATAAATCGAAGGGCTGGAACTTGCGTGCGATCTCCGCAAACGCCGGGCAAGCGGGGTACTTGTGCCGTTTGTTCGGATTGTCGTGGTGAAACTTCAACCCTGTATCCCCTGCGAAAAAGGCGCAGAATCGTTCGTTCGAGGAGTGGTATGAGACAACCCAGGAGGCCCACAGACTGGCATCCTTGTCACCGGCTCCTCGACCACTCCCGTGTTGTGCTGGCGTACAGACCACTTTGACCTCTCCAGAGGAAGAGGGGAGAGTTAGGGAGGCGGAGTCCCACCAATCCAACTCGCTAACCTGATCCTTGCTCCAGCCGAACCCACCGGTGCCGGTCAGCTTGTCCTTCACCCCAAGTGGGACGATCGCGTGGATGGATTGGCCGCGGAGATGGTGGAGCTGCTTGAAGGTGTGGTAGTCGAGATGGTCGTAGTGCGAGTGGGAGATGATGACAAAGTCGATGGGGGGGAGGTCTTCGACTGTGCACGGGGCGGGTGTGAAGCGTTGTGGGCCGGCGGATTGGGATGGCGAGCAGCGTTCCGAGAAGATCGGGTCGAAGAGGATGTTGATGGATCGCGACGAGACGTCGTCCCCGTCTTGGCCATTGGCATTCGACTCGGTGGGAAGGGGCGGGAGCTGGAGCAGCGTGGTTGCGTGGCCGAGCCAAGTGACCCTGACTGCGTCACGCGATGTCTTTGGATCCTTCCAGTCCTGTTGCGGCCTCTCTTTCGACTTGTAATCGCTTTCCGACGTCTTCGTTTTGCTTTGCTCGTGTTGAGGTGACAACTCGCCATCCTCATCACGAATATGATCAACCTCCTTCTTCAACCGCCTCGAACTCCATCCCCATCCCGGCTCGATCACTTCAACTTTATCCCAATCCTCCCGCAACCCTTCCTTCCTCGCCTCCTCCATCTGACGCAGGATCTTCTTGTTCGACTTGAACCCGCTTGCTCGCATCCCACCGTGGCCGTCTCCCTCGGTATAGCTGTCTGGCAGACCCCACTTGAGCCCGCCGTTGAGGATGCCCTGGATGCCCGGTTTGCGAAAGCTCTTCTCCCACGGATTGACGAATGTCAGACGGGAGAGCATGTGGGTTTCTTCGGTTTTGCTTCGTTTGGGCTCCTTCGGGGAAGAGCGGTCTGAGGAGGTGCTGGAACGGCCTGTGGGGAGCTGACCGAAGGCGGACGATTTGGCGCGCGACAGTTGGGAGACGAAGGTGGGCACCCAGTGCGAGGGGAGGTCTTCGGGGTCGAGCGCGTCCAGGTCGGCGATTGGATCGTTGGACCGGCAGTGAAGCTTGATCTCGTATGGTGTGGTGGTGCGTGGTTTACTGGGACCGCCGTTGGCAGTAGGAGCGTTGTCATCGGACGAGGTGGAGGAGCGCGAGGAAGAGACGGACTCGACACCATCGGGTCTGTCGTTCCCGTCCATCGTCTCGCCTAGCGTGCGGTGGTGCCGCTCATGATGTGGGAGGTGAGCATCGTGGTGCTCTGCAGTCGACATGTCGCCGTACTTCTACTGTATGTTGGTCCTTCTATTGTATCCTGTTTGGTTGTGTATCGTGTATGAGGGACACACGGTCTCGGTGGAGAGGGTGTGCCTCACAATCCTTGCAAGCTTTCCTGTGAAGTGGATGTGGCAGGGAAGGGATGTGGATGAGAATGAAGCCATTGACAAGACAACGAACGCCGTTCAACAGGAACGTTGTCAAACAGTATCAACAGCCAAGAAGACAGATTTGTCAGTTCTTGGCAGGGATCGACCGTGCATATTTATAGCATCATAGCGCAGTTCAATTTCTTCCGAAGGACCTCATGGTCTAAGACGATGTAACATTCCTAGACTTTTGCTGGACCCTGAATCTGCAAGTCTTGTCCGACCACACTTTCTTCTTGACGTCTGCCACCGTCCACAACCTCAACACCGTCGTCAGCGGGAGGACGATGGCAGCATGGCGACGAGGCGAAGCGAGGTCAGCATCGATCACGAGCGCATAGCGGCCCTTGTACTGGAGACATATCTCAAGCACCTTCCTCCACGCGGCGCCAAACCAGGCATCAAGTCGAACAACCGCCTCGAATGGACCGTCCTCGCCGCGTTTGTCCTATCCTACCCTTTCCCTCAGCAGGACAGCCAGTACGCGGTCGTATCGCTAGCTACAGGTCTCAAGTGTCTCCCATGCGCATCGCTGCCGCCGAACGGGGATGTGCTGCACGACCAGCATGCTGAGGTGCTCGCTAGGAGAGGTGCTCGGCAGTGGTTGCTCCAGCGGCTCCAGGAAGAGGTCAAGGCGGGTGCTGCGAGTGGGCCAACACTCTTTGAGCAAGTAGAAAGTGACGAAAGCGCGAGAAGGTGGAAGCTGAAAGCCGGCGTCCGGCTGCACCTGTACGTATCAACGCTGCCCTGCGGAGACGCCTCCAACAAGCTGCTAGACTTTCAGCGTGCTGCGCAGGATCAAATAGCAGGCAGGAGCGACGTGCTCACAACTGCAGAGCTGCTCGAACTCGAACTTCAACACTCCTTTGAAGCTGTAGGTGGTGGTAGCGGACAAAGTAGCGTCGTGCGGGGCCGTGCCTCGTCCTCACATTCACAAGCTACGAATCCAAGCCCAGGCTCGCTTCGCACCAAGCCCGGGCGTCCAGATTCACCACCTTCGATATGCATGTCGTGCAGCGACAAGATCGCCCTTTGGAACGCTCCTGGGATCGGCATGCAGGGTAGCTTACTGTCATTGCTCTTGGATCCCATCTACGTCTCTTCGATCACGATCTGCGACCATCCGGTGCGACACATCTTTCCGACCTTTCCGACCTCCAGCGTAGCCGACGCAGAATCGAGCGACCAGCAAAGAGAAGCGTTGAAAGAAGTACTGGCGAAGGACTGCGAACGAGCACTCCAACGAGCGCGTCCAGCAGATGACGGTAACGCCATCGCCGTAGGGTGGTCGACGACCCCATTCCCAGACAGCAAAGAGGCTCAGATGGAGAAAGCATGGTCCACCTTCGAGTCGCAAGCTTCCGGTCTGGATCCCGCCGATCATCACAGCGTGTTCAGAGCAAACCACGAACCGGAAAGCTGTCCCAACTCGGTCCTCTTCATCTCTCACGCTTCTCTCGAGCCCGGCAAGGGCAAGATCGAGAATCTTGCAACAGGCACGAAGATGGGCGCGCCAACGAAACGACCCAAGTCGAAGGAGGGGCAGCAGAGCGAGCCGCTCAAGCCGCCAGCAAGGTCAGGCGTGTGTAGGCTGAGCTACTTTCAGTCCTTCATATCGGCGTACGACTCGATGATGGGCACAGCGATGCGCACAGAAAGCATGCTGTACAGCGATGCAAAGGCGGGTACCTTTGGTGAAGGGACGAGAGCGTACAGAAGGAGGAAAGATGGGTTGCTGGGCAGGAAGGGCGACGTGGCTGTGGAGGCCTTTCTGCGAGGAGCGCGCAATGGCACCGGCATCAAGGACTCAGCTCAGCCTCAGGACGTGCCTCCGGTGAGCGACAGTGAGAGGACTTTCAACGGGTGGCTCAGGACTCCAGACACCTTATCGAGGTTTGATCTGGATGGCAGAACGTTCACACACTCACATCGACGTAATTGAGCCTCAGGCATGGCTTGGACGACACAGGAGCAACGACTGGAGAACAGTGACAATTGAGATGGGATCATGCTAGTGAATCGAGGGTTCGGATTGGTCGAGTCCGGCGGCCTCTATTCGCTGCCGCTTGGCTTCGACCAATTCATCCATCGCCCGCGCCCTCTTGAGCCTCTCGAGCTCGAGCTTTGCTTGCTCGTCGAGCTTTGCCTCGTCGAGGGGTACGATGGGAGGATTGACGATGCTCTGGCTGCCGGGAAGTCTTGAACTTGCGTCGTTATCTCGGGGAAGTTCGCCCGTCCAAAAGCAGCAGCCGTACTGGTTGAGCTGAAGATAAGGGAGCCAGGGCCTAGTTTCGATCACGGAGAATACGTCTGGGTCAGCCCAGAGGCCCAGGTCATGTGAAGCGCCGCTGTCGTGCTTGGAATTCGACGAGGAGGCGGTCGGAGGCGACTTGAGATTCTCCACTGCGCAGTGGAAGTCTCGTTCCAGCTCGTCCGAGGTAAGGTTGCAGTGTCTTCCGGCTGCGATGCGAATCTCGGTGTGCACAGGTACTGTGGCGTTGGTCGCATTTTTCGAGCGAGAGCTGTTCCAAAGCTTGATCAGGGCATGCTTTCCCTCTTGTGTGAGGCGCCAATGCTCGTCCATGCTGTCCAGAAGACGGCTCCACGACTTTGCTTCTTCGTCCGAGCGCAGGAGATTTGTGGCATTCATCGAGTCTCCGTCCTCAGAGTTCTGCTTCATATCGTTGAACAAGGATGAAACAAAAGTCGTAGCGTAGTGCTCTTGCGACCCGCATCCGCAGCCCGATTGCGGAAGGCCTGGAAAACGCTTCGAGACGTCTGTCAATGCTCCTTGTTCGACGAGTAGCTTGAGCGCATCCTTTGGTGGTGTCAACGGACAAAGTTGCGTGTCGAGGATCAGCAGCCTGAGACGAGGCAGCCTGCACGAGTTGACGGCTAGGTCGTATAGGATATCCCGGACGGTCGAGTTCCCCGATATCTCCATCAAGACGTCTGGCTCGTCGAGAGGTGTTCGTAGAGCCTGCTTTGCTGGCGACAATTGGCTGAACGCATCCGTCGCCTTACGCCAAGCGATGTACTCTCCAAAGTGGTGCAGAGCCTCTTCCGGTAGCTGCGATAAGCGCAAGCATTCTAGCTTCTCGTTAGGCGAATGGCCTGAAGCGATATCCGCCTGCATTTGTGCGGCTAGTGGCTGGCCGAACGCCTTGATCATATCTGCATTGCCGACCAGGAACGCGATCAAGCACTCTGGTGGAGTGAGGCTGATGAAGTGCAGGTGGGTCACCTCTGAGAGAGGCACAAAGGACGTCGCGTTGGTAATTGAAACGGGCATTGAGAATCCATCCCACATTAAGGTCAGGCTACGAGGACGACATTTGGTTGTGCTCGCAAGGAAATGGACGACAGGATGGTCGTGTAGCTCGTCGCACTCGTCGTCCCACGTCTCGTCAAGACCACGAAGAGACAGATGGCGTATGTTCGGGGCAAGGGAAAGCGAGACATGCACGCAACATGCGCAGAAATCCTTGCATTCGGAGCCTTCGCGGATCGGGTTTTCCAGATGTAGTGCGTGAATCCAGAGTGCCTGATTGCATGTGTCCGGGACGAGTTGGTCCTGGTCGTTTCGACAAAGGTCGCGAACAAACTTTTTCACGCCCTTCGAAAGAAATGGAGTCCTGTAGAGCTTCGGAAGGGCAACGTCCCTGAGCGTGGTGCACGTCAGTGCCATCGCGAGCAAGTCTTTGGAGTGCGTCGCTTTGAAGGACTTTCGGTCTGTCAGAGCTTGGCACTGCGGCTGCGGAAAAACGTGATCCTCCGGATGAATGACAGGTAAAAGAGACTCGGCGATGCTGCTCCATATCCCTGAGGGGAGCATCAGCCACAGACATGTCGATCCGTTGGCTGCCTGGCTTTCAGAGGAGGTCTCGTCGCGCTGCAATTCGGTCTCTTCAAGCGCGCGCTCGGGTGTCGAGCTCGCTTCTTCCATTGCGACCAGGATGCCAGACAGACCGGCGACGCAGGCGCTCGTTGCGATATCCGGGAGCTTCACCCGTGTCGAAGATCTGTCGATGCCAGGAGCTACAAGCTTGAGAAACGTCGCAGCAGGATGTCTGATACATGAAAGTAAAGAAGGAACAGCACGAGCGCAGCTCTTCACGCCTTTGCAGGAACAGGGAAGCCTGCTTGCCTGCGGCCCAAGAGCTCGGGCGACAGAGGCTGCGATTCAGCCGCTTCATTTGAGTGGCAATTGTGCGGCTGCGTGTGCTCAGCTTGAAAGCGGTCCGTGCCAGAGCAATGTGACGATATGAAAGGAGAGCGAGCCGACTCAGCGCTTCAACGTAACTCTGCGGAACATCTTCGTTGAAGTGAAATGTGACTTTAGAAAAGCGCTCAGTCAGAAGACGACGCTTTGGTCATCTTGGCTGAATTCTGCAGTCGCAGTCACATTGTTGTTCTTTCTTTCCAGCCTCACAGGTGTCCTTGCTCGAAGATATAAAGCGCCGAGCGAGCTCGAGCTGCTTGGATCGAGTTCGGCCCATTCTCAAGTCGACTCATCCAGCAGCAGTGTCTCAATCACGCCAGTCTCGGTCCTAACCTACCATCGTCAACACACATCATCAAGGTACAAAAGCCAACCGCAAGCAGGCCCGTCTACTCTAGTTCAACATGGAGACGACAGATGCATTCCAGCCACGCTCGCAAGTTGCATTGCCTACGATACAAGACAGCATCAAAGCAGGCTCGCTCAAATCGGTGCGCTCCGCAGCGACACTGTTGAGTCTTCCAACAGAGGTGCTTGAACACATTGTCGACTACCTTCTCCCAACCATTCAACCTGATCACCATGTCTTTCCACGACCAGCGGTAGACTCCTTTTCTTGGGAACGGTCAAAGACTGGAGCTACGCAAACCGACGATCTCTTTGCGCTGCTCCGAACATGCAAGCGACTTTACGCAATCTCGGCGCGAAAGCTCTGCTATGCGCCCTTCCTGCGAAGTCCAGCTGCCACAAACAAGTTTGTACATGCTGCCTGCTGGAATGACACTGCCAGGCTCATTCCAGGCTCGAGCGATCTCGCGCAAGGGATTCGTGCTCTTCATCTGACCGGCGAGACGAACAGAGATGAAAGTCCCTTTGCCCTGCGAGATTTTTGCGCATGTGAAGCACACACTTTGCTTTCGCTTGCTCCGCATATCTCATACCTATCTCTACATTGCTTCGTCAGCGAGAACTGCTACGATGAGGCAATTTACGACGATGACGACGAGACAGGCGACGCTGTTTGGGGACATCCATTCAACCACTTTCTCTCAGCCACAACAAAATGTCGTCCTCGAGCTCTCAGAGTCAGCATGGGTCCTATGACTAAGTACCTGTCCCTCGGCAACGTGGCGACGCTTGCACCGCTGTCGAGATTGACGCATCTCGATCTGGTCCGTGTCATCCCGTCCAAAGATCTTATCGCTTTCCTGTTGGGCGACACCCGATTGCCTCGGATTTGGAACGTTGACGAAGACGACTTCCGGTCCTGGAACACGCTACACGATGATCATCTGTCGCCTCATGTCGTTCGTGACGTATCGGCAGGCCTTTCGCCTCACCAGAACCTCGAGTGTTTGCGGCTCGCTAAGCTGCCCCCCGAAGTCTTGCGCGATTTTCGTGACTTCGTCAGCTTTCGCAGACGGCGTAGGGCGAACCGTCGGCTCCCATTCTGGTTGATGGACGAAGCGAATTTTGATCATGACCTTCCTGATGGGTACGACGAGACACTGTTTTCACAGAATGCACTATACGAGCTGGCTGTCCACTCACACAGAATGCCGAAGCTGAAGCTCCTTATTATCGACCTGGAAGGATACAGCCTCAACGCACCAAAAGAGGCACTCTCGAATCTTGTCGATCAAGGTCTGCTCAAAGACATGTCGGCACAATTTGTCTCGAAAGAAGCAAGGGAGGGGTCTTCTGGCCTGAAATATGGGTATGCCAACGAGGCGGCATCTTCATCGTTTATCCCGAGTCCGGAGGTCTCTTCAGGTATGTCTTCCACGTCTGGCATACGTGCCGAAGTGGAGGAGGCATTGAAGCAGCACAATCCGTCGTGGCTCAACTCGGTGCGCCAGAAAGACGATCACTGGCGGTTGATCCATTCGGGTAAGAGCGACTTGATCAGGATTTGGAATGCTAATCGAAGTCGACGTGCGTCGGACACGGCTGTCGTGGAGCCGACAGAGATCCGGGTGACCGCATCTAAAAGCATCGATCGGATCTGCGACAAGGACTTTGTTAAGGACCTGCACCGTCGGACGAATACAACAGGGGAAAGCCGACCAGGCGAGGTTTCGCCCAATGATCCCGGAGTCTGGGCAGATCCTGATGTCTTTACACTCGTCGAAGTCAAACCTTGGCTGCCCTACTTCTTGTTTCCCAGACAAGGCTGCTGCTGCTGGACGGGCGAGTTGCCTCGCGACAGCAACGCCAATCAGCATCAGACCGACTCCCAGGTTGAGACGCGACGTGTGGTGTATCCAGCATTCATTATACTTGCGGGACCTGACGACGAGCCTCATTCGAAGATAGAGCCGGACGACAAGCCGCAGGCAAAGGGCAAGCGAAAGTCGGAGCGAATCCAGGCTCGAACGGAGCAAGCGGCAGAGAAGAAGCGGCAACGAGCAGAGTCAAACGCGGCTGATCAAGCCGGTCGATCGTCGAGGCCCAGACAGCAGCAAACGTTACTCCACTTCTGGGCTCAAGGCTCACCGAGCCCATCCAAGGCATGATCATGTGATGTAACAGTTTTCCACTCTCGTATTCGTACATATGCTAGTGCGCCACAGCGAAAACCTCCTAAGCAAAGCAGATCCCTCCCCTAACAGAACTTCCACTTGTGGTTGCAGTTGGTGCACGTTACGAACGTCGTCATCGGCTCGTCCGCTGACCGCGTCTGCATCTGGTAGTACCTCGTCTTCCTCTGCTTGCACCTTCCGCACTGGAATGCATCCGTTTCTGCCTCCTGAGCTGCCGCTCCCTTGGCCTTGAAGAGGTTCTGCATGTGCAACTCCTCGATCTCCCTCTTGCGCTTGTCGCTGGCGAGCTCTTCGTTGGTCATGGTGACAAGCACGTCTGCTGAGATCTCGCGTTCCACGACTCTTGCGCGAAGGTCCGGGTTGTTCTTGTCCTTGATATTGAGCGAGAGGCTGCGCACCTTGTTGCGGTAATCGGCGGTGACGGAGCCTTTGCCCTGGTTGGCGAGGATGGCTGCCTCGACGGCAACGGCAGCGTCAAAGATCTGCGAGTCGTTCCAGCCGTGGTTCTCTTTACCGATCTCGAGAGCCTGGTAGAGGAGCTTGAGACAGGCGTTGCGAACCTTGTCGTTGAGGATCTCAAAGTCGATTTTGGTAGTGGATGATGCTGGTGTGGCTGCTGTTGTTGATGGTGTGGAGGATAGCGATACCTCTGAGGCTCCGTTGCCAATGGCACCGCCTTCTGTCTTTGTGCCTGCTGGCGCCGGCGAAGCAGTGGAGGAGGAGGGCTTGCTGCTATTGGATGATGACTGCGCCCTTTGCTTGTCCACGATCGCCTTCCAATCCTTGACCAACGACTTTGCCTGATCCGCTACCTTCTTGTCTGAATGCGAACGCATCTTGCCCACCGCAACACCGATCTTGCTTTGGCGGATGACATCTTCTGTTGGTTTTGACAGCCCCGACTTGAGCTTGGAGAAGATCGAGAGGATGGCTTCCGAATCGGAAGAGGTAGCGAACTTGGAGAGCTGCTTCTGCAGGTCCTTCAGCTCGTCGAGCGAGAGATCCTTCGACGACATGGAGGCCAGTGCGATGGAAGATGGCACGTCTTGCTGAGGAGAGCGTGATTGAAAGAAGGCAGCCTTGACGGATCGAGTGCAGCGGCTCGGTGGCGCGTGTTGTTGCGATGTGCTTTCGCTGCTGACAATGAGTAGCTTGAGCTTCTTACTAACGCTGTCTCGTTCCAGCCAGAGGATGCTTGATACGAGTGCGACGCTCTGAGCAGCGTCTCGATGTCGGAGCTAGGGTGTGCGTTGCAGGCTTGAGGGAGTTAGATGTCAGGTAGAAAGAGCATCGCGAACCAGGATGCTCAGCCAAGACACGTCGAGATGTCGGGCGCCGCTAGGAGTCGCATTCAATTTGCGCAAAAGTGTAAGCGCTCGGTCTGGGTCTTTTTTGAATGCGAGTTGTGCTGATTTTCTTCGCGGGGGCCGACTGCCGAGATTTCAGCTTTGTGACATTCTTCGCATCAGAGGTTCGCTTTGGCTGTGCACTCCACCCATCCATTGTGTTTCGTAGTCTGCATAGACCAGCCCATCTCCACCAGCCATGGCTGTAGCATCTACGTCGGCCAACCACGCCGGCCCATCGACATCAGCTTCGATGGCCGAACAGCCAAGTCTGCCCCCGCTCTCAGACTTGCTGGCTCGATCCTCCAAACGAGCGAAGCTTCTCTTCCAAATCGACGACGAATATGACTTTGACAACTTTGGCGATATCAATGCACTAGAACCGACGAAAGCGCACCTCTCCTCTAAGATCAGCTCAGAGTATTCAGATGCAAAGGTCTTGCCGGCTGCCATTCTGGCGCAGCAACAGGTGGCTGCCGGGCCGGTGCGACCGGGAGCCTCAGGTGCTGCAGCAGCATCGGCGACGGCGAGTCGGCCATCCAAACGAAGAGGGGACGAGACCCACCTCTCGAGATTGATAGACCAGCTTGATGGGAGCTCCCCGGTACCGGCAGGAGCTGTAGGCCCTGTCGCACCTCCTTCCACCAGCCAAGCTCTTACGATTCGAAGCAATGGCGCTCCAGGCGCAGCGGCACCATCCGCAAACTCGGCGTCCTCGTCTGCGCTTGCTCTTCATCGAGGTGGGACATCCGGCTTGCTCTCTCAAGCTCTCATTCAAAAGAAGGAGATGGCGAATCGCAAAGCCAAGCCCGCATACCATCCCAACTGGAAGCTCTCACGCGTCATCTCAGGCCATCTGGGCTGGGTCCGATGTGTCGCGGTAGAGCCGGACAACAAGTGGTTTGCGACAGGCTCTGGTGACCGCATGATCAAGATCTGGGACCTCGCATCAGGCGAGCTCAAGCTTTCTCTCACAGGCCACATCTCGCCCGTGCGAGGCATTGCAGTATCAGCGAGGCATCCGTACTTGTTTTCGGCTGGCGAGGATAAGGTGGTCAAATGCTGGGACTTGGAGACGAATCGAGTCATTCGACAGTACCGCGGACATCTCTCCGGCATCTACTCGTTGGCGCTGCACCCGGAACTGGATGTGGTCGTCACGGGAGGCAGGGACTCTACGGTTCGGGTGTGGGACATGCGCACACGAATGGCGATCCACACCATGACGGGACATCGCGGCACGGTCGCTTCACTTGCATGCCAGGCTGCAGAACCACAAATCATCTCGGGGTCCATGGACGCCACGGTCAAGCTGTGGGACCTGGCTGCCGGCAAGTCGATCACCACGCTCACGCACCACAAGAAGAGCGTCCGTGCACTCGCCATGCATCCCACCCAGTACACTTTCGCATCCGGCAGTGCGGGAGGCAACAACATCAAGACTTGGAAATGTCCCGAAGGAACACTGGTTAACAACATGGCCCACGATACCATCGTGAACACACTGAGCGTCAATGCGGACGGTGTGCTGTTCAGCGGTGGTGATGATGGCAGCCTCAAGTTCTTCGACTATGCGACGGGCACACCGTTCCAAGCGGCAGAAGATGTTCCGCAGCCAGGGTCTCTGGATGCTGAAGCAGGTGTGTTTTGCTCGACCTTTGACCAGACAGGGACCCGTCTTATTACAGGCGGTGCGGACAAGACCATCAAGATCTACAAGGAGGTGTAATTTCTGCGCCTCCTTCCAGCATTATCATTGATCAGTCATACCCATTCTCGATGCTTGACGCCGGTTTGTTGCATGCGATTGCCTTGCTGCTTGACAGAGGACAATTGGTGAATCACAGAAGATTGAGCTTCGGGGCCTCGACGAAGGCATGAGTTTCTCGTACGAGCAAATGGCGAAGCTGCGCAGCTCAGCCGAAGAAAATCGAGAAATATGACTGCATTGTCTCGATACTCTTGTCCGCCAAACGCACACGAGCAAGCCGAAGGCTGTCACATCCGAACGTCAGGCACAGCGAACGTCAAACTCAGCATCGGAAGAAGTCAAGAAAAGGTAGCGTGGCACGCAAGGTTCATCTCGAGGTTGAAGCCGAGTCAGCGCAGCGCGACCCGTCACAAGGGCAGCTGGCAAGTCGACGATAGGGAAGCAGGCTGGAGACTCGGGATCAGCGTGAGGCATGTCGCAGCATCACAGAGATGGCAGCTCGCATCCCGACGAGCCACCTGCCAAGAAGCGGACCCTCCAGATCAAGTTAGGGAGACCACGACCATCCACCGACTTTCAACAGGCCGAGCAGGCGTCCCCTTCCCTGAATCGCAGCCGGCCCGGGAACGGCATCCGCATCTCGTTGAAGCGCAAGTCTTCGGTACCAGAATCGCAGTTCACCCCACCTCGCTTTGCGGTTCAGCTTGCCGAGGACGAAGACGACGACGATCAGGAAGATGATGACGATGACACCCAGCAGGTAGCCTCGGGCAATGCCTCCGAAGAGGAAGATGATAACGACGACGACCAGAGTGGTGAAGACGAGGACCAAGACGAACAGGATGCGGAAGACGATGAAGGAGACGAAGACATGCAGGACGAGAACGATGGCACCATGGATGCGCTTCATGGCGATCTCGCAGACGATGGCGCATCTGTAGCCGGTCCTTCCGCACTCAACGGCGACGGAACATCTAACCCACGAGTCCGCGGCAGGAACGGCGCGTTCACAAGCACCGGTGCGGGCGGCTCCAATCCAAGTCGACGACCCATCAAGCGTCTCCGCTCCAAAGGTCTCTACGAAGCATTGCCTAAGCTTATCGAGAACCTGCAGCGTCGCGACAACTACAAGTTTTTCTGCGAGCCCGTCAACCCGGAGGATGTGCCCGGCTATACCGATGTCATCAAGACGCCCATGGACTTTGGCACCATGCAGCGCAAGGTGGACGACCGACTCTACAGCCACATGGACGACTTCAAGTCCGATTTCCAGCTTGTGGTCTCGAATGCCATGACCTTCAATCCGGAAGGCACGCTCTACTACAACGAAGCGAAACGCATCGCTACGTGGGGCAATCGAGCGATCGAGCGCGAGGGCATGGCGGTCAACGACAACGGGCGGGCCGGTGCCAAGGGCGACGAGATCAGACGTCAAAAGCGTCTGGCGAAAGAAGCTCCCGCCTCCTCTTCTACCAACGTGCTAAACGTACAGGGTGTATCCTCTGTAAGCGAAGCGTCTGGCCGAAGACAGCTTCGCGGCGCAACGCTCCAGCAACAGCAAGCACTCGACAGTCCAAGTCTGCAGCAGTCGGCCGATCGACAAGCTTCTCTAGGACTCGACGCTGGCGATTTGACGTCACGGTCGACTGCGCGGGGATCACGGTTCGCCTTCAGCGCGGGAGTCCGGGCATTGATGGAAGCGGCAAGGGTCACTTCGCAAGCAAGGCAGCGGGCAGCCATTGCACTCGGCTTGACAGGCGGGACGCTGACTCGCGAAGACTCGGCGCAAGTGGACGGAGGATTCGGGGATGACGGCGAGGGTGACATGGACCTTGATGAGGACGATGACAATGACGATGATGCCTCGGACGACGAAGTTGGCATGCGTGCCAGCGTCGCTCGGGCTAAGAGCCGAGAATCTCGGGAGCGCTCTGTGACCGTCGATGGTGCCAGTGGTGCCATCGCCCGCCGCCTTGGCTCGACACAGCCGACGGGCACACCTTCGACTCCCATGGGTCAACGTCAAGCCAGTCCCGATGCATTAAGGAAGCGTCTAGCTGCAGTGACAGGCACGCCCATCCAGGCTCTCGCCAGTCCTATGGTACCAGGCGCGATCTTGGGTGGCACGACAGGCAAGGCCTCCAAACACGCCAAGATCAAGCAGCGTCTTGGTGCACCAGGGACACCCAAACGCCTGCTAGTACGAACAGGTCTGCCTGGTCTGGCTGCTGGACTTTCGGCAGAGGCTGGCGGTCGTCCTCTCGATTCAGCCGATGGTGCTGCGGCGGCTGCTGACCTCATCGCCACCATGTCTCAGTCTCAAGCCCAGTCAGCCGTGGCCAACTACTCCTTCGATGATGATGGGTCCATCAACCCCAACGATATCGACGATCTCCAAGCTTTCTTGACACTCCACCGTAGCGGAAAGCATGTCTTGATGCCGACCATCGAGTCGCTGTACCCGATCCCATTCATTCCGGGCGACTACGTTGGCAGCGGCACAGGCGACAAGGATCAGGACCAGGACAAAGAACAGGACCGCTCGAGGGAGAAAGACAAGGTCAAAAACAAGGTGGTAGCCGATGACGGGGACGATGATGATGAGGATGGCAAAGGCGAGGCACGGGAGAAAGGCGACAAGGATCCGCTTTCTACACTACCGCCTACGCGACCCGGTGCACCCGATCCGCTCTATTCTGCAATCGCTCCCGAGCCTGAGTCTATGCAGAGCAACCTCAGCCACGATGTCGACTCCCTTCCGCCTCACTTTCGCAACCTGCCGTTCTATACGCCGAGCTTGCAGGCGAAGGCGGGCAGTCAGAAAGAAGCGTACGGCATACCGTGCTTCTGGACTAACCCTGCCTACGTCGAGGCGCTCAAGAACGACAAGAGGCCAAAAAAGCAAAAGGACAAGGAGCGGGAGAAAGAACGCGAGACGCTCGAGGATTGGAGCTACTTTCGACCCACGCTGACACGTCTCCTCGAGATCACTGATCTTGGACCATTCTCCGCCTTGTCGCCGCGGGTGGAAGACGAAAACAGGACCGCGCCTGTCAAGTCTACCGCGAAAGGCAAAGCTGCAAAAGCTCTCAAGTCGGCGCGAGAGGCGACTCAGGCGGTACAGGAGTTCTCTACATCTTTGCTGGGCGAGGAAGGCTTCAAGGCCATCGGAACCGAGCTCAAGGAGAAGAGACAAAGACAGCTTTTGCCAAGAGAGATTCTCAAGAGATTTGTCGCAGCTGCTCAAGCAGGCGATGCTAACGCCGTCAAAGAGATCCTTGCTCAAGCGGAGCAGCGAGACGCAAGTCGGATCGTATCGGACATGGTCTATGCTGGTGTGGCGGGTCAAGCTTACATCCGCAGCGTGGGCGAATTCGTCGGTGGGGCAATGCATCACGCTCTACTGCTGGACGAGGTCGACGACGCCATCGATCAGCAGACTGTCGAAGCAGAAAAGAAGCTGCCGTTGGCAACAGCGATGCGCAAGGTGAAACAGACCGAGGCAACGCCGGAACCGACTGCCGCCTCTCGACGCGGTCCCTTCATGTGGCGGGACACAACCGAGGAGGTGGGTGGCACAGCGACACCATCGGGCGCCAATGAAGGCGAGGCTGAGCAGCAAGAGCCTGCATCGGTCGTCGATGGTGCTGCAAATGACTCGACAAAGGCAGAGGCGGACACCTCGGCCATCTCCGAATTGGTCAAGGATCTGAAAAAGGTGGAAGCGCAGCTTGCTCCCCTGCCAAAGTCACTCGCAGAGGTGGTGGAGGAAGAAGTCATCCGACCCATCACAGGCAACACGCTCGATCTGCTGCATCTTGTCGCTGTCCACCTCGAGATACCAGGCTCCGAAGCGTTGAACCTGGACGAGATCGAGAAGCGCCTCCTGCAGAACAAGATCAGGCCACACCAGCTCGAAGGCGTCGACCCAGCCCGCCTTGCAGCGCCACCTGCAAAGCCAGCAGGTGCCACCGCCGCAGCTCCGATGTCCGTCTTGCCGCCCCAGCAAACGCAAGTCCCGGTCCAGCCAATTCCGTTCATGGCCGAGCTGGACTGGCTCAAAGATCAGCCGGATCTGACGCAGCTCTTGGATGAAGCTCGTCAAGATATCGACAGCTTGGGCTCGATTGTCAACTACATTGTGCAAAGCGCCTGATCTCTTCTGACGCATGCAGCAATCAAGCACAACTCCTTCGTCAAGATATCGACAGTCTGGGCTCGATTGTCAACTACATTGTGCAAAGCGCCTGATCTCTTCTGACGCATGCAGCAATCAAGCACAACTCCTTCGTGACGCCTGCATCCGCTTGTGTTCTGAGTGACATGCCTCTGCGCAAGTCTGCTGTTGTTGAAAGCAGAAGGCGGCTCGCAGATGATTGTGTCGTACGTACACGAAAGCAGATGGGCAGTGTGGCGCTCGGAGTGGAAATGTTACATCGCACGAGGAGCTTTCTGAGTGCGATTTCGGCGAGCGCTGTACGGAAAGCAGGGTTGCAAGAAGGGTGCTTGCACTGCGTGTGGCGAACCCTCCAGCTGCACAGCACTTTGCCCAGAATCGGGTGATTTCTCGCAGCAAAGTGAGCTGAGCTGAGGGCTGTGACTGTGAAATTTAGAGCTTCGGTAAAGAGCGCAGTAAACGCGAGTCAACGCCCAAAAATAGAGGAAATTTCGAACTGAAGCTCAGCTAAGCCAGCCGGCGACTGTGTGTTTGTGTATGTCCCAAAGAAATTTTAAAAAATAGAAGACCGAGAGAGATTTGGATCGACAGGGCTCACCGCCGCACAAAACACGTTGCCAAACGAGAGCAACACGCTGTCCCAACTCGCGCCGGTTGAGAAGCTTTGAAATTTCCTGCAAAGGCGCTGCAGCGTGTTGAGTGGCTGGTCATTTTGGTGTGGCCTGATCTTTGGCAAATCACTCGGACCAATTGATCAAGTCTCCGGCGGCCAATGCTTCCGACCTTCTTCTCTCACTACCACTATCACCACAGCGATCTTTCTACGACACGCTTCGAGCGTTCTATCTTACTCATATCCGGAGCTTCACGTCGCACCTCACGCACTGGTAGCGCTCCTTGCTCACGATGGAGTTTGTTTCGCAGCAATTCAACTCGACCGTGGGGTCGCTCCTGAACCCCACTACCACCCAATTCGCCGCCGACCTGTACAAAGGCACCGACTTTGCCTCGCTCAACGTCTTTGAACGAGCATGGGCCAACTGGTACCTCTACTGGGGCAACCCAGTGCTGGCGACAGGTATCATGTCGTTCGTGCTGCACGAGGTGGTCTACTTTGGCCGAGCCATCCCGTGGATGATCATCGATGCCATGCCTAGCATGCGCAAGTACAAGCTGCAGGACGAGAAGGTCCCTACCCTCGAGCAGCAGTGGAAGTGCACCAAGCTCGTGCTGCTCTCGCACTTCACTGTCGAGTTGCCACAAATCTGGTCGTTCCACCCTATCTGCGAGTACTTCGGTCTTGCCACCCACGAGGTTCCCTTCCCGCACTGGACCAAGATTGCGTGGCAGATCGGACTTTTCTTCATCTTCGAGGACGCTTTCCATTACTGGGCTCACCGCGCTCTGCACTGGGGTCCCCTGTACAAGCACATCCACAAGAAGCACCACGAGTACTCGGCACCGTTCGGTCTGGCTGCTGAGTACGCCCACCCTCTTGAGGTGCTGATTCTCGGCACCGGTACTATTGGCGGACCTTTCGCCCTCTGCGCTCTCACCAAGGACCTGCACATCTTGACCGTCTACATCTGGATTGTGCTGCGTCTGTTCCAGGCGATCGACGCCCACTCTGGCTACGACTTCCCCATCTCGATGCATAACTGGATCCCATTCTGGGCGGGTGCCGACCACCACGACTACCACCACCAAGCATTTGTAGGCTGCTACTCGACCTCATTCCGATGGTGGGACAACGTGATGGGCACCGACCTGTCATACAAGCGTGCGCGTGCTCGTCAGGCCGAGAAGAAGAAGCAGCAGGCTCTCGAGAGCGAGAAGGCCAAGGCTCAGTAAGCCGCAGGTTGGCATCGGCTTTTCTGTTGCTCCGTCTTACGACAAAACCGCCTTTCGATGCGTCTTGATTCTCGCACAAGAGTGTTGAAGGGTCCTGCGTATTCTTGTACATAGCTGGCATCATCGTATCTTCTCCGCTTTACTGGAGTGTGACGGCGATGCTTTCCTCCGCAATCTAATAGAACAATCACATCTCAGCGACGCTGTGAAGTAGCGTGTTTCACAGGGCCGGAGAGGATCGGGCCCATCTGCAGTGAGAGTTCTTGCTCCCCAGAGTAGCTAGCCGGGTCTGCCCGTGCTCAGGTGGGTCTCGTTGGCAGCAATGGTGGCAGCGAGAAGATGAACTGGTGTCGCAGCCCACAAAAGGACGTGCTTCTGCTCGCATCCTTGCAGGACAAAGGGGGTTCCAAGCTCAGTGTGTGCAGCACACTGACAGGTCCTTTTGTTTGCGATTCTTTCAAGACAGAGTTCCGTCGGTCGCTTGTTTGTGCGTCAGGCCAGCGTGCTGAGCCCACTCTGCTTCGGATCGAGTTCAGACTGTCGTCGGCACGCTTCCGAAACGTCCATCCGCTTTGTGCTTGGCCCTTGTCGGACAGGCCGAGCCTCTCTGAGTGTGCGAAGATGTGAAATTGAAGAGAGCAGCGCCGCAACGCCTGATTTTAGCTCGCTTTTGTTCGGGCGGGTATCGGTTGCTGTATTTTGGCGTTTCGGTGGGCGGGCAATAATTACAGACGTGAGTGAGTTGGCAGCGTGGGAGAGAGAGCAACACACACACCCCAGAGCCGAGCAGCAGACTCACACCGACGGTGCGTCACACGCTGATCCACACCTTGCATGCTTCAGGGTCGCCAACGCCAGATTGACGGCTCTCGCTCTCCTCCTCGGTCTCTCCGACATCCCGCTATCAGTTCCTTCATCGTCGTGCCGACGCACCACTGCAACACCTCACTCAGCTTCCAGTCCCTGGCGTGAGCCCGGCGCACTCGACTGTCGCTTCCGTCTCGCACTGCATACCGTATCTGGATCATCCACCGGCCTCCTCTAATCAAGCCCCCCAAAGTTCGACCTCGTTCGGCTGTTGCGCCGACCCTCTGCCTTGCCATCACTTCTCTGGATTCGACTGCCCTCCTGGATGGACCTATAATACCCCATCTTGCTCCTGTTCCGACTCGAGGACACGACTTTATCTAAACCGCGTCCGACGCCTGTCCCGAACCCGCCGCAGATCCGCGTGGACAGGAACACTCATCCGACGAACGCCTCCTCCGCCAACATATCGAGCAGATAGAAGTCGAGAAAGCGCCAGGGCATCCATTCACGATGCCCGGCCTCTTCTCCAGAAGATCCAAAGCAAAGGGGCCCACCCAGCTCTTCTCTTCCAAGGAGTATCTGGGCGCGGTCAGCTCGGCGGACATTGATCGACTCGGCCTATCATCACCTACACCCAGCACCGCGGATGCTCACCTGCTGCCTCAGGTGCCGACCAAAGATGACCTTCCTCGCCCACCAGCCAAAGACTCGGCATCCAGCTCCGGTCACGATGGTCCCAGCAGCAGTAGTCACAGCTCCCACTTTCGGCCATCTCCGCTCCCTCACGGCACTGGAGAGATGAACGAGTTCGGTCAACTGCGCAGTCCAAACGCGCCGAGGCCTTCGACCTTCTCTGCATCGTCTCAAGGTACCGAGCGGTCATACCTGCCGTCGGCATCGGCTGCGACGTTTTCTGGTGGTCGTCGGCTGGCACCGACGAGCACATTACGCAGCGTCTCTTCAAAGTCGCAATTCGCACAGGCTCGACCATCCACCGCGTCAGCATATGACACTTCGCTCACCAACAATCTCGCGTACAAAGCCACCTACGCTTATGGGTATACACCCGAGGGGTGGCATGTCCACTTGGAAGCGGCGCGTGTGCTAGCTCTTCTCGAGGCTTGCAGCGAACAGATTCGGAGCCGCGGTCTCGACAATCCTCTCATCTTCTCCTCCATGGCGCTGGATCTCTCACCCACCAGTGTTGCGTCCATGATCATGCTGTTCGCAGACACGTCGAGCAGACAGCGCGTGCTCCCCTCCGAGTTCCTGGAAGAGATACGGTATGCCAATCCTCATGACCTCGCAGCCGTCATCAAGTGGGCCTTTGCACGGATGGGCCGCGTCCTTGCAGTGCCAGTACCCGTGCAAGGACCAAAGCGAGGCGAGATGCGCGAAGAGATGGTCTACGTGCAGCAGCGCGGCTTCCTCGAGCTCGAGAGCTACAACACCTGGCGCGAACAGGAGCGCAGACATCAATACCCAGCAGCCGCCTTCACAGATTTCCTCTCCCCTCTTGCACCAGAGAATGCGAAGCTGCTTAGCTCGCTGTTCTCGCTTCTCTCGTCGACAGCGAGCTACTCGCTCAAGAACGGCATGATGCCCGCCCGACTCGCCAAGCATTTTGGTCCTCTGATCTTTGGGCTGCCCGAGGACGAGACTTTCGCTCGTACCTATGAAGCGTACGTCCGTGCAAGCAATGCTACCGAGCACCTGCTCTTGTCCTACATTCGATTCCAGGCCACGACAGAGACCTTGCCTCCAAGGCTCGCACAGCACATCAGTGGCTATCCCGCCATGCTCGCCACCGAAATGACGGTTCCATCCGCTTCCTCCAAGCTGGTCCCTGTGACACAGATTGAGCGCAATGTGCGCTTGTACAGCGCCGACCTGGTGCAGTCCGCTTGCGAGATCGAGATTGCCAACTCGTGTCCCGAATGGAAGGATTGCTGCGATACCAATGAGGTTCTTGGCAAAGACCCGCAGCTCTCGGACAAGTTCAGGAAACTCGTCAACCTTCGTGGCGGTGCCATTCAGGGCCGACGACCAAGCTCATCAAAGGCGCGCGACGCTTCCATCGACGAGGACGATGCTGTGGCCGCACACTCTTCGCTCGTCAGCAAACAGTGGGACGACTTTATGTTTGGCGGCTTTTCTGCGCCCGACTCTTCCAAGCTCGCTTTTGACTTGAACGAGTCGGTACGACGCAATCGCACTGCTAAGCGCGAAACGATGCAGTGGAACGAGTTCTCCAAGGCCGGCTTCCAGAATGGAGAAAGCGGGACGCTAGCTGATGTGCTCAGCTTCGACGACGTGCTCAGGCAGGATGTCCGGAATTGGCCCTCGGAGCGTGATCAATTGAACGCCAAGCTCAGGTCACAGCAGGACAAGCTGCCAGCTTTCAACTACGACAACACCCCTCGACTTGTGGCCAGCCCAACGCTGGCCGGAACGCCGCAGGGCAAGCTGGCTAGCAACCCCATCAGCCGCATGGACGAGACCTTTGCCGACGTATGGGCTGACTACCTGGTGGGGAGCGGCTGGAGCAATCGCGACGAGCTGACGCATCGTAATGCCAACTTTGCGGTGGTGCAGTACAAGTCGCGCCCCAACGCTAGCACCGTAGGCTCTCAAAGTGCAGAGTCGAACCTGGCAGCTCCCACCAGCTTCCAGGTCTCGGCGAGGAAGGACGAGAGCTTGCCCAAGGACGAGCGAGTCGACGCTGCCTGGTTCGTTGTTCAGGAGATCGTGCCTGCTCAATACCGTGCAGATCTCGAGGCATCTGGTCGGGGTGTGTCGAAGGGTCGAGCCATGCTTCGCAAACTGACCGTGTTCCGCTCGCGCAAGGACAAGGAGAAAGTCAACGGCAATGGCAATGGTCACGCCAACGAGAGATCGATGGACTCTGCGGATGATGTCTTCAGGCCAGGTCCGGGCGGGTCGACCAAACGTATCCTGCTTGCCGATCAGCTTGAACGAGTCGGGTCGAAGAATGCGTCTCAAGCAACACTGCGGAGCAACAGGACGAGTGTCGACCGGAGTCGACCGAGCAGCGCTCTTGCAGGGGCTATCAGGACTGATGCCGATCAGGGCGAGGCAACACCTGTCCAAGAGCCCGTCTCTAACGCCCACGCTCCCTCTCGCAGCGAAGGTCAACATACCGGCAGCAAGTTTATGTCGACGTTGCGAGCCAAGAGCATTCGTGTGGTCAAGTCGGCTCGCAGTCGCGCATCCAGCCCTGCGCTCAAGTCTCAGGCGGTGGCCTCCAACGATTTTGGCGCTCAATCTTCACCGAGAACAGGCAACCCTTCACCCTTGCAGCCTAATGACGCCTACGCCGACAACTCCTTCACTAGCGCAGACTATGAGACGAGGACCATCGCTATCGATGCCTCACCCCCCATGGGCGGCAACGATGTGAGCATCGATTCGTCTTCCGCAGCACCAAAGCAGAAGCACGGCCAATCACGAGCGAGGGAGAGCAACGGCCGGACCGAAGCATGGGTCGACATCTCGGTCAAGCACAATGGCAATCGAGTGGTGGACCGGGACGTTCCTCACACGTCTATGCGCAAGACCTCGCTCGGATTGAACACTCGCGCGGACGACACCGCCCAGCTGTCTCTCATGGACCCCGAGACAGGTGCTAGCACCCCTCGCCTTGGCGACGATGCGGACGCCTTTGATGAGGGTCCGCGTTCCTCGACACCTCCACTGCCTGCGAACGGGGTGCTGGTTGGTCTGGGGCTAGACGACTCGCAAGCGGACCGCTCAAGCATTGCCTCGGACATCCCGATGCGCGACGCCTCTCTCCGCGACGCCACACCGCTTCCCGCCCAACCCGACCTGCCGCTCGTCCCTGCACCTGCAATCGATCCCGTCGTTGCGGCACGGGCGGCGCTGAAATCACGTCGCGAAGCCCCGCCCCGCGCACCGGCGCAGATCGACGCCAAGAAGCTGGTCGAGTCGCTGCGTGCGGGATTGTCGCCCATCGAAGCGGTGCGTGCGAGCAAGGAGGGCACTGCACCCACCTCCCCGCCGTTATCGTCTTTTGGCGATGTGAGTCTCAAGAGTCCGACCACGTCCGCGCCGGCCCCTGCAGCAGCATCGGCGGCGGGGAGGAGCAAGACATATCGCGATCCGTTCGCCAAAGACCCGGTTGCGGGGCGTGTTGCTGATGTAGCGTCCAAGTTCGGCGGTCGGGCTGGTGTGCCAAGCAAGAAGGGGGACGTGGAGAAGCCGCTCCCCGCGTCGCCTGCCGTGGAGAGGGATCCAGACGAGATCTACCCAGAGGACGCAGTGTCGAACCACGCCACGCCGGTGCACTCGGTCGACACACCCGCTGCACGCCTCGACCTCGCCGCTGCGGGAGAGATGGAGACGCTCAGCCCGCAAGCCGGCGTGTACCAGTGGAGGAAGCATGGGCTGGAAGCGAAAGGCGAGGAGCAAGGCGCAGCCGAGGTGCCTACCAGATTCGCAGAGCCCTACCAGCCGGGTATGCCGCTAGACAACGTTCTGGAGGAGAGCGAGAGCGCTGTTAGTGGCAACACCAATGTCTGAGTTCTTCATTTCAATGGCACGAACGCAGAGACGATGAGCAGATGCTTTTGATTCAGTGTGTGCGATTGCGCCTGAGAGGCATGCGGGCGTTGTCTCCGCGATGACGAAGAGGCATGACCCAACGAGTTGGTTGCAGGGGCGACGACGTGGGCGTCGTCTGGATCGGGCATCGTTGGAATCGGGCAGCGGCGCGCAGCCATCCCCCGATTGCCATTTCTCCACTTCAAGACTTGCGGGGATTAAGATTCAGTGGAAACGCCGAGATGATTGCCGTCGCATGGTCCAGTTCAACATTGTGCAGCTGGCTCTACGTGAAAGAACCGACTTTTCAGCGTGGGAAAATCAAACTTCGAGTGGCGTAGCGCTCGGATCAGCCGGTGACTTGATTCTCACCCATGTCGGCATCCACTCCTTCTGACCTTGCTACTCCTTCCACCATCACAGATAACCACGCGCCTCTCACTCCTCACCTCTCACCACTCACACACCCTATCTCATATCATATCACATCACATCAAAATGGCTACCCAGCAAAAGTGGAAGATCGCCTTTGGGTGCGACGAGGCGGGAGTCGACTACAAGAACGCCCTGATCAAGGATTTCCAGAACGATCCTCGGGTCGAGTCGGTCATTGACGTTGGCGTTCCTTCGAACGCGGACAAGACGGCGTATCCTCACGTTGCCGTTACGGCTGCACGCAAGGTGGCGTCTGGTGAAGTGGACCGTGCCCTCCTCATCTGCGGTACCGGTCTCGGCGTTGCCATCGCTGCCAACAAGGTCAACGGTGTTCGCGCCGTCACGGCCCACGATTCGTACTCGGTCGAACGTGCGATCCTCTCCAACGACGCCCAGGTGCTTTGCATGGGTCAACGTGTCGTCGGCCTCGAACTCGCCAGGAAGCTCGCAAAGGATTGGCTCGGTTACAAATTCGATACCTCCAGCGCTTCGGCTGATAAGGTCAAGGCCATCTGCTCTTACGAGGGCGCCGCTGACAAGCAGTAAATAAGTCTCATTCGGACCTATAAGACCCGTCATCGCCCGCTCGCCGTGCCGACACCATCACATAGCTTTGACTTCAAGTCATTCCATCAATACGATACATATTCCTCCCCCACAAGCGTTGCATTTCCTGTGTGCCCGTGCTCCATCCATCCCGCTTGCAACCCGTGATTGCCCATACTTCGGCAAGCGTTTGAGTGGGCTCTACACCGTCGCGTCTCATACTGGCCAACCACTTCTTCGTTGGCGATAAGTTCCTCGTGGTTCCGAGTGCACTCCTTTCATCAATCAGGACGAAGAAGCAGAGTCTATCCGGCTGATTCTGCGCAGCTGTGCCCAAGCTCATCCCTTAAGTCACATCCACGAGAACCCGACACGCATGATGGGATTTCACCAGGCTTCCTCGGTCTCATTTGGCAGACGGCAGGTTTGAATGGTATGAAAGTGGATTACGAGCGAGCACAAATGAAAGCAGAGAGATAACTTAGTCCCAAAGAGAGCGTGTCAAGCAAGATGGTCTGGGTGAATGAAGTCGAAGTTGCCCGACCACCTGTTCTCCCCCTCCTCCTCCAGGGCAGCGTGCATCTTCGACGTGGGTCTTGGAGAGGAAGCTCTCGGCGTACGTGCCTCATCCGAAGTGTCGCTCCCACCGGCAGCCCTCAGCAGCACAACAGGGTCATCGTGGACGAGGTTGAAGTAGTCATCCTGCTCCTCGTCCACCTCTTTCTCCTGTGCCCGGGACCATTCGGCAAACCTCGCATTGAGCGCATCCATCTCGACATCAAACATCTCCTCCTTTTCCGTCTGCTGTTCGAGGGCAGGCAGATTGGTCGACATGGGCGCTAGAGGGGAGCGACTGAGCTTGGGCGAGGTGGAAGCGGAGCGTGAGGCGTGGAGTGCGTGCTGGTGCATCGAAGGCAGATGCTTAGACTTCATCTTTGGGGAGCAAGACGAGTGAGTTTTGGCCGCCTTCCCGGCTCTTGGGGTGGTTGTAGCGGGCTCGATGGGCGCGAGAGGGCTCAGTGGCGATAGCGCATTGGAGAGCTTGGACTGTGACCGCGATCGCTCCGTTTTGTGAACGTGATGGTGGTTGAGACCGCCCGGTGAGGGCCAGCCGTACTGCCACCATGCCGGGTTGGCCGCCGTCTGACCGGTGAGGCCAAGCGCCATCACGCGTTGCTGCTCGTCGTGTTCCTCTTGGGTCGCAACGGGGAGCGAGTAGCTGCGAATCATGCCAGCTGCTTTGCCCGCAGCAGGGTGCGCGGAGGGGTCCGAGGACGCAGCGATGTGTAGCCGAAGCGCAGCTTTGGTGGACAAGGCCGAGGTGCGGTTGGGCTTCATCTCGTGCGAGTGGAACGTGTAGCCTTCGGAGACGCCGCGTCGAGCTTGACGGCGAGCAGCGATGGCGCCGGCGTGGTTGGAGGGGATGGGCTCATCGTGGAACGTGGAAGGGGCGACGTTCTCCCTCTGCTCGACAGCAGAGTCGGGGTGCAGCAGGGGCATCTTCGAAGTGGACGCAGGAGGAAGCGGGAGCAGAGGCGAGTAGGGCAGCTGCGATCCTGCGGCAGTCTGTGTTCCGCTGGTGGCTTTTGAGCCGCGCAGACGGGTGCCCGAGTGCGGTGCGGAGGAGGGGTCGTAGAGCGGTGCGAGCTCCGAGATGGAGCGGTAGCCGAGAGTGGGTCTGGCCATGAGGACCGAGGGTGAGTTGGACATGATGGCGTGAAGGGATGCTAAGATCGGGTCCGAGATGGAGGTTCGTCGTGTATATGACCGAACAAATGGGCAATTTGAGCTTTTATTGTGTGAGAGGGTTCCCGGAGGAGGGTGATGAGAGGCTGAAAGCGAGGGATAGAAAGCAAGCTATAAGGACATTGAGTAGGAGATGCAAGGTGGAATGCGAGATGCGGGATGTCGGGACAAGAAGAAGCGACGAGGATGCGTGACGAGGATGAGCTGGAGGCGAGAAGTGATGCTTGCTGGACGTTATGGAGCGGGATGAGATGCTGATGAGATGCGAGGGAAGGACGAGAAGGGGTGATGCAGGATGGCGAGATGGCCAGCTTCGCGATCACGTCGACAGCAAGCAGGTGAAGAACATCAAATATATGAGGAAGAAGACGAGTCGGGTGAAGTGCCAAGGACGAGGAAGGCGAAGCCTGGATGATATGTAGTGGGATGAAAAGGAGGAGGAAGGGACAGCTGCAAGGACGTCGATACTGACAGTAGCCTACAGGAGATAGGGTCAATCGTTGTGCTTCCGAGAGAGGCGTGGCAGGGCGCGGTTCTCTGCGGAAGAGTCGGTTGTCAGAAGAGAGCAGCCAGCAAGCAGACAAAAAAGACGCGAGCGAGAGCGCGCGTCTGAGGTCCTTAGCGGGCAAGCGGGGGAATGTACGTTGAAATCACACTTGGCAGCGACCCACATTCCCGTGCAGCTGCTGGCCATTTTCCAGAATTGACACTTTATCGAGGGTTCTGCAAGTCCGAGTGGGATTCTGAGCTCAAACCCTCTTTCTCTTCGCAGCCAGGCCTCACGCTCCGCACATCCAGTCCAATCCTTGGCCTGCAAGACGGGAAATGATCAATCGGTCCGCCATTGTTTTCCGCTTGTATCGCAGGAACTTGACATCGACATTGCTCTCAAGAGCCACGCCGTGATAAGGAGTAAGGGCTACTGAAGCTGGGCTTTGACATTGCCTTGTCCGTGCGCACCTCCCACTAAATTGAGTGGTGCAAGCGATGCGAGCTGCATACTGATCCGAGTCCAAAGCATTGAAATGTCTCAGGAAGAAATGGAAAGGTGCACTCTCTCTAGCACATCCTGTCCGAGAAAGCGCACAATTCTGAGACTGGCTTGCATCACAAGCGAGCAGCGCTAAACCCTCGCAACGAAGCCACCACTTCGGGCTCCGATCATGAGCCAGTAGGCAAAGCAGAGCGCTTGGTTCTGCCATTGCTGCACGAGCTTGTCAACCGCGCAGCAAGCCCCTGATCCACCCTCTGCAGCCGCTTGTGAAAGGCACTGCCCGTGGCTACCTCACAAACGCCTCTTCCTCCCTTCAGGCTGGTCGATCCGGGGTACGTGTGGTGCATCGTTATGAAAGAGGCTTTGAGGCAGCGCGCCAACGTCTCCGTGCAGCAAGCTCGCTGGCGGCGGCTTGCACGTTGGGCTTTGCTTTCCCGTTGACTCCAGCCGCAAAGGCCGCCATCCTGGCGCCGCTCTATCGCGCACTCCGATGGCCTATCTGCCTGCGTCGCTCGGTCAAATTCGGGTCCTATGCTCGGGCGAGCGCGAAATGACGAATTGGCGTGGGAGCGGGTCTCAATCTGACCTTGAATGTATCGGAACATCAAAGAGCCGAATCCTCATACCCTCTTTTGCGTGATTGGTCGCCGCTCTCGCCAGCAATGCTGGTGATAGCAGCTTTGTCCTCGATCTTGTTTGTTACGCAAGCGACTGCTCATTCAAGGTGCAAGGGTCCATCGATGAAAAGGGTCGGATGCGGGGTCGGGCTCGTAAGCGAGGCCACGCGCGCACGTCCCTTCCCACACCAGCGCGATGCAATATCGATCTGCTCCTCTCCGAGGCTGCATGCCATGGTACCTAGTCGCCCAGGCTTCCAATGCCATCGAGGTGGACCGGATTGACACAATGGAGAGGGAACCTCGAGCTTTGGCCGACGTGGGAATGTCGAATCCATTGTTCGCAGGTTCTCGGCAAGTCAAAGTCGCCGAACAAACCTTTTGGCACGACAAAGAGCTTGTGTCTGGCGCTCCAGACTGCGCCATCGGAGCTGCAATCCGCAGAGCCGCATGGTCAGTCTCGAGCGAAAGGTCCGCCAGCCACGTTTTCCGTTTGACAGGACGGCCAAGGTCGTGTGTGGGCGTAGGCGTGTGCACCTTCACGATACAGCTGCACGCACGATGGGTTGAGATTCTCCTCGGACTGCTGACTTGACCCCGAATGAGGCTCCGTGAAAAGCGATCACGATCATTCGTCGTCTGCCTCTGCACGCCATCACGCGGGAGATCTTGCCTCCGACGGTCAGCAACCGAGATGGGGATGCAGGCGCGCAGAATGTTGGTGCCTGACCTGTCAGTCCGGGAGCGGTATGATCGCGTCACCTTTTCGCTTCCTCTGGCGTACCTGTTTGTGAGCTCCGACAATCATTCTCCCCCGGTGTTCATCACTCCGTTCTTTAGGTCCTGCCAAGTCCTCGCACGCTGTCCCGTAGGATCTGTGCTCGGTCCACGCGGTGAGGCATGACAGGTACGGCAAACTGCTCGGCTTGACATGTCTGTGACATATCTCCCCATTTTTCACAATGCTCCAAATCGTTCTTCCGCTGCACGCCGCGATCGCCTGTCCATAAAATCGAACCTCGCCGTGGGATTTCGTTCCCGCCCCCCACGAGCCCTTCGCCCATCTCGGTCACTCTCTTACCAAGGTCGAAACGTTGATGGCCGCGTCGTGTGCTGCTCTCGGCGAGCTGCCATGCCAAGAGGTACCTGGTGCCTGACGGGAGCTCATGCGCAGATCCGACGGGATCTCCTCTCCGCGTGCCTGCTCACGATCGCAAACATTCCGCACGCCTCATGCCACAAATCGTAAGGCGATTCGAGCAGCTGACATACGCACGCTTGCTCCAACAGGCTCACGATCAGGCAAAGGGCACGGCGACCCAGACGGGGACAAACAAACCCCCTCGCCCCCCGATCGGCGGGTCGTCGCCTACGATCGGACCCTTGAAAAAGCGGGATCGTTTGACAGCTCGGTTGGGTCTCGTGCGTGTGACGCGTGGCTTGGAAATTAAGCTTTACGCGACACGCCTTGTTTTGGGTTTGGACGCGCCGCGCCGCCCTCGCGTGGTCGCCGGCCAGTGTCTCACTTTCTGCAGAGCCAACAAGTCGGTTCTCCTGATCTTAATCGCCCTCGGATCTTGACACATCATGGACCGAGCTCATGAGATGAACTTGCAGTCGTAGAGAAGGGAATGTCGCAAAGCATGCTCAAGAAGGGAGACACCATTTCTTCTCACGCAAGGAGAAACGAAAAAAGTCAAATTGCCCCCCCCTTCTCGTCGCCGCTCCAAACTCAGACCAGGAACCACGCTAATGCACGCAGGCCAGCATCGTACATGACATTGCATTGCCGCCGCACTGCATCTCGCCATGATTCGCACAGACCTCCCAACAGCGCTCACTTAGTCGCCCGTTGCTCGACGCAATCTCAGTCTAACAAACGCACCAGCTCAAAAGAAAGAGGGGTATCATTGATCAAGACGTCGTGTCGAGTGTGTATCGTCTGACTGGCGAGGCGCCATCTCCTCCATCGCAGCCAATAGATGCTGTCTTGTCGCCTGTACGTATACCAGCAGTCCCGGCATGGCTTCCGGCCGCAGCGCTAGCTTCTGCACCAACGGAGGCGGGCCCTCAGACGAGCTGTGGGATCGAGCCGTCGCTGATGAGTACGGCCGATGGTCGAGCGACGGCTGGTGGCGGTGCAGCGTGTCGACCGAGGTGCTGGCTCGTCGAGAGTGGGTGTGGACGCCAGGGGATGGTGCTGGGGCGCGGACGGCGAGGGCGGGACGATGGGGCTGCTGCGGCGGCTGCGCGATTGTTGGCTTGCTAGATCGAAGATGGGCGGAAAGAGGTTGTCGAGGCGGTCCAGAAGGGACCATATCGACCGACGGATGATTCGTGCGGCTATTGATCCGTGTAGGCTGCAGGGAAACGCGGCGGGTAGATTTGGAGGACGACAGTGTCGATCGCTTTGCGGGCTCGTCTACGGAGGAAGACTCCCGCGTCGTCTCGAGGGAGGACCGGAAGAGCGGCGGTGCCGGCTTGCGCTGCTCGCGTTGCTCGAACTTGGGAGGCGAGGGGTGGGCAGATCGAATACTCTCAGGCGAGACAGGCAGAGGAGGTGCAACGTCGCTCGACGTCAGCATGTCCGCGTCTTTGGCGTGCACGCTGTCCAACGACGTCCGGGAGCGGAGGAAGGACCTTCGCTTCAGAGTCAGCGACTTGCGCTTCTGCTTCGATGCTGATGGTGTCGTGGGACGCCCGTCGATGGCAAGTCCCGACGGATCAGTGGCGTCGTCTGTGCCAGCGTTCACCTTTGTCGTGCCATTGTCATCGCCAGCGTTGTTTCGGAAACCTTTGATGAGCTCCTTCAGGCCTTGCAGCCCGGCGCGACTGGCACTTCGAAGGCGACGCTTGGCGCTGCGATTAATGTCGCCAACATCAGGCTCGCTGGGAAGTGAAATGTCGGTCAAACTCGCGTCGACGCCGGTCCTGGGCGATCCGGTGTTGCGTCGCTCTTCCATCGACGGGGTTTCAGTTTGCACGATTCTCGTCCCAATGAAGCTGGTCCGTTCCGGTGTCACCAGGTTCGACACACGGGTCGAGGATGCCGTCACCTTCGTCTGCGGAGTCGAGAAGATGGGCGCACCAGAGTGAAGAGCTGGATAGCCTCGTGCGTATGTTTCCGACTGGAAGCGGCCGTGCGAGCGAGGCGGCTTAGCAGAGTTGGTATGGAGGGTCGTGCCGCCGAGGATGGCCGACAAGATGTCGATCTCCCTGTGCACGTCGACGCTTCTGGTGCCATCGGTGGTCGACACGGTGCTCTGACTTGTGCCACTGACATTTCTGGCGCTGGACAGGGAAGGTCGATGATCCATCGTTGGCATCGGGCCTGCGGATGCATCCGAGAATGTCGTGCGACGGCCATCAGCGTGCGTCGACAGCGTCGTATGAGACAACGTCTCAACGCGAGCGGCCGAATCGGCTTCGCTGCGACCTTCGCCTAGCCCGATGAGCACATCGGCACATTCAAGCCAATTGCGAATCCTTTCCTCCGCTTCCGAGCTGAGCAGCGGCGTCGTCGCCCTCTGATCCATGTAGCTCGCCTTCAACACCTTGAGCTCCTCGATCCCTTTGGCAAAGTCACGAACCAAGTTGATGTTGTTGCGGATGCCCGTCTGCGCTTGGCTGATTCGACTCGGGATCTTGAGATCTCCGAGGCTGTTGCGCCTCGGGGCGCGCTTGTCAGACGGAACAGCAGCCAAAGTCGTTTGGCGCGACGACGGAGGGTGGTCGGAAGTCGGCCCCGGCAGAGCTTGATGAGCGGAGGTGAGGGGCGACGCGAGCCGCGCTGAGGGCGCTCGCATCGAATCGGTGTCCTGCGAAGCGGATGTAGGACCTTGAAGCACAGACTGCTGGCGTGCAGCCAGTGGAACACCAACCGCGGACGCGCCGTCGAGCGTCCTCTCGAGACCAAAGAAGGAGCCTGCGGAACTAGGCGTGCGACCAAAGGTAGTCTCGCGCCTGAACGAAATCTCTTGACTGCTTGACAAGTCAGCGGAAAGAATCGAATCCGTCTCCTTCATGTCCACCGAGGCATTGGCTACGCCCTTTCGGAAGGACGCCCAAGAGGACGGGTTTGCTAGTCCAGGCGAACTGCCGACGCTGGTGCCATACGAGGTTTCCGAGTCCAGCGCGTCCTGCCCACTGGACACCGAGACCTGCTTCCTCATTTTGTAGCCGTACATCGACTCACTACTGGCTTGACTGTGAGCTGTTGACGTCGAAACGGATCTGCTTGTCGAGCCACGATCGCCTCTATGCATTCGCTCGCCGCCGTAAGCGTAAGCCTCGTCAGACCGCAAGTGGGTGTGGACGTCGCTTCCGTCGTCCTGCCCATAGGCCGACGCATCTTCAGCAAACGCTGAGCGTCCTGCCCGCGTAGGCGTGACAGAATCTGCGGGGCCGATTCCGGAGGTGGCACGCAGCGTGTTGGAGCTGGAAAAGTCACGCCGAAGGCCGGCATTGGTTGGCTGACAGAGTCTTGGCGGATGAGGGGCGTTTCGGTCATCGACCCGGCTGGGTCCGATCGCAGTGATGGTAAGAGGCTTCGAAGAAGTCTGGTTTTGTGGTGGTCTCGAGGATGTCAGCAGCGGGCCATGCTGGCTGGATGGGACCGCTACAGCATCCTCTGGTGGTCCTCCTTGAAGCAAGCCACTCCCACGCCGACAACTCCGGTCTGTTGGCCGTGTCGGTGTCGTTTCAATCGATCGACGGTGGCGGAACCAGGCAGAGGGCGGCGAAGTGGACAGATCAGAGGCCAGAGAGGCTGTTTCATCCCTCGCAGGGCTAGAGACATGCAGAATGGGCTGAGTGAGGACCAACCCATTTTGCAGGGGAGATGTCGGTGGCGAAGTAAGAAGCACGCTAGTTTCGGGATCTTTGCGGCTGCTCATGTCCCCGCGGCTGAAGAAACGACGGAAGCTGGCGCTACGGAGCGCAGCGTAGCTCCTCTCCAAGCTGGTGGAGCTGTCGCCGCGTTGAGAACGGTTCGAATAGGCGGAGAAATGACTGAGGACAGAGGCCTGGCTCTGATTGAACCTGTCGTTGTAGGGTCGTTGTTGACTCCTGCCATCTTCAGGTGTTTCGTCGATGCTGACGTTGGACGCGTTGCCGGCGCTGTTTCGAGAACGCGAGAAACTCAATCGTTGCAAAGCGCTGCCTTTTGGCTTGGATTGAGTGCTTTGGTGCGTCTTTACTTCCGTTGAAGCGCGGGCCTTGTCCTTGACTCGAGATGGTGACTGCGTCCACGTTTCCGCGGAAGGTGCCGAAGGTGCAGCTGCGGCTTTCGGGCGTGTGCCGAAGCCCAATGCTGCTCCCAGGGATCTGCGGGCAGGGCGAATTGGAGCCCGCTGCTTAGACTCCTTTGGCGGTGTCTCGGTCTCGGTGTCGCCTCCGCTATCGTTGCCTCGGCGATTGAGGCTGTGCGGAGCATTATAATGGTGGCGAATGAGGCCAAGAGCGTCGTGGCGGCTGGAATTTGAAGCGTCAGGATCGTTTCTGTCCCGTGAGAACAGCGTCCGTGATGTATTGGTGTCGTGTTGGGCGGTCAGACGAGCTGAAAGGTCCGCAACATCGCTAGATGAAGATTCATCCGAGGATTGTGCTTTCGGGATGGTTCGCAACAACGGATTTGGAAGCGAGGTCGATGCTGATGGCGTGATCATCTGATCAGCGTTCCACGAAAACTCGTCGTCCCAGTTCTCGACGTCGTTGTCACTCTCTGCCTCCTCTTCGTCCAAGCTTTGCAGTGCTGTCGTTTTCGCTCCCTTTGCTGAATAGTGATGGTCACTGGACCCCCTTGATTGGCTTCTTGTGCTGTCGTTGTGAGGGTGTGGGGCCGCGGCCTCGTCTTCATTCTGGAAGAGAAAGTCTTCGTCCCAGCTTTCGCTGACGGTAGATGTGACACGGATGCCCCTGAGATTGGCTGCGTTGATCTTTTCGAGATGAGAGGTCGCGCACATGAACTCGTTGACGGAGTCATTGGTGGTGGTGGTGCTCCGAGAGGCCGGTAGAACCGATGGGGCTGGCTGTGATTGCGGCAATCGCAGAGGTGCTGCGTGATCTGAGTCTGAGAGTCCGAGCTCAGCGTCCCAGTCGGCATCAGCAGAGGCTGCAAGCACTTCCAGAGGTGCTCCATATCGGGAACCGGCGTCTTGTCCTGGACTGATGCATGCATCGTGGTCGGCTCTTGAAAGCAGTGCGCTATTCGATGGTGGTCGCAGCTCGGCGCGATCATGTACGCTGGGCGACGATCGACGGATGAGTGGGTGTTCGATGCTCTCCTCGTCCGTGGCCCACTGATCGTGAGCTGGCCGAGAGCGGGTGAAGCTGCTTGCATCGCTGCCTGAGCGAGCGCGTGTGGGCGTCTTTGGTGGAGCCAAGGAGCTGACACTGGCGGCCCGGTCGCGTTGCACCTGTTGCGAGCCGGAAGCGACAAAGGACGCGGGTGTTGGAGGTGACGGGGCTGATTGCGGTACCATCCATTGCTGGGAGTGTCGTTCGAAAAAGCGAGCGCTGCTCGAGGGCGGCGGGCGATAGGGCCGATCCGCATTTCTAGAGCCAGGCGAGGTGCTGGACGTGGAACTGAGTCGTTGCGATGATGACGATGAGGTGTGAGAAACTGAAATGGGTCGCTCTTTGGTTGTGAGTCGGAAGGCGGAAGGTGATGTTCGGCGTGGCACTGTCTCGAGGATAAATTCGCTGCCTTCTGCTACCACAACTCGAGGAGGAGTGAGGGCTGCAGTGGGATCGGATGTTGTGCGAGTGAAACTCGGTAGATCCGATCGATGAGACAGTCGGCTGCTGCCGACGAAGCTCGACATCAGGCTGAGCTGTGCGTTGCTACACCATAAGTGAGGGATCACCAAAGTGTGCCGAGCTCATCGCATGAGCCGATCAAAGGTCTCGGTGTGACTCGAAAAGTCAGCGACAGCAGCCGGGAGGACGGGTCGAGAGACTTCGGATCGCTTCCGGCCAAGGGAGGAGCCGCTTCGTAATGCCTTCCAAGGAGGGATGCGATGAGGAATGCGTGAGAGCTTCTTGAATCGAGCTCTTAGCACTCTTGTCTCTCGGGGTGGGTTTCGATGAGCGTGGCTGGAGAGAGGGCGATGGACTACCAGAGTCAAAAGGTGTCTACGCAGAGCCTGCTGGTGAGTTTGACTGGCAATTCTGTCGCAAGTGGCGGTGGTAGTGGTGATGGTAAAGGCGAAAAGAGCGATGGATAAGCTGACGGCAATCTTGACACATGCAACAGCGTGCAGTGAAATCGAGAGCAACACCTCACTCATCAATGTGACGGGTTCTGCGCAGCCTTTTTGGTGTGACTTTCCGAAAATTGGCCTGCATTTCGCAACTCCTAAAAAGCAGCACGATCAGCTGCGACCGCAGCATATTGACGCCGCTGAGCACGTTGCTGCATCAAGCGTACGTACAGTGCCCCACTCACATTCAAGTTTCACCCTCAAGCCGTGCATCATCACTGCCAGCGCTGGGTTGAGCCGTAGGAGATTCGCGAGGCCGGCGAGATCCAAGCTCGCT